AACAAGCCCCACACACCAACACACACCAACACGGAATACACGACCCAAACGCTCCACTCACCGCTATCCACCGCCTCTCTCCGACCACAACAGCCGCCGCCACACTTCATTGACCGCGCCGACAAAGTGCCCGCTTCGGTAGTCGGTCTGTCGGCCGTGCCGGCGACTGGTGGCCTGCAGGACGTCCCCGGACGCCGATCCAGCGCCAGCGCGGGCGGCCTGATGCCATCGACCCGCCAGAGCGCGTGCAGCAGTCGCGAGTGGTCGAAAAAGGCGATGCGGCAAAGAGAATGCGCCGTCCGGGAATCGAACCCGGGCATCTCGTTGGCAACGAGATATTTTACCACTAAACCAACGGCGCTTGCACGAACACGCAACCTACAAAAACACACTACAACAAGCCCCACACACCAACACACACCAACACGGAATACACGACCCAAACGCTCCACTCACCGCTATCCACCGCCTCTCTCCGACCACAACAGCCGCCGCCACACTTCATTGACCGCGCCGACAAAGTGCCCGCTTCGGTAGTCGGTCTGTCGGCCGTGCCGGCGACTGGTGGCCTGCAGGACGCCGATCCAGCGCCAGCGCGGGCGGCCTGATGCCATCGACCCGCCAGAGCGCGTGCAGTAGTCGCGAGTGGTCGAAAAAGGCGATGCGGCAAAGAGAATGCGCCGTCCGGGAATCGAACCCGGGCATCTCGTTGGCAACGAGATATTTTACCACTAAACCAACGGCGCTTGCACGAACACGCAACCTACAAAAACACACTACAACAAGCCCCACACACCAACACACACCAACACGGAATACACGACCCAAACGCTCCACTCACCGCTATCCACCGCCTCTCTCCGACCACAACAGCCGCCGCCACACTTCATTGACCGCGCCGACAAAGTGCCCGCTTCGGTAGTCGGTCTGTCGGCCGTGCCGGCGACTGGTGGCCTGCAGGACGTCCCCGGACGCCGATCCAGCGCCAGCGCGGGCGGCCTGATGCCATCGACCCGCCAGAGCGCGTGCAGTAGTCGCGAGTGGTCGAAAAAGGCGATGCGGCAAAGAGAATGCGCCGTCCGGGAATCGAACCCGGGGCATCTCGTTGGCAACTTTAATGACAGGATGCACTCCATACTTACGATGTACTGCTTGTAGAACCGAATGTAGGCGAGGACGTGATTGCGATTAAGGTTGGAGCTTCTTCCTGGCCTCGAGCCGCCGTGTTTCTTCTTTCGTGATTGCCGCTTGCGCAGAAAGCGACTCGTTATGATCACGGAGCTAAGTGCCTTCGCGCTGATCGAGCTCATTGTCCCTGCGATGGTTTAAATCGGGTTATGTTCTGACTCGAACCGATTTGCACTATCAATACACCATTGGGGATCTAGCAACTATTATCCCCCCCTCCGGAGCTGTATAGCTATTTTGGTATGAGAGGTTGTTTTAGCCGCGTTCTGGGGAGCCGACCACGTTCTTGGGTCTAAACTTCGAGTATTAATATATTGCTCGCGACCGATAAGGATCAAAAGCCCACGTAGGTTGGCGTGCCGTACTCAACCTGCGCTGAGTACGACAAGCGTGGCAAGATTGATACGTATTTGTTGTGTGAATAGATCATACCCCTTTTGTGTAAGCGTTATGCGGTGTCATGAGGCATTTTGGGCGTTTGCTGTCAGGGAGGGGTCTGAACACACTGAGAGCTTCGTAACTAGACGGCACGAAGTGAAAAGGAAACGAATCGATGGCTGAGCTACACGAAACAAGCTAAAAAACTCCGAAATCAATGGTTGGGTCTCCCCCCAGACGAACGGGAGAGCTACATCAGACCCCAATTTCTCCTGGTACAAACGGGATTATTGATGAGCGTTTCTCATCTGAGCCCAACACCACGCCGGCGTTGCTGTACCAATCACAGAAGAGACGCACGTCTCACTGCTACACAGGATCTGACGCTGTTAAACAAGGCATGGGGGGCGTATTGCAAGGCCAAGCTGAAGTATCTCAAAGCGATTCTGTACAATTGTATGGCTACCCTGGCACAGCTGGTGATGTTGACGCAGTTGAAAGTATGATCCTACAGCTAGTAGACTGGTTGCTAGTGTTGCTCGTTCACTACCTCTCAACCAGCGTGAGCTCGTGACGAGAGAGTTTAGCAACCGTATATCCGGGATCGAGTCAACCCGAAGCATTTCCAACGTGCAGACAGTCGAAGAGGATGATGTAACTGCTCAACAAGCAGCCGGTGATTACAACTTGCAAAAACGCTGTATCACGACGCGAAAGAGGAAGTGCTGATGAGCGATCAATTCAAGGTGATGCTACAAACTTGGTACGTTATCACAGACAAACAGGCCCTTTCAAGGACTAGCGATGGGTCGGGAAGCACTACGGCGCTTTAATGGTTGTTGCAGAAGATAGCGTGGCTGCGAACAAGGAATGTAGTCCTTAAAGCGCTACTAGCAGTTCCGGCCGTCCCTCAAAGAATAAAAGCTACGTAGCATAAATCGCGAGTAAACCAATAGATAATTGATACAATGTGGTAGCTACGATATGGTAGTGATAATGTGGTAGTCTGGTACTAAGTTGCAACAGGCGCACTGGACGTAATGCCCAGCCGTTCGAGTCGGACCTTCTCTTCACGAGTAAAACAAAAAATTGTGCTCGTTAGTTTTTCCGTTCCCCACCGCGGGAACCCATTGGGGCCAGACGTAATTTAACACCTCTCGCGACATCAAATCGCGTCGAATTGCTTCTGGTTTTAGTGCCAGCCTCTAATCGATGTCCATACAATTATGCCCCGTTCGTGGGATAATTTGTAGCAGATTGGAACACTCTGGTTAGACATTCTGGGCGACCCTTCGGGGTAAGTGCCATTCTTGACCCTCTTATAAGGTTCACAAGGCAGAATTTGGATCTGTGTGGTGGGACCAAACAGATTTGCTATCATGAACAACTGACCATGGCCAGCTACGCGGTAGCTTTCATATTTGCTGCCAGATTTGCGGCCTCGCGGTGGAGACGCCTTATGACTCAAACGGCACTATGTTGTGCTGTATCAGCAACCGTAGCTTGGGCACAGCAAGTTGCAACGTCTTGCACGGGATCCCGTGCTGGGAATTGCCCATAGCCTATGAGGGATTGTACAGTAGGACGGCAGTGCTTCCAGGCTCGTAGTGGCGATGGCCGAGAAGAATCAGACACGAGACGTAGGAACATTAGCTTGCCTGCCCACGGAAATAATGGGATTGAGGAGGAGAAGACCTCGCCGATGGCAACCCCCTATTGGTTAAGCTATACTATACTAACCTCAGTACAAGCAGGAGCGAAACTTCAACTAGAAGCTCCCTACTGAAGTACAATCAACCATTGTTGATCTGACGAACAGCGGAGCTCGACCGACCCACTGCCAGCCCCGACAGTCTCGCACTCATGAGTTTTACGATACCCTGGCATCAGAGTAGCATTTCCTCTTCATCATATATATACTATTTTGACAAATTCCTTGCTAACAAGCAATAGGCCCCAAGATTAGTAATTCAATTTGTTGTTCCTGATCCCCAAGAGTCAAGCTGAACACGTAACGTATACGAGAATTCCTATTTCCTACTTTTCTCCTAAAGCGCACCTGATCCGTACTATATCACAACAGCGGTATAAAACCAGAGCATAGCATAAAAATTCCAAGATACATGTGTTAAAAAGCAAATTGGAAAAAAGACGGCCAATCTTGTACTAACGTGACTTACCAATTCATGGACTTTTACTAGATCATAAGCGATCGGTATTTTGTCCAGTCATATCCTTCTATTTTTAGGAAATAGGTTTTAATTGGTTTGCTAAGTTACTTTAAATATCTATAGAAGATAAAAACCAAACTGTCTATTTTACCAGATCATGGACCCTTGCGTTCAGCTCGGTAAGATACCGCCCGCCTTACTGAAAGACATTAGATGACAGAGACTAAGAGCTAATACATAGAGAAATAAGTGAAAGGAAGACTTATGGTGTGCCAATACCCTCAACTGGTCAGTGAGAAAGAAAAAAAACAGATTCCGGTCTGATTGTCTGGTACACAGCTCATTCAAAATTGATTCAAAAAGGGCGGGAAGCCTTTCAAAAATAAGAACTCTGGCTTTTATTTGGACCGATAGCTTGTTTGTATTCATTACTGATACCAATAGTGACGATTTGGCATGAGGTCCTCCTGGAGGTCCATGAACTGGTAAACCACGTTTACTTGCGCAGACTCAATGTTCCTGGGGCAGGAAGAAGGAATTCTTTACTATATACAGTAAGTGCCCAAACTTAAATACTGCCAGATGCATCTCACACGCATCAACATGAAGAAAAGACAGCAAGCATAAGCTAGTAACATGTTGGCAGCCTAGTACGGGACCTGGTCAATGGAAGGGCTTCATTCTACTTATTGCTCGCTCTGCTATCCGACTTTCAGAGGATTTCGGACCCCGCACGACATCGACCAGCAGGTTGAGCGTAACAATGACGATAATTCCTAAACTTTGCGAAGCCTTAACAACACTCCGAGACGTGAACGAAGCATTGCGATTGAAAAGTCGTGGGAGCTCGAAGAGATCCCCGGCACTCCTATTAGGCTAGGACTCGGAGTCCTCGCCTTCATCCAGCTGGGTGCCTCCCACTTCAAGCGCGTCTGATTGCGTCTGACGTGGCGAGCTGGCAGTGAGGGATGGGCACCCGCCATCTGTTTGTCACAAGTGGGCAACACTGCTAAATGTTTGACCCAAATCGATCCAAATAGGTCAACAACCGCTTATAACAGATGAACAATTTTGAAAGGTGACTCAAAACAAACCGTATAGACAGGTTTAGACCTTTTCGACCAGTTCCCATTTTTTTCGTAAGGTAACGCGAGCAGGTGCTTACATTTCGTGTTTGTATGTAGCAGCCATTTCTGGTGGTCAAGGCTCTCTCCCCTCGTGCGCACCAGCACTGCAACCCCCCACTTCCTCTTTCGCCCCAGCGCGCGCACTCTCGCTCTCCCTCGCTACTCGATCTCCACAATGCGCGCCGCCCTGAAGCTCTCCCGACGCCTGCGCGTACCCGCCGCACACATTACGCGCGCCCAGTCCACGGCCGCAGCCCCCGCGTCGCTTGCCGCGTCCTGGGACCGCCCTTTCCCCTCCATTCTGGTGCGTTTGGTAGTGTTGCCCCCTTGCAGTACACGCGTAGATCTAACGAGAGTGATGGTCACCAGGTTTCCGCCGACGGAGTCTCGGCCCAGGGCTCGTTCGCCGAGGCGCAGGCCAACTACCTCAAGCCCGACATGCAGGTGGTCGAGGAGCTGGACGCGCTGCTCCACGAGAAGAAGATGGGCATTGTCGCGCACTTCTACATGGACCCGGAGCTGCAGGGCATCCTCTCGTCGCTCAAGTGGCCGCACACGTTCATTGCCGACTCGCTGGCCATGGGCGAGGCCGCCGCCAAGATGGCCAAGAAGGGCATCCAGTCGGTGGCCGTGCTGGGCGTCGACTTCATGTCTGAGAGCGTTCGCGCCAACCTGGACTCGAACGGCTTCGAGCACATCCCCGTGTACCGCCTGGCCGAGCAGAAGATTGGCTGCAGTCTGGCCGAGTCGGCAGAGAAGCAGGCGTACCTGGCCTACCTGACGAAGGCCGCCAAGACGCCCAACAGCCTGCACATCGTGTACATCAACACGTCGCTGCGCAGCAAGGCGTTCGCGCACGACCTCGTGCCCACGATCACCTGCACGTCCTCCAACGTGGTGCAGACGGTCTTGCAGGCGTTTGCGCAGGTGCCGGACATCAACGTCTGGTACGGCCCCGACACGTACATGGGTGAGAACCTGCAGCAGATGTTCGAGCACATTGCGCAGCTCCCCGACGACAAGATCCGTCAGATCCACCCGCAGCACAACCGCCAGACCATAGCCGAGCTGCTCACGCGCTTCGACTACTTCAAGGAGGGGAACTGTGTGGTGCACCACATGTTCGGCGACAAGGTGACCCAGCGCGTGCGCGACGAGTACAGCCACGCCTACCATACGGCGCACTTCGAGGTGCCCGGCGAGATGTTCACGCTGGCGATGGAGGCGCAGAACGAGGGCCGCGGTGTGGTGGGATCGACGTCGAACATCCTTAACTTCATCAAGGCCAAGACGGCGGAGGCTGTCCAGAACCAGTCAGGAGAGAAGCTGAGCTTCGTGCTGGGCACGGAGGCCGGCATGATCACTGCCATCGTGCGCGGTGTGCAGGAGACGCTGAACGCGCAGCCGGGTGGTGTCAAGCCGGAGGTCGAGATCATCTTCCCCGTGTCGGCGGATGCTGTCGCTACGGAAGGTGAGGAGCTGGTGCCTGGTGTCGCCGGCGGCGAGGGATGCTCGACTGCTGGTGGCTGCGCCACCTGCCCGTTCATGAAGATGAACGACATCGATGCTCTGTTCTGCGTGGTCGAAGGCGTGTCGGCGAACGCGACTGGCGCCGACCCGCTGGAGAACTTCTACCCTCAGAAGTACAGCGAGCTGATCCAGGGCAAGACCGTCACGGACGTCGGTGTGCAGCCGATTCTGCACATGAAGTCCTTTATGGACGGACAGAAGTTTTCAGATGCCCTTGTGAAGGATATCCAGACCCGGACACCCGGCGCTGGATGCCCGAGCTCGAACTAAGCGCGGGCTCAAATGTAATCTGCGCTGTATTTCAAAGATAATGTTACCGTTCTTGACTCGGAACCTCGCACTTCTCAAGCTACTTATCACCTGGAACGCGACCATGGTATCAATTAGTTGTTACGTAGCAAACAATCTCTGAAGTATGATACATCATGACGCACATCGAAATGGTGACGAAATGATGACAAACATGGACTGCTGCAGTTGCTCTTGTCGGGAGGACCCGAGCAGTGCACCTTTGTCCGCGGGCAATGCAGAACTTAGTCAGTTGTGACTCGATCTAACGTGCTCGCGGGCCGCGAGTCGCGGCTCCTGAGGATACTGAGCCAAAGCAATGACTCACAGACCGTGGTGAGGTAGGGTCTCCTCAATGCACTCGAAAAGTCCCGGTGCTTCGGTAGAACCAACTGTTCTTTTAGGGCTGATCACCAGGCTTCAACTCTGGTCCAACTATCTTTTGGATCGGGCGTTCGGATTCCCTTGACCTGAACTCTTTAGACCTGGAAACATGTAGACTACATGGAGTTTTTGTGAATTGTCGTTGGCTTTGGCAACTCTGTCAACGTACAAACCTATTAGTCTTGATCTCGACGTCGTTCTGGGGCTTCCCTTACGGCCGAATATGGTAAGCGCTGGTCACGGTGACCGTCACCATCCTCACTACAGAATCGGAGGGACGGATCGGTAGAGGGAGAACTTCTCCCTCTACCGTTCTTCTCCGAGAAGAACTCTCGTTCCGAGACTCTCGTACATTCGTACTGCAGTCGAAGTTGGCAAGGGCTCACATGTAAGAGCCAAAAGACGTGCCTTGCTCGCCAGTGTTAACCGGTAATCGAAGAGAAGGGCAAGCTGTGATTCCTGTACTGTGCGATGCCGCATCGACACAAAAGTCCAATGCCTGAGACTCTGAGAGAGCTAACCGCAACAACAGAACCAACAGATTTCTTGAGGCGGGAAGTTCGTCTCGTTGCTTCCCTCCGAGACTCCTTTGAAGAAGATCATGGGATGGAGGCTCGCTCAATGGCCTGTAGACCACTTCCTCTCAAGTAAAGGTGCCCTGAGAGGCGCCCGAACGCGTCGTTACTGAGGCGAGCTCGTTCGTACCGGTATTGCAAGTTGAAATCGCCACCATGCACGGTGTCGCGATGTGTGGCTCAACAAGACTCGAGCGTGTCGGTCGCATTCTTGAAGTGCGAGCAACAAAGTTCGCGCCGTACTTGGCCGAGCGTGGCGTGACAGCAATTCAATCGCTTTGATCATTAAAACAACGTGCCACCGGTGAATATTAACGTTATTCTAGGCTTGGGTCCTTCGAGCTCCAGAAGCACCTCCATCTTGTTGAGACTGGGCACTTCCGAGAGCTGAGCCGACGATACACCTGGCAAAGCCCCACATGCTCCTCGAGCACCAGTCGTACGCAGGCGCTGCCGGGCGATGCTTCAAACACGGCCGGCGAGTCAACACATTGAAGTGGGATTGAGACTTTCAACAAACTCCGCCGCGTTGGCTGGGCTTGACGCTCCTGCAGCAGGTGTACGGTACCTACAGTAGAGACGAGCATTTCGCTGTTAGCACATCTTGATCGCACTCACCTCCCCAGCTGGAAGCGCGGCAGAACCTGGTCCGGTCTCAATTGTTAGGTGATCCACGGGCTCTCTCAATTTGAGAGTCTCAAAGCAGCTGGACGCCACACGGGTGCCAACCTAACAGCAAAACGCGGATTAATGGACAGCTCTTCCTTTACGGCGCTGATCCGTGCTGTCTGTGCCACCAGCGCTGCGTCGGGCGCTCTCTGATCGATCCGGTTGTCCCAACACAAGCAAGGAGAGAGGAAGCCACGCGCGCGCGCGCTCGCATCGACCGACCGCTCACAATTCAATTTGCCTCCGCTGAAGCACATCCATCCACCACCTCCAGCTTCTCCGATCAAGATGCAGACCCCGAGTGCTCTCCGTCTCGTGGCGGCTGCTGCGGTGGCTTCGCTCGCCGCGCTGACCGCCGACGCGCAGCTTGTGGGCTCCAACACGGCCGAGACCCACCCGCCGCTCACGACTCAGACCTGCACGAGCAGTGGCTGCACCGACGAGGATACCTCCATCGTGCTGGACGCCAACTGGCGCTGGCTGTACAAGGAGGGCACGTCCACGAACTGCTACACCGGAAACTCGTGGGACAAGACCATTTGCTCGGACCCCAAGACGTGTGCGTCCTCCTGTGCCCTCGACGGCGCCGACTACACCGGGACCTACGGTATCACCGCTGAGAGCAACAGTTTGAGCTTGAAGCTGGTGACCAAGGGTCCGTACAGCACCAACATCGGTTCACGCGTGTACGTCATGGAGTCGGACGACACGTACAAGGCCTACAAGCTGCTGAACCAGGAGTTTACCTTCGACGTGGATGTATCGGGCCTCGACTGCGGTCTCAACGGCGCCCTGTACTTCGTGGACATGGAGACCGACGGTGGCATGAAGCGCTTCCCCAGCAACAAGGCTGGTGCCAAGTACGGCACGGGCTACTGTGACGCGCAGTGCCCCCAGGACCTGAAGTTCATCAGTGGTGAGGCTAACGTCCTTAACTGGACCCCGAACAAGATCGACAGCAACGCCGGTACCGGCAAATACGGCGCCTGCTGTGCTGAGATGGATATCTGGGAGTCGAACAGCATCAGCAACGCCTACACGACGCACCCGTGCACGATCTCGTCCAAGGCTGGCGGTGCCTACCGCTGCTCGAGCGCCACGGAGTGCGGTGTTGGCAAGAACCGCTACAAGGGCGTCTGCGATAAGGACGGCTGTGACTTCAACCCGTACCGAATGGGCAACAAGACGTTCTTCGGCCCTGGCTCGGACTTCACCATCGACACGACCAAGAAAGTCACGGTGGTGACTCGCTTCATCACGGACGACAACACGGCCACGGGCACCCTCAGCGAGATCACGCGCTTCTACGTGCAGGACGGCGTGACCCACGAGATGCCTCACTCGACCTTCTCGGCCATCAAGGGCATGAAGTCCCTCAAGGACAACCAGTGCTCGGCTGCCAAGACGCTCTTCGGCGACGAGGACGACCACAAGGCCAAGGGCGGCCTCGAGCAGATTGGTCTGGCCATGAAGCGCGGCATGGTGCTCACCATGAGTCTGTGGACCGACAACGTCGCCCAGTGCCTGTGGCTCGACTCGGACTACCCCGTGACGGCGGACGCCTCCAAGCCCGGTGTCTCGCGCGGTACGTGCGCCAAGACGTCGGGTGTGCCCAAGGAGGTCATCGCTGAGCAGGCCGAGGCCACCGTCCAGTTCAGCAACATCCGCTTCGGTGACATTGGCACGACGGTCAAGGGCATCAGCACCAAGATGACCAAGACCACTACGACCACCAAGAAGACTACTACTCCCAAGAAGACCACCGCTCCGTCGGCGGCCACTACGGAGACCGCCAATGAGGCTGACCCCGAAGAGGTCGGAGCTGATGCTGACACTGAGGCTGCGTCGGTCGACACGGAGGCTGCGTCGGTCGACACGGAGGCTGCGTCGGCCGACACTGAGACCGAGTCGGCTCCTGCTACGACCACCAGCTCGTGCAAGCGCCGTAAGTAGATGCTTTATTAAGCTCGGATGTCTGAAAGATGATTATGTGTTGAGCGAAGATCTAAAGCAACCGTAGATGGCCTTAGAAATCCCTAATGGAAAATGTTTGTTGTTGTCAAGTCTCAGTTGGTCTACGTGTTCACTCGTCTTTGGTGACAAATCTTCTCGTCCTTAGCCCAGATATCGGTATCATCAACCTTCAATGCACAAACAGTTTATTTTTCGTTAAGGGGTCGAACAACTCGACCTTCCACGTGAGGCCGAACACTTTAGATCTTACTCTTACTCTTACGACTACGATACGCACGACACACAGTCCTGAATCATGTTCACTTGGATGGCACTCGTCCGCTCCTAGTGACGGCGCGCACGGACCTTATACGAACTTGTCGACGTGGCCGGCACCGACGTACTGGTCGAAGTGGTGGAGTCGGCATTGGCTTCGGAGCTCTCTTCAGAGTCGAGTTGGCATCCGCATCGACTTCGGAGGCTGAGTCGGTCTGATTGTCAGCCTCGTTGGCCGCTGAGGAAGAAGTGGACGTTGAAGCGTCCAACGAAGTAGTAGACGACGATGTGGACGGAGAAGTCGTCGTTGTGGACGTACTGGTGGACGTTGAAGCGTCCGTGGAATCGGTTGACGTGGACGACGCCGTAGTTGAAGTGGAAGTCGACGAGCCCGACGATGTCGATGTGGACGGGGAAGTTGACGTACCGGTGGACTTCGAAGCGTCCGACGAGCTGATACCGTCCACCGTAGTGCCAATGTCACCGAAGCGGATGTTGCTGAACACGACAGTGGCATCCAGCTGCTCCGAGATAACATCATCAGGGACACCCGACGTCTTGGCGCACGTACCGCGCGAGACACCGGGCTCGGAGGCGTCAGCAGTCACGGGGTAGTCCGAGTCCAGCCACAGGCAGTAGGCGGCGTTGTCCGTCCACAGACTCATGGTCAACACCATGCCGCGCTTCATGGCGAGCCCGAGCTGAGCAAGTCCGCCCTTGGCCTTGTGGTCGTCCTCGTCGCCGAACTCCGTCTTTGCTGCTGAGCACTGGGACTCCGTTAACGTTCATGTCCTCGATGCCCGACCACGTCGCGTAGGGCATCTCGTAGCTGACGTCGCCCTGCACGTAGAAGCGAGTGATCTCACTCAGCGTACCCGTCGCAGTGCCATCGTCCGTGATGAACCGCGTCACGACCGTGAACGATTTCGTCGTATCTATCGTGTAATCCGATCCGGGGCCGAAGAACGTCTTGTTGCCCATTCGGTACGGGTTGAAGTCGCAGCCGTCCTTATCGCAAACTCCGTTATAACGATCGTCCCCGGAGCCGCATTCGGTGGCGCTTTCACAGCGGTACGAGCCTCCAGCGCTCGACGTCACCGAGCAGGGGTGCGAGGTGTAGGCGTTGCTGATGCTGTTGGACTGCCAAATGTCCATCTCGGCACAGCACGAGCCGTATTCGCCAGTGCCAGAGTTGCTGTCAGTGGCACTGGCCGTCCAGTTGAGGACATTGACCTCACCGCTGATGAACTTCAGGTCTTGCGGGCACTGCGCGTCACAGTAACCCGTGCCGTACTTGTCCCCGGCAGCATTGCCGGAGAACCGACTCATTCCACCGTCGGTGTCCATGTCGACGAAGTACAGGGCGCCGTTGAGACCGCAGTCCAAGTTGGACACGTCCACGTCGAACGTGAATTCCTGGTTCAGCAGCATGTAAGCCTTGTACGTGTCGTCCGACTCCATGACGTACACGCGCGAACCGATGTTGGTGCTGTACGCACTGTCGGTCACCAGCTTGAGCGTGAGGCTGTCCGTGTCAGCGGTGATACCGTAGGCCCCAGTGTAGTCGGCACCGTCAAGAGCGCAGTTAGACGCGCACGTCTCGGGGTCGGAGCAAATGGTTTCATCCCATTCGTTGCCCGTGTAGCAGTTCGTGGACGTGCCGACCTCGTACAACCAGCGCCAGTTGGCTGCTCGTGCAGCTCTGCGTAGTAAGCGACGGGTGACTCTCAGCCGTGTTGGAACCAGCCTGCTGCGCGGTCGTGGTCATGGTGACGAGCGAGGCCGTCGCGGCGATCGCCACGAGGCGAAGGGTGCTCGTGTTGGTTTGTAGCTTGTGGTTGAGGGGGCAAATCCCGAAGTGAGATTAAATGTTATCGTCTCTCAAACTACTCTCTAGTCTTCCCCTCCTGCTTTCCTTCTTGTGCTCCTTGTGCTCGTTGGTGCCTCTCATCAGACGGATTACTCCCGGGTTCCGATTGACTTGATCTCAGTATACTTGGTCTCCCTGACCAGCCATTGGTATATCCAGAGCCCGGCTGCCGCCGGCTCTCCCGTCGCCGTCGGATCCTCCGAGTCATCGGCGGATGTGTTCACACGTTCTCCTCGTCCATGTGCCTCTATTGGCGGCGCTCCCGAAGACTCATGAACACTCCCACTCGCCGTTAATGCTGCACGACCGTCCCGACGATTCCGCTTGCGCTGATCAGGTACTTGAGCCTCTTCGTCCCCAACGCCTTGGTAAGCATGTCCGCGATCTGGTCCTCCGTCGGCACGTAGTTGACGACGATGAGTCCTCGGGACACATTTTCGCGGATGAAGTGATGCTTGATGTCCATGTGCTTGGTCCTCGCGTTGTACCCAGCGTTGCTTGCGAGGGCGATCGCGCCCTGGTTGTCCTCCCATACTTGGGTAGCTCCCACTTGCTCGTGACCCATGTCCTTGAGCATGGCGCGGGTCCACAGCACCTCCTGCGTGCACAGGCTCAGCGCCATGTACTCGGCCTCCGCCGAGCTGAGCGCCACCGTCCGCTGGTACTTCGACTTGAAGACCACCGGCGCCCCGCTAATCATCACCATGATGCCCGACACCGAGCGTCGGTCGTCGAAATTGCTGCCCCAGTCGGCGTCGGTGTACGCCGTCACCTCGACCTTCTTCGTGTTCCCATTGTAGGCGATGCCGATGTCTCGGGTGCTCTTCAGGTACCTGAGCACGCGGATGGCAGCCTTCTAGTGCTGCTGCCCGGGGTTCTCGAGGAAGCGCGACAACTGGGTCACGATGTACGCCACATCAGGTCTGGTGCACGTTGTAATGTACAGCAAACAGCCAATGAGTGCTCGGTAGGGCTTCGCCTGCATTTCCTCACGTTCCTTCTGAGTCATCGGCGACTGAGTCTTCGACAACTTCATGCCCGACTCGCACGGGTTCACCACCACCTTGGCGTCCTGCTGGTTGAACCGCTTCACCACATCATCAATGTATCGAGTCTGCTTGATCATGAGAGTCTTCGCCGATGAGTCATGGTCGATCTCCATACCGAGAATGAACTTGGCCTCGCCCAACTCCTTCATCTTAAACGCATTCTTGAGCGCCACCTTGACTTCCTGGATCTCGCTGCTCGTCTTGGCTGCGATGATCATATCGTCCACGTACAGGCAGACGTACACGAACCTGCCCTTCTCGCCCTTGACGTATACACACTGGTCACCGCCGCAGCTCCGAAATCCGATGCCCACGAAGACTCGGTGGATGGTCTTATGCCAGGCATTTGCCGCCTGCTTCAGACCATAGATCGCCTTCTGCAGCCGACACATCATGTTCTTCGCGTTGATGATTCCGTAGGGTACCTCCATGTAGACGCGCTCCACCAGCCCGCTGTTGAGAAAGGCGGTGTCCGCATCCAGATGTACGCCTCGGCCACCACAACCGACAACACCACTCGGATCGAGTTCATGTTGGCCACGGGCGAGTACGTCTCGAAGAAGTCCACGCCATACTTCTGCTTAAACCCTTTCGCCACCAGGCGGGCCTTATACCTGATGACTCGGCCGTGCTCGTCGCGTTTCTTTGCGAACACCCAGCGACAACCGATCGGTCGAGCACTCGGTGTCCAACGGACCAGCGTCCATGATCCGTTGTCCGCGTGTGCCTTGAGCTCCGCATTCATTGCCTTCACCCACTCCGACGACTCGTCGCTCTGCATGGCCTGCTGATACGTGGTGGGTGCGTCATTGGCATCGCCGACGTCTGCGGCATAGGCCAGTACCGCATCAGCCAATAGGCTGTCTTCGTCCACCCTGGGTCGCTTTGGAGACGGTGGCCAGAAGTGATCATCGTTGTCCGAGTCATCGGGACCATCCTCTTTCGACTCCTCACCGTCTGCGGAACCATCTCCAAGTAGTAGTACCGGTTCTCGGGCGCGCCGGGCCCGTTCCGGCTCGGGGTGGAAGACCATGTCATCATTCAATACCGGTCTCGCGAGTCGTCGGTACGTTGTCAGCTCCTGCATGGATGGCTCCGACGTCTCCACCTCATGTATCTCCGTGTCCTCGACGGTCTCTTCCACTGATTCCATCGGCTCGTCGGCGGCAGGTCGTTGTATCTCCTCGGGCAGTGCCGCATCCTCGGCATCTTCCGTCAACTCAATGATCGGCGAGTTCTCGCTGGGCGACGTGTCGTAGATGCCGTTCACCTCGCGCTCGTCCAGCTTCACCGACCTGGACACCTTCACCTTGTTCGACTCCAAGTCGTACACTCGGTAGCTTTTTGAGTCGTCGGCGTACCCAAGAAACATACATTTGAAGCTCTTCGGCTCCAACTTGGTGCGTCGCGACTTGTCGACATAGGCGTAACCAATCGACCCGAAGACTCGAAGATGGTCCAGCCGAGGCTTCGGCTTGAACGTCAACTCGTACGGAGTCTTGGTCGGGTGCATGCTGTTCGTCGACCGGTTGGTCAGTGCTGACCGCCTCTGCCCACCATATCGAAGCCACGCCCTTGTAGTGTAGCATGCTTCGAGCCTTCTCCATGATCGTGCGGTTCATCCGCTCCGCCACGCCATTCTGCTGGGGGCTATACGGGACCGTCTTCTGATGCATAATCCCATTCACCCGGCAGATCTCAGTCATCGGCGTGTTCACGAACTCAGTGCCGTTGTCCGAGCGCAGGCATTTAATGCGCTGCCCCCACTGGTTCTCGTACAGCTTCATGAACGACTTGAACTTGGTCACGACCTCGCTCTTCTTGGTCAAGAAGTACGCCACGACGTGTCGCGAGTTGTCGTCGACAAAGGTGAGAACATACCTCGCTCCGCCCTTGGACTTCGTCTTCATAGGACCCATCACGTCCGTATGAACCAGTTCCAGCGGTCGAGTCGTCGCCGACGTCGACCGCGACGGGAAATGTGCGACCGTCTGCTTGCCCTTGATGCATCCTCCGCACAGGGTCTTCGTCTGCTGTTGAGTCGTCGGGAGACCGTCCGTCGCCTCGCGGGTCTTCGCCATAGCGTCTCCGTTCAAGTGTCCCATACGAGCGTGCCATAGCTCCCACTTTCCGTCGACTCCCGAGTACTCGGTGTAGTGCCCCATGTCCTGCTGGCAGTCCAGCAAGTACGCCTTGCCGACCTTCTTCCCCGAAGCGATCGCCTCCGTCTTGTCCCAGATGACGCACGACTTCCGCTGGAACTCGACACTCATGCCGCGTTCAGCCAACCTCCCAACCGAGAGTAGTCGCCGGTCGAGTCCGGGGATGTGGAGCACCTCCACCATCTTGATGCGCTTGCCGTCGATGCCCGTTAGGCGCACTGACCCTTTCCCTGCCACGCGGATCTTCTTCCCGTCCGCGATTGTCACATACATGTCCGCCGACGACTCGTTGTACTCGAACAAGTCATCGCGGTGAGGCGTCATGTGAGCCGTCGCCCCACTATCGATCAGCCAACCCGTTGATGGATTCTCCGCCACAGCGAACACCGAGTCTTCGGCGGTGTCTCTATTTGCCTTTTCCGGGCAGTCCCGCTTTATGTGGCCCACTTGGTCACAGTTGAAGCACTTGCCCTTGAAGGCACCGACCTTTCGTCCGCCGTTGCGCTTGCGGCCGAATGCCTTGCCGCCCTTGCCGAACTTCCCGTTCGAGGTAGCCTTCAACGCGCGCTCCGTGGTCTCCTTCTTCTCCTACCGCTCGTACTCCTTGAGCAGCTTCTCCTTCACCTCGATTAAGGTCACGTCCTTCGAGTTCTCGACGATGGATGCGATCAACTCGTACTCCGCCGGCAAGCTGCTCAGCAGGATGACGAGTTGTCGGGAGTCATCGAGGGGCTCTCCAAGCGTCTGAAGGCCCACGATGAGCTCGTCGAACTTGTCCAGGTGCTTCGCCATCGTCGTACCGTCCTCCATCTTGAACTCGTGGGGCCGACGAGTCATCGTGAACCGATTATGTATCGTCGTCCGGTTGTAGAACTCGCGTAGAGTATTTCAGGCTTGGATAGCCGACGTCGCCGACCGAATCTTCGTGTGGTGTTCCACAGCCACGCCTTGAGCGATCAGACCGAGCGCCTTCATGTCGTTGAGCATCCAGGCCTCCGTCATCTCCGTCGGGTCCTTCACCACTTGGACGTGCGCCAGCAGCCCCTTCCTCGCGAGCGTCATACGCATCGCGAACTCCCAGTGGAAGTAATTGTCACTTCCCAGGATGACTTCGGCCTTCTTGCTGGACGTCGTCATGTCGATCGTCGGGGAGGGCTTAAGCTTGTTGCGGCTGTTAACCTGTTGGTTTGTAGCTTGTGGTTGAGGGGGCAAATCCCGAAGTGAGATTAAATGTTATCGTCTCTCAAACTACTCTCTAGTCTTCCCCTCCTGCTTTCCTTCTTGTGCTCCTTGTGCTCGTTGGTGCCTCTCATCAGACGGATTACTCCCGGGTTCCGATTGACTTGATCTCAGTATACTTGGTCTCCCTGACCAGCCATTGGTATATCCAGAGCCCGGCTGCCGCCGGCTCTCCCGTCGCCGTCGGATCCTCCGAGTCATCGGCGGATGTGTCCACACGTTCTCCTCGTCCATGTGCCTCTATTGGCGGCGCTCCCGAAGACTCATGAACAGCTCCGAGTCTGCATCATTGACAAATTCTAGAGTAGAGGACGATGTGCTTCGGCGGAGGCAAATTGAATTGTGAATGGCGGAGACAAGCTCGTTGGCTGGGCAGCGCTCATGCGCGATCACCAGGGACTGGTCTCAAGTGCCGTAGGGGATGACCACGACAAGCCCAGGTCCACATCAACAGGTATCTGCTGCCGCCCAGCTGCTTTGGCGATATCTTCCTCCGTGCGAGCAATATCGCTCTTCATCAACTATCTTGCTCTCCTCTACCCGAGGCGATGGAGCTTTCTAAGGTTACGAAATCTTTGCAGTGGCGACTTTGCATTGAGGCGCGTGTCCGACTCGAGTGTCAGTCAGGATCGGCTTCAACTTCAGCCTCGACTGGCCGAATGGAAACAGGTTGTTAGCCGGAATCAATCTGATGCATCGCGATCACATCAACCGTGAGCACTGTTGTCAGCAGCTTGCGTGTGAGGAGGCACTTACCAGTCCTTCTTTCGTGCGAAACACAACAGCAATTTGTGAATTTCTTCATTGACGTTTTCAAAGCCGACTTGTGTTGGTATGGTTGCGAAGTACAGCTTTTTCCCCAACTGATAAAAAAGAAAGAAGAGGTCTCCATCAAGATTGCAAATGTCTGAATTAAGACTATGAAACAAACTACAACTCGACCCATTCGCTGTTGCTCTGCTCACAACTTTGGCCGTTGCTGCTCAACACTCCACTATAACAACTATGTATCTCGAAATGCACACGTCACCACCGAAATGCAACGTCTAACCATCAACGCCAACGCCTAATAGCGCTTCGTCTTGCACTGCTTGGTCGGCGCCTTGCTCGTGCTCGCTGGGGCGTTAGTACCAGTACCTTCCGATTCAGAGCCAGTTGTCAACGCGCTGTCAGCATCGGTGCTTGCATCCACCGTTGTCGACGCGCTGTCAGCACCGGTGCTTGCATCCATCGGCACCGCCGTCGAGCTGGTATCCTGACTTGATTCCGAGGCTACAGACGAAGTGGAGTCAATGCCAGCATCCGTGCTAGTTTCATCGCTCGCATCCGTTGAAATTGCTGAGTTCGTCGATGAAGACGACGCAATTGAAGCTGACGGAGCAGAGGTTCTGGTGGATGACGAGGCGCCCGATGCACTCATTTCGGTTGCCGTGCTGCTGCTGGTCGATCCAGCGCTGATACCATCAACGGTTGTGCCAATATCGCCGAAGCGGATGTTGCTGAAGACAACAGTAGCGTCGGCCTGCTCGGAGACGACCGTGTCCGGGTCACCGCTCGTCTTAGCGCACGTGCCACGAGCCACACCAGCCTTCGACGCATCGGCGGTGACCGGATAGTCTGAGTCCAGCCACAGGCACTTCGCGGCGTGCGTGATCCGTCCACAAGCTCATGGTGAGCACCATGGCTCGCTTCATCGCGACACCGAGCTGAGCAAGTCCACCCTTAACCTTGTGGTCGTCCTTATCGCCGAACAACTTCTTCGCTGCAGAGCACTGGTCGTCTGTCAGCGAGTTCATGTCCGTAAGACCCGGCCAAGTGGAGTACGGCATCTCGTAGGTTGTGCCGTCCTGGATGTAGAACCGCTTGATGTCGCTCAAGAGTCCCCGACGCAGTGTCATCATCCGTGATGAAGCGGGTGACGACCGTGAATTTCTTGGTCGTGTCGATGGTGAAGTCCGATCCGGGGCCGAAGAACGTCTTGTTGCCCATTCGGTACGGGTTAAAGTCGCAGCCGTCCTTATCGCAAACGCCAGTGTAGCGGTTTGATGTGCCGGTGCCGCATTCGGTGGCGCTCTCGCACCGGTACGAGCCTCCGGCATCCGACGTCACCGAGCAGGGGTGCGAAGTGTACGCGTTGCTAATACTGTTGGACTCCCAAATATCCATCTCGGCACAGCACGAACCATAGTTACCGGTTCCAGAGTTGCTGTCGGTGGCACTGGTTGTCCAGTTGACAGTGTTGGCCTCACCGCTGATGAACTTGAGATCTTGAGGACATTGGGCATCGCAGTAGCCCGTACCAAACTTGGCGCCAGCCTTGTTGCCCGAAAAGCGCTTCTTGCCGCCATCAGTGTCCATGTCGACGAAGTAAAGGGCTCCATTCAAACCGCAGTCGAGGTCCGATACATCCACATCGAAGGTGAACTCCTGGTTCAGCAGCTTGTAGGCCTTGTACGCGTCGTCCGACTCCATCATGTACACACGCGAGCCGATGTTGGTGCTGTACGGGCCCTTGGTAACCAGCTTCAAGCTCAAACTGTTGCTCTCAGCGGTGATACCGTAGGTCCCGGTGTAGTCGGCGCCGTCGAGGGCACAGGAGGACGCACACGTCTTGGGGTCCGAGCAAATGGTCTTGTCCCACGAGTTTCCGGTGTAGCAGTTCGTGGACGTGCCCTCCTTGTACAGCCAGCGCCAGTTGGCGTCCAGCACGATGGAGGTATCCTCGTCGGTGCAGCCACTGCTCGTGCAGGTCTGAGTCGTGAGCGGCGGGTGGGTCTCGGCCGTGTTGGAGCCCACAAGCTGCGCGTGAGCGACCATGATTGAGAGCGACGCCATTGCGGCCAGCGCCACAAGGCGAAGAGCGCTCGGAGTCTGCATCTTGAACCGGAAAACGGGAGGTGGTTGATGTGCTTCAGTGAAGGCAAATTGGATTATGTGACCGATCGGTGTTCGTGTGTAGGTTGGCAGCCACGCGAAAGGCAACGAAGGCGACCTTCATGGGCGCTGCTTGGCAGCACCGACGCCGCCCCGTCGAGCACTGCGCGCGCTCCACTCGCTGGCATGTTGTCGCGAGATCATATACACGGAATGAGTGATGTTGTCACCGGTTCTCGTTGACTCTGCGCCTGAAACGGACAGCGGGACGGCAGGATCGGCGCTCACCAAGCATTTCTGTGGTGAAGTTGCCGGTGTTGCAGTCGCAAAACTGAAGCAGAGGAAGATTCGTCTCGAGCGGCTGTTTCCAGCTACTGAAGTTGAAGCCTGATCTGGATCCAGCAGCCGGCAGCATGTACTGGGATGCTTGTAGGACTGCTTAAGCCCGAGCCAACACTGTCCTGCATCGTGTCTTTGGTGTCCGTGCTCTCAAGCTCGACGAGCTTGTATGCTCGAGATTGCCAAGACGCGGGACGGAAGCGACGCGAGGACGGCCCCATCGTCTGCTGCGGCGGAATCAAAGCGTGGCAACGAGTGACTCGAATCAGAAGCAGCATCTTGACGTCGGCGTCAAGGCTTGACAAACGTGGTTATCCTAGCCTGAATGAAGCCATGCTAAGTTGGACCTGGTGCCTTGGTTTAACCTCTCAATTTCACCCCGAGACGCTTCTTCAGGTGAGTCCTGCAAGTGAGCTGGCAAACACGCCACGTGGGAGTCACCACACACTATTAGCATAACTGCGAAAGCCTTGACTGTGTCAAAGCTACATGTTCCTCGCTGAACACCACGCTTGGACAACCACGAGCAGCCCGGGAACATGCTGGTCCAACTTGACTTTACGTATCGTATTTTTGTCGGCCACTGCACCGAAGCGAGCGTCTGCGAACACGTGCTTGGGTGGGGCCATTTTCCTTCATCGCAGCCGGCTCGGGCGTCATGCGCAACGGTCTTTGCGGCCTACAGTAGCAAGCTACCAAGCTGAGCGCGAGGTGGCTGCAATCGGCACTATGCACACATCATTTCGGGACACATGATGTCTCTCCGTCTCAAAAAAGCATGTGCACACTTCAGTCTGGTGACACTCTGAATTCTCCAACCCAGGACGACGACGATGGACGCGCCGATCGACGAGAGCACCAAGCGCACGGTGCAGAAGATCCCGCTGCTGACGACGCGCGCGGGCCCTCGCGACGGCGAGCAGTGGACCAAGCGCCTGAAGGAGGAGTACCTGGCGCTCATCCAGTACGTCAAGATGAACAAGGAGGCGGACAACGACTGGTTCACCATCGAGTCCAACAAGGCCGGCACCCGTTGGACGGGCAAGTGCTGGTCCTTCCACAACGGCCTGCGCTACGAGTTCGACCTCGAGTTCGAGATCCCGGCCACGTACCCGGTGGCCAACCCGGAGCTGTGCATCCCCGAGCTCGAGGGCAAGACGTCCAAGATGTACCGCGGCGGCAAGATCTGCCTCACCATCCACTTCGCGCCGCTCTGGCAGAAGAACGTGCCGCGCTTCGGCGTCGCGCACGCCCTCGCTCTCGGAGTGAGTGGCGCTATCTAGCTAGTTGCTACTTGGGCCAGTGGATTGAGTGGCTAACTTGTTATTTATTGTTTTGTAGCTGGCCCCGTGGCTCGCTGCCGAGGTGCCGGACCTTGTGGAGCGTGGCGTCATTACCCCCGTGTAGATGTAGAGGTAGGTGGCGTACTCCGTGGACGCCTCAATGGCTGCGCAGGCAGGCAGTGGGTTTTGAGGTCAAAATTGGAGGTGACAGGCAGGGAGGAGTGAGGCGTTGGGTTTTCTACATCTTCCGTTGGATTTGTTACTCTGATGTGCTTGCTGTCTGTTGTCGTGCATCGATCGGCACGTAAATAATGCATTCTACGCGGACGGCAGGTACCCCGTTGACCCGTTTGCACTTGCTCGCTTCAACTGCGGAGCGGCGCTGTGTGATAACTTTGTCTTCTGGACGATGCTGGATTCAGCGTATATGGCTAGACGCTGCTGCTAAGCGGGCGATCCCTTGAGTTACGGCAGGAGCGAGAAGAGGCGATGCGGAGACAGCAAGGTTGGGGACGGGACGGGTGCGGGGAGCATACATAAAGACGAAGCTGGGGACGACGTGACTAGTGGTGGCATGTTCGAGTGGGAGTGCTGGGACTCGCCGTGTGAAGCCGAACCGCTCGAGCTCATCTTGGTATGGGCGCAGCAGTACCCTGAGCGTTGTGCCCACTTCGGGCATCCGAAGTAGTCGCAGCGCTTGCCTCCACCGTGCGAGCGGCACAACCGGTTCTGGTGGGCGTTCTTCGTGCAGCCGCTGACGTTGCACTGGCGGCCTCCGCCGTGCGACTTGCACAGCCCGCGCGTCTGGGCGAATTTCGAGCACCCGTCCTTCTTGCAACGCGAGCCGCCGCCATGTTCAGGACACTTGCCTCGACTGAGTGCAGACTTGTTGCAGCCGGCAATGTTGCACACCTTGCCACTGTGGCGATTGCAGAAGCCCGCTGAGCGGCGCAAGTTGGGGCAGTCTGGATATGTGCAGCGCAGTTGTTTCCTGTCGTTGTTGGACGATGCGGCGGCGGTGGCCGACGACTTTTTCTTCTTGAGCGGGGGCATCGTCAGCATTGGCAGCGGTGCAGGAGGAAGACATGACGTCAAGAAGGACACGCCGGACTTGTCAGATTTGACTCCACGCATGTCCGAATCCATTGACACGCTGTCCTGGAAGAACGGTTGGGGCAGACGCGCAAACTCTTGAACAAACACTCGAGGTGGCGAGACGATCGCGTTGACAACGGAGGCGGGCAGTGGAGACTGGTTTGGCAAGGAGAAGCTGGCACAGCTACGGCTGGACAACGGCTGCAAACGCGTGAAGTGCGGCGAGTTGTCGAAGCAGATCTGCGGGAACGAGACGTCAACCTGTTGGCTGCTGCGTTTGGAGAGACCGGGGGTTGAAGCACCCAGAGAATTCCCGTACATCTTGGCGGGCGTGGGCGGCAGCTGGCGGGGCGATGCAAACTCGCCCTCGAGGAGCAGCTCGCGAAGAATGTCATTTTCCTCGGAGCCATCAGCCGACGCCCGTCGGTCTGTTTCAACGAAGCCATTAGCGAAGAACATCTTAGGGCACTGGAAGTGGAGGAGTGAGTCGAGTGGCCAGCTACGTGTTGAAGTGAGTCGGTGGGAACACTTCAACAAACGTTTAGGTGGAGTACAGCAAGCTGTAGAGGCGTGACTGTGGGGGAATGCTTCGCCGTACGGACGGGAAGTCGAGAAATGATCTCGAAGTCCGCAATCGTCGGGTGGGGCAACGTGCCAAGGTCGGAACGCAGAAATGCCAGTCGATGCAACAACCGGTCACCCGCCAGTCAAGGCAGCTGCTGCTCCACTGTGCAAAACGACCCGCGCGTTTCCGAAACGACCACTTGGCCTCAGCGTTGGTTGAAAATTGGTTGAAAAGCTGGTCGGCATTGACGGCACTGTTCCGAGAAGACCAGGAGTTGCATACCACCAAGCCCTGCTCGACTGGTAGACCGCACACCTCGAGCTCTGTCGTTTTCCGTTGGCAGGTGTGCCGTTGACCGCCTGACTATTAATACCGTTGCCGCAGCGGATTCATCCGTTTCGAGCCAGATATCTGAACGCTACGTTGGGCCGTTGAGTGCTTGAACCGTTATCGGACTCCAAAATTCATAACGGATGCCACCACCACTGCAGCAAGTGCAGGGCACGCAACCGAGCTGCGGCGCGAAAAAGAGCGGGGGCCATGTGCACACCAAGGTCCAGGATCGGTTTTCTGCATCCTGCAGCGGCTCCGCGGATCATTTGAGGCAGGAATCCAAAACCACCACGAACGGATCAGGATGAATTGACAATTGCAATTCAACACTCAAGGAGTATTAAAGTGTCGAGACACGGGTTGCCGCTCCATCACATCACATTCCCATTTCTCTTGGATGATACGGGCTCGTAAAGTCAATCGTGGCTACCCCCTTCCATGTCGCCCTGACGAATCTTTCGCTGCTCGAATCAAACTGAGTTGCTCTAGCTTGATTGGGACCTTGCACACTGGACAGGAAGTGAATCCATCCTTCTCCATCTGCATTAATCGATTAGCAAGCAAAAAATAATCAGTACACTCCAACATCCCAGCCTGATACATCGCATCCATACCTTTTTCCAACACGGGTGACAGCAAATGTGGCCGCACTGTGGTGAGGCAAACGCCTTGCGTGTGATATCATAGCACACCACACACTGTGGATCCTTGACAATTGCTGCCGTCGGAATATGCCCATACTGGGTCTTCCTTCGCTTTTGCTGAAGTCGTTCGAAAAACGTAGACATATCCGAAGACCGTCCTTGAGCAGAACTCTTTTGCGCGTTGCCAACTGCCTCAATACTGAGGCCACGGTTCTTGGCTGCGTCGATAAATCGGTCGCACATAGGCCCATTCAACACCTTCGGCATCAAGTCCAATAGCTCCCTGCAAGCTGGATCGCGAAGGAGATCGCAGATTCCACTCAAAGCCGCATCGACATCTTCTCCGGAGTGAAGCTGCCGCACCAAGCCATATAGCTTCGGGACTTCGGCTGGCTGGAGCACTTTTCTTGCAACAGCAGGAAATTCGGCGGCAAAAACTTTCTCACTGGAGGTGCCAGTTTCCTTTTTAGCTGCAAACTGCTCCTTTGCACTTTGCCAAGACTGTGCGTCATCATCATCGACAACGATAGCGCTATCAACGCTGCCACTTCCGCTCAGCATTTTTGGTGCCGTAAACGGACGAGAAATCGACGAGGTTGAGTCGACCATGGAAGACTTGGATGTCGACATCAGTAGCGAGCCCAACGACCGCTTCTGAGGAGCAACTGGCCTTGACACTGGGGGCGGCAGCATATCCTTTCTTCGGTCTATTAAAACAACATGCGCATCTTATAAGGCAACAGCCAGAATGTAATTGTACAGCCAAGAGATATAATAGCAAACGTACCAGGCGTCTCGGGAGGCTCAGGTGCGTGCCGAAGTAGCTGTGGGTTTACATACGACTGGCCATCCCCGATTGCTGTTAGAGAACTCAACAGCTCCGACGCACTCAGCTGCTGGCTAATCGGCTCGCTATCACTGTCAGATGATGCCTTGGGCGCTTTTGATAATGCTCTCTTAGACAATCCAATGGATTTGGGCTGCTGTAACACCTTCTTGACAGATGACTCGGGCACTGCCCTTGCCTTATTGTTCTTGAAAAATCGTGTCAAACCGATATGTGATTCGCCTGCAAAATATCCCAAACAGTTAGATCATCCACGTTGCTCTACACAACTAAAGGTGAGCATGCCGAACGAACCGTAGCCTCTGCATGTGTGGCAATAGGGTTGCAGCCATTTCGATAAGCACTCCTGCTGCTGCTTCAACACAAACCTTTCGTCCAGTAAAATGATAGCTCCGTAATCGTGACGGTGACGAATAACACGGCCAATGGCCTGGTTGACAGCTCGCGATGCTTGTTGAATATACCACGCGTTGCCAGTAAGTTTCTAGCACGAAGTAAACTAGTTAGGCAAATGCTGATAATACGGCAGCGACATAGAACTACTTACCAGCTCTCCAGGAGGTACCATAGCTTCATCTAGTATGCTTTTCTTCAGAACGATTTTCGGGTCTTTTGTCGGCGGAAAGGGCAAACCAGTGATAACCACTGCACGTCCTTTATCGTTCGAGAAGTCGATTCCTTCACTGACCTATGTACAGTACAATCCATGCACATGCAGTTAGCCTTACGAGGTAGGACCGCATCGGGAGACTTCAGCAGTAGTACCTTTCCTCGACACACAGCAAAGAAAACTGCCCCTTTGGGATTGTCTGTGATAGCTTGATGATATTCATCAACCACTGCTTTAAAATCCGCTCGACCCCGTGGCTCCACAAATGTTTGCTTCTGCTGTACGATGCGATCCCATATCGATAGAGCCGATTCACCCGCGGCAGGCCGCTTCCACTTATCGATACTCTCTTCCAAAATGGAGTAGGAAGGAAAGAACACCAGCAAACCATGAGGGACAAGACGCGTAAAATTCACGATTGTGTTCCCCAGTTCCAGCAAATACGTTTCAGTCGACCGGAAGTTGTAGCTTGAATTCAATCGTTTGCCAGTCACACCAGTGCCCACCACACCCACCCAAACTTGATCGGCATCAACAACGTGATTGTTTTCTAGGCGAACTGGGAAGTCAATTCCAAGTTCTTTGACCGTCGTATCCAGCGGTGAAAGAGTTCCACTTCAAGCACATCCACGGCACGCAGTTAGGTACCAGCATCAAAGAAACCACTAGTATATGACCTTACCTCGTTAGGATGACATTGTGGACGTTGTTGGCGCAGATTTCACGAAAAGCGACTCCAGGATGGAAGCACCAATAGTTGAAGACACGGGTGGTCGTCTTTTTGTTCCGACCACCATTAAATAGGCGACCTGCGTTTGAAGGTCTGCATTAAAAAGTACCTCAATGAAGTTAGTAGATGCGCTAGCGGTCGTGTAAAATGGATAGTTGATATACCTTTCTCGAACTTCTTGGATGTGAACTCTATAGTTTTTTGCTGCCTGCAAACAAAAGTGATTGTTAAGAGATTTCACAAACGAGCCCAGGAAGGTCCAAGTACTTGGAACGGTTGGTTACCTGTAGATGTTGCTCTTTGCTTCGAAAGATTGTACCCAAAAATGATAGCATCGTATCGAGCTTAGATGCAGCACGTTGTGAATCGTCCCCGCCATGCGCCACTTCTATGATTTCTTCGATCATGTTGAGAACAAGTGGACACGTCTCGAAGTTCACGTTAAACTGCTCGAAGAATTCAAAGATATACTGCCCCGGCTGCAATGCAAATGGCAAATGTATGATGTCAGCGAATCGAACGCATTCAAAATGAATCCCATTCCAAAATTTCCTTACCTTGGTAAACCCTCCACTCGAAGATAGCGGGAATCCGTTGAGACCCTTGTTAATCTCCATGAAGAGAGCTCGAAGCGTTTGAGTAGACTACGCACGGACAACATTAGCAGTTTATCATGCATAGGGAGTGGATATACATCAAGTACGCACCTCCATCGTTAGGTTGCTGCCTGCTTGCAGTTGAACGCTATTATTTTGGAGAGCCCTGATGAAGGTGTCAACTTCAGAAATGCACCCAGAAATGTCATTCGATGAGAGCGCGTAAGAAGCTGCTTCACTAGCTATCGATTCCTGTAACACCAGCAAACACGCAATTAGCAACAACCCAAACATTACCCGCAGGCCACCAACGCATACGTACCACATTGTGTGCCTCATCGAAGATCAAGATCGAGTTTTCAATCGATATCCCAATCGAGCGACGAGCCAACGGGTCAATCAGGTAGTTGTATGGCACGAAAATAATCTCAGCTTCAGGTAGCATATTCCGCGTCAGGAAAAACGGGCAAATCTAGACACAAACCTCGTCAATCATCCAGCCGATCACTATTTAAACCGATTGCTCGTCCAGCACTCACCGTCTTCTCTTTCATGGTAGTCACCAACTCTTCGATATCCATAATTGGTTGCGCCTGCTTCTTCGATCTCTTCGCGTACGCATCAAAGCCGAGCTTGTACATGCACCTTCAATAAATATCAAACACCCGCATCAGAACACAAGCTCTTCAACTGCAGCACCAGCTAAAGACAACCACCCGCACCTCCTGTCTTTGCAGGTAGAACGACACGCGAGGTTCTGCCTCGTGCCTCGGAGCTTGGACACCTTCTCGTTCACACACAGGTGCTCTCTGGAGCCCAGCACCGCGACGTTGGGGCGGTACGACGTGTTCTTGAGCTCCTGCACCACTTGCTTCAGCTGCGAGTGCGTGCGCGACGAGTAAATAATCCTGGGCAGCTGCGGCGCGTCGCTCTCTCCGTCGCTGCCGTAGCCTTCGTAGGCCAGCGACGCTCCCGGACGTTGTTGAGCTGCGCTTGATGTAGCCATCGCGCTCTTGCCCAGCGTCTTCTGCAGCTGCCGGCGCCACGCCAACGTCGCGCACAGCAGACACAGCGTCTGCACACAGCATGTAAAAATAATAATGTTAAATATTTTATATAGTAAAGCATAAATATTATTATATCTAAGCGAAGCAAGGGATTGGCGGACCTTGCCCGTGCCTGTGGGGCTCTCGAGGATGGCGTTCTGCTTGGACGTGAGCGCCAGCAGCACCTTCTCCATGTACACGAGCTGCGAGTCGTAGGGCGGGAACGGGAACTCCACGGGGATGCCGCAGATCTCGAGCCGCACCATGGCGACCCACACTCTCGAGCTCTTCCGCACTCGACGCCGAAACCAAATGTTGCAGTTGGGTGCGCCACACCACATTGAAAAAGTTGAGGTGCACCACATCAAACTGAGCTCGTCAATCATCTGGTTCACTTCAAGCCGGTCGATACAGGAATGCCGTCCTCCCGGCTCGGGGTGGCGCTCTACCGCTCGCTCCTGCGCAGCGCCAAGGTGCTGGACGCCCACGAGGCCTTCAAGGCGCTGCTGCCGCGCGAGGTGGAGTGGCGGCACGGGGCCAAGTGGTGCGACTTCTTCAGCTCCGGCTCCTCGTGCGCAGCCGCCGTGCGCGCCGAGTTCCGAGCGCCCAGAGCTCGCCAGGAGCTCGACGACGCGCTGGACGAGGCGCTGCGGATCAACAAGACAGTCGCAGAGCGCGTGCACCTGCTCTACCGCGACGAGGACGACCGAGATCTCCTGCGCTTCGCGGAGGTGACGCACCCCACCACGTTCGACGAGAAGTACGAGTGGGAGAAGAGTCAGCTGGCGGAGCAGGACGTGGAGGCGCTGACGGGGGCCCTCGAGCTCATCCAGAGCGCGTCACAGTTGCTCGAGAGCGACGATCTGGACATGAACGACAAGATCCGGCTTGCTACGGCCTACTACGTCGAGTCCATCAAGCTGTTCGAGACGGCGGACGCCCACGCGTATCTTGGCTGGCACTTCTACTTGGACGGGAAGGTTGACGAGGCCGTGAGCGAGTGCCAACGTGCTATTCAGCTGGACCCGGCATTCGGGAATCCGTACAACGACTTGGGACTTATTCGGGTGGACGAAGGCAAGAGAGATGAGGCGCTGGAGCTGTTTCAGAAGGCGAAGATGGCCCCGCGGAACGATGTGAGGCATTATGCGTGTCAAAACCTAGCGGCGCTGCATCTGGAGGAGAATAGAGTGAAGCCAGCGCTGCACGAGTACATCGAGTCACTGTATTGGATGCGACCCGATGAGAAGAAGAGGAACATGATCCGGAACACCGTCAGTGATATGGGAGATGTCTTGGTCACCTTTGCGACGACCAAAACTGCGACGGAGTAAGGATCGCGATATGTGGGGTTTGCAAACAAAAGTCAATGAGATTTGCAGCAACACTTGTGCTGTTTTGCTCTTTTGCAAGGCAGAAGCGGGTTGTTGAATCATGAAAGTCAGCGTTACGATTTATCACTGCTTTGCTGGTTTTGGCGTTGCAGTTTTCTTCGCCATTGACGCCCAGTGCGTAGTGTTGCGGCTTGAAGCATATCAGCGCTCGTCCAAAAGGCAGCACGCTCCCCTTCCTCGAATACAACCAAAACTTCGAAGCCGTTTTCACTGTCAGCGGCAACCTCTATCCGGCCAGCACAGCGGACGGTGGTTGCATCATCTGCAGATTCCTTTCTATCTGAGTGGTGCTGCTCCAATCGGAACATCAACCAGGTTTGGGCTTCCTCCTCTTTTTCATCCTCTTCATGGTCGTCTGCGGACAGCTTGAGCTCCTCTTTTGTCTCGACAAATTCACGAATTCTCTGGGCAACATCCTCAAATGAAGCGCAACCGCTTTGTGCTGCGGAAAACCAACACCAAATGAATTAGTTGTTCAGCACCGTAGCCTCAGTATGCAAATACGCGAGACGCACGCGACAACATACCTTCTTCACTTTGCACTGGCACCCGGAAGCAAAGTTCCTGCCTACGATGGGCTTCCTTGCGCTTACCCAGTATCTTTGCCTGCAGTCATTTCAAGTTAGCAATAAGCCTATCGGCTTAAGGAAGCCGTGCGGATCCGGCACAAGCACTAATCACGTACAGAGGGATCGTCAACCACATCCGAAAAAAATGTCCACGCGATTCCCCATCGCTTGGTTCGCCCCTGGAAAAATTCGGTCGTCCGAGTTCTCTGTACGTGCTTATCACGGAGAAGCGCTAGAAGCTTACGCAGACTTGACTTCCTTCCAATCATGGAGGTGAACCAGAGCACGCGAGTCTGCAATGCCACACTTTCCTCAATCATGTTTCCAATAAACGCCACCTCTCCTCCAGGAAATACCATCTCGTTGGCGCTTCCCATACAACTTGCGTCTGGGTTTGTATCCGCCTCGTTCATGTTGTCGAAGAAGGGCGGGTTGCACATGACGAAGTGGAATTTGCGCTCTAGTGGTTCGTCCTGCAGCGGTTCCATCAATAATTTGTTCGTGCGTGTTCGTTTGACTGAAATTGTCTCCTCTAGGTGGTTACGGGCCACGTTCTCCTTCGCACACTCGTACGACTCGGAGTCGATCTCCGTCGCGATGAACTTCCACTTATTCATGGTGGCACCAAGCAACGCATAGATACAATTCGCCCCGGTCCCCACGTCGATACCCGATACAACCGCCTCTTCGGTCTCAAAGCCTTGTTTATCTACACCTGCGTTTTGCCTCTGATGTCCAAGAAAGCTTTTGCAATCTGCTTGACTCAGCAAGTCTTCGACCCAATGGAGATAGTTCAGGCGGTTCGGCAGCTAGCAAAAACAAACAAGGTAAGATGACACAGACCACATTCCAATAACTTGACGAGTCAACCGACCGGCGGACACAAACGGTTGATGGGGATCTCCCATTCCAGCCCGAAGTCGTGCAACAACAGCGTCTTGGTCAGTTCCCTTGGGCAGCAAACTCAATTAACAAAAGCACACCCATCAATACTATAGCAGCCTCAGTATCATACCTGGCAGCGAAAGGGTCGTCCCATGCGAGTGACGCTCGACACTTGACCTCGTCGACATTGCGCAGGCTGCCGCGGCCCATTCGGTCAGCATTTAACGAGCGGCGACGAGTATGAATCCAGCTATATTACTTACTACTGCCTGAACTCTGGGTATTGCTGGCCCAGTGCGTAGAAATCCGGTGGGTTGTCCTTGTATCGGTTGCGGTCGTGCGCCAGAGCGCCGAGGTGCGGCGTCGGCCGGCGTCTTTCACCGCGCATCCGCCAGTAGAAATGGTACCACCAAAATGGTACCATTCGTTTGTTTGAAGTGGGCCGTTGAAGTGCGCAGGTAGAGCACGAGAGTTTTCTGCGATAACTTCACCAGGGTTCGTGGCGCTTGGACTGCTTGAGTTCGATCACGGGGATGCCCTCCGTTTTGCCGGCAACAGCGCACACTTTCCATTTTTCTCGGCCCGACAGCTCGTGGCAGCACCATGGGACTTGCTCGCCTCGTTACTCTACTTGCTATGCCCATCGCGTCAATCGTTTTTCCCGCCAATGCAGGTGGTGGCTTGACGGCTAACGGGGTGGTAAGCAATTTGGATGACACTTGGTTGGTGACTCGACAGCTTGGTGGAAATGGAGGTGCGGATTCGTCGGTGGCTACGTCTAATGAAGAAGAAAAGAGCGAGGAGGACGACGAGAGCAGCGACGATTCAAGTGACGAGGAAGAGGATTCTAAGGATTCAAGCGATGAGGAGAGCGATGACAGCCAGGACTCCGACAGCACTGACTCGCATGAAGCAGAGTCCAACAAATCGATTTCTCGAGACGATGGCGACGAATCCGACTCCAGCGATGCTGAGTCGGACGACACAGGCGATGACAGCGAAGAAAACTTGGTCAGCGAGAATTCAACCGATGACAATAGTAGCGATGATGACAGCAGTGAAGAAAACTTGAGTAGCGAAGACGAGGATAGCGAGGGGTCTACTGAGGAGGATTCCAATGACAAGGATTCCAATGATGACGATGACATCGACAGTGCGGAATCAAACGGAAAAGCCGAATACGACGCCAGCAACGAGGACTCCGACGACGATAAGCATGCGCGCTGCTAAGCAAGTTTGCTCTAGGCCGCATCACCGAACAGGCTCTACCAGATCTGATCTAAAATGATACCTTTTATCAAGGCGATACTTCGATTCTGTCGGCAGGCTCTTATGGCAATGGGTTTAATTTCATGCACCAAAGCGTCGGGCATCCGCAGCCTTGCGCCGTGCTTGGTTACTGCGAATCGAAGCTCGAGGGCCATCTGAACGCCTACTTTTGTCTCTCGTAGAGCCGGTATTTCGGCGAGCAAAGAGTGGTGTTGCTGTCGCTGACTTCAATGCGGTCGACGATGTACCGGTAGCTTCGTCCAGGGCCTGCAGCACGTACTTGATCGACACTGCCGTAGCCTGCAGATCGTCACGCATCGACGCCATGGCTGCTTCGCGAAGAATGGCACTCACGTCGCCCGCGGACAATCCGGTGGTACGCTTGGCCATGTGTCCTGCTAGTACCTCGCGAGAATCGAATGCTGGGACGGCAGAGTAGTCAATAAGAACCTTCTTCAGAGCCTGGAGGATCATCTCACGCCGTGCTTCTTCATCCGGGAAGTCAACCTGGATGTGAACATCGAAACGTCTGCAAGCATACAAGTTAGTTGTGCCACGTCCACACTAACACAACAGCAGCGTACATACCCTGGTCGAAGAATAGCGGGATCAAGAAGTTCCTTGTGCGTTGTGGAGGCGAGAATGACAACGTGTTGCTTCAGAAACTCCATGCGCGCCTTGTCACTCGCTAAGCTCCGCTGAAGCTTGGTCCGGCTTGTGTTGAAGCCATCCATTTCGACCAGTAGCATACTGAGCATACGATCAAAGGTCTGCTCAGTACTTGTGTCAAAGCCTCGCACAGGCGCAATGCTCTCGATTTGATCGAAATACAGCACACAAGGCGCTGCATTTCTGGCAGTGGCAAAGAGCTCGCGCAGAGCCTTTTCGGTGTCACCAACAATCTTCGTGAGCAGGTCGCTGCATTGGACAGACACGAAGGAAGCGAGACCACGGCGACGGACTTCTTCAGCTACCGCGTTAGCCAGGTGCGTTTTGCCAGATCCTGGCGGTCCTGTTAGCAGCACACCTTTCGGTGGAGTCGTTCCAAACCGCAGAAAGCGGCTACAATCCTCCAGCGGCTCTATCATGGACACTCGTAGTGTTTGGATAGCGTCTTTCATACCGAAAACACCCGGGAAAGAACCGGAAGACGTGGGTTCGCTGTGCTTTTGAATCGACGTAGACACCGGCTGCTGCTGCTTTTGCGAGACGTGATGCGTCTGGAGTACAGACGGATAGGTCACTGCAAGAGCCAGCTCAAAGTGGCGTGGGCAAACCATAGCTCTGTCCTCGGATTTTGTGGCCGCTGCCTCGTTCAAACAGTACTGCAACGTCTTCTGGCAAAGGCTCAATAGATCCGCACCAACGAATCCACCAGTGCTTTCGCTAAGTTGGTCCAGGAATCCATCTTCAAGATTGTCGCCCTGCCACGTCCTCGTCATAATCCGAAGAATCTCAAGCCGTTCGGTTTGAGAAGGAGGTTCGATCTTCACAATTTGATCGAGTCTTCCGTTCGAAAGCACCGCAGGATCCACATCTCCAGGGCGTGTTGTGGTGCTCAACACGAGCACTCGGTGCGACGACGCCTTGATCTTCTCCAGAGACGACAGCAGCGCACCCAGCACGCCAATCTCCAGAGCACTCTGCGAATCTGCCAAAGCGCGCCGAGAACCAGCAATCGCCTCAATGCCATCGATCAGCAGCACGCACGGAGCTTGCAGCACCGCCCCTTCAAAGATCTTGACGAGCTGCTTCTCGGACTGACCAACGTACGTCTGGAAAATATCCGCTGCATTGAGGAAAATCGTCTTCACCCCGATAGATTTGCAAATAGCCTGTGCTAGCGCAGTTTTGCCGATACCCGGCAGGCCACTGATCAGTGCTCCGACACTCGGTTTCACGGTCTTCATTCCTTCCTGCTCCGATCCAAGCCGCTGCAAAATCGTCTGCAGCAGACTCCTCGCGTACTTTTCCACTCCTCCAAGTTCACCTGCAACTTGCTCCACATACACATCAACCGGCTGGAACGCTGCCGCGTTCAACCCGCCATTCGGCTGCTCATCACCGACAAAACGCAACTCGATTCTGGAGGTGCTCGATGAAATCGTAGCGAGCTGCTGGCAGCACCCCGATCCTGTGCATTCCCACTCGACCTCCGAAAACTTGACGCGTTCTCTGCGGTTCAACCAAGTGACTGACGATTGTCTGCCAATCCACACCACCGCACCGTCCAGCAGCTTGGCCGCAATCCGCTGCAGCCCTCGGACCACGGCGCTGGGAGGTCTCGTCCGATCCAGGAACTCCACGCGGACGCTCGCAACGACGCCACACTTGCACTTGCATTTGGATTTACCAGTCGTCAGCTCTTCATCAGCTGCTGACTGCACTTGCAACGCCACGTGCTGGCCTTTCGCGTCGCTGGGCAGCTGCAGCGCCTCCGAGAGCCCGAAAGACAGCGACGAAGTCTCCGCTGCACCTCGCAGCTGCGCGAGCGCAACGCTCTCTCCATAGAGAACCTTCACGTACTTGTGCCCGCGTTGAACAGCGGAGCTGTAGAGCACGCAGCGCTCGTCCGTGGCCGTCGTCACAGCGGACGCAGCGCCGCCCACCACCACATTGACACACTCGGCCGCAGCCATGTCTTCTATGATTGCAACGACAGTAAGTAACATAATACAAAAAGGATGTGGTACACATCAATTGCTTTTTAGCGCTACTTCAGCAGTACTCTGCTCTTCTCTTCCCTTCATCCTTAGAGATGGACGTGTGGTATGTCACTACGCAGTACCCCAAGTACGGGGACAGTCCGCCCTACGAGACGGTGAGCCACCCGGCCGTGTCCTCCTACTCCCGGCCCTTCTCCATGCGCGTGCCGTGCGTCTACCTCGTCTGGGACTCGAAGCTCGGGGTCATCGCGCTGCGCCGACGCGAGCGCGAGCGGCAGCTGGCCGTGAGTCGCTGCGGCTTCGTGCTGGCGGGCGTCTACTTCCAGGTGGACCAGGCCACGGCGCTGCAGATCCCCGTGGCGCTCAAGGTCATGGACCGCGCGCAGGTTTTGCTGCAGCGGGACGACGTGGAGAGCGAGATCCGCGTCATGGGGCAGCTGCAGATGGCCGGCATCGACGCCCCATTGGCCAACGAGTACATGATCCGCTGGGAGTACGCCAGCGACGCCTACAACCAGTACGTGGCCACCGAGTACGTGGCCAACGGCAGCCTCCAGGCCTACGCGCACCGCCAGGTGCACCAGTTGATGTTCAAGCACCTGCAGGAGTTCGCGCAGGAGCACGGGGCGGCCCCCACCAAGCTCGAGTGCATCTCGTACGTGTATCGGGGCAGCGGCCACGAGTGGATGAGGGAGGGCGTCGAGATCTTCAAGGGGATTGTTCGGGCGTTGACGTATCTGCACGCGCAGAACGTGGCGCACCTGGATCTGGACGTGTACAATGTGGCGGTGGACGGACGCACGTGTCCGAGGATTATCGACTTGGGCAGCAGCCAGATCATGGACAATAGAGGTCTTGTGGGGGCCGGGTATGTTAGCATCAAGTGCAAGCCGCTGTTCGTGTCGCCAGAAGTGAGGTCCCATCAGAGGATGGCGCCACCGAGGCCGGGCTTCAATGGCGCCGCGGCGGATATGTGGGCGGCAGGGGTTATTGTGAGTTGAATTGGGCTTTCGCGGTAGTCGGTTGTGTGGACTGACGGTGTGTTTGTGCGGCTGTGTGATTTTTAGCTGGTGCAGTGTATTGTGTGGGGCTTCCGCGGCGGCCCCTCGTATTTGGTGTCCAACACGAATTGGCGGCGAGAGGTGTTTAACCATATCGACGCAACGTGCAGTCCGAAGACGTGCCATTTGTGCGTGAATTTTATTTCCATCCCGCCATTGATCGGTGCGATTATCAAGCAGTTGCTGCATGTGGACCCAAAGCAACGCCCCTCGGCGTACGAAGTCGCTATGGCTCTCCAGGAAAACCGGCAAGTGCAGCCTTTCCCTGTTCACCCGCGGATACACGGATAAAGCTACAACAGATTGGAGAAGGAACCAGTCGGCAAAAAGTCGAGTTATTAAATACTTCGTGAGGTATCGAGAAGAGAAGAGCGCCACCAGAAGGGGAGACGCAACATTGTTGCCCGTGATATTAACCACTGCGGTTCCACCCCCGAAGGTGTCAGTAGTGTCTGCTGGTAGCGGGCGGCGTCGCGAAGGGGGACAAGAGTTGTACCGACGACGTGGTAGACGATGAAGACGTGGTGTACTGCCGTAGAATATGCTGCTCTTGCAAGACGGACATCGTGAAGGAAAAATCCTCCTGCACCAGGTCAAGAGATGCGCGTTTGCAAGAAGAAGTCAGCCTTGTATCAAGCAGGGCACTCGGTGCTAGCAGCTAAACCAAACAAGCTTCGTACCGAGAACAGTGCAAACTCGCCGTGTTCATTTTCTTCGCCGCAGGAGTTGTAGATCTTGATGAGTGCGCGATTGTCAAGAGCTGGGAACTTGGATCGCACCATCGCCGAAAATGCTGTTTGAAGTCAAACGTGTGAGTTTCGCTCGACAGAGACACAACAGAAGTACCGGACGATTCACGCACCGTCGAAGTGGGCTACGCCGGTAGCGTCTGGGATGATTTCTTGGAAGATCATAGCCCATTCGTCGCGTACTCTGTAGGCAAAATGAGGTCGATGAGGGCATGGGACAGGCTATCGCTACGAGTAAGGGTCAACTACCTTAGTTGATACTGCATCCACACCTTCATAACCATATCCAGCACGTCGTCGAGCCGAAGCATGGATAACATCGTCATCGAAGAGCGAGCCACCGTCCCCCCTGCATCCTGGCGTGAAGGAGCCGATATGCTCTGGAAAGCAAGCATTCGCTGGCGCTGTTCCTTGCTGTCAAACAATCGGCCGACCAGTGGATCATCCACAAGTGCTTTCAATACCGACTGTGACACGGTGCACGACTGGAAATATGCTGCCTCTAGTCGAAGCGCGAGTTGTCCTCCTGGTATAATATGCTGCAGTGCCAACAGATAGAAATCCAAGGCGGTCTGGGGCAGTGGACGATCCCCTGGGATGGCGTTCATGAAGCGCCGGAACCACTTCACCCGCATAGCCTCCTGTACATTCCCAACCTGCTTGGCAGCGAGCAGCAGATTCACCAGCTTCTTTTTCGCGAGAGGTTTCAAGCCCAGCTCGAGGATGTAAAGCTCCATGACGAAGTCGGCCAAGGATTGGCGCTTGCGGTTCATGGTATCGTCCTGCTCGTCCGCCGCGATCTTGGCGATGTAGATGCGACCGATCTCGTTCACAATCTGGTAAGTGGTCAAGCCTTCCTCTGTCAGCAGCTCTTCTTCCGACTTTGGCTCGGACCCTCCTGCTGTCTGTGTACTAAGTGTAACTTCCGTCTCTGTTGCCGCTCTGAGTGGCTCAAGAAGTTCTTCACACTCTCGTCGTAACTTTTCGCGAGCTCGTAGTTTCCTTCGCCCCTGGTTCAACTTGCTGCTGGTTTGTACACCAGTCTCGACTACTTGCTTCGTTGTTAGCTTGAAGACGGCGGGGTCGAAGTCTGGGTCGTTGAAATCCGGGAGAATGCTGCGGTGATACAAGAGGAAAGTCGTAAAGAGCGCGGGGTTCGCTTCGAGAGGTTCCTGGCAGTAAAGACAGTTAGTTGCTGGCATCTCACAGTCAAGCGGTCGAGTACTTTACCAGAAGCAGATCCGGACGCTCAGCGAACAAGCGAGAAATCAGTGCGGGCTTCCGGTGGGCGACGTCGACGAAAAACTCGGGGTGTTTCTCGAGGGTATCGCCAAGGCATTGCGGAACAGTTGCAAACACCGCATTCAATATCGTGGTGTCCTCCCGGACAATCTGTGGCAGTGTCTGAGGGTTGCTCTTTATCACGGAACTTACGATCTCGGGTGTAGAGGCAAGCACTTTGGTAAGTGTGACACTGCACGCTTGGAGTACATCTGCAAACAAATCAATTGTTAGTTGTTAGTTTGCGTCGAATTTCACAGATGAAGAAATGAAACACCACAAACCCGAAAGGATGTAAGGCTTGGCCTTCACGACGGCCGCAATTGCAGAGGAACGGTTCAGTAGCAGATCGGCAAGTCCGCGTGGATGGTTGATCAAAAATTCCTCAAGGACGCTCTACATACAAGCAGTAGCCTCGGGATCAACAATACGCTCCAAGCACGATATTCACAGCTTACGCACAGTATTCTCCTTAAACGTGTGACTCAGAAGAGGTAGTAGGACGTCAGATCGCTGTGTAAGAACTTGCGAAATACGATACACGTTCTGCTCTAACACGCGCGCTACCAGATTCTCCGATCCCTGCGAGAATCAAACGTGAGCTTCCGCAATAAAGTCATAAGAGGTGCAAGACGGCTTTTACCTGGAAAATGTGAGCTGTCAAATATGGCGAGCGCCAAAGAATGGCAGCGAAGTCCTGCGGGTGGCGGTCAACAAGTTGCTGGAAGAGGACAGGGATGCCCTTCTCAGTCGAGGGAGGTCGCGTTCCCTCCAGCAAAGTGTCGATGTTTTCGAGAGCGAACTTTTGCAGCTCAGTTGAATGCGTCTGCTCTATTGCAGCCAACAAGCGCGCAGTTTCGGAGGGGTTCACATGCTGCATCAGCAGGGAGAAGAGCGTATCTGCACTCTCGGCAATCTCTGCACCAAGATAATGCTTGAGTACTTCTTCGCACGCCAAGCCAGCGAGGATATTCATGTTACCGCGCAGTAACAATTCGAAGAGCTCCTTCTTGTCTTCATCGGCATCTAATTGATTGATGAGCGTCTCGATTCGCTGTCGGAATGACAGTTCATTGCTCTTGTCTTGCCAGGGATAATTCTTCAGTGATGCGCGCCCACTGTTTGGCTGTGGGGCTTGTTCCGCATTAGCGATGTTGTTCAGAGCCCAAAACGCTTCAAAGTAGAGGAGCTTCCTTTCTCGAGGTAGATCGTCGTCTTCTCGACTGGGGTCTTGACTTGCTGGAAGAATTGTATCTACGGAATTGTTCAAGTACAACCCTGACTCGATCACGCTGATAATGACGTCAAGCACCCGCTGATATTCAGGCAGCCTCTGCGGTAGCTTCTTCAAGCAATCCATCGCGATCAGCACGGATAGTTCATCTGGATCCGACTTCGCTACCAGTTTGCGCCGCAATAGATCTGGAACGTTCAAAGTAAGTGCAGACGTTATCATGGTTGAACTGAATGAGATGACACGTACATGAGCGCTCGATATGCTCATTGATGGACTTCCAAAGCCGGGAGATATCATCGGGCGTTGCGTGGTCACCACAAGCCCAGTCCTCGACGACGTCGCACAGAAGTTGGTCTTGTGGTGACGGCGAGCTGTAGGACATCATGCAATAGTCGTTAGCGTTAACAACCATGGCCCGAAGATCCTATTCAAGATGGACTCACGAATCCTGCAAAGTGAAGAAATGGCGCAGCAGGAAGGTCGTTTTGCGTTTGGCTTCTTCGTGAGCGCTACCATCAACGCTGAAGGCCCCACCGCGCGAAATAATGCGCTGCATCTTGAATCGGTTCAATGCCAACTGGTTGTTACCTCGGATCCGTTGGAGTTCGTCAACATCGATGCGATGTGTGTGGGCTAGGAGGCACGCCTTGATCTCGACGTGTTCCCTTGCGCGGGTGTTGATAGGGAAATTGAACTGCGGGGGATCGAGATCCCTATTGCTGCTATTTGCTGGTGGCGACTCAAAAGCAAACCGACCTGCCACGGGAGAGCTTGCAGGACGCTGGTGTTGCTTCTCACTCTCGAACTCATTTCCACTAGCGATTGTTAACCGCGGGGCATTTGCTCTTGCGCTCTTGCACTGAATTGGAGACGCCCCAGCCACAGTTGCGGGTCTAGCAGTGACCGGACTGGAAGGCATTTTCTGTCTCGGAGACAGCAGCGAATCGGTTGGTTTTCCGGACAACCTTCGAGTCGCCAGGGGGCGGACGGCAACTAGTTGGTGCTGGAAGTGCGGGGTGTGCTTGCTCAACAGGGGGTCATCTTTCACGACACGAAGGTTCCCAGCTGGAAGCTGTAGATGCCGCAAATTCGACCCCCGGTCGCCCACGTCTAAACCAGAAACTCGAGACGAAGAAGCCATCTCGATGTCCTCCACGCTGAAGCAATGAACCTGGCAAAGTCGGCCTCGTCACAGACTGCAAACCATATAAATAGTGTGATCCAGACTAGCAACACCAAAGAGAGTTGAGACAGGAAAAGCAAAGCGTCGTTAATTGTCAAACCGAGCTCCAATAGCGCCGCCTGGGTGGCTATCACGCAGGTGGTCCGCTCCATCGGTCATATTCTCGATCAGTTGCTGCACAATGGCGTTGCAGATCGCCTCCTACACCCCAAGCAAGGAAATCTTGTCACCACCAGCCTAGCAACACCATCACACGAGACGAAGTACTGTAACGCTACCTGGACGACGATACTTCTGGAGGGAACGGGGCAGTCCGCCTCATCTTCCGCCGGCACCACAACTGCCACGTCGCTCTCTTTGCTCAACGGAGAGCGCCCGTCTCCGACTACAGCCACGACATTGCACCCAGCCTTCTGGAAGAGCTTGGGCAGCGGCAGCAGCTCGGCCGTCCGCCCGCTGTGAGACACCATAATGACCACGTCCCCGCGCTTCAGGCCGCCCAGCTCGCCATGAACCCACTCGCCTCCGTGGATCCACTGCAACAACATTGCAACAGTTAGCACCATAGAATAAACAAGGTAGGGTGGGGTGGGGTGCCCTACCTGGCTGCTGATGGATATGGAGGACAGAGTGGACGCCAGACGCCGAGCCACAGCTCCGGACTTGCCAATGCCCGTGACGAACACGCGGTTCTGCTGGTCGTGGCACTGCAACACGCGCGTGACGCAGTCCTCGAAGCTCTGGGCCACGTCCGAGTCGCTCGTCAGCGACCGGAACAGCTTCTGCGCAATGCAATAACAAAAAGTTTAGCCACGATAGAGATTTTCCCTTTTAAAAGTTGGTCTCTCAATACCTGAAGAGCGTATACGTCGCTTGCCACAGAACGCAAGCATGCACTGCTAGCTGCGAGTGGGTCCTGATAAAGCAAAAAAAACTCTCTAAAGTTTAGCACTGGTTTAACCTCGGCACTTTTGTCTCTAAACCTTTAGGGGCAATGACGTTTTGTTGCGTGCTACCTTAGTGTTGCTGGCAGCCGAGCGCACTGAGGCGCCGCTGGAGCCGAGTGCACGAGTGCAGGACGCAGCCGAGCGGCGGGTGGGGAGAGTGCGCGTTCGCAGCGACAGGGAGCGGAGCATGGAGGCCGCTTGTTGCTTCGTCCAGTTTTGATTGGCTACAAAGGCAGGCAAGGGGCGATAGAGAGAGATAAAGGATCGCTCGCTGCCTATGGACGCGGTGAAGCTGCGGCGACGCGAGAGGGAGATCCTGGAGACCAGGCGCCTGTTGCAGCTGGCGCAACGTCGCAAGGAGTTGCCGCAGGTTGTTGCAAGTGGTGGAGGTTGTGCATTGCCAGCAACGACACAGGAGGACGTTGAGCCGGTCACGAGGCGACCCGGTAGGGATGCAATTGACTTGCTGCTTGGCAAGTGGTGTTGTGTTAACACCTGTTTGCCTGGTGGGATTTGGCAACAGGGTTCCTGCGTGAACAGTTGAAGTTGCCGAGCCTGACACCGTTGAAGCGGTGGCATCTGCAGCTGCAACTGCTGGAGGCCGAGAACTGCAAGCCACTTCAAAATGGAGACGACAACGTTGCCTCGGCGTTGCGGGCGTGTGAGATTGCGTTGGCTCAAGACAAGAAGTGCTTCGACGTGGTGTACCGCCACGGAGCTCGAGTCGCAGACGCTCAGGACGCTCTGCTGGACGAGGATGCGCCGATAAACGTCCGTGAGCTCCTGAGCTTTTCCACCGGCTGCAACGGCCTTGTCTGCCGCGTCACATGCGTAAACGACGGCAAGCAAGTTGCATTCAACTGCAGCGAGTTCGTCGACAACTTGCAGACGCAACTGCAACTCCTGCTATCCAAAGACGTATCCATGGCAATCTCCTTCATCTACGACACACTTAACCAACAGTAAAAGAAAAAGATAAAGACAAAAAAAGGTGCCGTCGCGTTTAATGAGAGGACAGTCATGTCTCCACGTGTATTTCCCATTATGCTTCGCACCACCGCAATATCCAGCTACCAATTAAAAAAAATTGGCAACTTAAGCAGTCAGAAGGCAGGCGCCGCCGGCGGCCTTGATCTTCTTCTCAGCCTCGGCCGAGAAGTACTTGGCCTTGACGATCACGGGCACCTCCGGGAGGCGGCCCTTGCCGAGCACCTTGAAGTAGCCGGCCTTGGTCACGTCAATGACGGGGGCCTTGCCGTCCTTGGCCTTCTCGGCCTGCTCCTTGGTCTTCTCCGAGACGAGCGTCCACAGGCGCTCCACGTTCACCGTGGGGCAGTGCGTGCGGTTGCGCAGCAGGTGGAAGTGGCGCATACCGACCTTACCGAAGTAACCCGGGTGGAACTTGTCCATCAGGATGCGGTGGTGGTGCTGGCCACCGGCGTTACCGCGACCACCCGGGTGCTTGCGGTGCTTGCCGATACGGCCGTGGCCGGCGCTGACGTGTCCGCGTTTCTTGCGGTTCTTGGAAAAACGGGACGGCTACGCAGGCACAAGCACACATAACACACGGCCTGTCATTTCCCTCGCTCACACGGCAACATGTTGCAGCAGTGGAATTCTCTAAACACTGGCAATGGGCTCTCAGGTTTAGAGAGAGATAGAGAGGCGAGTCCTGCGTCGACGGTGCGTTTCCTGTATATATTTTGCCAGTTGCTGTTGCCTGTATACGCGACCACTGCGTGTGTCCCGTATGTGTCCCTCTCTCTCTCTCTCTCTCTCTCTCTCTCTCTTCATCTCTCTGTTGCCTGTTGCTTGTTGCCAGTGTTTATCCATTCCCGTTTGCGCGAAAAGCACAGGGCCTTACCATATTGACTTGGTGATAAGCGAATGCGAATGGGAAGCTCAAAGCGCCCAAGGGCTCGGTCGACCGCGCCGAATGGTTGGCTCGTTGGCTCCCAGCCGAGGACATACAAAGTCCGAGTCAAACCCGCCCGCATACAAACTCAAGTCAAAAGGCGAAAAGTGGCCGTCCGACGGTCCCGATTGTAACCGTTGACCGGTTCGGGGTAGGGGTAATCACGAAATGGCTGCACTTGTGCGCACGAATCGTCGCGGACATGGAGCACCAAGCTGAAGCTACCGCGATGGAGGATGCTGGATCAACTGCGCAGTCTACGGACATGCAAACCATTGCGTGTGATGAAGCGGCTCTCACTAATTCCAACGATGTGTCTGCTGTCGCTGAAGACACCCCCAGTGAGGAGTTATGGGTCCGCAAATGGGACGACGCCAGCAACGCGCTCTACTACTTCAACTTGCGCACGCAGGAGAGCTCGTGGGAGCAGCCTCAGGCCTACAAGGCCGTCTTTATGTCGGAGCCAATGGAAATGGACACGGAGAGGGCTGTCGAGGCTGTGGAGCCGGCTCTTGACCAACAAGACGAGCAACTGAGACTGCAACAGGAGCTAGAGCAGGAGCAGCAGGGCAACGCGTCTATAGCGATCCAGAGTTTGTATCGCGGCCGGAAGGACCGCAAGCGCGTGAAGGAGGCAAGAAAGTGGACGGAGCAGTTCGACCCAGCGACAGCGCAGAAGTATTACTACAACAGCGAGACGGGCGAGTGGCTGTGGGAGAAACCTGTCGACTTTTTAACGGGCGTCAGGGACGAACGAAGCGCGCGAGCGGTGAAGATCCAGAGTGTTTATCGAGCCAAGAAGGCGCGGGATCGAGTCAAACAACTTGCAGATGAAGAGGAAGAGGAGGAAGAACTGATGGAGCAACAGGTGCAGGATGAGGCGCAGGCTGCTGCCGAAGCGGAACTGGCGGCGGCTGTTGCGGACGAGGCGAGCAATCGAGCACTTTGGTGCGAGTATTTCGACCCTCGGTCCCGCAAGTATTACTATCGTCACGTGGTCTCGAATGATATAACCTGGGATAAACCGGAGAAGTACGTGTCTTCTTCAACGGAAGGCAGCAAGCGCGACCTTGCAGCGCTGTCGATTCAGTGCGCAGCGAGGAAGCGCATTGCAACACACGACGTCAAGGCAAAGAGAGAAAAGCTGCGTACGCTCACTGACCCTGCTGCCATGCAACTCAAACTTGGAGAGCTCAAGCAGGTATCGGTGGAGATCCAGGCAGAGATCGACACTCGCGCTCTCGCGTCGGCAGAGGAAGAGCAGCAGTTCCCTCACTTGCTCAATTTACTCACAGGGTGGCGAGAATCGCTTGAGAGCATCAAGAACCACATCGCGTCGCTGGAGAACCAAGGCGAGGACATCTCACTGGCAGAATGCCTGGCATCTCGTGTTGCACTCGCAGAGCGTTTCCACAAAGCTCTGGCTGAGATGAGAAGCGAGTGTCTAACCGTCCTCAGAAGCATCCTGTTGATGAACAGCTACTTCATGGACCTTGACGTCTCTCGGATCAATGCAGCCTGTACGAGTTTTGCCAAGTGGAAACAGCACGAAGTCTGCGCACTCAGAGATTCGCGTCTGGTGGAGATCATCCAGGGCAGCGACATCAGCCAGATTCTCGACAAAGCGGAAGCTCTGCTTCGACGCGCGATGGGACTCACAGACTTCAACAACGGATCGACTTCTGCAGATGGCAAACGCTACGAGGACTGGCATCCGTCCGTAGCTGCTGCACTCGCTGGAGTTCGCGAGATGGAGGAGCGTCTAACGCAGAAGACGCAACTACTCCGTGGCTATCGATCTGCCGAAGCCAGGAAACGGGAGATCTCTCACATGGCCGAGGAGGACTTGTTAGCTTCGCGACTAGCTCAACTACGGCGTCGGCGGTTGAATGAGGAGGTGGACCATGCGACGTTCCTTGTCAAGTGCCAGGAGTACTGGAAGAAGGGCTTGAACCAGCGAGAAGACGACTTACACGCTGCTGTAGCCCTTGAAAGCTCTAAGAAGAAAAGACGGTCAAAGAACCAAGAAATACCGCATCATGAGCCGACGGGCGACTCAGACAACCAAGACAACAAGTCCAAGCTGTCGATATGGGAAGCGACTAAGGAAGGTCTCTCGGTTGACGTCGTTCGGACGATGGTGTTCGCAGAGATGCAAAAAGCTCGTCGCCTTGGCTACGATTTCCTGGTGAAATCCGCTCGCTCGGACCACGGAGAGACGCTTATCCAGATCGCGTGTTGGTGGGGCCACGCGGTACGCAACACATCGATGTCTGAAGGTGAGCAAAGTGAGTATCTAAAGGTTTTGGCTTGTGACTTAGCATTTGGTCAGGTTTTTCCTCGAGGAAGGCGCTCAAATCGACGGAATTGACAGTACTTGCAACCACCTCTCGCTCTTGCACGACGCAGCTCGACGAGGACACGCGCATGTAGTACGTAGCGTGACGTGTTACAGTAGATACCGGTTCTGATGGCGAATTGTGCTGCTAGATTCGCATTCTTCTCGAGCACGGGCTTCCATGCAACGTGACAGATAGCACCGGTGATACGCCATTCCACTGGTACGTACGTCCATCTCAAAAGTCCGCTTGTACTTGAACTCATGGCGTTCGCGTGTGGAAATTTTCAGGGCTGCGCGTAGGAACAATTATAGTGCCATGCTCACGCTTTTAGGTGTGTACTCTTCCGACCGAGACAAGAGTGCTACCGATGTCATCGTCAAGGCTGTGCGGCAAAAGAACTTCCGTGGCAAGACAGCATCTACTCTTGCCAAAGGGGATCGAGTACACACTGCTCTTAAGTCAGCAGAGGAAGGCCGACTACCGCCACTACGTCTACCTCGTACTGGCGACAGGAAGTCGACACCTACAGGGTTCCCACGACGCATGACGGAAATTGGTCATCGAGACGGAGCTCGAGGGATGAATCCCAAGAAGGGAAAGACGATGACAATGCTGGGCAAGACAACAAAACACAGCTCTGTCCTAGACATCGACGAGCTGGTGTCGCTGTAACGTACTGCAATGAATGCTATTTTGATGTTTTCGTCAGTGCATTCTTCTGCTTGAAAAGAATAGTTTTGAAGTGCTGGAGTTGTACTCATCGCCTATCGTAGCACCTCAGGCCAAGGTCGATTATCACCAACGTCATAGTGCTTTTTGCTCGCCAGTACCACCATGTTGTCGATATCGCCACCGGAGAAGATGGAGCAGCTCATGTAACAAACGCGACACTTGCCACCATATCGCTAAGAGGTTACCTAAACTGACCATTTCACTACGGACAGCACTGTCTTCTCTCAACGACTGCAGCCACAGGCTCTACAGCGACTGAGCGTAGCTGGTGAGGGTTTTTGCCGCTACTATCCTCGAATTGTAGTCGGAATACTAAACTCATGCTTGTTCGTAGATATTCTACGAGATGCTTCGGCCGCCGCGATCATGCACGAGGAGATCCCATCGTCGGACGCCTTTCACGTTACGAAGCAGCACAAACCAAGCTTCGGGCACCTGTTAAAGTTTTTGCGCTTGAACGAGCCTACGGGCTACGAAAAAGACGAAGAGCACAAACGCGCAGCCGTGCGCTACCTTGCACTGCGAACGATGCTCCAGCAGTGCGGCGAGATTAAGGTTTGAATGCGCTTTACTGCTGCCTGCATTCGTATATTTTGCATGCTAACAAATTGTTGCTACGTAGATATCGAGTATCCAGGAAACTTGCCTGGACAAGGTTCTTCGCTGGTTCGAAGCGACCGAAGCGAGCGCCTTTGTACGTGAAAACTACGATCGTTCAGTAAAGTAAAAGTAGTCAAGCTGATCTTGCTATCGTCACGATAGACGTCGTCGACAGCATCTACACCGATTCTTCCGCCGCGAATGGTAAGCTTGATGCCACCTTTACTCAGTATTTTCATTCTCTAACACCCCGTGCCTTCGCAGTCTCCGAAAAAGGCCAACATAGCCCCCAACCCAGCGCTAGATAAATCTGCCAGCGAGACCAGCTTCCTCCCAGACACAAGTGCCTCGAGCACCACCGTAGCTGCAAAGCTCGATGTACATTTTGTGCTTTTGCCATCTGGGTCATACTTAGTTCTGAGTGTTCACAAGAATTGTATACATGATGCAGCGATACAAAATGCCGGACTTGCGAGCCTCACACATTCGTCGAATAGCCGAGCTGCGTTCGCGCGGTGCGGACGTCTCAGAGACGGTAAGTTATCCCGATACAGCTTCTGAAAGGGAGAAAAAAAATCTTAACACTTCTGTCCTTCCAGAGTATACCGATCGAGCAAAATAACAACTCCCCCGAATCTATCTGTAAACCCGAAGGATCAGAAGAATCGAGACGCCAAGCAGTCCAAGACCGAATGATCGATGCCACATTCAAGCTGTATCGCCCCGAGACGGACGCAGAGGTTCGAACACGCCGTCACGTTCGCATTATTACCAGTTTATCTAACATTTTCTTGATGGCGGTTAGCGCGAGATGAATCTATTGTGGATTAAACGGCGGCAAGAAGATGAACTCACGCGCAGGAAGGACGAGGACGTGCAACAGCGAGTCCAGAAGTGGTCGATGGACCGCAGTCGCGACGAATCGGAGAATCTCAGGAAGCGGGAGTCGACGAAGCTAGTGGCAGGGCTCAACCAGATCTTGCAGGAGGGTGTCGATCAGGACAAACCCTTCGCCTGGCGGAGCTCTAGGACTCTTCACCCGGATCTGGCTGGGGTAGCACCTCCATCCAATCAGTCCTCCTCCGCTCCTACAAAGGCTGGTGTTGCGACGAAAGATGCGAAGGAGATGGTGCAGCAAGATAGCGTTGTCACCCGAAAACAGCCCATACAAACTCTTTCAAGTGGCAAACAACCCGGCCAGATCGTCATCAAGAGCCGAAGACCTTCGATGACATCTGGCGGCGGCATGCACTTCCGAAACCAACTACCTCCGAACTACGTCCCTCCTGGATTACAAGCAGCATCGTCCGTACCAAAGAATAAGCGCGACACAGCGTCTGCCCCGCTGAATTCAAGGCCGGTTCCAAACGGTTCAAGCTCACGCAGCAGCTTAGAGCGACGAGCTTCCAGGGTATCTGACGACCCATCCAGCGCAAGCGAAGGGGAAGAGGAGGACTCAGCGATGGAGGACAAGGTAATGAGGAGGCAGAACATCTTCACGAGCGAACCTCGCCAGCAGATGAAGCTTCAAAGCTACCATGTGCCGTACTATTACTCCGACGGCGATGCCATGGCAGGTAACTCCAAGCCACAAAAGGTATGGTGCTAACGATTTCTACAAAATCCCGATCCAATGGAGTAGTAACCCCTCTCGACAATATTGCAATAGGCGAATCCGCGGGGCACAATACCAGCGCAGTCATTGCCAGCGGACCCCGAGCTCCGCTGTCTCCAAGAAGCAACTGCGATGCGTCGAGTCTTCGCCCTCCCTATCGACAAAGTCCTGCAGAAGCCAGCCCCTCCCCCAGTGACCATCCGAGAAGCGGAGCGCGAGGTCTCGTCGTCGCGGAAGTCGGGTCGGTCAGAGACCGGCAAGCCGCGGCGTGGGTCCAAATCTGCTAAAGGGAAGCGAACGCCAACCAGCGTTCGCAGTGGCGCCGCCCTCCCGCGCACAGTTCCAGTGTACACGCTGTCGGAGCCTCCAGTCACCGCCTCCACCAGCGACCTCCGCCACTCGCAGATGGAGGAGCTGGAGAAGATCCGTCGGCTCTTCGAAGAGAACCACCTGTCGCTCTCAACGCAAGCCCTTGAGCGCGGTCTGCTGGTACCGGAAGATCGCCCGCTGCTTGAAAGTATCAACAACCTGCCCTTCGCCGGCTCGCGTCTGCTCATCAACCCGCTCACGCGCCGCGCAAAGACCGCGAAGCCCAAGAAGAAAGCCGGCGCCAAGAAAAAGAAGAGCAAGAAAGGCAAGAAGAGCGCCAAAGGCGCCAAAGCCCCCAAGAGCGCTCGTCGCGCGTCGCCCAACAAGAAGTGACACAAAACTTCAATCAAAAACTGAAGTAAATGTAGCCATCTGACTTTGACATGTCGATCACCGAAAACTATCAGCAACTTACCGGTAACGTATCTATCTAACACGTTATTGCTTACCCGGGCCGGTTGGACGCGGGGGAAGACGCAGTTCGTGAAGGGGCCAAGTGCCATTTTGCGTGCTACCACACAGTTGTGGTCTACTCAGCTTTTGAAGAACTGCAAGAAAAAAATATGTGTAAGGTAATGTGCCAGTTGCGTGCCTACAAGCAGTTGCGTACCTACTTGTTTTAGCCTTGTTAAACTCTCGCAGTCTATTGGTAGATTTTTCCAGCGTCACATGCAATTTCCGGTGATGACCCTCCTAGGATTTGCATAGCATACAAAAGCGCTATCAAAAAGAGGCAGGAAACAGGCAGCTCACTCCAAATAAACAAGCTTTCAAAACTATAACAAGAAGTTCTGCAAAGTTGAAGTACATAAATTCAGCCTAAACGCGCAAATACAGCGGGTGCAATCAGATTTTAGAATGGACAATTCAAAAAAAGTTATGCCACAGCAAGTCAAGGACGGCACGACGCAGCCTGCACAGGATTAATTTGGTGTCGCATGAAGCCGTGCGTGTAACGCATGCGTTTAAGTATCCATCATATATTGAAATATTATGAAAGTAAACTTAATAGGTAATCTGAATAATTACCTAGTCGGTCTCTATCAATGAAGAAGCATCAATCGCATCATCAAGTTTCATTCGAATCATTTCCAGTTCTCACGCCTGAAGACGCAGCAACATCAGGGTGAATTTACAGCACGAAGGTAAGAATAGTCGTCTGCTTGGGAGGGCGTTGCTGCAGCTTATAACTTGCTTGTATTTGGTTATTAAAACAGCGCGGAGGCAAGAAAGCAAATTGATATTATCGTAAGTGTGTTATTGTACTTAAAGGGCTGATTATCTGGTAGATGTGGATGCTCATAATATAAAAGCACAGCGCGGGCGACTGGTGCGCCGCAAGTGCGGCGCGCCTAAGTTGTGTGCGCTGTGCGTTTATCTGTTTTGTTTATTTTTGCTATCTCAGCCCCCGCGAAGCCCTAGTAACAATTCGTATCTGAACCCGGCCCACGAAAGCGAAGAAAAAGGAGCAGGACTTGGAGTTGCGGCAGCAGCTAGATAGAGAGGTCGTGGCGGGCGTTTGCTGACCATCCTATGTCGCTCATGTCATCACCCTGCTCACAAACTGCCAAGCTGGTGCACGACCACAGAAACTATCACATGATAGAGCAAAGCTCTGTAGTCAGCAATACACTTACGAGTTTACTACGCATCCAATGCACGCAACGACACGAGGCTGTATGAACAGCAACCGACGATATGCAACTGCAGCTCTAATGCAAGACCAATAGAGCACAAACTTGGATTTCAATGCACCACGCCACGATGTACTCGTCAACTTGCCCTCCAATTATTCTAAAAAGATACCACAACAAACCTACGCGCATGTTGTTAGTTTTGCACGTACCGTAGCGTATCCTAGGTTACAGCCTACTACTGACACACCTACCACAGCCGTGTCAAGCGATACTGCTTCAACACGCTTAAATATATATACGAAGCATTGAATTTCATACAACAGCATTTTAGATTCATCATGGTTTTGCTCCAGAACAAACGAACAAGCACTGTTATGATTGCAGCACTTACCGCCCCTGCGGCAGATTCTTGAATGCAGGGACAGTAACTCGACTTCCGCTTAATTGCATAGCGCAAAATGTATCGTTTTGGCCCTTTCCAAAAAATAGTGCCAAATTCGGCCGCTTGATTGGCTGGATATGGTTGAACCTTGCTGGTTGTGGAGCCCTCCTTACTCTCTTCAAAACCGGTAGTGTACCGGTGGATTTACCGGTTTGTGACATCGACCCTCAGCCATCGACAAACGACAGTTTAATCTTTACCCCCCATTTCGTCTACCCGTAGGTTTCAAATCCTATCGGTAGGATGACTTTAAAATTAGATTCTGAGCGATTGAGAGCTCCAAATTTGGCACAGAGCTTGCCAAAGCGCCCAAGGTGCCCTAACTTAGTTTTCATAGAGAAACTCGCACTCCAACATGACCGGATTTCGTGCAGGAGGCCGGGTTCGCCGTAAAACGAAGCGTCTGTGGGGAAAGGTCGGCGTCATCCAAGTTGTTCGCACGGGATCTCGCCAGCGCAAGTACGACGTGCTCTGGGCGAATGGTGTCGTTGAAACAGTAGCCGGAAGAGCTATCGAGCTTGATCTAAGCTCGAATACAAGCGTACCGACTGAAAACCAACCCCCCGCCAGTGCTGATGCCGGCTTCTCTACGTTCACTGAGCTGCTGAGTTCTTCCCAACTGGCGTATGGCGGGGACCTCGACTCGTCGTCATCCTCCGAGAGTGAAGAAGACATGGGGGAAGACAGTGTCTCAGAGGAAAATGAAGAAGATGACGCAGTTCTCGTCAACTCTCGCGAGTGGAAGCCGTGCGCCTCGGTACTATTTGATCAAGGCTCTCATGTTCGACCTCGCAGTACCCAATTCTCGCTGGGTGTTCTTTCTGAAGGTACATTTGCAGACTACTTCTATATGATGTATCCGATGCAAACAATAAAAGACACCATAGCATGCACGAATGCTAACTTGTCTCGACAGCAGCATCGCACCATCAAGGAGGGCGATTGGTTTGCTTGGATTTGTCTTCGTCGTGCCATGGCGTTAGAGCCCCGCTTGGGCCCACTCAAGACCTATTGGGACACTGGTGGCAGGGAAAAATTCATTGACACACCGGCCAATTTCGGACAGCGATTTGGCATGACCCGCCACTGCTTCGAAGAAATACTGTCTTGTATGGCATTTTCAAGTGGGTCCAATGGTAATGACCCATGGAATCCAACCCGTCCTTTTATTGATGGCTTCAATTCACGCCGTGGCCGGGTGGTATCCCCCGGCAACATACTTTGTGTGGACGAGTGCATGAGCGCTTGGAAAGGGCGAGAAGCCAAATACTCTCACGACGGGCTGCCTCACAAATTAAAATTGCCCGAAAACCTGAAGGCAAGGGAACAGAGCTGAAGTCGATTGCTGATGGAGAAAGTGGGGTATTGCTCGGACTGGAATTGGTTGAAGGTGCTGCACGCCAACGTGAAAAACAATATGCACGGGAGTATGGTGAAGGTACCGCTGTGGTACTGCGGTTGGCTGAGCCATACCGAGGTAGTACAGGACGAACTGTAGTTGCAGACAGCGCGTTTGCATCGGTCAAAACGCTGGTTCAGTTGGAAAAAGGGTTGGGACTGTATTTTATGGGGATGGTAAAAACCGCAACTGTGGAATATCCTAAAAAACATTTGAACAACTGGTTCGATTTCACACCCAGCCGTGGTTCGTTCACTATGCTGACGAGTAAAACGGAAGATTTTTAAACAGGTCTTATGCAGGTCTGGTCTTTTTTGGTCCGTAGGACCAAAACAGGACCGAAATAAAATCAGCCTCCAAATGGGACCTAAACAAGACCCTACAGAAAACAAGGTTTTAGAAAAACTCTACAATTAAATATTCAAACGGAAAAGAAATGCATTTTGTATTAAAGGGGATATTGCAAATGAAAAACCATACTGGACAAAAACTTCAACCCTGCTGTCAGGTTAACTGTCAGTCATGCTAATCCGGCTTGTACTCTAGCTGCCCGGGCCGTCCGACTTGATGAACACCCCTGCCCCCGCGAGTTAATAACTCAGCCAAACGATAGAGTACACACTCGGTGGATCCGTCAGCACCAATAGTACCAACACTGTCATACAGGCGACTCACGAGGTCGCAACGCAATCACCATGGGCCCAACCAGCGCACCCAACGCAAGCAAAGCGTCCAAACGGTACCAACTCTCGGACCAGCAAGCTTCACAGGATATCATTCAGTCTAATCAGGCCGAACGTCAGCGAGCCAACAGCAACCAAAGCATATGAGAAGAAGTCCACGCCGATCTTCGGCCCACCAGCTACCGCTATACTTAAGTATGTACTAAGGCTAGACCAATTGTAGTTTTCCTTAAATTGCGGTCTTAGGGACAATCGAGAAGTTCATTTTGCGTACGTGGGATGTGGAGGGCGAGCTGCGAGCTAGCGCCCTGCTGGATGTCGATCACTGGATCACTATCTAGCTTCCTGCAGAGGCAAAGTACAAGCAAGTACTTCAAGTACCAAGTACCAAGGATCAGCGGTACATGCATACAAGACTACATGGACGAAGATAGCAGTAGATTCAGGCACGAGGACGTCTGAGCAACCCAGTTAGTTAAAGCTCATTAAGAAAGTCTAGCAATAGCGTACAGTCCGAGCAGCGTCGACGGTCCAGGGATCGACACCAGCAAGACACTCGCTCGCAAATTCAGACATTTGGGTTTCATATTATAATCTCCAGCTCTACTTCAATAGTGGCTGCCCTCTATAATCTATCACGATATTTTATATCAGGGTGAAGGGGGTCTAAAAATGGCTTGTTTCGTAGTGATATCATTTGGGTCTCGCCATCCAAACGGGACCGCTAGCGAAATCATACTGATTTTCTGTTCGGTCTCGTTTAGATGCCGTAGGACCAAAACAGGACCAGACCTGCATAAGACCTGTTTAAAACCTTACCAGTAAAACCGATCTGGGAAAGGAAATGTACGCAATGTGTTGGGCTGATCGAAAGCCCAAGACAATCATTTCTAACCGCGGCACAACTTTGCCTGGAAGCGACTCCGTACGCCCACGACATCGCCTAATAGAACGAGAAGGGATTGTTGAGACTCTTCGCTACGAAAAGCGGGTCAAGCGCCCTCAGATGATGGCATTGTTCTTCTCGAAGTTCTCAACAATCGACGTTGACGACCACTACCGTCAAGGCAGCCTTGCGCTCGAGCGACAATGGCTTACGCGCAATTGGACTCACCGATTCTTCAGTACACTGCTTGGTATGATTGTAGTTGATGCCTTTCTAGCCTACCGCTACGATATGCGCGACGAGGATCCGGGTAATTTCCACGACTTCGTTTCGCAGCTAGCGTACCAACTGATATTCAACAGCCACCCGACAAACAGAACTCGACGAAGCGGAGGAAGTGGTGTGGAGTACAACAACGAGCTTTCTCACAAAATCAAAGCTCTAATTGACTTACCCCAGTATGCTCGAGCGCGGTCCGAAGGTAAGAGGGCCCAACGTTTGTGCAAAGTTTGCAACAAGAAGGCTTCGTACTACTGTGAAAGCTGCTCTGACGTCGAACGAGGCGCATTCTTCAGCATTAGCGGCGCTGGAGCGACCAGGAACTGCCTCAGCGCGCACCTGACGGCAACACTAGGATGAACTATCCATGCACACCATATGATTTTCCCATACAAACTCTTATATAAATCTATCTAGCTCCATAATACCGGTAGGATTTGGGCAGTCTACGGGTAGGATTTTCACCGGGATAAAGATTAAAAAGTGCGAATTTTTACCGGTATTTCTTATGACGGGCTTCTATTCGGGAAGGGACTTATATTCGGGCGAGTACGTTAGTTTTTAGTTCGCCCCCAAGATTCGTATCAATATGGATGTCGAAGCCGAGAACGCCCGCTTGAGGGAGGCGCTGCGCGCGCTGCAGGAGCGCTACGATCACCTCGATGCGTCCACCACCAAGCAGATCCAAGACTTGACGGACGAGAACGAGCTGCTGGCCGAAGCCAACCGCCTGCTGCTCGAGAAGCAGGAGCAAAGCCCCGCGACCGCGACCGCCGACCCTATAAGTCTGCTCCAAGTGCCCGACGAGCTGCTGCTGCCCGGCCCAGAGCTGGCAATCCGCCCGCTAGCGGCTCTAGACAACGTGCACGCGTTCGGCAACTTGCTGAGCGTCAGCGCGCACGCCACGAGGCCCGAGATCGTCATCAGCGGAGGCGCGGACAAGTGCATCTGCGTGCACGACTGGAAGACGGGCAGGAAGCTCTGCGCTGTGGCCACCAGCGCGCCCGTGCTGGAGCTGGCCTTTAACCCAAGGAGGGACTACGCCGACTGCTTTGTGGGGGCGGGCATGGACGCGAAGCACGCGCTGTACAGGCTCGTGGAGGACGGGGACGAGTGGCGAGTGGACACTCTCTGCGAGTTCAGCGACCACACGAGGCAAGGAGCCTTCAAGGTGGCGTGGAGCGCGTCGGGGCTGCTCTTCGCCACGGGGTCGAGCGACAAGTCGCTCAATATCTACCAGTGCTCGCAGCTGGAGGACGGAGCGAACGTGCAGTGTGAGAAGATCAAGTCCTTCTACTTCAACGGGACGGTCGAGGCAATTGTGTTCGCCCCAGAGTCGAGTCAGGAGGAGAGGGATCGTGAGTTGTTGGTGATCGCGGTCCGAGACGACTGCTACGTCCATTATGTCGACTGCTCCACGTTCGAGAAGGAGAGGTACGAAGTTGAGGGGGAGAGTGAGGTGGCAAGGGCTGGTGTGGATTAACCATGTTGATCGTTGTTATTGTTTTGCTACTGCAGAGTCAACATGAACCCGGACGGCATCGAGCACGTTTCGTACACGATCATGGACCTGAGTCTGTCTCCGAGTGGTAAATACCTGCTGGCGGCCACGGACTCCAACCGAAACTTCATCTTTTCTGTAAGCTGCTGGTGTTTGAAGTTTAATTCCCTGCGATGAACTAACGCGCTCCAATAACTTGTGGCATAGATTAAACGGAACGTGGCGCTGAGGAATTTTTACGGACACAAGGCTGGCCCGTACAGCCAGCCGCGTGCTGCCTGGCACCCGTCAGAGAAGTACGTCATCTCCAACAACGAAGACAGTGGCGCCATCTTTGTGTGGTCCGTCGCGTCGGAGCGAGTTGCCGAGACACTTGATGCTCACGAGGCGCTAGTCCGAGACCTGGTCTGTCCGGCCACCACGGTATCCTCTTCCGGCTCACCAATGCTGGTTACCGTGTCCTACGACAAGCGCATGAAGGTGTGGGAGTCGCCGCTCGCAAAATCAGGCGCCGAAGTGTTGTAAGTACGGACTGTAGAATGAGTTTCTGCTTGTTATGAGGTGTTAATCTGCGCGAATACCTCCTTAAGATCTCGGATCTCCTGCAAAGTGGCCATCGTCGTGGCTTCCCACTGGTCCAGTTTGGCTTGAATGATGCTGACCATGCTCTCTTTCCCTTGAAGCTCCTGCTTGAGAGTCTCAGCGTCGACGCGTTGCTCCAGTGGAGATTGAATTCGTTGTCGAGCTGCCTCTTGCCCCGGAATCTTCTTGCGATTGCTGGCAATGCTTCCCGCTAGAGGTCGTGAACCAGTCCCGGAGGCTGTCCTAGGTGGACTTCCTGAGTCCCCACCGCCGCTCTCGCCTTGAAGATTGGACTGTGAAGAGGAGTTGTCAAGGCGCGGTCGTGAAGGCTTCGCGCGTCCATAGTCCACCTCAGGTTCTGCTCACGACAATGTTGTAAGAGCGACAGGTTCAAGTATTCCACGGAGTTATGCGGCACTCACCTTTCTTGTTTCGAGGTGCAGCTCCGTCGGCGACCTTCTTGGCGACGCTGTCAGCTGTGCAGCTCTTGTTGTGGATCGCAAGTCGGCCTTCAGCAAACGTCCTCCCACAAAACTCGCACGTCTCCATGCCATGGACGTTGTAAGCTTCTTGAGCGGCTTGGTTGAGAGCCTCGATCTCTTGACGAGTCATCCCACCACCGCCTTCACCGATTCCAGGCGGGGTCTTCGGGATCGGACGGCGCTCATTCTTCGGTTTGAGCTCTTCCTGAAAATGAACGACACCCTAGTGAGAAGTCGTACACATTACATGTACTTCTTCTCTAGAAGCTCATACCGTCTGGACCCAGAGTTTCTTGCACTGCTTTAGATGTATCTCGAACGAAGACAAACCGTACTGGCGTCCACAAACATGGCACAAACGGGTGACAGGCCCAGCCTTCAAACCTGCACAGGAGAAGAGTCGTGGTGAGCTTTAAGGGCAAGTTGTCAATGCAAAGGGCACTGTGTGCTTCCTACCTGTTGCCATAGCCGCGAAGAAGAAGAATAAAAGTGATGCGGCGGTTGAAAACTACATTTAATATTAGGCCGTTTCTTGTTGGTTAATTGTCCGTTGCACGCATACCATTCCCTCCTAAATGAGTGGGTAATCCCATACATCCCCATCGTCTTCATCACTGCCGTCAGCGGCGGCTTTCTTGTTGTTCGAGCGCTCAACAAGGTCTTTGTGGCGACTGCCCACCTCGAAACACCACAGCAGTCGCTTTAGCGGAGCGTATTGCTCCATCACCGCGTAGTGGCGCAAAGTTGACAACCCAGTCGCTTCCTTTTCGTCGGAGAATTTTGTAGCGTTTTCCACGATACTTTCTTCATGAAGTTGGCGAAGCTCGCTCTCGCTAAACCTCTCGAGCTTGTTCACAAAGTTTGTTCGCTGTGGCTCGGTGAGCGCTGGGAAACCGGCAAACCGCTTAGCGTCCTGTAGCAGGAAGCGAGATCGTGAGTTTTTGCGTTCTACTTTTTTCGAGTACTGGCAACGTATATCGCACCTTCTGCACCGCGTTGAGTAGTGCATTAACCGCTAGGAGCTCCTTGGCCCTGTTCACGTATTTTTCATACTTCGAGGCTGGGTTTAAGATAACTTCCGTGATTTTGTGGTTCAGCGCCAAACTTTTCACGAGACTTCGGTATCCAAGCGATCGAATGTCTGGGTTATCGGTGATACTGGGAGGAATACAATGCAGTCAAGAGTTAGGGATATTTTTTTCATCATTTGTGACGGGGTTGAACGTACTTGAGCGTTCGAAGGGTGCTGTTGAATTTCCTCAGCACCGTTGCAATCTCGCTCATACCTTCGCAGCTGATCTGACACTCTGTCAGACTGCACAGATTAAGATCGATAAGATAAAAACATGGAAACCAGCAAAACATATTTCCAAGACGTACTCGAGTGTCAACAGAGTTGCGTTCTTCCTGAGAGCAGTCGACATGTCCACAGCTCCAGCATCTCCCAGCGGGTTATGCGCAAGTGTCAATGACACAATCGTGCAGTTCACCTTTAGCATTTCTGCAATGTGCACGGAGCACAGGTAGTCCAAATAGTTGCCCGCCAAGCTAAACAAGAGAAAGATGAGTTGAATATATCGTAATCAATGTGTACTGTAGAGCCACCGAGCAAACCTGAGTTCACGGAGTGTTTTTACTCGCCACAGCGCGTTACACAGTGATTCCAATCCAGAGAGACGCTTTTCGTCCGTGCTGTTGTGCACCAATCGGTTCCGACTGAGATCGAGCTTTTCCAGCAGCGGAAAGTCATGAATTACGTTGGCAAACGCCACTAACCCGTCCGATCGCAGGTTTGCAGCGCCAAAACTGCACAAAATATAAGACACATCTATCAGTAAGCACAATACCAGCGCAAGCGAATTCATAAGATCCGTCTTACTTGAGCTCCGTAAGCTGCCGACAGCTCTTCAGATACTCAAATATGGTCGTGGTGCCATGGAAAACATTCGCTTTCGGCCCGGTCAGTGAATTCCCCGACAAATCCACTTTGTGGATTTTCTTGTGCTCTCGCTCAATGAGAACGCCGATCGCTGCGGCGTCCAGGTGATTAAAGCCATGTCCGGAGAGATCCACGCTCCCTTTATCTGCAGCCTGAGCTCGAATGCTCTCAACTGGGATGGGGGAGTCCGAGAACTGCAGCGTTTGCAGCGTGCTATTCGTCGCCTTTGCAATGTCGATAGCTGCTTGAACGCCCAGCGACGTGCGCGACAGGTTAAGCGCCACCAACCTGCACGTCTTGGAGCGCAGGTACGGCACCAAGAGCTCCACGAACTCGTCGAAGATGAGGAACCCGGAGAGGTCGAGCACCGTCTTCCCACCGCTTGCAATGTCTCGCACGCGCTGCACGATGACGTCTCCCTGCGAGCTCTTGAAGTTGCCCTTGCGGTGCAGCACCTTGACCTCGAACAGCAGCCGCTGGTACGCGTCCGTGATGGAGCGGCGCGTCTCCTCTTCCAGCAGCACGTCCAGGTCGGGAGGCACATCGCTCGGCTTCTCCCGACGCAGCCCTTCCGCCGCTCGAGGGTCCACCGACTCAAAGTGCCGCAGCAACTCGCACCCAGCCGTGCCCCGCACCTTCACCTTCGCTCGAGCCTCCATCGTAAGCAGCTCACTGATAATGCTATAATTGGCTGACCACTTCAACACGTACACCAGCTCTACACATACATTTACCATACAATGTATACCATACTGAAATCCAGTGCTCAAAATGGCTACATTTCAGCGGATCCCTTGATCTTGAAGCGACACATGATGGGGGCTCTGCTGCTGTATCTGCACCTCTGCCTGCTCCCGCTACTGCTGCTCTTCTCCTCCCCAGTGCACGCAATTGAAGCGACCCCCCAAGCTGCCGATGCCGACGCCGTGGTCAAAGCCGACACCTCCATAGCCATTCGGCTGGACGCCAACCTGTACATCCCGGACGGCGGGGAGCTGCTCATGAGCATCCAAGTGCCCCACGAGCCCATCCAGATCGTGCCCAAGGGCCCCGCGAAGGTCGCTCGAGTGTACTCCGACCACGCAGACGGCAAGTTCGGCGTCGGGGAGGTGATCAACATCTTCGTGCAGTTCACGAGCCCCGTCAAGCTTTCGGGCCCCGGGACCCCTTACCTCGTGCTGAGGACGGGGTGCCACTCGACCTCGTGCCATGTCAAGGAGATCCAGCGACTGCGCTGCATGGCAACAAAAGGGAAATTCTCCGTGGGCTTCGGGACCCAAAATGTGGGCAACATCCCGTGGGATGCCACGGCCAAAGTGTTCGCCGCCTATTTGCGAAGAATGAACCGCATCGACAAAGTGAGCGTCAAGTACAGCATCGACGAGGACCGCGCGTGCACGTTCTTCGGCAACAATATCACCATTACATTCGACTCGATGAATATTGCAGGAACGGACGGAGATCTAGTGGAGTTGACGGGGGACGCCACCAATGCGGCGGGCGACGGCGTCGTGCTCGAACACTTCATGTACTCGCCCCTCGTGACGCCCACGGCCTGGGAGATCCGCAAGGGCGTGCTCGTACCCGATCGTAAGGCGAATTTTGTATCGCAGACTGCCCCCGGCACGCTTAAATTTGAGTACACGGTGCAGACTGGGGACAACACGACGCGACTGGACTACGCCAACAGTGACTCATTAGCGCTGTCGCTTCGGACGTTCGGTGGTGTACGGATTGTCAACGATGATGGTACAAATACCCAGACAAATACAATTTTGCCTCCGCCAGGTTTTGGCGGCGACTGGGAGCGAGGGATTGGTACGAGTTTGTCGAATAACAGCGCGCTGCAGATTGACGTGACTCCTCCGTACGTGAAGACCGTGACTTCACCACATGAAGACGGGACGTTTGGTATTGGCGAAGAAATTTTAGTGCATGTCCATTTCTCGCAGCCGATTGTGGTCACTGGATTGCCGACAGTTGTGCTGGAGACTGGAGCAGTGGATCGTATTATTCCGTTTAATCAAGTCGTGATGCCGGCTGGAAAAATTGCCGAGTTCAAGTACATCGTGCAGTCGATGGATACAACCCCCGATCTCACGTACACCGGCACTACCGCGTTGCAGCTCAACGGTGGATCGATCAAAAGACAGTCGACGACACCGACTACGAACGCCGTGTTGACCCTCCCCGCCAACGGAGAGACTGGGAGCTTGTCCGTCAACAAAAATATGGTGATCGATACGTCGAATCCGAAGATTTTAAGTGTAACTACAACAGCGAAGGGCGGGACGTACACTGCAGGAGATTCGATCCCAATCATCGTCACGTTTGACACGCCCGTGGAGGTGACAGGGACCCCGGTACTGCTACTGAGTACCGGAAGTGTGGATCTATTCCCCGGACAGTATCTCCTGGAAGCACCAACCCTTACATCCAACTACACAGTCGTCTTCCCGTCGTTCAAACTGGGTCTCTCGACAGCGCCAAGCAAGGGATTGCAGTTTAAAATTGGTGGCCAGATCTTGACTGTGGACTCGGTGTCGGGTGATGAAGTGACGATGGTGGAAAAGTACACTGGTACAGTGGTCGACCCCGGGAATCTGGTGAACAGGGCGAATATCCCGATCTTCACGCCTGGATATCGACCTGCTAGGTACACGAGTGGGAGCAGGACAAAGGTGCTCGTCTTCACGTACGTGGTTCAAATCGGAGATGTGTCAGCTCGCCTGGATTACGTCTCAACGTCGGCTCTGCAGGTGGGCACAGGATCGATCAAGCGACTTTCCACGACCTCATTTACGAATGCTGACCTAACGCTTAGTGCGCCTGGAGCTACTGGCAGTCTCGGTAAAGCTTCATCGATAGTTATCAACACGGACGCTCCTCAAGTTCTCCAGGTGAATACGATCACTCGAGACGGAGTGTACAGGGCCGGCGACGATCTATACTTTGAAGTGGTCTTCAGTCTGCCTGTTGTTGTCTCGCCCATAGCTTCAGTGCTGACAAATGTCGCCAGCGCTTCAGTGGAGGGAGTTGCAGTTTATTCCGAAGGAAGTGGCTCAACTTCGCTAAAATTCAGGTTCGATTGCCTCGAGGACGACCAAGTTGCAGTGTTTGACTACGCCAACCCGAAATCCCTGCGAGCATCGTACGGGTCAGTGCTGGGGTGGATTCGAAGGAAATCTGCGTCCCCCATGCTGCCGGCAGTGCTGGATTTACCAGTAGCTGGGCTTTCATCCAAGGGGATCTCTATCAACCAAGGGTGCGAGGCAGTGCAAGACGTGTCAACTTCGCACGAAGAGGGGACGTATGGAGTCGGAGAATCGATCGACCTCTTAGTGATGTACTCTGCCAGCGTGAATGTGGACGTCACTGGGGGAATACCGACGCTCATCACCACTACAGGCAACCGCGCAGTCTACCAGTCTGGAAGTGGAACCAAGACGCTTGTCTTCACTTACATTGTCCAGCAGTCCGACACTTCCGGTCAGGTGGTGTACCCTGATCGATACTCGCTCAAATCCAACGGCGCTGTCATCAAGGGCGTAGCTAGCTCTGCGTTGTCATCGACGCTATTACCTCGTCCTGTGGTGAGCAAACTCAAGACAAAAGACGCGCTATTTGTACAGACCTCCCCTCCTGTCGCGGTGGACGTATCGACACGAGCTCAAGACCAAGTCATCACGGTTGGAGATACCATTGTGCTTTCTGTGACTTTCAACTTCCCGGTCAGTGTTCCTGCTCTGTCAGTTGATGCGGGAGTACCAACATTGATGCTGAACGTCGGGACAGGCAGTGGCGTCCCCGCGTCCTACGTTGCGGTGGAAGACTACGCAGTGTACTTCTCGTACACAGTAGCAGCTGGGCAGTCTGCCAGCAAACTCTCGTATTTCGGCAGAACAGCGTTAAAGTGCTTAGGGGGCAACGGGTTCAACAAAGACTCAGCACAGAACGCGGGGCCTCCGAGCGCCATCGAATTTAAGAATCGATTGGTGTCAACCTGGGCTGAAATGTCTTCGACCACGAATACCCGACAAATTCGCGTGAAGTCCTTGGACGTGACGCAATTTCCTCCGCTTTCGAGCTTTGAGGACGGCGGAGGGGCATCTTCTATCGTCAATTTTGCATCGAATATGGACGCAAGCGCCCCCGAGTTGGTGGTCTTTTCCTCCAAGCTGTATCTGTTTTGGGTCGAAGCCACCGCTGCGACTAACAAGCCGACGCAGATCCGTGTAGCTGTACTGGCCTCCCAGTCCACCCAGAACTCCCCCGCCCAATGGAGCTTCGTCGATGCTCAGCCTGCTGGTAGCTCGGGGATCAATAAAGTATCCACAGCCAGCGCAGCAGGACCCCATGCAGTTGTCCACAGCTCGAAGCTGTACGCGGCATGGCATGAGAGTGCTGCAGCCGTCGCTCAGATTCGAGTCGCGGTGTTTAACGGAGTCGATGCAACACCCACGTGGACATTTGTTGATGGGAATCAGAACGCACGAGGGTTAAATTACGCCGCCGCTCAATCCGCTCAGAACGTGCGTTTGTGCTCCTGCGCTTCCAAGGGCAGCTCTACAAGAGTTCTGTATGCTGCTTGGTCGGAAACAGCCACAACAACCGGTACAACACAGATTCGAGTCGCCGGTCAAACCGGTACAGACGCTCTTCCAACGTGGACATTCATCGATGGTAATGGGGCGACGGGACTCAACGTCGACACCCAAAAAGTAGCCAAGTTACCGTCCATCCAGTGTGTTGGAGGCTCTAACGTTGTCGTCGCCTGGCAGGAGGCCACTGCTACTACCGGGTGGGTGATTTTTGTGAAGTTATTCAATGGAGACTTGACGACGCCGCAGTGGAGTCGACTGGACAGTGGAAATGGATTGAACGTTGACTCCACCCTGGCGGCGCAAAACGTGAAACTTGCCGTCCAGTTGCTTGGGACGACGGAGACGTTATTCGCGACGTGGGATGAAATGGACAGCAGCAACACGGCGACTCAAATCCGCGTCGCGAAGCTTTCAACTGGAACAACCGCTTCCTGGAAGTTCTTGGACAGCAGTAACAAGTTGTCGGCGATAAACGATGATGTAACGCATTCTGCTTCTCGGCCCATTCTCGTGCTAAGACAATCCCAAGACACCGCCTTCGCATTCTGGCAGGAAGTGTATTCGAACGGCAAGACCCACGTGAGAAGCAGCGTGTTGCCTGATTCGGTCAGAGAGTGGCAGCCGATAAACCAAGGTTGCATCCTCCGCAAGTCGACCACCTCGACAACAGCAGCGAACTTGCTACTTCCGGAAATGAACACGCCAGGATCCCTAGAATTTGGCCACTCGATTCAAGTTGAAACGTCGAAACCTGTCGTGGAAAGTGTATCGCTGGCGGGGGATATCTACTCTTCAATTACGTCTGTGAATACCGTACAGACCATCGATGTGTTCAACGCCGCAAGCATCACGCAAGGCGAGTACAAACTCATCTACGGTGACACGATGGAAACGCCGTGCATCAGCTGGAATGCCCCCGCAACTGGTACAAACTCCATGCAGTCTGCTCTCCAGTCCATTGCTGGATTAGCTCTCCAAGTTGCAGTCACGAAGGATTCGGCTGCTTTCCACGACGGATATCGCTACACCATCACGTTCACATTCCCGTCCATGGGGTTGCTGCCTCTCCAGGTCAAAACCGCGCCCGATTCCAAATGCAAGAAGTTCACTTGCAATGCCGCCACTGCCCGACTCCCGTGCAACCTCGGCCTCGTTCAACCGAACCAAAACTCGGACATTCGGACAGCCGCCGGCGTTGTGGATGCCGTCGTACGCTTCTCCTTTCCCGTAGTCGTTCCAACTGGAACCCCAAAACTTAGTATTGACACGGGGAGCACAGTGCGAGACGCCTCGTACACGACACGAAGCGCGTTGCAGGAGTTTGACGTGGGGATCAACATGGCTAGCTCGGTGCTCAGTGGGGGTATCCGTTTGTCGTACGGTGACTTCAGTACCGGTGTCGGCGTGGGGGCGGTCTCCACGACTGACTGCATCCAACTACTGCCGAACGATGACGACGCCGTACAGGAGATGATCTCCAAGTTGGAGGCGATTGATGTGATCTACACGATCGGGATCAAGTCGGTGTCAAGACGGAAGCTGCGCAACGGCTATCGCTATGCAGTCGAGTTCCGCAACAGTGGGGACATGTTAGACTTGGTCTCCGCAGACTCGTCAAGTTGTCCGGCAGTAGCTGGAAGCATCCAGACGATCGAAATCACCGCTTCCTCTCAGATATTAAGCGGCGAGATCAAGATTCAGCTTGGCGACGTCAAGAGCGGCTGCATCCCCTGGAATATCCGCGCTTCAGGCCACACGAACTCGATGCAGACAACGCTAACGAATCTGGAGAGCGACCGCGTGATCCCAGTGCAAGTTGTGAAAGACCCGTCAGCATACGCGAATGGAGCCAAATACTACGTCAGTTTCTCAGCTCCAGTCGACGCGAAGAAGCCCCTCCTTGCCTTCACGGACGCAGGCTGTGCGGCGTTTACTTGCAAAGACGCCAACGGAGCTGCTGCCGCTTGTTCCGGTCTCTCTGTCAAGTCAAACGCGGACTTCCGCGTCACTCGAGCAGCCTCTGAAGCCATTTCGTTCCGTTACCTCGTCCAGTCCAGCGACGAAGCTAAGTCTCTTACGTATAAGAGCACGACGTCATTAGCGGGGACAATCCTCCGGTCGTCCATGACTCCGACATTAGCTGCGACCTTGACTCTCCCACCCCCTCCCGTGGCGCTGCTATCTCAAGACGGAACTGCGTCCATGTCTGTTGTCAGATCGGATCAAATACCCGTCGCCTCTCGAGTGTATTCATCCACACTGGCCGATACGTACACAGCTGGAGATGTGGTGATAATCCTGGTCGAGTTCTCGGAGAGAGTGACAGTCGAGGGAGAACCCATTTTGGAGCTGGATTCCAACGGAGAAGCCTTCTACACGTCTGGCAGCGGCACCAAAGTGCTGACGTTTTACTACGAAGTGCAGGCGGGGGACACGTCGACCGACTTGAACTATGCGTCCACCACAGCGGTGCGGACGTTCACAGCGCCAGTCTCGAAGATCCGATGCGCTGCGTGCTCTGGGTCTGGCGTTGACGCGGATATCACACTTCCGCCATTGGCTAGTGGTGCGAGTCTAGCGGGGAACAACGCGTTGGTTATCGACACCACAACGCCAAGTGTTGTTCAGGTGTCCTCCAGTCGAGCAGATTCCCCAGTGGGGGGCGTTGGCTATGGCCCCGGAGATATCGTGGACGTCATCGTGACCTTTTCGACTGATGTTACCGTATCAGGATCTCCATCGTTGGCTCTAAACTCTGGGGGGACAGCAACGTTCACATACGCAGGGTATCGTCAGCTTCTGGACATTGGGGTGGACGCTGCCGTACCGATTACGTCTGGACAGTTCGCGATCACTTACAACGGTGAAATGTCCGGGTGTATTGACTATGACGACGCTGATAGTGCTGCAGATACGTCACTGAAGTCGCAGCTCTTGGCGTTCAACGCCATCGCCCGCATTGGCGTTGTATCCGTCACCAAGACCACGAGGAAGAATGGCAATCGGTTCGAGGTCGTCTTCGACTCGACCAAGGTGGTGGACGTGCCTCTCGCTATCGAGTTGACAGTGTCGGACATGTGTGACCCCCTCCAGCCATCGTCAGCCGCACAAGAGGCGCTCACATCGAGGAGTATGGATAGCAAGGTCGTATTCCACTATACTGTCGGAGCGGGGGAGTCGGCGACGGCCCTCACCGTCGTAAGCAGCAGCATTTCGCTCGCGGGGGGCACTGCGTCTATCCTGCGTCAGTCTGTAACGCCCTCGATTGCAGCGAGTGTCGCCTTGCCACTATCCACAGCCCCGCAGAATCCGGCTCAGACGAAGACGCTGAAGGTTGATGGAACTCCAGCGGCTATCACCGCTATCGTGTCGGACTCAGCCCCAGACACGTACGGCGTTGGCTTTCCATCGGTCGCGAGTCCGAGTACCGTGGCGCCAGGTGAGATCCTCTTCCACCTCGTGTTCTCCCGTCCTGTATCGGTGGTTGGTTCCCCCACTGTGGAGTTAGCGACGGGTTCCTTGCGTCCAAGTGGGGAGTCGATCCCCAACCGGTTCGCCAAGTTCGTGAACCAGCCGCAGCCCAACCAGGTCGCGTTCCTGTACCACATCCAGGAGAACGACTTCAGCGCCAACCTCGCCTTCCCGAACGTCAATGTCCTCAACGGCGCCAGTATTTACTGCGTGACGTCCACGATGTCCGTTCGAGCGACGCTGACGCTCCCGAGACTAACGATCGCGAGTGTCAACTCGGTGATTAAAATTGACGCGTACTCGGTCCCTGCGACGGTGAAGCTAGCGTCGCCCCGCGAGGACGGAGTGTACGGAGCTGGAGAGCTCATCGAGATCCAAGTGACGTTCTCCAAGCCGGTGGTGCTGCTTTCCGGACTAAACCGGAATCAGGATTGGCACGCGCGATACCCCGTCGAGCTGGAGTTCCAGAACAAAATCTTCATGATGTGGACGGAGCGCGACGACATGCACAATCCAACTAAGAGCTGCTTGTATCTACGAGTATTCTCCAGCGCTACGCTGGATGTGGTGACTACGACGTCCGTTTCTGCTATCAACCGCGTGCCGAACACGTTCATCGAGAAGGTTGCCATGACGGTGTGGAAGGACGCTCTGTACGCTGCGTGGGATGAAGGGGGCTTGATCTACTGCGCAGTGTACGAAGGCCTCACGTCGACGCTTCCGTGGACTTTGATTCCCAACATGGGGGCCAACAAGAACTTGGCCATGGCTGCGAGTGACCCGGTGCTGGTCGTGTACAACCTCGAGCTGGTTATGATCTGGCGAGAGAAGTCCCTCCCGGCAGGCAGCAGCTCCTTAGTCGGTCAGATCCGAGTGGCAGTTCGAAACGATGACAACGATGCTCCGTTGTGGATTTTCCACGACGGTAACCAGCCTGACACGGGGCTTAATAAGGACCCGCTCAAGGACGCGGATGACCCGGTGTCGGTGGTTTATCGAGGGAGGATGTACGTGTCTTGGTCCGAGATGAATGACGCGGGTGCGTATGAAATTGTGATCGCTAGACGCAACATCCAGACGAGGGATTATTCCACGTGGACGTACCTGGACGCGCTCCCGTCCACTCGCCCAGCTTATAGCTTTTTATCTGCATACAGTCCTCAGTTCGCTGTTCGACGCAGGGGCATTGAAGACATGGCTTTGCTCATCTCGTGGTACCGCGACACTGTAACCAGCAACGTCTCGGAAGTGATCACCGGTCAAGTGCTCGACCTGGACTGGGAGGCTTCGGTGACGGGGAGTATCCCTCAAACCATCAGCGCTGCGGAGGCGAACACGACGGTCGATGACGTGAACCCCAACACCGTTAAGCAACAGTTTGTGACGTGTGGAGATAACGTTTATTCGTCGTGGCTAGACCTGGAGGGCAGCGACTCATCCGCTGCTTACGTCGTGAAGCTCGCTGCACTTCCGATCGGCGCTGACGTGTACACCGGGTGGACTCCTGCGGCAAACCAGAGCAACTTAAACCACAACCCGAAGCGCGATGCCATCGACTCGTCGTTGCTGTGCTCCACTGCTTCGGACGGCACGCGTCGTGCTGGAATTGTGTGGACGGAGTACGACGGGTATTCTATCAAGCTCCGGTTTCGTCACTATTTAGCAGTACCGAGAACGCCTGGAACGAATTCAACGACGTACGGCGAGAGCATAGCAGGAGCCCCAATACTTATGCTGGCGACGCAATCGAACCCTCTGGGATATGCTGCGTGTATCGACAAGAGCGGGTTCACCACCACGATATTGTCCTTCACGTACATAGTTCAGCCGGGGGAGTCTTCTCCACAGCTGGAAATCCTAGGGAATGACGCGTTAAAGCTCAATGGGGCCGTGATCCGCGACGTATACGGGCAGGATCCAGACTTTACGTTGTTCCCGGACGCTGCGAACCTGCGAAGCTTGAGCTACAACAACAAACTGGTGATCGACACGACGCCGCCGACTGTGTTGAGTGTGACGTCCAAAACCCCGTCGGGAGAGTACGGTGTCGGGCAACTTCTGGAGTTTTTGGTCACTTTCTCACACCCTGTGGCGGTTATCGAAGGCGACGCTGCAAGTCCCCCCACGCTCTCGCTGCGTACGGATGAGCTCCATTTATTGACGAGCTCGCAGGGCGTTGCTACCTATGCAGGAGGCTCTGGCTCGGAAATTTTGGTGTTTGAGTACGTTTCAGGCCCGCAAGATTACTGCGAAGGCCTCGACTATATGAATACAGCATCACTCGCCCTCAATGGCAGCACTTGGGCGATCAAGCGGAACGCTACACGCCCAGTGACAGACGCTATACTCACTCTACCACCTCCAAAGTCGGCCAATTCATTGAGTGGGGGCGCCACAATCGCGATCAAACCAACGCAACCGAGCGTCACCAGCGTGACTTCTTCCACGCCTGATGGGACGTACTACCCGGGCGACTCGGTTCTAGTCGACGTCATGTTTTCGTTACCTGTCGTCGTGTTTGGATTCCCTGTTCTACTGCTAGAGACGGGTGGAGATTCGCCCACTCGAGCTCCACTCGCATCCGGCAACGGCACCGCCAAGCTCACGTTCAAGTACTATATTCAAATCGGAGACACTAGCGCCCGGTTGGACGTGCTAGACGACCGTGTTGGAGACGACCAGGCGTACTTTGTCATGTCGTTACAGCTGGCCGGGTACTCGGAAATTATGCGAGCGTCCACGAACCCAGGTACTACTGCAGTGACAGCATTACCGGCCCCTGGGTTAGTGGGATCGCTGTCTGCCACCAAAAACATCGTGATAGACTCGACAGTTCCTGCCGTTGTGGACATTCGCTCGCCTGCTGTGGACGGAACCTACGATATTGGCGAACAGATCGACGTATTACTCGTATTTTCTCGAAAGGTGGTGGTGATTGGGACCCCTGAGCTTGTATTGAATGTTCCTTCGGAGTACGCGCGTACGGCTGTGTATTCTGATGGCTCGGGGACGAACATCCTTCGGTTCTCGTACTTCCCGAAGGAAGGCGACAACTCCCGCAACGCTCCGTTGGATATTCTGGACGAGCACTCGCTAATCCTCCGACCGCTTCTCGCTGGAATGGAATTTCTGCAGAACCCCGCGCAAATAATCTGTCAATCATCCAAACCGATTTTACCAGCAAATCTCGAGCTGCCGGTGCCTGGAGTTGCAGTGCGAGCTGATGCTGTGCTGAGTCTTGTGGGGAACAACCGGAAAATCTTCGTCCGAACGGATGGTTTTCGCGTAAAATCCCTTGAGGCGGATGTTCCGAGTGGCGAGTATTCTGTGGGCCAACGAATCGTCATTTCAGTGTTGTTCAGCGGTTCTACCGTCGTACAAGGACCCCCTCGCCTCAAGCTAAATGCAAACACAGCCACGTACGCGACGTACGTCGAAGGAACTGGGACATCGCGGCTGCAATTCGAGTATATTGTGGCGACAGGGGATAGTTACTCGGTACTTGAGGCTGCGTCTCGTACGGCGCTGGAACTTAATGGTGGTGTGATCTCAGATAGTGAGGGGATATACGTGCCTTTACGCCTCGCAGCGCCATCCAAACCTGGCAGTTTATCGGCCAAGTATCAGATCCAGATCACTTCAACTCCACCGACTGTGAAGCGGGTCTACTGCAAGGATAGTGATGGTACTTATGGTGTCGGGGATACGCTACATTTCGCTGTGGAGTTCTCTCGGAAGGTTGTACTCGGCAGCCCTCAGGTGGGGCCTCTGCCCTCTCTATCGCTTCATTTCGATGGAGGCTCACGGGCGGCTACGTACGTTTCCGGCGACAAAACGAGTACTATTGCGTTCACTCTTCTCATAGCGAACGGAGATTCGTCATCGCGACTGGAATATGCCGGTCAAAATGCTTTAACCGGCACCATCTTCGCGCTGTCCACTACCCCTACAACCGCAGTCAACCTGGCACTGCCAATTCCCGGTCAAGATGGAAGTTTGTCGGCTTCTTCTGCCATTGGAGTGACGTCAACTCCCCCATCAGTTGTAGACGTTCACGCTGAGACTCGCGACGGGACCTACGGCCTCTCCGACAAGATCCAGCTGCACGTGCGCTTCTCTTTTCCCGTTTTTGTCAGCGCTGCGGCTGCAGCCTCCTGTGCCCTGACACTTTTTGTGGGGGACGTCGAGCTCCGAAAAGCGTCCTACATCGGTGGGTCTACCACGACTCAGTTGAGTTTTACGTACATTGTGGGGCCCGGAGATCACTCCGCGCGACTGGATTACGCAGCGGCAACTAGCCTTCAGTGTTTAATCCTCCAGTCGACTGCAGTGCCAACGCTCCAAGCTTCAAACACGCTCCCATTGCCCGGATCAAAGGGCAGTCTCGGGTTTTCGTCTGCTCTGAGAATTGACGCGGCGTCGCCACGGGTTACGTCTGTTTCGTCTGGACTTACGAACGGCGTCTACGGCGCCGGACAGCTCATCGACGTCCTCGTCACCTTTTCAGAAGCTGTACTCGTTCCAAACGGGGCTGCTCCTAGATTGAGACTCGCGGTGGCGTCCAATACCCCCGTGAATGCTCTACTCTCCAGTACAGCCGAGCCGTTCGCTACGTACACTGGCGGGTCTGGAACTAGTGTGCTGAAATTCACGTACACAGCTCGGGAGGGTGACATGGCGTTGCCGTTGGAATACGCTGGTGTCGACGCGCTCTCAATGTCGTCTCCTCGACTGCAATTGACTGCAGCGGCGAATGAATTAAGGCAATACCGCTTTGCGTCGCTGAGGTTGCCAGTTCCAGGGGCCACTGGGAGTTTGAGCAACAACCGGGACATCCACATCGATACACTGGAACCTCCACGCGTTTTAAGTGTGGGGTCACCAATGACCGATGGAGTTTACACTGCAGGAGACACGATCACCATCTCTGTGACGTTCTCAGCCCCCGTGACTGTAGCGGGCCCAAAGCCTACGCTGCTGCTTGTCACGGGCAATCCCGCTACGGACGATTCTGGGAAGAAAGCTGTCTACGTGTCTGGATCTGGCACTGCCGTTCTGTTGTTCGAGTACCAGGCTCAGACTGGAGATCACGTCGACCGACTGGAATACAAGCCGTGTCCACTGGCTGAACGAATCACCTCAGTGTTGAAGAAGTGGGATAAACTCGTCATTTGCTCGAGCTCAGCGAACGCGTTACAGTTGGGAGACATTGGTGGTAGCATCAAGCGCTCTTCGACTGTTCCCATGACGGACGCTGTATTGGACCTCCCGGAGGTGAACGACTGGGCAGAGGTTCGCTTCGACACGACGAGTGACGACGTTATCTACGTCCCCCAAGTCGAACCGACTACGGGTATCGCGAAAGAGGAGTTAACGTTGATCCCACCACTCGTGAACGAGTTCAGTATCTCTCAGCAACGAGTGGCGATCAACATCTACAGCAACGGAATCCCGGACCACTCAACCACGCTGCGTGATCGCGTCAAGGAACAAAAGTACTTCATCGAGCTCCAGCGGTTCCCGACACTGCAGAGTCAACCATTGAATCTATCGCACGTACCTGACGCGTTCAGCGGGATCTTCCTCAACGGGATACTGTTCAAGCACAGCAACAACAGCGTACAAGCCACAGACGACTGCGGTGGAGCAATCGACCCTGATGGCTACTACTTCTACGTCGACCTCCCTACGTGCTACCTTGCAGCAGCAAACGAGCCACGTCAACCAGCTCCAGGATCTACCACTCGACCTCCATCCGTGGTCGTCGGGTATGCACTGGATGGGTTCCCTATCTACAGCTACTACGATGAGAACGGGGAGCTACCAAGTGACTTGGACGAATGCAACGGACGCTTCCGGCAGAATGGACAGTATGCTTACCACCTGCTGCCGCCGGAGACCTCGTCCTCGCCGTTCATGCCTTGCCTAAAGGGAATTGACGCGACATCTGCATTATCCGCGCTCTCTGTCTTCCGCTACCCAGCAGATATCTCGGCCGTGGAGGGTTTGTCCCTGTCCGACTTGATCAAGTTCGACAGCTTCGTTATCGACGAGAACCCTGCCCCACTTCACGCCGAAGCGTGGCTCAACCCCGAGGGAATGTCCGTAGTGTACACGTCAACCACTGTGATCGTCCGGAGTACGGGCGTCCCTCCCGCTAGCAGCAGCTTTGGGCCCTTCCCGAATGCGTACAACCGCTACAGCGTCTTCGAGCAGGACTATGTCTTCCAGTTCCCGCGAAACCCGGTGGTGAGTCCCACGACGACGTCGCTCCCAGTCGATACGCCAATTGGCGTAATGGTGAACGGTGTGCCGTTCTACTCCGCCACCTCCGCCATCTACGGAGGCAGTGTGCTCAACAGCAAGAACCCAGCCTACGTGTTGCTGGACAAATGCAACGGACTCGTGGATGCCGGTGGCGACTACAGATACTACGCGTCTCCAGACTGTCTGCTCCAGGAGCTTGGCGATACGGTCGGTCAACCCTCGCCTTTGGTGGGCTTTGCGTTCGATGGGTTCCCTCTCTATGGGCCGTACGCCGAGAACGGCCAAGCACCCACTGATCTCGACGCCTGCAATGGACGAGTAGGAGACGACGGCACCTATCGATACCACGTGACAATGGGCGCGCCCTACTTGCTCGGGTGTTTCCGCGGCATTCCTTCGATCGACCAGACCAGTCGTGACGCGGCGACGGACTTGTACCGAAGTCTGAGCTACGCGCACGCGCTGCGTCTCAATACGGACCGTCCTCACGTAGCGCACGTGTACACTAACAAACGCCCTGGCAAGTACGTGGCTGGAGAGAGCGTCGATGTGGTCGTGGAGTGGTCGACACCTGTGAAGGTGGACACGGCGGGCGGAGTGCCGTCTCTCTTGATCCAGAACTCAACGCGAGCAGCCACGTACGATGCAACTCGTAGCACAGCGACGCAGTCTGTGTTCCTCTTCACAGTTAGAGGGGACGACGCCATGATCGACGAGTTCTCGTACAATTCCGACGTCGCCATCAAGTTGAACGGAGGGCGGATCACGCGGCTCGCTAAGGCTCCCGTGCTGGACGCGGACTTGGGCCTCGTACCGGCAGACCTGGACGACGCCGAATTAATCCGTACCAGGACGGCAGGGCTCATATCAAAGTTCCAACTCGTGCGTGAGTTGCGCGTGGAGCTCCGCGGGTTATATCACCCCAGGGCGCAAGACCTACGAGCTCGCATCTTCCACGGCTACCGCGAGAGCACCATCTTCGATGGCTGCTGCGCAACGCGCGACGCCTTTGGCATTCCTGACGTCCCGGACGTGCTGACCAACCGCGCGCAGGTCGCTTCAGAGCCGCGTAACCCGACGAGCGGCGTTGGGTGGGACTACAGCTTCCGAGACTTCGATGGCGTCAAGAACTTGGCGCTGGATGGAGGCGCGACGGCGCTGCAGAGCTCGATAAGCGGCACGTGCGGACCCATGAACGCCATCGACGGTAAGATACGCAACGTAGTGGTGTCCACGCAAACGGTAGCGCGGACGCTCCCTGCGAATGAAGCGAACGAGTCTGCGTGGTGGGAGCTGCGCCTTGTCGACCTCTCCACCATCGGAACAGTTCGTATCTGGTTGGCGAACGATGACCCCAGTGTCCTTGAGGTCACGTTCCCGTTCTGGGTCATGCTCTTCGACGGCCCCGCCGTGATGGACGTCGAGAGCTTCGCGGACGCGTACGCGCGTGCCATTTTCCTGTACCGCGTAGAATCGAGGCAAGCGAACCACAGCGTCATTTCGGTCGTCCCTCCTCTCGGTACCAAGGCGCAGTACGTGCGAATCGTAGCAGAGAAGTCGCGCGGGGTCATATCGCTCGCTGAAGTCGAAGTGTTTGCAGAGCAGAACTACGTGCTGTCGCAGTACGCCGGCGGCACCCCAGTACGCACCGCGTACCATCCAGGAGGCAAGACGTGGTCGCCTGAGGAGCCTTTCCGGTACGCGTTTGGTGCGATGCCCAGCGAAGGCGCTTGGATTCTTGCCATCGAGGATAAGGCGGTTAACGGGAGCAACCTGCCGTTGCCGAGGTCGAACGCTACAGCAGGAGGCATCTCAGACTGGGTGATCGACATCACCAACCAAGCGGGAGAAACCGTGTCCTACTACATGGACTTCCAGGCGCAAGTGCACGCCCTCCCGAGGCACGGGACGCTGTATGTGTCGCTGGATGAGACCGAGCGTGACCACCTTGACATCGACGGCAATGGCATATTGGATTCCATGGAGGCCGACGCCTACCTCCGACGGTACTCGCCGAACAACTACATTGATCTCCCCACAAACAATCGAGAGCGGGAGCTGAAAGAATTCCTGCTGAGTTACGAGGAATACGGAGGCGTGCAAGTGCTGCGCGACCCCAGCGAGCGGCAACTGCGGCTTCCGTCATTGGTGTGTGACGCTGCGTGCCTCGCTGCTATCAAGATGGACTCGTACTTCTATGTGGGGCTCGAAGGGGACAAGGCGATGAAGCTGCTGCGTGTAGTGGGCGATCGGGTGGTCAAGTATGTTCCAGATACTGGGTTCCGCGGAGTGGACGCCTTCACGTTCTCCGTGGCCGTCACGGGGCAGGAGTCCCGCGTCTTCGGAACAATTCGACTCACGGTGAAGGAATGCGAAGACCCCGAGTGCCGCATGTCCAGCTTTCTGCTGCATCGGAGCACGAGATGACAATCCTATCCTCAGAAATCAATATCCTATCCGTTTAAAAACAAGTGTTCGTGAAATTCACGGGGCTGTCATGCTGAACCGTGCAATCTGGCAACCCAGCGAACACCCCCAGCATCCGTTGTGGACATGTACATGTACATACATGTGGTTGTGAATAACACACACGGTCGATTCGGTGGACAAGTCGCTGGTTACTTGGTCTCATCATTAGACTCTGGGGCAGGGCTATTCACTGAAATACATATACACAATTGGCAGGTCAATTCGTTGTCTCGAAAGGCTTCGTGAGGTCGTTGCATCTTCGACTGATCATGCATTTGCTCCTTCCATAGCAACTTCTTAACGAGATGCGCGCCTCGCAGTTTGGGCCGCAGGCTGCGATGTCAAGAGTCGATTTGAACGTCGTGAGTAACGAGCCGAGCACATCCAACGTGGAAAAGAGGCTTGTGGCGATTAACAAGCTGTTAATACATTTCTGTAGGCGTGTTCAAGGTGTGAGCTCCCAGACATCTGCGCTGTCCGAACGGACTCGACGTGTGATCTGTTCCCAGTTCTGCAGCGGGCGGCGGGCTAGCCAAACTTCGCGAGCGACGTGCGTGTACATTGCACGATCTCATTCTACAATTTACCGCCTGCCCAAGCAACCTACAGCAGCCTACTGTATCCATGAAGATCTACCACATCATCGCCCTTGCTGCGGCTGTTGTCGCGTCGACTGCCGCCCCTACCAACGCTGAATATGGCGTGATGACCCAAGGCCAGAACCCCCTTGTGAACCGACGACTGGGGGCTGGCAGTCTCCGCGGCTCGACCAAGCAGGAAGAGCAGCAGCTGCAGAACTCGGACAGCTTCAGCCAGAGCGACGAGTCTGATCAGTCGGACGAGGACGACGACTCGGAGAGTGGCAGCGGCAACGATGACGGCGACGACGCTAAGCAAGAAGACGACAAGGAAGACAAGGAAGTTGCCAAGAAGGGCGAGAAAGAGAAGAAGGAAGATGAGAAAGAAAAGAATGGCGGTCACGAGGACAAGGGTGGCAAGAAGAAGGATGGAGAGGACAATGGGGACGATGAGGACAAGGATGGTAAAAAGAAGAAGGACAAGGAGGAGGAGGAGGGGGATGATGAGAAGGATGACAAGAAAGAAAAAGATGACAAAGAAGAGAAGGATGGCGAGAAGGACGACAAGAAGAAGAAGGATGGCAAGGAAGACAAGGATGACGAGAAGGAGAAGGATGACAAGAAATACACCGATGACAAGAAGGAGAAAAGTGAGAAAAGTGAGAAAAAGGAGAAGGGTGACAAGAAGGAGAATGAAGACGAGGAAGAGAAGGAAGGCAAGGGAAAGAAGCATAGTGAGAAAGAGAACGATGACGATAAGGAGAAGGATGATAAGAAGGAGAAGGAAGACGAGAAAGAGAACGATGACAAGAAGGATGTCAAGCAAGACAAAGATGAAAAGGACGGACATGAGAAGAAGGAGAAGGACGGACACGAAAAGAAGGAAAAGGACGGACATGAGAAGAAGGAGAAGGAGGACAAGGGTGGGGAGAGTGCCGACGGCAACGACAAGGGTGACGACAATGACGAAGAGAAGAAGAATGAAAAAGAGAACAACGAAGATGGTTCAAAGGATGAAAAGGAGGGGAATGACGACGAGAAGGATCACAAGGGTGGAGAAGACCAAAAGAACGAGAGCGATGAAAAGGAGAAGGGCGACAACGAAGAGAAGGGGGGCGAGAGCCAAGAGGGCGACAAGCATGCTGGCAAGAAGAGCGAACACGAGGCGGATGACGAAAAGAAGAACGACGAGCAGAGCCAGGAGCAGGCCCAGCAGGAGCAGTCATGAGTGTAGTGACTTCGTGAGTCTCTTCTTGGTGTGTAATGCGTTTAGATCAACAATTCAACGTGAACAGTTAAAGAGATTCCTCTTGTGTCTCTGTCTGCGGTTTACACAAACACATAGAGCACAGCTTTTAGCACGAAATGGCGCTTCACATTAACTGGGGGCAACCCTCAAGGTTGAAAACTCAAAGATCTAAGACAACGCTACTGAAAGAAGATGGGGATCGAGTCCCGCCACGGTTCAGGCAGTTTGGGTGCTAGGGGTACGGTGGGCCCTGCCTGCTTGCCTGAACGGGCTCGAGTTACTGGCGAAGATTCTGCGCGGCCGAGCTGAGGGTGGTGGAAGTCGACGCGCCCGCTTTCGTCGCAGGGTCAGCGGTGGCAGCAGCGGACACGCCCGTCTTGATCGTCGATGGGTCCGCGGTGCCCGAAGTTTGCGCCGTCTGAGAAGTGGTCGAGTCTGCAGCGCTGGAAGTCGGCGTCGCCTGGGTTGAGGCGGTCGAAGTTGCAGTTGAAGTCACCGCGCCGCTCGCTGTGGCCGACGTACCAGTCGCAGCTGATGGGGTGCTGCTCGTGGTTGTCACGCTGTTGGACGCACCAGTCGCCGAGGTGGACGCTTGAGTGCCTGAAGTGGTGGAGACTCCGTTCGATGATGGAGGACACGGAGTCGCAGCGCCGGTGGACGTCGCTCCGCCTGAGACGGAGGTGCCCGTGCTCAGGCCACCACTAGCGAGTCCGCCGCTCAAACCGCTCGTCAACCCACTGGACACGATCGAAGACGTGTCGTCATCGCACGGAGCGTCCGCGGTGGTGGCTAAGCCGTTGCTCGTGAGGCCGCTAGCCAACCCGCTGAATAGGCCACCAGAGAGGATCGAGGACGTGTCTTCATCGCACGGCGTATCCACCGTGCCACCGAGCAAGGTCGTGCTCGTGTCGGTCGAATCGCAGCCGTTGCCCGTGAGCAACTCGGTGAGGCAGGCGTCCGAGGACGGGAGGAGGATACCGGCACAGGCGACGGCTAAGACGAGCTGGACGATGAAGCGAGCGAGCATCTTGGTACTTGTTTGGGAAGCGTGCAGCTTTTGTTGTGGGTTGCAGGAGACAAATTGCAAAGTGGACAAGTACAGCAACAAGTCCTCGCCTCCGCTGATGCTCGATCTTCGTGTGCTCAATGCAAAGACAGCAAGCTTCATACCTTTCACGAATCGAGGAAGACGTGCGTGTAAGATCTCCTACGACTAGCGCTAAAGTGATGCTCTTGTGAGCCGGAGTCGACGTGTGTGATGACCACCCCATTCGTTACCAATCGGCGTACTTCCTACGCGGATGGACTACTGCGCTGCCTCTAAATGAACACCAGCATCAGTGCAATGAACCGAGAACCAAGTTCTCGTTTTCCTTCAATGGATGCTTATACTATCACATGGGCGTTGACGAAAAGGACCACATACGTGAATATTTGCGCTTGGCTTCTCCTCTACGGACTTTGTTGTTACCAGGCACAACGTTTTGAGTCTCAAAAGTTAGTGTGCTGCTGTCTGAACCGCGTCGAGGCAGGTGAATTCAAACCCCTCCTTTGCTACGATAAACGCATTTTACACCGCCTTGTAAGGTTCCAGCTTGTATCTGGTTTCGCGTGGCGTCGGCACCGGGGTGAAGTGTCTTGGGGGGGGGGGGTCCTCAGACAGAATTTCAGCGGATATGTACGTTTTGGCGGATTACAAAATGGCAGGACTATTGACGTTAGTCCTGCTTCAACCAGGATCCGGCGAGATCTAGAGTTGGCACTCTCATCCGCGGACTAAGGATGATATAGTGTAGAGCAAGCTTCGCCAGGCGAAACAGGAGGTTAGATATTAATCGGGTCGTCTGCGGGTCTGGTAAGGCCGAGGGTCGGGCTTGTATATTTCGCTGGTCTTTCTCTGGTCAGTCTGATCAGTAGCCCGGCCCGTAAAATATTCATAAAATACTGCGCATAATACAATGCGGTAAAGGACCACAGCGAGTGGCTGTCATCTTGCAAGACTTCTCTGGCCCACTTAAGAAACAACATTCGGCATTAACCTCAATTTGATGTGGACCACATGTCACATATGATTGGGTATAATCAACTGTTTCAGCTTACTATTGGCCAAAATAAATGGGTCCGCGCATGTCGAGATAATCGCGTAGAAAAACCTCAAAACTGTAGCCCTTCTAACTCGTCTCCAACAGGCGCTACAACATCGACAACCAAACATAAGGGTAAAGCAGTCACTCGCGATCACGGTGATATTTTATTTTCTAATATCGCTAATTTTTGACGGCACCTCGCTAAAAAACCTAATGTTGCCTAAAACGGACTTCAGATAAAAGGCTGTTTCTCTTTTCTTTCTGCTGCTAGATTTTTTTAAATCATAGTGTGAAACGGAGCAAATGCGCAGCTTTCGGTTGAGGTATTGCGAGTCGCCAAACGATTTTTTTGTAAATAGTTATGTCCAGAAAACCGAAGTGTTGTTTCTTATGTGGGCCAGAGAAGTATAGCAAATTCACCTGAGGAGTTGGTTGTATGTAAAATTAAGAACTGAATAGATTGATCGAGTATTAGTAGGACACTCGCCCGTTGGCTCTCGCCTGCGGACTTAGCGACGGCACTTCGGGGGGCCCGCCCCTCTCTCGCTTTGCTCGGGGAGCGCCGCTCCGCCTGCCCCACCCCCTCGTGCCTTACGCTAAGTCCTCGGCTCGGCAGGCGCGGTGTCTAGGGAAAAAAGTATCAGGTTGCAGCGCTCGCCTTCGCTCGCTTGCGCAGACACGCCCCAGCCTGATCGGCGGGTGTTCGTGACCGGTGAACGCATTGAGTGAGCCTCGCGGTCGCATTCGCTCGCCCTCGGCCGTATTCCTCTAAACGTGAGGCATCTGCCTGGGTTGGCTGCATCCACGGTAGATAGTGGATACGCTACAGTTTATCTACTGCTAGATCAATGTAGTAAGTCGCCAAGGCTGACTAATCGATATTTCCTTGGTCGGGCATGAAAGGAATAATAACTTCGCTGTAAGATATTCACGGATCTGGATATGGGTCACACTGACCCTAGGCCTTACTAGACCCGCAGTAATAATCTACCGAATCAGGAAGCGTAGCAGGATACAGCACAGTATCATACATTCTGAAGCACACGAGCCGATCGCCGCCATCGACGTCGTTGGTGCCGTGCTCGTCTTGCTAGCGTGCCCAGCGTCGGGTTCATGATCAGCATGGAGAAGAACTGATAGTAGTCGTAGCCGCAGCCGATTTGCTCTGGATGGACACAGTAAAGCTGGACATGCGGCCCTGTATCCTACGAGGACAACCGCAGATCTAAGCGAAAGAATGAGTTGGTCATCAACTTGCTCGCTCGGAATAAGGCGAGCAAGCGGACAATTAACTTAAGACCAGACTCGTGTCTGGTTCGACTCGCACACGCCCAATTAACACCCTATCTATTGCTTCGCAAGAGGAACAGGACGAGGGGGAGGAGGAAAAGGATGAAGAAGAACAAAGCAAGAATAAAGGCTGGATAGTAGTTGAGTTTCACAGAATCGTGCTCAATGATTTTTGGGGTGCTTGCCCATTGCGAATTTGTAGTGCTTGATGAAAGACAGGCCGTTAGTCTGTTGTGAAACTAGGTCGTCTTCGACTTGGCTGGGAACACCAGTGGTATAAAACGCTGGTGATGGTACCGGTGCTAATTGCCATGATAAGGGAGAACTGTGGCCCGCGTGATTCAAGGGCGTGGCCCCGCAGGGGCCACGCCCATGAATATCGCGCGTGCCGCAGTTCACATTCTGAAGCTGATGCATGGGTCTGTTGACGTGCATTTCCTGCCTCCGTCTGCCTTGCTGAAAGTTGCCGTCGAACCTGCTCGGTCGACATCCTTCTGGCTGGTGTAGCACGAAGGTTGCGCCAGGTTACGCTTACGCGTCTAATTAATCCGTATTGAGCTGTCCACCCCCTCATTCTTCGGGTGTTCCCAGTATAAATCAACTCCTTACTCTGTTGACATACCAGCATGCTTTTATGCGAATTGTCGAGCGAGTAAGTAATTGCAGAAGGTTACTGCAGTAAGTACTACTAGTACCGTATTACGATTGTTGACGAGCCCTGTTCACGAGTCGCTAGCAAGATCGAGGCTCCTACGCCAAAGTAAGGACCAATTGATCTGTTAACGAGCCGACTTGACGATTGCTGGTCCTTTGGAGGTGTAGCTCAACGATATTCGCTTTACTCACGAAATGGCAACTTACCATTGCGTGAGTAAAGCGAAACAGCTTACTGTGATAAGTAAGTGTTCTATGCTGCAGAAACGTACTGCCTCGTGGTTGATCATGCACTTTGAAGTACAGGGGGGACGGGTCAGATCGAGCAAACCCACAGGCAAAGCAAGCGAGGTGACTTCTGCCGCGACAACGATGGGAAGCCTAGCCATTCAGTAAGTACAACGAGGAGAAGTCCAAGCCAAGTGCCTGAAAACACATTACCGCTATACAAAGGCAGATCTCGATAAGCTGTCGGTCTAATTCAGTGAAGGACGAGCTAACTTAAGAAGCGCAGTCCGACGTGTGCGGGCAGGCGTCACGGCGGGGGTGTCCGGCAAAGGAGGGGTGTTCTACACCGAAATCTGGGGCGACGTAGGAGCAGGAGTCATCTGGCTCTAATAGTCACTAGAGCCACTAGAGTCTAGTGGCTCCTCAGGCGTCGGGGTAGGCTCCTCCTGCGTCGGAATTTCTAGTCGGAGTCGGAGTCGGCGTCGGCACTCTCTAGTGCAGGCGCGGGCAAGTGCCAAGTAGCCACGTAGATATATATATATATATATATATGTATATATATGTATATATATATACATATTCATAATCTACTAGAAAAGTTCCGATAGCAGACCAATGCTTGCTCCTGTCCGCACCATTAGACTTGCAAGCGTTTCGTTTGCTTTGTCATTGAAATGAAAGTCTCTCATGTCAATGGTCAAGACTAGTGACAGAATTACCAGGACTTAACTGATACGCTGCTCGGTGTGAAATAGCGCTATAATAGCGGATGATGTCACCGATCGGGTGACATTCATTCGTACTCCACAAAGTTTACATTCAGTTTACGGCTAAGTTGCCGATGCCAAAAAAAATAATACTTAGCACGCATGGTACGTGTTGCTTTGAGCAAAAAGACGCAGCACTTCCTGTTGTGCGTTGTCCTTGTGAGCCTTCCTTAGCGGTCTAGACTACCAGGGAAGGCTCCACGGTGGAGTGGTGGAGTTCACCCTTGCTGTAACCGATCCTCAGTATAAATACTTGCGTCATGACGTGAAAGCGGTCGAACGTCACTGACAAAAAGGCTCAATCTGTTCGCTGTCCGTGCTCAAATGGTTTCGGTGTTACCGCATCGCGCACTAAGCGATCTCTCTGGTGGACAGACATGAAAGCACTCAACGAATTGACTTAAATCGTGGGCGTGTTAATCCTGCACGAAGAAGCAAACACCACATACTGATGAAGAGACCTACAGTACAGACAATCCTCTTTGGAGTGATATCCCGAATAGGGATACCCTCTGATTAGCACTAATAAAGGCTCTCCCGATGACCTATGGAATACAAATTCAAGTCAAAACATCCTCTAACCTCCGGATAGTATTTAGTGATACGAGATTAGGCTTTATCACTATCCAGAGACCATTAACTATGTAAATGTCCATTTCGTAAAGCATGCCGGGCAAAGTTCCACCACAACGTGGGTCGCTTGCGACCATGAATGGACTCAGCTCCTCTTGGTTTGCGCACATATGATTAAGTTTGACACGTTTGTGATTCTGGAACGTGTATTTATCATATCAGCATGGGTGCTAGACTAGATTTCGCATTGTAGCTGCCTGTGCAGTCCGCCCAGTTCCATTTGAATAGTGTCACGCTTCGTGCCATATAGTTGTAAATATTATAGCATCCAGCACAACAAATACTTTATCTAGTGCTTTAACCACGTATCGAGTGCAATACAAGCTCCCAAGTACGCATTATCACTACGCTGGTACCTTGAAACGATATTGTACCGTCATTGTGGTACAGATTTAGATAGTGATGCCTCTGGATTGTGATAAAAAGTGGTCTGAGGCTATCAGTACGGAGAGGATCGTCTGTAAAATACGTTCGTCGTGACTGGAATTCGTTGCATACGTTGCACACAAGACGTCGCGCAGACTCTGGCAGAGGGGGAGATCCATTTCTAGGATGTGACATCCTCCCTCTGCGCGATCCGGGATGTGTTAACGTGCCACGTCTTACTCGGGTCGTTCGCTCGAACACCTTTGATGGTTTACATGTACAGTACTGGGCATACTTCCTAGCGTGGCTTCGTCACGGCCTTGCCTGCTCCTCGCGAGAATTAGTGCAACGTGCAGCGCCGTACAATGTACGGCGTACATTCAAGGCGATACGAATCGTCTATTATTAATAATTCCACTGTGCTGAACACTGCCGTAACTTCACTTTTTTTGGCTGCTTATGTTTTGGTGTCCGTCATCGATGTGCCTACGCCATTACATGAACCACAACAAGTACAGTGACAAAGACTGACGAATCCTCGCAGCAAAAGTATTCATTTGGATCTCTCGTTGCCTCGAAATATCGTCCGAGCGGTTGCGAAGTTGTGTTGCAACGTGGCAAGGGGAGTGATGTCGAAGATAGGATTGCGCTGTTCGAACACACGCAAATAATGGCCTGCCGATCTTCGGTCGGCGATGCCCCGAGGGCCTCGGTCAAGCTGACAGAGGTGCTCATTCGCTCATTCCGCAATTTGCCGAGCCAAGCACACCGCACTCAACCCACCCACCTCCAACTCAAGCACCATGAAGCTCTCGTACATCATCACTTTCGCCGCTGTGGTCGTCGCCTCGACCACCGCCCCCGCCACCGCCGCCACGGGTCTCACGGCCAGCAACCTCGCTGAGAAGCTGCAGGTCGGCCGTCAGCTGGGCGCCGGCGGTGGCCTCCGCGGCGCGAGCCAGGAGGGCGACCAGTCCCAGAACCAGAACCAGAACAAGCCCTCCACCGGCAACACCAGCCAGGACGATGGCAAGCAGCAGGGCCAGGATGACGGTGACAAGAAGAAGGACGATGGCGATAAGAAGGAGAAGAAGGATGACGGCGACCACAAGCAGGAGGAGAAGAAGGACGACAAGAAGGACGACGGTGACAAGAAGGACAACAAGGCTGACAAGGAGAAGAAGCAGCAGGAGAAGAAGGAGAAACAGGAGAAGAAGGAGCAGCAGAAGAAGGAGAAGGAGGACAAGAAGAAGAGCGACAACAAGGACAAGGACTGCTTCAAAGCATCGGCCGAGTACCTTGTTGGCTGTCGGAGTGTCTCCATTCATCGGCGGCCGGTTGCCCGAGGTTTGCTCGGTCATTTGAGTCGTCAGCACCGGCGATCGTGAGTTGTCGGCGCGGTCTTCAGACTCTTCCATGTCATCATACGCTGGCTCAGGGCCGTCCACATCATCCAGTTCGTCCGCGAGGTTGCGCGTGATGGGAGGCGCGTCGTCTTCCAACTCGCTCGCGAGACTGCGCGCCAGGGAGCGCGAGCCCCGCTGCGCCCCGCGGACATCACTGCATCTTTCGGAGTCTCGGGTGTCACCACCGCTGGCACAGGCGCCTTCTCCTCTATTCTTCATCTACCTCTTCATCTTTGGCGTCGGGTACAGTCATCGGCTCGTCGAAGCTGACGTTGCGCTCAGCTATCGGGTCAGGCTGCGGTGTGATCAAGACCGCCGTCGAGTCGTCACCGCGCGTTCCGCCGGACTTCATCGGAGTTGCTGGTACCGCGGATTGAGATCCTGTCGCCATCTTCTTCTTCTTCTTCTTTTTCTTCTTCTTCTTGGTTGTTGCTCGTAAAGTCAGTTGACCTGCTGTAACACGAGACACAGAAGTCACACCAATCCCGGGTCGCGGCACCAGTTGTCGTGTAGGAACACGCACTAAATTATATAATAGCACACTTTCCCCACCAACAACACCCACCAAGTCCCGATGACTCAATGGGCTTGTTAGGGTTAGAACCTGAAGGCCCAGGAACTTTCCCTTGCACCGGGTTGATGTTTCCTCTGTGCACCGTGTTTCCGCTTAGTCAACTGACGGAAACCCAGCGTCACCAGCCACGAGCAAAGGCTGACACGCTCTCACACACAATATAAACCTCGCAGGCCCTCAGGAAGGAAGGGTCCCAGCCAGTCACGGCTTGATACGAGGGTGCCGGAGCTATACTCCGACGGGAAGGATAAATGGAGTGCGCTCTCGCTCCTCCACTACACGGCGATGACTCGCCCTTCGTATACACGGCCACTTCTTCTCTTCTCTTGGCCTGACCACGGGTAAACGCACGCTACGATACTAGCAGGCGCGTCCACCGACAGTCATAATCCTACCAACAGGTTTATCCAATTGCTACGGGAACTCACCGATAGCCCGGACGTCTTCCTTGAGTGGTTGGGAGGAAAAGCTGTTCTGTTCTTGTCGCCCAAAGGGCTTATCTGTTCTATCTTCTCTTTCCTATGGTTCAATACAAATATCTAGTATAAACGCGTCCGTTTTGGATCTTCCCAAGTAACCACCGACCCTTCAGAGCCTCCTCGACGCCCCAAGAGGCCTCTCGATGACTCTATTGGACGATGAAGACTTGGAGCAGTCGCCGGGGCTCGAACGGTCGTCTTAAGTGCGGATCTCGGGTCAAAGTTCGCTGTAAGTTCGGATCGTACTTGAAGTCCTGGGTGTCGAACTTGGGTGTCGACGAGTCTTCGGCACCGGTCCAGAATGGCCAATCAGCATCCGCCGAACATTGCTGAACATGTCCCGACGACTCGGGTCGCCACTGAAGCTTGGTCGTCAGCTCGATTCTCGTTTACCGCCAAATCACTACACCACACCTGCCTCATTGTGAATTGTTAATTCAACTATCATTTCAGCAGCATGAAAAAAAATGCTTAAGTATCATAGCCCATGAAGACCGGGGTGCGTCGGGTTAGGACGTTAGTCCTAAGGCCTAATATGAGTCAAATTAGGTCCTCAAAAAAGTTAAGATTAGGACTTTCGCTTGTTTGACTTGATTAAAGTAAACTTGTACCACAAATTGTGCGATACGACGAAAACGTGGTACACTATAGTGAACTCAAGTTAACAGATATTTTTGTCCTGCGGAATGCCGTGTCCGATTGAGGTCAAGCATTCGTGCGGGGCAGCTAACACTTAATTCGCTCGCGCACAACCGAACGTGTGTTGGCGAATGAAACCATGACCTGCCAATTGATCAATAACAATGAGCTCCCCAAAGTCAGCAGTGCAAATACACTATATCTGGGTTTACACAGTATAGATCGGGGACTGAGACGATGAGGAGTCAGTAAGAACCACCAGCTTTGCTAAAGGGAGGAATTTAGAAGTGCTGTGGGGGCTTTTACGAAGGTCTGAGTATGAGATTATACTCAAGTAGCGGGGTTTCGCCCTTGTCAACCTTCAAGTGCACATGTAGCCATCGTATCCCGTTAGGACTTCTAAAAACTTCATATTAGGACTTTTGCCCGTCTAAGTACGAAAGTCCTAACCTGACGCACCCCGATCATGACTGTGCGTTGGGACCATTGAAACAGACATACTACTAATCGACCGCTCACAGCAATAACGACCCAGGATATTATTGTGGTTTTCAACTATTTTGCCGCCCGATTTGACGTGTTATCTCGGAGTCCGATTTATATAAAATGCACATGATCGGTTAGTCCAATTTAGCTATATCTGACCTGAGTTAGTAGCATAAGGCTCAAAGGGGAGGCATTCCAAGTTAGACATACCTCCCCACCTCTCATGACGCATTAGAACTGCAAGACATTGGGGACAATAGTACACTGTATATAGCCACTTCATAGCACTATGGCCATCTAAATCACCTGTGTGAACATCTACGGCCGCTACAACTTCGTGCCACGCCGATCTGAGAGGGCCCCAGACATGTTTTCGCGGCGGTCCCATTTGCCGGCAAAACGCGGCATTTCTGGCCCCTGCTTCGCAACTCGCAGCCCCCATACGCAAATCGGGCCAGATATACCTGCTAAATCGGAGCCCTCCAGCAAATCGGGCCCGATATATCGGATCTTGGACCACCCGATTTGCCAAAACGGATGAAAGCCACAATAATACTTATAAGCTTACTGGCATTATCCGATAGCACGATCCTGCACGATACCATCTGAGTATGTGAAGAAAAACTTTCTTGAAGTCACCTCGTCGAAGATCCAATGAAGGTAAACACGTTAAACAAAAAGCAAAGGCGATTTGGTACAGTACATCTATTAATAGGTATAAACATAGTGCGAAGGAGATTTTCATGCAGAGGAGAGGACTGAGTGTTGGAGTTGGATAGCGCGCATTTGCTCCCGATCAACCTCTGCAACCGCATCCCCTCAAACCGCCGCCTCACCACGACGAAACCGATCAACTAGGAATAGTTTAGGGTAACTCACTTACATGGCTGGAATGAAGTTTAGAAAAAGGAACTTGATAAACCGGTTTATCAACTTCGTCGGCGCGGGGTTTCACAGTTTGAAGGCGGTATATCGGTATTTGCTGTTCAAACCAATACTCTTGCAAAAACAGGAAGTGTAACGGATCGCAAACGGCTCAGCTTCGCTTCCTGGAGCTCCTATTGGCTCCTCGCGCAGATACCATTGGCTTCGGATAAAGCCGCACCCGTTCAGTAGGGTCCTGGAGGAAAGGTAAAGGCACGTACATGCAGCTTCCTCACTCTTGGCACCTTTTCCCGGCAGCGTCGTCTGCTCAGATTGAAAGGGACTTCGGCAACAGCGGGCAAATGGTGACTGCCCTGCGAGCTTCTACAAGCACGGCTAATAGCGACTTGGCTTGCTTCCTTCATCAAAACCGGTCATTTGTCGATGTGTGCCAGTCAAAGCTGAAAGCATCCGAAGTCGACGAACACATTCCAAGCAATGTCAAGATTAACCTGGAACCCGAGGTAGTGGAGCGAATGGAATGGAATCAACTGACACAAGCGTGCTTTACGACATCAAGCGCAAGCGCATTTGCTTCTGACAACAAGGAGGAGACGAAAGACTCAAGCTGGTAGTTTTAACGAGTAGGAGGCGAAAGACTCAAGCTGGTAGTTTAACTGCTTCATATATTCAAATATATTCACCTAGCATATTCGAAGTGGCTTTAGTAGTCAATTCCATGAGTTTGTCAAGTCCAGCATGTACAGGGATAAACATTACGAATACTGCAGCGCTTTTACCTTGGCTTGGTGTGATTTCTCCAGCGCACTTGCACGTTCGGCAGCGCGTAATGCTGTTTCGAGTGTCAGTTCGGCGCGGATTTGGTCTAGTCTCGATAGATTGGCCACGGCTTGCGGCTTCGAGGTTTGAGCTGCGGTTGGTTTACGCCTCACTTTACCTGCTCCAGCTCTAAGAACGCCTTTGGGGTGTAATGCTGGCTGATCGTTGCTGTAGGAAGTCTTGCGACCTTGTCGACCTGGGGAACTAGCTGTTTCATGATCCGATTTTGCCTCGTGCAGCGATTTCATTGCTGCTTCGATCGAGTTCCTGAATGAAGTCATCGCTTGATTCACCTCTGCCTTTATTCGGGAATACATAATATTCTCCATGTCTTGAAGAATACTCTGGTTCGAGACAACATCTTGCTGATTGTGGCCCTGTGTAGCCATCTCCGCACGAAGTTTCACAAATTTACGCTCCTGCTTGTGCTGCAGCTTGTTCAGTTTTGCGTCAAAACGCAGCTCCAACTCGCGAGCGCTATCAGCAACAAGTTTTTGAGCTCCACTGTCTAGCTTCTGTCTTTCAGCGCGCAACTGAGCAGAAATCAAATCAGCCACGCTGGAGTCACGCTGTTGAAGACGGTCATCGACATAGGCTTTCATTACCGCTGTCGCTTTATTATTCACCGCTGTACTGCACGACTCCATCGCTGTCTGAAAGAAGTGCTGCGTCCACGACTTCGTGCCCTCCACTTTGCACTCCAGGTCACTCATATGCGCCCGCATCTCGGTTCGTATCCTCTCTTCTGCAACCTCGACAGACTTACTACACTGTCTCGCCTGCACAGCTAATTGGCGCTCGACTTCTGCAACGTAATGTTCTCTCTCTGCACGAAGGTGAGCTTGAATATCGTTCTGCAGGCTGCGTGTCTGAACTTGAAGCTCTTCATTAAGTCGGCTGTGTGATGCTTGAATACCTTCTACCATCTGCTCATTCGGCGCTCGCTTTCTTGGCGGGTCTGGCTGACGTGCTCGTGTGTGTAGTTCAGTAGTTGCTGCGTCCGCATATCGAGCACCAGAGTTTGTTCTTCCGTCCTGCGTCTGGCCTCCTGCAGCTGAAGCTCCATGGCTTGACGCTCGATGCTTCCGTCCACCAGCACCAGCTCTTCTTGTACGGATAGGTGTTTCTGCTGATCCTTGATGGAAATGCTTCGGTTGCGCCTCACCACAGCACCATTTAAGCCAGCAGCGTGTGGTGGGTTTCCGCTTTGCAGAGCTTGATCATCGTCGTGGAGCTCACTTGTGTACGATACAAGAGGCGCGTATGAGTGCTGCATACTGCCTCGACTGGTGAGCAAGATGCAATGGCGTTCACGGTGCAGGGAAAGATATGTGCTCTGGTAAGGCCGCGCGCTTAACCGAGAAGTGCCCGACGTCTCACATCAAGGCTATCCAGCCAATGGGAGAAGACTCGTCGTTTCGTTCTCTCGAATAAGTTAAACCTTCGTTCGCTTCCTCCCGCTTAAGTTTTCATGCGTTTGAACCTTAAAACCTCAGGAACTGCACCGCAGTTCCTGATAAGTCTTCATACCAGCCATGCTCACTTAGACGTCAAAGTGCCAGGCTCCGAAATAAGTGCCTAAATGTACGCCACCAGGTCAAGTACCTGGGGCCTTCTCTCAGATAGCGCGCATTGAGTCAATCATTGAATTCCGTGCCCTTCCTTCCCCGGAGACGAAACCAAGCTTGGTACAGTAGGTACGTTGAAGTGTCATGCAAGGAAGCGAGCCAGTCACCACGGTCAATGGCGCTCCGTCAACGCAACGAGCCTTGCGCGCGGGGAAGATACCTTTGCGTCATGCGACGCCTGCTGGATGTTTGCTGCCCTGGCTTTCGCGATCGCGAGGTGATACGATGTGGGTGGGTGGAGAGAAGAAAGACGGTCTCACATAGTGCAACAAAATGCAACAGCAATGTGCGGTCCTCAAATCCCAAGCTCGAGGACAATTTTTACAGGAAAACGCAGAGAGGGCGTGCGCGCTGCGCGATGCCTTTACGGACTGCAATCAGCCGTCCAAATTGGACTCCAATGCGCTGTAATCCACTATTATAGCGACAGGAAGATTAACAACGCCGTGTGGCAGTGGCGACCGTGACTTGCGTCGCTTCATCTGCTTCCGCTGCGGCAGCAGTCGGCAACGCCAATTAATAATGGTGCGTTTCTGGCGTCCTGTTGGTGAGGAGGGCCACGCAACTTCAGACAGTGGCTGACACGTTGGCGGGTCTTGTGGACGGCCATATTAATAGAGACTGCAATGCAACGACAGACACGGACAGAAAAACGGAGACTAAAGTCCCATCTAAACCCCCATCCCCCTCCGGACATTATCACGCCGCACGCCACGGATCCAGCGACACTGAACTGGAGCTTTTCCCAAAACCAGTACCAGTCTGGGGTCCTAATCCCAGGACCAGCACCAGTCCCAAAACCAGCAGCAGTAGTAATCCGAAGTAGAGTGGACCACTTGCATTTGGGGCAGCGCGGTGTTGATCGAGAATCATGAGTGCGGCAACTGCGCATCGAGGTCGGTTCTCATCCACAGCTGAGCGTGGACGCGCAGAGTCACCTCACTCTGCACTGTAGCATCGCTGTCATGACCACTGGAGTCTTCATCTTGGTGGATTCTCACCTTCAGCCGAGCACGGCCGCTACACTGAATCGCTATCTTGATCTCTGGAGTCTAGATACAGTACATCGTACACGCAGAGCTCTCTGATGTTAGCAACGAGTCAGGCATTAAACTCATGCAACACTAGTCGCCAAGCTTACCGCCTTCTCGTTTGGCATCGGCGGTACACGCCAGTCGACGGCACGATGAGCCCCCGTGCCTTTGCACCAGCCTCGCACGCTACGACTACGCGTACCTGCACCGCAGTACTAAGAGATCCGGTCATCTCCTTCGCAGTAGCATGTAGTCCGTCGTGCAGTTGCCGCACTCATGATTCTCGATCAACACCGCGCTGCCCCAAATGCAAGTGGTCCACTCTACTTCGGATTACTACTGCTGCTGGTTTTGGGACTGGTACTGGTCCTGGGATTAGGACCCCAGACTGGTACTGATTTTGGGAAAACCTCCACTGAACTGCCGCCTAAAGCGTGGCGAATCTGTTGCTTTGTGCCTTCGTGGATCCTTCGAAGAAACACTTAGCGTTGGCTTGTCATGTCCGCGTTTGCGTGTGTAACGGAACTTCCCATCAAACCTTTGTGCACAGCAAGCGCACCCCTCAACGAAGACATGGAGAAAATGCAGCTTTTAGTCTCGGTCGAGGAGCTTACAAGACAGAGCTGCCTACCCGAAATGTCGGACTAAAACAGAGTGCGTTTCACCTGTCCGCGATGCCGATTGCACCCCGCTAGGTGGCCGGCGACAGAGAGCGCAAGGTTGCACACGGCGGCTGGCGCTCGAGCGCCGGCGGACTTGCCAGGAGGGAGCTCATGTAGAGGCAGCGCTCCTGACTTCGGACACCCGTCGGGAAGCGAAATCCCTGAGACCTGACTTCGCATCAACGCGACGGGCTCCCCTGGCCCCTTGTCTGAACAAAGCCGGTGTGCTGTTCGAAGGGATTTGATAGACGAGCTCCATGTTGCAGCCACAGCGCGGTATGCGATCTATGGTCCCGTAGTCGCTGCGCCGAAGTCTCCGAGGGTAGCTCATTCAGCAATTTGCCGAGCCAAGCAAACGACTCCGCTTGCTTAATTGGAGGCCAGCCGCTTCCAATACACCCGACCACCCCCCAAGCACCATGCAGCTTTCTCGCATCATCGCGCACATCGCGCTCGCTGCGGCGATCGTCGCTTCGGCCGCGTCGCCCACGGACGCCGCCTGGGGCTGGATGACCACCCCGAGCCACGAGACCAACGACGCCAAGTCCAACAACATCGTCGAGGGTCTGCAGCTCGAGCGCAACCTGGGTGCCGGTGGCGGCCTGCGCGGCTCGCAGGCGCAGGACACGCCGAGCCAGGACGACGGCTACACTGGCCAGGACCAAAACACGCCGAGCCAGCAGGACAACACCAACCAGGACGACGGCCACAAGGAGGGCGAAGAGGGCCAGCACGAGCAGAAGGAGGACAAGGAGAAGAAGGAAAAGAAGGATGACAAGGAAAAGAAGGAGAAAAAGGAGAAGACGGATGACAAGGACGACAAGGAAAAGAAGGAGAAGAAGGACAAGAAGGACGACGACGACCACAAGCAAAAGGAAAAGAAGAAGGAGAAGAAGGACGACGGCGACCACAAGAAGAAGGAGAAGAAGGATGACGACGACCACAAGAAGAAGGAGAAGAAGGATGACGACGACCACAAGAAGAAGGAGAAGAAGGAGAAAAAGGAGAAGAAGGACAATAAGCACGACGATGACCACAAGCAGAATATTCCTAGCGTGGACATTCCTAACCAGGACACGCCCAACCAGGACACGCCTAACCAGGACACGCCTAACCAGGAGGAGCCCACCCCCACGCCGGAGACCCCCGTGCAGGAGGAGCCCACCCCTACTCCGGAGACCCCCGTGCAGGAGGTGCCTACCCCGACGCCGACTACCCCTGAGATCCCGACGCAGGAGGAGCCCACCCCCACGCCGGAGACCCCCGTGCAGGAGGAGCCCACCCCCACTCCGGAGACCCCCGTGCAGGAGGAGCCCACCCCTACTCCGGAGACCCCCGAGCAGGAGGTGCCTACCCCGACGCCGACTACCCCTGAGATCCCGACGCAGGAGGAGCCCACCCCCACGCCGGAGACCCCCGTGCAGGAGGAGCCCACCCCTACTCCGGAGACCCCCGTGCAGGAGGTGCCTACCCCGACGCCGACTACCCCTGAGATCCCGACGCAGGAGGAGCCCACCCCCACGCCGGAGACCCCCGTGCAGGAGGAGCCCACCCCTACTCCGGAGACCCCCGTGCAGGAGGTGCCTACCCCGACGCCGACTACCCCTGAGATCCCGACGCATGAGGAGCCCACCCCCACGCCGGAGACCCCCGTGCAGGAGGAGCCCACCCCTACTCCGGAGACCCCCGTGCAGGAGGTGCCTACCCCGACGCCGACTACCCCTGAGATCCCGACGCAGGAGGAGCCCACCCCCACGCCGGAGACCCCCGTGCAGGAGGAGCCCACCCCCACGCCGGAGACCCCCGTGCAGGAGGAGCCCACCCCTACTCCGGAGACCCCCGTGCAGGAGGTGCCTACCCCGACGCCGACTACCCCTGAGATCCCGACGCAGGAGGAGCCCACCCCCACGCCGGAGACCCCCGTGCAGGAGGAGCCCACCCCTACTCCGGAGACCCCCGTGCAGGAGGTGCCTACCCCGACGCCGACTACCCCTGAGATCCCGACGCAGGAGGAGCCCACCCCCACGCCGGAGACCCCCGTGCAGGAGGAGCCCACCCCCACGCCGGAGACCCCCGTGCAGGAGGAGCCCACCCCTACTCCGGAGACCCCCGTGCAGGAGGTGCCTACCCCGACGCCGACTACCCCTGAGATCCCGACGCAGGAGGAGCCCACCCCCACGCCGGAGACCCCCGTGCAGGAGCAGCCCACGCCCGCCCCCACGACGCCTGAGGACGTTCAGGGCAGCCACGAGACCGAGGTGACCCCTGCTCCCACGACGCCCGAAATTCCGGTGCAGAACGCCCCTCCTTCGCCCGAGAACCCTGGCCAGGAGGAGCCTCCTTCGCCGGAGAACCCTGTCCAGCAGGGCAGCTACGACCACGAGGTGCCCACGCCCGCCCCCACGACGCCTGAGGACGTTCAGGGCAGCCACGAGACCGAGGTGACCCCTGCTCCCACGACGCCCGAGATTCCGGTGCAGAACGCCCCTCCTTCGCCCGAGAACCCTGGCCAGGAGGAGCCTCCTTCGCCGGAGAACCCTGTCCAGCAGGGCAGCTACGACCACGAGGTGCCCACGCCCGCCCCCACGACGCCTGAGGACGTTCAGGGCAGCCACGAGACCGAGGTGACCCCTGCTCCCACGACGCCCGAGATTCCGGTGCAGAACGCCCCTCCTTCGCCCGAGACCCCCGCTGTGACGCCTGCCGTGACCAAGCCCCACACGTTGGACTGCGCTTTCTAAGTCCGTAGCTTATCCCGGCAGCTTATTGAGATCTAGTTTTGGATACCATTAATGTGCTTTCGAATGACAGATTTCGTTTGATCATGTCTGCAGTATTGTTTCATTTTGTACTTTGCTAAGTTGACATTTATGGTTTCTATGTTACGTCATTTTAGCCGTCAATTTGTTGGTACTGTGTCAACTTTGGCGAAACTTAGACGACACCTCTAAGCCAACACACTCCAGACACTCCATTTTTTTCACTCCACCCCAGTGCGGACGCCACACTCGAAGTCAGATACCACGTTACTTTGCAAGGCAATGGAAGGTGTGAGGGGGGCTGTGTGAAGTCACTTGCCTATAAGAGGCTCAGACAGCAGCACGCCAACTTTTGAGACTCAAATCGCGTAGGGTAGCTACACTATAGTCCGTAAAGGTGAAGGTAAGCGCAACTATCCGTGTATGTGGTCCTTTTCGGCAACACCCATGTGACAGGATAAACATCCACTGAAGAAAAAACGGTTCTCGGATCATTGCACCGACGCTCAGCTTGCTTCTGCTGTGCTGGTGTTCATTTAGAGGCAGCGCAGTAGTCGATCCGCGCACGAACTACGGTGGTCATCACGCAGCGACTCCGGCTTGCGAGAGCACCACTCCGCGCTAGTCGTAGTACACCTTTTCAACTTCAAAACTGCAAATTATAAGTTCAAAACAGCAAAAGGTAAGGTCAAAACAACAATACTCTATAAATGTATATTACAAACTGAATGATATCTATCATCGTATACGATTATAGAGTACAATTTGCCTATTGGCTAGCTATGCTGCGTGCCAACCAATGAGCTGTGTATAAAAGTACGAAGCTGGCCTGGTCTCTGCTCGTGCAGTTTTGAACTTACCTTTTGCTGTTTTGAACTTACAATTTGCAGTTTTGAAGTTGAAAAGGTGTAGATCTAACCACTCCGTACAAACGCGACTATCAAACCTCAGCTCGTAAAAGATATAAAGCTTGCTGCCTTTGCATTGAGCGCGAGAAGGTAGAGCATCAGCGGGGACAAGGACTTGTTGCTGCACTTTGCCCACTTTGCAATTTGTCTCCTGCAACCCACAACTAAAGCCGTACGCTTCCCAACCAAGTACCAAGATGCTCGCTCGATTCACCGTCCAGCTCGCCCTAGCCGTCGCCTGTGTCGGTATCCTCCTTCCGTCCTCGCACGCCTGCCTCACCAAGTTGCTCACGGGCAACGGCTGCGATTCGACCGACACGAGCACGACCTTGCTCGGTGGCGCGGTGGATACGCCGTGTGACGAAGACACGTCCTCGATCCTCTCTAGTGGCCTATTCAGCGGGTTGACTAGCGGCCTCACGAGCAACGGCTTAGCCACCACCGCGGACGCTCCGTGCGATGACGACACGTCTTCGATCGTGTCCAGTGGGTTGACGAGCGGCTTGAGCGGCGGACTCGCTAGTGGTGACCTGAGCACGGGCACGGGCATAAGCGGCGCCTGGCCCAGTGCGTCGACCTCCGTCTCAGGCGGAGCGACGTCCACCGGCGCTGCGACTCCGTGTCCTCCATCATCGAACGGAGTCTCCACCACTTCAGGCACTCAAGCGTCCACCTCGGCGACTGGTGCGTCCAACAGCGTGACAACCACGAGCAGCACCCCATCAGCTGCGACTGGTACGTCGGCCACAGCGAGCGGCGCGGTGACTTCAACTGCAACTTCGACCGCCTCAACCCAGGCGACGCCGACTTCCAGCGCTGCAGACTCGACCACTTCTCAGACGGCGCAAGCTTCGGGCACCGCGGACCCATCGACGATCAAGACGGGCATGTCCGCTGCCACCGCTGACCCTGCGACGAAAGCGGCCGCGTCGACTTCCACCACCCTCAGCTCGGCCGCGCAGAACCTCCGCCAGTAACTCGTACCCGCTCAGGCAAGCAGGCGAGGCACACCACACCCACACCACCCAAACCCCATCTTCTTCCAGTAGCGCTGCCTTTGATTTTTAAGTTTTCAACCTTGGGGGTTGCCCCCAGTTAATGTGAAGTGTTCATTCGTGTCAAGAGTGCTAAGTTATGTGTGGTCTGCCCATTGGCATTAGCGGAGCAGATGCTCGACTATCTTTTCCCGCCATGGTCACTAACTATCCGATACCCCTCACTCTCAACTCGAGAGTCTGTTTGAGACCCCCTCACTTCACCATTCCCACAGGCGGAATACCGTACACCCTCGAGTCGATCGGCCGCGCCCCCTCCTTCCATGCGTCGTCCATTCGCGCGATCCTCAAGATCGGGCATGGTCTCACACAAGTCTCCGGGCTTCTCGCTATTCTTGTTGCTGCTGCTTTGGTCTGCAGCTAGCTCCCTCACTCCAGGCCGTCGGTTCATTCGCCCCTCTCCAGAACTCATGGACTCGCCAGTTGAGACCGCGAGTCATGCGGTTGACAACCCGCGACACCAGGAGATCAAGCAACTCCAGCGCGTTTACTGCCGGGGAGAGCTGCTGCATGAGGTGCAGACGCAAGAGCTCTTCCCGGACAGCAAGCACTTCGTGGACATGCCGATCAAGGCCTCGTCGTCGGTGGAGCAAGTGTTGACTCAGTTCCAAGAGCTCGAGGCGAACTTTAGCAACGATAACACCACGGGAGCAGCGGCAGACTGGAAGGCGCGACTCGCTGTGTTTGTCGACCAACACTTTGACTCGCCGGGGGCGGAGTTGGTCCCCACGACTCCTCCAGACTTCCACGAGGGCGAGGTACCTGTTAGGATCATGGAGATCAGGAACGAAAGCCTGCGTGGCTGGGCTATGGAGCTGCACAAGCTGTGGAAGGTGCTGGCTCGCGTCCCCGCGTCTGCTGCATCAGGTGAAGCGTCTAGGAGTTCGTTCTTGCATTCACTGCCGATTGCTGCAGCTCCAGGCGACCCTCAGAGCGCGCTGGCACGCCAGTTCCACGGAGAAAACGTGCTTGTTGTGCCTGGTGGGCGCTTCCGCGAGAGTTACTACTGGGACTCGTACTGGATCGTGCAGGGCCTGCTGGTCAGTGGTCTCCGTCAAACCGCTCGCGGGGTGGTGAACCACTTGCTCGAGTATGTGGCGGAGTTCGGCTTCGTCCCCAATGGCGGGCGCATTTACTACCTCACTCGCTCGCAGCCTCCGATGCTCTCGGATATGGTGCGGGTCGTTGCCAAGCTGGAGAATAGTTCATCAGATGAAGATGCTGACGCCTGGGACCTCGAATACTTGCGCGCTGCCGTGCCGTTGCTCGAGCGAGAGTACGACTTCTGGATGCACCGTGGCGTTCATGGCCACGCCGTCGAAATTCCAGGTCCACACGGGGAGACCTTCGTCCTCAACCGGTATGTTGCTCACGCTGGTGAGCCCAGACCGGAGTCATATCGCGAGGATGTCGGCACAGCGTCCGCTGCATTCAGGCAGAACGTTACCACGGACAAGGCAGCAGTCTACAACGAAATCATTGCGGCAGCTGAGAGCGGCTGGGACTTTAGCAGTCGGTGGTTCGCCGACTACTCCACGTTGAAAACGATCCGCACCTCGCGTGTTGTCCCCGTGGAGCTGAACTCCATCCTACACCGCGTGGAGCTCAACCTTGCGAAGTTTTATGAAGTATTGGGGAATTCTGTGGCTTCACTTCGATTCCGAGACGCTGCAAACACCCGCACTCGGGCCATGGACGCCGTGCTTTGGAGCGAGTCCGAGGGCTGTTGGAAGGATTATCTGCTGGACTCCCGCGAACATTCCCGAGTGGTGTCCATTGCCAACTACTCACCGCTGTGGGGGAGAGCGTTCGACGCCTCGGACTCCGCTCGATTGGAGAAAATTGTGACGTCTTTGGAGAAGTCAGGACTGGTTCAGGAGGGAGGTGTCCAAACGACGACTTCGGTCACGGGCCAGCAATGGGACGCGCCCAACGCGTGGCCGCCTCTGCAAGATATCATCATCGAAGGTCTGCAGGCGGCCGACACGCCAACCGCGCTGACATTGGCAAGGGGACTTGTCCAGACGTGGGTGGAAGCAGGCTTCGTGGCGTGGCAGAAGACCGGGCTCATGTTCGAGAAGTACAACGCCCAGCAACTCGGCGGGGTCGGCGATGGGGGCGAGTACACGCCGCAGTTCGGCTTCGGCTGGTCCAACGGCGTGATCCTGTCGTTTCTTACCAAGTACCAGGACCAATTAGGCGACGCTGCTGAAGTTGCACGTCTTGTTGGTGCTTGATAAAGAATGTACTCCGTCTTTTAAGATATGAAAGCCCGCGCTGGGACACATGCATTAAGCTTTAAGTGTCGAGGCACCTACCTACCTAACCTTCGACTAATATGAGTTGCAACACCCTTCTCCCTCTAAAAAAATCATATCTATCAGCTTCTAACGCCCGACACCGCCGCAAGTGGCGGTTCGTTCTGGTTGGTTGTTGCCAAGATCGTGGGGACCTCTTGAACCTGCAGATGGACACGGACTCTTGCGAGCCATGGAGTCCGCCGCAGCGAGAAGCTGGCGAAGTCTCTCGTCTCCGTCCCTAGCAACCACTGGCCCATCGAGCGCCGTTTGGCGGTCAATCTGCACGAGTTGCAGCGTCTCAAGCGCGCACTCGCTGCCCTCCACCACCTTCGCGTTATCTCCAAAGCATTGCCGGACATTGTTACCGGTAACTCTCTTCCGAGCCACACACAGGTGCAGTCCGCTCTCATACTGACACACTTGCGCGTACATCTTGTTGGTCACTTGAAGTTGCTCCAATAATTCCTCAAGCGTCGGCTGCTCCACGAGTTTCATGGTCTTGCTGCGCAGAAACTCGCCCGCCTTGTCCTCCATCCTCGCACAGGCCTCCTGCTCGAAGCGGGCGTCCCCCACCGACACGAGGTCCGTGCGCGTCTTGAGTCTCATAAACACCTCCTGCACCTTCAAATGGCTACACAGCGCGTCAAAAGTGGCGCACTTCCAGTCCAATTGGCTACCCCCGGTACCAACGTGATGGTGGTACCAATCTCTGGCCGACACCACCTGCACCCGCTCGCTGTCCCCAGCGCCGCAATGGTGCTGGTTGTCCAGCAGGAACTGGCGCAACTTTGGCAAGAAGTGCTCGGCGCTGGCCACGACCCAGGGCAGCGACGCCGCCGTGACGATGAACACGGGTCCGAACCGAGCCGCGAGCTGCAGGAGCTCCAGAGCTTGGTGCTCCAGTAGCTCCAGGCGTTGCCGGTCCGATGGCGTTAACGGTGACGGCGCTGGCTTCTGCTCGAACGTCTCGATGTCCATGGGTGGGGCTCCGTCGATGAGTCCGTGCGCGACCAGCAGTCCTCGGTGATGTAGCCATGTTGTCGGACACAGAGTGTCATCCCAGTCGAACACTGATACCAATGGCTTCTTGGTGGCTTGAGCGCTGGAACTGGGCGGCGGAGTGGCCATGGACGCGTAGTAGCGTGGCGATGCCCTGGGCTTGGAGGCGAAAGCTACGGATGATGGTGGGTTTCGCCCCGAACTGCTGGAGTAGCCATGTGTTGACACCACGCGCATGTTGCCGGGCACTTGCCACGACCGTTATTGAGCTATTTTTGATGGATGGAGCAGAAATGACCCGAGCAGCGCGGTGATTGGCTGAGCCGATTTTGGCTACATTGCCTCCGCTAAACTTATGAAATGAAATGATATCCATTTTCGCGTGCGATCAACGCGCTCTCGCGATACGCCAAAGTCCGTGAGCTTGGCGTCCAGTTCATGTGTTAGTAAAATGTTCTTGGACTTGAGATCGCGATGAATCACGGGAGGGTCGAGCGAGTGCAGATACGTGAGAGCGTGTGCCACGTGCAGCGCGATCTTAAGCTTCTCGTACGTAAAACCAACCGGTCGGTGCTCCGTCTCGTACTTGTTGAGCAAAGTTCTCAAATCTCCACCAGACATGAACTCCGTGAGCGCACAGAGGTCGTTGGGCGAGTCCCAAGCTACTCCCACTAAGTGACCAATACGTGGATGCTCAAGTGTAGCCATGATCTTCACCTCGGTGAGGAAGTTGATACGGTGGGCCTTGCTCTTCCTCGTGTCTGGGAGCAGCATCTTGACTGCAACTTGCTGTCCGTTGTACGTCCCGAGATACACCTCACCATACCCGCCACGACTCAGAAGATGTTGAACGATCACTTTTTCGCGCGGAACTCGAGCTCCTAGAATGGCTTCATCTCGCCACAACGCTGATCCATCGCCGTCCGACGCAGAAGTGAACATGTCGTCTGCAGTCATCGACGTCGCGCCTTCAGCCATGTTCATAAACCCACCTTCACCTTTAGTCCCATCGGAGCCGTTCGATTCTTGCCTTTTGGCTGCGGAGCGACGTCCACACCAGAAAACCAGCCACCCGATTACAACTGCAGCCACCACTCCGACAATTGCTATCACCACGATAACGCCAGTGCTGAGACCCGAGCTTGATCCATCTCCGCTTATAACGCCAACGCTTGATCCGCTACTGCCAGCACTTGTACTTCCAGTTTCATCAATTCCGCTCCTCGAGTCTCCATTGCTTGTACTTCCACTGTCGCTGTAGCCCCCACTACCCGACGTGTACTCGCTCTCGGAGTAAAACTTGTACTCGCCATCATAGCACGAATGGTCTTCCACCACAGAGCTTTCAATCGAGAAGCTTTTGGCTGCTGTAGTCGAGCACGCGTTATCCTCGAACAGCTTCAAGCTCTCGGAGCCAACGCTCCCCACACTGGCGATCGCACTCTGGTAGGACGTCGAGTTGATCATCTTGATGCAGCTGTCGTTGGCCAGGAACACCCTGCCTTCGAAATCGGTCGCCGACGTGTTGAACTGCTCTACCATGACGTAGTCTGTGCTCTTGTAGTAGCTCTTGGTCCACTCCTGAGTGTCGGCGACGCAGATGACGGTGCGGTAGTACTCGGTGCGGTTGAAGGTGTAGGGCGAGCAGTAGTAGGTGATGTTGCGCTGACCGCAGTTGAATTCCGGGAAGATGTCCATGTAGAACGGGGCTCCGGAGCAGTCCGACGTGGTCCAGTAGCCAGACTGCTGGTATGTGAACGCTGCAGCTTGTTGTAGCAATAATGCCGATACTGCAAACACGGCGCAGGTTGATATGGCCTTCATTGCTGCGCTTGCTTGCTGGGGCTTTTCAGTGTTGGGAGAAGAATGGGAAGTGGAAGGGGTCGATCAAGCCAGTCAGTCGAGTGGATTGATTCTCAGGATTTCACTTTTTTGTTGAAGCCACCAAAGCTGTGCGACTGTCTTCACGAAACTACGGCGGTCCCCAGTGATCAAAATGCATATTGACTGATAGCGCTAGCACCGCAGATCAGGTGTCCACGAATTCAATAAAACTCTTGCGTGATGGCGATGAGCTGTCGCGCTCCCAAGCTACGGATTGCCGCTTCACGCATGAAGCGAAGCCGTTCTCTATCCATTGCAGCAGGTCATGCGTGTAAAAATATTCACCCTCGCTAAGTTTAGCACTTCGGCTACGATGACGGCAGCAGTGGGGACGAGCTTGTGGATGGCACCCGAGGTCATGATGGGCGAGCGCTATGACGACAGGGCCGACATCTTCAGCTTCGGCATAGTGATGTCGGAGCTGAACACGCACTCGATGCCTTACGCACACGCCAAGTCCCGAGATGGATCCGGCCATCGAATGCCCGACACGGCCGTCTTGCAACTCGTCGCTGCCGGACGTCTTCACGCCCCAGAAGTGCTCTACCACCTCCAGACAGCCTTGAAGGACATGTGCACTGTAGACGAAAATTGTAGCCATCTGTAGTCGTCACACGTCGCAGATCGTACCTATTGCGAACTTGGCTTTCTCCATACCGCGCCACGACGTGAACATGGGTACGCATGGCAATTTTTGCTCGTTGCCTCCCTGCCAGTGTATAGCTCACCCCATGTTGCCTACATTGACAGCAGGCCCTCCCGCTTCATCTATGCCCAAAGACAGAGCCAAAAAGACCTACAAGCGGCCGCAATGCAAGCACGAAGGCTGCACCAACCAAGTCAAGTCCAAGGGGCTGTGCAAGAGCCACGGAGGGGGCATCCGGTGCAAAATGGAGGGGTGTGACAGGTCCGCGCAGAAGGCGGGGCTCTGCTACACCCACGGGGGCAAGGCGTGCTCGGTGGAAGGTTGTGAGAAGAGTGCTCAGCGCAAGGGACTGTGTTATGCTCATGGTGGCAAACCGTCCGAGGCCAAGCGGTGCACCGTGCCCGGCTGTTTGATGGTCGCGCGGACGAGGAATTTGTGCAGAGCGCATGGCGGAGGCGCTCCTCAGTGTGAAGTGGAAGGCTGCGAGAAGGTGGCAGAGCCGGGAGGTCGCTGCGGAGCCCATGGCGGAGGCAAGCGGTGCAAGGAGGAGGGCTGCACCAAGAGAAGGATGACGAAAGGGCTGTGCTGGGATCATGGCGGTGGCAAGAGGTGCAAGCTGGAGTGGTGCGATAGTCGAGCGGACAGGAGTGGGTTTTGCAGCGCTCATTTGGCGGAGAAGCGGGGTGTGGAGGCGCCTAGGAATGCGTCTGATGACAATTGGGGCATTGATAGCGACGGCGACGAGATGGCTACCTATGTTTCCTCGGCTAACAGACGCCAAACTACAGAAGAGCGAGCTGGCTCGGCGACAGCTACTGGTCTTAAGGAGAAAGGGGATAACCGGCCGAGTGTTGTTGCCAGGGCCGCTGATGCCACGAAAGGTGGGGCGAGGAAAAGATGACTGTTGCTGGCATACCAGTACGGCAGTTTAATTGTTCAACAAGCTGAAGATTCGCCACTCCAAGTTGTCGTCTACCCAGAGCGATCAGAAAAAGTATGAGCGCGTACGTGCTGTCAAATCGTCTCGAAAATGTCAAGTGGCGAGAGAGATCAGCAAGATGCGACGTCACGCTGGCAAAACTGCCAGTGGCAATGCTGTGCGGGTGTATCCAGTACTTCTTGAAGCATGTCCTAGACTTCATCACCACAAGCTCCGTACATGTGTGTGGATCTTTCAAGGAAGAATGGTGATGCACATTTATTGGATTGATGACACGCACGAAAACGAAAAAGGAGGTATCCGAGCAGCGCTTCTAACGTGTCGAATCCTCACTGAAGGCCGTCTACTTGCTGCTGCCGTCGGTCTTCTTGTGGTCCTTCTTGCCCTCCTTCTGCTCGTGCTTCTTGTCGCCGTGCTTTTTGTCGTCATGTTTCTTTTCCTTCTTGTCGTCGTGCTTCTTTTCCTTTTTGTCGTCGTGCTTCTTGCCATCCTTCGTGTCGCCGTGCTTCTTGTCCTTCTTGCCATCCTTCTTCTTGTCCTCCTTCTCCTGCTTTTTCTTCTCCTTCTTTTCCTTCTTCTCTTTTTTCTCCTTCTCCTTGTCGTCCTTCTTTTCCTTCTTCTCCTTTTTCTCCTTCTCCTTGTCATCCTTCTTGTGACCATCCTTTTTGTTGTCGCTGCCCTTCTTCTTCTCGTCATCCTTTTTCTTGTCACCGTGCTCCGTCTTGGGCTTCTTTTCGTCGCCCTTGGAGCCATCCTGGCTGGCGCCGCGGAGGCTGCGGAGAGCTCCAAGCTCCGGAGCGAGCTGGACGTCCTCGGCGAGGTTGGTCGTCGTCAGGCCCGTGGAGGCGCTGGCGGGCGCGGCAGTCGAGGCGACGACCACGGCGGCGAAGGCGATGAGGTAGGAAAGCTTCATGGTGCTTGGGTGGGTTGGAGTAGAGTCGGCTGCGCTTGGCTCTGCGAATTGGTAAGTGAACGCTTCCAGCCGAGCTGAAGCGGCAGAGCACCTCGACGCAACCTTTGCTGGCAGAGCTCAAGCATTTATCCCATGTGGTCGAACAGCACACCGATCCATCTTCAATATCCTCCTGTTTTGCCAAGGTCGCCACACGTTGTGGCCACGACTTCGCAACAACTCTTCAGCAATCCCTTCGAGTGAACGAAGCGAGCGACCCAAAGCGATTGCGGCCAAAGACTGCAACCTGTTCGCGCGGATGTGTAGCTTTCCTCACTTGCAGTAATATGCCCAGGATGGCAACACCCGCTCACCAGGAATCGGAAACCATACAACCGCACACGCCCAAGTTGAAGCGTTCTTTTACAGTAAGCTTAGTGCACTCACTACTATAATGCATGTGAATCTTGAATTGAACGCACTCACCGCTGTGCTAACAGCAAACGCGACGAACAGGACATTTTTTGGGTACACCACACCACGCCCTTTCACTTGAACAAAGTATGGTCCAAATCATGCCACTTTGTCAAACTTGACAAGCGAAGCCATGTCGCCCAAGCCCAAGACGGACTCGCTCTTCCGCTGGATCGAGGAGCGCGAGCGCGAGCAGCTCGAGGCCACCAACTCCTCGTGGAGCCGCGTGCTCGACGCCGGCACTGGCCGCCACTCGCTCACGTGGCTGCTACGTGGCGATGCGTCGTCGCTCATTTCGGAGGTCGTGGCAGTCACGGGGGAGAAGCCTCTCGCCATTGAACTCTCGACCGCATTCGCCCCCAGCGCCACGCCACACGCCACCCCATTGAAGGTCCATGCCGGCAACTGGCAGAATGCCAAGTTCCTCGCCAACGAGAAGCCGTTCGACGTCATTATCGCCGGTAAAGTGAAAATGGCTACACCGTTGCAACATGGCTACATCAATTCTGCATCATCCTGACTCTCGTTTCTTGCTGTAGACTATCTTGTTGGCGCCATTGAGGGCTTTGCGCCGTACTACCAAGACCAGATCTGTGCTCGCCTGGAGAAGATGCTGGCTCCTGGAGGACGGATCTACCTGGTGGGGCTGCAGCCTTTGAGCGAGTCCCAAACTCCGGCTGGTGCCCCTGGCGCCGATGAAGAAGCTGGCAAACTTATTCAGGAGGTAGCACGCACTCGCGACGCGTGTCTGCTGCTCGCTGGTCGACGCTGCTACCGCGAGTATCCAATTGACTGGTCGCACCGCCAGCTGGAGAAAGCGGGTCTGGAGGTCACGAACAGCGTGCGGCTGGCCAATGTATACGGTCGGTCAGCGGTTACCCGCCAGTTGGAGGTTGGCAGACGCCATGTGCCGATGTTCCAAGACAGCGAACTCGCTGAATCCATGCAGCAAGCTCTCGACCGTGTGGACGAACGGCTCGAAGAGGTGTTCGGCCCTGGCGGACTGCCCAAGGACGAGCAACGCAGGATACGCTTCGGATTTGACTACGTGCTCGCCGCGCGCAAACCCATCAAGGCTCAAGATGGACATGCTGAGGGTGGAGTGGCTAACTGAGACCCGCTTCTAACAACTGTTGGCCGGTGGCTACGGGCGTCAAGGTACTAGTACTGTCGAGGACATCGAATATGCATGCAGGGGACAAAATAAATGGATCAACGGTATCGTGTTATGACGGCTTGATCTTCATAATACAAGTAGAACTTCATCCACTGACGCTCCCGCGGGAACCACATAGTTGATGGTTTGCTGTGAGTGTTCACCTTCGGTAGTACGCTTCTCGGACCAGTGCTTAAGCACATTTCCTTGTCCCTGAATGGTACTGATAGTGGCATGGTTTGGTTTTGCGTGATGGAGTTCTTTCTTGCCAGTGGTGCCAAGTGCTTCGCTCATACAAACACCATGACGTTTTGCTGCAATAAACTGGCCGGCGCCTCCGCTTTTCCTTTAGGAATCTCAGCTTGTTTTTAAATTATTATTGCTGGTGCCATATTTAAAAAATGGCACCAGCCATAATAAAAAGGAGGAAAAGGCGAAATACGTAAAATAAATCGCAAAGCGGATCCGTGCATCGATGATTTGTACGTTAGTATCAGTAGCCGTGTACTTAAATAAGTAAGTATTATACTGGGAACTCCCGAAGAATGAGGGGTGGACAGCTCCCAACGGATTAATTGGACGCGTAAGCGTAACCTGGCGCAACCTTCGCGCTACACCAGCCAGAAGGATGTCGACCGAGCAGGTTCAACGGCAACTTTCAGCAAGGCAGACTGAGGCAGGAAATGCACGTCAACAGACCCATGCACCAGCTTCAGAAAGTGAACTGCGGCACGCGCGATATTCATGGGCGTGGCCCCTGCGGGGCCACGCCCTTGAATCACGCGGGCCACAGTTCTCCCTTATCATGGCAATTAGCACCAGTACCATCATCAGCGTTTTACCACTGGTGTTCCCAGCCAAGTCGAAGACGACCTAGTTAACCCTTTTAACGAATAGCCAAAAAGTAACATGTAGTCAAAGCTGCAATCATTACATAAAATTTATTAAAATATTTTAACAGGCGACGCCTGAGCCAATGTGCAACAGGCTCGGGAAGTTAGCGTCTAAAATGATCGGCAAAATATCTGCAAAGCACAACACAATGTATTTATATTATTACCATCTACGTTATGTCCGAAAATGTCAGATAAATGTACGATTGTGTATAACGCATTTTTAAAGTTAAAATTGCAAGTTGCTAAAGTGGCATTGAATAATTTAGGACAACTGACAGCAAAACGAAATGTTATATTCAGAAGCTTTCTGTTTTACCTATATTACACTTCGCAAAAAATCAACCAATTTGTGACTGGTGCTTGAACCAGAAGATCTTTGAATACATGTAGCGCATTCTCATCATCAGGAACATATTCATGTTATAATTATCAGCGCCTGTCCTGCGATACAGACGCCTTCAGGACTTGGCTACGTTTCTTTAAACAATGACATTGTAGACGCGCCAGTTAGTTGGTGATCCTAACCTACACAAAACAGTAGAAAATCCCACTAACTGAAGTGCAAAACGTCAAAGCCAAATATTCCTTTTGAAAACGGAGATAACGTAGTTGGCTCCGAAGACGCAGTCAATACACCTCTTCTCGTTCAGTATGCCTCTCGTTTAATATGGCCATTTTTAGCTCACGTACGTGCTGCAGCCTTCGCAGCCTGGTAATGACAAACACTCGTGGTGGTCAACTTGTCGCCATCATACGAATCACTTCAGGAATCACTGACCAGCTTGCGGTTTGTTTCGGCAGTCAGAACCTGCAAACCCAAGACGATCAAGTGTGCTGCGCCTTCGCGTAAGCAACACAATGGTTGTTCGGGACTTCCAAAGCACAGGCTTGATATCAATCCACACGGATTTTTTTAAAGCTGGCATGCGCTGAGTAGGGCTTACATGAGTGGATATACGGAGATTACGCAGCTAACGTTTGAGCACAAAATTGTCAACTCTGTTATTAATGAAGAGTACATTGAGCTTTGGGTCGTCTAGAGAGCGATCGGCTTCAACCCGAAGACGAGAGGGCTACAAATTGCGCTGCTGCTCTTACTGCCGACGGGTGGCAAACACCAGGGCTGAAAATGGAGTGGCCATTGCTACAGGTGGCGCTGAAAATGTCGTCGCAGGTTGTGCAGGTGCCGTTGCAAGTGGCGCTGACAGCGGCATCGTTTCTGCTGGAGAGATAGACGAAAACGAGGAGGTCCCGGCACAGCTTCGCTGCCGATACCGGGGAAAAGATAACTGCGGGCGCGGCGTGTCAAAAATGTAAAAGGGGTGCTGTTAGTTGTGTGTGCTTACCCTCGAAAGAACCATAATGATCTGAAGGCAAGGGCTGCTGCAATGAGTAAACATGCCAACACCGCGTCTGACAGCACATCTGAAGCTGCCACTCCGACTAAAACTTCCGTTCAAGCTGAAAAAGATCGCTTGATTTCAGTATAGTGTACCACAAAGGTTGTCCTAGACGAATTGCTAGGATAATAATTGTGGTACACTATTCTTGAATAAAAAAATTCGGGTTTGTCCTATCAGAAGCGACCTTGTGTTGCTCGAGCAAGCAAAGGCTACCTGTGAGGCAGTCGGTGTTTTGTGGAATGAGCTCAAAGCTCCCGTTAGTTCTTTCCTGCTCTCTGTAGTCCTTCTTTCCTAACTCCCGGATGTGGTGGTCAACCTCTTTCATAGGGCAGCCCCACCACGTGGGAAAACCTCCAGCACTCTGTGCCTTCACAGGATAAACGACCCACGCTCGCACTCCAACGTTGGGATCAATACACATCAATCCTCAACACTATCATTTTTCGTGTTTGTGCTAGCAAAATTCCCGACTGAGGTTAAAAGGCAAATAGTTACGTCAATCCAAATCAGGGCTCAAGGCCAATCTCCTGGTGTATCTTAACCCTTTCGCGGTAAAAGGATACAGAAAGCGCCCTTTATATGATTTTCCAAAACACGGTAGAGTGTACCCCCTCTTAAAGGGCGCATCCTGTACCCTCTTGCACAAGTTCAAGATAGTAAACAACCTTCTTTTAAAACAAATCAAAATCGGTACGCAGAGTAATCATCATGTAATCATTATCTATACAAATTCTAAGTCATACGCATTCATTCTATGCATCCTGCAAATCACCGTAGATGGCATGTCCCATGAGACACACCGAACAGGTTGTAAAAGGACGCCTAGAGCGCCCTTTTAGAAGGAAATATCAATGAGTTGTATACTATAATTTATTGAGGATACTCGCGAAAGGGTTAATAAACCAATGGTGATCTACACCAAATTTATCTCTTTTCCGTTTTCAAACGCGCCAATCGTGGTCGATCTACGTAAATTGAGGTCTTTACGTATGAGGTCGTCATTTCTACGTTGTCCCCTAATTTGTTGATTGACCCTCCTTAAACTGGGTCATAATTTTATCTGCGAAGCAAAAAATATAATAGATTGAAACAGAATGATTGGTGCTATGTCACGCGACGCTTGTATCCGTAGATTAACTTGTAAATGCCGACGAACTTAAGCACGTCAGTCGCAGGACCGTTGTCAATGCTGAACGTGCTAGTAGCGGTGACGGGCGATGCACAAGAAGTTACATTCTTGAATGCGCTTCTCGATATCTTTCAATGCAAGTATTCAAAACAGGTAAAGTTGCCACAACGACCTCATCAGCAACGAATAGAGCTCATAAGGACCAAAGCAAGCTAAGCATCATCGACACGACTTGTAGATGCTGCTCGATGGACATATCGTGTATTCAGTGAAACAATGCGTTCTTTCACGCTAGCTTGCCTAGCTGTAACACCGAATTTTGTTTGCTGTTGGCACCACAAGCAGCTGGAGCAAGCAAACACTTCCCGTTTCGCTCCAACCGCGTGCTTTGAAGCAATGGCCACCACTCCATTCCCCAGCAAGAGAAAGCGCGTCCCGTCGGGCGAGCAGTTTGCTGTTTCCCCGTACTGTATTGCCCCGACGTCCTAAAGGAAGTCGCAGCGGCGTTATTCTGTGACAGCCAGTCGCGAAAAGTCAAGTGCGGTCTTAAGGAGGCCCACAGCGGTATTACAGACCTGTTTCTAAAGCAGGTCCAATATATTATTGTAAGGATTCGGGTTTAATATATTAATACGGTACCTCCCAGCAAGGACGGCTAACATTTAAACCGACAATGCTAGGCAATTCGTTTAAAATTGAAAAGTTTTTCGTCAATCAAAACATGTACAGCTGCTACATTTCTTTTTAACAAAATCATAAAGAAAATGAGTTTTTTTTGAAAACCGGTGGAGTGATTACCAAAGGTGCACGACTATTACACGACTAATTAGGGTGAAGGGTGTATTTATTAACTAGCTGAGCACCTCGTTCACTGCGCTTCCTCGCTGCTAATTTGGGGCGACACTAAATATTGTGCTCTACACAAAATCGGTAAACAATTTTTCGCCAATAATTCTTTCGACTTGGCGCGCAAACATGGATATACAGATGATAGGATACGCGTATGGCGCTGCCGAATATACAGCTGCTTACGTGAGCAAAGCCGAACCTGACACATTGCGCTTCCGAAGCACTGTCGCTGCAGCTGTTAAGCGATGTGACCCGAATCTCCCTTACTACGCTATTCTTAAAAGAATAGCTAACGCCACATTGGCTGGTCGTGAGGTAAGTGCCCAAGAAGCTTACTTCATACTGCTTCGAGAATTAAAAATGTATGGTAAGTCTCGTAAAGCCGAGTGAAGGTTTTGCGTCATCACTTGCGATATTACCGAAGCCTTACGGAACTTGGGCATCGACAAACCGCCTCAACTCGATAATATTAAAATTGAATCATACGAAAAAGCCTACATGGCGCGTCCTCAGGAAGAACCGTTCAAGTCGATGTCATATGCTAGCTTTGTAGAGCACTATGAGGTAGTTGAAAGCGCAACCTCAACAGCGAAGTATTGGAAGCGAATCGATAATCTAGGTTTTTTACGACAGCGTCAAAAGCCCAAGTTCTTCGTATGTCGCCATGGATGGCACCAGACACATCAAACCCTAACTTTTGTTTTGCTGAGTTGTTTTTACACGTTCCTTGGAGACACTTAAGCGACTTACCGATTACTGACGATGACTGTATTAGTCGGTTCTACGACGAACAAAATAAAAACCTCGACAATGAACTCCGAACTGAAGTGAATTTAAAGGTAACGAGGCAATGTCAATTAAATCTTCTGAAGAATTCTCGCGAGAATTAATGCTGCACTAATCTGCCTCCGTCCGAGTATGTTTTCATCGAAGAACCTGATGAGCACCTCAATGAGCATGAGATGGAAATCGAGAGAGATAAAAAACTTATTGCAGACCTTCATACTCAATGCAAGCCAAAGCACAACTACTCTAACGACGACATTAGTAGAGCACGCGAATTTATGACAAAATATGTGCGGCCATGGGCAAAAAATCAGCGAGAAGCATTTCATTTCAATTTACAGCAATCCACCGATCACAAACAAAGATTTTCCAAACATTACGTCGCAATGACCACGCAAAAAAACGGCCCAGCTAAGCTATTGTCTCTACAGCAGCGCTTCAGGGATATACACCTGGTAATAATTGACGAATTTAGCGTAATATCATGTGGAATGCTATATTGGATAGACCAAAGAATGCGAGAGATATGGCCTGATCAGCGCGAGGTCCGATTTGGTGGAAGAGATGCCATTTTCACGGGAGACAGTGCCCAGTTGGACCCTGTAACCCCTTACTCTCTAGCGACATCCACAGATAGAATACGTGACAATATCCAGCGCAAAGGACGCGGAATTTGGGAGGAAAATAAATGTGTATGCTCGTTAAGCAGTCAACATAGAGGGAAGGATGACCCGGAATGGTTTGAAGCGCTACGAAGATTGCGAGAAAAAGTACCAACACAGTAGGACATTGACCTTTTTAATACTCGATTCTTCAAAACCAACGCAATGCCTGAGTGGGTGCATGCTGCGAAGCACATTGCATACCTTAACGCAGATGTTGATAGTGCTAAAGACGTAAATCTGCAGAATGCTTCTTCTCCAATTGTGCACATGAAGTCCGTGCACAATGTGAAGCAAAAACGCTTGATCGCAAATAGAGAAGTGCCTCAAGGCACAGTTAAAGCTCTTTTAGATCAGGCACAAGAAAAGATCCCAAGGGCTCTCCTTGGGACGAGTTGTACCAATCCAACTCAATTTAGCAATTGGTGCTCCTGTCACACTACCATGTAATGCTGAGCAAACAGCAGGGCTATGCAATGGAACGAACGCTACTGTGTACGACATGATCTTTGTGTCTGGATCAGAACTTCCTATCGTTTTGGTTGAAATAGTTGATGAATACTTTGGTCCATCCTTTTTACCAAACGTACCTAACATTATCCCCATCATTTCAAAGGAAACGAGCTGGGGAAGTACAAGGAGTGACTTTAAAGTCGTTCGCTGTGGCATTCCGTTAAGGCTTGCCTACGCTATGACGATTCATAAGGTTCAAGGGGTTACATGCTCAAAAGTCGTATTTCATTCCAATTCACTGCCAAATGCATCCTATGCTTACCTTGCTCTTTCCCGCGTTAGAAAAAGAGAATATATAGTTCTTACGCATCGTTTGAGTTTGGAAAAGCTCACAGCGTCCCCAGAGAGTCGATCATCGTTTGACACTGAAAGGGATCGCATCATTCATCTTGTTAACCAAACTACACTTCATGCAAATATTTTTCTAAAGGAAATGAAGACGATAGCACTTTTCCACAATCTCGATATGTCGCCAAGATAATAAAAAGAAAGCATGTTGGCGAGGCGTCCAAGTCGACCCAAGTTCACATTGGGTACAAGCACCGCGAAAACAAAACCTGGCAAGGCAAGCCTCATGGTTGGATTCGGCTTGGAGTCTCACTCTCGAAGGTCGGCCGTCAATATGGGCTGCGAGCGAGTATTGACGTGGCTCGGAGGCGACCTCGATCAGCCACGTCCAGAAGCAGCAGCGGCACAGTAGTCATCGCTTGGCGGATACTACTACGAATTGCAAGGGGATCTGGCGGTGGGTGTTGTCGCGGTTCTCTTCCTCGATGTGCGTGTCTACGAGCACCCACGGAGCAGGCCAGTTGACTTGGCGCGCCCGAAGACGGTCCGTGAAGGCGTGTCGACAACACAAGGTGGTGACAAGGTTGTGGCGGGCGGTGACGGCTGTGCATGGTTCGCCATCGCTCACGGCTCCACGGAGTAGCTAGCGTCTTGCAGCCAATGCAAGCCTCAACGAAGCTAGCTATTTCGCGCAGCAACGTTTCCGAAGCTAAAACAGGGTTGCTTGTTTAGCAAAAAAGAGTATCCATTTAGCTAAACCAATGCAGTTTTACGCCAAATCCACTTTCCAGAGCCCACAGCGCCCATATATACCCTATTTGGAAGGGGCCTCCTAAAAGACGGGCCTCAGTTTAATGGCTTTCGCACCCTTTGCTGGAGGCTAAACCCCTGAACTTCTATGAATAGTCACTCGGAACCGTCGGACAGTAAGCCTGAAAGGACCTTATACAGAGGTAAAATGCAGCCTTTTTGCCCCTGGGAGAGGCAACCATTAAACCTTTCCCTAGCCCTATCCATAAAATCATCGAAAGAAAGTAAATCAGAGCGATAAAACAGAGCGATTTCATTATACATGTAGGGGGGGCTTCGCCCCAATAATACTTGCTTCACAACAATACGGAGTTCTCTTGTTTTGTCCAATCAGAGGATAGAAACTCATTGAGCTCACAAACGCTGAAAGCCATGTCGACGTACGAGAAGACGCTGATCCCGCCGCTCAACTTCTCCATGGTTGCCTCGGGCGTCTACCGCTCAGGCTTCCCGAACAGGAAAAACCACGCCTTCCTGCAGCAACTTGGTCTCAAGTCCGTTCTGTACGTGCTAGATCCTCAGCGTTAATCGGCAGGCAACCTCCAAGTGGGAAGCTCCCATTAAAGCTGAGCTTGGGATTCTGCAAACTTTCAGATATCTGTGTCATCAGGAGCACCAACCGGAGAACGTGGCATTCTTCAAGGAGAACAACATCGAGGTGTTCCAATGCCCCATTGACGGTAACAAGGTAAGGAGACGATAGATACTCAAGTAGGGGGGATCTCATGTAAACTGGCTGTTGACGTTACAGGAGCCGTTCATTAGCATCAACCCGGATGCAATGGCCGACGCTTTGCGCCACCTCCTCGGTAACTAAGGAGTGTCTAAGTCAACGATGTGTGGTGCTGCTAGTCTGACGATGTCCTGCTCTTCATTTGGCAGATGTGAGGAATCACCCGATCTTGGTGCATTGCACGAAGGGAACGCATCGTACGGGGTGTGTGATCGGGTGCATGCGGAAGATGGAGAACTGGTCGCTGACTTCCATCATCGACGAGTACTGCCGCTTCGCGGGCCCACGCATGCGTCTGCTTGACCAGCAGTTCATCGAGTTTTTCACGCCCACGATTCAGTACGACGAGAGACAAAAGCCCAAGTGGCTTACCTAGCGTGGTATGGGCAAGAGGGGCAAGACGTTGCAACACAAACTTCTTGTAAGAATCAGTAGATACACGTTATGAAGGCAGAGGAAGCTAGCACAACTCGAAGGCTTGCAACAAACGGCTTCCCTGTATTTAGCGTCTGGCCACTTAGCATCGGCTTCCGCATGGACAACTCGAGCCATCCGCTTTTTTTCCATCGTGCAAGTGTTTGTAGTTTTTCCCTCTGTCAAGTCATTTCTTTCTCTGCAACATATCACGCTCGCCCCTCCTTGGCCACGCCCGCAGCATTCGCTTACGCGGAGGCCTTAGACTTGTAAGCCGAGCCGTCCGCGAACTTGTCGACCCACTCCTGGTTCTTGAGCGGGGCACCAGGCCACGCCTTCTGGAAGTGGTCCTCCGGCTTGAAGCTGGACGGGTCCTCGATACGCTCGACAAGCTTGTGCTTGAACTTGCGGATCAGACCCTGCACGGGCCAGGCAGCGGCATCACCCAGAGCGCAAATGGTGTGGCCATCAATCTGGCGCGAGATCTCCTCGAGCATGGGGATCTCCTCGAGCTCGGCGTCACCCGTCTCCATGCGGGTCAGCACCTTCTCCATCCAGCCCGTACCCTCACGGCACGGCGTGCACTGGCCGCAACTTTCGTGCGTGTAGAAGTGCGAGTACCGGCGGATGGCGCCTACCATGTCCACGCTCTTGTCGAAAATGGTGACGGCAGCCGTACCCAGACCGGAGCCACCGCGCTGCTTCAGGTCGTCATAGTCCATCATGATGTCCTGGCACAGCTCCTCGTCCAGCACGGGCACGGAAGCACCACCAGGGATACACGCCTGCAGGTTGTCCCATCCGCCGCGGACGCCACCGCAGTGACGCTCAATCAGGTCGCGGAGAGGAATGCTCATCTCCTCCTCCACCGTGCACGGGTTGTTGACGTGTCCGGAGATGCAGAAAAGCTTGGTACCGCTGTTGTTCTTGCGTCCGAGGCTGGCGAACCACGAGCCGCCACGACGCAGGATCGTGGGGGACACGGCCACGGTCTCCACGTTCGTCACCGTCGTGGGGCAGCCGTACAGGCCCGTGTTGGCCGGGAAAGGCGGTTTGAGGCGCGGCTTTCCCTGGCGGCCCTCGAGACTCTCGAGCAGGCCGGTCTCTTCACCGCAAATGTAGGCGCCGGCGCCACGGTGCAGGTACACGTCGAAGTCGTAGCCCGAGCCGCAGGCGTTGCGGCCGAGGAAGCCGCGCTGGTAGGCCTCGTGGATGGCCTCCTGCAGGATCAGCGCCTCGTTGAAGAACTCGCCGCGGATGTAGATGTAGGCGGCGCGGGCGCGCATGGCGAAACCAGCGAGCAGACAGCCCTCCACGAGCTTGTGCGGGTCCTTGCGCATGATCTCGCGGTCCTTGCACGTGCCAGGCTCACTTTCATCGGCGTTCACGACCAGGAAGGACGGGCGGCCGTCCGTCTGCTTGGGCATGAAGGACCACTTGAGGCCCGACGGGAAGCCGGCGCCACCACGGCCGCGCAGTCCCGAGTCCTTGATCTCCTGCACGATCCAGTCCGGGCCCATGCACAGCAGGTCCTTGGTGCGGTACCAGTCTCCGCGGCGCAGCGCGCCGTCCACGCGCCACGTGTCCTCGCCGTACACGTTGGTGAAGATGCGGTCCTCGTCCTTGAGGCCGCCGTACACGCGCGTCATGGCCGCCGCGGGCTCCGCCGCCTGCAGTTCCGAAGCATCGATGCATTGCGAGTGTTTAGTAGGAGGATCGTCACATTTTATAGAGCAGCGCAATGGAGATGTTATATGCAAGGGAGGAGTGTACGTACGGCATTGGCCACAGCGGCGCTAGTGCGGAATCCGCGCGCTGCATCACACAAAGCAAAGGGAGTACAGTGAGTAAGAGTCTGTCGAGTGCGTCGGAGGGAGCTGCGGCAGGCTGCCGACCTTGGGCAAGCGACTTTTGAGCCACGCGAGCGACGCTCTTCATGGCTTCCTGCTCGTGACTCGGCTGCGACCTGAAGCAAACTCACGCTGGCCGCACAAGCGACGTCTTGGTTTCTCCCTTTTCGTTGTGGGCCGCACAAATCAAATCCGATTTGACGGGATTTTGTGGACCACGCCGTGGATAGGAGGAGTTTTAGTGTGTGCACATAAAGGCAGCTTCAACTTTGGTTGGAGTGATGGTCGCCTGCATCGCCAGCCACCACTGCTAAACGCAAGCCGCGAGAGACCCGCTGAAGCTGCCAGGTCCCACGGCGAAACTCCCTTCGGCGAGAGAATATATAGGTCGGGAGCCCTGTGATGTGGCGATGGAAGGCTCGATGGAAGGCTCTATTTAGAGGTGGCTCACTGTAGGCCGTTGCGGTGAGCAACTTCCCACTCCGGAATTCTGGCCAGCATCGGCCGATCGCAAGCTTCGACAACCGCTCCACATTCCAATCTGCGCTCTCGTAGCTAGGCACCAACCGGTTTATAAGGCGAGGTCCAGTCTGCAACGATGAAGTCTGCTGCGGTCCTGTCGGCGGTGCTGCTGGTCGCTGGCGTCTCCGCTGATAGCAAGTCCACCACGTTCCCCGGACGCTGCGTGACCACCAAGGACTGCGCCACGTACGGCTCCAACTACGCGTGCGTGTCTGTGGACACGAACGTCGCCGGCCTCGAGCAGCTGAGCATGTGCATCCCTGGCAACCAAGTGTGCAGCGGCAGCATCGCTGGACTCTGCCCGACGTTCACGTCCTGGCCGTCCAAGTATCGCGTCATCCAGCCCGTGTGCGCCTTCGTGGAGGTCGAGAACTGCGACGAGCAGTACAACGTGACGGTGCTGAGCTCCGCGGGCAGCAACGGCACGGTAGACGATGAGGCGGACATCAGTGTGAGTGCCGCCAATGGCACGGGCACGGTGCAGTGCTACCAGCGCAACTTCACCGTCAACGACGAGTATGTCGTCGTGAACGGCATCTACCAGTGCCTGGACAAGGCCAAGTACGTATCTACCAACGGAGGACACATCCAGAACATCACCGACACGGTGGTGGAGCAGTGCGGCTGGAATACAACGACGCAGACGCTCTGCAGCGGCCAGGGAACGTGCTCGCCTCTCGTGGACTTTGCCCAGGACTACGAGTGCAAGTGCAACGCCGGCTACAACTCGTCCGACTACTGCTACGCCGTGGCTTCCAACGAATGCAGCAGCGTCTCGCAGTGCGGGACGCAGGGGACGTGCGAGTTTGATGAGGGCACCACCAGTGGCGAGTGCTCGTGCAGCGAGGGTGCCACGGGCGACCAATGCCTGCTGTGTGACGCCAATGCCACCACGGTTTGCAATGGCCAGGGCACATGTGGCACGGACGGCGTGTGCACTTGCAACAAGGGCTACAACGGAACTTTTTGCGGAGACTCGACGGGCGAGAAGACCTCTTCCTCCAAGACCTCGGCCGCGGCAACTTTGAAGATGGGGATCAGCGCGATTGTTGCCGCGTTGCTTCTGGCCGTCTTCGCGTAGACTACATAAGTCTCAATGCATTGAATGAACTGTTTTACCCGATCACTCACTACACGTATGTGTACCCCAGGCGCGGAGGTGGCTCGATAGCATTAAGCACGATGCCGTGTATTGACACCATGCGTCTCTACTAACTAACTACCACACAGCTACCCCGTTGCTTCGAAGCAGTAGTTGGCAGCCGCCTGGACGTCACCTTTCTTCTTCTGCAACGCCTCAACAGCGAGCTCGCGCGAGAAGCCCATGTCGAGCAGCTGCTGAACGCGTTTCGACTTGCGGAAGCGAATCACAAGCGGGCGCGTCTGAGCCTTGATCATCTTCAGCGCGCGATCCACCTGATAGTGCTGCAGCGGATGCCCGTTGGCTTGCAGGATAGTGTCGAACAGACCGATCTGGCCGCACTTCTCGGCGCCAAACATGCCGCCCTTAGCTCCGCGCGGGAAGCTCGTCACACACAATTCGTTGTCTATCTTCTCTAAGTACATACCAAGCAGTAGTGCCTCGCCGAAACGCACGTCGTACTCATCTTCGCCTAGCGGTGCGTTCATTGAGATGGTACGAGGACACATGGCGATAGCCGCAGACACCGGCGTGATGTTCTGCGTGATCGAGTCACGGAGGCTCAACTCCTCCATTTCGAAGTCGGGGTTGGTCTCCAAGTCTGTAACTGAGTGAACACCACGCCCGCTAGAAAGTGTCGTTTCTTCATCGACGCTGTGCAGTTCCTCGTCACCTTGCCGCCGGAGAGATGGCCGTTCAATGTCGGGAGACTCCTCCTTGATGGTCGGAGGCATCATTTCACCTTGCTGAGAGCCCACGGACAAACTCTTCGGCCGCTCAACATTGAGAGAACCATCGTTTACGAAGATACCGACAGACGAATCCTTCCGTTGGTCAGGGAGCTCGTAGAAGAGCAGGACCGGCTGGAATCGGCCCTTCAGGCACTCAGCAACAACGTTACTCCAGGATCCCATCTCCAAAACGCGCGAATCATCGAAGAGCAACCACATCTTGTGCGCCGTGCTGTAAAACAGAGCCACATAATGACGCCCGTAGTAGCAGACGAAGCCGCGAAGACGGTATGTCGTGCGAAGACCTCCATTCTTGAAACGGATAACCGGCCCGGCAGCATCAAAGCACTTGGCCAGGTCCAAACGGTCGTCAATGTTGTTCAGCACACCCTGCACCTGCTCCTTCGTAGCAGATTGGGTAGCCCACAGGATCGAGACTGCAAACACCATGGGGAATCGGTGGATGACCCGTTCCTTGTTGAGCTTGCCACTGCAGCCCTTCTGCTCACACTTGGATGCGATGTCGGTCTCTTGAGAGGTAAGTCGCCGGAACATTTGCTCGGTGGATTCGTACTTGCATGCATACAAGTCACTCGCATACGTGGAGTACACGAGGTTTGAATAAAGGTCCCAAGGCGAGTTGTGATTGCAGGACCCGCACACGTATCTGTCGTAGATCTGGTGCGAGAAGACCAAGTGCGGGATGCTGTTGTCGTCGAAGACCGCCTGGGGCTTCTCCTCGTAAGTGTCGGTGCTGACGACTCGAACCAGCGACTTGACCATCATCGTCGTCTTGTGCGTCTCCTCAATCTCTGTGGCTTCCGTCTGCTGGTGCATGAGGTTCAGCAATGCGAGCAGCGTTTCTTCAGCATCGTACATGGCGCCTTCTTGGAAGTTCTTGTCCGCCGAGTACAGCACACTCAGTCCTTTACGGATGGCCCGCGAGTGCAATACTCCACTGGAAGTGTCATCGTATTCCATCATCATGGACTTCAACGCACGCAGCACGTTGGACTCAACCGTCCGCGACTCGTCCTTCACCTCCACGTGTAGCAAGAAGTGGCGCATGGACGTCAAGTGCCAGAAGCTTTGGATCACGACATTCAAGAAGCAGTTGTTCTCTCCAGAGGCATTCAGCAATCCTCGATGCACCGATGCTCCCTTCACCCATAAATTAGACTCCTTCTTGGTGGTCGTAGTAGGGGTGCCAGTAAACAGCGTAGCGGCATCAGACGGCGAGTCCGAGCTCTGGTCGCTGCCTCCGAGCGACGCCAGCGACGTCTGCGGCGGCCAGTCCTCCTCCTCGTGACTCGTCAGCACCCTCAAGTGGTGGATCCAGTCACTGGCCGCTGTGGCGGTAGGGCCGTCGATCTCCAGCACTTTGTCGGCGTGGTCGTCCAGCTGCTTGACGCTCACGAGGAAGGCGAAGCGCCGGCCGTCCCAGGGCGCCACGCCCAGCACTTTGTAGCTGCGCAGCGGCTTGACCAGCCCGGACTGCAGGTCGCCCGTGCTGGGCTGGAACTTGAACGTGCTGAGCTGCAGCGTGTCGCGCGTCAGGATGCAGTAGCGCATGTGTCTCGGGCGCACGTTCACCATGCTGCGCGTCTTGAGGTTGAGCCAGCCGCGGTGCACCACCTCCCCGAAGGCGGACTTGAGGGGGCCGTTCTCGCTCGACAGCGGCGTGGGCTCCAGCGCCGTGGGCTGCATGAGCGACAGCTTCATGGTCGGGAAGGCAACCATCACACAGACACACACATGCAACGAACGAACAGTGGAGTGAGCGGAGTGAGGGAGGGTGGGGGTGCGAAGGCCGAGCTTAATAAGCCGTTGCAGCTGTAACCTACCGTTTCCGGGGGAGAGGACGAGAGGGGCTCGGGTGGAGGCGACGCGAGAGCTCCTAGCTTGGGCCAGCTCGCTTAGCCGTCGCGTCGTTTCTCGTTTACTTGGATGCGGGAAAGCACTATGGTCCGCCTCGATTCTTCGGGAGCTTAGCGGGCTCTGATTGGTGGATTTATTTTTAGCGCCTTGAATCTGATGACGCTGCAGACGAAAAGTATCGCAGCTACTTCAACTGAACGACGGACGCCTGTCAGGCAACCAGATCACCTGCCCCACTCGGCACGAGCCATTAACTATTGCAACACGTTCGCTGGATTTGCCTTGCTTGCTGTGCATTTGCCTGCTTGGTGGGGGCGCTGGTGTGATTGAGCGAAGTGTGTGAGTCCGTTGGTATCCGATAATCGCACTGTGCGGGCAGTGAGTGACGTCAGGTTGCAGTGGCACTTCGGTGCAACGCGGACACGAAGAGCTCCGCAATGTATTATCCCTATGGCAGCTCGAGGGCCACCGCGCTACGGTAGTCGCACAGCGAAAAACGACGACACTCGCAGTGGCTCAGTTCGCGTCCGAATCGTTGTCGTCCGAGTCTTCGTCTTCGTCTTGAGAAGACGAGGTTGTGGCAACGTTGCCACGGTTGCGACAGCTGCGGCGCAGACCGGGGTGGCTGTCGGCGAGTTCGTGCGGCTGTTAAACAAAATGTGAACTCTTAGTCCAGAGTGAAGCAGGAGCCAGACCAGACCACGTACCGATTGCCGTCTCCGCTTGCTACTTCGGATAGACCTGCTCGGCGACTTCCGCTTCCTGGCTTCACTGTTTCGAGTCGAGCGTCGCGGCTGGTCGTCTTCTTCCTCGTCGTCGTCGTCATCTCCATCTGTCTCGCTATCAGCGTCACAGTCGCTTTTTGCCTCGAAAGCCTCCTCTTCGTCGCCGCTCTTGTCCGAATCAGCGACGATTGCCTCCTCTTCTTCCTCCTCCTCAACATCAATATTCGCGTAATTTACTTGTCGCCGGTTGCGCAGAGAGCGCCTGCCGATACCTTCGGACGAGTCCAGCACGCCGCTGGTAGCAAGTTGGAATTTCCAACGCTCGTTGCGTCTCCGCTTCGCCTGCTGGCGGGTTAGCTTCTTCAGAGCACCACGAGACAAAGCTTGCCACAATTGTAGATCCGGCGATTCGATGGATAGTGACAATTCCTGCACCAGCGATTCTGCCGACTCGAGGTCGTTGCAGACCGTCTCCCAGTCCGTACCGCCAACCTTCGCGCACCGACACACCCACACTGCTGCGTTGGGCACAGTCGCAGCATCCTCCAGGATGAAGTAGGAGCGACCCGCGGCATCCGTGCCGATAGGTTCATTTCTCTGTTAAGACAGCAACAAATGTCAGCGCACTAACCGGGAGAAAATAACAGCAATACTACACAGATCCCAGCCAACCATAGATTCTGCTTCTTCGTCGTCAATCTGCTCAACAAGCGCATCATTGCGATCAAATTGAGTTTCACAGAGAAACTTCAATATCGCCACTCGCTCCGCCACTGAGAGGTCGAAGTAGAACTCTTCGCGCTTCTCCGCCTCGCTGCTGCTAGCCGGAAACTTCGTGTCTTCTGCGATAGCTGGCGGGTACTCTGCTTCGCGCAGGAAGCGCAGCAGGTGAACGTACCAAGGGTATTTTCTGCAAAAATGAGGCCAAGTCTGTTAGCGACAGTCGCGTACGTAGCACTCACGTGCGATGGTTCCATTTACGTACTTGGACATGGGAACATTGATGTTCGCCAGCAGTCGGGTGTGAAGTTCCTCGCACAAGCCGTCCTCCTTCGGTTCCAGCAACGTGTTCGCCAAGCTCTACAAATCACCAAACATTAGATAAGCCAATACTGTTTCCAGAACCACGAAACACTTATCCAACCACCTCACCTCCAGGGTCGTCACAACATTCGAGAGTTTCAGTCCGAGTCGGCGGAAGCGTTGCAAAAACAAGAACACGGCCGCAAACTCGCAGTCCGTGTGCAGCTTGTGCAGCCTCTGCGTATCGTCCAGCGGCGTGCACTTGGGGAACGTCACGCCCTCAGGCGCGGCCACGCCCACGAGGCTGCTGATGTCCTCCCACGCCGTCTCGTCGTAGATGAACTGGCAGCGACGGCAGTTCCAGTCCCCGTCGGGCAGGTCGCCCTTCAGTCCGTAGCACTTCTTGTGCACCGTCATGGAGCACGTGGCGCAGCGCAGCTCGCAGCGCGTGGCCTCCTCCGTCTTGACCTGCTCGCACACGCGGCACTCGTCCGTGATGTGGATGTAGCGCTGCACGAAGTTCCTGGACGCGCCCACCGTCTTCGTCTTCTTGTTCGCTACAGGAGGCTTGTCTCCAGCATTGTCCTTGTCGGCTGCAGTAGTGGTGCTATTGGTGGCGTCCGATTCCTTGGACTTCTCGCTGGGCTTCGCCTTGTCCTTGGCGGCAGTTGGCGCGGGCTTGAACCATCGGTCCAAAGTGTTGGACGGCGGCTTCGGCTTGGCCTTGGGCTTGGGCTTGGGCTTGGCCTTGGGCTTGGGCTTGGCGTCACCTTTAGCTGCAGGCTTGGCAGGCTTGGTGGGCTTGCTCGCTAGCGCGTCGGCGGCCTCGGGCGGCGACGCACTCGCCTCTTGCTCAGGGTGCAGCGCCATCTTGGTGACAACTTTTGTTGCAATACTTGGCGCCAAAGCGCGGCAACTACAGTTGTTTATCAGACTGTAACGGATATTACAGGGTTCAGGGCGCCTTATACAGTATGAAAAACGAAAAAAATTCCGGAAGCCAAAAGGGGTAGGGTTGAAAATTTCACGAGAGTACTAGAACTCAAACCGAGTAGGTGGTCTATTGTGAAATTCGTTGTTGTATTTGTGCCCACTCAGAGATTTGGTTCGTTGCAAAGTGAAATGGTGGGGAAAGCAACAAAGCGACGGAGATTTGATATTTCCGAAGTCACTCAGTATTTTACGACCATACTCGGTTCTAATCGAGTGCATGGCACACACAAAGTCGCTTAATCTCTTCGGGTAGACTACTTAGACTCACTTATTTAAGATGCTGAACACTGTCGCGTCATTATCATCCCTCCTGCACCTGCTCCTTCGATGTCGCGACGGATGCGGAACATGCTGCGGATGAGGACCGCAACGCTTGCGGTCACGCTTCTTCGCATCGAAGCTCGCGGCAGGCTAGCAGCAGACGCACGCCGTGCAGGCTGGGCTTCATTGAGCTGAATTAACCAGGCAACTGTCGACTGCTTCTTCGCGGGGCGCTCGAGCTCCACTGTATGCAGGCATGTCGTTTGTTAGTTAACCAGGCTACTTAAATACACAAGTGGACTCGGCGCCACTGCCGGTGATGTCGAGATCGGCGCCAAGTAAGGCCAGAAGTGTCCAGTTTGACCGACAAGTACGGCGTGCTGGGTGGTTGCGAAGTCATTGAGCATTTTCCCAGGTCTATTGTGAAATTTCCGATATAGCGCCAAACTACCGATTAGATCAATCCTACGCCCCGAGCTAAGCTATTCGGACTTGCTTAAGTATTTAACGAAGATCACCTTCAATAGCGAGTTGCTAATCTCGGTTGGGACGACCTCAGTCTTCGACAAGTGTATCATAGCAAAATCGTGTAGTGCTAAGGGCTTGGTCGGGGAATGATCGTCTCAGTCTCGCTCGTCTCCGGTAAGCCTACACCTAAGGTGAACCGAGCCGATGTGGTCGGTTGGCTGGAGACCGTCTTAGGTTTGGTGTGTCAAGCTGCTCGACTCAGCACCATCACACTCGAGAACTCGCAGCCATGGAAGGCACCCTTACTGCTCCACCTGTGGGCGGCGCTGAAGCTGAAGACGCTGCTGAGCGAAGCGTAAGCGGCACGGACACCAACGGGAGCGGCGTCGAGAGGGCACCCCCGCAGGGTGGAGGCCGTGGTGGTCGCGGGGCAGGTCGCGGTGGTCGTGGAGGACGAGTAGCTTCGACCAGGCCAGCTGCATCATGGAGCGATGATGATGTGAGCGAGTTCTTTCGCCTCCGTTACGCAGAATTAGCTGACAACTTCAAGAACACGAAGGACACCAAGCGCATCAAATATGCGTGGGCCGTCTTAGCATCAACACTCTCTGTTAACCAGAGCAAAGTGTTCACTGACCAGCAGTGTCAACCTGAGATTCTGTCGAAACCACTCGTCGTAGACCGCGTCGTAAAGCATAGCCTCAAACTCTAGCGGTGTCAGGGTAAGGATGTTCTGCTTCGGGTTCGAAATTGCCCACACAGCGGTGTGGACCGCCGTCGCGAGAGCCCCGGTGGCCGCAGCGACTGCAGCAACGATGCTTTCGCTCTGCACCATCGAAACGCATTGAAGACGCTCGTCTCCAAAGTGAAACTGGTGATTTAGTCGTCTCAGATTGGTCAGTCTGGAGACGATGAACCTAGCCGATCGAGTTAATAACTGGCCAATCAAAAATAAGAAAAAATGTCGCCACATCGTCTAAGACGATCGAAAGCCGAGACGAGCGTTCCCCGACCAGGCCCTAAGAGTCTGATAGAGCGCTGACAAACTCGTTTTATGGTCTGCTGTACTTGGTGGGTGGCACACATCACAAATGAGAATGGTGTGGCGCACACGGGGCTCGTTTCGAGCTTTGAAGCCCACCCAGTCAGTCAGCGAGACGCAGAGGGAGTGGAGGCCGACCGCCCGCCGTGAGTGCGACGTGGAGCCCGCAGAGCGTTAGTAGCCAAGAAGCCTCCAGACCCAAGAGCCAAGAACCTCTCTCGCATCCCCCAACAGCCCGTTTCTCGCCCGCGAAAAGCCGCCGCCAGCCATGGAAGACGCCAAGAACCTGCACCGCCGCCTGCTCAAGTTCACGCGCGGCGACGTGACGGACCAGGGCGAGGCCCTGGAGGTGCTGCGCGCCCTGGAGAAGACGACCGTCACATACGCCATCCTCAAGGAGACCAAGATGGGCCACACGGTCGGCAAGCTGCGCAAGCACGAGAACGAGAAGATCGCGAGCCTGGCGCGGCTGCTGGTCAAGTCGTGGAAGAACATGGCGCTGTCCCCCAAGGCCTCGTCTTCCATCTCCAGCAGCAGCAAGCCCCCGGCCAAGAAGGAGACGTCCCCCAAGCCCAGCAGCTCCCCCGGCTCCAACGGACTCAAGACGGCGCCCAAGACCCCGGCTGCGCGCGTCAGCTCCACGCCATTCATCCCTGCGGGGCTGGACAAGGTACGCGCTACGGTGCGCACGAAGCTCAAAGAGATCCTGGAAGCCTCGGAGGGTGGAGATCCTGGACAGGTGGCAGCGGCTGTTGAGGTGGCCATGGCCCGGACATACCACATGGGCGCCCCTGGCGAGCAGAAGAAGGAGTACATGGCCAAGTACCGCCAGTTGTCGTTCAACCTGAAGAAGAACGGCGAGCTGCGCCAGAACCTGCTGGACGACAATGTCAGCGGTGACCAGCTCGTCAAGATGACGGCGGAGGAGCTTGCCACGGAGGAGAAGCGCGCGCAGATTGAGAAGCTGCGCGACGACGCGTTCCAAGAGGCGCGGTTGGACTGGGCCGAGGCCAACCACGACAAGATCCAGAAGCAGACGGGTACCGAGGGCACCAAGGGCCTGTTCACCTGCGGACGCTGCAAGTCGTCCAAGACCAGTAACACACAGAAGCAGACGCGCAGTGCCGATGAACCGATGACGGTGTTTGTCATGTGCCATAACTGCGGCAACCGATGGAAATGCTAGTGTAGCGTATCTCGACCATGCCGCGCTCCCCTCCTCCTCCCTCTAGTGTTCGAATAGCTGCCTGCCTCTTGCATTTATTGGAGCCGTGTTGCTCTTCCTCCAAACTTCTCTGCATCGCAAAACTCCGCGACAAAAGGTTGCGGTAATGGGAGGGGAGGGCACAGCAGATGCACGTGCAAACCCACGCACACGGCCGCTATGGTGCTGGCAACTGGGTTGTGCGTCTATCTTGGGTGGATACCGGTGTGTCTAGTGTTTTCATCTGATGAAGATAGCTCTGCCCGGTCAGCGTTGATCGCACTGTCAGCGTCGAGCGTTGGTTGGGTATGCGTGTAGAAATTATAATGAGCTTGGTTCCCACAACTCGGCAGCGTGTTCGTTCTCGTCGTTTTCCGTGTTGTGTCTGTGCAAGTGTGTGCAAGGGTGAGCAGGATTCCTCCTGGCCAGTGGTTCAAGCAGCTTGACAAGCAAGTTGAAGTTTGCACGTGTGCGGCACACAACCAGCTCGTCCCGACAGACAAAGAATGATCTTTGTGGCTGGGCCCAGACGCTCTCGACGATCCAAGTCTGAGGCAAAATCAACTTTTGATGCAGGCCATCCAACTCGAGGAGTTCGACAACGAGCGTCGTCGTCTCCAGCGATCGTGCGTCCGACTTGCTTCAACCCCTCTTGAGTACGATATGGATACAATTATGTGAATAATTCAAACTATGTATTCGTTTTCAGAGGTAATATTTTACACTTCAACTACAATACGCCGCGCGAAAAATGCACAAGGCTCAGCCTGGGACGCGCCGCGAGAACGAGACGCTGGACCTCAGTCCACCACTAGGACGGCTCCATGGCGAGGAGTGGTGGTGACTCGCTGAGTCAGATCCGCAGTCCAGCCCCCACCATTCCCCAACTTGCCCCCAAGCCAGCACCTGCTTCCCCTCGCTGCCGGTCGATGTCCCCGTCATCCACCAGCTACGCGCCAAGCTGCAACTGCACGTCGGAAGACTCTGGCGTCGATGCCTTGAAGCGCGGCGCATTGCTCGCCAACTTGCTCAAGTGGTGGGACGCGCGTGAAGACGAAAAGCTGCCTCTACTTCCCAAGAGAGACAAAGGCCATGGCCAAGTCACCCAACGCGATCACCAGCGACCTGATCATCAAGATGCTAGCTCTCGAACTGCTACTGCCGCTGCACCATTGAGCTCTGGACTATTCAGTCGCGATACTTTGTTCCGGGTGCTTGAGATTCTGGTGGTTATGGCAGTCGTGGCTGTCGGTTTGAGTGTTTTGTCGGCCAGGTCGCCAGGCCATGAGGTCCACAAGGCGCCGAGCTTCTCGCTGCACCGCTCCGGTGGGAAGCTGCTGAGTGGAGGACACCGCTTGCGCTCGCTTCTCCGTCATATGAAACATCATCATCCCGTGCTAAGCAGGCCCCCGACGGATGCAGACATCACGCTCGGAGTCGATGTTGAACTGGAACGAGCCATGGACATCTACTGCCGTGGACCGCTGCTCCATGCAGTGCAGATGGCCAACGTCTTCTCGGACAGCAAGTACTTCGTCGACATGCCAATCAAAGACAACAGCAGCGCCTTCGATATCCTCATGGATTTCCAGCGCCGTGGACTGGCGATGACCGAGTATCGGCCGAATGTCCACGACACCCACGAGCAGCAGCTTCGGCGCTTCGTCGACGATCACTTCGACCCACCAGGCACGGATCTGCTCCCGATCACGCCCTTCGACTTCCAGGGGCAGTCGCACCCGCCCATGATCGCTGAAATCCAAGACGACGAGCTTCGAGACTGGGCGTTTGATCTGCACCGGATCTGGCAAACCCTGGGCCGCATCCGTAACCCGAACGTGAGAGGGTCGCTCCTTCGGGCGCGAAAGCTGGAGGAGCCGAGCCTGAACCGACCTGCCAATGTGCTGATCGTGCCTGGCGGGCGCTTTCGAGAGAGCTACTACTGGGACTCGTACTGGATCGTTCAAGGGCTCTTGGTGAGCGACATGCCGATCACGGCGCGAGGAATCGTGGACCACCTGCTCGAGTACGTGTCCGAGTTTGGGTTCGTGCCGAACGGAGGGAGAATCTACTACTTGACTCGGTCCCAGCCGCCCATGCTCTCGGATATGGTGAAGCTGGTCGCTCGTTTTCCTACGAACGGCAACGAGAGTGGGTACGATGAGGGGTATCTGCGTGCTGCATTGCCCATTCTGGAGCGCGAGTACGACTTCTGGATGCAACACGGCCCCTGCGGCCATGCAGTTCAGCTTACTCGACGGAACATGAGCGAGGGGGCTACGGGCAGAGCCACGTACGTCTTGAATCGCTACACGTCCAACGCCAACCACCCTCGACCCGAGTCGTACCGGGAGGATGTTCTGGTTGCTGCGGAGATTTTCGATCGCACAATGCAAATGGATGACGGCAACGCAGCGGCCACGGAGCGACACAAGGACAAGTACTACAACAACGTCATTGCTGCGGCTGAGAGCGGGTGGGACTTTAGTAGTCGGTGGCTGCGAGATCCGCTGGATATGAAGTCGATGGTGACCACTTCGGTGGTTCCCGTCGATCTCAACTCGATCATGTATCGATTCGAGTGCAACCTGATGGAGTTCAATCGACACTTGGGCAACGAAGAGAGAGCACAATTCTTCGAGCGAGCTGCTGCTCGTCGCCTGGAAGCCATCGACGCCATCCTTTGGAGCGAGAAGCACCACAGCTGGAAGGACTACGACTTGGAGACGGACACGCACTCTCCTATTGTCTCCGTGTCCGACTACACGCCGTTGTGGGCCAAGGCGTTTAATTCAAGCGACATCGACCGCCTCAAGCATGTCGTGACCTCACTCAAGAATTCGGGGCTGCTGCAGGTCGGCGGTGTGCAGACGACAACAATTTTCTCGGGCCAGCAATGGGACTCGCCCAACGCCTGGCCACCGGAGCAGGACATTGTCGTGGAAGGCTTGCTGGCCGTGAACACCACGGAGTCGCACAGTTTGGCGCGCGAGCTATCGCAAACATGGACGCAGACCAGTCTGACTGCGTGGAGGCAGACGGGTTTGATGTTCGAGAAGTACAACACGTCCGAAGTCGGCGGCTTGGGAACTGGCGGCGAGTACTTCCCGCAATTTGGCTTCGGCTGGACGAACGGCGTGATTTTGAAGTTCCTCACGATCCATCAGAATCTTTTGCTCGCCGAGCATTAGGCGATAAAGTAGCAGTAGAGAGTGTACAGTAGGTTGTAGCGTGATAGGTAGCAATAAGTAGCAGTGAATGGACTAAACACCAACAAAAGCGTACACATGAAAAGCATCATATAAAGCAAGAACGCGAAGGTGTGCAGAATGGATGCCACACACGACAGTCGCGTGTGGCCTCTCCGCTTTCTATTGCGTTCGGGCTGTTGCCAGCCTGACGCGCACTACTTGCTTGCAGTCAATGCACAGCTCGATGTAGGCATGGAATCCCTACTAACCTCGGCATCCGATCGATCACCTCGCCTAGTGACTAGTTGGTCGTGGCCGGCGTCGCAGCGGCAAAGACGTACGGCTTCGCGTTGCGGAAGGTCGACATGTCCCGGATGGAGTTCGCGTGGAACTTGTACTCCACCAGCGTGTTGGAGTCCAGCATGAGGATCTCCTTCAGCTTCTCACTGCCACGATACGAGAACGAGATGGTTAGTGATTCAACATTAAGTTACTACTAACACAGAAAGTAAATAATTACGCACCCAATGGCGAAGCGGGTGTTGTCGTCCGAGTTGTCGGCGTTCCAGACGGACAGCATGTCCTCCTTCGAGCGGATGGCCATGGCGATACCGACGACGTCGAGCTGCTCGAACGCCTCGCCGATGGCGGCGAAGACCAGGTCCTGCCACATCTTACCCAGCACATTGGCCTTCTTCTTGATCTTGAGGATCCAGCAGCCGCCCTGGGGGAACGCCTCCCACATCGGGGCGCAGTTAGGCTGGTCGCGGAACAGGTACAGGTTCACGTCGCGGTTCAGCTGCGACGGACGCTTGACGTGGATGTAGTGGCTGCAATCAGCATGGTCACAACACATACATTATCAGCACCATTGACGCTGGCACGTCTTTCACCTTGACCATCAGCAGCAACTCACCGCCAGAAGTCCTCCACCGTGTTGAACGTCGCAATCTTCTGCAGGTTCGACTGGTACGTTCTGCTCAGCACCACCACCAACACCATCAGCACTGCAACAACACTGCAGTAAAACTGCAGCATTGCAACTCACCCCACGTCGATCTTCTTGGGCATCTTCTTGTCGTACCTGCAGCAACAGCAACGTCAACCGTGGGGTCAGTAGAGCCCTCCCCCCAAATGCCTTGTGGCCGCAGCCAATGCACGCACCAGAGCGACCATCCCGACTGCAGCGGGTGCTCCTCCTCCTCTCCCTTCTCGATGACGGCGGGCGCGGCCGCCACCTCCTTGTTCGCAACTGCCGTCGATGGTGTGTCAATCGCCAGTCAGTTTGGTGCGCAGCAGCAGCACGAGAGAGAGCACAAAGTCAGTCAAATTTAGAGGCAAAAGTTGCGCCGATGCGTTGCACTCGTGGGTACGTTGGCGGCATCGAGCGGCGGCGACAAGCAGAGCCGCAGCAGGCAGAGAAGGCGACAGCGGCAGCACGTACGTTCCTCGCCAGCCATAATTGTCCTCAACTACGTTTCGTGGTGTGAAGGCGTACACAGTCTAGGCAGAGAACTAAGTACGCGCATAAAGTCATTGCGAACCTAAGTTAAATGCGACAACTTTAACAGGCAACTGCGTCAACTTTAGCAGGGATGACCAGCTGAGGAAATATTTGAAGTAAGAATCTGAAAATTCTTAAATAAAGGCTTACAATTGATTTGACACGTGAGTCAGAATTGTTCTCTTTTGGTGCAATATGTTCCGATATTCGCCGAACCATCCCAACACCGTTTATCAATTACTTAAGTATTTTACTGAGATAACTAGTGTACCGTAACTTACGGTCCGTAAGGTATGCTGCTACGCAGCCGGCACAGGATTAATTCACAGGTCGAAGAGCTGTGCTTGGCCGGCAGAAATTTTTTGTAACTTACTGAAACCGGGTACCTTTCTAACCGAAATAGAGTACTTGTTAACCTAACCAATTATATTTAAAGCTACGAATGGCTACATGTATTACTCTGTAGCTCAGGGGTTGTTTGCTAAGTTTAGCACTAAAATCAAGGACAAGTCTAAGACTAAAAATTACGAGTTATTACTACAGCGGGCGGAGAAACCCCGAGCTACCTGTGCGGGTCAGTATACTAAGACCAAGTCAAAAAGATGTGCAAGTGAAATGACAACAGCGCTTCAACTCACAAAATTGCCATTTCTTCTTGGTTTGGCATGAATCATTCACCATTCGACGCGGAATCGTTTGAAGTATAATCTGCTCGAATTCCATTGACTATTAAAGGCTGGATTTCGACGAATCGTCGCTCGAATGAAACCGGTCCAATCTGAGTTTATCTTGGTTTTTGTATAGGATCACCAGATTGTGAACCTCCAACGCCTGGCAAAACGTGATGAATGCCCTCAGACATTGCACGATATCATATCCGTTTCTTGGTTTCTCGGGATCCTGCTTTGCTTATATGTATGACAACATGAGTACCTTTCGCCTCATGTGTGCATTGTATCGCTAGTGTTGCTGGATGCATCTGGGTAGGTCGAAACACTGGGTCATCGGGCTTGCAAATCGTTTTGACATACTATATGTATCTGGCGGGCTTGGGGTGGGCTATGACTTTTTCCACCCGCTGTACTTTTGTGAAAGGTTGCTAAGGATTTCACTAGTAAACTACGCTATGCATCCGCTGAAGCATACTTTATAGCTGGGCAATGCTTGTCAATATCTCGTGCTATCATGCCTGCTAGCTCGAGCTACGTAAGCTGTACGCCTCAAATGTTGAAAGCTTAGTACATCGTCTCACATTAGGCATGCTCGCCAAACATAGAACGGAGGGTGTTAATATTGTCACTGCAGATTTGGATACCTGTATGTTATTATAGGTCCCATAACGAGCTCTGGTTCGAATGTAGACGAAGCGATGAGTTGCGTAATTTTAAATAAAACGAGAGAGCGATCTATCTACCTGTTGGATGAGTAAATGCCGCTCATTTCGCGAAACTCTGACGATTGACTACTAAGGATTCGCGGGTGTTGGAATAGCTCGTCCAGACTTGTCTAATCCGCATTGCAAGCGGCTTCGGTGCGCCGCACATGCTGCGCACCAGGCACTCTCTGAATACTTTCCCCACTCAATACTATAGTGGCATCAAAATTCATATCAGCAGGGTTCTGCAGTAGCTTTAACTCTCTCTCTCTGTGTGTATATCTAGCTAGCCTAGCTCAATAGTTTGTGAGTGGGTTCCAAGTTTTTGCTCCGACCCAGAGCATTTAATGGCCACTTTGTTAAGTTTCCAGGCCAAAATGAGACACTGGTCGTCCTCAGTATCTTCTTGACGTAGTTCAAGAACTCGACTTAGTCGACTGTCAGCAAAACGGTTTATTTAGCAACTATTCATTCTTGCCAACAACGTATCTTGCTACTGTCATGGTCATCAATTGATTTCTGAAGCCTTATTAACAGAAATGGCTCCAAGTCGGGCTCGCATACAAAACTAACTTGCGATTTGAACATGTTTCGCTGAGATCGACCCATTATTGCTGGTAAATACCAGTTTCAGAGGTCAACTTTTGACTAATTCGACCTGTGTACTCCCCCAGAGCGTTCGCTTCGGGTCGCCTATTTGGAAGCCGTGCGTGTAACGCATGCGTTTAAGTATCCATCATATATTGAAATATTATGAAAGTAAACTTTTAAGTTCAGGCGTCTCCTCGAACAGGGAACATTTTTCCGTGCACATCATAAATTCTTTTTTATTAATATGGCTCGGATCGACCTGAAACTTTGGCAACAAGCTCTGGTTGGTCATGGATAGGTAATTAGAAAGTTTGGGAAGAAGTGTGCTTGTGCTCCAGGTGCAATGAACACAAGATCAGCACGCCATACTGGAATGTAGTCAGAGGTTTATTGCAAGTTTATCATAACTGAACGGTCGCCACTGCTTTCAGCTCCCTCATCTGGGCATCTGCACAATGACGACCGATAAAGAAGAAGATGGTTTGCTGTTAGTGCGCATCAGAAAGCGCAAGCAGTCTCTAGGGCAAGGTGTAATATGTAACAAGGAAAATGAGAGCTTGCAGTCTGATGCTGCTGCGGCTGCAGCTGGATCAAAGCGTCTCCGAAGCTGCAATAACCCCGACTATCCGGTACGCTAAAAGATCTCAATCACTAATAGCTTACTGAATTATACTTTTTGAGTTCTAACCTTGAGCTAATGAACACACTCTTTATTTCTCTCTCTTTGTAATTACCTGAGCAAAGGCGTCAACGTGGCAATTGCAATTGCTATGCCGCCAAAGCTGGTGCGGAAGCTCGTGCACGGCAAGCACCCCAAGCACAGATCCAGGAACGCCGCAAAAATGGTCCAGATCACTATTCTTACCTGATAGCGGATTCAATCAAGGCTGCTGCACTCGCTGGCTACAGATCGCGCGTTCAGAGGGCTGCCCGCGCGAATGATTTTGGCGCTAACCGCACGGAACGCAATGCTGGGGGTGGAGGAAGCTTTGCTGCAGCATGTACCGACAGCAGAAAGCAGTCAGCCCGCGAGAATTCGGACCTCTTTCAAGCTGACCAAGATGTTCAAAAGGGGTGCTCGTCGGAGAAAGCGGCGAAGAGCAGCGTCGATCACATGGGAGGAGACGTGTGTGATAACCTTGTAGCAGACATCAAATGCTATGCAGGACGTCCTATCGACTTTGCTGTGGTATGTAGTGCTGGCAATGCACAATCTCGAAAGCCTCAGCACCAGAAGGATGCTGCATGCGGCGCACGAAAAGAAGGTAAAGCTGAAGAGTAGTCTTCGCTGCGGGTTTCGCACCAGATTTTACGGGATATGGGTAATGATACTGGTAGTGAGCTGTGTTGTGTGGCGTATGAACGTGGGGAATCCGATAATACTGGATTGAAGTGGAGTAGATGTGATGGCTCGGTGATCGAGCACGACCTGCCACACGCATGCAGCCCCCGTGTCGAGCGTGGAAAATCTGTCGCAATAGAGCCTCGAATTGGGGTTAGTACTCCAGTAGCAATTGAAGCGTTCGTGGCGACAGCGGAACGGAAATCACAGGCGTCACGCTCACTAAGCTTTGGTATGCAGACGGAAAATGCTGATAGAGACTTGCTTATCGATGTCGCTGGTAATAACGAAGCCGAGAGTGTCCCAAAGTCGTACGGCGAGGTGATACATGCTGCTGAAATCGATGCCACCGCTGATAACAGTTGCGAGCAAGGTCAAAGTTATAATAATTCCAGCCCCTTCAAATCCCCGCGTTTGCGACGTTCGAATCGGATTCAAGTCGAACGAATGTTTGTGAGTCCGCCGACATTAACGCCAACCCCTGTCCGCCGGACACTTCCAACAATTCGAGCACTCCTCAAGTTTTTTTCTGTTCCCGAAAGTGAAGTGAAATCCTTTCTAAAGCATCTACCGTAAAAAAAACAAGATCAACAGCGGAATTCTGGACGGATTCGGACTCCAGCACGACTGATGCAGCATATCAGCGCACTGTGGCGTCCAATCTCGTGTTTCGATTACTGCGATGTGTTTCAGAAACGTTGTGCGGCACCAGTGCATCTAGTGTGTTTTTAGAGATCTTTGCGACCTGGTTAAACCCGGTGACGTGTGCTAACGATACATTGGTGACGACGTCTGCGAACGTATTAGCGAAAACGCGGAAGAGCTCTCTCGAATACCGAAGTGTGCGCGCGCTACTGTGCGGTTCATATTCGTTGAAGAGCCTCCAAGATATTTGCATCGATGTTAATGGAGTTTGCATTGGACGGAAAGCTCACTTAGCGGGTTGCAGAGATTTTCAGATCCTTTTAGATGAAGGTGCGCTGGAAGTGAGTAAAGTCACAAGGCAAAGATTCGACCCAGCAGTTGTGTCGGAAGCTGTCCACCACATCCTCTCCATGGAAAACGTTACCTTTCTGTCTTGGGGGACGAAATCGGTCAAGTTGGACGGGGAGCGGGTATCTGTTCCTGCCATACAGAGGCGCAAACCGATAAATGTAATGTTTGACCAATATGGGCACCAACGAACCCCTGGAAATATGGTGTCCGCACGAACATATTATCGACTAGCCGCCATCTTGACGCATGGTACGTCACAGCCTCGGAAGGCAGTAAATTACGTCACTGGGTTTCTGATCAACGATAATTTTCAATTACTCGATCGTATTGTCCGTGATCTGCTTCCCACAATCAGCACGAGTGTGCTCGAACGTCTTGCTATTTTGCGTGAGTGGCTTAAGTATGGTGGAGAACAAACGTTCGAGAATGGTCAACGTCTGGAAGAGAGTCACTGCCCCCGGCACTTAATTCAATTTGGGCTTGCGACCCCTCCTGTGTCGACGGGAGACACGACCAAGCCGAAGAAACCCAAGAAGAAGGCACCCAAACATTCGCGTGCGAAAGCAGCTCAATCTGAAACGAAGTCGTCGGCAAGAACCATCTCAGAGGCGGCAAATGGGCTCAACGCATCAAGCGGCGCTACTAAAACGTTATCACGTGCAGTGAGTTGCCAGCAGTGTATCGCCATGGACACCATTTTTACTGACCTCCGGCAGCAGTTGGAGGCAACAAATCCCGATCCAACGACACTTGAAGTTGTGGACGATGCTTACGAAAAAATGGAGCTCTACTTGGGTCACAGAGTACGGGTCACAAACCAGCAGCGGGCGATTCACGAAACTGCTGAACTAATAAAAACCAAGTGTATGGATGAAAGGGGCAGTAGTGATGCGATCATTGTCATTGATTTCAAAATGAAACTTGAGCCAATCTATTTCCGCGAAAAGACTGTTGATCACTATGGGAAACGAGGAATGTCGTGGCATGGAGCCCTAGTTCCTTACTGGACGTATGATGCTGCCAGTGGTTCTGCTCGCGAAAATAAAGTGTACGTCGATCAAATTTCAAACGGGGACAACAAACAGGATAAAGAATCTGTGGTCGCACTAGTTGAGGGGATATTATTGTCGGTTCACCGAGCGTTCCCATTTATCAAGCGCGTGACGTTTCAGTCCGATAATGCTTCGTGTTATCAAAACACGTATCTAGCGCTCATGCTTCCTCTCGTTGGCCCCTTGAACAATATCGAGGTCGTTCGGTTCATCCACTCTGAGACCCAAGATGGGAAGTGCGTCCTAGATGCCCATTTTGCAACTGCAACGCGTAAAGTGAAAGCTTGGGTTTGTCAAGGCCACGACGCTACAACCCCGCAGGAAGTGGTAACAGCTTTAACGTCTGATGGCGGTCTTCCGAATTGTATAGTGGAGTTAGTGGAATACAATCCAACGGCTCCACCGCTTCGTAAACAAACTTCATCTTGGCGTGGCCATCGTTCAAACTCATGATATTTGAATATTCTGGTGTTGGAGATGGATGCATAGTGTGTGTGTGTCCGACACTTGGTCGGTGCGACTGCAATACGACTCATGACCGTAATCGCCAGAAATTGGATCTTCGTGATGACACTTTGGACAGTGACATCGAATTAGGTAATTTTAGTAGTGACAGTGAAGATGAATCTGAGCAGTTTGAGCCAATTGGGAATGATGCAGAAGCCACAAGTGAAACGTCAACAGTTGTGGCGCTTCCTGGTGGTTCTATTGGTGCTTTATCAGGAATCCAAATTACTCGGTTTGGTCAACTACGGATGCGGACGAGCGATATGAGATGTGAGCGCCCCACACTTGGTAATGACCCACACGGCCGTGACTTTTCTGAAAAAGACGTCGAAGCTTATGCAAAGCGGAGTCTTATGGACATGCAAACCGGGGGGGGGGGGGACTTTAGTGATATAATTGAGTCAACCGGTCTGGGCAGAAAGGTAATCGCAGCGGCGAAGAAGTGCGTCAAAATGACTCGAGAGCAGAAACAATTAGCGCCAGGATGGGCTCGCAGGCAGAAGAAAGGGTACATGTACGGTGCAAAATATATTGCTCTGTACAGTGAAGAAATGGAGAAGCTCTTCAATCCCGGGTGGCTGGTGCCAGTACCAAGATGGGACCGGCCAGAATGCGAGAATTTCTTACGAAAGCGTATCCTCGACGCTACAATTTTCCAGGCGAAAACGAAATACGCTCAAGAATATCGGCCCTTCTACAGAAGCAGAAGAAATCTGGCAAGGCATTGCCACCTAGGAGACCGACGAATTCCAAGCAATTCAGCCAAAGCCAGGTCAATGGAAGTGTAGCTACCGAAGGTGGAGACGTCTAACTGGAAGGCATAAGAAGCAACACTTTATTTAGACCCACAATCGTAAACTCACTGCCAATCAATGGCTAAACAATAACAGTTTGAATGCAAGTAGTTTGGTCTTCACAACCTCAGTATAAAAAATATCACGATCTCGCACCAACAACGGATTACAAAGTGCCAAAATACAGGACATGCATTCCAATGGATCTTGTCGGGACTTGTTTAACCTAGCGAAACGAATTCGCGTCACATGGACGATGGCACCCCACTTACATTGACAACTCTATCTACGTTTTGAGGAAGACCTTTCCGATGCGACTTCTGGAAAAGCACGAGGTAAATACAAACGAATGAGAGATTCGTGTCAGGCTGCGAATAGGTCTCTAGAGTCATCATAATCTATCAAATCGAAGCTGCTAAGCGCGCTCACTCTGCTACTGCCTTCCCGCTTTCGTTTCTAATCGTTTATCATTGCTTCAATCTATAGGAGGGATACTTGCAATAGAGTATCCGTCCAATATCTGCAACAATATACGAGAAGAAGGCCAGTAGATTACCTTGCATACAAGGTAAAGGTGTAGATGCACGGGCACTAGTTGATATTGTAGCTACTGTTGGGTTGATAATATTATCAACGTCATTTTAGAGCGGTTGCTACTACTCGCTGTAGACACCAGAGAAAGGGGAGAGGAAGGGAGGGAGGGAGGAAGGAAGGAAGGGGGAAGAAGCGCCTTCCATGACACCAACGGACCCTGGTGATACGCGTGCTCTGTCAGTTGTTGTGTTTTGGTATGCCTCACCGTAGCATCATGTGGATGAATTATACCGAGGGTCTGCGACCAATAAAGAGCTAAGCACTACGAGGCCAGTCAGTCATATTTACCACCACAAGACGTTTCTGATATCTTACCGGATTTAAATATATTCTGTAATTTACGACGAAGAGTCGCTCAACTCGTCATTTCGGAGAGGCCATAACGCGATAACTACTTCGCGTAAGCGACTATGTCGGCTACCATTGTGCTCGTGAGAACAAGTCCTTTGGATTAGTCGCCTCGGTGACGCTGTTAATAGGTAATCTGAATAATTACCTAGTCGGTCTCTATCAATGAAGAAGCATCAATCGCATCATCAAGTTTCATTCGAATCATTCCCAGTTCTCACGCCTGAAGACGCAGCAACATCAGGGTGAATTTACAGCACGAAGGTAAGAATAGTCGTCTGCTTGGGAGGGCGTTGCTGCAGCTTATAACTTGCTTGTATTTGGTTATTAAAACAGCGCGGAGGCAAGAAAGCAAATTGATATTATCGTAAGTGTGTTATTGTACTTAAAGGTCTGATTATCTGGTAGATGTGGATGCTCATAATATAAAAGCACAGCGCGGGCGACTGGTGCGCCGCAAGTGCGGCGCGCCTAAGTCGTGTGCGCTGTGCGTTTATCTGTTTTGTTTATTTTTGCTATCTCAGCCCCCGCGAAGCCCCAGTGTAGGCTCAGTCTACAGCTATATCAGGACTCTATAGTTTGTAAATAGAGGACCTCTGAACACACAAATATTTTCCTGCAGGCTTGCGGCCCGAATATCAAAAGAAGAAATGGCCGAGCTGTTCACACGAGCGCACGAAGCCTCCTTCTCTCTTTTCCGTCGTTCACATTGATGATACACGTACCAATGAACCTTGTTGCCAAAGTATATCCCGCAATACAGGATCGCGTATCCGCAATACAGGATCGCGTATCCGCAATACTGGATTGCGGTACAGTCTATCAAGAGCGTGGAGGTGGAGGATGAACAGAGACAGAGTACTCAGGGAATATACAGATACATGTATGGCAACCATGTTTCGATGTTTACGAGATCCGTGTGGTGCTGCATGTAACTTATTATTTGCGTCCTGAATACTGTACTTTTACCTGTACAGCTAGTGAAGCTTCATCTCAGCGAAGGAGCTTGCTTTGTCAATAATTTTTCAAACGTGTTCTTGAACATCTCCATACCTAATGTAACGTACATGTACACGTGCGCGGAATGAGCGGTGTGCTGGCCGACTAAACAGCTACGTACAGTGCACTAAAAGTTTCGTTCCTCGAAGGTTCAACAGCTCCCAGCCCAAGCAAGAGCAATTCTCAAGCACAGCAGATCCGACTAGGTATCCGTCTACACCACTACCCCTACCGACAGATAGGTACTGTACACATTGGTAAACTATGCCGCGCGCAGTCGTCTGGTTGCAGTCAAATGCGGGACCGGCTGCTGCTTCGATGGTGAGAACCCACCTCAACCCGTTCAAACAGCAAAAATGCCGTGCTTTCGCGCAGCCTGCCAGTCAACACTCACAATCCTGGCCGGCTCAAGTCCTCACATTCCGTAATATTCAGCGCCGTCCTTCAAGACTTGAGTCCTCCAGTCCAGCAGGATGGAATCCCTGCGCTTTCTTCGGTCTCTCGGCTCGAGACGCAGCCAACCCGTGTGGACTCGCTTCCCTGAGCCCCTCGACACAATCGACGAAGAAGGCGACGCACCAGAGCCCAAAGGAGCCCGGCGGAGAAGGAAGCTGAGTGAAGTGCTGCGGATCCAAGACTTGGCCAGTCTCCCGTGGATCGGATGGCTGTTCGTCTACGCGTTCGTGCTGTTCTGCTTCTCTGCCAGTCGCTGCGTCGTCCTCAAGTCCCTCGTGACCATGTACGGCAGTCCGCGAGACTACACGGCGAGCTTCAAGATTGCAGCGCTGACTCTGGGCTTCATGGAGGACTTCGTCTGCGCGACCTACTTGACGTGCGTTCTGTGGCTCTTTGACACCTGCAAGCTCGCCGTCGTGAACCGGTTCACCTCTCGAGGTCGCGCAGTGATCGTGCGAGTCGCCGGAAGCTTCGCAACGTTCGCTGTTTCGTGGCTCTCGTTCGTCGTAATGATGGCCCCATTCGCCGCCGACCTGCTGCTGGTGATCAACCGCGACATGCGCTTCACGCTCGACCTCGTGGCCACTTTGATCCGGGAGAGGCACCACCTCGACGCCGCCCCGATCTCGACCGAGGAGATCCAAAGAGCTTACATGACTGCTGCTCTTGTAGCAGGAGCTGCTACGATATTCGCACTTGTGCGGGCGTGCGCAGGCTGGGCGGATCTCGCGGGCTGGAACCCGACGCACCTGGTAGTGGACCCTTCCAATGGCTGGGGCCGCAGTATCAAGCTGACGACCGGAATGGGCGGCAAGTACGAGGAAGTCGCACTCGAAGAAGGAGCCGCCAGCCCGAAATCCCCAGTCCTAGACAAGCTCTCGTCCGCGAACGCCAGCTCCACGTACAGATCGCTTATTATCAACCACACGGTTCAAGCGACCTTGGTTCTCTCGGGGCTCGTTGTACTCCCTGCGCTGGTGGTGGCGGTGCGTTGTGAGTGTTCGCCTCTGGTCGCGTACTCTGCGTTGAACGCGACGCTGAACGAACTGTTCGGCCACGCGCTGCAGCCAGCGCCGACCGACGCCACGTTCACGAACGTCAACGACAACCAATGGGTCGAGATGTACATCCACCCGACCGAGAGGCACAAACTCTTCGGAGACGACTCGCTCTACCGCCTCACGACGGGATTCCGCGGAGACGTTGCATTCGACGTCAGTGTATCGAGCGACAACCCGCCGAACGTCCTGGTCATCGGAGTCGAGTCGTTCCGGTACCGGGACTCTCGCTACATGGTCGGGAAGGACGACCCGTCCAACCTGTTCAAGGACACCGACCTCACCATTACGCCCAACTTCGACCGGTGGGCGAAGCGTGGCGTCGCTCTCCGCAATCTCTGGACAAGTAACCCCACAAGTCGATCTCTGGAGAGCATCCAGTTCGCTCAGATCCCGTACGACAGCGCTACACAGACCGGAATCACTGGCGGGAGGGGGGACACGCAGCTCGCAGGTTTGCCGCAGCTTTTCTCGGCCAAGGGCTACGAGACGTTCTTCTCGACCGGGTCCTCCATTGACCTCGACAACTGGGACATCTTCCTGCCTTCGCACGGCTTCGAGACGGTGTGGGACAACAACAAGATGATTGAGCTGGCTGAGGCGGACTACAACATCTCCCACGAGGAATGGAACGGCGAGGAGCACCGAGGATTCACCTGGGGCGTTCACGACGACTTGAGCTTCCAGATCCTCGGCGACCTGCTCGTCAACAAGACGAGGAATCAAACGGAGCAGGTGACAAGGGGCGAGCCGAAGAAGCCGCTCTTCATCACGCACTACACGATCACGAGCCACGCGCCGTTCAACGCCTGGCCGACCTGGTACGACAAATCCGAGAAGCCCGATTTCTCCGCGCTTTACGAAGGAGAAGAGCACGCAGAAGACATCCAGAGGTACCTCGAGGCGCGATACTTCACGGACCTGGAGCTGGGCAGGTTCCTGGACCGCATGTCCGACGAGGGCGTGCTCAAGGACACGATCGTCCTCATTATGGGGGACCACGGCCAGGCGCCGGAAGCTGAGGTTATCTACTCTGAAGAGGAATCCATGACTCGCGTTCCCTGTGCCATTATCGCCGAAGGACGACTAGGGAAGGATACAGGACTCGTGATCGAAGACGCCGCCGAGCACTACGATATCCTCAACACGTTGGCAGATATCACGGGTGTGCCTGAGGGAGGCTTCGTGCAGAACGGCGTCGGACGCTCGCTCAAGCGCAAGGTCACGTTCGGCGAGCGCGCGGTCTTCAGCAACGTCCCGGGCCACAAGATGTCGGTCGTTCGTGGCAATCAACGACTGCGTTATGACAGTGTGACGGACGCGATGCTGCTGCACAACACGGAGACGGACTACTTCATGGCTGAAGATCTGTTCCCAGGACTCTCACCCGACAAGCAGGCGGAGTGGCTGGCCTGGCGCGACAACGGACGAAGGATCTCCGCATATTACACCAAGCGGTGGGACGAGAATTGCTTGCTGGCGGTCAACTGCACGGCAGAAATGTAGATCGATTGCATTTATTATCAAATTCACAACCATCCTTCTCCTAATCGGTATCCCCCCACGTAGCCGAGTTGGTCACTCAGTACGCTGTCGCTTCTATTTTCCCTCCATTTCCACCGCCAATTGACTATGATTCGCTTCCAACGCGAGTTGGGCGGCTTCACGGATACGAGCCTGGCCTCTGCGTTCTTCACGCACAATATCGCACAACCACTCCACCACTGTAGCCTTTTCGCTTGTAGCAGCAGCACGCATCGCCGCTCCGGGGTTGCCCTCGCTTCGGTTCGCGTGGAGCCATTGGACAACTTCCAAATGGCCTTTTGAAGCCGCGAGGCGCATCGCTTCACTCATACAACCCTCATGGCGATTCTCGAAGAGAAACTTCGCTACCGAGAGGTGGCCGTACGCTGCGGTGTATCCCTCGCCGCGGCTCTCGTGAAGCCATCGCACGATCTCCAGATGCCCATTTGCAGCCGCCATATCCATGGCCTTAGTCGAACATCTCTCCGGTCCGTTGGTGTGAAGCCACTTGAGAATCTCAAGATGACCATGTTCAGCGGCTACTTGTAGTAAATCACGCGGAGACCAGCCAACCCACAACGTTCTCTCTGGATAATACTCACCGAGCCACTGCACGATATGTAGATATCCATTTGTCACAGCTTCAAACACCATGTAGAAATCGAACATGGTAGTGACGAGAGCCTCTATTGCCATCTCGGCCGTAATGCGCGCGTCGTCGTCGAGAACTTCCACCAACTCCATTTTATTTCTCGAGACTGCCGAGACCAACGCCTTACCAATCACTTGGGCTGGGATACGATCATCCTTGAGCAAGAACTTGGTGATTTCTTTCCAGTCCTGTACATGCTTGCTACTACCCGTACCGGTAACGGTAGCTTTCTTGAAGGCAGCGACGACGGCCTCACTCGAGATCTCCTCGTTTTCGTACAGATACCGGGTCATTTCGATTTTGAACGAAGACACAAACGCTCGGTTAATCGACTCTGGGGATGCACACTTCTTCCTGCAGAGTAATACGAGCACTTCTGTTCCCGTCATGCTGATTGACCCCTCCAAAGCGCGGTCAAACGTGTCCGATGATACTAACCCGGTACGAATAGAAACTCCATCGTGTCAACATATCCATAGTAGGCTGCATTTTGAAATGCATTGCTGACCAAGTCGGACTGGTTGTGCCCATGGTTGATGAGATATTTCACAGCGTTGACAGATCCTTCTTCAATTGCCAGCTGGACCAGCATCGACTTATCTTCCGCTGTGCGGAGGTAGATGTCGAGAATCCTGTCTGCAAGGCCTGGCGGGCCAACGTCAACTGCTGCTGCAAACGCTGCCACCAAGTCCCACCAGGCGGCGTCAAGCCCGAGCACAAACTCCACGACGTTCGAGTGTCCCGCCACGATCGCCCGAGCAAGCGAACGAAGTGGCCTGAACCCGATGTTATAGTTGTATTTCTGCATAAGGTCGGCGCTCTCGCTGTGTTGCACGAGAAATCGGACCACGTGAAGGTGTCCACTTTCAGTTGCGGCTTCCAAAGTCTCCCACACTGCCGTAGCCGATTCAATGACGTAGAAATTGAATTGTTTCTGCAGCAGCGCTGTCAGGGTGTCGAGATGTCCGTTGCCCCCCGCTGCTGGGACGGCCTTGCGTAAAGCTCGCTGATGTTTGCGTTCCACGTAGATTCGAGAGTAAAACTTCAGCAGCAAAGCGTCCACACACGCGCGCTGGCCATTCGACGCTGCGGCCACGAGAGCTTCGCATTCTCCAGAGCACTCGCCCCCATGTATGAGTTGGTTCAGCCACGCCACTTGGCCCGACCTTGCTGCCTCCTTGAGAGCGTCATGGCGATTCATGAGTAGAACGTCAATTTGGTCCAAAACGTGCGGCAGTGCCTCGACTTTATGCGGGAACCTAGCGCCCCGGAATCGCGGGTAGTTTTTGGTTGTGGTTTGATGCTTTGCTCGCGTACGCGCGCGCTTATTGCTGTCCGAAGAGGAGGTGGTGCGCTTTCTTACGTCGGGCATGGTGCTGAATCCGAAATATCCAACTTTGCTTGGTTTGATCATGTTTCAATTTCGATCACTCACTGCTGTTGCCCCATTTCAACTGGTCTCAACCATCAGAGGAGCGTTCTTCAGAAAATACATGGCAGGCATCTATCTATCTATTCTTACGGAGTCTATCTATCTAACTAACTAACTGTCGTTAAGCATAGTTCGGGAACCACGTCGTCTTCAGAATCTGGTCGAGTCGTTGGGCCACTTCAACATGGCCCGCTTCAACTGCGATTCGAATGGTCTCTTGGATGCACGCGTCGCCTCGCGGCTCTTTACGCACGACACCACTCAGCCACACCACCACGTCAACGTGTCCGTACTTGGCGGCACTCCGCAGCGCATTCCCTGGCATCCGTTCGCTCCTATTAGCGTAAAGCCACTGAACCACCTCCAAGTGACCATTAGCCGCCGCGCTGCTCATTGCGTGCTTGGTGCACCCTTCCGACCGGTTCTCGTGGAGGAAGCGCACAACATCCAGATGCCCCTTGCCAGCGGCGTAGTCCATCGCCTCCGTGCTGCACGGCTCGCTGCGGTTCTCGTGGATCCACCGCACCATATCGAACCGTCCACTGGCTGCCGCGTAGTTCATCGCCCGGTACGTGCAGCCTTCACTACGGTTGGCGTGCAGCCACTGCATCACCGGAAGGTGTCCGTGTTCAGCTGCTGTGTCCATGAGGAACCGCCCGCAACGACTCGAACCTTCGTGACCGTCGCCCCACGACGTGCGCTCCGGGTAGCACTCGTTCAGCCACTCGAGGACGTGCACGAAGCCGCGGATGACGGCGGCCGCTGCCATGTACTGGCCGTTGTTCCAGTCCGGGTCGCGAGCTGCAGCGTACTCCAGTGCGCGCCGTGGGAGCCCCAGTCTGCACGCTCGCCCGACCTTCTTTCGGGAGGAGAACGGGTTCAGGTATTCGTCCACGAGCGTCACGACATGGGGCAGCAGCTCCACGTTGTGCTTGTACAAACTCTCGCGACAGACCACGAGCGCCGTGACGAGCTCCGGGAAGTTCTGGTGCAGGTCCTTTCGGGGTGACATCGGCAGCTGCATGGAGGAGTGCCGCGTGTATTTTTCGAGAATGGGACTGCACGCTAGCTACTTGCTGCTATGCTGCACTGGACTGGACTGAAGTTTCCATGTCGACGAAGGTCGAGAGGTTTCATAACGGATCGAAACGGACTTCAGCGCTTCTTCAGCTTCAGCTTCACCTTCACGGAAGCACATGCGAGCGCCAAGTGCGATTTGCACTTCGCCTCCTCGACGTACTGGCTCGTTGTCCGCTTGCACTCCTGAGACTCGGATGAGCGAGAAGCAACTTCAATGCATCCCCGTAAGTGTTTACCAGCTTCTCTAGGCGACGGACCCCGATCTGCAGGACCAGGCGTGTTGCCATGTGCTCATGTGCTTCTCGTCGAGCACTCTCGATGGCATTGCGGATGCACTCGTTGCCATACTGAGGCGATCGATAGTGATGGCCTGGAGCTTTGCCCTCTCCGCAATGCGCGTAGGATTCCAGCGATTGTTTTTTTCTCCTTTTATCACGAGATTGATAGAAGTTGAATGTGTACTTCATATAATCAACTCGCGAAGCTCAATCTATCACCATGCTCGGTGCAAGAAAGCGCAAGAGCTCCAGTGGATACGTATCGAACAGCACCAAGCGGGCGTGAACAGATCGGGAGGATAATAGCCCACCTTCCACTACGAGCGGCTTCAAGGCGCGAGATTCCCACCAGAAGTTGAGGCGCTAACTCACGTTTTGGATCACATCGACATCTTGCTGATGACGCGTGAAGAGGCTGTTCTCCCCGCTTCGTTCCCTGGCTTGTGCAATTTTGGCGGGACACTGGAGCGTAGTGGAATTTGTACTCGGGCTTGACGCCCCCTGGATGAACTTGGTGGCAGCGTTTGCAGCGGCGGTCGACGTTGGCCAGCCAGCCCTCGCAGACAGAATTCACGATATCTTCCCCCATACAGTGAATGATAGGCCTTTGATGGTCCAACTGGGACGCGACAAGGGGTCTGTCAACGCTGTGAAATATCTCTTCAACCATGGGCACAACCAGCCCGGCTTGGTCAGCCAGGCCTTTGAAACTGCGGCCAGTTACGGCCATCCCGACACGGTAGAGTTTCTGTTTGGTACGGGGCTAGTCTCCTCGGACGTGTTCGACCGAGCTTTAGAGATGTCCACCAGAATGGGAATGTTTGGGATAGCCGTACGCGTATTTCTCTGCAGTAAGAAGTGCGCGCCCTCGCAGTCGATTAAACCGAACATTTGAGGCTTCGAGCAAATTCGACGTGGTCAAGTATCTGCACGAGAATGAGGATATCTCACGCGAGGGCGCCCTCGCTGCGTTCAGTAAAGCTGCAACGTGTGGAGAGCGTTGGTATTGCGCAGGACGAGATGGCGATTATGAATTTGTTGGACGCAGACGAACGTATCCCAGACAAGGTGATGGCCTATCGTTCGTGATACATGTAGTGAATAAGTTGGAGCTGGTGGGAAGGCTTCATTCGATATGAGGCTCCCATTTCATACTGCGTAACTGCACGAAAAGGGTTGTTTGACGCCAAAGCGCAGGAAATTCGGCGTAACTGCATTCACTTTGTTAGCGTCTTGATAGTTCTCAGCCTTGAGAAGCTAGACTACGGAGGTCGATCAACCGTGATCTTACTCAAAACGCTGGCGCTTGGTCTTCTGTTCGAGGTACTCCGCCACGTCGAAACGCCGAGCCCTGCGCGCAACTTACGCAGCCGCACGAAAGCACGCGTCGCCTCTGCGTTGCTCGTGGGCCAATCCGCACAGCCGCCCCTTGACGACGTCGAGGTGCCCATGTATCGCGGCTAAACGCATGGCCTCGCTGGTGGCGGCACATTCGTGAGGCCGATACTCGCGGAGACAGCAGACCGTGACCACTGGAGGTGGCCAGTCGGGAGAGCACACTTCGTCAGTGTTATCGTGGGACCACTTCAGTACACCGAGATGGCCACCCCGAGCCGCAGAATCCATGACATCCGCATAACGAGCAAAACCTTCAATAGCTCATTACGTGCAGCCTTCGCTTCGGTTGTCGTGGAGCCACTGGATGACTGGGAGATGGCCCTGCTGTGTGGCGACGTCCACAGCGTGATCCTGTAGTGGCCGTCGAATCCATTGTCCCAGGCGACGCGTGGGGTAGCAGTCCAGGACCCACTGGAGCACATGCACGAACCCGCCCCTTGACGCGAGAGCGCTCATGTCGTCGTCATCCACGTACTCTTGATAACCCAACTAGACACACAAATATACACACTACGGTTTCTTGTTTTGGCACGAGGTGCGAGTCAATTGGGCTCTCTCTCCATTCTTCTTAAGACAAAAAACGCGAGACTCTTTTGGATCGCCTGTCACGAAAGGTGATTGATAGAAGCTGAAACCTTGCACAGGTAAATAACTGGTCAATCTTGATTTATCGCCATGTTCGATGCAAGAAAGCGCAAGAGCTCCAGTGGATATGTATCGAACAGCACCAAGCGGGCGCGAACAGATCAGGAGGAGAATAGCCCACCTTCCACGTACGAGCGGTTCCAAGGCGCAAGTTTTCCACCAGAAGTTGAGGCGCTGGATCACGTTCTGGATTAAATTGACATCACGCGTGAAGAGGCTGTTCTGGAGGCAGCGAGGTCCGGTCAAGCGGCGTGGCTGCGAAAATTGATACATGGGGAGGAGTGCGTTGAAGCAGCTAGGGCACTGGTGATCGCAGCAGCTAACGGCAGGTTGGAGTGTGTGGAGACAATGTTTTCGAAGGAGAGAGAAAAATGTGGTATCACAACACGTAGAAGGCATTAATGGAGGCTGCCCCGGCAGCGGCTACCAATGGACATCTCGACACAGTATTTATTGTGGAAAGAGAGGTATTCCTGCACGATTACAGCCTCTTTCGCAGCTTTGAGAGCCTTAGGTAAAGCTGTTGCCAATGGGCTTCTGGACATGGTCAAATTTGTCATGCAGCACATCGAGCAACACAATCTTCGAACGGGCTGCAGCTTTCAACACTACAGCACGTCCCAGCTTCGTTCACTGGCTACTGCAATTTTGGCGGGACACTGGAGCGTCGTGAAGTTTGTGCTCGGGTTCGACACCTCCTGTATGGACTTGGTGGCAGCGTTTGCAGCAGCAGTTGACGTTGGCCCGCCAGGCCTTGCAGACAGGATTCTAGGCATCTACCTCGACACCGCGGAAGATAAGTCGATGCTGGCCCGGTTGGCAAGTGAAGAAGGGTCTGTCAATGCTGTCAAATGTCTCTTCAACCATGGGCACAACCAGCCTGACTCGATCAGCAAGGTTATCGAAACTGCGGCCCAATACGGACATACTGACACCATGGAGTTTCTATTTGGTACCGGTTTAGTATCTTCGGACGCATTTGACCGAGCTTTTGAGGGCTCAATCAGCATGACGGGAACAGAAGTGCTCTGTTTTCTCTGCAGTAAGAGGTGCGCGTCCACGCAGTTGATTAACCGAGTATTTGAGGCAACGGGAAAATTCAAAATGGTCCAGTATCTTTACGAAAACGAGGAGATTTCAGGTGAGGCTGTCATCGCTGCGTTCAGGAAATCTGCAACTAGTGGAAAGCATTGGTATTTGCTGGACGAGGCTGCGATTATGAATCTATTGCACGCAGACGATCGTATCCCAGCCAAGGTGAAGGCGTATCGTCCGTGGTAGTCCGAGCGAGGGGGAGTGCTTCAGGGGGATGGATATTTGTCGAGGTGGCGAAAAGACTCTTGGTGTGGCTCATATTTTAGTACTGTGTAACTACAGTACGCCAACGAGCCTCGGGGTGGATAGCTCTGTAGATGGATTCGTCAGCATCGCTATTCATTCATCTCAAATCCATGGTCAAATCCAAAAGGCGGCGTGAAAGCTTCTGCCCGGTCAGCGTCAAGCGCACCCGGGTATCCATACTGATGAACCTAACGCGTGTTGTACCTACGAGCGGTTCCGAGGCGCGAGATTCCCATCCAAAATACAGGCACTCACTCACGTTCTGGATCAAATTGACGCCTTGCTCATGACACGTGAAGAGGCTGTTATGGAAGCCGCGAGATCGGGTCGGGTGTCATGGCTGAGGCAGCTGATACATGGTGATGATGAGAGCAGTAATAAGCACCGAGGGCTCTGGTGGTCGCTGCTACTAACGGCTGTGTGGAGTGTGTTCAAGAAATATTTCCACCGTGACTAACAGCAGCGACACTGTGACTACCAGTCGATTCTGGAGGAAGCCATCCTGATAGCGAGTGGCTGTGGTCATTGCAGAATCGTGGAGTTGTTGCTGTGCGTGGATTTGTATTGCAACACGTTACTAGCCTGGAGGGTCTTAGATATCGCTACTGCTAGGGGGAATCTTGACGCGGTCAGACTCGTGGTGCAGCATTGCGAGGAACACAATTTTCAAGAATACTACGGCTACGGCCAACTGAAGCTTCAGTCACTGGAATACGCAATTTGGAAGGGGCACTCGAGCGTCGTGGAGTTTGTGCTTGGACTCAACAAGTCGTGGTGGGACTTGGCGGGGGCTTTTGCTGTGGCTGTTAACATTGGCCAGCGAGCTCTCGCCGATCGAATTATTAACGTCTACCACCAAACCGCGGAGAATAAACCTTTTCTGGTTGTGCTGGCACGTCAGGAAGATTGTGTCAATGCCGTGAGGTATCTGTACAACCATGGACACAACCAGCCCAGTCTGGTCAGCGAAGCGTTCGAAAAGGCCGCCAATTACAGGCGTATCGACACGATGGGGGTTTTATTCGGTACCGGGTCGGTCTCCTCTGACGCGTTCGACCGCGCTCTGGAGGGATCAGCAAAGATGTTGGACAGTGAACGGCTGGGGTTTCTCTGTAGTAAGAAGCGCGCGTCCCCGCAGTTGATCAACCGAGCATTTGAGACTTCAAACGAGCTCGAAAAGGTGAGATATCTGTACGAAAACGAGAACATCTCGAAAGAGGCCGTCGTAGCCGTCTTCAGAAAGGCGGCTAAGTGCACGGAGCGTCTCGATTTTCTCGGTAGCAATGAAGATGTTGCGACTGTGAAGTTACTGTACACGGACGATCGCATTCCGGCTGAGATCATTGGCGAGGCGCTGGCCTTAGTAGTCAAGGGGAACCACTTGGAGCTAGTGAAAGCGCTACTGCGGGACGATACGCAGATTTCTGTCGAGATGATTCGAGACTCTCTCATCTCCGCTTACGTCTATGATGTGGCGAAAGCGCTCCAAAATTCTTGTTCTGCACGGAGCTTGAATATCTACGAGTCTGGCCAATGGCATTTACGGACAACAATCTTCTCGAAGCGCTGAGGACGATCTATAGTGGATGAATCAAAGAAATAAACTAACGAGACCGGACGATCACGGATTGTTATGCAATTTTGTACTGAAGCTGAGCACTCGGTTTCTGTGGTATGGAACCACCTTCTTGGCTAATCCATCGTTGATCTCTAGAGGCGAAACAAAGCACACCATTTGTACTAGTTTTCAGTTTTGGCGCTCACTTGATTTTTTTTGCGTAGACCACTCAGTATACTCTCAATCACCGCCTCTTTTGCAACCAGCTCGGTGCCCAGCCCGCGCTGGTGAACCACGTCGCTGGCAGAAGCTTGAGCAGCTCGTTCATTTTCTTGATACAGCCACGCGAAGCCGCTTGCCTGGAGGTTGTAACAATCACGTCCACCGCAATGCGCTGCTCATCGTACAGCGCCCCCATGACATCCGTCTCTCTGGATGAGGAAGCCGCGATGAAAGCCTCTCGGGTCATTTCGACGGTATCCGCGCGTCATCACGCAGCACTTCCACCAGCTCCAAATGATTCTTCCTGGATGCTGAGACCAGCGCCTCCCCCAGGACCTTGGCCGGGATGCGGTCGTCCTTATGCAGCAGCTTCACGATCGCAATCTCGTCCTTGGTGTAACGGAGCGACAACGTGTCACCGCACCTGGCAGCTTTCTTGAAGGCAGCAATGACAGCCGCGCTCGAGACGACCACATTTTCGTACAAGTATTGGACCATCTCGCTCTTGCAGGAGGCCTTAAACGCTCGGCTGACCGACCTCGGGGTTGCGCGCTGCTTACTGCAGAGGAACTTCAGCATTTCCGGACTCTTTTCGGTGACGGATCTCTCGAACGCTCTGTTGAACGCGCCGGAGGACACGCGCTCGGTACTGAATAGAAACGCCATGATGCGAATATCCCCGAACGTGGCCGCACGCTCAAAGGCCTTGCTGACCAGCTGAGGCTGGTTGTCTCCACGGTCGTACAAATACTTCACGGCGTTCGTAGACTTTCTCGAGGCAAGTTTGACCAGCAGAGGCATATCCGACCCGACGGTTTGGGCGTAGTAGATGCCGAGAATCCGGTTGGCAAGGGCTGTTTGTCCTGCGTCCACTGCCGCAGCAAAGGCTTCGACCAGGTCCAACATGAAAGGCGCGTCCAGCCCAAGCAAAAACTCCACTACGCTCAAGTGTCCCCCGGATATGGGGCGAGCGATTGAAAGTATATGGGTCGTATAACGGTGCTTCTTCATATGCTCAACCACGAATCGGACCATGTCGAGATTTCCACTGGCGGCCGCGTCGTCAAGGGCCTCCCAAGCAGCTATGGCGGCGTCCAGTCGGGAGTAGTAAAATTCCTCACGCAGCAACAACTGCAGAATCCTGCGATCGCCATTGCCACTCGCTGTCTGGACGGCTTCCCGTATGATCGGGCGGCAGTGGCGATCCCAGTACCGCTGGCCTCCTCCTTGATCACGGGTGAAGTATCCGCGTAGCAATGCGTCGACACACTCCAAGCGGCCGTTAGCAGCAGCGACCACCAGAGCCCTCGGTGCTTCACTGCACTCGTCATCGCCAAGTATGAGCTGCTGCAGCCAGGATACTTGGCCCGACCTCGCCGCCTCCATAACGGCCTCTTCAAGTGTCATGAGCATGGCGTCAACTTGGTCCAGTGCCTCCATTTCGGGTGGGAATCTCGCGCCTCGGAATCGCTCGTAGGTGCAAGTCGTGCTGAAATCGTCGCCATGATTATCTGGTTGCGTCCGGGCGCGCTTGGCGTTGGTCGGGCTGAAAGATGCATCCGATCTTTCATGCGGCTTATTCGCGCCAAGCCCGGTCATGGTACGGATGACTCCTAGCCGGCAAGTCGTAAAATGGCAACTTGATTTTCTCTCCAACAAGGACACTAAGACAGTTTTCAGTATCAATTGGCGGACTTGAGAGAGGAAGCTTTTCGACTAATGGTCGGGAAGTTAAAACTTGCCTAAAAACGTGAGTCCCCGGTTCGGTGGTGTTCAGATCCGCCTTCATCCCATTAAAACTCCTTGTCGATTGCAGTTTGCCTCGCAGCAAGAAGTCAACTTCCTCTGACGTTCTAGTGTAGTATTGAAACCTGCTTCCGGGAGCTGGGTAGCAACAGATAAGACAGATAAAGGTTGAGGTTCATTGTGGTGGTATGTATACCTTCGAGTCCTGTCACTAGAGGAACACGCAACAGATACAGCCTCTGCTGAATTTTAAGAATGAGATTACGATAATCGCAAGTACGCTCAACGAACACATTTTTTTCGGAGAGCCCAACTTGACTGTTCATGGCCGCTTTTGGTTTGTAAGTACTGAAGTACAACGATCGAGCTTCGAAGTATTCTAAGATTACCATGTATTTTAATTTAAAAATACACGTCCGTTAAGCGAAGAACAGCTTTTGTTGAAGTCGACGTGATTGGTCGATTGCTAACCTATTTTACCGTAAGTAAAACAGCATTGGACAGAATTTAAGTCAGTCCGTTATCGTCCCAGCGCACCAAGATGGAGCTCCCGCGTCCTCCAGAGCCCCCTCCTTCGAGCCCGTCGAGCTTCCGCGAGAGGTTCGACACTGCCCGTGACAAGTACCTGCTGAAGCAGGCGGACAAGCTGCGGGAGCTGGAGACTGCGATGCGGGACGAGGCGACTGCCATGCTGCAGTCACTCCACGACCAAGTGTGCGCTCAGAGCTCCGTCTCCTCCAGGTCCGGACTACACTTAGATACAATGATAGACGAGCTGTTCGCACGCCCTGAAGTCCATCGCGGACTGGTGCAGTGGCTGCCAGAGGCTCGGGCCCAACAGGACGCAGAGACGCTGGTGGCCGAGCTGCGCGACGACCTTGTGACAGGGGACGGCAACGAGGCCCGCACTACGCTGAACAAGCTCCTGCCTCTGTACATTGAAGCGCTGCGTGCTCAAGAGGTGCTAGAGCAGTATAGTGATACTAGGCTTCCAACCGCGTCGCCTGGCGGGAAGGGCGGCGACAAGAGACTTCTAGGCCACTTGGTTCTGCGCGAGATGCAGCCATTCCTCGAGACCATTCAGATGGCGTACCAGGAGGTTCTCAGTGAACGGGATGGAGGTTTGTACAAGGTGGAGAAAGTGGACGTGAAGGAGACGGCAAAGCGACTGAAGGCGGCGCTGTTCATGTTTTTAAACACCGCGAACTTCGCTTCTCACAATCGCGGCAAACTGAGTTACTGCCAGCGAATTGAGCTCTGTGGGGCGGTGGGAGGTATGACGGAGACGTTGCCTGTGATCTTTCAGGTCACCCAGGTAGTTCAAGCGGCGCGTGCCGATAAACCGCAGACCGCCAAGGACGACATTTCGTCAAACGATGTAAACACCAGAACGAACAACCCCGACGACACATTGCCACCAATTGTATCAGAAGCTGAGCCGCTGACGAAAGCTGACGGATCGCTTTGGGTCAAACATTGCCGGCGACTGTTGTGGATCCTGTGGACGTACAGTAGAACGAGATGTTCCGGCAGAATCCCGAGCACCTCTCGCTGAGGCAAAAGATTTCTGTGGCGGTACGCCAAGCCAGAAGCTTGACATCGCTTATTACACCAAATACTTGAACGATTATCCGCGTGAGAAGCGTGAGAAGTATGAAGCGACACTGAAGCACATGGGGCTGGTACCGAAGTGCGGGTGTGTATTGACAACGCCTCGAGTAGCAGCTGCCATGGGTGTGACAAGTCGCACAGTGCTTTCGAGGCACTGAATTACAACCCGCTTGTCATGACACTCAAGTGCCCAGTTCCCGAGAGCTGCAGACATGACGCTATCCACAAGAAATGCGTTTGCCTTTTCAACCACGGGGAGTACAAAGGCGCTGGCACGCTTCGGTGGTGTAAGAAGAATTTATGCAGGAATCTATCGAGTTGCTCGGATCCAAACTGCCTCAGATCTCACTCGTTAGCTGAAGTTTGCTGGATGAACCCAATGTTTCGCACTGCCACCTGCCCCGAAGGGCAGAAGTGTTCCATGAAGCAGAATTGCAGCTTGTTTCACCAAGAATACCATTCTTACAAGCGAAAAGTGGGGAAGAACGAGTATGTTGGCAGAGCAGACCGATACTATTCGTCGACCGAACTCTCAACGCACTAAGCAAAGTTCCAGTGCAGTTGCCACCAGAGCTAGGTATGCCTACACGACCGTTCGCATCGTCGCGTCGCCCTCCAAGCCTGGTTCAGTATTACCAGCAACAATTGCGAGCCCAGGCAAGGTTTTCAGGCCCGGAGCAAGCGAAATATTCCAATGTGCTGAAGCACATGGAACTATTACCAAAGGCACGAATGTGTCTTGATGGCGGACAGTGCGCAAGTGTTGTCGGGGGCGATGGTAACAAGCTATGCTGCGAGTAGCACAGTTCAACCCGTTAGCGATAGTGCTCGCATGCCCTACACCCACAAACTGCCGCGATGATTCGATCCACAAGAACGACCTCTGCGTCTTTTACCATGGCGACGCTGCTGTTCCAAAGGATTTCCTCAAGACGAAGAGATTATTTTGTGCGGACGCTGCAGATTGCAAGGACGCACATTGTGTGAAAACTCACTCTGTGGCGGAAGTATGCTGGTTCTTCCCGATTTTCCGGCTTTACAAGTGTCCACAAGATCAGCAATGCAAACGAATGGGCAATTGCTCGTATTTTCACGAAGAATTCCACCCAAAAAGAGGCCAAAGTATGAACGAAGTCGTCGGAAAAGTGGCATCCGCCCTATTCGTCGAGCGTGGATATGCTGAGCTGCAGGGGATCACAGCACCCGCGGCCCCCATAATGCTGGATTCGCATACCAACGGAGATGAAGAAATCGATGTTGACGATAGCCGCCATCTACGCGAGGAACAACCGAATTCAGAGCTACTTTCCACGGAAGATGTTCACAGTGACAGTTCGAACCTCAGTGGTTCTGCTGGTGGTGAGGTAGCCGCCCAGTTGTTGATGGACACAGCAACTTTTACGTTGATTGGTCACGAAATAACGCTGGAAGGATACTCAAGCGACGAGCGCGCCAAATACGAAAGCGTATTTGCGCAGATGCAACAAGTTCCAAGGGCGAGATTATGCGCCCAAGGCGAGGACTGTGCCAGTTTGTCAAGTGCGGGCGATGCATCAAGTTGTCTGGAGTCCCATAGTCGACTGGAGGCTCTGGCACTTAACCCATTAGCTATGGTGCTGAAATGCCCGATCAATGCTGACGATCACCAACCTTCGTTGTGCATTTTTGATCACGGTAACGAAAGCATACCGGATGATTTTCTCACAGAGAAGAAATCTCTGTGTGAGGAGCGCGCGCATTGCACGGACGCCAGGTGTGCAAAGTTGCACTCACTAGCTGAGGTTTGCTGGTTCAACCCGGACTTTCGCGTGAACGTCTGTCCGGATGAAGACCAGTGCCCGCACAAATTCAGTTGCAGCGGATTCCATGCTGACCGCCACGCGTCCCAACGGAATGCGGCGATGAACAACCAAGTTGGGCTCTCCGAAGAAATTTTGTTCGTTGAGCGCACTTGTACGGAGCTAGCAAAGCGACAAGCGGAGGCGCTGCCTGGCATCTTCGCCTGGCTCCGACACCAGGTCGTGTCGAAAATGCCTGGCTCCGACTTGAGTTCAAATCCCCCAAAGTAAAGGGTCAGCTGCCCATGCCGTTCAAGCTCACAATCAGAAGCTGGTGGAATCTACCCCCTCCCCCCAAATGGACTGTGTTTCGCACCAAGAGGGCTGCAAGTTATCACAAATAGTGCAAAGTGCCGAGAACACTTTTCTATTTCTTTACTTGCGTTCTTCATCGCGAAGTCTCAGCCCTTGAATCAATTCACACTTCTTTTATTCATTCTACTGCGTTTATCAATGAATGTGACTGCGGACTTCGGAGGGAGTGCGTGAGCTGCGAGTTGCTTCAGACATGACCGGCGGTGTATTATACCGGCAGATGGTAACAATGGACCTGCAGGTTATAGGCTCACATCGACGATGGTATTCTTGCAGCTCACCACGAAGGTTTCTAACCATAAGAAACCCTCATGGTCAATGTGCGTGTCTAACCATCTCAATCTACCTCAATCTACAGTAAATATATGTGGATATTCATCCGTCTTCTTCAAACATTTCTTATTTGTTGCCACAGCCAGAAAGTCTTCACAAAACACACCTCGGCAACAAGTTCCTCACTCGACTAGCAAGATGCAGAACGTTTCCTCCGACCAGCAGCCAAGCTCCCGCCCGCGGTACTTCATCACTCCGGGCATCCAGGAAGAAGTCGCTGGGGCCGTGTTCAACGTTCTGGACGGGGAGAGCAACGATCGAGTTGGAATGGGCGTCTTCTTCTCGGGGAGACTCGCCGTACGTCCGCGCACGTTCTACAGGACGAGCAGCAAGCAGCAGGAAGTCGCGTTCGAGTTGTCGACAAGGACGACCAGGAGATGGTCCTTCGCGTGGTGGCCTGCGATCCCGCTGAGGACGTGGACTGCGCGATTCTGGAGCTACCGATGGGCCAGGAAGGTCGCCCATTCCTCGCTCCGTGGGAAGGAGACGCAGCCTTACTGACAGGACGGATCGACTTCGTGTTGGCTTCGACGATCAGGGGCCAGCTTTGTTTCTCGGAGGCGCCCATCTCGGTGGTGTCAAACGATCTCACGAGCGTCCTGTACTGCAGCGCTACGTCCGCTGGGAATGGCGGGGCCCTGTCGTCAACCGGGATGGAAGGCTCCTCGGATTTCACCAGACCACGATTGAGGAGGCGCGAATGCAGAAGAGTGGTGAAAGTCTGAGGGATACGAAGCCTTCGCAGGCTGATGGATACGCCCAGCTATGCTGTGGCGTGCTGATGTCGGAGGTGACGAAGATGCTCGACAGCGTCTCGCAAACTGAACGCTCGTAGGCTTCGGTCGACTACCGTCTCAGGACATCGGAGGCGTTGAATCGCTGATCAAATACGGCGGGCACCGAGAATGAAAACTGCAGTGCGAAAACGCAGCTAGGCCTAGGAAGATACAAGCAGGCTCCCCGGCCCGACCGAAAAGCAGAATCCAAACACCTCAAATAAAATGCCGAACTGAAGTGAAGTATGCGTTGTGGTTTGTTGTCCTTGAGCATCGCAAGCCACTTGGACTGCCTTGAAAATGTTCCTTATCCTTTCGCCACATTCGCTACGCCGACACTGACGGGTGCCGCTTCAGCACCGCCTGCTCCACGGTAAACTCGCCAAACTGGCGTGTCAACCTTCGCAGATACACCTCCAACAGACTGTGGACGTCGCGCATGACAAGCTCAATGACGACTTCATCCAGAAAGATTGCTATAATACAACAGACGTACAAGAGAGTGCTTAGCTTTCAAGAAGTTGGCGCATGATAATCCATCAAAACGACTCACCGAGGTCTTCCAGTTTCGTTAAAGTCGCGGGGTCCAGCTGCGCACTCTCAGCTTCATCCTTTGATTCATTCACTAGCTCTTGAGTCCCATCAGCATCTGCTCGCAGTCCAAGGAGATTCTCTGTGCACACGAAGCCATCCACAAATATCGTTAGGTGTGCACGCAGTAAAGGACTTCATCTTTGACATTTCAAATTTCCCCCTACCGATTCCTCGCGTGGAGTTGAAGAACATGCAGAGCACCGCCGCATACTCGTCTAGCTCGTCGATTGGCCTAGATGAAAAAAATCAAAGCCCAATCGTGAGTACTCAAAACAACAACAACAATACCTAACAACCCAGCCTCATCCCAGCCTCATACGCACACTGTCACGGACGGCGCAGCGCCAACGCGTTCCACAGCAGCAATAGCTTGCTTCTTGACCATTCGACCAAAACCGAACGCTAGATTCGTCAACTTGCCGATTCCGGACGAATGGCCATCTGCATGGCCCTCCTCAGTCTTTACAAGCATTTCACGCACAATGACCAGTTCATCAACCCCATACTCACACGTATACTCACAACACCAACAAATCACTCACGTTGCTGTGACTCCCTCTGCGTGTCAACTGCGGTGCAGCTGAGCTCTTGTCCTGCGGCAGGAACGGGAACGACCGGGTCAAGTGCACGCGCTCCTGTCTCGCAAACTCCAGCAACGCGTCCAGCTCCTTCGTGAACGCCGCTTTGGCCGTATCCGACGACAATGGCAGTGCATGCTGCACAAGAGATGGCACAACACAACTTCCTCCGTCAGCTCTGCTGTTGTGTATCTATCCACCAGAACATAATCAAAAGCACCCACACTAGTCTTCTCAAGGCCCTGCTTGAGCTGGTGGAACACTTCAACTTTGAGAGGGACCCCCGCCAGCTTGACCCGATCTTGCTGCCAGATCTCCTTGGGCACGAAGAGCTTGGGCGAGAAGAGCGCCCCCACCTGGATGGACTTTTCGATGAGCTGCATCAGGTGGAAGCACCCAAACGGTTTGGGCACGGCAACCTCGTGATACCGAGTCTGTGTACACACAAAAATTATATGTACACAAAATAGTATTTGGTTAGTGAAAAAGTGATGACCATTTTTGCAGCATTTTGGGGCCCTGCTGACGTTGATGTTGAGCGTCGGCATCTGCTCGAGCATGTCCTTGGACACGCAGCGGCGCGTGGCCGTCGGCAGCAGCGACGACCTGTCGCTGGAAGGCGCGGGCGAGTAGATGGAGGCGGCGGCTTCGGCCGAGAAGATCTCCACCTCCTCCTCGTCCTCATCGACGTCGTCCACGTCCACGGGCGGCGTGTCTTCTTGGTGCTCCGAGGGCTCCATTGCTCCAATTGCGATCCTGGATCATTATTTGGTTTTAGTCCGACCAAATTGGACTAAATGTGTTGCTGAAGTGACCAAATGACCAAAAAAAGGAACCGTCTGCACATAAGAAACAGTGTGCATCATCACAAGCTTTCAACGACTTCAACAAATAAAAAGATAGTTCTTTGAAGAGCGAGCTCGAGGCAGGATCATTCACTTATCTCCAGTGTCTACCTACAGTACAAGTTGATCATCAAAGCAACAGGGTCGCGGAAAGCACTAAACCAGCGATGCCCCCCATCCGAATGCTCGGAGGGAAAACAAACGCATCCTCACGAAAGGAGAGCGATAACGCCGTAGCACCATCAAATTGTGACCTACTCGAGCCGCTGGCGCTTGACCTTTTGCTCCAGGGACTCGGCGGTATCGCGCAGCGCGAGTCCAACACGACCTCCACTGCGGTTTCGGTAGAGCCATTCCGCGATTCCCAGGTGTCCATGCCTCGCGGCCATCCACACGGCGCCCCTGAGATTGGAACTTTCGTGGGGCTGATTCTCGTGGAGGTAGCGAACCACATCAAGATGGCCACCCGCGGCCGCCCGCATCATCGCGTCTGGAGAGTACGACTCGCTGGTGTTGTCATGGAACCACTTCAGTACGTGGAGATGTCCACTTGCAGCGATAGCATCCATGACATCTTCGAAATGAACAACGCCTTGGCATCGATTGGCGTGAAACCACACCAGAACCCCCAAATGGCCATTGCGCGCGGCCTCGTTGATGGCGTACTCGGTACACCCTTCCCTGCGGTTCAAGTGCAGCCACACTTGACGACATCGAGGTGTCCGTTAGCAGCAGCGTCATCCATTGCGTTGGTGCTGCAGCCTTCGCTTCGATTGGCATGAAGCCACTGAATGACTGGGAGGTGGCCATATATGGCGGCGATGTTCATGAGCGTACATCGGTGGGGGCCCTCGAGGCCATTATCCCAGGCGATGCGCGTTGGGTAGCAGTCCAGGATCCACTGTAGCACATGCACGAACCCTCCACTTGCAGTAAGGACGCCAATGTCGTAGCCGTCCACCCAGTCCGGATCACGAGCTGCCAGGTATTCAAGTGCACGTCTCGGTAGTCCAAATTGACACGCTCGACGCACGGTCCAATTGCATGAGAAGGTGTTCAAATAGCTGTCGACAAGATCCACGATGTGTGCGAGCGAGCCCATGTCGAGGGGCAACCACTTGCGGCACACCAGCAGAGCGGTGGCCAGCACGGGCAAGTTCTGGCGCGTTGGTGTACGTCGTCTCTTAGGCCGTGTTCTCTGCCTTGGGGGACGCTGGGGGATAGAAAAATTGAAGGCAATTTGCCACATTGGGAACAACTTGTCTGCTTGTGCGTGGACGAGAAACTCTCACTACGAGAATAAGAGGAGGGCGAGGAACGTTGCTTTATTGCTGCCGACTGTAGTATTTGTGAAGACTTTGCTTCTTTCTTTCCCAACTTTCGTCAACCGCAGTTCCAACGGTATGATACTGTAACCAGCTCGCTTCAAGTTTAAACCTTCAACAATCGCTACAGTAGTGCAATAGAATGTTGTACTTGCAGTTTCAGCAGCTACAGATGAATGGCAAACCTCTATACAATATTTAACGTTAGGGAGTTGGGGAGAATCCTATCTAACTACCTCGCCCTGCACCTGGTTCTCGGCTGGTTCGAGGTTGTTGAAACACTTTAGTAACGACGACCCCGGCCGCCGCCGCCGCCACGACCGCGGCCGCCGCGGCCACCGCTGAAGCCACGTCCAGAGCCACGGCCTCCGCGGCCTCCACCAAAGCTCTGCTGACGCATCTGGTACGCGGACTGCTGCAGCTTGGGAATCGTCTTCGGGATCGAGTACGGGCAGTGCATGCCGCCCTCCTCAATGAGCTTCTCCACAATCTCCAGAGCACCGATAGGCAGGTCGAAGCAGGCACCCATCGAGTCTTCCGTGAGGGTCAACTGCTTGATGTCGTTCGCGAAGTTCTCGGGGATGTCGCGGTTCACAGCGTTCCAGACGTATCCCTTGGCACGGATGAAGTTGGAGCTCGTGAACAGCACAGTCACGTAGTCAGGCACACCAGACATGAGCGACGTGCGGCGAGGCGGCTTCGTGTGGCCCGTGATGCAGGCCAGCGCAGCGGCCAGGCACTTCTCGGGGTCCATCTGTCCTAGCAGCTCGGCCGCCTTCTCCTGGAAGATCTCAATCATGGACGGGTCCACGTTGTTAATCTCGGTCAGAGCCTTGGCAGCAGACGCCTTGATCAGGTCCTCCTGGTCAGGGGGCCCCTTCATGATGAACTTGTTGCCGATCTTGCGCTCGATCTGGGTAAGCTGGTCGCGCTGGCGGTTCGTGTACAGCGTGATACAGATACCCTTCTTACCAGCACGGCCCGTACGCCCGGAACGGTGCACGTACGTGTCGACATCCGCCATGCCCGACATCTTGCGAGGAGGCTCCGAGTTGATGACGAGGTCGACGTTCATGTCCAGACCACGAGCGGCAACATCCGTGGCGATCAGCAGACGCAGACGGCCCTCACGGAAGGCCTTCATGGTGGTCTCACGCTGCTCCTGCGCAATGTCACCGTGCAGCACCTGGCAGTCCGTCTTGATCTCGGGGTGCACAGCCAGCTCGTTACAGTCCTTCTTGGTCTCAGCGAAGATGATCGTGCGCGAGTCCTTCTTGGCGTACACGCCGAGCAGGTTGGCCAGAAGCGTGGGGCGTCCCTGCCAGTGGCACGGGATGGCAATGTGCTGCACATCCGTGGAAGCCTGGTCGTCCGAGTCCTTCACTAGGTTGACGTACTCGCGGTCCTTCGCCATGTACTTGTCAGCGACGTCCGTGACCCACTTGGGGATCGTGGCCGAGAACAGCAGCGTCTGGCGCTTGCCAGAACTCTCGTTCTTGGTCTGCTCCATGGCCGCGAAGACCTTCTGCACGTCCTCACGGAAGCCCATCTCGAGCATTGTGTCGGCCTCGTCCAGGATCAGGAACTCGCAGTTGTGCAGACGGAGGTTGCCGCGGTCAATGTGGTCGATCACACGGCCAGTAGTGCCCACCAGGATGTCCACGCCGCTGCGGAAGGCGTTGTTCTGCGACTGGTACGAAGCACCACCGTAGATGCAGACCGTGCTGAGCGACGGGCCCGACTGCTCGAACTCGGTGGCCACCTGCTTGGCCAGCTCACGGGTCGGGGCCATGCACACCACGCGGGGCGCGCGGCCACGCGAGCGCGGGCGCTTGTCCTTGAGCAGCAGCTCGATCACGGGCAGCGCGAAGGCCAGCGTCTTGCCCATGCCCGTGCGGGCGCGGCCCATGAGGTCCTTGCCGGCCAGGATCTTGTCGAAGGTCATGGCCTGGATGGGGAACAGCGTGTGGATGCCGCGCGCCTTGAGGTTCTTGACGGTCTCGGCGCAGATGTCGAAGCTCTCGAGCGGCGGGTTCTCGGTGCCGCCCACGTGGGTGGCGTTCTCGTTCTTGGCCTTCTTGGCGGCGGGCGTCTCCACCTCGCTCTCCTCCGAGATCTCGGGCGTGGTAGCGTCCACGTCGTCCGCGTCCTCCTCGTCACGCGAGCGCTTCTTGCTCTTCTTCTCCTTCTTGTCCTTCTTCTCCTTCTTGACCTTCTTCTCCTTCTTGACGTCCGCGGCCTCGGCCTCGAGCTTGGCTGCCTTCTTGGCCAGCTTCTTGGCCGCCCTCTCCTCCTTCATGAGCACGGGCTTCGCCTCGTCAGACGCCATTGTTGCTAGGTGTTAAACGGATGGGATCGGGTCGTCGGCGATGGACGTCAAGAGAGACTGTGAGACTTGTTACCAGGGCCAGTCACTGACGTCGGCAGAGCCAGCCAGCTTGGCAAACGATTGGCTCGCGCGGGATCCACATTGTGTGGTGCACACCACGTTTCTTGATCTCTTATTCTCGGCTAAGTACGCTTCAGTTTGTGTACGCTTTGTGTGGCCCTGCACACAAAGCGTACACAGGAGGTTTCCACTGAGAACGACGGGCCGGCCATCCTCGCTAAAGCTAAAGCGTCGCTCCTTGCCCCCCCTCTCTGTGCCCTGCCATGGCGGAGCACCCTGGCTTCTCGCTGAGCGAGAGCTCGGCCACGTGGCCGTCTGGCGGCGTCAACGACGGCAAGCGGCCGCCGCTGCCCACGTCCTTCCGGCCGGAGAAGCGCGGCCGCGCGGCCAACGACGCCGCCGATCCCAACAGCAGCAGCAGCTCCGTTAGCTCCGCGCCCATGGCCGTGGACGGCCCGGCGTCCCCCAGCGGCGGCCCGGGCGTTCCCGGGTCGGCCAGCAACCTGCCGCACCTGGCCAGCTGGAAGTCCACCACGTCGTCCACGGACGGCGCCGCGGGCGACGTCAACACGGGTACGTACACGCGCGTGCACCTCAAGGTGAAGGCGCAGAGCCGCCTGGGCGAGACCGTGCACTGCTCGGGCTCGTCCTTCGTCATGGGCCACTTCAATCCGAACGAGAGCATGACGCTCGTGACCACGCCCGAGGACTACCCGTACTGGACGACGGTCAAGCCCATGATCCTGCCGAGGGGCGTGCCCCACCAGTACATGTACGCGCTCTTCTCGGGCGGCGTCTTCAGCTCCTGGGAGCAGATCGAGTGCGAGCGAGTGTTGGTCCCCGAGGGCCGCGAGATGGTCGTCGTGGAGGAGTACGGGGACTACGACCAGGACATGGAGCTCGTCCCCACGGGCGAGCGCATCGAGCGGTCGCTGGTCTACGAGCGCCGTCGGGACGAGACCCCCACGACCCCCAGACAGAACGACGCGGCCGAGGACATGGAGCAAGAGGGAGGGGACGACGAGGCCAAGGACACGGGCGCCAGGCTGGCGGCCAGAGTCGCGCAGGACAAGGACGACGCCGACCCCCCAAAGTCCCCACGCAGCAGCGTCACGGGCTCCCCCAGCCAGAGGTTCCGCCAGACCAACAAGCTCCAGAGCAGGTACAAGAGGTACATGCCGTCCAGCTACCACCCGTCGCCCGACGCCATGCTCTTCCTGGTGTGCTACCACCTGCCCGTGAAGCTCACCAAGTCGGCCGAGGACGGGTCCTGGTCCGCCGAGTGGAACCGCGACAGTCTGATCTCCAGGAGCGAGAACAGCATTGCAGAGAGCATGAACACGACGTGGGTGGGCTGCGTCACGTACCACGCGCGCAGCGACCAGGAGGAGCTCTCGGAGGACGACAAGAGCGAGATCACGGCCATCTTGGCCGACATGAACTGCATCCCGGTGTTTATTGACCGCCAATTGGCCGCGAACCACCACGGCGGGTACTGTAAGAGCAAGCTGTGGCCCATGTTCCACAATGTCGATATCCTGGATATTTACTATGCGATTTGGGACCGCGCCGAGGTCATTGAGTGGAAGGAGGAGCGCAACAATGGCGAGTGGTGGGACGCGTACCAGAAGGTGAACAGGTTGCTGGCCGATCGTGTTGGAGAGCTGTGCAAGGAAAACGACACAGTGTGGGTGCACGACTACCACCTTCTGCTGTTCCCGTCGTACCTGGCTAACACGTGCAGGAGCGAGAACCGCAAGCGACCCAAGATGGTGTTCTTCTTGCACGTACCTTTCCCGACGTCCGAGGTGTTCCGAGAGCTTTCGCACGGCACGCAGCTGCTAGAGGGCGTGCTGGATGTGGATATTGTGGGCTTCCACTCTTTCGACCACGCGCGTCACTTCCTCAACGCGTGCAAGCGGTTCCTTGGACTCACCTATCAGTCTCGCCGTGGTGGAAACCTGGGCGTTGACTATCGCGGCCGCAACGTGATTATTACGATCAGCCACGTGGGTATCGAGACTACACTTATTCGCGAGGTGATCGCGAGTTCAGAAGTACAGGAAATGGCACGCAAGCTTCGCGAAAAGCACGCTGGTAAGGTTCTGATTGCAGGTGTGGACATTTGCCAGCGGCTAAGTGGTATTCCGCTGAAGATGCTGGCGTTCGAGCAGTTCTTTAGCAACTGTCCGTCATGGAAAGATAAGCTTGTATTTGTGGAGCGGTCGACCCTAACACAGACTCGACTGGGGGACCAGAATTACAGCAGCAACGAGATCCGGAAGCTGGTGGACCGAATCACCAAGGCGCATGGCCCCGAGTGCATCGATTACGAAGAATCGTCCTCCCCGTTGACGATAGAAGAACGGCTGGCACTGTGGCTCGCCAGCGATATTTTAGTGGTCACGTCTATCCGCGAGGGGCTAAACCTGAAGCCTCTGGAGTTTGTGTTTGCGAAGGGTGTAAGCCCGTCTAGCCGGCCTGGCGTGGTCATCCTGAGCGAGTTTTCTGCGTGCTGCTGCGTCCTCAATGGTGCCGTGCGCGTCAATCCGTGGAATATTACAGGGCTCGTGAACTCACTGGACCATGCATTGACGATGAGCGACGAGGAACGGCTAGGTCGTCGTGCGCGGGATCTACCGTACATCACTAGCCAGCCCGCTGCGAACTGGACGAAGCAGGTGCTGTCTGTACTGCACGAGGCTACGGATAACGCGGAGGGTGACGAGGAATACACGAATATGGAGTACATGGACATGGAAATCGGTCGGTCTCACGTCATGCGCGTGGGCGATCGGTCCGATTTCAAGCAGCTAAACATCGACAAGGTCATGGAGGCGTACATGCAGTCCAAGCGTCGCGTGTTCCTGCTGGATTACGGTGGCACCATCATCGCGCGTGAGAACATTGCGATGTACGTTAAGAAAGACTTCACGGCCGTGACGGGCAAGCGGCCTTCTCCACGCATGATGGACGCTCTAACGCACTTGACCAAGGACCCGCGTAACACGGTGTTCGTGGTCAGTGGCGTGACGAAGACGGACCTCACTGCATCGATTGGACACATTCGCGGTCTGGGTCTCGTGTCAGACAATGGCGCGCTATACTCGTGGGCTCGATCAATTGACATCGACAATGCAGGTGACATTACGATGCAGGACGGCAGCAACCCAAGCGACCGCCACTGGCACCAGCACAGCTTCAAGTTCGACTGGCGCCCGGTCCGTGAGGCGGTGGACCCGATCTTGAGGGTCTACTGCACGCGCACGAATGGCAGTGTGCTCCGGTACGCGCAGCAAAGTATTGCTTGGAACTTCCGATCGACGGATCCGGAGTGGGGCCTGCTGCAGGCCAACTCGCTGCAGAATGACTTGGAGGAGGTGATCCGTGACCTGCCCGTTAACGTTATCCGCAAGAAGGGTTTGCTCGAGATTGTGCCCGAGGGTCTCAACAAGGGCGTCGTGGCCCGACAGATCTTGACGCAGGATGCGAGTATCAGTCACGGCCACCCGGACTTCCTCTTCTGCATTGGCGACGACACGACGGACGAGAGCATGTTCAAAGCTATTTACGACTATTACGCCGAGCGCACGGAGGAGAGCGTGCACGGGCGCGCTGGGGGCGGTACTTTCGAGGACTTCCTCGCATCGGGCGACGAGGGCCCGCTTCACCACGTGTTCACGTGCACAGTGGGCAAGAAGCCCAGCAACGCGCACCTGTACGTCAACAACGTGGACGAAGTCGAGCAGCTCCTGCAAGCGCTGGGCAAGGCGTCAGGCCCGGTGAGTGACGCGTCGAACGTCTCGATGAGCGGCAACTAAAAACAAAGAGAAGCTAACCGCTTGCGTGCGCCTTAGGCTGAGGACGCATCGTCGACGAACTGCTAAGATTATTGGGAGGCGAACGTATTGCAAGGACGCGAAGCTAGAGCGAAGGAGGGTGTAAGAGCAGCGGAGACCAAGAGCGAGGGCGAGGGCGGTAGTATCAGCAGCACGAGTAAGCCGTTCGATTGAAATTATGTCGATTCAGAGATGAAGGCAGGGAACTCGAAGCAATCTACTCTATCTATCGATACACCTGCGAAGGTTGACAAACCAGTTTGATGAGCTATTGTACATGTAGCGCCTGCAATGCCCGACACTACCTAGGTAAGTTCCACCATCCCGTTACGGTTGTGAAATCCTACAGTTGTGATGGATAGGACTGGGAAAGGAGAGAGAAGGAAACGGAGCAAGAGAAGCAAACTTCACTTCGCGTTTGGCGACAGCAAAGTGGTGCCAGCTGCAGCCTAAGGCTTTGGCCCAAAGCAAAGGCACCCCCACGGTCTCTTTTCCCTAGCTCGCAGGAGCTGTTCCTGAGCGTGGTCATGGAGTGGCAGAAGGCCGAGCCGCTGACCTTCGGACTATCTTAAATGACATCCCACCACCGCGCGAGAGCTTCCCTGTGCTGGCCTCCGCTCTGCTGGTGTGCCGCAAGTGTCTGCCCCTTAACATGAACTCGCTCGCACACATCGTGGATCTCCTCGACAGCTATAGGAACACCTTCTCTCTCGACTGGAGCGTGAGTTGAGCGTGTAGAGTCGACCTTTCAACGGGTGTGGATTATTTTCACGTATGATTCGGACGAATCGAATGTATAATCACCGAACGGAGGAATTCTATGTGTGCCGGCTGAAAACGACGTACCATATTCCACAAATAACAGTTACGCGGTCCATAAATAATGATTAGTTGTGGTTAGTAGAATTTTAGCGTCTAATTATGGTTTGCAAAACTTATTTACGGGTTGCATGCAACTCTAAAGTAATTGCGCTTGTATCATACGAAGTTTGCTTTAATCGTCGCTCCTTTCTACTACGCTGCACAATTGTGCAGAGTCCCACTCGGAAGGAAGGTTAGTATATTAGTAGGAGCTAGAACCGTTGCGTCAAATAGGTTACCCTCGGGGGACCAGTTAGCGCCAGCCCAACAGAGACCGGCTTAGGGAGAGGAGATTGTTAGGCAGCCGGCAACCCGAACTATTCTGTGGGCCCGTCCTCATGCCTTCTGTAAACTCGAATGTATGTACAAGGGTGAGCGTGGACCCTCCCAGTGCTGACGCAAGCATCGGGTCCACTCCAGGGCCACCACTCCACGACCAAGAGGTCATTGATAGACCCCTCACCCTCTCGTGGTCGCTAACCAAGCCCCCAGCCACTCTATGACACACTAAGTTCGTCAAGGCTCGTGTGGAGTAGCGGCCTCGCAGAAATCTCGCGGAGTCGATCTCGCACAAATTCGGCGCGTCTGGATAGCGGTCGCGCCGAACAAATTATTCCCGGTTGTTGGAGTAGCGTATCTTCGAATATAGGGCCCAAGTCTTCGCAGGCTTCAGAGTTGGGGGGTTCTTGTGTTGCACGCCACGCCGAGCCCCTTGACCGCAGAACGAAAGGCTTCAAACCTTTCCCGTTGTTGGGTAGTGTCGACCCTGTGCCGCAGAACACTACGCGTAGTATGAGTTGCTTTATCTAAACCAGTCCTATCCATATTGCAACTAAGAAATGCGAGGGTTGCCGCTCCATAGAGCTCTCCTAACGAAGTTCCCCTACCTATACCTACCGCCTACCTACAGTCCATGCCGCCTGCCGTATCTACTCTCCTTGCGAACGTCGATCTTGTCGACGTCAACTAGCAAATTCCAGTTTCAACGCATCCGGTGGCACCAGCTCCTCCTACCATGAACTCGCCACTACTCGCTCCCGACCGAGAGTCTGCACCGTCGGCCGTGAGGTCAATGATCGCTTGCTGTTGTCGGTGTAAAAGCACGTGGAGGATGCCTTAAGACAAGAGGCTGGCAGGAAACGTTAAGCTGCATGTGATCATTGCACTCTTACCGGAGGTGACCATTCACCAGTATTTATGAATTAATGTACTGTGATGAATTCCTTACACTCATTTCTGCACTTACGAAGACTAAAAGAAGTATACATCTAAGTATTTACCGCTGTCTATCTCACCATTGCCGATAAATAGGCATCTAATAGTGGCTGTCGTAAAGTAAGACATTCTAGGTCGCTTATTACTATTTATCACTATTGTATCTCTGCCTCTCTTGTATCACTGCAGTAGTAATGAAGTAGTGACTGATCGTGTTATGGCTACTCAACTAGTCGCTGGTGAATTCATCATCCACGGAGTCGACGTCGATGCTGCTCGCGTTCGAATCTACGAGAAATCTCTGTCGGGCACCCTACAACAAGCTGCAACCACGTCCGATTTCTCGTTGGACTACTTGTCACTACACAAGGTGGAGATCAAGCAGGCGCTCGAGTATCAGCACAACTGGGATTCCCAAACTGGGCAGTCGAAGAGGTGAGCTCTAAACGTTTTTATTTTATTTTGTTTTACTAACCTCGTTTGGTTGTAGATATTGACAATTCGCAGTAAATACTCGTGCGACTGTAAAGCTCACTATATGCAGTCATGTCTTGGCCACTTTAGCTCTACGAGACGGCCTAGACCTTGCAAAGCTGCTGAAAAGACTCCCGGCTCGCAAGCCACCCGGAAGACCGCGGAAAGTGCGCCGTGCACTTGACAGAGACGATGAGCATTATTTCGCAGTGGCACGCCTCGTGCGGATCCTGACGGGGAAACCGGGGCAGGCAATCAACTGGAAGTGCTCGAAAGAATTTCAAGAAACAGTCGACGGCGAGATGCAGTACTCCAACTACGTGGGCACGGTGTCCCCGTGGGCAAACAGAAATGGAGTGTTTTTCTGGCGAGTGACATTCGACAATGGCGTTGTTGAACACCTAGCTATCGAAGACTTGGCGAAGGCCGTCAACGCCGCGTATTTGACCGGTGTCGCGGTTGCGGGACAGTAGCAGTGGAAGAAACTGTTAAGCATGATTTATAATACATTTCGTTGCACTTTACAATGGTAACATTTACTCTGAACTTCGATCAAACAGCGAGCACATGCAATTCAGCCGAGGTACATGGAAATCATCCGTTTCTCCTATGGTACGTGGTTTTCAGCCGAATTGTACATGAAATTAATCTTTTCTCCCTTTCAAGACGTGCACTCGTGTATCTTGCGGCTCGTGACCTGGACTGGGTGGACGGCGACGGCGACGGCATCGGCGCCCTCGCGTCGAAAAGGGGGTTCGTGCATGAGCTGCAATGGGTCCTGGACTGCTATTCAACGCGCATCGACTGGAAATGGCCTCGAGGGTCCCTTTCGACTCAAGCTCATGGAGATCGCCGCACGGCGCGGCCACCTCCTAGTAATCCAGTGGCTCCACGACAACCGACGCGAAGGCTGCATGTTTCGCGCCATGGACGACGCGGCTGGCAACGGTCACCTCGCAGTCGTCCAGTGGCTTAGCGAGCACTATGGGGCCGGATGCAGCACCGAGGCAATGGACGACGACGCTGCAGCTGGTCACCTCGATGTCGTCAAGTGGCTACATTTGAAAAAAAACGCAGTGAAGGGTGCACTCATGACTGAGGCTGCGTGCAATGGCCATATGGAGGTTCTGGAGTGGCTTCACGCCAATCGAAGCGAAGGGCCATCTTGATGTGGTTCGCTTTCTCCAGGACAACCGGCGGCACGAATGCCCCAATAGCAGTGACACCATGCGTATGGTCGCGCGACATGGACATTTGAAAACGCTGCAATGGCTCTACACAAACCGCAGTGGAGGTTGCGTCGTCCTTGCGTTGCAGGAAGCTGCCAAGCTCGGTCACCTCAACGTCGTGAAGTGGCTGTGTGAAGTGGCGCACGAGCAACGCAGAGGCGAGTCGTGCTTCCGTGGGGTCGCTGGAATTGCACGCAGGTTCCGGCGGCTCGAGGTGGGAGCAAAAGGCTAACAAGCGCCAGCGGTTTGAGTAACTTAGACCCATGGTTTAATTGTTTGAAGTAATACGCAATGCTTGAGCCTTTGAGGGGGGCATTGCTTGTCCTTGTCCTTGTTTTTTTTCAAGTGGATGAGTTGGTCTAGAGCTGCCCGATGATTTCAAATAGAAAAGCGGTAAGTGGTCTTTTCGCACCTCTTGCAATCCGGAGCCCTTCTAATCGCATGGGGCGTAGGCTCCTACGATCTCCTTGAGTTGCAGCCGCTTCACGAACGGCACGATCGCCTCTGGATCCGCGCACCGAAAGCACGCGCGAAGCTTTAGACTAAGACTGTCGAAGACAAATTCACCCATAAACATGAGTGCCTCCTCCTCTCCATCCTCGCTATCCTCCGCATAGAATAACACGGTGCGTTGCTGATCTCCGTGGTGGCGAGGGCCGTCCGACACAATAATAAAGTCGTGGTCATGGAGGTGCTGTGCCAGCACAACCGAGTCCGGGATTCGAGAGACTCTGCAATTGAAGCCGCCACCATCGGCCAGCTCGCTCCAGCGTTTGATGAACGCCTCTGAAGTGAGCCGAGCACTTACGAGATCGTCGATTCTAACCAACTCCCTGGCTGACGCCAGCGGCCTGGGCGAAGTCGGTGCCGTATTTGTCTTCTTAGGGATCTCCCAGACTGCCTCACCGGTAAGCGAGTGTACGAGGTAGGCTCTCCTTGAAGCCTCATGCCAGTGACGCACCCACGCTCCTGTTCCAGAGCTATTGGCGTTCTCCACGACATCTCGAGCAGTGGCAATATCGCGAGCACTACGTGCAATTTGGTCCCCCTCAACGGCGTCAGCGTCCACAATCGGTAGTTGCGGGTCACGTGGACTAGCACGAAGACTCTCAAGTCGTCGCTGACGGTGTAATAGTCTTCGTGCGCGTCTCTCAGCTGGGGTTCTGTCAGCATCTCCGCTGGATGAAGACGAATGGTAAGACAGATCACCTTCCGATTCCTCCTCTTCGCTCTCGTCTTCACTCCCGTCTTCGGTACCGTCGTCACTGCTATCGTCTTCTTCATCACTGTCTTCCCAGCGAAGTTGCGGAGGGAAAAGTGGGTCTGTCCCCGGAATTCCTCGATGGTGGAGAGCATGGAGGGCTGAACCACAGCGTGCTGCTACGAGAATGAGAAGTGGTGTCCAGATATCTAGCACCAGTTGAACCACCGCAATGCAGGCTAACATCGTCGGAACTCCCTTTCCACCGACGATCATGCCACTGCGCAGTGCAGCGTAGAACACAAGCAGGAGATAGCCGCCGGCTATGGCATCCAACACCTTGGCACGCTGGACTCGATGCAGCCACGCCCGGTTATAAGCTAACACGGGTTCTTGTGGTAGACGCATCTGCACTCCATCGACTTCTCGGACTCTGCTGCTGGGGTCGCGTTGTTTCAAGCCGTAGAGTTCGAGACATGCGTCGTAGTTGATTCGGTGGGCAATCGTGAGGTATGTCAGCAACGTTGTGGCTGCTTTAAGAAGCAGCATGATGTAGAGCGGGATGCCCACAGGGCTTACGCGAAATTGTGTTCGACCCGCGTACCACATCGTTGCGATTAATGCAAGCGCGAGCAGTAATGCGCCACAAATTAAATGGATCCACGCCAATACAAGTACACGGTGCAGCACTTCGATACTGAGCTGGGCGCGCTTCGGCAGCGTTCGTCTCGGGAAGAAAAACTTCAGTTTATCCCACAGCCTGAAACTCGGTGGCGGAATGGACGGAGTCTTGTAGACGTCCTCGCCGTCTTCATCAAGCGGTGGTTCGGTATCGACAAGTTCCAGGTAGCTGCAAAATATGAGCGCAACCTTAGCGATAGCACACGCTGCGATACCGATGTCGGTGTAGCTCTTGATACTCTCAACGAAATACCCGTTGAAAGCTCCTTCCTGCGGGCGCATCAACCACACGAAGTCGACGGCAGTGGCCAGTGATAGCCCCGTGATAAATAAACGGTGGTGCTCTCGCTGCAGATACGCGACTGCATCGTCTTCAGTCGCAGCCGGGAGCAAGATGAGCCCAATCGCGATAGGAACGTTATAACGTGGAGCTGGTGTCCCGGACTCGGATACCATCCCCGCCAGCAGCAGAAGAAACGCGACAGCTTGCTGCAGTGAGAGATGACCCAACGCTCGTCTCGCACTTCGTGCTGCACTAGCCGCAGCCTTTCCATCGCCGAAGTAGAAGTGCAGCTTGCCACGCAAAGACCGCGGTGCCTTGACTCGACTCTTGCTTTTCTGTTCGGGCACAGGAGGTGGCGGTCCACTAGAGCCATCCGTCTGCAGATATTTCCTCGCTGAACCTTTCACAGCGACGTTCTGTGTAGGTGGCGCAGTGGGTAGTTCCCCACTCCCAACGTCACTCAGATCAGGAACAATCGTGTTCCTGGGCGTAGACAAACTCCCCCTCCCCGACGATTTCGGCACAACATCCCGGTCTTCAGGCTGGCGTCGGAACTTGAAGATGCTCTTCGATTCCTGCTCTGAGGACGGGACGTGGCTCCACTGCTGCTCTGCAGAGGCCTCGTCGTCTGCCGCCGACTGCATCATGATCGCTTGGTACGCCGGAATGTATCCATCTTGTCGTCACAAAACCTCTGCGTCGTTTCGTATTCCACTATAAATAGTGCCCAAATCCCAAAAATAGTGTTAACTTCGTGTCCGCCACACCACCAATCGTTGTCCGTCCCGAAAACGGCCATTTTGAATTATCCGCGCCAAAGTCTCCGCAACGCCATCTCCACTTGTCCATACCGACGCCCACACGCCACTTCTAATGGTAAATGCACATGCACCATCTCCGTCTCCTCCTCCTCTTTCTCTCAAGCCCAGTTGCACCTCCCAACACGCTCTACAGCCTTCAAAATCAACAAATGACCAGAACTGTGATACACTAACTGTCTGCCTTTTCTTAATTTATAGTTAACACGCGAGAACCTGCCGCCGCAAGTGGCGCAGCGCGTAGCCCGCGAGCTCCGGAAGCTGGTGCTGCAGCCTCTGGACGGTATTCGGTACCTCCCGCAGGACGAGGAGCAGCTGAGCGAGATCCACGCGGAAATCCGTGGACCGGAGGACACGCCCTACGAGGGCGGCTACTTCACGGTCAAGCTCACGCTCACCGAGAGCTTCCCGGAGCAGCCTCCGCGCGGCGTGTTCCTGACCAAGATCTTCCACCCGAACGTGTCGCAGCCGGCGGGGGACATTTGCGTCAACACGCTCAAGAAGGACTGGAAGCCGACGCTCGGCCTCGCCCACGTGCTGCAGGTGGTGCGCTGCCTGCTGATCGTCCCGTTCCCGGAGTCGTCGCTGAATGACGAGGCCGGCAAGCTGTTCCTGGACAGCTACGACGAGTACGCGCGCCGTGCGAAGCTGTGGACGAATATCCACGCGCCCAAGAGATCAGCCGTGGCCAGTGAGGAGTCTGGGGATACGAGTGGAGAGGATGAGAAGAAGGACAAGCCGACGGCGAATGAGGATGGGGACAAGACGCAGCACAAGCGACCGGCTGAAGATGCGCCGAATGCGGAGGCTGAGAAGGACGCGGCACTGTCCACGCCCGTGAAGAAGAAGACCAAGACGAGCGCGGACGTGGAAGCCTCGCTCAAGAAGAAGAAGGCCAACAAGAAGAAAGGAATCAAGCGACTGTAGCGATCAGTCTGGCCACTCCATACCGCGCGATGCCATCTCAAGGCCAAATGCGCACATTTTGCTGGCTTGCTCGTTCGGTACCGAATGCCGCAGCCATATAACCTAATCTAAGCTGTCACTGCACCATGAACATGAGATTATCGATTGCTGGTTGGCTCTAATCGTATTATTCGTGCGAGTCCCCCAGCTCCGGTCGCTTGTGGTGTTGCAGCGGTCTTCAGACTCCCACCGCGTTGTGGCGGTGGCCGAGGGGTGAACGGTCGAGTAGCTCCGGCACTTCCGGGCGCTGCGCTGGCATTCGTCTCAGTAAACGCCGCTCCAGATGGGCTACTTGCTCGCGAAGACGACGACAAGAGCGCTTCAATGTGCCCCTTACTCACGAGCTGGTTGCTGAACTCGTGCAGTCGTTCCCCGCTCTGCTTAAGCTCGCTCAGCTGTGTCTCCAGCGCGCGGTGTTCACCAGCAAGCCGCCTCCTCTCGCGTGAGTCGAGGTTTCGCGCTTGCTCCCTCTCCTTCGAGTACGCGTGACGAACTGCGTTCCCGAAAGTCTCCAGTTCCACGAGTGCGTCGCCAAACGCTGTCGGGTCCACAAGACGCCGTCGACGAGCTGGCACGACACCAGCAGCAGCTCGAAGCGCTTCTTGTTCATTCAGATCTCGCTGCTTCCCGCTGGTTAGTCGCATCTGCACCCGTAAATGCGGCGTGTTAGCTTCCAGCTTGTGTCGTGCCAAGAACGCGCCGATCAGCGGCGAGTTGCACATTTCGTACGTAAATCGCTCGCGAGTCTCTACGTGATCACCGGACTTGGTAAGGCTGTCGGCCTTGCTGGTTGGATGCGGGTGGCTCTTGGAGGGCGAGATGGAGAAGGCGGAGTTCCGGCGCGCTTTCTGGCGGGATGGAAGGGTTGGAAGCAGCTTTGGGTTTGATCCGGTTGTCTCCTGCTCTCCGTTAAATTGATGTTCATAGTGATCAGCCGACGCAGGGTCTTCGAGATCGTCATCTTGGTCTTCGTGCCACGTTCGAACCGCTTGTCTTGTGCGCTCGACTCGTTCCGCTCGTATCATACGGTTCCTCATGGCAGGGAAGTCCGCGAGCGCGGCAATTCGCTTCGGGGAGTCTTGGTCAACTGCCAGCCAGTGATCGCACTTCAGATCTGCCGGAACGAAGCCGAGGATCCAGCAGTAACATGTGCGGAAGATCTCGTGCTTGATCTCGTCGCTCGAAATCGTCTTCCGAGAGCGTGGGAAGGCCTCGTACAGCGACACAAACAGAATCTGCGCTACCACGTCGGGCAGTTGGTCGAAGAAGCCCGAGTCGCGACTGGAAGGTTTCATCTGCAAGCGAACGAAGAGCGACGTGAAGCTGTCGGCGATGCGCTGGTAGAAGCTGGCCTCCAGCTGAGGCTGGCGATTCGGCTGGAAGCAGTGGGCGGTGAGGTACCAGAACATGTCCTTGAGCAGCGCGTCGATCTCGCTGGCTTCCGAGAAAATCTTGTCGAACTGATCTCGCTTCTTGATAGACCCGAAGCGCGTGTTTTGCACTACTTTCGAGCGGATCTGAGAGAGCTGCACGCTACGCGGAACTTCCGTCACTTTGTGCTGGTAGAAGCGTACAGTGACGATTTCTGCTGCTTGGATCGAGTTCTTCGTGCGCACGACGAGGATGGTCTTGTGGGCGGCTCTCTGCATCATCGTTCGGATGCGTTTGCTTCGCTGCTGCTTTTCGGCGATCTTGTCCATGAGCTGGAACACTTCGGTGGCTCCTTCGGCAGGACGGAGCGCGCCACTTTTCTCGCTTTTCGCAGCGTTTGTTGAGATTCCTCGAAGGCGATCAACTTCCGTGATGAAGGATTTTCGCGGACGACTTGGAACCCGCGCATCGTTTGCACCTGCACGGTTGTCGGTCTCCATGCGTGGCGGGTCATAAGGGTTCTTGATCATCCGAGAGAATGGCAGCTTGTCCCTGTAGAAAGCTTGCAGCTTTGTCGTTCGTTGGTCCTTCAAAGGCTCTGTGTGCTATTCAGGATCATCTTATCGCTTAAGCTGGTTAGAAATAGCCGAGAGGTTTGGCAATTGTTTCCTTGCACTTGTAATATATCGACTCACAAGAGAAGAGTGGCTAACAAAAGAGGAGAAAAAAACTGTTTTCATGTTTTGTTCGATACGAGGTATCAATTGGTAAGACGAGTGAGTGCCTACAAAACTCCCTACCAGTCCTTACTGCGTTTTGATGACCGAGTTGATCCACTCAACCGCAGCCGACACGCGCGCGTAGACAGCAGGGATTCCTTCGTCACCGCACCCGCTGCCCCAGCTAGGCATGCCGATCAAAATGTCGTCGGCGTCTCCGCGCCCGTTCTCCTTAATCAGAGGGCCGCCGTTATCGGCATTGCACGAGTCCTTGCCAGCAGCTCCGCCGGCACACACCATGGTCTCATCCACGACGAAGAGGTTGGAGCACTGGTCATTGCCCCACACCTCCACACTGACGCCCATCAACTCGTGAGAGCGAGTGCCGTTCGGGTACGAAGTGTCGCCCCAGCCCAAAACCTTCGACCACATACCAGGAATAATGTCGGAGTCGTTGGCTGCAGGAAGCTTCACGGGCGTGAACTTGCTGGGCCTCTCCAGCGTCAACACAGCGACGTCGTAAGTGAGAGTTAAGTCGTTGAAGCCGGTGTGGTTTTGAGCCTTCACTACCTTGATCTGCTCACCGTCCGACGTACCGTTGATGTAGTGCGTGCCGATGGCCGCGAACGCAGTCTCCTTGACGCCCGTGCATGATGCAGTCGTTAGCACATGCGTGGGGGTGATGAGACTTCCGCCGCAAAAGCTTTCGCCCCCAGCGGTGGTACGGAGACCAGTCGTGTACGTCTTGGAGCCAACTGGGACCTCAGCTCCTCCAAGAACAAGCTTGCGCTGAACGTGCTCGGACTCGGCACTGACGACGCCCAAAGCGATGACCGCAGTTGCGAGTGTGGAGATGACCTTCATGGCTTGCCGATGGTTTGCGTTGGACTGGTGTGTAGTGCGTGGTGAAAACCGGAATGACAATGGGTCGTGTCTTTAATCGAAAGTTGCTGCTTAGGATAATTTCACGCATACATGTGCTGGCAACGATCTTTTAATTTGTTACGTACTAACGCTCCAGCATCAACAGATCTGTAAATGTGCGGGTACAACCGTTTTACGATCTACATGAGACCGCGTCGAACAAAAAATACTAATCAACCAAAGTACGAATTGGGATTTAGGTACCTCGTTGGAAAGAGGGGCGTCTTAGCTATCTTTTGAGGCCCTCCACAACTTCTAACAGTTAGATTAGCCAAAGATATGACCCCGCGAAAAAATTATCTCCCGTCCCAGAGCAAAATTAAGATTTTTTTATTGGCTACCCTGGTGTAAAATTGTACAGCGGATCCAATGATACCCTTCGTTTCTTCAAATTCGCATTGAAATAGTCTTAAAACTTCACTTTCGTGCGATGTTTCACATTAGTGACACATGCTGTCAATTGATATCATTTTGGATTAGCATGGACATAAGTATCACATTGATTGATCAGCTGGGCTAGACGACGTACATTGCTACACTTTTGAACTAACCAGAGACTGCAGCTCTTGAGCCTTTCCCTGAAGGCAGCGACGCTCACACTTATCAGCTCTGATAAGGCCTGTCACCTTCTGGTGAATATCAACCTCGATCAAATTGATACTTATATCCTCCTCGGCTTGCTCATCGTCTTCGATTCCCTCGCTGTCCCCCGTCACCTCTCCATCCTCTTCAGCTGACTCGGCCGTGCTCCAATCTTCATCATTGCTTTCATCAGGCTCTTCGCTCTCAGACGAGACGTCGCTGGCGGCATGTGCCGCAACGTGCGGGGAGGTCACACGGGGTCGATTTTTCTGGTTGCGCTGCCGATCGGTTCGAGAAGGCGTGCACGCCGGTGATGCGTGCAGCTCGGAGGCACTCTCCTCCTGCTGCGGATCGGAGGTGCGCGCAAGCTGCTGCCCAGGAGCTGCCGAAGCGTGCTGCTCGGGCGCGTACGGCGTATGCTGCTCGGGAGGAGGGGGGTGTTGACAGGGAGGGGACGCGGGCGGCTCCGAGGCACCAACGGACTGTGGCGCGAGAGCGCCGGAAGCCTGTGTGCCGGCGGGCGACGACTCGGGGCCGCTGGAGGTCTGCGATGGCAGCTCGGAGGTCGAGCGGTGGGCTTCCATGTCGGCGGTGGTGTAGATCTTCTTTGAGAGCGAGGTGTTGAGGGAGCGTTCGCTTTAGTGACAGTTCAGGTTTTCAAATCACAAATCGGGTCCTTTCTCGAATTTTACTTAGATACGAAAAATAGCAGCCAATTTTCAAGCGCGATTATCTCGATAACTCTAAATGGTGGCTTAGTATCATTTTGTTCGAGGCAGTCTCACATACAGGATCGGCAGGTGGGAGGAACTGAAAATCGATGAAGCCTGCTGTCGCCGTTGAATCTTTAACGAGAAAAAATCGAGTTTGTGATTGAATTACGCGCGAACTGCCAACCCAGAAGAGAGCGTGGCGATATGGATTTACAAATTCAATACCCAACTACCCTACTAACCGAGTTCGTAAAGTCAGTTTAGCTTACATACATGTACGTGCCACCCGATTGGATTTGAGTTTGTTGGAAAATTCAAAGCAGCGTCAAATACCCGGATACTAATCAGCCTAAATACACATTGCGATTTAGCAGCATCAGTCGTCTTGCCACCATTTTTAGCTGTGTTTTTTTATCCTTCTTGATTTGACATATGTCGTTCAGTGTTATTCACGCGTTATTAATATTTAGTCCACAACAGTTGCAGCCTGCTCCCCAGGCACAATGTCTTAAACGTCGTAGGAAGCAGTTTAGGACGGTAGTGCTTCCTCGCTCGTGTTGTCATGTCTGTTGAACTCAACTACTGGGTCCGTTCCTCGTACAGACCCAGTAGCTGAGTTCAACTAAATTGGATCGTATCCAATTTAACGGAACTGCACCGTGCACTCTTCACTAATTTCGATTTTTTGCTTTGATGTTTTTTTTCGGTGACGGTCATACACGTTGGCAAACTTCTGCTGTAGTACTCCCTGAACAAATGTGACCCGCTTCAAGGACCAACTGGACAGCTTCACGCGGACAAGCGTTACCTCGACGTCGACCACTTCAGAATTTCGTAGAGCGATACGTGACCGGCCTTGATGGCCGAGCGCAACGCATCTCCAACATGCTACCGCTACGATTCATATAAAGCCATTCACAACCTCCAAATGGTCATTCATCGCGGCTTCACACATCGTCACTTACACGGCTATCGTGAATAAAACACATCACCGCAAGATGTCCATTCGACGAAACTCGGTTCATGTCGTCTTAGTGCATCCTTCACTGCGGTATGAATGAAGCCACTCCACTACGGCGAGGTGGCCACAGGTAGCTGCATGATTCATTGCGCTCTTTGTGCAGCCTTCGCTTCGATTGTGGAGCGAACACTGGACCAAGTCGAAATCCCATGCAAAGCTGCGGTGCCCACTTGAAAATACCGATGTGTCCGGTCGTGGCGGCGTTGCCCGTCGCCTGTGTGATGCACCCCTCGCTACGATTGTCATGAAGCCACTAGATAACCGAGAGATGTCCATGCTGTGCTGGCGTGCCCATAAAGCAGCTCCCGTACGTGGAAGTCCCGATCTTCGTTCTGCCGCACGAGATAGCAGTCGTTCAAAACGTGGCTGAAACCGAGAATTTCAGCTTCATCAGCGATACTCAGTCTGTTGTAGTAGCAATTCAAGATGTTGTTTAGATAGCCACTTGCGGCAGACAACCGCGGCCATCGGGTAGCGATTTTGCAATCGAGGTCATCAGAAGGCACCTCGCAATGGTGCCCCATTCTACCTAACTGATACCGAGGTAAGTTTACCAACACTAAGAACAAAGAAACGAAAAATACTTTGCGCAGTTGAACATTTTAGTTTGTTTTTGGTATTATAATGCGATTGAAAGAAGATGAACAGCGCTCACACACCATTCTTTCCGCAAGATCACCTGACTGACGCAGGGAAGCGAGCAATCTCGGGCGCTTCATCGTCGGGCAGCTCCAAACGCGCGCGAATGTGTGCGCAGGACCGCAACGCGTTTTGCAACTACGAGCGATTCCGAGGCGTGAGATTTCCACCAGAAGTGCAGGCGCTGACGCACGTTTTGGATCACATTGATACCTTGCTCATGTCGTACGAGGAGGCTTTCGTGGAGGCAGCGAGGTCGGGCCAAGTAGTCTGGCTGAGGCAGCTGATGCGTGAAGTAGCAGCGCCCAAAGCTCTTGTAGCCGCTGCTGCGAACGGCCATTTGGAGTGTGTGGACGCCCTACTTGATACGTGTTTTGACTCGAACCCCGACTCCGTGGAGGAAGATAACCACGACATTTTCCTGGAAGCCGGTGAGTCAGCGGGCCGCAATGGCCATCTCAGCGTCTTGAAGTTGTTATTACGTGATGAGTTTTATTACTACTCCTTGAGCGCTGACTCCGCTGCTTGGGGAGCTTTTGACGAAGCCGCTGCCAACGGGCACCTTGACGTGGTTAAATTCGTGGTTGAACGCGTGCAAAAGAAGGCAATACACCGTCGATGCTCGCTTGCTGGAGCCATTTCAGGAGGACATTCGAGCATTGTGAAGTTCATGCTTAGCCTCGACACGTCTAGGATAGACCTGCCGGGCAGTCTTGAAGCGGCGGTCGATGCTGGGCAGACAGCTCTTGCAGACAAATTTCTCGTTCTCTGCCTGGACACAATCAAGTGCGAGCCGCTTATGAAATGGCTGACACGTTGGAAAAATTGTACGAACGCCGTGAAGTATCTGTACAGCCGAGGCCACAATGACTCAAGCCTGGTTAGCAGGGCATTTGAAAATGCATCCAAGTACGGACACATTGACATGATGGAGTTTCTATTCAGCACCGGGCGAGTGTCAGTCGATGTATTCGACCGTGTTCTGGAGGGATCGGTCACCATGAAGGACACGAGTGTTCTGTCGTTTCTCTGCAGTAAGAAGTGTGCGTCTTCATCGTCGATTAACCGAGCATTTGAGGCTTCGTCTGGAAGTGAAATGATCCGATATCTGTACGAGAACGAGAATATTTCGAGTGAGGCTATCATTGTAGCATTCAAGAAAGCTGCAAAGTGCGGAGAGTGTTTCGGAGGTTACACGGAAGAGCAGGTTGCAACTGTGAAGCTACTGCACAAGGACAACTGCATACCGGACAATGTGACAGGCCAGGCGCTGGTGTCAGCGGCTAGCATGAATCATTTGGAACTGGTGAAACTATTGCGTCACGGTGCAAGGATTTCCGCGGAGATGACCCGCAAGGCTTTCGCTGCAACGTTTTCGTGTGCAGATACTGGTGTGATGAAGGCGTTGTATGATGAGCAACGGATTCCAGTCCAAATGGTGGTGGAGGCGTTCAACAGAGCTGCCTTTTGCAGCCATATCAAGAAAATGAAACAGCTCATCAAGTTTTTGCCGAGAGAGATTGCAGACCACCTGACAGCAGCAGCACCCGGGGATTTTGTGACCATTGCGAGAATCTACAACGTTAATTGGATCGCTGAAATGAGACAGAAAAGGCTACGCAAAAACACACGTCGCTGAAGATCACAAGTGAACAGGTTTTAATGAATCATGATTCATGACGGTGCGTTTATTCACGATTCATGAAGACGACGTAGTGATTCACCGAAGTAAAAGCAAAATGGAAGAATCAATTGACTTGCGAAAACGTAAGATGGATTCTGCGACGGTATCAAGGTACAATTTGATTGGCTAAAAGTTTATTGAAGTGCCATACATTCACGTGCAGTCGTATCGAGGTCGGCAGGCAACATCGACTAAGCGGTGACTGCAACAGTCGACAGCCGAGTTCTAGGCGGCGACTTCACGAGCTACCAGATTTGGGTTTGTTGTTGCTAAATGGCTATAAAACTTACGCTAACAACTTTGGCTTTAGGATACCCTCTACGCCAGCAAGGTTTGCTAGCTTTACACTCCGTCGCACTACTGGGGTCAGCTCGACTGCACTAACACGAATGTAAATGTGTGTACTGTTTGAATATAGCTACTACTAGCTTGCCAATCTCGGACAACCGGACTGGCTTGTGTGTCTCTGACGCTTGGGCGGCTGACTGTCTTCTTCGTTTCGCTCTTGATCGGCTTGTCGGATGAGTCTCAAAACAGTTGTAAGCTTAAGCTGTTCAGCTCTTCGCTTACGTTTGCTTGGTTTTAACCGCAGTGTACCGTATCCAATGTTGTAAAGCTCAATAGCGTGTTTCTTGTCACGGATTTTGGGCATAGGTGCGTCCAGCTTGGCCTCGATCCCATTCATAATGTGCCGCATCATAATTGACCACTCTGACGGCGTCGCTTTTTTCTGCGATGTATCCAGGTCGTCCGATGGTATTCCTTTGCACGGGGGGTATTTGAGCTTTGGATTTCCGAACCACCATAGCATCCATGCCCCAAGGGGATCGATACTCGGAAAGCTAAATTCTCTAGGTAGCACATGAAATTTCCCGCCCCAGACATGATACTGGTGCACTGGAACTGGTGCTGGCACTACGGCGTTGATTGACGGACGTTGGTGAAGCCCAACTTCGTCTAACAACGATCGAATTTCCTCACGCAATAACTCTCTCGTAATATTGCCCGCTGCCACACCCTTTTTCTCAAGTACATGCTCCATTCTCTGCTCCAGTTTGCCAGGCAGCTCATCAATTGACCTTTGCTGCTGGTCAAGCTTCTTGTATAGCTCAATATATGGCGGTATCCCCGTTGGTCGCATCCAGAGAGACTCTCCAGCAACTAATTGGCCTTCAAGCGTCCTAAGGACAGTGGGGCTTGTAAACAAATGTGTCGAAAGTAATGCATGGGTGGCCGGTAAATGCTGCTGCAAATATTCCGCGTGATGCACGAGTGATGCTAGGCACAACCGCAAAATTCCTGCCATATTGGCTTCGCGAGAGAGAACCGGAAACATAGTCTCCACGCACGATTTCACATTTTTATCGGAGCCATCCTGAAAATGGGGCGGTAAAGTAGCGAACTTAGAGTCATTTACGCGAAGTCCTGCCACTACTCGCCCCAGGAATTGATCTCCTGCGGCTTCATAACGGAAATAGCGGTCTTGAACTCCACCGAGGCTCCATCCGCAGCGAAGACACACACTCACGATCGAGGGATCACCTGTACTTCCTCCACAAGCGAATGTAGCCACTCCTTTGCGCACCGAGTGCGTACCGTAATTTTTTACCAGATTCTCCTTGCTTCAAAAGGTTAGCCAGCACCTTGCTAAATCGTAGCTTCTGGTTAGAGCCTGGAAATAGTGCCCCCGGTTCCAATCGAGGGTGGCATGCAAGATAAATTGCCAAGGCAGTCACCCAGCACGTTGATGGGCTCAGCGGGTTCGCGTACAGGTGGCGTGGATCACGGGGCCCTGAACCCTCCTGGTTAGTCTTCGTCTTCACAAATATTACTCCAACGCTATCGTCTTTCGCCACGAGATGCTGACTTTGGAGAGTCTGGACCGACATTGAGCGACACATCAAATTCCACTGCGAAGTCAAAAAAAGATGCGAAAACCCGCCATCACCCGCCACGAGAGTCGAATTGCACAACTCCTTTTAAAGGGAGTACGTGAGTGGCTGCTTTCCTGATGTCTTTGTGGTGCTAGTCTGGTCTTGATCAGACTCCATCCGCTTCATACCGGAGAACAGTTGCTTCATATCATCACCGTACTCAGGAGGCAGCGCCACGCGCTTCACGCGATAAAGATTCTTGATAGCACTTCGGTACCCGCTCAGCGTAGCCGTCTTCACAGAAGCACTCTTGAACACCAGAAAACGCTCAAAAACACTCGGTGTAAACTCACTTAGATTAATGTCATCATCTGCGTCGAAAAACCTGGCGATATTCTCATCCTCCTTAGCGAGCTCGCTCCTGATCCACTTCTTAATCCCGTTGAGGCTGCTCTTGTACTTTCCTCTTGTTTGCTTGGTGACGCATGCATCGCGTATCTCCTCGACGTCAGCATGACTGGTACTCCGCGCGAGCACGTTGCGAGCCTCCATCACTCATGTTGCTGCTGGGTCGATGTTCTTTGTGTGTTGCTGTCAAATTTTAGCCAATGAAGGACTTGATGTAAGCGTCGGCGGCTCCCGCTTACGTTTGCTCAGACTGTATGGCAACATTCGCATACTGAAAGCCAGTTAAATCCCGTGAGGAAACACACATTTCCTGCAAAATGTCAGCTGTCCACGCCGACGACTTCGCAGGAACCCCTATATGCTACTTACGAAAGCGAAGGAATCAACATTTCATTCATATTTGATCAATAAATGATCAATAAAATTTTATCGTCAACTTGATCGTTAAATTATATTGATACAGGTAAGTTATCCTTACTTAGTATCCAAAACTCTGGATTCCAAAGCGCTCGCGACGGTTTTGGCTTAGCCTGTTCACCGTAGAAGTCCCACAGTTAACTTAACGGATATCCTGCAAAACGGATATCCAGCGACCTTTCCAACCAGGCGCCAGCAAAAACGTCCGGCACGAAAGGACGTCACCCAAGCGTCTCCAAGTATCACGTCTATGGGGCGCTTTACGCACTTGCGCATTCCCTTCGCCGCGAGCAGAGAGCACGTGGTGCGGACGCCAACACGTCTACACTACCATGGCGTTTTCGCGGTGGGTGCTCCACGCGGTTGCGTTCTGCTCGGCTGCAGCAGCAACAGTCCAAGCCTATTCGATCGCTCTCGTCCACACCTATATCTTTGACTCGCAAGTGCTCTGCATGGGGACCACAACTGGAAGGATTCCACTTCAAATATCGAGCTACCTCAAAACGTCGACCTGCGTGCCATCACAGTGTGTGGAGGCCCCTGCCGGCAGTAGCCCGCTGTACATCTCTACTTACTGCAAATTCGTGGACAGCATTGGCGTTAGCAGTGGGCTAGACAGCTTATTTGGCCATTTTCCGTCGTATTACTACATGGACACCAACAACTTTCCCTACCTGGCGGTGGAGAGGTATGCTGCCGGGAAAAGTTGCGCGAACTTCAGCAGCCTCCTCAGCAAAACCGTGTACATGGGCGACGCCAAGTGCCACAAGACCGGCGCGGCGTCCAGCTACAGATGTGCCATTGGAAATGGTGTTAGTACAGCGACAATCACTACGTACACGGATGCTACGTGCAGCACGGGTAGTGTAGGGCGTTTTGCTGTTAGTGAAATTTACTAAACACTAACTCACTGTTAGCTGTACGTTTGCTGACTGTTATTTGACGTGTTTGTAGCAAGAGAATAATCATGATATATATTAACCTTAAGGCTGATTGCAGTTATGTCTGTCTTACCTACTGAAGAGATCTAAACACTCTGCGTCCTTGAGACCCGTCTTCTAGCGAAATATATTCGGGCCAGGGCGAATTCAGCTCAGCGTCTTAAAACTCGTCCATCATCTCGATCGGGGTGTGACGGGCCAGGCTCCAGGTCGGTCTTTCCCACCTTACCCATTTTATCAGGTACAGTCACTGCATATCAACAGTCTTACGTGCCTAGATGCTTTCAACAACAAATACAGCACCGCCATCGCTGCTAATAGAGGATCTCACCTCACTATCAGTTCTGTCCGCACGAGTTGGTCCTTAAAAATAAAACACAACACAACGGATGGGACTATCCGTTGTAGTCAAGTAACTACGGCTCTGGCGCTGCACTGGCATCTAGAGTAGACTTGGCAGCATCTAATGTGACAGTACCGTTGACTTGGGACAATGTGGGCCACAATATCGAATCAAAAGCGTCTTATCTCTTAAAATATAGAAAACCAGAAGGATCGCAGTGGCGTAGATAAAGTTATTGAAGTGTAAAACTCTTTAGTAATTTCCATTTTTGTGCAAAAATTAGTAATGCTCGTTCGGCAAATACATGTTAGCAAAATTTACTAGACACTAACTAACTGTCATTTACACGTACAGCTGACTCTACAGTTAGTGTATAGGGAGTACGCTAAGCACGGGAAAAACGGTCGTGCTGAATTATCTCGGAGGAAGCACGTGTGACGGCTCAACAAGCACTGTCGACACGAAGCTTTACGGGAACGTGATGACGATGTTGTACTACTCGTCAATCGGGAGCTATGACGCGAAGACTGGTAACTGCACGACTCCTGCTACCCCGACGCATCTGGTGACAACCACGGTGCCTGTGGATACGTGCACACCTACGTCTACATTCAGTGATACGGCCAACGTGTTTTCTGGTATCTCGTGCAGCTCTTCGTACTCTCACAAGCAGGACACTGCGGCCATATTTGGTTCAAAGGCATACGTGATTGTGGAGAAATACATTCTACTGCTCGTTAACCAGGCTATTGGGTAATACGACGTATCTTGCTGATGGCAGATGCCACGAAACCGTGACAATGACCAGCTTTCGAGTGGTACCTTCTTTTTCAGGTCACAGCCAGCTCAGGTCACACAAGGTCACATGCAAAGTCGTGCAAAGCGCCATATGAAATAACCGCGTGTATTTCAGATGTTGTTAATCGTTGTTACCTAACTCGTCGGCGAGGATCGCGTCTCGAATAGCTGCGCGCCGAGATGCTCTCTTGTTGCGGCGCTTGGCCTCAGCAGCCCTTCGATCGGCAGCTCGGACCCTGGCGATAGGAAGAATCGTGTGAGACCACCGCGCTTGACCTACCAGGAGCCCGTTTGCTCCATAGCGCAGTCGATCGATACGTACGGGCCACTCTCCATCTGATAACTCAGCCACTTGAACATCACTATCGCTCGAAACATCTTCGTTGCTGCCGTCGCTGCTTGTGAGCTCTAGCTCCATATCGGAGCCTCTTTAATCACCAGCAACGTTGATGAGTGTCGGCTGCCATTCGGCCTCGTCACTGCTGTCCGCGTCATTGATCACAATAACCTCGCGTTGCTGGGCTTGATGTGTCGTGGTAGATGATCCCAGGGAAGTACCGTTACCTTGCTGTGGAGATACGTGCTGCCCGGCTAATAGCGGAGCCGCGGCCAAATAAGCTAGTATAATGCGCGCCACAGTAACTTGAGCAGCAATAAAGTGCGCCGTTGCAACAACAACCGCTGCAAAGTGACTAGCTGCCAGAGGGTCCGTAGCAAAAACCGCGGGAACGTGGACCTCGGAAAAAGGGGCGACAAGATGGGTACCCACGGGAACATTAACAGCAGGGACTTGAATTGCTGGATCGCCACCCGCGTTTGTAGGAAGAGTAGATACGGTAGCTGCCGTTACCGGATCAGCAACGTCAGGGGCTCCAGCAAATTGGGTCGTGGGTACGGATGCCTCGGAAACGCGAGCCATAGGATCTGGTGCCGCCGTCTCCTCGCTGAAGTACTCGTGCACTCGTCGTCCACCACATGTCGGATAGCATGGAAATACATCTCGTACTTCTTTGAAATGCACAAGACAAATGCGGCCGGATAGTATCCCTTCGTAGCTCGGTCATAGGCCGTGAACACGGCGCACTGTTTAAACTTGGGAGGGACGCAGCGAAAAGTGCCATCGAGGAAGATGGACGTCTTGTTCTGCGTAAGCATGTTGAGGAGGACTGCGTGCGCCCATCCAATAAGCCTCTCACGTTGCTTCGCGGCTCGGTCAAAATATGAATAGTGGAAAAGCCAAAAGCTTGCATCCGTTGGACACCTACTGCCATTCAGAACCTCAGACCAGGGTGGAGACTCGATCTGCCCGTACACGGATCCCCCAAACGCCTCTGCTCGCGCTCGGTTCACACGACGAAGGACCTTGTCCCTCGATAAACCCACGTAAGATCGGTTTCTGTCTTGATCACCGTAGAATTTAGAGCGAACATCTTCCCATATTTCACTTCGGGTTGCAGTGGTTGTCACCGCCAAATGGTCAACCTCGCGCTTCATCGCTTCGGTGACATCAGTAGTGGTAGCAGTTCCCGCCGTGGATTCGTCGTTTTGAATAGCACCACGCCCAGAGGTATGCTCTACGAAGTTGGTGTAGAATTCTAACCCGAGCTGAAACTCGCATCTTCCCGGACACTCTGTGGAGCGATATCCGCTGCAACGGTACGTGATTTTGACCCCGGTTTTGTTGGAACGCGTGTACTTGTAACCCCCAATCCAGCGGGCAGTCCAGCCTGTGCGACGGCCGCCACGCCTACCGCTGCCAACGACACCATCTCCATCACCTATGGATGTGACCACCCAATTGACTTGTTCGCTCGCGAGTTCACCATCCGCGCCTTCGTTCCCAGCCAATTCGTCCCATCGTCACCAAAGCCGAACTCGTATTCTTCACGGAAGAGTTGCTCCGCTATTTCAATAGCATCTTCGTCCGACCTTGCCCCTAAGGCCGGGATAGATTCGCTCTCGGATGTAATGGGATTTAGCAAAAGCGCCAGCGTATGGTTCCGATTGAGTGGGGCCGCAGACTGTTCTTCTTCCACACGGGTCGCCATTCCATAATCTTGGAGTTGTTGGTTCGGTATGTCCACCGCAGGCGTCTCTGTACGTAGGCAGAAAAACATTACGATTTTAGGCTTGATTTGATCCAAGTCTCATACGAGGGCATGTATACCCTCACCAAAGGCTGCCTGCCGGGAGATACGCGTACTGCGGCTCGAGGCTGTCGTTCCCACTGCGGATGATCGCCTGGGGTTCTCCTGCTGTTGCGATTGACGCTGCTGCCTTTGCCGAGTTGAGCGTAGCCGACGCTGCATTGCGATTGAAGGCGTGGTAAATCACTAATGAAGCAAAACGGATAGGGGCGCGTTGGTTACGATTTTGGCTCTGGTTCGATCCAAATACTTGTCGTTGGTTTCAAAATTTACTTCACGTACGTTACGTTCCCTCCAAAGGATAAATATGCCGTGAGTTTCAAAACTGCTGCTAGTATTAGTACTCGCTGGATACCGAGGCATTACCGCCTCATGTAGGAATACATCTGCTAAGTTGACGCGTGACCTAGTGTGACCTGACCTGGGGATGACCTGTTATGGGCGCTTCCCTTTCGAGTTACTCGGGCTTCCGATGGCACGGTATCGATAAAAACGTGCGCGAATTCGCAAACCTGTACTGGGGCTGTGGCGACCGCACCGATAACTACCGCAACTACTTCGTGCGACATTGATGCGGCGGGTGTTGCTGACGCAAAATATTTAGCCTACGGAACGACGGACTGGTTCCTGATGTTGAAGCTAAGTTTTGATACGAAACGGGGTGATTGCAAGTCCCCAGTGGTGCCGATTTACGTGATGTTGACGTTGAAAGATTACGCTGAGACGGCGTGCGTTCCAGCAACGACTTGTACTGACACGGCAGCGCCGTACACCCGCATAGGATGCAGCTTCCATGACGTATCACGAGGATATGATAGCGCTGTTTGGTGCGACGCCGTTTGTTACTCAAGAGTGGTGCACTTCTCGACTGAAGCAACTAGCGACACAACGGCCAATAGCTGTGCGTTGACGCAGCTTTCCAGTATTGCCGGCTGACGGGAAATGCCACAACTCACTGGGTACTGGTTACAGAGCTACAAGGTATGCCGATGGTTCGGCAACAATTCTGAAATACTCTGATTCGAGTTGCACATCGTCAAGCCCGTCAAAAACCGAAATCACAGCAGCCCAAGCCTCAGGCGCTATATGCACTGCGGCCAGCGGGTCAAGTACGAAGGCAAATGGTAGAGGAGTCACGCCCTTCTACTTGATGACTACGGCGAAGTACGATACGAGTACTGGCGACTGCAAGCTCCCAGCAACGCCGACACAACTCGCTTCATCTGTTGTAGTCGTGGACTCCCTTACGCCAACAACAACTTGCAGTGGTTCATCGGCCCCGTGCTCTGCAATCAGCTGCAGCTCGACATTCAGTAACAAGGCGTACACAGCTTGCCTTAGTCTTCGGCTCCAATCCGTACGTGGTTGTGGAGAAGTATGGCCGGTGGTGTTGCAGATCAAAAAATACAACTGCCCTCCAGCAGCAGCTTTTCCACGAGCACGAGTTGGGCGGATCGCAGACTTCTCCTCGACAACGAACGGATTCGACCCGAATGCTGCCGCCGTGTCGACCTTGAAGCTCAACGTAGACCCGCAAGTGATGGCCGTGAATGGGGCGACGGCATCACTACATGCCAATGATGGTGTGCACGTACCCGCTGCAACGATGGATGTTGATAGCACCGATGGAACCGCGGGAGTCGAACAGCAAACTGTCGAGCATTGCAGCGTACCTGGCGGACGGTAAATGCCACATGACCGGCCTGTCGGCAAGTTACGCGGCGACACGGGCGGCCGACGGATCGGCCATGATCAAAATTTATGCGGACTCCGCGACTTGTGCCACGGCAGGAACTGCGTTTGCGGTGACTGAAAGTCCGAGTGGATGCAAGGTATGGTATAATACCCAATCTATTCCAACCAAGGCTTGTCCGTGTCATCCCCTACTTGTGAAGTTCACCAATTAAAGTGCCGGATTACGATATTTTTATCCAATGATTGGTCTTACAGAAATTGTCCAGCATTCCAACCGATCCGACCATATTTGGTTGCAATTTTTACAGAATATTTATTATTCAATACAAATTCTCATATAAACAGATATTCTAAAAATATCGTGAAGTTTCCAACCGAGGCAGCAGTATTTGTGGTTTCATTAGTAGAGAAGCACCAACAGCGCAAAAGCGATGTCGATCGCTTCCCTTGCTCCAGCTAACAGCAAGAAGTCGAGAACGACGGCTCCTTCAACGCGTTCCTCGAATGTGAGAACGTAACAACCGACGCCGCTCATAAGCTTATTGACGCTGACAAGACCGGTAAGGTGCTGAAAATCATGTTAGATAAGTATGCATACTCCCTAGCTAGATCGGCAGACAAAGTTCTATCAACAAATACGTGTCTTGCGTATTTCGGAAACGTGAAAAACTGGTTGCTGGATAAGTATCCACAACAGGGAGCAATCGTGAAACCACAGCTGCAAAAAATCCTGTCTGGGCTTTGAAAGTATTGCAGCAACCGCGAGGACGGTGCGCTGGAAAAGAAGGCCCCACCGTGTTCCAAACAAGATCTAGAAAATATAGTTCGACTGCTGTATACGTCGGATTCGGCGGATACCATCTACCTCGACGCTGCCGTTGTCGTCACGATGTGGTACCTGTACGGGCGTAGCTCTGATGCCGAGCAGCTAGAGAAACATCAGCTCTCAATTCTTCCTGGTAAGTCTTGAAAGGATAATGATTGCCATTGTTTTATGTTTCTACTGATAAAAACGATGCATTAGTAGGTGGCGTACTCTTCCTTCGATTCAAGAGAGTTAAAACGGCTCTTCTCCAAGGCATTTCGCTGTTCAAAGACCCGAAAAACTTTTTAACATGCCCTTTATTCGCTATAGCTACAGCACTTTTAATGCAGAAGGCTCCGTGCAAGCGCATGTTCCCGCAGTTCGTGGATACAAAACGGAGTGCCGCTAACGTGGAGGATGTTGAAGAGCTCAGCCTGGTGGAGCTCCTTGAGGCTGATGATGACCCGACAGCACTGGTCGAAGTCGAGCAGGTGTCGGGGAAGCCTAAAGTCCCTGGTGCGCAAGCCTATGTGAACCGTTTGTTAGTCAGAGTCAAATATATTGCCGCAGCAACGGACGTTCGACTTACCCCAGAACTTACCTCTCACTCGTTTCGGCGCGTGCTGTCATGCACGCCAACGACGGAAGCCTGGCCGAGAACTGGATTATCGAGCGGGGAGGTTGGCAACTTGACCGTGTCAACAAAGCCTTTGGGTACATGCTGGGTACCACGCAAGCCGACCAAAACGTTGCCCGCGTACTGAGCGGATGGAAGCCGAAGGAAGGTGCCCGCCTTCCTTCGCTGTGCGCACTCGACGACCCCATCGGTGAGCGTGCAGGTAAACTGCAGGCCCTAGTCTTCTCGAGCACGCTGGGGTTTGACGACACAGCACTCAATCTTGATGACGGTGTAGCTGATGTCTTGATGGCGACACTCGTGATGCACTACCCCGACATGCTGATCCTGTCCGACCAGAGCGACTTCATTCTCCGGATGCGAGAAGCCATGGAAGCTCGGGCCATAGGAGAGTCGGAGGTGCTGGCTTGGAGCGAAACAATCCTGCGTGCCTTCACCCCTCCGCCTCCCAAGGTTGACCGCATGCCAATGACGCCCAGTCCGCAGCTGTAGTAGCGCTGTTAAAGCGCCAGTCGGAGCAGATCGATGTCCTCATTCTGCAAAACAAACGGCTTGATGAACGACTGTTAGCAGTGGAGGAGCGGCTTCGAGCACAGTCAGACATAGCAGCACCAAACGCGCTTGAAGGAGCTTCAACGTCAGACGGGCTGAGCCCTGTCACCGTGCAGCCACCGGCCACCAAGTCCGTGCGCCCGAAGAAGAAAGGCTCGCAGCCGTTGTCGGCACTCTGGTACGAGTGGTTCACTGCCGAGCCTCGTGTATACGCATCACGCTCTGTCAAAAAGACAACACTGTACGAGTTTAGACACGCCGTAGGATACATGATGCTGTTCTTACCGAATGGCTTCGCACTAGACGTAGCCGCCTCTGCGTTCAAGAACGAGGTGCTCAACATGGGGCAGCAAGCGCAAGCGAACGGTCTCGCCTTCTTGAAAGCAAACGGATCTTCGGCTCTCGCTGCCGGCACCGCGTTGAAGGCTCTGCTCAAGCTACACAAGACCGGCAAACTCGATGCCCTGATCGCTGACTTCCACGAGCGCGTCACCAATGGTGCCATCCTTGATCCAACCCCTGCCGCCGCACTTCCAACCTTCATTCGACTACAACCAAACCTGTAAACCTTACATCATGATGCACAACAATATAAAACACAATTAAGTAAAGACGATGGCCGGATTCGAACCGGCCTGCAGCGAATGCTGCTCCTCCACCAAGAGGCACCGTCGCGGGTAAGTACACATGCACCGCAGCTAAGCCAGCAAATAGCAGCAGGGCCAAACCAGGTAAGAGAAAAACTGGTAGCATGTACGTACACTGACAGCAGCTGTCCACAACGCCGTCGGCCACTCTCAACATACCACTGCTGGCCTCAAGCGCCATCACCTCGCCCGAGGCCACGCTGCTGTCCACGCATCCACCGCCCCGCACGACCTTCTCCATCTCCACCGCCCCGCGCGGCACCACCCCCGAACTGCTGCCCCTGCTGGCCTCGAGCGCCATCACCTCGCCCGAGGTCATGCAGCTGTCCTCCTTGCCGCCAACGCCCGTCTTGCTCTTGGTCCTGCTGGCCTGGGGGTCCTCTGCACGCCCGAGCACTCGTCCGTATTGCCGCTGCCCGCTGTGTGTCCGGCTCCGAAGCTAAATGAATGAATGAATGAATGAATGAAGGGATTCAGTTGAGATGGTCATTACAATAAAATAGATGTGACTAAAATGTGTTGCTTCAGTACCGGTACTGGTTGGACTCCTCGGTCGGACAGTTGGAATTTTGACGGTATGGATAAATATCGTGACGGTGCCGACACAATTTTTTTACGTGATTTAAGTATAGGCAGACTGACCGCAATGCATGTATATTGACCAATGACATCTAGATATACCCAATATCGGTCAATGAGCTTGATTAGGTGTAGGGTAAAACGATGCCGACGCCGTGCCGACGTATAATGTAGGCAAGGGGGCGAAAATATGCAGGGCGTCAATACGAGCCACCAGTCTACTCGAATATGTGCCCTCTTGCCGACAGAACACTCGGAACCAGTATGAGCCTCCAAGACCTCGCCCCCGTCAACTCACAGCGCGCTCTACAAACCGCAATCAACGCCTTCGGACGCTTCGTCGCGGCCCAAGGCGTCTCCATGGACATCATCGCTGCCTCTCTCGCAGATGATAAGAGTGGGGCTGTGTTTGTGAAGCTCATGGACCGCTTTGGCGTTCGCCTCGCCTTCGTCGAAGGCCGAGGAGGGAAGTCGCTAGCCAAGAACTCGGTCATGAGCTACTACCGCCATGTAAAGAACTGGCTGCTCGACACCTACCCGACCCACCGAGCCATCATCGAGAAGAAACTACTCAAGATGGGACAGACGCTCGAGCGCCATTGTCTGAAGCGCATCGAAGGTGGAATGGTCAAGAAGGCGCCTGCCTGCACGAAGGAAGACCTACGAATTCTCATGGGCGGACTCTACTATGATGCCACCAGCCCCAAGGACTACCAAGATGCCGCGTTACTGGCGCTGATGTGGTACGCGTTTGGCCGCGCCTCAGAGCTGGGGTTCGTGGTGAAGGGAAACCTGTCTGTGAGTGCGGATTTTGTGTTCGTCCGGCTCATCCGCGTGAAGACTTCAGACGAGCAGGGCATCTCTCTCTTTCCCGACAAGAACAGCTTCATCACGTGCCCCCTGCATGCGATTGCGATGGCCCTGGTGATGCAGGACGCTCCGTGCGCACAGCTGCTGGATCATCCGCACCTTGCCGCAAGCGGCGACGAGAGCATGACAGCCCCTGTTGACGTGCCACTAGCTGAAGCTCTTGTTGCCTGTGAGAACGACGACACGCCCAGTGAGCCGCCTCAGAAAAAGCGTAAACTGCCTGAAGAAAACATGAAGATCCACGCCTACGTGAACCGCGTTGTCAAGACAGCGTCTGCCGCTCAAGCTAAAGCGGTGCCAAATGCAAACTTGACGTCTCACTCGTTTCGACGTGGTGGGGCTCAGCATGCAAACGGTGATCCACTGCTCAGTGCTCAGTGGATTTTCGATCGGGGTTCGTGGAACATGACGGCTACCAACAAGGCTTTCGCTTACGTGTTCAACACAACCAGTGAAGACCAGAAAGTAGCATGTGTTCTCAGCGGGTGGGACTCGAGCAAGAAGCCACTGGTTCCAACCCTCTCCTGGTTCGACTCCGCCAGCCGGCAGCAGGCACTGAGCTTGGGAAATCTTCTTTTCCAGCCAAGCGTGTGCACCCATGACCCCGAGAAGAAGCTCAACGCCCGCGTCGCTGAAGTTCTAACTGCCGCGCTGATCCAGCATTTTCCCGAGGTACTCGAGCGCTACCCGATGTGCCCGTACGCTACCCGGATGCGCGAATGCCTGATGGCGTTGGGTTTACCAAAAGCTCAAGTTCTCGCGTGGAGCTCTGAACTACAGGCGAAGGTGGCACAAAAGGATCTGGAGGAATCTCAAGACGACGCGGAGGCATTCACAAGAGAAGAAAAGCTGATCAATCACCAGAACTGCATCATCGGCGAGCTGATAGCCATGAATCGAGCCTTGACCGAGCGGGTCACCCAACTGGAGAGTCAGCGCGACGTTGGTCAGGGTGACTCCTCCACAAGTTTGCCGGCACCGGTGGTGGCACCACAATCGCATTGCGAGGATTCCGCTACTGTATCGAAGTCGTGTGGAAGCAAGGCTCTCCCGAAAGGCCCAGCGGCTATTTGGTTTGACTGGTACGCAAAAACACCACGTATGTGGGACGTGTGTGCGGATCGGCAGAAAAAATCAGCGTACAAGCACACCGTGAACTACATGAAGCTCTTCTTACCAAACGGCTTCGCGCTGGACCCGTCGGCCCCTGACTACACCGACCAAGTTGTTCGTACCGGAATTGAGGCCGAAGCCGGGATGTACAGATTTTTCGAAGAGCACGGAGTCAAGAGCAAACGTGGATCAGCTGTGCTCAAGCAACTGCGCAAGTTTTTCCGGGAAAGCAAGCTCAACTCTCTAGTAGACGCGTACCGTGCTCCCGTTGCTGTCGCTGGCGTAACGGACCCAGCGCCCAAGGAAACGCAAGAGCTGTTTACACGGAAGTAGTTGAGTTATAGTTTCTAACGTGGGGCTATAATAAATGTTCTGCACCGCTACACATTACACTTCGATAAATGTATAGCGTACAGCATGTAGTGCGCATTTGACTTTCGTACGCAACTGCTGGAACGCCACAGAGCTTCATAATATCGATCTACTCTTAATCAGCTCATGCATTTGACAACATCTTGCACTGCAGCCGAGGCGGTGTGCTACCACTCTAAATCTTTACTGTAGCCATTTTAATAGTAAAAAATAAGAGTGTTCCTGTCTTAACGGATATTTTATGATTACCCAGAGGTTGCAGATTAAACAACGGTTTTGTGTGAAAGTAGGATTTTATTGTTGGTAGTTAATCGGCTCGACCGCGTAAACACAGCCCAGATCAGCAAAGAAGTGGCGTAATCCGTCTTCGGTACTTGGCTTGTAGACGAGCTCGTCCGAGTCGATGAAGTAGTGCTTGTTGCCCACCGCCGCGCGAGCGATGCAGTGCCAGGTACCTTCTTCTTGGCCAAAGGGCCTACCGATGATCACAAGGTGCCTAAAACTAGACCTAGGAATCTTCTTGAACCACCTTTGCGAACTGCAGTTGAACGTGTTGGTACTGTTCAGGTACCGCAGCTGATAGCCCTTGGCGCGAAGCGCTTCATGCAGTGCTTTCATAGAATACGCCCCGTACTTCTCATCGCCATGGGGGGCTGGCCCTTCTTCCTCGGGTGCAGTCGCGTTAAGACGACGCACGATTGGCACCAAATCCTCGACGGTTAAAAAACCCGGGTTTGTACCGCATTGTTGATCGAGTACAATCCACAGAGAGAATATCTCTCGGATATACCGCTCTGATTCTCACACATTGGACCGCCCCTAGTCCGTCTACCCACAATGGATTGCATCTCTGTTCGTGGAAGGTCTAGCAAATCGCTGGACGTGAAGAGAGACGCGCACCAAAAAAAACTCCCCACTCTTACTTAGCACTGACGTGAAATCGCTAGGAAATCGCCGGCGGGGTGAGCGCAAAAGAAAAAGTGAGAAGGACTGCATCGCTGCATCGAAGGCGACGAGCGCTAACCAACCGTGTAAATTTCAATGCTTTTAATACAGTACAGCCAGATGAACTCTCGAAAAATGAGAAATGTATTGCGTTTTTGTATGTTACGCAGCGCTAATGCTGCTGTTTTAATAACCAACATGCAAACGCTTAAGTTGGTAATAGCGGCAGAATTGCAGGTGCCAGGCAGTAACAGCCTGACACCTGCAATCCAGGATTTGCTCTGGCACTGCTGGAGCAGTGGCGCATTTGATTGCTAACCGCCTGGGCACCATGCCCGATGTGCATGATGTGTCTGCTTTTTTTTAGCCAATCCCAGCTTGTAGGCACTCTGTCGGCCGATGTCGGCACCGTCATGGTATGGTACGTTAAGTTTGCTCACTTATGTTAAGTTGAGCAACATAGTTGGAGCTAAATACTACTGTAGGAGCAACACAGGCTATCCTATCACCACCAAGCCATCGCCCAGGTACATGGAGAGCCACTTCGAGCGCGTACTGGCTGCGGAAGCCGCGCCTAAGCGCGCGGCCGCGTCGCCACCGTCCGCCCCGGCTGCAAAGCGCTCTCGTCCGAGCGCCGCCGCCTCCTCCGCCGAAATCTCCGCGCTCGTGGACGGCGCCGAGGCGCAGGAGGGCGACGCGCTGGACGCCCGCGCGCTCAAGTCCATGGCCAACTCGCTGCAGAAGCGCGTGCGACGCAACGCACTGGCGCGCGAGAAGCATGCGGACGAGCCGCAGAAGTTCCTCGAGTCGGAGCTGGCCCTGGACGCGGAGATCGCGCGCTGGAAGCAGCTGGCCGCCAAGCCCGAGCTCTTCGCCGCCATGACGGAGCTGCAGGTGCCGCGCGCGCTACTCGGACTGCTGGGCCACGCCAACCTGGACATCCGCCTGGCGGTGCTGAGCCTCTTGGCCGAGCTCACGGACGTGGACGACGCCGCGGAGTCGCTGGAGCCGGCCGCGAGGCTGGCCACGCACCTGGTGGACGAGAAACTGCTGCCGCTGCTGGTGTCCAACCTCTACGAGCTGGCGGCGGCGGTGGACGGCAGTGAGAAGCAGCAGGCGGACGAGGAGGCGGCGGGGATCTACCACTCGCTGCAGATTCTGGAGAACCTGGCGGACCTGCAGCCGCCCGGGTGTGCTCAAGTGGCCGAGCACACAGCCATCTTGCCCTTTTTGCTGCAGCAAGTGGCCCCGGCACGGGCGTTCAGTGAGAACAAGTTGTACGCGAGCGAGATTTTGTCCATTTTGCTGCAGGCCGGGAAGGAGCCGAGGGAGAAGTTCGTGTCATGGAGGGGGCAGGAGCGGCCCAAGGAGGAGAACAGGAAGGAGAAGGATGAGAATCAGGACGCGAAGGTGGATTTGATGGATGATTTGTTACAGGCGTTGGCGCCGTACAGGAAGAAAGACCCTGCCACCGAGGAAGAAGAGGAGCTAGTGGGCAACTTGGTCAACGCGCTGTGCAGCGTCTTGCTTGTGCCCGAAGCGCAGAAGCAATTTCGTCGATTGGAAGGACTGGAGCTGCTGCTGCGCTTTACGAAGGACCGTCAACGATTCGTGTTCAGTGGAGCATTACGTGTTATGGATCATGCCCTTATGGGCAATGCCCGCAATTGCGAGCGGTTGATTGAGATCGGAGGCCTGCGGAGCGTGTTCTCCGTTTTTATGGGTCGCCATGGCAAGTACAAGTCAGCTGGCGCTACGAAGGCGAGCAAGTCTAGCGACCGCGCGAAGGAAGAAGAGAACGCAGTCAGTTTGGTGACGTCTTTGTGCTCGTGGGTGGGTGAAAAGGCTCCGGCTGATTGCTATGACCGTCTGCACGCCAAGTTTGTGGAGAACGATATGGAAAAGGTCGATAGGTTAGTGGATCTGTTTGCGAAGTATCACGAGCGAGTTGGCCGCAGCAACGAGGAGGACGACGAAGATGAAGACGAAGATAGCAAGTATTTGCGCCGGCTTGATGCCGGTTTGTTCGTACTGGAGAGAATCGCGTTTGTGGTTGCGCACCTGTGCCGCTTTTCGAAGAAGTTGAAGGCCTACGTGATGATTAAGTTCCACGAGCGCAGTATCGAAAGCGACAGCCTGACTATCATCTTGCGCGAGCAACTACACGTGCTTGAGGCAGAAGAGAAGGACGGTGATGAGGCCAAAGGGGAGAACGTGGATGAAGGGAGACAGGCCCAGAAGGCACAGCTTCGCGCACTCCTTGAAACACTTCAAGCTGAGGCTGCTCCTCGTGAAGATGGGCAAGCAGCTAGCTCGGACAACGATAAGCCGAAGATGGAGAATGGGTATAAGGAGGAATGAGAGAGGAAATAGACTTTGATGAACATGTATCCGTTACTTATTCTTACTGCTCGCGAACACCACGCGCAGTGCTTACCTTTAGCATCACGCACACTGAGGCGAACACAACGGACAGAGCGCGAATAACAAACAAATCTATAATATTTGGAGCTTCGTTGTAGATTTTTCACTTCTTGTCTGCCTGTGGGGCAGGTGCAACGTGGGGGTGGCGCGGCGCAAGCAATTTACATGATGGTGCAGCGGCGCTCGTCACCCTCCTCCACGAAGCGTTCAATATCCTCGTCCGTGATTTTGCCGGGCTTCATGTTCTTCGGGAATAAATCCTTCACGAGCACGCTATCCATGTCTGAGCGGAGGTAGAATAGCAAATAGGCCGATGGACTCACGACCTGCTGTTCCTCCACGACGCGAACTCGCTCGTCATCGTAGTAGTACCACTGGTCGTCCACGAAGTTCTTAGCGTACGCAGTGTAGTGACCGCCACCAAGCGCGCCTTGGTGGTTCACGACGCCGTAAAGGTTGTACTTGGTCTCCAGACATCGCGACTGGTCCAGGTTCGAGTTGGTGTACCCACGACGAACGCGATTGCGTACTGCTGCTGCTTGTGCTGCAGCTGCGCGCTGGCTGTCGCTGGTGGCAGTGGTCTCGGTGTCAGTCGTAGCATTGCTTCCTGCCTTTGCATCCGGGGATGACTGTGCATCAGCCTCAACGGAAACTTCAGTCGTTTCTGCTGGCACCTCGCTATCCTCGGGTTTCTCTCCTTGAGTATCCTCGTCCAAGTCTCCACCCGCAAGTTGACCATCTTGCTTGTCAGCGTCTGAACCTGAGGCACCTTCATTTGCCGCGCTGTCAGCTGCAGATGTCTGAGAACTGGGGGCTGGGCCATTGCTAATTGTGCTCCCACTACGGGATTTGAGCTTGAGTAGCTTTCGCGCAGGTGCTGATACTCCGCTGGACGACGTACTCTTCGGTCTCTTCATCGGATACTTGTCTGGAATCTCGATGTGAGGTGCTACGCAACAGGAAAGGTCAAGGTCGTGAATTGGGAACTCGACAAGCGACCCCAACTTCCGGCGATACGTCTGCGTGTACTGGAAACGCTTCAAGTGCACCACCATGACGGGAGGAAGACGCCATATCTCCAGTTTCTTCGTCATTTCCTGGTGCTGCCGACAACTAGAACAGTAACCTTCGCTGATTTTTTCCTCACTTGTGAATGCGTCCAGGCAGTGGCGCAGCGGTACAGGTCCCTTGTCAATGGCCTCGTTACGCGCCACACTATCGTGGTTCTCGACGTGCTTCATCTTGTCCATCGTTTCACGGTCCTGGAAAACGCTTAGATCCCAGTCGATAGCAATCGCTTCTTCTTCCAAAACATCGAGAGGTTCTGAGGTGCACGGGATAGTGAATCCGAAGCTTCGCGTCAGCCATGACGAGCGCGAGTCCGTCAAACCCTTGCTCTCCACGCGACGCAACAGGAATCCGCACTTCGAGCTAAAGATTTCAGATGCGTCATTCAAGCCCGCGAACACACCATCAATATGGTTAGCGACCAAGCAGTCTACGTTGCGGGCCTCATCTTCAGCCCATTCGGTCGGGGCCTTTGCATCCGGGCCCACGTATTGCTTCACACGCTCCCACACAAGTTGATACAACTGAAGACCGCTGGTGAGCTCGGGACATAATCGCACGAGGTTGGGTGACCCGAACGGCACAGGCCTGAAGGGGTTCTTGAAGTACACGGCCGAGTAACTCAGCTTGCGCGAAAGCAGAGGAATGTACAGTAGTCGCGCTTGACGTGGTCGAAGCCGGTTCAAAGGCACCTTTATCTCGTCCTCCGTACGACGGAGGCGCACCAATACAACAGGTTGATCTTCATAATCAGCATGTGCAGTGGGCGGCTCCAAAACCACAGCAGGGATGTACTCGTGTGACTGGGTTCGCATCCGCACATCGACCAACGCACCCTTCGTTAACTTTTCGTAGAAAGCCGAGTGATCTGCCTCATCAGGACGAATACCGCCCGAGCCGACGGCCGGGACGTACGATGGGCGACGGTGGCGCGTGGCTTGAACTGTCTCCGAGTCAAGTGGCTCCAACTGGAAAGCTATGAGCCGGTCAATGCTGCGAATCTGCCCAACACGGCGGTTATCGGCCTTGAAGCTGAGGATCATCGATCCGCTGAATTCGCATAACTTGATATCACTCTCAGCCACATCAGGTAGACCAAACTCGTCGTGGCACATTTTCATCAGCTCGTGCTTCAGGTCAAAAATCGTCGCTGAAATACTTAAACGCACCGACACCTTCATCGGAGTGACCCCACTAGCGAGTACCAATTGCACCGTCACCGTGTTGTGCTTGGGTTCTGGCAATGGCACCTGTAGGAAGGTGAAGGGCTCAAATCGTGCAGACTTGAAGCCACAGATGCTGCATGTCAGCAACGACTTATACTGGCCCGTGAACAACGCGACAATAATCGATACCTCCCGTCGGAGGTGGTTGCGCCACCATTCATCTGCGAGGTCGGCGTCATAGCGCCCATCGCTGTCGGGCTGCTCGATATACGGCTTGTCTTGAATGCGATTTAGGTCTTCGCTTAAGCCGCTCAGCAGAAAAGCTAGCAACTCCTGTGCGTCCTGCTGGTCATTGCCGCGGAATACTTCATTGAACTTGCCGATCGACTTCTTGAAGTTCCGAGGGGAGATCGACTTCTGCTTGACGCACCACATGTCTTCTGCAAGTTTGCCGTAGACCTCCGCCAGCTTACCTTGCAGCCCCAGAGTACTGGTACGGTTGATGTCTTCCAAGTACATTCCCGACAGGAAATATTCGGCCAGCAACTTCGTGTTGGTAAGACACTGCAAAGCTGAGTTCATGTAGCAGGTGTTGCCAAGGTTTGCAAGACCGACAGAACCACCCGATCGCATCCGACGCGGAAGAGCGAGTTCCTGCTTTCTGCGAGATTCGTCTTCAGACGGTACGGAGGACATATCGTCTTCCGCATCATCGTCGTCTTCATCCTCTTCGTTGTTCGTATCAGCGTCCTTATCCTTGGACTTCTTCTTGGCGAGTTTTTTCTTCGTTTCAGCTTCCCAAATGTCCAATGTGGGTTCGCCATTGGAAGCTACCACAACCTGCCGTTGAATTTCAGGACCTCCTCCGTACCACAGCTTCAGCGCCATCCACAGTTGCTCGCAGATGATAACATAATGGCGGCCCAGCTTAATGTCATCAGACGTCTTCAGAATCCTGTCACGTCGATCGCTCGTGAGCAACGGATAGTTATTGATGCACTTCGGACGGACTATCTCTCCCTTGAGATTTTTCATATAGTTGTCCTTGTGGGCGGTGGTGCTACCATTCACCTGCACCTTCGACGTGCTCGGAGTAGAAGTCGCGGTAGTGGTAGGATTCGATACCGGGGGCGAGAGAAGCAGAGATTCCTTCACGCGGATCTTGATGTACCTGCACCAGTGAATGTACCACTTGCGTTCGATCAAATACCAGCGGTCGTCTTCAACCAACGTATCAGGATCATATGCGTTGTAGCAACCCGTCGCGATCAGCAACTCTTCTTCTTTGGTAGCTGGAACCAGACCCAGATCGATGAACGCAACTTCGCGCATAATTCGCAACGTCGCCATCTCATACTTCTGCTTGATAGCCCATGTAGTAAACTCCTCCACCGTCAGTGTCAGAGCCTCGGTCTGCTTCGAAGATGAACTCGCGTCCCAAACGCTTTTTCTTTGTCCAAAGCCCTTCATGACGCCATCCACGAAAATGCCCAGCTCTGAGCCCGACACAGAAGGTGTTCTTGGACCCATACTTTCGATCAGAGAGGACGATGAAGCACTCTTCGTAGCGTTCAGCGATGGGTGCTTCTTCTCAATAAGGGCCGTGATCTGACTCTCCAGCTCTGGGTTCTGAGTAATGTCGAGCCGGAGCATACCGTAGATATCCTCGCGAGTCATGTAGGTGTTGTCGCCAACGCTCGCAAACAGTTTGAATGCAAACTCGGCCTTCTCCTTGGTAGTACCTCGACATGCAACTGACAGGGCACTCACGAAGCTGAACACATCAATATCAGATCCGTTTGCGCGCGAGCCGAAGCTGCTAAATACGCGGCTGAAGCGTTCCTCAGACATCTCCAGCGGGAAGTCACTGGTAAGTGCATCCAAATCGACAGCATCACCACCGCTTGAGGCCCGGTAGTTGTTAAAGGCGTCTTGTAATACGGCCACCTCCTTCGCATTAAAGTGGGTCTCGTTTGCGAGGATCTTCTGCTGCACGGCGGGGTTAAATTCCTCCTGGGACTCCAGCAGCTGCGGGTCAGCTGTTTCGCACAAAATGTCGGCGAAGGGTGCCATCCAGTCCACTAGGGTGTGGTAGGCTTTCAGCTCGGGAACGATCTTGATAAACTCGTCGCTCGTCATGCGCACTCGGCCCTGATCGAAACCTTCACTCAACAACCGCCGGTACTCTGGTCGGTCGAGCACATGGCGTCCATGAAGCGACACCAAAAAGTTACTCAGTCCCGTGCTTTGCACTTTACCTGCGTGATCCAAATCGCACATGTTGAAGATGAATTGAAGCTGGTCCTCTATTGTGCCGCAGCGAAGAATGGCCACCGCACGCAGAAATTCATCCATGTTGATATCAGAGCCTTGACGGTCGGAGACGGCCTTCATGAAACGCATCGCGAAGCTCGACGGTATGTCCGGGAAGACGCCGAGGATATCTCTTCGGAAGGATGCACGGCTAATACAAATCTGCGATCCTGCCGTGTGCATTATGACACTGTGGCGATTTCCGCGCTCGTCCGTAGTGCTGCCCTTCGAAGGCTCCCCAGAAGAAGCTGACGTCGGTGCCGTATCCTTAACTGGAGACGTCGGTGGTCGACCGTTCGAGTTTGGCGCGGTGCTGCTCGACGAGCTGCGCGAGCTTTCCGCCTCTGTCTTATGTCCGGTGCTCGTGCTCCCATGGTATAAATATTTCGAGGAGCATAATCGCTTGAAAGCCGACGAAAAATCCTCCAGTAGCTCCGGCGGCAGCAGGTTCTTCATCCGTTCCGACTCGAGCTCCTTCTTATGGCGCTGCAGCTTGCGTTCGTATGACTCCATGTGCGCATACACCTCCAAGAAGTTGAACAGCGGCACGCGGATCAGCGGCTTGATGTCGAGCACCTCGTTAATGTACTTCTCCAGCTCGCTGCGTCGCTGCTCCACGACGCTCTGGTGCCGATTGCGGAACACGTGACGTTTGGGGAAGTACAGCTGCTTGACCGGCGAGCTGGTCCTCTTAAGCCTCTCGTGGAGCTCGCGGAAGTCCGAGTAGCGCTTGCGGATGAGCCACTGCAGTCCCCCCTGCAGCCTAACCTCGACGGAGAAGACCGTGTGCGTGGTCTTATCAATCTCCGCCTCGGTGACGCCGTCGGTGGGCAAGGTGACGCTCTCGATCTCGAAAGATGGGGCCGACCCGGACGCCGGGCTCGAGTACGCTGACTCGGAGCTTTTCTTCTCCCTCGAGCGCAGGCCGATGAGCTCGCTGGACGTGTGCGATCTCTCGAGCGTCGGCACGGTGCGCGAGCTGCCTACTTTCGGCAGCTGGGGCACGGTGTCTTTGGGCGACGAGGGCTCCTCCTGTCTCTCGGCAGCGGCGGAGGACGTCGTGGACGATGGGGACGGGGGCATGGCGGCGTCCAGCGGCGACGCGGCGTTCGGCGCCGAGGCGGAGGCCGAAGTGGCGGTGGAGGCGGACGCGGCGTCCCCGTTGGCGCCGCGCAGACTGAGCTCCGAGGCCGAGGAGAGCGTCACGACGTCGACGTCTTCGTCCTCCTCGGCGATGGAGGGCACGCGCGCGCTGTTGGTGTCGCTGCAGGCGGGCTCGGCGGCGCCGGAGGAGGCCGAGGCGTCGTCGCGGCGCAGCGCCAGGTCGTACGCCGGCAAGCTCGCGGTCTTGCGCAGCGTCGCGACGGGCGGCGCGTCCGTCGTCGAGGTCTCCATGGGGGCGGGCGGCGCCGGCGCAAGTCGCTACAACAGATCGCGTGCGGATGCGAGTGTGTCCGGGCGAGTGCGGAATGCAAGAGTGATGATCGCTCGGCCGCGGTCGGTCTCTCTTGCAGTTGTGAGCTTTTGCGTTTGTTTGCTCGGTTTCCAAAAACCCTCCCCCTGCCCAAAAGTTGCAGCTATGTCGGGTTGTAGGCACCAACTTTCAGCGAATTAGTCCCCGGATCTGGTCCCGAAATTGGTCCTCTGGATTTAAGCGAGGCGAGAGACCGGGCGAGATTGACGTCGAGCAGCTCCCTCTGCTGCTCGACGTGTCGACGTCCGACGCAGCGACCCCCGATCCAGCGACGCCGATGTACGGAAGAGCTACCCACGATGTCGAGCTTGAAGGCGGCGGCAAACAAGCAAGCAGACAATTGCACGAAGTATGAGTCGTAAACGACGGGGCGCGAGTCCCAATTTAGCGAAGAGCTCGCTATTTATATGGCGAGTTTTGATGAAAATGGTCCTTATGCATGCATACAAATAGTTGAGTTAGGTTCCGCGCACTGCCAGCTCCGTGAGCAGACATTTCGTGTCGGGCATTGAACCCTGTTTTCAATAACTGAGGTGCAAACAACGCATATAGTAATATGACGATAGCGAAGTTGATGCAACCTATCCTAAAATTATCATTGGGCTATCATCATAAACAAATACTCCAGCACGAATCGCGGTACGCGAAAGCGGCGATGCCTCTGCCTCCTTTCGCAACCGGATGCACCAAAAGTTCGGTTCGAAACCGGAAATACTTGTACAGTCAAACCTGTTTATATGATCCTCTCTATTTGAGCCATGCCGTTTATTTGATGCAGGCTTTGTCGCTACCAAATATTTCACTTAGTTTTTGTATGATCTCTGTTTATATGCATACAAGGTATATGAGTCACATTTTTGGGGACCAAATTAGGTCTCACCTGTTTATTTGATTCACACTGCTGGCCACACACTCTTCAAAGCACCACTGCTCAACACTCAACGCCTACCGCAAGCCTTCTTCGCTCGCCATGTCTCCTCGCACCTGTCTGACGCTAGAACAAAAGCTCCAAGTGCACCTAAAGCTCAAGCAGAATCCTGGCATGAACAACCCCATGCTCGCCGAGTGGATCTACGCAACTTTCAAGGCCCGGGTCAGCCGTGCCACACTCGCCCGACTGCGCAACCTGCCTTCTTCCTACTTCAGCCACGTCGACCTGAGTGCGACCAAGCGGCGCCGAGTGAAATTCCCTCAGTTCGAGCGGGAACTGAGGGAAATTTTCTTTCAGAACGAAGCTAAAACGGCGATGGCGGACGACGTGCTCCTGCTGAAGGCGCATGAGCTGGCGGAGCGCTTAGGAGGAAGAGGAGGAACAGGAACCCGCAGTTCAACCTGCCACTGCTCTGAGACACTGCATGGAGCTGGCTGCATTTCTGCTGCAATGCGGAGAGCAGACTGACAGAGAACGAAGAGCTTGACAGACCGTGACCGCTTTGGTTCGAGAGACTACGGTGAAGGCAAAGCGGCAGCGAACTATGCACGATTTCTTTACGTGCACCACATAATTTTTTTAACTGAGTCCATTTTATATGAGTCATTGTAGTAGATGGTCACCAACAGGGCCTCATATAAACAGGTTTGACTGTATATCACATGAAAATGTACAGTACATGCATTGCTTATTCTGGTGGTTTTTGCAGGTTCCTCACCCCAAGCGCTCTGTATTTTGCATCGACTTTGCCTGTTTACTCTTAATTTCGCATCGTAAATTACATCGCACCGAATTCCGCTTTGAACGTAGGTTGCGTTGGGAGTCGCCTGTAACCTCTGTGCATACCCGAGTTGTGGGATTTTTGCTTGGTACATGTGCTACAACGGCGCAGGCTGCCTACGGACTATATTGGACTATTTCTGAGGTGGGTGTACTAAAGTGGCCCGATTTTGTTGCTGAACCCGTTGTCGTCGTGTCGTTGCGGCAGTTGAAGCAAAATCTCCAGTCGCCTTCTGGCAGATCGGAGCCCCACAGAGAGCGACATCCAGGCATCCGGATCGCGGGGTACCGCAGCGCTCACAATTCGTCGTCGCTGTCGGTGTCGAAGCTTGAGAGCTCCAGCAGCCGCTTGGCACGCTGCAGCAGCTTGGCGCGGTCATCCTCGATGGTCTCATCGTCTTCTTCCTCCTCGTCGCTGTGCTGCCGGATGTCAAACGAGTATTCGTCCTCCTCCTTCTCCTCGTCGCTGAAGTCGTCAAAGCGGATGCCGAGCTTCTTCTCGAGCTCGGCAATTGGCCGCTGCAGCGCGTCCATCACGCTCGAGCTATAGTCCTCGCTGTCGCTGTCGGAGTCCATGACCACCTGCTTCTGGACGCTGCCGGACTCTGAGCTGTCACCGCGTTGCTGCTTGCGACTGACAGCGTCAAGCTCCTGCAACTTTCCAGTAGCAGCTTGCGAACCTGCTTTGTGGGTGAACGCCTCCGAGGCACGTGGAGAGCCTGGAGAGGATCTTCCTTCGGAATCCAGCACGTGAGCGCTAGGCCCGTTAGCGTGTTCCTGGGCGGAGGAGGCATCCATCTGTGCATTCACCTCGTGGTCCAACCACACTTGCTGGGCAACTTGTGGTGTACTCATTGATTCGTCGGCAGCGCGGGGGTGCCCATGGGTGGCTGGTGACGTAAAACCCTCCTCCTGGACGTTGGGGTGCCCGCGCACCGCTGGCGGCGCGAACATCAATTCCTCATGACGAGAGTATTCACGAGTAGCAGGGGGTGTTGAGGTGACTCCATCCCAATCACGCGAGAAGCCACGAGTAGCTGGAAGCGTGGATACGTCTTCTCCCCGAGCACTACCGGGAGCTTCTGGCATGAAGAATTCATGGCGTTCTGGTGATAGCTCTCCAGTAGATTGGGGAGCGGAGACTGCCTCGTTCTGTGAGAACGCCAGAGGGCTTTGCGGTGGGTCCAATTCATCAAGCCCTTGCTGTTGCTTTCGTCGGGCACGGCGTGCAGTTTCCGGCCACTGCAGTGCGTCCGTCACGCTCAAGCTCGCGTCATCTTCGCTGTCGCTGTCGGAGTCCACGATAAGCTGCTCATGGACACTAGCAGGGGTGTTTTCTTTGTCGGAATCCGAGCTGTCACCGCGTTGCAGCTTGCAACTGGCAGCGTCAAGCTCCTGCAAACTAGTAGTAGCTCGCGAACCTGCTTCGCAGGTAAACGCCTCCGTAGCACGTGGAGAACCTCTTCCTTTGGAATCCAGCACGTGAGTGCTAAGCCGGTTAGCGTGTTCCTGAGCGGAGGAGTCATCCATCTGTGCATTCACCTCGTGGTCCAATTCATCATGCCCTTGCTGTTGCTTTCGTCGGGTGCGCCGTGCTGTTTCTAGCTCCAGCAGCTCTTTATCCCTTGCCAGTTGCTGCTCCAACAACTTGTTCTCCAACTCTTGGCGGACGCGCTTTTCTTGGCTCAGAAGCGCACGTTCCTCACGTCGACGCAGCAGGATCTTTGCTTTGCGAGCCTGCTCTTCATCTTCCCGTTTCCAGCTCTCAAACTTCAGCATATCCTGAAGCTCTTGCTGCTTCACTCGAGTCTCGAACTCAGTACGAAGACGTGACAGGCGCTCTTCCATTTCGCGCCGCTTGTGAATTCCCCGCACACGATCGTGCGTCTCCGATTCAATTCGCTGCAAGTCCTCTTCTTGCTTGCGCGACGAGATTTCGAACTCCATCCGCTCCTTCTGCATCGCTAGCGTACTTTCCAGCCGCTGATACTCCGTCTGCAGCATTTTAGATGCCTCCTCCAGAGTTTCATGAGCAGATGCCTCCATATTGCTGAGGTGTTGGAGCCTTCGCTTTCGGGTCTCATAATCCAGAGTCTTCAAGTGAAGTATTCTCTCCTTTTCAGCAGCAATCGCTTCCTTGCGCCGCCGCTCTTCGGCTTCGAGAACCAGTTTTCTCTCCTTCATCCACTTTTCGTGCTCTGCCTTCAATTTCCTCGACTCGTCTTCAATATCATCGAGGAGGTTTTGCTTGTGACCCAGCTCTGCTTCTTCCAGGGCGATACGGTTGCGCTCCTATAAAGTCAGAAAAAAAACACACACAGGCATGAACACCATTGCGGGCGTGCAGCAAATAGACAAACCTGGTTCACTTACGCTGATCTGGAAATCCACAACAAATCGTGGATAGTGCGCGAAGGCGGGGTACTGCCCTCTCGACAGTGGCCAGTACGGTGCGCGGCCTTGACTGGAGGCGTCTGTTGCTGCGGACTCCTCAATCGCCGTATACTCGCTCAGATCCAGCTTTGACCGTAGATTCATCATTAGCTGGACAAACTTTTGAATATCGATAGCGTTCTGCTGGTGGAAAAATTGCTCGATCGAGAACCGGTCACAAGAAGCGAGGAGAGCTGTCCGAAAGTACGACAGATACGCCAATACAGCGACAAATAGGAGCTGTGGAGTGTCTGAGTACGTGAAGAGATGATCCCACAGGCACATCCACTCGTCTTCGCTGAGCACTTCCGTGAAAATAGTCTTGAGCAAACTCCACGCGAACGCTTCGGACGTGACTTGGTATCGAGTAAAGTGGTCAAAGAGTTGAGCGTCTCGCCGAGCCAGCTCTTTCTCGATAGCACTCATGGCAAACACGGGCGGGTACGGAAGACTTATGAGGAAATCGCCGCACCAGTGAAGCATGACGCTGACGCTCGCTTCAAACGCTGCCAGGTCATTTTCTCGGAAAATCTTGACAAACGGGTACACGACAACAGGCAGGTAGCTAACTTCACCGAAAGCTGGACACCAATAAACAATTGCCGACAAAACACGGTGAAGGCGACGAAAGATACGGCTGTCTTGTAATGGGTACTGATCCTTGAGCCGAACAAATACTGGATGTTTACCCTTTGCCACCAGCGATCGAAAAGCTTCTTCATTCTTGGGCAGGCGAAGAAAGAAACGCCACACAAGCACCCGGTATTTCTTGGGGTACATGCCATTGCACCTTAGACTTCCAACGAGGCGCTTATGATTTGTCTCGATCTCTTGAGCTGTCAACTGGACAGGAGGCCGCGCCAGTGGGCACTTCCGCCGAGTCCAGACTTTCTCCCGCAACGTTGGTGAATCGCAGTCAAGCAGATCCTTGGTCGGCAACCTGAGGGGTCCTGCCGTAGCGCGAACGCGGGTTCGTGTAGCACTTGCTGGCCGCATGTGGAAAGATTCTGCTTGCCTGGTAGTCGCCGTGTCTTGTTGAGTCTGCTGGGTCACACGGCCAGCCCGCTTGGGCACCTTCGCTCCGAACAAACTGTCAATCAGCTTCGAAGGAACAGGTCGACTCAGATCCGGTTGACAAAGCTCTGCCGGATTCGGCTCCTCCACCACTGGGCCAATATCATCATCAGAAAAAGCCGTATCTGGCAACCCAGATCGAGTGCGGATGCGCGCATGCTCCCCAAGATCCATCAGCCCCTCTTTCCTCCGTCGTTTCTGAGCGCGAGCAGCAGTCTCTCGTGCAATCTCCATGTCGTACAACAGCAGAAAGCCATCACTAGATACGTGGGCAGTCACCATGCATCAGTATGTGGGGGCTAGCGCTACAAAACAGCACGAAACTCTTACCTCGTCGATGCTGCGAGATAGCGGGCGTGGCACTCGATATCAAAAGCTGAAATGGAGCGTCCGTTGTTGCTGATCTCCAGCTTGATCTGCGGGTTCTTGGCAGCAACATCGAGGAAGAAGATGCTTCCGTCATCGCCCAAAATGCTAATCGTCGTGCTATGACCTGGGAGGAACGCGTGCTGCTCACACAACCACGCATATCATATGAGCATAATACACATTCTCCCAGTTAAACCCCAGACCTCCACACGTACACTGACAACGTGCTTGATCGGCGGCGGGAGCTCGATGATCCGGATGATCGTCTGCGACTCAAACTCCCACACGTAAACAAACGGCGCTCGTCCGCTGCATCAACAAGTAGTAGCAACACTCACAATCGTCAGCTCAAACACCACACCAACAAGTAAAATTAAACCCGTCCTAACCTTGCCACGAGCACCTTCTGGTCATCCGAGACCGCGATCTTCTGCAGTCCTGGCGACTGCTCTCTCTCGGGCAGCGAGAAGCGGTACCTGAGCGCCAGCGACTCGAGCTCCCACATCATGATGGTGTCGTCCTGGAAGCACACGGCCACGAGGTCTCCTCTGGCCACGAACGTCGCCTCCTCCACGCCTGGGCCGGCATTCAGCACCCGGTAGCGGGACCAGTCCTTGGTGTCCCAGAGGATCACCGCGTCCTGCGAGGCCGTGAGCGCCAGCTGACCCGACCTCTGGAAGGACGCGCAGCGCGCCGGGAAGCGGTGGCCCCGCAGCGTGCTGATGAGCGTCTGGGCCTGCACGTCGATGCAGCGCACGGTCTCGTCCTCGCAGGTCACGAGCAGCTCCGTCTTGCGCGCGGGGCTGAAGCAGCAGCTGACGGAGGGCGCCCCCAGGTGCTGCACCAGCGCGTAGCGGTTGAGCGTAACGAAGAAGACGAAGACGCGGCCGCGCTCGTCCGTGGCCGCCAGCAGCTCGCCCGACGCGTTGAAGGCCACGGCGCGGAAGCGCGCGGGGCTCTTGTCGTGCGAGCTCAGCGGCAGGTTCTGCACGCGCGAGAGCAGTCCCTTGCTGCTCACCAGCGGCCGCCGCGGCCAGATGACGCCGTCCTGCGTCGCGCGCAGCTCCAGCGTCTGCACCATCACACGGTCTCTGAGTCGGCCGCGGCGCTTGGGCGGTAAATTTGACGTGCTTTTATTTCACATTTGCATGCTATTTCAAAAAGAACAAAAAACCCCTCAAAAATGAGTTTTAACGGACTGTTTGGGATTTAAAATATGACAATAGTATAAAAACATCAAATCAAGTGAGTTTTAACGGGTAAGGACTTTGGAGAACATGATTCTAACCACGTGGATGTGTTGTTCGTAGCGAACGAGGTATGGCGGGAGGACGCAAGTTTTCCGCTCAATGGACACACTTTGAATTTGTTCAAGCTACTTGCAACGAGAATTATAATGCAAGGACGCTACGTGTCAGTGGAGCGATTCCCGTAGGTTTTAGAACCCAAAAGTCATCTCAAAAGTGCGAAGAAAAGGCAGGAATAAATCTTGATGACCAATCACAGATCTGGAAGAGGGGGGGGGGGGGTACCCCCCGTCTTCCAGATTTTGAACACGTACTTTCTGGAATAAAAACAAGATTCAAAACGCTGCGAGAATCGCTCCAGTGTTAGAGAGGTTTCGGAGCTATTCATTAAGCTAAGTTCGCACCTGGTGTGGCCCTTTTGCGCCCACCTCGCCGTGATTGTCCCCAGATTTCACCAATTTCATTTCCTACATTTCCCGAGAAAATGAGCTATTCAAGTCGATTGGGCACTATTTGTTGCAACGTAAGTAGATCTATGTTATTACTTGTAAGTAGACTGGAGGCTTACCTACTTACTAAGATTTCGCGAGGACGCAGGGATAATTTACTAGGATTTAGCGATTCATCTGTCTACAATGTCTTTACTGTTATTTACATGAAAATCTCGATAAGATTGTAAACAATTACGACTCACGTTACGACATTACTTAAGTTAACAGTATTATAAAGTCGTTGGACTCATGAAAAACAGCAAAAGCGATTTACGTCTGCTTCCAACACCTAACTTTAACGACTCGAACAAACTTACAAAAATACGACTCGTACAAACTAAAAAAAAGAAACTACTCTTACAAACCAAAGTCTTACAACTCGTACAAATTGAGACGATGCTGGTAGTGTCAGTTTTGGATTGCTTGTGTATCCGTTTTGAAATTACCCGAGTCGCGTCGTTAGAGCTGATTTAAGGCAGTGGTTACGAAACTCCTGTACTGCCTAACATATTCGGAAGACTCGTAACAACCGTATTTCCGCACCCTCGTAGCTCGGCTTCATTTTGCTTTTCGAAAGAGACTGGCTACGCACAGCACCAACCTCCAACCTCCCCATGCCCCCTACCCAGCTAGTGCCTGACAATGACTGAACAAGCCATAGCTGCAAGTCTGGTCGAGACTGACAGCATCGATGAACTTCGGGCGCTGGGCCTTCTCCGTAGTGACGTCGACGTTGCTTTGGACCGTGCGGCACCGGATACCTACGGCCAAGTCGCTGACCACGGTCGGAACCTCGCTACGGTGACGTTCGAGACACGCTCGGCGCTGCAATAACGCTGTCGCGATTTCGCGCGACGTCAGGGGTTTTCGCTTCGTGTGGCAAGCAATAGCTGGTAGAAGTCGGCTCGCAAAGGAAACGTCAAGTACGTCTGCAAGCAACTGAAGGGACAACAACCACTGGTTCCTGGTAAGGTCGAGCAATGCCCATTCTCGGTCACAGAGTATGGTTTGCGAGACCAGTGGAAGATCACGCGGATGAATTTGGCGCACAACCACCATTTGCATGCTGGTTTTTAAGAGAGTACTTTCGTGGAAGGCGGATTGGCATCGGATACGACTCGCCAGCGCCAACGCGACGTCCCGTACGTGATGATGCGCGACATTTTGGAGCGCGAGATGCTTTCTGCGTACAGCGGGACGTGAGATAGCGTCTCTGGTAACGTCATTCTGAACTTCTTGCGAGGCAGAAGCATGCGAACCAACCGGCACACCGCGTAAAAACTGAAGAGAGACCTCCTGGAGTCTCTGCGGGAGGATCTTATCGAGAACTACCAGAAACTCGAATACTACTTGCTCATGCTTACCGAGGCTAACGAGGGATCGCGATTCGGCTACGAAAAGCGGGACACTGACGTCTTCAAGCGAGCTTGCTTTTTTCCTGGTGCCTGCCTCAAAGCGCTGTAGCATTGCAAGCACATCATCGGACTTGACGGGGCACATTTGAAGGGCGACATGAACAAGCGCGGAGTCTTCCTGTTGGCCACTACGAAGGATCCCGACGGACACATGTTGGTCTTCAGACTTGCCCTTGTCAAACAAGAAGACTACTCCAACTGGGAGAGGTTATGAGGCACATGCAGCCACCTAGGATCAAGAACAACCGTGGAAGCCTACGTTCGTATCAGACCGACAGAAAGGGTTGATTGCGACTGTGGAGGAGCTTTATCCAGGTTCAGGTCACCGCTTCTGTGTTCGGCACATCATCTCAAACGCTGAGAAAAAAGGCTCCAAACTAACACCGGAGGAACAAGGCTTGGTCTTTCAGATGGTAAGGAGCGAGTGCCAGAACGACTACAAGTTTTACAGCTCGAAGCTGGCGGACACACGCCCACTTGCTGCCGAGTACCTAAATGGAATCGATAAGGCGCACTGGATTACGTACGCTTTCAACGAGACTTAGAACCAGCAGTCGTACGACGAGGTGTCGTCCAACTTGTCCGAAGAGGCCAACCACTATACCCTTACCAAAAATAGAGAAATCACCCAACATAGATGCAGCAGATATGACAGGACTTATCGCCAAGTATGTCAACATATCCTAAATTCTGTCCACCACAAATATATTAACGAAGAATCTCTGGTCGATACAAACGGTCTCATATTAGAAAGATATCGCCTCATCTTGCACAGCATAGGACATTTCGAACGGGACAGCAGTACAGCTGAATCTATCCAGTTCGGCTTGAAGTTTGGCTTGAGGGTCGCCATTTCCCTTCGAGATACCTCCTACGCAGGCGCGATCCCCCCTGCGAGTTTCCTGCGAGCGCGATGCTCGAGGAAGACGAAGGCATGCTGCTGCTCCTGTGCGAGGCCTTCAAGGCGCACAACGAGCGCGTGCGCGACGCTCACCGCGACGTCCACCAGCTGATGCTGGAGGAGGAATGGTGCATCGCCATGCGCACGCGTCATTACCTGACTACACGGTGTCTCGATGCACCGTGTGAGTCCGCATGGATGACCCTCTACATGTACGGCTCTGATGTGAATTTTCTGAACGTAACGCGTTTAACCAGGTAAAGTGTACTTATCATTTTTGGCGCGGTTTCCTGCGCTAACACTATAGCCTCCATGTCTGTAGAGGGGCTTTTCATCAGTTGCTGTCTAGGTTTGCTAGCTTCTACGACCTCCCTCCTCCGTCATCACGAGGCCGCCCCCCAAAGTTGCGCTACCTACACCAGGTTCTGGGGCTCGTACTGAGCTTCTACGTGGGCTCTATGGAACAGAGCTCACTGTGCATCATGTTCGGGGTGCCGCCGAGCACTCTATCACGAACGCTGCGCAGGGCAGAGGAAGCGCTGTCGCTAGCGCTGACTGGCTACGCACCTGCACACATCTCCTGACCCTCGCCCTTGCGTCAGGCGGAGCTGGCACGCATGATCAACAAGCGCGAACCGCTGCTGACCCACACGTTCGGGTTCATCAACGGTAAAAACTTACGTGTACGTGTACTGTATATGATATTGGTATTAACGGCTTTTAGGATATCTCAACTAACTGAATTCGATTGTGATGTGAGTGCACAGGTCCAGCAGCCCTCTAACGCTGACCTACAAAATGCCATGTACAATGGCTGGCTACACTCGGTCTTCGTGACCGGCACGATTTGTTTTGCCGCTGACGGCTGCATCATTTGGTCGAAGCACAACTGTCCGGGGTCGTGGAACGACTCGAACACGTCCTTGGAGTTCCGCAACAAGCTCACGGACCCCCAGTTGTGCCCCGACGAACGCATGAATGTAGTGTCGGACTCTGCATTTCCCTGCTCTACAGCCATGACAGGGAGGATCCTGACCCCCTTGAAGGACGGGGACATCGAGCGCATTGAGCCTTGCCTCCGCAGCGCCGCACGCACACTGCACAATGCGATCACCTCCATTCGACAGGCTGCCGAATGGGGAATGGGCAGTGTCCAGAAAGTTTACAGTCGCCTCAATTTGCCGCTGCCCTACGACCCGGATCTACGAGGAATGCGACTCAACAACCTATTCAGGATGGCGAACTACAGAGTTCGCACGGTCGGCATCTCCGAGATCAAGACCACGTTCGCGGGCGTCATGGAGATGCCAAACCAAAACATGTTCGAATCTCTATGATTGCTTTTGCGTAAAGCTGGTTCAATAGAAAGCTTCGTAGTTAATTTCATAGTTATCGTACTGCACATCTATCGTTGAAGGCATCGGCGGGGCTGCTAACAAATACAGCACGAGATTAGAGCTCGTAATTGCTTTGATCATCGCTGCATAGGGCTGTATTGAGATGTTACGCTACTAAATGCACTTCCTCCCTCTTTAGATCTTCCTCGCTGTTGCCTTCACCGCGCAGGGGCACTCACAGCTCATTCCTTCGTCGTTAGCGCGCCCAGGATGAACAACAGCTCTTGAGTGCGCGCACGAGCGTCCTCCTTGTCACGACGGGCGCGCTCCTCCGCCTCCTGCTTCTCAAGACGGCTAAGCTCTTCGGCCTCTGCTTTGTTAGCGAGGTAGCGTGCCTCGCGGGCCGCCTGCTTATCGCGACGGCGCTGCTCTTCGTCAGCACGGCGAAGTTCCGCCTTGCGCTCATTTTTCTAACGCATCATGAGCAGCATCTCGAACATGGTGCCCCATACTTCCTGATATACCGGGCCCCCGGAACTCCGGCGAAAACGATCAGCGGTGGCAGCTTTAGCCCCGTGGCGGACGCAGTAAGAAACACCGATGCCCGAAACCCATTGATTTCACTTCCTGTAAATGATAAATAAAAATAAAACTTAGAAAAAATTCAAAACAAAACAAAACATCAATAGTTTTACCTTGCTGCACGTCCACCGTCGCATTCCCAACAAAGGCAATCGTTGTGTTGCCGGCTATGTCCATGTACACGGCCGTTTGGTCCATGTTGAACACAGCTGCAAGCTTGGCATCGCCGCGTTCAGATGAAAGAATCCTGTCTTCTTCAATCGCATGCTGGATTGACTGCGAAAATACATTGGCAACAAGCTTTTTATGAAATCAATTAGTAAAATACACATTAGTCAAGATAAGCAAGGTTGAAATAGCATTTACCTCCATGTTGGGACGCTTCTTTCTACCCTTGTGGTGATTCGTCGAATCGACAGCCGGTTGCGCTTTAGAAAGCGTCGGATAAATGACATGTTCCCGTTCCGGGAGCGCGCTTTAACGCGTTCAGGATTGTACCGAGCCAGCATTAGCAACAGACGTTCCATTGACATACACACAGGTAGCGGTTTTTCCTCATTTCTACAATCCAGTCAAGAAGTCTAAACCACAAAATTAGTCTTATCAGGTCCAAAATAAACAAAATAAACAAAATAAACCACAAAACTTACTTTTTCTCTAAACTTGGGTCTCGGATGTACATGTCAGTACTGCGATGAGTGTAAAACTTGGTAGGCAAGTTCTCCGCAGCCGTCTTGATTAATGTATCTTGCTCTTTCCAGCGATACCACGTCGAGCGGTGGACACCCACCGCCGCTGCCGCAGCTGCGACGGTCTTCGTTCCGCGGTCGAGCGCCTTCAGATTGACTTTGTTCTTGTTTTTTGGATGGCGAATCATCGCAAAACAAGGAAACAAGGAATGGGGACGGAAGACATGGAGGCGCCGGCACGGACGGGTTGGTGTTGCGCGCCTTAAAATTTTACCACTCGTAAAATCTTTAGTATTTTCATGAAATTTATTTTGACGGCAAAGTTTTTATCACTGTCTCCTTGAATCCGAATTTTACGGTATTCGTCGTGCATTTTTTCGCTGGGACCCGTCTCTCTCCGCTGAAACGTGCTGGCAAAAAGAGGGAAGTTTGAGTTGGGCACAAAGAATCTAGTTGATTGGCTGATTAATTGGGAGAAGGTTTGATTCGATTCGCCAAAACAAATCCGTCGAATAGGAGCACAGAGGGGTAGGCCTAGTCAAACTTACTGTTACTTTCCAACCGTGATAACCCCTAATGCTGGTGCCGTCAGACTTGCGGCTACATAATTGGTTGGTTTGGGCCTTGTGCATCTCTCTACATGCGATTTGCGGTATGGATAAATATCGTGACGGTGCCGACACATATGATTTTATACTTAGCCACTGTATGGTGGCCATGGTCCAATCAAATGGCGATGACCGATTATTATCGAATGAGAAGGGCGATAGATGGTATTTTATCCAATCATCAACGTTACGGGTAGGTGTATGAGCCGCCGACACTCCTGCCGACGTATAATGTAGGCAGGGCTGTCGAGATAGGTTATCCACCTATAGTGAAGTTAAGTAATAAGGTGATCATACACATATTTTGCACGGTGCCGACGCTTTACTTTGACTTTGTATTGCTTCTGTTTGCCTGTTCGAAGCGTTTTGTGTGGCGCTTTCACTTGCTCTACAAATTCAACCGAGTTTCTCGGCAACGCTATTCCCGAAGCAGCATTGTGTCATGTAGAAAGCTGCTTTGGGTGAGGCATTGTTGGTGACACTATGGCCACTGCCGCTAAGATACCGCCGTCAATACATGTAAGTGACTCCGCAGCAGTTGAGAGTTTAAAGTGGTACAAGAATTAGAAATATTCACTGTTATATACATACTATTCGTGCAATATACTACAGCACTAAGCAACGCCGCGCCTGTAGAAAGCGCCATCCCACCATGCAGCGGCGGTGGCACGAGTCGCGCCACCAGTAGCAGCAGTAGAGGAGTCCCCCCCAAGCTCGACATCAGCGAGCGTGCCCTCCGCCGCACCCGGCGATCGACAACTCGCAGCCGCCGCGCTGCTGCTTCGGGTGCTGCTGGTTGTAATGGCGGTACTGGGACGAGGGCGGCTACTGCTGCGGGGGCGTGGTCCTGGGTTGGCTCTGCAGCTCCGCGTACTGCTGCTGCTGCTGCCTGCAGCGTGACGAGTGGGTGGCCGCCAGGCGCAGGCTTCCTATCGGGCGTCCTCCCTCCTCGTCTTCCTTCTCCTCCTCCTCCCACTCCTCGCTGTTGCCCTCCGCCGACCTCCACGCACTTGGTGCCTCTATCTTCCGCCGTGCCCTTGGTGGTCGCAGGCTTCGGGGCCTTCGGCTTGGAGGCAAGCGCCATGACGCGCGCCATCCGCGCGGGTGCGAGCACTGGCCCGACGCGCCCGTGGCCGGGTACGAGCACCGCGCGTCCGTGTGTGAGATGGCCGTGCACGTGCCAGCGGGGGAGGACTGTTGTCCTTCGTGCCCTTGATCATCTCGCCGTCCTTCGTGCGAACTCGATCAGGGGCGCCGCCACCATGCAAGAAGTGGTAAGATGGTCATTTAGACCAATCGTAGAAATTCAGTATTTTAACCAATGCTCGATAGTGTCGGCAGCTGTCGGCACCGTCATGGTATGGGTGCTGGATATGACATTTGAAATAATAAATTAATAAATGGTGAGTGTTTTATATGTTTAAACACCGTCTAAGGTCTTCTGCCAGTTTCGTGCCGTCCTTCGAACTTGCGGACTTGCTGTGGCATAACTTTTCATTGAATTGTCCATTCTGAAATCTGATTGCACCCGCTTAATCTGCGCGATTGGGCTGAAGTTATGTACTTCACGCTAGTCCGTGTAAATTTTGCAAAACTTCTTGTTATTGTTTTGAAAAGCTTGTTTATTTGGAGTGAGCTGCCAGTTTCCTGCCTCTTTTTGATAGCATTTTTGTATGCTATGCAAATCCTAGGAGGCTCATCACCGGAAATTGCATGTGACGCTGGAAAAATCTACCAATAGACTACGAGAGTTTAACAAGGAGAAGATGCTAATTGGCTAAAACAAGTAGACACGGAACTGGTTGTAGGCACGCAACTGGCACCTTACCTTAGTACAAGTTCCGAAACGGTAAAAACGTCCTTGTGTTCTCGGTACGTAACCTGGTTACTAGGCACTTCGTACCCCTGGGTTCGAGGTGAACACGTCAACCAGCACTTACACAGCGATGGCTACCGAGTCGGTGGTGTCGCCGCGCAAGCGCCTGCCGCGGCTGAATCATCTGGAGCAGCACGTGGCGCCGGGCGGCGGGTCCGTCCAAGAGGGCGACGTGTCGCTGTCGGTGGCGCCGTCCTCGCCGTCTACGGCGTCCACCGCCAGCTCGTCCGACAGCAAGACTGCCGAGACCAAGACGAAGCTCAAGGCCGCGTCGCCCCCGTTCGAGCAGAGCCGCCTGCACGAGCGCGCGACGTCGAGACTCGTGGCCAAAAACGGCGAGGCTAACGACGAGCGCGTGAGCGACGTGAGCGACGAGAGCGAGGGCGAGGGCGACACGTCGCTGAGCAGGACGCAGCAGCTGCGCAACTGGCTGCGGCGCTTGAAGCAGACGTTCGGCCTGTCCTTCCTCATGCTGGTGAGCACGGTGTACGCCGTGCAGGGCTTCACGAGCTTCAGCGCGCTGGCGGTCAACTACTTCTTCAAGGACAACCTGCAGCTGCAGCCGGCCGAGTCACAGTCGCTACTCACGGTAATGATGGTGCCCTGGGGCGTCAAGCCGCTCTACGGCATCATCTCGGACAGTCTGCCGCTCTTCGGCTACCACCGCAAGTCGTACATGATCCTGTGCAGCGCTCTGGGGGCCATTGCCACGCTGACGTTGGCCGTGCCTGACTTAATCACAACCCCGCTGGGTGCAGTGCTCGTGCTCATGCTCAACAGCCTGTCGACGGCGGTGATCGACGTGGTGATTGATGCCCGAGTCGTGGAAATGTCGAGGCTGGACCCCAAGTACGGCGCGAACGACCTGCAATCGGTGTCGTGGGTGTCCATGTCGGTTGGTGGCGTGCTCGGCTCCTTCCTGTCGGGGCCGGCGACGCACAATTTGGGTGTGCGCGGCGTCTTCTGCTTCGCTGCCGTGGGTCCGCTGACGATTTTGATCTTCTCCATGTTCATGCACGAGCCCAAGACGACGGTGAGCAAGCGCCACTTCAAGTCCTCGGCCAAGAGGCAGCTGCGGCAGCTCAAGGGCGCTATCTGCACGCCCGTCATTTGGATGTGCGCGCTGTGGGTGTTCCTGTCCGGTGCGATCAGTCCCGGGTATTCGCAGGTGTTTTTCTACTTCTCGACGGACGTGCTGAAGTTCACCCCCGAGTTTTTGGGAACGGTCTCTGCGTTCGGCTTCATCTTTCTCATGGTGGGGACGATGCTGTACAATGCGTTCTTCAAGGACATGTCGTTCCGGCGAATCTTCTTTATTGCGCAGCTCAGTTTGGCGGTGGTGTCGCTGCTGGATATCGTGCTGGTCACGCGAGCTAATCTGGATGTTGGTATTCCTGACAAGGCGTTTGTGCTGGGTGATGCGGTAATTGCCGATGTCATTAGCCGCCTCAAGACGATGCCGGTTATGGTGCTCTGTGCCAAGCTGTGTCCGAAGGGTATCGAGGGAACGTTGTTCGCGCTGCTGATGTCGATCTCCAACTTTTCTCGAAGTGTCAGTGAGTTCTGGGGCGCACTCGTCTGTGCGTGGTTGGGCATTGCGAAGGACCAGTACGACATGCTGTGGCTGGCCATCATCTTCCGCAGTGCACTGAAGGTGATCCCAATTTTCTTCCTCTTCCTGATCCCGGCGACGGATCCACAAGAAATTGTCGATGAACTAGACTTCAGCTCGCCTGCCCACGGCGATGCGAACAAGGATAACCACGAGGACGAAGAAGAAGAGGGTGAAGACGAACACTCCGGCACGATTCGGGAAGACCACACGGTGAATGACTGCTCGCCAACAGAAGAGGCTGAGTTGAAAGGCTCGGCGGCAGCAGTCGTTTGATGATTATTGTGTTACTACTTCTACATTGTTGTTTAGAGCGGGAAAAGCTAGAGGAATATGGGTTTCTGAAAACTACTCCACCACCGTACAGAGGCGGATCTCTATTATATCTCGACAAGCCAGCGCTGTGACTGACGAAGATTGCTTTTCAAGCTTCTGGTTTTTCTGGGTGTGCTTATGCGTTAGTTTCCTCCTCGTCTTCGGGCTGCTCCGAGAACGAGATGACCATGGCCGTGATGTTGTCCATGCTGCGCTTGAGCAGAGCCGCCTCCACGAGCGCGTTGGCGGCGAACTGCAGCGCCTCTTTCGTCACATCCTCGGCGCTCGTGGGCTCCTCGGCCCAGTGGAACTCCGCCACCTTGGAACGAACAATCTTGGCGGCATCGTCGTCACTCAAACGGTCCCACAGACCGTCGCTGGCAAACACGAGATACTCACCCGCTGCTTCCACATTGACTACACGAACATCTGGGACCACCGACACCAGCGGGGCTGAGCAGGATGCTGGTAGATTGGTCTTGAGCGGGTGGTCACCCAGCGATCGGCTGATTGCCAGGCGAAGCGGAATCTGGTCGTGTGCCACGCGCCAGCAGCCCGAGAAGATGACTTTGCCTCCCGCCTCTTCCACGCGCTCAGTCTCCTCCTTGAGGTCTGGCTTGTGATCCACTGACAAGCGCACGGCACTTGCCACCACCTCGTCGTCTTCGTCGTCGTCGCTCGCCTCACTGTTATCATCGGCGTGGGCCAGCACACCGCGCGAGTCACCTAGATTCGCAACGAAAAGCTTACCGCCCACCAAAAGTCCGAGCAGCACCGTCGAGCCGTCACGCTTGTTCAAAATGACGGTGCGCTGCAGGATCTCCTCGTCCACGGTCGCGAACGCGTCGACCAGCAGCTCACGGACTTTCTCCACGTCGTCGTCGGCCAGCTCCGCGTATTGTGCGCGGCGGCTGATCTCCGTCAGGTCTTCATTCTCGCCGAGCAGGTCCTTAAACCGACGACGCGCGTACTCGGACGCGTACGCACCATTGTGGCCGTCGTACACCGCCAGCAGGCAGGGCGACGTTTCTGCGTCTTCCTCGGTGTCCAGCAGACGCTCAACCACCGAGTAGCGATCTTCCATGTACGGGCGCGCGCCTTGTGCGAGGGACACGCCGACCTGCACGCGCATCTTGGCGGCCTCTCGTCTCCGATTCCTGTTCCTGCTGAGGCTGTACTTCGGGTGGCAGATGGTCGTGAACTCGGAGCAGCGCGGGGTCTTGGTCTCCTCTTCGTGGAAGCGCTTGAGCGCGGTCTCGATGACGTCCACTTTGCGGCGCTTGCGGTCTCTGCTCTTGGCCACGAAGCGCTTGATCGGGGGCGTGGGCGGCTTCACCTGCTCCTCCTCTGGCGGCGGCTGCGACGGCTGCGAGTCCTCAAGCTCATCCGGGCTGGTCTCGGGGCCTTCGCAGTCCAGTGCACCTGCTGTATCATCAGTACATCATTGCGCACACGTTGAGCGTCTATGCAAGAGCCAACCATCCAGCCTTCCATCCATCCACGCCGAGCTTACCGGAGGTGGTGGGCGACAGTGAGTGGCGCTTGCGCTTGGCCGCGGTGGGCGTCGGGGACGACGTAGCGTCCACGGTCTCCGCTGACTGCGCTTCGGTCTCCGCTGCTTGGGGCGGCTGCGTCTCGTCTGCGGCGATCTGCTCGAGCGCGAGCATGCCCGCGCGCTGCAGCAGGCGCGGCGAGCGCGCGTGCGGCGACTTGCAGCTGTCGGGCGGCGTGGCAGAGCACATCTCGAGCCCCACCATGCCGTTCACGGGAGAGGCCACCAGGACGTCGGCAGGAGCCATCGCGTCTGTGTGTGAGTGTGTGGGAATGAGGCGGGTCGGTCGGCAACGCCGAGATGGGACGCGAAACGACCCGGATTGAGAAAGTGGTCACCCCGGGGCTGAGTGGTGTGCGGGGTGTGGCGCTGTCTATCACCCCACTAATGCTCCAACAATCGACTCCAGTAGGTCTGCCAGGCACGGCGCCAAATGGGAAGTGACCGAGCCCAAACTCCCGCGCAAACGACAACAAAACGGGCGGCCTCTGATTGGCCCGTTCAAGCCTAGCCCGCGGCGTTTCGCATCGTCTTCGAGTTGTGTGCAGCACACGAAACTCTTGCCCGCATCAGTATGGCGGCCGAAGTCGGCGGCGGCGGAGCAACTGCATGCGGCACGCGAGGCGCTGGCGCGCGCCGACGCCGACGCGGCCTACTGGATGGAGCAGTACCGACGGTGCGTGGAGAACGCGCGCGCGTGGGTGGAGGCGGCGCGCGCCGACGAGCGAGACTCGGCGCCGCGCTACCGCCTGCTGCAGCAGACCCTGCAGGACACGGACTCGACTACGCCGTCCGCTGCGCCTCGGACGCGCGGCAGGAAATGACGGGCGCTCGACAATTCTACCTCGACCTACTGGCGGCGAGAAATGCAGCTGCAGACAAGGAGAGAGCGCCAGGTTTGGAGTCCGAGGTGGCGGCTTCAACGACCTCTTCAACGTCGCCTTCAGCTCTAGCACCACTCGCCTGGGGCTAGTGCTGCGCCATTCCGTGTACGGACAAATGTTGCAGTGCCTCCACTACAAATGCAGCCGCCGCTTGCGCCGGCGAATATACGGGAGCTGGACAATATTGGACGTATGCAAGATCCTCGAACTGGACGGTGCCTCGCGCGTGCAACGCTGGACTCTCACGCAGAGCGCTCGAATACCTGGTGAGTCGCGATCCAGACTGGGGAGGTGGCCAGGACGCTGCATACGTTGCCGTGAAGAGGAACCACCTGCACGTGCTGCAGTGGCTGAACGAACGGTACCCTGATCGGACGTCGTGGGGCAGCCACAAGGAGCGCTGTCTGCTGAACAAGGCGGCAGAACTCAGGCATCTTTCGGTTGTGCAATGGTTGCACGCCAACCGTAGGGAGAAATGCACCGCCTTCGCCATGAGCATTGCTGCCTCCAATGGAGACCTTGCGATGGAACAATGGCTGCACGAGAATCGACGTGAAGGGTGCACCAAGCAAGCTATGGACGATGCAGCGGAGAATGGGCATTTGGCAGTGGTGGGGTGGCTCCATTCTAACCGTCGAGAAGGATGCACAGAGGACGCCATGGACGATGCCGCTGCAAATGGCCATCTTGAAGTGGTGCGCTTCCTCCACGAAAACCGTCGCGAAGGATGTACCAGTGCGGCCATGAATATGGCTGCTGGTGGTGGTCACCTGGAGGTGGTGAAATGGCTGCGCGAGACCCGCAAAGAGGGTCAACCGGGCACAGCACTTCGCTTTGCCGCCGAAAAGGGTCAGCTCGCTGTAGTAGAGTGGCTTTACGATGTCGTGCGTGGACAACGCAGAAGTGAATCGTGCATCCGTGGTGCAGCTCGTGCAGCCATGGAAGCGGGTCACGCGGAGGTGGCGAGAGAACTCGAGCAGAAGCTGAAGCGACAGCGCCTTGAGTAGGCAGGCAACATTTGGGCCGTTAATATACTCGTATGACGGAGTTCGACAACGTAGTTAGCGCGTGGTCTTTTCCAATCTTTTCCAATCACCGCGGAGTCCGGGACACTCGAGCTTCACTCCACAATTCTCTCCAGCGTAGGATGATTTCAACCGCCCAAGAAGCCGAGCCAAGCCAAAAACTCCCCGTGCTAACTTCAGTGCTGCTTGTGACTCGAGCGTGCCTGCCGTCGCCTGACGAGGCAGTGCAGTCAGGTATCGCCGAGCACTTGAATGGGCTATTGGACACGTTTTCTTCTCGTTTTTCCGTGCGGCGAGCGTGCAGGAAGAAGAATTTATCGAGGCGTGCGTTGGAGTATCTCGCTGGTCGTGACCCGGACTGGGGCCACGGCAGCAAAATTGCTGAGAATGCCGTGGTGGACGGGCTTCTCTACGTTATCCAGTGGGTGGGCGAATGCTATCCTGACCGCACGGTTTGGAGCCCGCTATACGATGGGAGTTTGATGGATACTGCCGCCGAACTCGGTCGTCTTTCAATTCTCCAGTGGCTTCACGCTTGCCGCAGTGAAGGATGCACCACCGCTGCAATGGATCTTGCTGCTAAAGTCGGCAACCTTGAGATAGTCCAGTGGCTGCACCGATATCGCGGCGAAGGATGTACCAAGAAGGCCATGGATGAAGCTGCAGCTCATGGCCACCTTGCAATGGTGGAGTGGCTTCATTCAAACCGAGACGAGGGGTGCACCAAGAAAGCAATCTGCTCGGTGGCCACAAACGGTCACCTTGCGGTCGTGCGTTTCCTTCTCGAGAATCGTCGCGAAGTCTGCACCAGCGATGCAATGCGGTATGCTGCTGCGAATGGACACTTGGAGATCGTGCAGTGGCTGTACGTGAACCGTGGAGATTGCAACGTGGGGGTTGGGCTGCGGTACGCCGCGGAAAATGGTCACGTCGAGGTGGTCGAGTGGCTTTACTGGTACGTTCGAGAGCAACGCAGAGGGGACCTGTGTATTCGTGATACCATCCAGATCGCATTGAAAGCGGGGAAGAAGAAAGTGGCCAAGCTACTCGAGAGAAAGTTGAAGCAAGAAGCAAGCCGCACGAAGCCTCAGCAGCGAGAGAAGAAGCGCCGTCGCCGCTATTAGTCAAGACGATGGCCATACTCCAGGATTTATGCAGGTCAGCTGAAATTGGTTGCACCCTGGTGGAAACAGGCAGCGTAGTCGAGCAAGGATCTAACCAGAAACAATGGGAATTATTTCACCGGTCTCGTTTTGGTGTTCGTGAGGGTGGTATGCAATGGATCGAGCGTACGGGTCCGGTAGCCCCGTCAAAGGTTTCACGAAAAACTCGAAATACAGTACATGTACTCCTCCATCTCTCTTTTCTACAGTCGCTAACACCCTCCACCGATTCCGGCCAGCCATTCGACGCCACTGCTCGCCATCACGTTGTGTATCCGTAGACTGTATGTACGTGCGGTGCGTCGGCGAGGTACATGTTCAACAGCAAGATTCAACCACGATGTCTCAAAGCTGGAGCTTCAAAGACCTGTTCTTCCTAGTCCATGCACGATTGCCAGATGTCCTCACTCGAGGTGATTGGCTTGAACCCACCATTTCAAAGCCTCATCCTTATCTTCGTCGTCGGACGCAGCAAGCAACCAAGGCAGGGCTTGGCCAGTCGCCACCGCTCAAAGTCTGTTCGGTCTCAACGCGAATGGAACGAATCTCCACCGCCAGCCGCTGCGCAGGTAGTTCACTTCACCCTTCACCCGCTAGCGCACCGACCGAGGACAGCCCTCACGATGCGCTTCAGTACCTTCCTGCTCGTGGTGGCTTTCACCCTCGCAGCATGCTGCCAGGGGTTCACCAACGCTGATGACGCCTCCCGTAAGAACCTCGTGGTCGACGGGCATGCCCCAGCTCTCCGGAAGCTCGAAAACACTGCAGCAATCGATCCGGCGGGTGAAGCGCGCGAGGTTCCAGGTATCGCCAAGCTGAAGGCGCTTATGGCGGAGGTTCCTTTCCTCAACAAAATCAAGGCGATGGTAGGCAAGGGCGCCGACATTAAAGCGGTGAAGGCTGCTGCCGAGAAGAGCCCCGAGGTGAAGAATATCAAGGCTGCGACGGGGGGCGCCCCTATCAAGCTTGACGCGAAAGATGCCGCCAAGGTCGTGAAGGAGGTCAAGAAGCAGCGCCACCCTTCAATCTCCGTCACGCTCTCTGTGCTGAAAATGCTGGCTGTGGTGGGAGCCATCTCGTTGACTGTAGGCTTTCTCGTCTACATCAAGGAGAACTGGTTTTAGTGCGGATAGATATCTCTGTAGGACCGCTAGTTGGAGACTACATGCAAGCTCTCTATTGCTATTAAACCCTGTTTGAAGAAAAAAAACTTTACTTCTGACCCTAGAATGTTGGCACCTCAACAGTAGATGTGTTTCCCTTTCCGGACTGTACGGTACGGGATCTGAATTCTGGTGATACCGATCGACACTTGAATTTATGCCTGCGTGAGTTTCAAGACGGTCTTCGATCGTTCTCTATTCATTTAGTCCCAGTCTTCGTCTATCTTAATCGCAGCAACCTTTGCCTTGAGTTCCTCCGTTTCGGCGGAGTCGCCATGTTCAGTAGCAGCAGCGACAGCAAACTCCTCCGCCGACTGTTTTTCCTCGCTGTCCCCGTCTTGCTCCTGCGAGTCGGCACTGCCCTCTTCTTCGGTTTTCTCATCTTCGTCCCCATCGTCACTCCAGGCATCCGCAACAACTGGAGCGCGGCGTGGCTCAATGTGCTCCCATCCACGGTTGACAGGAACAGGAGGCCTGGCAGGGGCTGGAGCAGCTTGCGGAGGAGGAGTGCTGCCTCGCAGCGGTAGGAACTTCAGTCGGCTCGAGGCTTGAGCTGCCCGCGCCTGCTTGTTGAGATTGGCTATGTGCGCGGAAAGTGTCACGCCCGGGACACGCGCATCATCGCGCTTGAAAAATGACACTCGGCGACGCGGATCTTCTCCAAATGATTCGGACACCACTCCATAAATTGAGGCCAACTGATGCATCAAAGCACGCTGTACAAAGCAACAGAGCAATATAAGGTTGGCTAACGTTATCATCACACAAGCACCCTCAAGGATAAGTGCACATACCTCTTCGCCTGACATCACTCGCAAACTGACGCTGTGGCACGACGGCTCTTGCACGATTCGCTCCAAGCGACGTTCTACCACCACAAGGTAGCTCATGTTTGCTTTTCCCCACGCAATCAGGTCTTCCGGGTAGCTGGGGGTCTTCATCTCTTCCTCAAAGGCGGCAGTATCTCCGCCAGACAGACCCGGTCTATTAACTCCAAGTGCTTGGGCTAATCTTTGGTTGCGAACGATCTGGCCCCGAGGAGGAGTGGGTATACGTCGAGCTGGAGGTGGTCCTTGCGTGTGAGCACTTGATGGCCGAGCGATCGCTGGTCTCAATACCGGAGGAGGAGCGGGTCCACTAGGCGTCGGAAGTGCCGGGAATGCTTCCTCCAGCCGAACTGGTGGCGAGGGCGGATGGTCGCTGACGCCGTAGTTCCAGTGGTCAGGAACTCCATCCGCGTAACCCGCGTTAATAGGGCCACCGACGGGGTTTCCGCCATTGCGAGCGACCTGGAAATTAAACTGCAGTCGATTGTGCACACCATGGACAGAACTCATGTGCGCTTGATACTCAACGTCGTTGGGGAACACTACGAAACGCATTGCCAGGCTGCAGTAAAAGCACAAGGTTAGCATGAAACACGAGATAAACAACCAAGGTCTTGTAGCGTATGCACGTACCATCTTGAGTCTTCGCACAAGTGGTGCTCTCGACGGAAATGCGTTTCCAAGCTAGCACTGCAGCCAACAACAAAAAACTCGTTAGCTTCCTCAAAAACAACACCATGCACACCAGATCCCACTTACTAGTTGCGGAAGTACTCGTTCTCCACCTTGCAGATGTGGCACTTGAAGTGGTCGCGCTCCAGGTGCTCATAGAGCTCCTTGTCGCCGTAAAACCGCTTCCGACAGAACTGGCACATCGGGTGGAAGTCCTTGCCCGTGTTGGCATGCTTCTGTCCCGCCGGTCCACCTCGACTGCGTCCAATGTTGTGTCCCTTGAGCGCGCCTTTCGTGAACACCTCCTGCTCCTGGATGAAGAACGACTGGTGGGTCAAGCACAGCTCGCAGAACTCCACAGCGTGGTCGTGACGCAGGTGTTCCTTGAGTTGACCCAGTGAGTGTTTGACCTCTCTGCAGCGCTTCATGCGGCACTTGAACTCGCGGAGACTACGCAGCTCGGAATAGTGCGCTCTGCAGTCCACGAAGATCATGTCGGAGGGCTCGTCCAGCACGGACTCGGGCCCGGCCGCGTCGCCCCAGAGCTCGAAGCTCTCGAACGGGCGTGGCGCGCTGCTCACGACCACGCGCTCCAGCGGCTGCTTGCACATGGGGCAGTTGCGGTCGTCCATGATGAGCCGCATGCGCATCGAGCACCTGCTGCAGATGCCGTGGTGGTTGCACTCGCCCACGGCGTAGAACCGGATCGGGTCGGCGCACAGCAGACAGAACTCTGGCTCGTCGTCCTCCTCTTCGGCCGCTGAGGCCTGGGCAGCAGCAGCAGCATTGGCATTGGAGGCGTTCTTCTTGGCCGGCCTCTTCTTCCTCTTGGGCTTGGCGGCCGGCGCCTTGTCCTGAGCGTCTGCTGCGGCCTCCGCGTCGTTGTGAATCGCGTTCTGCTCTGCCGGAGGCGCTGCGTCTTTCTTCTTGCGTGGCCTGGGACGGTGGCGCCTCTTGCGCTGGCCTGCGTCGTCCTCGCCGCCATTGACTGGCGCGGAGGCGCGGCGGCGCACCGAGCTGGGCACCATTGTGAAGGCCGGCGTGAGCGCCGAGAGCGTCGAGGTGGCGGCGACGCTGCTGGCGGCTGCAGAGCTGCTGGCCACGCTTGTCATGGGGACACAAACGTCCTCTGCGTGCAGATAGCGGTGGAGCAGGGAACGGAGCTGCTGAGCACTTCGCTGGTTGGTTGGGAATCCCAACTTGGGATATGAAGCGGATGGATGCATCTATTTGCCCCTCAATGCGCAACTGCGGTCCCTGAAGTTGCAATGAGACCAGCACTCTCTTGTCAGACTTGCGAAAGAGTGACATCACCGGAAAGAAGGTGCAAGGAAAGTTCGGTGTATCTGGCGGGTAACCCGTATGTACGGTTATGGTGTAACCGGGTACATCGTGGCTACCCACTGGTTACGCTCATGTGCGATACACCATGGATTACGAATCGCCGCGTCAGACCCCCTTCGATACGCCGTCGCTGACCTGCGTCGCCACCTTCGTGCTGCGCTGCTGCTCACTCTGCGACTGCGACCTCGACGCTCAAGACACACAGAAAGCTCAGCATGGCCATCAAGCAGCTGGAGACGGTGCTGCGACTGCAGGCGACGGTGGTGGAGGGCTTCGGCCGCGGCGGTAAGCAGCTGGGCTGCCCCACGGCCAACCTCTCGAGCAAGGACCTGGGCGACCTGCTGGAGCAGCTTCCCTCGGGCATCTACTGTGGCTGGGCCACGGTGGACGGGAAGGGCCCGTACAAGGCCGTCGCCAGCATTGGCTGGAACCCCTACTTCAAGAACAAGGTGCGCTTGTGTGCTGACATGCAGGACGGAGCTGGGACTGTGGAGGACAAAGGGAATGTTGCTGACATGTTGCTACTTTCTTCGCTGGTTTTGGCTGATTTCCCGTATTGCAGGAGAAGACGGTGGAGCCCCACCTACTGCACAAGTTCGAGAAGGACTTCTACGGCGCGCAGCTCAAGTTCCTCATCTCGGGCTACATCCGGCCGGAGATGAACTTCTCGTCGCTCGAGGCGCTGATTAAGGCGATCCAGGACGACATCGCGCAGTCGGAGGAGTGGCTTGACACGACCGAGGGCAAGTCCTGGTCGCAGGACGCGCTGTTCCAGTAGGTTAGAAGGGAGACGAAGACGATGGGGATGAATAGGTATTGATTGTTTGTATTCAGCGGGCATGATTAAGGCGCCCGATCGATAGATAGCTGTAGTGTCTGCAAGGTAATAGGACTGTACTTTTGCGGGCATTTAACGGACGCATGCGAGGCCAGCGACAGCGGCAGGTTCTTCTATTCTTTACTCTTTACCCATGACAATACAGACGACACCGAGGACCATGAGTAGGATGCTGGGGATTTTCTTTCGCAGATTCCGCTCCCGGAACAGGAACCGCCCCATGAGCACACTCCATATGCAGCCTGACCGCTTGATGGCGATCACGTACGAGACCTCCAGGTGCTGCGTCGCCACGAGGTTAATGTAGTACGCCACGACGCTCGTGACGCCCGCAAGGATGACGAACTTCCACGGGACTTTTACCTCCTGTCCGATCGGCAGGTAGAGCTCCTCGCCTCCCACTCGCATCTTCTGCAAGATGAAGCTGCCGCTGGCCACGATCACTTGAATGGTCGCACCGTACACCAGCGGCGTCGAGTTCTGCACGCCGATCTTGTCGAACACGTTGGAGATGCTCCACAAGAAGGCCACCAGAATCGTGTACATGGACCCTTTGCTAGCGTTGGACGAGTCCATGAGCAGATCCTTGCTGGCGTGTTGGGCCTGGGCGCCTTGCAGCCAGAAACCGCCCATGACGGCGATGGAGATGCCCAGCACGCCCGAGACCGTCGGCACTTCGCCCAGCACGAGGAACGCCACGATCACCAGGAAAGCCGGCGTGAACGACAGGAACGGCACCGTCGCCGACAGCGTCGAGATCTGGATGGCCCGGTTGTACAGGTAGCTCGTGATGATGTTGATGCAGCCGCTGATGCACACGGACGTCCAGAAGAGGTGGTTGAGCGGCGGCAGTCGGCCGCCAGTGTCCACGAGCGCCCACAGCACGAAAAGCGGCGCTTGGATGAGTCCGCGCATCGCGACGACCATGAACGGGTCCATGAACTTGGTCAGGTACTTGCGCAGCGGGTCGCACAGCGCGTTGACCACCGAGTTGATCACGGCGATGGAGACGCCGTACGACATGATCATGGCGGCGGCGAGTTCGAGCGGGTGGGGGCTGCAAGAAGCGGAGTGCTACGGCTAGGAGAGCTGCTGCTACTGACGCTGGTGTACCGATACGCGGTGTGAAGGAAGGCGGCTCCAGCCTGCCGAGCGCGACGCGTAGAGGCAACTGGTGCGCCGGAAGCCGAGCCTTTGCCGTCTGCGTCAGCCCGATCAGAGACCGGAGAGAGTCAGGACGGCTTTCGACCAATGAGAGGCCGACTAAACTGCTGACAGGCGCGGCATACTGAAAACAAGAGAAAATTATATCGAGCCCTACCCCATATGGATACAGCGTTGCACTCGTGTGGCGATCTTCAGCAGTCGCTTCAAGCGACTCGCTTGACGTCCACTTGGACAATCGTATCATGGAGGCGACGCAGCTCTCTCGGGGCGAGGTCAAGCGGCGGCTGGTGCGCGTGTGCAGGGAGCTGGAGGCGCTCGTGGCCGGCAGCTACGGCCCGCTGGGCAGGGCGCAGCTCGTGCAGGCCAACGCGCAGTGCCCCGACGCGCTCACCGCCACGTCCGTGGCCGAGCGGTACTTCGCCAGCGTCGAGTAAGTAGCGGGACTCGAATATTTTGATCCGGGTGCAGCGGCGAAGAGCGTTGCCTTGGTATTGCTGGCGTTAGTGCTGGCAATGGGTGGCTCGCCCAACAGAAGGAGAGCTAAGTGTGGGTTGTGTGCTGTGCAGCATTGGGGACTGTCCGATCGCCAACGCATACTTCCACATACTCAAGAGCAAGGTGCTGCACAATGCATTGATACTGAAGGCGCTGAGTAGATTTGAACTGACAAGGTGCACCTTTCCTGTGCGATTCTGGTGGTGCAGATCCGAAACCACGCCGATGGAGGGCTCTTCTTCGCGGGTTTGAGTGCGAGGTGAGGTGTGTGTCGGCAGAAGGAATTGCGTGTTGTTCGTATACTGAATGGTGTTGCTGGCAGGCTGCAGCTTGAGATCCAGGAGGGGGGTCTGGTAGAGATTCCGCATCGCGTCGTAAGTAGAGGTGGGCTCGGGATTTCGTAGCTGTCGAGAAAAAGGTGGTGCACCCCGCAAAGCTTACGCCTTTGTCCCTTAAACTTCAGGTCTGCAATTGGTGCTCGACTGGATTCTTGAGTATCTCGACGACGAGCGTTGTCCTGTGCGCGTAGCGGTGACTTGGAGCTCGGAGACTGCGCTTTCCGCAGTAATTCGCGGTATCGTTTCGTCCAAGTCCACGACGGGACTGGATGAGGCCACCACAGACGCGGCGGTAATTCCACTTATCATCCAGGCGTTCGTGGGCGTTTTCACTTTTGTTGTCGAAAATCCTGGTGAATCTGTTCCGGTGCAGCTCCTCTTTGCCTCCGGTCAAAAGTCAATCGCGAAGTCTCAGCTGTGGAAGCAAACGGTTCTTCTTGATCTCCCATGGCCGTCTCGAGGGAGGCGCGGAAACGCCAAACGCAGCTCGTTGTCTCCACCCATTTGCGACGCACGGGTTGCTTTGTTCAACATCACTATCGAGCCTCTAGCAGAGTTCGACGAGGAAGATACCAGCACAAGCAGGAGCCATTCGGGCTCGTTGAATAACTTTCGACTCAAAGCGCTTCGACAAGTTGGCGACAGACTGGAGCGGCTCGGCGCCACTGCGGTGCTCTCGCAGAAAATCATTCCGAAGTATCTGCAAACATACTTGGCTGCCAAGGGTATCTTCACACTCGATCGACTGTCCGCGACGTACATCCGTAAGTTGGTGGGCGTGTGACGCGAAAGTGAACTGAGTGCTCTTTGCTTAGATCTAACCGAGTGTTTGCTCTACTGCTTTGTCAGGAGGCGTGCAAATGCTGAGTGGGGCCACGATTCTCAGCGACTGGAGAATCGATGACAGCATTATCAGCAGCGCTCTCGGATTTCTATCCCTCGTCACGACGCAAACCATCGGAAGCAAACAGTACATTCGACTTCACCGAGAGTTTCCAGCGAGTCCGGCGTCATCCTCCTCGAACGGCGTAAATGGGCACCCAGTGACAACCATCGCAATTGCCGCGCCGGACCGCTTCGCGTACGATGAGCTTTCCCACGTGATTACCACATCTCTCAAAACGCTGGCAGGTTTGATCGACAATCCTTACGTGGTGGCTGGCGGTGGGTGTTTGGAGATCCACCTTGCCGCTTTGCTGCGGCAGCGAGCGGGGCAGCTACGGACTCCGCCAGGCGCCAAGATCGATAAGCAAACAGCACGAATGCTGCACCAGTTGTGTCAGACCGTCACCACTTTTGCCGGTTGTCTCGAGAATGTGGCTGGACTTTTATGCGGGAGCCATGCCACTGCAACTGACCGCGCAGCCATGATCGAGCAGGTCTCCGAGTCAAACCACGAATCGCTCGAGTCCAATAGGGGCGACGTATACCAAAAACAAATTGAGCAGTTCTTTGGCTGGGATCCGAGAGCGCGCACGGTGGTGCCAGTGTTGTCGTGCGTGTTGCAGCAAGAGGATCCAGCAAACAGCGACGAGAAAATAATTGTAGATGCCCGCATCCTAGACGTCTTGGAAGCCAAGAAAGATGCCATCGTGCTCGCCATCGAAAGTGTGTCCTCACTAGCCCGCATCGCATCGGTCGTCCAAGTCCCTTAGCAGCAAGAAAAAAAAACACACACAGCGCCGGTAAAGATCATTCACCCTATCTATTACTTGCCTCCATCACATTAGTAGAACTGCTGGGCGTCGTCGTATCCACACAGGTCTCCACTGGCAAGGAACGGAATCAACAGCGGGTCATGCGCCTCGCCCTCCTCCAGTCCGTACCGCGGCAGCAAATACGACGTCATGACGGGCGTGTACTTCTCGGGCAGTCGGAAGCCCTGGCACACCACGAAGGCCTCGTTACTCTGCGCGCGACTGCTCATGGGCTTGGAGCAGGACACGCTCTCGAAGAAAACACTGAGCTGCGTCGCCAGCAGATCGTACTGCTCGCAGCGGAAGATCTTGGCCACGAATGAGCCGCCCTCCTCCAGCACGTGCGTGGTGATGTTGAGCGCCGCCGCGAGCAGCTCCGCCTGCACGAACTCGTCGATGTCGTGCACGCCCGTGACGTCGGGCGCGCCGTCACTCACTAACACCTGCGCCTTGGCGCCGTGGAAGTGGCCGATGATCTGCTCGGCCGTGCGCTTGGACGTGATGTCGCCCTGCAGCAGCTGCACGCCGGCGATCGGCGCCATCTCCTGCAGGTCCACGGACACGACGCGCACGTCGCCGCTGTCTGCGCTCTGCACGTTGCTGGCGTCGTACAGCTTGCGACTCAGTACCTGGCTCCAGCTGCCGGGCGCCGCGCACAGGTCCACGGCGCGCTGCACGTGGCGCAGGAAGTCGAACTGCTCGTCCAACTGCAGCAGCTTGAAGGCCGAGCGCGCGCGGAAGCCCACCTCCTTGGCCTTGCGGTAATAAATATCCTGCGGATGGATGGGTCATTCATTAAGACGTGCGTGAGCATAGGGACAGCATGGACGACACCACGAGAGGGCACGCACTCGGTTCGCTTCGGTGGACTTGGTCATCTTGGGAATGTCTGGTTGGGGTCGAAACCTGATATTTCGGCGTGATATTCCCGTGTAAAGAGGTGCAAATGTCGCTTTCTCTTTTTTATAGGGAACAGGAAAAATCAAGACAAGAACGACGGCACACGCCCAAGTCAGAAACAGAGTAGAGACCGCACCGAGACGGGAAGCACGCGGTCAATGCGCGCGCAGGACTCGTCGACGGGCATCGGCTTCGGCATGACCATGGCGGGCGGCCCCGGAGGCGCCTCCGCCGTGCCGGACGCGCAGTTCGAGTCGGCCCCGGACTGCTTCGTGTGCGACAAGAAGTTCCACGCCTTCCGACGCAAGCATCGGTGCCGAGTGAGTTCTTCTTCTTCTTCTTTTCTCTCTCTAACCGGGTTACGGTAGTGTTAACCACGACTCGTCTGATATTCTCTAACCTCTTTTCATTTGCGGCAGGCTTGTGGCAACGCGGTGTGCGGTAGCTGCTCGCGGACCCATAAAATCATGCCCAGTTCGACCATAATGCGCTACAATAACGAGCCCGTGCGGGTGTGCGACCGTTGCATCCGAGATCAAAACCAGATGATGCTCGAGCGCCGACGTGCTGAGGACGTGGAGCGTGCGCGTGCCCGCCAAGTGGCGGCGCTGGAGGAGGAGGAGCGTCAACGCGAGGCGAAGCGCACCCAGCGGGAACGCGAAGTGGCGGAAGCTCAGGCTCGGCGGGAGATGAGGCTGCGCGCAATCGAGGAGAAGCACCTGGGCCCTCGCCCGGATCTACGCACCCTCCGGTCCAGATGCTCGAGGAGCCTGGACGACTGTGCTCGAGATGCGCCGACCCAATCGCTCTACTCGAAGGAGTTGAGCTCATTCCTCGAAGATGCAGAGAAAAGATCCGTTGCTTTGGTGGCGAAGCCCTACGCTGCTGGCGACATTTTTGAAGACAAGGACGGCTTGGACGGGGGAGAAACGGTGGAGACGACCGTGGTGCAGGAGGCGGAGGAGTGCGCGATTTGTCTCGAGACGATGGATGTCGGGGACGCCATTTACACTACTGCGTGCGGGCACAGTTTCCACTGGAGCTGTCTGAAGGAAATCCAGAAATCCGATTCCAGCAACTACGACAAGTGCCCGTCGTGCCGCGCTACCATGACGGAAATGCAGGTCAAGAAGCAGTGTGATCACCCGCGCGTTCGGCTTGGGCATCGATTTTGCCGCGACTGCGGTGCTGCAGTCACGGAGAGGGACGCAAAACCCCGAGGCGATGAGTCGAACGCTGCAGCAGGCGGAATGCGGATGTCGACTCCGTCAGGAGGCCCCGACTTGAATCAGCCAGTTTCGTACCGTGCCAGCTCGCACGGAGCGCTCGTGCGTTGCCCGCAATGTCATATCCAAATGCGTGTGCTACCGCACATGTATAACATGTAAGTCTCCTATCTGTTGGTGCGAGCATATGGATCTTGCAAGTATTAACCCGTTGTTCTCGTACTTATCTCGTGTCTGCAGGCGCGTGGCGTGTCCGTCAGGGCACATGTTCCTGGTTCAGGTTGCTGGCCAAGCTGGAGGTGGTGCCGCTGGACGCGGTGGCTACGGCTTTGGAGCGCGTGGCGGTTTGGGCGGCGCACGGATGCCCTCGCGTGGTATGAGCATGGGCTACCCCGGTTCGTACTACCGCTCCACAAACGCCTACTCCGAGCTGTAGTAACTTAAGATCGAAGAACTTCAAGACCCCAAAAAATGTGCGAGCAACGTGAAGCGAAGGTAGCTCTCAGCTCGGCGCGAGCTCTACGAGGAGACGGATAGGTCCTCCATGAACGCATTTTACACTACTTTACTACGAGCACTAACGGACAACAGGACTCACGGATTCTTTGTCTCTGCGCCGCACATGTTAGAGAGGAAAGGACTCCTGACGGCGAAATCAACAGTTAACATGCGCCTTTATTGTGAATATCATCAATGGTTTTGCTGCGAATACGACAAGTTGGCAATCTAGACCACGATGACCTTTGCCACTTGCGATTTGGCCTCGCACGACGCGGTCGTTGTTGGAGTAGAACCAATCATCGTTGGTGCGAGCATTCACGATGTGCGTTTGCGGTTTTACTTTGGGGGCAGGGATGTCGTCTCCCTGGCCCAGTCTTGGTCGACAGTGGCGATGGCCTGAACGTACTATGTTCCCGCAGCCGCAAACTCGACGCTTGCAGAGAACAACCCCTTGTTGTTCTTCTTCATCTTCAAGCCCAGATCCTCGTGATACCATCGCGTGACACCACTTTGAGCTTGAGTGAGCGTAGCATCAGAGGCATCATCGGACCAAATCTTCAATTGCGTGCTGTCCACCGTGATGGCTCCTGCAACTTCCCATTCGAACGCTGCTGTTTTGTTGGCGGTGGCATTGTGCGGATGTTCTTTCCACAGCAAGTACGGCTGCACTAGATCGATGTACAACAGCGACAAGCGGACATTACGCGGAATGTGGCCGACCATTTCCGAAGCTGGTAAATAGTCGCTCAAGGCTTCGTCCGACAACGTGGAGCTGTCACCCAAACTAATAGCGTTCAGCTGCTTGCTGTCGCTCGTCTCGATCAGAACGTTGAATGCTCGGTGGGTGGCATTGTTGTACGTGGTTTTAGTGCTTGGATACCCGCCGTAACTCGTCGGATTACACGCTCGAATGGGTTTCGGTGCTGTGAACTCGTTTTCCCAAGACGCCGCGTAGCCCCAATCTTCCATACCACCGTTCACCGCATACACGACGTCGTTCATGGTGCCGTCTGGGTAGTATTCGCCGTTCTCTTCAAACTTGCCTCCGAATCGAGACATAATGCGAGCGAGCTGCTGCTGGCTGCGATCGTCGGGGCTTTTCTGACTTTTGCCAGACTCCAGGACGTGGTTCTTGCCGCCCCATTCGTAGGTGATGCAGTGTGTACCCGCGTGGAAAGTGATGCCAAGCTGGAACAAATGGTCGCGCCACAGCTCGTTTAGCCCTCGAGCCGCCATCGTCACCATGCACTCTTCACCTTCGTCAAGGTTGTACGGGAAGTCCCGATTCGGGTCAACGTCGAGTTCCTTGCGAACATTGTGGTTGTAGCCGTACGCGTTGGCGGTAGGAACGATCACGATCGTGCGGGTCTTGACAAGATGCTTCAGCCACGGGCTGCCGTCAGCTCTGCTGGCATGCGAAAGCAACAGCTCTGCCAGCGCGACGACTGCCTGCGGACCCACGCGCTCATTGCCGTGCACAGCACCACTGAAAATCAACTCGGGACGCTCCGGCTCAGGCAGCGTCGCCTCGTCCGTGATCTTGATCACATATTGCTCACAGGGCACGGTCTTGTTGGCTCGAGTGCACTGCAGCTCCTTGCGCTTGGGCAGGCCGTACTTGTCTTGCACGCTGAAGACCTCGGCGTAGTCCGGCTACTTGGCTTCGAGCTCCAGAAGATAGTCGACGATCTCGCCGTAGGAGCGCTCCTTGTATGCAGTGACGGCCGCCCAGGCGGGGTATTTGCTCGCGATGCAGGAGACCACGAAGCCGAGGAAGAGCAGCACCTTCATCTTGGTCAAACTGACACAACAGACGCAAAATCCCAAGTGGTGACCGAAGGACGACGCCGCCTTTGTTGGCAAGAGTACCGGCTCATTCTCTTCGAGATCGTGTGAAGCTCGCTCTGAACAGCCAGAGTCCCATCCTGGTGCGGGACGGGCTTATTATCACGTTTTTTTGGTGGTTCGTCAAGGACGCAGAAAAAAAGGATGTTTGTCGAGTCTTTACAGCAGAGAGGCGGTTCAGCAAGGTGAAAAAGCACGGGAGTGTGTGGAGCGTAAAGCCAAGTTGGGCAGGTACTACAGACAACGACGGATAAATACGGCAACGCAAAACCCGGCACACATATGTTGTACTTTTTACAATAAGTAATTCAGATAGCCAATCATCTTCGAGATTTACACTTGACATTTGTAATCCATATGGTTTTAAGTACTTTCTCTAAATTTGTGTGTACTTTATGCTCTGTTACGTGTATTTTATGTCATTGCCTTGTACAATCTCTATCGTTCCCGACAGAGAATTCTGGTACATTTACTATGGAGGATGCCATTCAGTGGTGCCGGATTTATCCGTCGTTGTCTGTAATACGATTGATAGGTATAACCTTGGACCGTTGAAATTTAAACGACAGCTTCGGCCGATGAGAGCCCAGTTACATCTACACCGTGCTTGTATGCTTCGTGGGTGCATTCAGCAAGCTCTTGGCACTCAAGTCTCAGAGTTTTCTTGAGTTTCGGGAACTGGACTGCCCAGTAGTAGACACCGTCGTTATCACCCCACGACACAACTGTTCCACAGAAGCTCTCGCGTTTGGACACTCCAGTCTTGGTCCTGATGTCGAAATCCCGCATGACGTGCCAATGAAGTGGGTAGATGGGCTGCTTTAGATACCGCTTGATCAATACATCGACGGAGAACTGGTGCTCGTCATTGCTTTTAGCAAGGCAGCTTTTTGTCTTCCTTTGACCTCCACTTGCTTTTCGCGTTGGTAGCGCAGTGAGAAATCTGCTCACGTCGATTTCCTTTTGCAGAACCTTAACCGCGAGAACATGAGAGCACTGCCACCCGGTCTGGGCAAACATTGCACAATCGCACGCGTACTTGCGTCGGACAGCCTGAATCTGCATCAAAACGTCAATTGAACGAGTTGACATGTCATCATTCTAGCAAATTCGCACCGCTTCAACCGAAACACGCGCGGATGGGACAAAGTTCGTGATAGTTTCCTGATGCAGTAGCTTCACGTGGTGGATAGAGAGGCAGTAAAGCTCCACATTTCGAACGGAAATGTCTTTGGGTAGCTTGCCGGTCAGCGTGTCCAGGTACCTGTACAAACCCAATACTAGTAGTTAGTTGTCTGATATCACCAGGACGGTGAATTGCTCCACTCACCGCTGCGCTCTGCTTCCGTTGATACTTGCACTGTTGATATTCGTGCTGGCGATGACGAACTTAGTCGCGTTGAACAGCACACCAAACAAAACACGAGAGCGAGGGGCTTTGAGCAGGTAGTAGTTCTTCTTGTTGTCCAGTAATCGCTTAGCATTAGCGACAGCCTCGCTGCACAAAGGACCTGTAAGCGTTATCAGTTGCAAATATGTTAGTATCCAATGACAGTTAGCAAATATTGCAATGAATGGCAAACCTTCACTAAAGTGGAACAGATCTCGTCGAAGCGGTTGGGAGGCTTCGTGAAACAATATGCTTGGGATGCCGTCGTTCAAATCAACAGCCGTGCTGGAAAGCAGGTCTTGATGGTCTTGTGGTGGGACTCGAGTGCATTCTAAGACGGAGTAACGCCGAGAATTGCTGCCTGGTAGTACCAAAACATCCAAGTGGGGCCTAAATACCTGTCGTCGAACCAGCTCGCGTATTCCTTATTCCCGTGCTCACGCCAATGCGCCAGGAAAAGCTTTGCCAACACCAAGAACTGGTGTTCCGAGCGAGCCTTACTCATGTGCTTGATACTGATCGCCACACTGGCCTCGTAGAAATCCTTTTCAGCTAACAGACGAAATTTATCGGCCGCACCGCACTTTCGAGCCAAATGGGGATAGCAGTTTAACAGCCGAATGGAGGGCCAGACTTCTCGATATGCACTAGCGATGAACTGACTGCGATCTAGGCTGCCAAACGACAACACTAGGTTAATCTCGAAAATGCGAGATGCAAACGACCTTACCACCTTAAACATCGTAGCGTATGTTACGTGATGCTCGGTGCGTACGAACATGTACGCCCATGGCACAAAGGTCTTGGAGTAGCGCTTCTTCTCGTATTGGGTGGTGTACGTGCCAAAGTCCACAAGAGTCCAGCCGCCTAATAACAAAGCACTCCGTTATTAACCAAATAAACCGATCGAGTACTAGGATGCCTTACCAAAATGCAAGCGATACGTTCCGTCCGTGACACCGAGGATTCCGTCCTCATTCTGGCCGTTATATGCCTTTAACACGTTCCAGAAGATGGCGCGTGACGTCAGTATGAGACCGCAGCAATCCGCTTTTTCCCGTCATCCAGAGTTACTTCGTGCGAGATCAAGCACCAACTTTCCGTGCTTGAGATCTTTGTCCATAGAGTCGAACACTGCGAAATCATGCTGCCAATCGAATGGAGCATTACATGCGCTGCTTGAACCGCGCAGAAAGAACTCTGCACAGGTGTACTGAAGTCCACTCTAGCAACCCCGCAACATTTTTAATTTCCCAGCCACCTACCAACACACAAATGTATTAAGTTCACATACAGCTTACAGTTACAAACGCATTGATGTTGATGTTCACCTGCACGCCGCTTCATGAGTGTTGCTTTCCTGTTTTCTAGCTGTGCTTCACCAGGAACAAACCCGTAGCGTCTAGGTACGTCGATATACCGGTCGAGAAGTATTTTCCTGCACTTCTCGGGGCCACAGCCCAGCAAAATGTCGTCCACCTCCCGAAGAAAAAAGCCAGGGATCCCTCGCTTCTTCGCAGCGGTAACAGCTCCCATGTGCATACCTGCGTCTTGAAGCCAACATGTCAGCACGTCCTCGTCCCTTGACGGCGCCAAACGAACCCGCTTTTCACAGTTTTCATGCGAAATGCAGCGATAGACGCTTCTACCATCCATCCTATCACCTCGTTTGCCATAATTGTAGGCAAATGCGTACAGATATCCATCGTAGCCATCGATTCCGAGTCTCGCCGCCTCTGTCGTCTCAAACTCCACTCGATCAACAAACACCAGCTTTTCGTTCAGGATAGGCTCTTCTAAGTCGTCTTCAGACGACTCGAACTCTACCGTCCAACCGCTTGCTTGATCTTCGCCAAGGTCCGATGACGACGAAGCTTGATCGGAAGACGTCGTAGCTGGGCTAGCCGCAGATACTACCAGCGGCGCCGGTTCTTGCTCTGGTAGCGTAATAGACACGTCCAGTGAAGCTAGTGACGGCGGAACTGGCATGGCACTTGGCAGAGGAGGGACAGCTAGACATCGAGGGCTTGGAGGAGATCGCGAAGCCAAAGTTGGCGGCTGAACAGGTGATGCTGCCAGAGCGTTCGCTTCGGTCGTAGCTGCTCTTTCCAGCACAACATCCTTCCATGTTCGGCCGCCAACGGCGGCAGCAGGTTCGAGGGCACATGGGACGCGTCTGGGGCTCTTAGGTGAGCACAGCGGCGTGGGAATCATCACAGCTTGTGGTGACGTTGGCGGTGATGTGTCTGCGAGTACGTTTCAAAGTACAGCCTCGGCAGCCATCAGCTTGGCTTAGTGACCTACCGATTTACCATCTCACTTGGTGTCCCGCCGTTCCCATGAACGTCCTTGCTAAGTCACTGTGTACAAATCACCTCGATGAACCACCGCGTTTGCCTTGCTCAAAAGCCCCACCCTCCTGGTGCCGCTCATTTATCGTCCATCAGAGCCACCACGGAAGGACAACAATGACGGCGCAAAACCCTCTCGTGAATTGACTCACCCGGCTCAACGAGGCCGATAGTCGAGCACAATCTGAGTCAAGCTGGAAACACCGACAGGAACACCGTACACGCCAATGTCCTTCTCTGTCCTCCAGAACGCATTTACGCCAATTCCTGCGTCGTGTTCCGAAAAATGTCACGTGCCAGAGTGATGGTCATTGAAGTTGCCCTTATTCCGCACTCTCAGTGTCGAAGTTGCAGCGCAAGCGTCGAGATCCAAGGCAGAAAGCATGCAGGTTCTGTCCGAGACAGGCCGAACGATGCGCGGGGGCACCGTGCGGCCACCGCTTGCGCAGCTGGAGACCATCCTGCACGAGCTGTCGCGCTGCCAAGAGCGCAAGAGCAAGCAGAGCACCGAGAGCGCGTCCGCGAACGCGAGGCAGAAGCTTCTGAACCAGCAGCTGAAGCAGGGTGCAGGGAGTTGTCTCCGGTGTGCGATGACCGTAGTGTGTGGTTGGCTGACTGAGCTTCGTTCCGAGCAGCGCAAGAGGAGCTGGCAGCTGCACAGGCGAGCAAGGCCAAGCTATGTGAGGAGATCGGGGCGCTGAAGCAGACCAAGGAGCACCAGGCCAAGCAGCTGGACAAGTACAGGCTCGACTTACAGGCTTCTCGCGAGTCGCAGAAGGTGATGACGAAGAAGATGGAGGCGCTGCAAGAGTCGACATGGACGACGAAGCAGCAGTACATCCGGTGCGTTTGCTCGGGCACTCAGTAGATGCACTTTCCGCGAGTGAGGTCTGACCACGTTGTGCTGTGCTGCTATCTTAGATCTCTCGCCTCCCGCATCAAGACAAGTGCTCTCGTTCTCCAGCAGCTGAACGGGACGATCGGAACGGCGATTAGTATTCGGCTTGCTGAAGATGTCAATGGATGCGAGCACCTTAAACCAAACAAGCGCAAACGGACCCAAGGAGAACGAGAGCAAGCCCCGAGTGAAAACAACAGCAAGGTAGTGTTGAATGCATGCGCCTCATCACGCGTTGTTCTCACCTTTGTGTCAGCCGGAGCACACAGAGCGCCCTGCAGAACGCAAAAATCAACCTGGACAAGAAGAGCCCCCTGCATCCCTTGCAATGCTTGCCACTGTTTCTGCGTTGTCACCCAAGCACACCGTGCCTTCAACGATGGACCGCCCTGAGCCTCCGACTAGCAAGACCTGCGACACCAATCAATGCGAGCACCAAGCGGAAGATCAAACTCAGGATAAACGAACCATCAAGGAGCTGCAGATGCAGATTGCGAACCTCAAGTCGGAATATTCGACGCTGAGCGGTGCGTTGATGCCTCGAAGCTGCTTGAACGACTCTTGCTAACAGCTTCTGTGCTGTAAAGACAAAATTAAGGTCCTTGTTCGCGATCACAACGAAGCTGTCGCTGATAGCAAGCAATCCGCGCAAGACAGCGAGGCGAAGCAGGCTAAAATCGACGAGCTGACGGAACTTCTCGAGATTTCGCGATCGAAGCCACATGACGACGCTCCTATCGATGAAAGCGTCTCGAAGAATGAAGACAAGTCGGAGCTTGAAGGGCGCCTGAAAATGCTGGAGGTATGGAGTTGATAGTCTGTGATGCTGCTACAGTTTGATTAACCATGGGGCTTACTGGCTGCAGGAGAACTTGGCGCAAATGAACGGATACGCGGATCAGCTGGAAATGGTCATTGCTCAATGCCCCTCGTGCACCGTCAAGCTCCAAAACGAAAGCACCCAAGATTCAATTACCAACAGAGCCGAGTAGGAATCACACAAGAGAAGGAAAGCTTCATATTCCCACATAAGTACCAGTTCATAGCCCACTGGATCTAAAGCAAAGGAGCTTGGTTGTGGGCAAGGTTGTAGAACTTGGTTCCTTCCTGGTTGAGCTCGTCAAAAGTGCCCGTCTCCGCGATGACACCCTCCTCTAGCAGAATGATGCGGTTCGCGTGCTTGATGGTGTTCAACCGATGAGCAATAATGAACACAGTCCTGTTTTCGGCCGCTGACTGGAGAGCACGCCGAATCATGTCCTCGCTGCGACCGTCAAGCGAACTGGTAGCTTCGTCGAAGAGAAGAATGTTGGTTTGCTTGTACAGTGCACGGGCAATGGCAATGCGCTGCTTCTGACCACCGGAAAGTTCCACACCCTTCTCACCAACGAACGTGTCGTACTGGTTCGGCAACTCCATGATAAAGTCGTGCGCGTGCGCTTCCTTGGCAGCAGCGATAAGCTGCTCCTTGTTGTGCACCTCAGCACCGTACATGATGTTCTCAGCAATAGTGGAGGCAAAAAGCGATGGCTCCTACAAGAAGAAATGCAAAAACGTCAATCCCTAGCTAAAGCAAAACTGCCAGAAGATCCATAAAAAAACGAACCTGGTTGACAACACCAATCTGCTTGCGGAGCCACGAAGCCTTCAGCGTAGCAATGTCAACACCGTCCAGGGTCACCGAGCCGCTCGTAGGCTTGATGATCTTCGACATAAGCGACGCGATCGTGGTCTTGCCAGCGCCGCTCTTGCCGACGATAGCCACCACCTCACCAGGGTTGATCTCCATGTTCAAGCGGTCCAGCACAAGGATGTCCGGGCGCGACGGGTACGCGAACGAGACGTTGGTGAAGCGCACTTGGCCCTTCACAGTGGCCAGCGTTCCCTCGCCGTCCGCTGCAGGCGGCAGCGACAGCAAGTCGAACAGCGCCTGCGATGACATGCGGGTCTTCTTCATCTCGCTCAGGCACGACGACACGCCCGAGAAGCCAAGGCCCATGAAGCCACTGTACAGCGCGAACGACGTGAGCGTTCCAATCGTAAGCTCTCCCGATCCCACCAGCGAACCTCCAAAGTACAGCACCGAGAAGAGCGAGCAGTTGATCGAGAGCGACAGACCGCCCATGAACACTCCGCGAGCACGCTTGGCCCGCTTGGCGTTCGCCAAGATGCCCTTGTTGATCTTCTCAAAGTGGTCGAGCTCGTCCTGCTCCGCCGAGAACAACTTGACCGTGAAGATGTTGTTCAGCCGCTCCTCGGCAACGCCCGTCATGTCCGCCACCGAGTTCTGGTGTGTCTTAGCCAAACGACTCGAGAACTTGCTGAAGAGCATCGCGCCCGTGCCCACCAGCGGCAGGATCGTCAGCGACACCAGCGTGAGCTTGGGCGAGATAGTCAGCAGCATGCAGGAGGCGCCCACGGCCGAGTTCAGCGACCTGTAGCCATTGGACAGGACGTCCACGACCGCGTTGGCGGTTTGCTGGCAGTCTCCGCTGAGTCGGGTGACGAGCTCGCCCACCTTGCGGTTGTTGTAGAAGGCGAGCTCCTGCGACAACAGCACCTTGTAGAGCCTGCGCCGCAGCTTGGCGGCGATGCGCTCGGCCACCATGCCGAGCGAGTACGTGCGCAGGAAGGAGCCCACCGAGCCCGTGAAGAAGGTGGCGAGCACCACCACCACGAAGCCCTTGCGGCTGAGCCCGCCGGGCGCCGGCTTGCCCGAGGCCACGTCGATGGCCTTGCCCATGATGCGCGGGAACACGAGGTTCATGGCCGAGGCGATGGTCATGCCCGCGACGCCCACGGTCAGCGGCAGCTTCTCCTCCTTGGTGAGGCTCAGGATCCAGCCGATGTTGGACTCCTTCTTCTTCTTCGTCTTGCTGCTATCGTCGTCCCCGTCCTGCAGCTTCAGCGGCGCCACGGCGGCGGCGCTCACACCGCCGTCGTACGGCGCGCTCAGCTTCTGCATCAGGAAGGACCTGGGCGGCAGCATGGCGACCGCGACGAACGAGCCCTCCCTCCCTTCCAGAGCCTTGGGGCCTAGCGAATCAGACGACGAGTGCGGAGACCGACCGAGCGCCCTTGACCGCAGACGTCACGGTCGCAGAGATCCGCATAAACGGGTTCGACCCGTTTTGCACTCTTTTGTATTGAAATTAGTATGGATCAGTGGACCCGACCCGTTTTAAGTTGCGGCTGGCACATCACTTCAGCGGATCCACTGCATCATGCAGCGCTTGGTGCTCCGCTTGTCGCGCGTGGCGCTCGCTGCCCACCGCCCGCGTGCGTCCGCCGCCGCTGCTGCTCGGGCGATCTCCAGCACCTCGTCGCTCCACGCGGCCTCCGGATCGGACCGCGCTTCCTCGTCGCCGCCGCGCATCGGCTCCACCGTGCGCAGGGCCAGCTCCGTGCCGGCCCTGGGCCGCCGCCGCACCTCGCGCGCGCAGGTCGTGGGCGACCTGGAGGCGCTGGTGCACGAGGCCAAGCACCAGGGCGGCCGCTTCCAGCCCAGCATGGACTTCCTGCGCCGCGCCAGCACCGTGCTGCAGCTCTGCAAGACGCGCGAGCAGTGCACGGCGGCCATCCCGCTGTGCCACATCGTGGAGAAGGCCGCGGCCACGCACGGCAAGGCCAAGATGGAGTGCGTGCGCATCTACCAGAAGGCGGGCCGCAACCAGGAGGTGGTGGCGCTGGCCGAGAAGCTCATGGGCCAGGACGTGTTCCTGCTGAACCAGGCGCTGGCCAGCGCCATCCAGGCCTGCGCGTCGCTGGGCCAAGTGGACAAGGGCTTCCAGTTCTTCGACGCAGCGGTCAAGCGCGGCTCCATCCCCAACCTGAGCGTGTACTCGGCGCTGCTCGCCGTCGCGGGCGCGGCGGGGGACCCGCAAAAGGTGCAGGGCGTGCTGGACCAGATGCAGGAGGCGGGCGTCGAGATGAACGACATCACGTTCCACAACTTGATGAGTGCCTACGCGCGTGGCGGCCACGTGACGGAGGCGTTGGCGCTCTTCGACAAGATGCAGAAGCAGGGCATCCCGTCGGACGAGCACACGTACGCGATCCTGATGGACGCGCACGCGGAGAGTGGAGACTTTGACGGAGCCAAGACGCTCATGGACGAGCTGAAGAAGACCACGCTCGAGCCCAACTTGGTGCACTACAACATCCTGCTCAAGGCGTGCGGCAAGGTGAGCAACTTGACGTCGGCGTTCCAGCTGTACGAGGAGATGAAGGAGCGCAAAATCAAGCCGGACCTGGTGACATTCATCACTATGATGCACGCTGTCTACCACGGCGAGCTGGGAGCAATCGACCAGAAGAAGGTGAAGGCGGCCCTCATCGGCATGGGCTTCATGGGCGCAGCGTTCGTCCCGTTCATCAACTACGAGGAGTACATGATGACGACGCTCTTCTGCGGCAGTCTCGTGGGATCCATGGGCTTGGCCGCGTACATGAACCCGGACGGCGTCATCCGCGCGCTGTACCCCAACACTGACGAGCCGCGTGATGACACTATTATCGAGGCTTTCTTCCGACGACTGCGCGAGGAGGACCACTGCGGCAGATCCATGTACCTGTGGCGCGAGATGCTCAAGTTCAACGTGCCTGCGGACCCGCGCGTGTACGACGTGCTGGTGCGCACCTGCGTACGCAAGCGCCACCCGGAGCTGGCCTACGAAGCGCTGTTTGAAGAGAAGCTGCCGCTTATTGACAAGGAGGGATCGTTTGTGATCTCTCTTCCTACGACGCTGGGTCTGCTGCATTCGCTACTGGCACAGAAGCGGGTTAACATGGCGGACAAGCTGTACGACGCCGCTCGAAGCCACAACGTCTTCAACAAGGTTTTCACCGAGAAGGGCGACACGTATGTGTACGATATGCGTTCGTTCTTGAACGAGCAGGTGCGCAGCTACACAATCATCAAGTTGCTCGATGAGCTGCGAGCAAAGGTGGATGCGTCGAAGGGCGAATTTGTGGCCCCCAACGTTCAGTTCTTGGTCCAGCACGGATACGAGCTGCTTGACCGCCTTGATGCAGACAACTCCAGTCTGCGTACTCTGTTCTCGATGGATGATATGACGCGCGTGGGGGCATCAGGCGATAGCCGCACGTCCGCGCACTACTACTTCCGGCTGGCTATTCCTACGGAGCGACTGCAGACATATTTCGAGACCACACCCGCGGACGCAGGCAAGGAGCGACGACTCTGAGACCGCTGCGAGGTGGCAGCAGGAGCTTCTCAGGAAGTTTTGATTCACATTTGACGATACGGCGTTCCAGGAACCCCACTTCACAGAATAGATCCTTCGGGCAGACTGTGCTCGATTTACTTCCCCCACTGTTTTGAATTGGCGATGTGGTTTCGTGAGATGGCATGAATCACGCAAATGGTCCAGTATTTTTAGGGGCTACTTAAGGCTTAGTTGCTGCTTCGCGCACGGTTTGGTTGTCAATGTCAAGCCATGGGATCCAGGTGAGCTGTCGGGTTCGCCTAGACTGTGATCGTACCAGCGCGAGTTGTCTTTCATGTGTACGAGTGGATCCCTCTGCTCGTTGTCTTGTAGTGATGCACCCATCGGCATCGACTAGTGACGGCAACAACTTAGCTAGTGCAAGCGAGTCGATCAGTGGGGGAATTGCCTATTCGTGCTTCGATGGGGTCTATCCGGCCCACGCAACTCAGGAACAAGTGTTCGAAGCAATTGGCAGGCCTTTTGTTGCAGACCTGCTTGCTGGATATAACTGCACGATCATCGCCTATGGGCAAACGGGTAGTGGCAAGACGTACACGACGGTAGGAGGAAGTACATCGGACACCCGCGGACTTATCCCTCGTGCGATGGAAGCAATTCTAGAGGAAACGGCAGCCATCTACTCCACTGAATACGACGTGTCACTCACTGCCAGCTTCGTTGAGATTTACCAGGAGAGGTTGCGCGATCTATTACTTCCGCATAGCTCACGACCCCTTCGCCTTCGAGAAGATAAAGACCACAATGTCCACGTCGAAGGAGCTAGCGAGATTTCGATTTCAACTGTTGCGGGCGGGATGGCCGTGCTCTCAAGAGGTACCGCACAGCGATCAACAGGCTCGACGCTCATGAACGCCGACTCCAGCCGAAGTCATTCGGTGCTGGTTCTAACATTGGCAAAGAAACACCTCGCATCCGGAACGAAGGTGCGAGGCAAAATGTGTATTGTGGACTTAGCTGGATCTGAGAAGGTGTTGAAGACTGCGGCAACGGGTGTACGGATGGAAGAAGCCAAACATATCAACCGGGTAAGGCTACGCTCGACGACACCTCATACTTAGTTGTGTGGCTAATCCCAGTTGTATGAATGCAGTCTTTGTCAGCCTTAGGCAATGTGATCAATGCGTTGACTGATGAAAAGGTGAAGCACATTCCGTACCGAGACAGCAAGCTCACACGACTGCTACAAACCTCACTTGGAGGCAACGCGAAGACGCACTTACTGCTCACATGCTCTGCTAATAGCCAGCACATGGAGGAAACCCTGTCGACTTTGCGTTTTGGATCGAGAGCCAAGAACATCCAGAACTCGCCTCACGTCAACAACGAGAACATTGGAGCTGCCGCAGAGTACAGCGAGATGCTCTCGACATTGCAGAGTAAGATTGAAAACCTGCATAGCTACATTCGTCAGCTAGAGAATTCGAGATGCCAAGCTTGCAGAGCGCGTGGATCCGTACTTGACACCGACTATAAGCCAGAAGCACGCAATACAAATTTTACGGATCAAGCGCTGCCTCCAGATCTTGATGAAAACCCAGCAGTGGATAATGACGGCGTTGAGTCGATTGCTGACGACTTGATGCAGGCTGAAATGCAAAGTTTGCGACAGGCTCTCGCCAACATGATGCGGGATCATGAAGTGCAGCAGCATGCTCACCATGTTGCGCGAACTGTGATGGACGTGACCGAGCAACAGCTCGACTCGCGGCACAGAATTCAACAGCAAACTATCGAGAGACAGGAGCTGGAGCTGCGAGATGCACTAGCAACCATTTCTCGCTTGGAGCAGAAGATGACGCTTCTCGAAGAGAGTTCCCGAGGAATAAGTGCCGAGTTGCATCACCTGCGCGGGCAGCAGCACCAACAACACGAAGGTGAGAATGCCGAGGTCGAGATTTTGCGTCGGCAGTTGGACTTGTCAACTAAACAGGCAAAGCAATTCCAGGCAAAACTGGTAGCCTCTCGACAGGAACAAGACGGAGTTGCAGATTTGAAGGAGCTATTGATGAGGAAGGAGCACGAGTTAAAGTCTCTTCGCAGCGAGGTGGAGGTGCTCCGTTCAAAGAAGTTGCCAGTTGCCCTGCCAAGCACTTTCGTTCCTGTTGGCCTTCCGTCACCACATCGAAGTCCTCAGACGCGGCCCGTCACAGCCGTCGACTTCAAAGCACTTGCCAACACAAGTCGGGGAGATTCGAAGCTTGGTATGAGCAACATTCAAAACTGGTGGGCGGGTGGCACCAGTGAAATTCCAGCTCGTAACCAGGATGAAAGTGGAGCTTGGACCGGAATCGAGCATGTACTGCCGTCAACAACGTCTTCAAGAAGCCTAAGTAGTTCTCAAGGAGACGTCGTTGCGAGTCGCGGACTAGAAGAGGTGCTTCCTCCACCCGACACTGCAGCCAATAGAGCTCGCAACAGCGCAAGTTCTACGACTCGACCATTTCGTGCTCGATTGGTGGGGCTGCTCAACTCCCTGGAAGAGGAGACCACTGCGTTCAAGGAACTTGTCGTGGAAACGAAAGAGCGAACGCTGTCGCGGAGTGGCAGTCGGCCACGGCGTCAGCTACCGTGCTTAGAAGCTCTCTCTTCGACCGTGCCAGCCCCGCCAACACCGTAGACCAAAACCTCACATGAAGCACGTTACCGGTATTACCAGCTTAGAAAAATGAAAACTATGAATCGTATAAGCGCCATACACAGCTCGACCCGAGACAAGATACCCGGACTTATATAGTGAGCGTCGAGTTGCTGGCGTTGTCGAACCGTAGGCTGAGCTGCTTCTTCTTCAAAAAGTCGATGACGTTCATCAGCTGCGGGTCGCGCGAATCGGCCGAGCCCGTGCGCTCCAAGTAACGAATGACGTCGCGGAAGGACTTGAGTTGCTCCTTGGCGGTGAGCGGCTGGATGCCGGGGTGCTCTTCATCCGCGCCCAGGTGCTCGCTGCCGGGCATGCCCCCGTGCTCAACACCGCCGACCTCCGGCACATGGAACTCGGCCTCGTTCTCCTGCGGGTCTTCGATCATGTCCTCGTTGAGTCGCTTGTGGATGTCATTCTCCCAGCGCGAGTTCACGAGCGCCTTGGTGTTGACCACGCCGCTGAGCTGCAGACAGTAGAGCAGCCCCCACAGCTCCTCCTCCACGTTCTTGTCGTCCGAGCCGTCCATGTTGGCGTCAAACGTAAACGGCACGGAGATACCGAGCGGCTTCCACGCGTTCACGATCACTTCCTTCGAGGTCTGCTGCCACGCGTCCACAATCCAGTTCATAGCTTGGATCTGCGTGACGTGGTAAACGTTCGAGAGTCCGTCCTCGAGGTGGTCAATAGCCAGGGTGAGGTGCTTGAGGCGGTATTTGCCCTTAAACGCCGTCAGGATGCCACCACGCATGGGCTGCACCTTCATGCCCAGGTGCGGCGCGAACATGACCACGCGCACGTTGGAGAGCGCCACGCAGCCCAGCACGTGGGACGGCGCGTTGTCCATGAGCAGCACCACGTTGCGGTGCGCGCTGGCCATGCGCGCGTTGAAATCGCGCAGCCACTGCTGGAAGATGAAGACCGTCATGCGCGCCTTGCTGCTGCACACGTAGTGGTAGCCGAGCTGCGAGATGGAGGCCATCTTGATGTTCTTGGGCGGCACCACGTTGCCGATAATGTATGGCTCCATGAGGTCCGAGGCGTCCGCGTTGACGGCCAGCAGCACCGTGAGTCTGGCCTCGTCCGCCAGCATGGTCTGCGCCTCATCGCCCTGCACGAGCTTGTTGGGCGGTGCGCGGAAGAAGAGACCGGTCTCGTCCACCGTGTAGACGTCGCTGGGCACGTAGTCGCGCAGCATCTCCTGGATCTGCTCGAGTGTGAGGTCCATGGACACAGGCGGCAGCATGTAGTTGGGGTCCACCGACAGGCCGTTGGGCAGCATGCCGTTGTTGGCGTCCAGGATGCCGCCGTAGGCCGCGCCGTCCTTGCCGGCCAGCGCGGCGCTGCCGCTCTTGTCGCTCTGCAGGTTGTTGGTGCGCTTCATGAGCCCGTGGCGCGCCTTGAAGGAGGCGAGCCAGCCGTTGGAGAAGCCGAGCTTGCCCTCGAGGCCCATCTGCTTGACGAGCTCGCGGCCCTTGGTCTTGATCATGTCGCCCGTGATGTTGCCCTTGTTCTGGCGCTCCATGACCCAGTTGGCCAGCACCTGGTCGAAGTGCGCGTGGCGCGTGGGGCGGATGGTCTTGCGCTGCGAGCCCAGCACGCCCAGCACGTTGTCCTTGAACAGGTGCTCGTGCTTGAGGATGTTGCTCATCGTGGGCTGCGTGGGCGCGCGCTGCAGGTTGAACTCGAGCTTGGCCCAGCGGCACAGGTCCTTCTGCGTGATCTTGGGCGTGTTGCGGTGCTTCTCGCAGATGCGGCGCTTCTGCTCCACCGTCAGGTTGCCGTTGCCGTCGGCGCGGCGCCGGCGCGGTTTGGGCTTGGGCGCACCGGCACCGGCAGCGGCAGCGCTGGAGCTGGAGGGGGCGGCCGTGGCCATCGTCACGGACTGGCCGGCCTGCGCTTGAGCTTGGGCTTGGGCTTGAGCCTGGGCTTGCGCCGCCTGCACTTGGGCCTGCACCTCCGCCTGCTGCGCTTGGACCTGCTGCGCCAGGGCCACGCTGGTGGCCGCCGCCTGCGCCCCCAGGCCCGCCGACAGCATGCTCACATCCGGCACGTAAGTATTAGGACTCGAAGGCATGGTGCCGTGGTCGCGATAAGTTCTGGAGAATCTTGGCTTTTGAAGGGAGTCCACCAGGGGAGAAAAACCGCCAAAGTGTCCAGCCAATCACAGCCCTTCGCGCGCAAAGTTTGAAAAGCCAGTTAGGTGTGGGCCACACGGTGACACATGAGGTGTACATAATACGGCGCAATACGCTGCATAGTGGTGGTATCCAACCACATTTATTTATTAAGCTAAATTATGTTTTCAAACCGAACCGGCAGGTTGAAACCCCAATCACCCAGCAGTTGACCTCCTCAACAGTAGACCTGTCCTAAATAGAAGCCCCATTCAGCGCGGCCTCGATTGGCAGAGGGAGACTCCAGCTCATCCCAGCAAAGAACTCGGCTTCGAAGCGATCTCCACACTTGCGACTTACCAGCTCGGCCACAGGACAGACTACCAGCTCGACCACAGTTCAAGCTTGATGTCACAGCCCGGGGATCCTCGGACGTCTCGAGGCCAGTCTCCGCTTCCAGCCCCCCCCCCCCCCACCCACACAATCTGCATCGCCATCGTTTCCAGCGCCATGGGGATCGCCTGCTGCACTGGGGTGGCAGCACCGTGTCTCTGAGTCACCGGTGCTTCACGAGGAGAACTCAGAGGAGCATCCGCCTTCTCAAGCTTCCGTGACCGAATCGACTCAGCCACGTCACCATTCGACACCGTCGCCGGCTCGATCATCGCAGCGCTCTCCTTCCCGTCGTCCAGGCCGCCCAGACCACCCCGTATGGGCACACGTCGAGAAGAGGCCGAAAGCGAACGGCAAATGTGCTGCACAATGCAGACACTGTCAGCAGCGAATCAACACCGCTCAACCTGGTCGCTTCATGGTGCCCCATCTCGTTAATGCACGAGGGCACCACCTTTGGTTCGTCGGCAATGGAGTGAATATTTGCGCGCGGAGGCGCAGCGGAAGCAGCAACGAGTCCAACGCTCCGATTGAGGTCAATACTGGTTGTCCACCTGCTAACACGACGAATGCCAGCTCGACTAGCGCTGCGTCTAGCACCCCTGGGCACCGATCAATAACGCAGGACGAATTCGATTTCGCGCTGGCGCAGATGATTTTTGAGTGTGCGTTGTCCTTTTTTCTCGTCGAGTCACCATTTTTTCGCCAGTTCGTTGAGCTTTTAGCGCCAGGAGTTCGACTACCATCGCGGCACGAGTTGGCAGGCCCAATTTTAAAAAGCATGCGCGAGAAATGCAGACAATATGTTGTGGCGCGGATTAAACAACAGACCGTGGTGTCGATTGTTACCGATGGGTGGAGCGATACGAATAATGCCAGCATCATTAACTTCATGGTTGTTGCCCCCGATATGCTTGCGTTGTTTTGGTCGTCCCTGCCGACTGGAACAGATAAGCACACGGGTGCATACATGGCAAAGGAGTTGGAGCGCGTGATCAACGAAGTGCAGACCGAGACTGGCGCTGTTGTTGCTAGCGTGATGACAGACAACGCCAGCAACATGGTGAACGCGTGGGGACGCGTGAAGAGCAAGTTGCCAATATTTGCCAGAGGATGCGCTGCTCATACCATCAACCTCCTCATTCAAGACGTGTTTAAACTAGCGTTCTTCAAGGAAGTCCGTGAGAAGTGTGTGTGGCTATCACCAGATTTGTTCGCGATCATCATGCGCTGCTGGATGAGTTTCGAACCCTTCAAAGCAGAAGAGTTCAAACTCATGAAGACGTCGTGGACCAGTACCGATCTCTACATCAAACATCCACACTTCCGAGCCGTGACCGCCGACGCGCGTTGGTTATCCCGATACAGACACGATGGTACACAGCGCATGCGTGTCTTCGGAGTGTACTCAGCAATATGACGATTATCAAGAAGCTTTTCAGCGAAGAGAGCAACGCGGAGATGCTTGCTCGGTTTAAGACTACACCAGCAACACGAGCTTCGCTGGACAAGGTAACCGGTATAGTCGATGATGGTGACTTCTGGCAGACGCTGGAGCACGCTGTAAAGCTCCTGGACCCGGTCGTGGAGGTACTAAGGGAGCTGGAATCAGACAAGTGCGCTACTTCAAAGGTGTACACACTATTTCGACGGCTACTAACGCATGATGCCTACGAAAAGCCCAACCGAGCGCTTCCAGCGGGTCTTCAAGGATTGGTCAAGCTGCACATTAACCCTATTGTGGTTGATGGTCCTAAAACCTTGCAATATGCTTGGTTTTACAAATTTAATCCAATCAAATCACCCCTCTATTGATTTTGACCTATTATATCACTTGCGTAAAACCAAGCATATTGCAAGGTTTTACAACAATAATTGCAATAATTATTGGTGAACCCCTGCAAAATGATATATTATGCTGCGGGGTGCGGCGTAAAACCAAGCATTTATGCATGTTTTACACTTTACCATGGGGACTTCAGTATACAAAACTCAAGTATAATTTTGAACACTAAAGGGTTAAAGAACGCTGGGAGTTAGTGAGCTCGGACGCCATCAAAATTGCCTTCTTGCTGGATCCTGCCACCAATACCAACGAATTTATGGGGGACGACATGAAAAAACGGTCCAGGCCGCTGTCGCGTTTGCAAAGAGAGCCAATCGGCTTGGCAGCATGTCTGAGGATGCGTTTACAGCGGCTTTGTATGCGTTCGGAAGTCTGAAAAAGAGCTGGTCGCCAAGTGAGAGGGCACAGTATGCAGCCGCCTCCTCGTTTCACTGGTGGGACAACAACGAGCAAACCTACAATTCCACGTTCCCAAAGCTGGTTGAGCTTGCACGATTAGTATTTGCGGTTACTACATCGTCGGCTGCTAGTGAGCGTGCCTGGAGCATTTTCGACCTCATTCATTGCAAGAAGCGCAATCGACTGACTAAAGACAAGGCGGAGAAGCTCGCGTACATTTACATCAACTTGGCTGCAGCGGAGACGAGTTGGATGGACGTTGCCCGTTGGCAAGAGTATCCAGAGAGTGTCATGGGCCCCGACTTCGAGTTGGCTAAGGAGTAGAAGCATAGCTGCAGTCGAGTTCTACGCCGTGCTCATTTCGCGTTGCATATTTCTATTTTTAAACGGGGTTTTTCAACCTTGCGGGTAATCAACTAAGATTTGAAAACGTTGTCAACGGTTGTTTTCCATCGCTAACGCTACATATCTACACCATTTCCAGTCCAAACTGGGACGACAGCACGGTAAAAACACACTGTGTACGTGTGAAAAGCACAAAGACAGATTAATGTCACAATCAAATGATAGTTCGCACAACCGTACTGTGGAGCACACACAGCTTTACAGCAGCAACATAATAAAACAACAAGGGGGTACACTCAGATCCAGAATAGCCAATCACAGCAAAGCACCGGTAACTTTTGTCAAATTATAATTAGGCTCATGCATCATTTTCGCCAATCACATCTCGACTAGACAAGCTCCTGGTCGCTTCCAGGTTGCGTCAGCAGCCAGCCACACACATTCTCCAAGTAGACCCCTCGCTAGAACACCTCCACACCACCCTCCCGTCCCGTCACCAAGATGCGTCCCATGTGCGACGAGCTCAAAGAGAACGACGCGCTCATCCTCGTGCAGTGCATGAAAGCGTTCCGGGTCTCGAAGAGCCAAACTATCCCATGCATGCTGTGCGCGCTACCTACCCCGCACTTAATGCGGTACAAGCTGCTGAGCTGTCGCTGCACCCAGTGCAAACAGGCAGCTCCGTACGCGACTTGCCCCTGGAAGGGCAAATGCTGATCTGCCTTCAACGCAAATTTGTCTCGCTGTTCGCGCGTGGGGCGCACGTGACAAGCGCGAAGCCTCGACAAAGCCGGCGTCTCAACTCAGTCCAATAGGACTTCACCAAGCAGATGGCTCGAGCGAGTATGAAGCCCGCACAAATTCGCGCGGCGATCCTGCTGCACTTTGGCCTGCGTCCAAGGGAGCCCCCTCTTCTCCAGCAAGTGCAAAATGTCGTGTGCTACTTTCGCCGCACCAAGTTGGGCGGTAGTGACACCACAGCCGTCACTACGGCTGCTGTTCGTTCGCTAGCGTTTACCGGTGGTGAAGAAGAGCACGAGCCATTCAGCTTTGGTTGGGACCAATACTCTGATGGAAATCTCGTCGTTGGCAACGGATCCGACAAAAACCCATTCATCGTGGGTTTCTCGAGAGGCGCGGCTGCGTCAAGCTGCTCGCGACCCGAAAACGCGTGTTTTTCACGTAGATGCTACCTACAAGTCTAACCAAGTCGGCTATCCCGTCCTGGGCGTTGGTCTTACCGACGCGGCGCGCACCTTCCATTTGCTGGCGCTCTTCGTGACGTCGCAGCAGCAGGAAGCCCACTACACCAAGGCGATGGCGGCGCTGCGGTTAGTCTATCAAAAGGTCCTGGGAGAATCGCTCCGTGTCGCTTTCGTGATGGGCGACGCGGATAGAGCGCAGTACAACACGCACTGGCAACGATGTTTGGTGGTGATTGCGCGTACGTCCACCTGATGTGCTTTTATCACTTGATCGCCAAGGTGGTTGAGCCCACGAAGACCATGGCAAAGGAGGTGAGAGACGCTGTGCTCCGTGATATCCATGAAATACACTACTCTAGAAGTCCTGAAGATATGGCTCCGAAGCGCGCTGCGGCTGAAAAGCGCTGGAGCGACGACCCTCTTCTCAAGACCTACCACGCGTACTTCAAGCGGTTTGGCTGAACAAGCGCTTCAGTGGGTGGCAGTGCCACCTAACCCCTCCTGGGTTCGCTACCACCAATAACTCGGTTAAACAATTCAACCGGGTTTTGAAGCGCGACTACACCGCTCGTCGACTGCTGAAGATGAAGGAGCTTATCCGACAGCTTGCCTCCTGCGCATGATCGACATCCGGCAATTTGCGGAGACTCCTAGAGCCTCCAAGGAGCTTATGGCTTGTGTGAAGGCTCTTCGCAGCCAGAAGCTCCTTCAGGCGTGTGTTGTGCCGCGCATGAGTGTAGATTTTCTCTTGCTTGACAACGGCACCGACTTGCTGCACGTGCTGTACACGCCACCCTTACGTGCATACAACTCTGCTACCAACACGATGCAGGAAGCCGTTCTGGTGCCCGCTCAAGTAGGCGGCAACACCGCGCGGATGGAGCACGAAACCCAGCCACGCACTGGATGGACGGTCGACATGATCAAGCAAACGTGCCCTTGCGCGTACCACTTCAAGTGCGCCTGCTGCGTTCACCATGCAACAGCGAGAACGCAGCAACGGGGAAGGAGACGAAGTGCTGATGAACCGCCATGCTCCCAAGCGTAAGCGCAAAACCGTTGGCCCCGCTCTAACATCGGCTGGCAGGCCACCGCTTGCTGGACGGGGTAGTGTGGCTAGTTCGTCTGGGCTTCTTACTGCATACCTCTGTTAAAACAAAACAAATACAATGAGGAATTAGCACCAGCCGGCTTACTGTAGCTCAATAGGTACAATTGACTCATCTGTCTAGTGGACAGACGCCTGCATACCGTTCTGCCCAAAGGCTGGCGCCTCTCACGTCGGCAGCACTGGTGTCACTGCCCTGCTGCACTGCTCCTTGGGTTTCCTGTCGTGCAAGTCAGCCATGTTGCTGCTCCAGATCGCGCAAGACACGCAGCGTGTCACACGCTATCTGGGTGAGCTACAAACCGGCAGCCGACTGGCCACCATTTCCGTTGAAATGCTCTTCAACCAGGAGGTCTTCACGGGGTCGGCGCACAGCAGCACCGAGGTACGGTCGTCCGCGAGCTGCTGCGGGTCCTCCGATGTGCTGAGGCGTCCTGTGGGACGGGCGACCACCGCGGGAAGCTCTGCCGCCGCGCTAGCGTGCGCTCTGTCCGCGCGGCGTCTGTGGGCGAGGATTTTGTATGTGGGGCCCACACTGTTGTCTACATTACATAGTGTGGGTCACCAATGCTTGCCTCACGACGGTTCTTGACGACGTGACACCTGTATGTCTCTTGTGCGTGTGCTTTTCACAGGTCCTTAATGCTATTCACGGATTCCTTGGTATTTTTCATATTTCTCAACTGGGACAGTCTCCAGACCAGCGAGATACGTCGCACGGCTCTATCCTCAAAACAAATTGTGGGTAGGTTGACTTTCGGTTAAATTAGGGAGCTCCAATGCAGGAGGGCTTGGCTCAGAAGCAAGTGAGACTATTCTATCAAATCGCATATGAATGTGAGGAGTGGAAGATGTGGTGGTTGTCGATGACAGCTCCTGGTGGCTCGATGAATGTCTTGATATCTGCCTTCATATCCATCTACAGAGCTTAATCTCGCCATACAAATTCCCAGTCATATCGCTTTGTACAGGCTTTCCGTTAATATAGGATTTTGTATTGGGATTAGGGTGGTCCTAATTTGCATCGACTTGGCAGAAACAGGTTTTGAGCAATACGAAAGCATACCAGTTTACTATATTTGCGCACACCTAAGTAGCTTCTGAACCAGGGACGCCAACGCAACTGTGACATCGGCTGTTTTCATTGACTGTCGTGAACTCGACGCAGCTTCCACGTCCCCATGGGTTCGTCAGGTTCACTCACTGCTTAGTTGTTGCAGCTAGTTTTCTGGTAAGGTACGGGGATAATCCCAGTTTTCAATTTGCAAAAAAAGCGTGAGCAATTAGAAAAAACCAAACAAGTCATCAACCTGGAACACTCGCTGGTCAAAGCATGAACATGAATCGCCCCATATCGAAGGCGAAAGACAGTAACGAGCGGTACTTGACGTATTCAATCATAGCCCGCACCACTAACAAGGAAACTGCATCGAAGAAAAGGCTATCACCAAGGAGATTGCCAAGCTCACCGATCGTGGGTCCAATGGCTTTTTCGAGGAACTACAACTTCAACCGGCTTTCGAAGCTGAAATATGGTACGGAAACTGAACACGATTATCCTACCTGATGGCACTCTCTTCGATGCGCTCGAGTAGGCCGCTTTCTCCGACGATGACGTACCGATGAATAAAGAGTACCCCACTGCGCAAGACGTTCACCATCGTGCTACCCGTCGCCTACAGCGAGAAGCTGCAAAACTTACCGCAAAATTCATCAGCTCCGCGACGAGTCACCCACCAATTACAGTAAGAGGTTTAGCATACTACACCTTTGCCCATCCAAACTGGGAATAATATCGAGCAAAACGATACTGTTATATTTGACTTTTCGTAAAATTTAGGTTATCGTAGCTAATCATAATGGAATCCGATAATACTTGCATCCAAAGGGAACATGCACGATCTCGCATTATTTTACGCACCGTAGACCATGTTCTCCATCGCCTCCGCCGCATTTACGAAGTCGCGCGCATGCAGCTCCATCTTGGTCCCAACAATTGGGGTGCACGCATGAGCGGCGCGCTCCAAGAAAGGCGCATCGTTCGGTCCTTGATGATCAGCGTAACGCCGACGCCATCCACCATGTTGGAGCGATCACATATTTCCTCACGACCCAGAGCCAAATGCTCTTTGATGTGCGCTTCCAGCACCGAGAGACAACCCGCGATAAGGTTGCACATCGGTGAGTACGGTGCCAGACGCAGGAGCACCAGGTCGTTGTGCGGGACCACGCGCTCTTCTGTTTGGCGGTGAGCGGGGGCGTTGTCAATGACGACAACGATCTTCTTGCCTCCGACGTTCTCGCTGAATACAGTCAACGCCTTACCAGTGCCGTAGAGCTCGTCAATGAACGAGGAGTTCTGCTCTATGCGAATGCTCCCTCGCTCCAGCTTGTAGAGTAGAACTCCTGCGGTTGAGTTGACCGCGCACTGCACTTGTAGGTTCGCGCCCTTGGACACTGGCATCACTAACGTAGCGCGGTTGCCCTTCTTCGCGCGACCGCGGCCTCTCTTACAGTAGATGTTGTAGTTCGTCTCGTCGAAGTAGATGATGAAGTCACCGTCTACTGATGCTTCTTCAGCGCCGTCACGAAGGCTTGACGCTTAGTCTTGTTAGCCAGGCTGTTGCACGTCATGGGTTCGATGCGCGTTTGCTTGATGGTATGCGGCATCCCACGCAAATGGCGGCTAATCGTCGAGGTGGAAAACTGCACGTTCATGTCGTACGCAAGCTAGTCCGCATGGCCTCAAGCGTAAACGTGCAGTTGTCGTTGAGATAGCTCAAGCTGCTCCTTCACCTCCGGCGCCACCTTCACCGCACTGCCCCGAGCGCCACCGCGAGGAAGATCTTCGACGCTGCCGCTGGCAACAGTTCGGTAAGCAGCGACCCGCGAGATGCCGTTGCTTGCAGCGACCTGGAGCCAGTCAGCGCGGCCGACACGATGAGCAGCCAGGACGCGGAGCTTCGCCGCTCGCGAGTGCTTGGTGATAGAGGCTTGGCGGGACATCTGAGGGCGAGGAGGGAAATTGCGTTGTGAGGAATGGCTGCCTAGGTCCGATCGCAGCGCTGCTTGCTGCGCCTGCCTTTGCGCGCTTTTGGAAGCGGTCGTGTGCTCACCACTCATTTTGCGCGCGCGGCGGAGTTTGGGCGGGAACGAGCAGTCTCTGTTTGGATGCAAGTATTATAGGATTCCATTATGATTAGCTACGATAACCTAAATTTTACGAAAAGTCAAATATAACAGTATCGTTTTGCTCGATATTATTCGCAGTTTGGATGGGCAAAGGTGTAGTTCCCAACAGAGCACGCTCGCCTACTTGGCGGGGATGTCTCAAATGCTTTGTGCCGTTTGTAGAAGTGCTGCATGCCTTACGACTGGCAAATAAGAATGATTTCAGCGGGCAGATCTACCGAGCACTCGCTTCATATCGTGTTATTCCTCGAGCGAAGTGAGAGTAGAAAGCCCGGTTACCAGTTGTTTCGATTCCAAAGGAGACCACGTATCGATACACAGCCAATTGGGTGCATTTTCTGATCTTGGTGAAAATAGCTGGCGATGTCTGACGCTGAGACCTTGCAACTTGCGCTATCGCTACCACTGCCAACATCGGAAGTATTCCCTACCTGCACTTGGAGTCCTCCTCGCACTGAACAAAAACGTAAGACAACTCCATACAATGAGCGCGATTTTGTCGCTGTTGTAATGGATGGCGGCTCGAGGTTTTCGACCTCATTTTGGGCTATGCATCACCAGTGACGTGAAGCCAACCTTCACCAAAGTGTTCGTGAGCTAAGCAAGGCACGAATGAAGTCCAGTTGTATGTCCAAAAAATTTACACTCGGGGCTGTATAGCTGGAGTCAGGCTAAGACCGTCGAAAGTACTTTACTTCATCGCCGAACGAGGTTTCGCCTAGTTGAAAGTCCCTACGAAGCGTACGCATCCGTCGCTGTTACATTCTGAGTACGATGCAAGAAATGACAATATTAACACCCGGGTGCCTTGGCAAAACAGGACTGGTGGTAAACATTGGCTGATCTGGATGTTTCGAGAAACGAAACTTGTTTGCAGACGCGCAATAAGCGACAGGTGCTTGCTTTAACTTGAGGCTTGCTTTGAGCATTTACGCGAGGCTTGCTGAAAACGCAAGCGAATGTGCTTCGCTAGAGTCCACGTACTTCGGAACACGGGGTTTTAAGCGTGATTCTCGAGCTGGCAATGCATTTTCGATCCCATGAAAAACACGTGGTAAGTGTCTGGGCGGAGAAAGGTACGCTGTAACCAACGTATTGCACGTCTTCAGCATCATACGTAAAGTAGCCAAACTAAGAAGACGTCCAACAATAACGACATATACGGCTGCATTCGTTTGTTCCTACTGAACTCGTAAAAGCTCGTTATGAAGCCCTGAACCTAGCGAAAGGTTGAAAATGACGGGGCTGTATCGTTGAGACGCCACACACAAAGACCGAACTATCTGCCGATGCACCGATTCAATCGGTACAGATATTCGACGATGGCATAGAAAGTGAATGGGTAAATGCTGTGATACCAGGATATGGAATATGCCAAGTTTAGTGGTTATATCTGAACTTTGTTGATGTGGAAGTTACAACTAGCGTGCCGCCGAAACTCACGTCTCTGTGTCTTCAGCTTGACTCGCATGAAACCTCTGGTATGGAAAGGCTACCGCAGTTGCTAGCTGCAATGGGTCCTACACTGAAGTTTTATTCGATTGAGTACTGCGATCCGACAATTGGCACAAATTTATCTGTCAGCAGCTGCCCAAACATGGAGACTCTGGCTCTAGAATCGCATGGAGTACAAGCGCTTCTTGATATTCAAAACCATGATTCCAGCCGCCGTAACATCCCGGACTGCGGTTGTAATGATTAAGCAATCGTGAATACCCTCGTGCATGATCTGGGCGATGGACCAGATTTATTGCAAGACTGCCTCCTCCAGATACGCTAGTTTTGTAAAAGTCCATAATTGGCTTACCCTCGACGAACTATACTGTGTGCGCGCTGGTGATGATGTTGCGCGATTATAAGAAAGTGGAGTATCTCGACGTTGTCGCTCCTCCCAATTACCACAACCATATTGACGAGATTCGGCGCTTTCTCTTCCAGCCAATCGACGGCACCCTCCGTCTACTAGGAATGAAGTCAGAAATTGTATTTCTGAGTGTTGTGATGCCAGCGGTTGAACCCATTCAGAAAATACAACGCGTCACGACCCCATCCCCATCCAGGCAATTACCGCGTGGGCTTGATCAGTACGTGCTGTCCATAATTTTCGGTTTTGCTGCCTCGCAAATGTTTCGGAAGATCTACTTCCGCAAGATTGAGGACGATGATTTTGACATCCTAATAATCGAGCCTCCTCTGTGACTGTTCACAGTCCCGTTTTGGTGATCAGCAAAGTCACAATAGAAGATGTTCATGATATCCTTCGACGTTTTGTAAGGAAGTGCTGCCATGTTCTCACTTCGGTTTAAGTCAACTAAAAACCAAGCTTGAGTACGTTGTCGTCTTGTGTACGTCTTCAACAAGCCGTAGATTGAAAGCAATTGGACTCGCGGAGATTACCCCGGCGTTACAGAGCTGCGTCGTATTGGACTGTTGCGAAAGGCACGCCCTTCTAGCCGTGATTGCATGTTTGTCGGATATAGTCCCCCGCGTACTTGTTGTTGTGCTCTCTGTAACAGGGTTACACGCACAAGTGGCTACACTCACTTGTAACTCTAACAGATACGACGTCTGTTAGGGTTCGAAAGACTTTCTCGACCTTGGTGTAGACACACCAAAGGCTACATACATTTACGACCACCACGACGGGTGGTCCATAGAGACTTAGGATTCCTATTGGCTGAGAGCAGCATCTCTTAGCCAATGAGCGACATGCATAGCATTGGAATTCTGCCAACCAGCCGTTGGCAGATTCCTATCTTAGAATATTACATTTAGAGGAAGTCAGCAACATAAAACAAAAATAGCAGTTCTCATTTTAACCCAAAAACATTATTTGGATCGTTTATTTAGATTAATCTATACTCGGAGGCCCGAGTATAATGAACTCTAATTTAAACTAAGCTACGCTTCCTCACGTACACGCGCACACGTGTAAGCTAAAGTAGTGAGCCACAGTAGGCCCACTACACCTGGTAGCACTTTGTAGTCCGTCCAACGACCGACTACCTGAGTTCGTACGTCACCGCACGAACGCGGAGCTGAGAACCTTCCCATGGATACAGAGGTGCCCATGGAAAGCTCCACTACGCCTGCAACTCACGTTGCACGCGCTGACTGTCCCCACCTGTCGGATCCAGAGTGGGAGGCTCTCCAACGACTGTCAACAGTCATGGTGAGGCGGCTGTAGCTACGATGCTGCGTACGCTAACGCCGACAGAGCAACACGGTGTTGCTCTGGGCTTCATCCTGAAGGAGCAACGCGATGTTGCTGCTACTACCGCGGTGCCGTCCGGGACGACATCACGCGCGCAATCGCTGAAGCTCAATGTGAGTAACTATGTCGGAAGAGAGGGTGAACCCCTCCTCCGTTGGCTTGTCGAACTCGACACTGCCATTGCGGCTCGACGTATCGTCGACCCGTTGTCGAAGGTCGCGTTCGCCATTTCATGTCTTGGCGGACGTGCAAGAAGTTGGGCGTATGGACGCCGACTCTCGGATCCTACGTGCTTTAGCACGTACGAGGGCTTCACGGAAGAGCTCAGACAAGCGTTTGAGCCCCCGCAAAACGAGTTCCGGTCGAGGGCGGAGTTCCTCGACCTGCAGCAGGGCAAGCATGATGTCCATGCGTACGCTCAGAGAGCACGGTACTTGGTCTCGAACATCGTGACCAATCCGATCGACGAGGCGACCAAGGTCGTCACGTTCATGAAGGGACTGAGAGATTGGCCTGTGAAGACCAATCTCTTCCGTGAGTACCCGAGTACTCTCGAAGCTGCAATCACTCTTGCAATGCAGGAGGAGTTTAGCCTGCGGCAGGCTAAGCTGCCTGCACATGTGCCGAGGCCACAGCCACGCCCGGTAGTGAGGACGGGAGGCCCCGAACCCATGGACCTCTCGAGTGCTGCAACTGCTGGACCCCAGCAGTCGCAGGGAAACAATGTGCGATGCTACCGTTGCGGTAGAGTCGGTCACTTTGCTCGGGAGTGCACGGCCCCCGTGCACCAGCAGGGTGGCTATCGCGGCAGTGCCGGGCACCGTCGCAACCAAACAAAAAACGCCGGACGTCAGTAGGCGCGGGGCGCCCTACTGGTAATGCAGTTCCGCGTGTCGACCTTGGACACGCGACACTGAGGACTGCAGTCCCCAGTGAGATTCATTCTTGGTGCAAGAACCAAGATGACAAGCAAGACCTTGTCATCCTGAACGTGAACTCGATGAGAGCAAGCAGCTCTCTTCGCGCTTTGGTAGATTCTGGCGCGTCGAAGAACTTTGTTCGACTGCGAAGTCTATCGAGGCTTGACTTCGAGGATCTAAAGATACCTCGAAGTATGTTGGAGGTACAACTGGCAACGGGTGCCGTCGTGAAGACCGAGAAGCGCATGGTACGCGTGCGCTTCACGTATGAAGATCAAGAGTTTGTCGAGACCTTTATTGTCCTGGATCTGGACGATAAGTTTGACGTTGTATTGGGCATGCCGTGGCTTGCACGGAATGATCCGGTCATCGATTGGGAGAAGCGCACTCTCGTGCGCTTCGGTCGTGACAGCGGAACAGTGAGCGATGGCCCTGTTGCCGCTACGCACGCACCGACAGGTGCCACGCGACTCCCCACTCGAGACAACGCCTAATGCCGCTGTCCCGGAGCGCCCTGGGCGCGCGCGAGCACACGTGCAAGAGCAGCTAGCGTCGGCGTTGCCGCCGACAACTAATGAAGGAAATGTGTTGACCTCGGAGGTCGACACCCGCTTTTCAGCGAATCAGGAAGAGTCTCCGGCCTCAAGGGGCACGGATGACGCAGGCGAGTCACACGCCTCAGCCGTGGAGGCTGACGCGAATCTGATTGGATCAGTTTTGGCCAATAACAAGAGCCAAGGTGACGAAACGCCGTCGACTCCGGGAGTCGATGGCTTGGGTGAATTTGATTCGTCAGCTCGGGGAGCCGACGCACCCTCCGTAATGGGGGTCTCCGCCAATGGTTGGCGTCGAGGTATTGAAGTCGCATCGACTCCGGGAGTCGATAGCTTGGACGAACGGCTCGGGGAGCCGACGCACCCTCCGTAATGGAGGGCTCCGCCAATAACAGGCGTCGAGGTGAAGATGGCGTGTCGGCTCCGGGAGCCGACGCTGCAGGCGGTGCGGACGGTTGCAAACGTCCCGCACCGGAAAAACTTGCATGCTGTCGTGCAGGCGGGCTGGACGACGAAGCGCCGGGCGACCAAGCCGGGCTTGAAGTCGCTCGCCCGCGGGATGAACCCGCCGGCGGTACTAAAGAAGAACACCCGTCCACGGCTGGGCCTGGACGAGGTCAAGAACCAAGCGGAGCCGGGCTCCGCAAAACAAGAAGACGGCGCAGGCGAAGGTCGCTGCGCAAGTCTCGGCCTGGGGCCGAGACGCTTCAAGGAATGTCTGCCGGGCAGACGGAGGCTGAGAAGCCGGACGTCGAGACGTTGAACGTCTTGACGCGTACCTGTGCCGGGTTCCGGTACAGGGAGATGACTCTCGCTAATCCTCCGACGCAAGCGTCGGAGTTAACTTCGCTTCCAGTCATAGGCTGGAAACGCTTCGCGCGTGACTTGCACGATGGACGCATCGAGCAAATATGCATTCTCTCGGACGCCGAGAGAACGAAGAGCGATAATGAAGAACTGAGGGAGTTCTTCATGGAGACCACCACTGAGAGCGAGGACACTCTCAGTGCGAAGACTAAGAAGGAGCGCTTTGAGGAGCAGAGCTGGGACTCGCTGAAGACGAGTCCCTTCTACGAGATTCTATGGGAGTACGCGTACGTACTTTTGGAAGAGATCCCTGTGGAGCTTCCGCAGGACAAGGGCATCCAGCACGAGATTGATCTCGTGCCGGGCACGAAGTACTGTGTCACGCGGCAGTGGCCACTGCCGCGAGAGCAGGTCAAGGCGATCGACGACTTCTTTGAGAGTCGTCGCAAAGCTGGACAAGTGCGGGAATCGGAATCCCCGCACAGTGCTCCGACGTTCTGTGTCAAGAAGCCACAGGGCGGTTGGCGCATCGTTCATGCGTACAGCAAGCTGAACGATGCGACGATACCGGCGCAGACACCGATACCGCGAAAAGATGTCATCATCGATTCGATGGCCAGGAGCACTATCTACAGTGCTCTTGATCTGCGCGATGGGTTCTATCAAATCTTCATGCGTGAGAGCGATATCCCTCTCACGGCTGTGAGCACGCCGAGCGGCATGCTCTGGGAGTGGGTAGTGATGCCGCAGGGTCTGAAGAACGGTCCTGCGACCTTCAACAGGTGCGTGACGCACTTGTTGCGCTCGGTGCGCGACTTCGCACCGAGCTACTTCGACGATGTGTTCGTCCACAGCCGGGCTGCGGACGGGATGAGTGATGTTGAGATGCACAAGGTGCATCTCCGGAAGCTGCTTGCGCTTATGCGTAAGCACAAGCTCTATGCGAACCTGAAGAAGTGTATCTTCGGGGCGAGCGAGATACCCGTGCTCGGGTGTCTCGTTGGGAAGAACGGTGTCCGCCCTGACCCTGAGAAGGTCAGAGTGATCAATGAGTGGCCGACGCCGTCGAACGTCAAGGAACTGCGGCAGTTCCTTGGCTTGGCCACGTACTTGTGCAAGTACGTGAAGGACTATGCGGACACGATACGCCCGCTGTCACAGCTCCTGAAGAAGGACGCCGAGTGGGTTTGGACTGCTGAGTGTCAGCAGGCCTTCGATGCAGTCAAGCGGGGCTTGACTGAGGCGCCGACCTTAGCGGTGACCGACCAAGATCGCCCGTTCCACGTTGTGTGCGTCGTATCCGACTTCGCAATCGGATGTGCGTTGATGCAGCCCGATCACGAGGGTCGTGATCGTGTCGTCTATTTCCAATCGCGTCAGCTGAAGCCAGCTGAGCGCAACTACCCGGTACATGACAAGGAGCTCCTTGCCATGAAGTACGCACTCGCGAAGTTCCGAGTGTATCTACTCGGAAGCAAACCGTTCGTGGTCTATACAGACCACGCGTCGGTGCGGACGGCTGTGAAGTCGCCGCACATCTCGCAACGGATGGCGAGATGGCTCTCATTCTTCGTGGCCGACGCGCTCTGGCGTCGACCTGACTACGCCACGACTGATGCCGACGTCAATGCCATTGACGCCATGCGATCGAGCACACCAACGTCGCCACTGTTGGACGACGTGAAGGTCGCGTCCGCGTCGTGCGCGGACGCGAAGCTCTTGCTGGTCTATGACTCAGCGCCTTCTGACAAAGCTCGTCAGAAGCTGCCGAAGCATCTTCGTGCTCGTGCACACCGTTATCGGGTGCACGACAGGTTATTACTCTACAGTGCAGTCGACGACAACGCGGACCGCGTTGGCGTGCCCAATGACCAAGACCTGCGACTCAGGATCATGTATAAGTATCACGATGCACCGACTGCGGGGCATCCGGGCCGTGAGAAGACATACCTTCTCCTTACGCGGGACTTCTACTGGGCCCACCAGTACAAATGGGTGCGCAAGTACGTCCTTGCTTGCGAGGTTTGTCAACGTGTTAAGCCTGCGCCTTCCGCGCAGGCTCCCTTGCAGTCACTGCCGGCTCCGTCGGAGTGTTGGCAGTCCATGTCTTTGGACTTCGTGTTCGGTCTTCCCCCGGACAGCCAGGGGAACACGGGCATTGTGGTCTTTGTTGACCGCTTCAGCAAGATGGTACATCTTGCTGCGGTACCTGCTGAAGTGACTGCGAAACAGACGGCACGTCTGTTCGTTGACATGGTGTTCAAACACCATGGCATGCCGATCGACATTGTGTCGGATCGAGACCCGCGCTTCACTGCACACCTTCGGCAAGAAGTGTTTACACTTCTTAGGAGTCAACTTTCGATGTCGACTGCAGACCATCCGCAGACGGACGTGCAGACCGAGCGCGTGAACCGCGTGCTCGTAGACGTGCTTAAGAGCTACGCTCACTCGTTCCAACACTGGAGCGAGTGCCTGCCGATGGCGGAGTTCGCCATCAACCACTCGGTGCATACCTCGACCGGGCATACACCGTTCTACGTGAATGCCATCAGGCACCCACGCCTCCCGAGTCTACTCGGGATGGTGGCTCCTTCCTTAAGTGGGGGAGGATCTCCGACTGCAACGCAGCAGCCGCTGACACTTGCACAGTGTCAGCCGCAACGACACGAAGTAAAGCCACGAACCGCGCGTCTGTGCAGGGCACAGACACCGACAAGCGCACGAAGAACGTGTCTGTGCGGGGCACAGACACCAACAAGAACAATAAGAAGAAGAGTGTGTCTGTGCGGGGCACAGACACGACAAGAACAAGAAGAACGGGTCTGTGCAGGGCACAAACACCGCGAAGACGAACGCAGAGGCCGGACCTACTGCTTGAAACGAGCTGAATGAATTCAGTTCGGACGCAATCAACTACGTGCAGCACAGACAAGCCGTTATTAGGTTTGTCCAAGACGCTATTGCAGCTTCTGTCGACCGACAGAAGCTGAACGCAGACAATGTTGGTAGGGGCAACACTAATGGGTTCAAGAAGAGTTCATTGGTTTTGTTAGCATACCTAAACATGCAGTTTCCGACTTTGGGGCGAGCAAGCTCGCTCCGTGCTTCATCGGGCCGTTCACGATGTTGGCACGGCATGGCAACGCTTACACGCTAGATATTCCATCTAGCATGCGCCTCCATCCGACCTTTTACGTCGGGTGGCTGAAGCCATACCGCCAGCACGAGCTACCTAGCTCGGCTGGCTCGAAGCGGAAGCCCCAGCGGGAGCGAACCTCTGCTCCAACGCGTGAACGCGCTGGGCCAAGCGTGCGACGCGATCTCCCACGTCGACAAAGATGTCCGACGCGGTCTGCGAACCCTGAGCGACTTGAGCCCTCAGGATCACCACCTCCTGCTTCAGAGCGGCGAACTCCCGGCTCTGATGCTGTTCCACAGCAGCGACCCGCTCCTGGAGCGTTGGGCCAAGGCCAACCCCAGGTTGACCATACCCGGGGCGTGTTCCCACTACCGCCGCCTCCAATCCGCGACGCCCGCGGCTCAATACGCTGGATTGTTGAGCGTATTGTGAACCATAGTATCCCGAAAACGAACCGGCAGCCGGTTCGTTATCGTATTCGTTGGAGAGGGTTTCCGCCCCACCAAGATACATGGGAGCCGCGGGACATCCTGCTGCAGGACGTTCCGGAAATGGTGAGGGCGTACGAAGCTCACCACACACTGCCGACACGAAGGTAGTGCGAGCGCTGTAGTCACCTACAGCGCCCGAAGTCCCACGATCGCCACGTTTCTCGCGTGCCAAGAACTTGGCACGGAGATCCTTGAGACAAGCAGGTACACGAATCGTGGTGTACCCGTTTAGGTCGCGGTCGCTCAAGCGCGCCGCACCTGGAAGACACAACGTGCACTGTTGGTCTTCGGGCACAGCGCATGGAATACCAGCGTCCACAGAGGATCTGTGGAGCTGCGCGTCGAGAAGGTCTCGAAGCGTTCACGGGCATGCTTAACCCGCTCGCGGTAAGCAGCCGGCTTCTTGTTGAAGTTCCCAACAAAAGCGTTCCAACTTTGACAGAGTGCCTGCCATTCAGGCACTCTGCTGCGAGAAGAAGTCTTCTTGCTGGAGAAGTATCGGAGCTCGTGGAAGAGCACGATGTAATAATCGCGCCTTTGATTCGTTAACGGATCAAAGTGCTGCTCCTCCGCAACAGCATCGTCGTGGATACCGCTGCATACATACAGCGGGATTTCGTTTGGAGGCACAGTGTTGCCCACACGGTCTGCGATCTCTGACGCAGACGGCATCCACGGATCGCGCGCTGCTCAGGCAGCGCGCGGAGAGCTTGAAGGCGCCACCTCACGTGGGGAGCTTAAAGCCCCAGCAGCGGAGAGCGGAGTTTCGCTCTCGCCGCGCGAACGCTTCGAGCTCGAAGCGTCCGAGTCGTTTCCTTCACGAGGGCGTCTCGACCGGCATGCGGGTCGAGACTATCGCTGTCGATAGACTCCTTGCGCTTGCTAGAAGAGGTTTCGCCCTCTTCCATCTCCACGTCGCCGTCCTCGTAGTCAACGACGTCGTTGACTACAGCAGAACCTTCGAGGACAATCTCCGGCTGGGTTGTCCCCGACGCGGCCTTTGCAGCGAGCGCGTCGCGCTTTGCCTGCTGGCGCTCATGGTACTGAGCAACAGAGAGGTTACCCTCTGTTGCGGCGGCGGTCTTCTTCTGCGGCGAGCTCATTGCGGATGAGCTCGAGTTTTCTTTTTCCCAACGTGAAGAATTGACGAATGGTCAATTTCCTGATTGACGTGCCGTGACTCGGCGCGTCTAACCTTGAGGGGGGGTATGGTGTAACAGGGTTACACGCACAAGTGGCTACAGTCACTTGTTACTCTAACAGATACGACGTCTGTTAGAGGTTCGAAAGACTTTCTCGACCTTGGTGTAGACACACCAAAGGCTACATACATTTACGACCACCACGACGGGTGGTCCATAGAGACTTAGGATTCCTATTGGCTGAGAGCAGCATCTCTTAGCCAATGAGCGACATGCATAGCATTGGAATTCTGCCAACCAGCCGTTGGCAGATTCCTATCTTAGAATATTACATTTAGAGGAAGTCAGCGACATAAAACAAAAATAGCAGTTCTCATTTTAACCCAAAAACATTATTTGGATCGTTTATTTAGATTAATCTATACTCGGAGGCCCGAGTATAATGAACTCTAATTTAAACTAAGCTACGTTTCCTCACGTACACGCGCACACGTGTAAGCTAAAGTAGTGAGCCAAAGTAGGCCCACTACACTCTCTAATAATCGTCTGGAGCCACATGTCCACCCCTGCCGTTCCTCATCGGCGCTGAACACAGGCACACCCGTCATCAAGCCACCAGTCATTCAGAGAACTTCGGGGACCCGGTGCTGACGTATCGATACTATGGACGGACCCACTAGACCCACTCGCGTGAACATTGAGATTGAATATGTACAGTTGCGGTCGCTGCAGTTGAAATAACAAAGTTGCCGAATGGATTATGGCCACGGCACATTGCCCGAAAAAGCAGTTTATAGTACAGGTATAGTGGACGGTCCACTAATTGAGCTCCTACTTTATCTTTCATTTATGTATACCGCACCAAATTCATCCTGGCGTGTGCTGGCCTATAGCGCGGGTCACATTGTTCGCCCTTCTTCATATCCGGTACAGTTTTGACATGTCTCGAGAGAAATGGGTTAAGGTGTTTAGGACATACAAGCTTAAAATTGGATGCCCAGTTGGTGAAATCACCGAATTATGAAGTCGAGTAAATGGTGTAGCTGAGATGGGGGTACTCATGTCAGACGCAGAACACATGCGAAGGTGGGCTCTGCCACGGAATACTGGCGCAAATATTGAGCCAGATCTGCTTGAGGCCGGAAGCACCTATTTCGGCTGCGTCTGGGATCACGCTCCTGTTATGTTAGTAAACGTGTCCCGTGTAATAGGATTGCTAGTGCAGCGCGGGTCAGCATCTGCGGCGACATTACTTAAAGCCAAAAATTGCGAGGAAGCAGATCAGAGACCATGCTCGGCTTCCCTGAGAAGTCACATGTGTGCTATAGTATTTTTCGATGCCATTTTACTTTGCCTCGAGACTGTCGTCGCTTAACCCCTCTAGCCCCATATTTTGTATCCTACAGAATATGCACTTTGACAGGATTTAATATCCAGCAAACTTGGAAGCGTGTCGTTAGCCCGCATATATATTTTTGTATGGTTGGTTGTCGCTACGTTTATCATATTAGATCTGCGCTGGGTAGATAGACGGGATTCTTCGCTGCCTATAGAAAGGCGTATATAAACTTCGAACAGGTTTGAAAATTCAAATTGCAGCCCTTTCAGTTGTGCTGGCCGCTCGCCTCTCGCCCCCTCACAACCATTTTGCAATTATGAATGGCCCCGGAGAGAAGACGTTCAAGGGGTTCTGGCGCGAGCTATCCAAGGAAGGGTGGAAGCCACGCAAGCCCGTTGGGCTCGGGAAGCACCACAGCTACGTGAAGCTAGGGGTCAAGGGTCGCCTGGACAATGCGCAACGCGGTGTGGATTACTTTGTTGGTAAGCACGTGCGGATGCCTTTACGAGTATCGTTTTGGGGACCAATGCTATTGCTTCATTGCAGGCGAGGAGGAGCCTATGGCCTTTGGCCGACGCTCGGGCCGCCTAAACCTCCTACCACCGCGCCCTGTAAGCGCTCCTTCGGCCACGCAACCTCCCACAGGGAAGCAAGCTTCGTATGCGGTGGTTGGGCGGAAGCCGCGCCCTATTACCGCCCCCTTGCCGGCTGCAGCTACGGGTACAAGTCCCATGGTCTCCGACGCCGCGGTTCCGCGCACGGCCGCTGCAGGAGACACACCTACTGCGGGTGGAGACGTCGGGGCTGTTGTGCCACCGCCCACATCACCCATCGCTTCAATTGGTACTGCTGCGACTCCAGCTTTGTCTGTACAGAACAAGACCATGTTGCTGTCGACGCTATTCCGGATGGTCCGGAAAAGACGATGCGAACTCGCGCCAATGACGAAGATGAAGCGAAGAGTGAAAGTGACCTCCATGAAGCTGATCAAGACTTTGCGGGTTTAGATGTTTTCGACGGCGACAGCTTCATGGAGGGCCTGAAGTGCGAGAAGCTGTTTGGTCCGGTCGACTCGGACGATGTCAACTTGCGCGACGCATCTGACACGAGTGATTCAGAGTCTGACGCAGATGACGAGGACGTGATGGCGGACAATGTCTACAGTGTGGAGGGCGTCGACGATTTGGACGACGTGCCAGTAGGCGAGGACGCCCCCGACACCGGGATGTTCGACATGACGGATGCCGAGCTGCGTGAGATTGTCAAGTCGGGCTGGATCATGTACGATGAGGAACACAGTGGTAAGTCCGGATGATACAGAATAAGTGATTCATTGCAACCACTGATACTGTATGTATTTGGTTACGACTTGAAGGAGAACTACAAAAGCCTGCAGCCACGGACTACTATGATGGACCGTGGGGTCCAACGCGCTCTGCGGTTGCGTACGCTGAATCGCTACTAGCGATGTTTTTCTACTTCTTGCCCAAGGCATTGTGGGTGCGGATCGCGAACGAGACCAACCAGTATCGCGAGCAGAATATAAGCCGTATTGCAGCTTCTCGCAGGGCCAAGCTCCTGGCTCGACAGCCCGAAGACCCTCGTGTCAGTGTCCCAAGCCTGGAAGAGATTGAACAAGGCCTGAACAAGTTCAAGCGCATTCAGCCTCATGAAATTGTGCACGTAATAGCACTAATGTTTGCTCGAGCTATTGCACCTGTCCGGGATGGTCTCGCCAAACATTGGTCGACTCAAAAAGACGGCGCAATCCCGCGGGGCACTTTCTCACGCTTCATGAAGCGTCATCGCTTCGAATCGATCATGCAGTTCCTACACTTCAACAACAACGAGGAAGGTGGAGCGCACTTGGACAAGGCCAGACCGGTTCTGCAGGCCGTGGAGAAAACCTTTCGCCACGGGTACCGGCTTGGAAAAGTGATCTCGTTCGATGAGGGCATGATGCCCAACCGCAGCAAATTCAACCCAATGCGCGTCTTTATGCCCGACACGCCCAGCAAGTACGGCACCAAGTTTTACATGACTTGTTGTGCTGAGACAGCATACTGCTCACGGTAAGAAACCTTATTCTGTACCATACAGAGTTTGCTATCATGGATGATATGGAATAACTAACATGCGCTTATGGTATTCTGTATTTGACTGGTTTAGAGTTGAGGTGTACTGCGGCGCAGACAAGGATAAGAAAAAGAACAACCCGAAGCAGCAGCAGAAGCAGAAAAAGAAGACACAAGAAGCCACGTTGGGCGTGGGTCCGAAAGCTGTTGTGCGCAACATTCACAAGACATTGCTCGGTCAGCCTATGAAGCGTCTGGTTGTTACGGATAGCTTCTACGCTACGGTCGCTCTCAGTCTGAAGCTGTTGAAAATGGAAATCTACCACGTTGGCACTACACGCATTGACCGATTGGGATGGTGTCCTATCCAATTTACGCATGCAAAGCGACCCAAGCGAATGCCGCGAGGCACGTATCGTATCGCGCAAGCCCGTGACCATCCGGAGCTGATTGCGTTGAGCTGGATGGACTCCAAGCCCGTCAACATGCTTGCGACTGGCTACAGTACGCAGGTGTCCAGTGTTCAACGTACCGAGAAGGATGGCTCGCAAAGCACAGTACCCTGTCCACAGCTGGTCGTGGACTACGGCCTCGGCATGGGCGGCGTTGATGTCCATGACCAGCTGCGTCTCCAACGCTACAGTATTCAGAAGTGCATTTCGCTACGCAAGTACTACAAGCAGTTGTTCTTGTGCATCGTCGACATGGCCGTGGTGAATGGATTTATCGTCCACTGTATTACACTCAAGAAAAGGGGAGAAACGCCACCTACACATGCAGCCTACTTGCTCCGCCTCCACAACCAGTTGCTCGCTCTCCGTACGATCCACTTCGAGACCCACATGAACGCCGAGGACTTGGTGTCGGTTCCTGTCGCAGAGCAACAGCACACAATAGTAAACACCGACACCTTCTACTCGAAGGGCAAGCATCACAAGCGTCGCCAGTACCTGTCCAAAGTCTGCTCCGCCTTCGCAGACCTCAACACCAAGTCGTTTGAGACGAGCTTCTTTTGCCCGCGCTGCAGTGACGAGTACGGCGGTCGCGTGCCGCTCTGCCGCCATGTGCGGCGTGAAGCCAGTGGTAACAAGCTTACTTGCTCCCAGATATGGCACCAAACTTGGAACAACGGCAAGCAGATCCCACCAAACCTGAAAAAGAAGATTCGCTTCCGCAAGCGTAAGAGAAGCAAGCAGGACGACCAGGAGTAAGTAAAGCACAGCAAGTTAGCCCATTTAGATTCTAGTTGTTTCGCGTGCATGTGACCTTGAATGTGCGGTAAAGCAATTGCCCTGTTCCTCCTCACTAATTCGTAAGTTAGGAACTGGGCAATTTCTTCCTCCGCGCGCGATCGCGACTGACGCGTGGCACCTAGGGACGAGTGGCTGGGGTCGGTACTCTCTGGAAGTGGACTCGCATCGAACCCGCCAGGTATTCTATTTCTGAAGGATTTAGCCTGTGTGTTACGCTAGAGAGGGCCAATAGAATGCCGACATTTTTTTCAGATGGTAGATACATTGTTCGGCTTTTGTCTGCTTTCGCCGCTACTTTGTGCTGGTAGTGCACGATTCCTGTACCGTCGCCCAATAGAGGGTTGCAATAGCATACTTCCAGCAGTTTTAAGGTATATTTAATCAAGTAATCTTATTCTGTATAATCGCGACAGAATAAGGTGGGGCTAGAAGGGTTAAGGCAGGGCAGTAATCTTATTGTCGTCAAAGGCGGGTCCATTCGTAAACCCTGGAGGCGCTCGTGAGTAGTTCCCGGTAGTTGCTATCGAGCGCATTGCTGCTGTCTGCGTAAAATCGGAAGATAAGTTATTACTCCCGATGGGGAACCGTACACGAGGACTTCGCGGTAAGTCTAATCGATGATGCCTAGACCAGCATCTGATGCGTCAGGTTTTACTGTGAAATTTGCAGGTGAGTGGGTGTTGGTGATTCAAAGGAAGAACCCATTCAGCATTGGCGACCCGAGGATGTCTTTCCACCCGATTAGGTCTTGCGAGGAGTCCATCGTTGAAGCGTACCGGAAGTGTTGTAACAAGGTCTGATCCAGATGGCAACTTACCCAGGAGATATCGTATTGCTTACGCGCGAGAGTAGCGCGATACATATAGCTGGGCATTTTAGATTTAGCGTGGACCAGGTGCTCCGAGAATACAGAAAGAGTAGATTTTTGAGCTGCTTCGGCAATAAGTTATTCCACGGAGGTCCCGAAGTCAGCCAAATAAGATATTCAGTACCTTGCCGAAATTCCAGCAGATAGTTAAGACTCTACAAACCTAACCGTTCACAATCTTCAAGACCGTATAGCCGAAAGGTCCACGTGTTTGGTGTTCTCAGCATAGTTGCCACGGACGAAGTAGGTAACATCCGAGAAAACACGATCCGATAACGGAAGAATCCCTTCGAGGAGCTTGACGTGACTCTCGGAGGAGTAGCTGGTATTGTCGTCATCGATCGATGGTGCAAACGCCAGCACCACGTTGTCAATCGGCGTGCTCAAAAACCGCAAACACCGGCGATAGAGCTCGGACTGGAAAGGCCACGTGTCGAATATTATACCGAATACGACAGGAAGTACAATTCGATGTCAACATCGAATTGTCACGCGACGAAATAGAATGTGTACTTAAGCATCGTCTCAGACGAGAGGTGCTTCAAATTTGTGTACTTGGTAACGCTTGGTTCCTCACACCGATGAAGAAGAGATGACAAGCACCTATGTGTTTGATATTATGTTTTAACCGTATTTTGGATTTATGCATTTGTTGGCGTTGACTGCTACGAAATATTGGACACGGGGTTGATAGTAATCGCCAATAAAAAAAAATCACAAGGGCACACAACATTCGCCTGACCAGCCGGTCACGCGTAAATAATTGGCGCCTGCGCGTGTCCGCTTGACCCGGTGGTACTGGCACGCTGTGGCCTCGATGCTTCTCGCGTGATTAAACTCGGTAAGACCCCATACGCGTTATGGCGTTCAACGATGGTGATGGCCTCAAGCTGGCCTTGCGAGACACTGTCAATCCTCTATAGCGAGAGGAGGTAATGCACGGCGAAGGCCTCCAGCGCAATTGTATTTCAGATAGCACCAAGCGGCGGCGGATGCTGAACCGGCTGAGGCGATTGGACTGCCGGCTCAAATTTGAGCTTATCCGACAGGGCCAGAGAACTAAAGCGACACGCAGCGCAAGCTCGTTGACGCTATTGTTAGCAACTACAACGTGCAACTTATACCCCGATCCCGGTGCCCCTGCCCTGGTCGTAGGACGTACCTGCTAACGTCAGACGTTTACTGCTGACGTGAAGTCACTAAAAAATTCAAGATGCTGCTAGAGGAGACGATCCCTGCTGGCGAATGCGTGATTGACTGCCAAAAGATGGTACATTACCAATTCGAGTTCCTCCTGCGGACTGCTCAACCGACTCGCAATTAGTTAGACCGTGCACTGGTGCCCTCTCTGCCACAATACACGACGGTAATGATACGCACCGCTGCGTATGTATTAAGAAGGTTTAGCCTGAATATTCAACTTCCGATGTGCATATTTTGATTTGTACATACGCAGCACGACCGGCTCTTCCCTTCCAGAAAGACCTGCAAAAGCGCAAGGCTACCACCGACTCCAGGTTTAACGAGCGGTGCGATAAGCTGGCCAGGTCGGGTGGGTCGGTGGTATCAGCGAAGCCATTAGTACCTACGACATGGCGGCCTCGTGAACATTCAGCTGGGAAAGAAATTCTAGCTCCACATCGACGCAAACAAAGGCATGACCAGCAGCCTAGAAGAAGCATGCAACACCAAGTGCTTTCTCGCCTCATCGGCACTCGATCATATACCTGGGTAGCCCATCCCCACGGAATGGCAGCCTGGTCCCCGCTACGCGCAGTGCCTCTATCACGGCCCTTGCAACTTCACAACACCCACGGTCACATCCGGCGTATGGGTCTGAAATATCTAAGGACGGTGGACAACTCAAGCGGCAGCTACCAACGGATTGTGCGAATTCAAAGCCGTGATACTAAATTGTATTTCTCCCATTCACATTATATCGGAAGCCTAATGTAAGTATATCATGCAGTGTCGTTGATACGACTTAAATACCCGTCCAATCGTGGTCCGAACACCACTGGAAATGTATCCCATTTCGTACATACTACCGAAAAGCGGCGTGCCGACGTCCACAAGCCTACATCACTACTCCACGACAGCAGTAGGAGTACTGGAATTGTCATGATGCAGCGTGCCTGCTGCTGGCACCCACGCAAGCGGGTATGCCAGCAACAGACATGCTAAGGGAAGACGTACCTGGTGGCGAGGAAGGCAGGCATCCCAGCGCCGCCACCTCCGCCGCCACAAGAAGTCCATGCACAACGTCGCTCGAAGGCTGGCGCCAGGCTTGCGCAAGACTGCCTGGCGCCCGGAATCCAGAACTCTACCTCTTGCTTGCTTGTGGGGAAAATGTAAAGTGAGATTGATCGGTTTAAGTCTTCGGGCTAACTACGTGCTCTAGGTCTTCCTCTAGGTTCTCCTTAGTGTCGTTCTCGAAGTGTGTTAACCTATACTAAATGCAAGTGTTTTCTGTTTTCGTAATCCTAGATATGCGTGCTTGTGTATATGCGCCCACCACAACCACTCCACGCACCTTCGCTACGGCAGGCTCCAGCTCACCCGGAGCCTGTCAAGAATCGACAGCAGAAGTAATAGCAGCATCACTTGCCTGCACAAAAACAACAGATCGAATTGGTTCATCGGAAGTATGTAGCTCCGTTTCCTTTTCCCAACCCTTTTGTATGCGAACATGTGATTGTAACAATAAAAAGCTTGGGGTTAAACTTTGGTGCTTCCGTAAGCGTGTTAAAAAAAAACGGTAGCACTACCGTACGTGAAGATGTGACTCTAGCAAATCGAAACTTGATAACATATTGAAGCCACTCAGCGGATTTTGCTGCTGCAATTACAATATACTAGAAGCTGCAGAGGGCGGACGCCCAGACTGGAACTTGACATCGGTTTCCGCAAGACAATTGTTAACTTAAACAGTAGGTAGTTTTAATCCCTCTCCCGCTATCTCACCAGCCTTCTCCATATCAATATCCCGCGCCCCCCACTCCGCTGTTGCTTGCGCTCGTGTCCTCGCCACCCACCGCACTGGGAAGTGGATGCTCGTCGCCGACCACAACGGGATCCCACCGACAACTGCTCGCCGCATCTTTGAGAGCGGTCGGATCAAAGCCACCCACGAGGCGTACTTAGACGACAACTATACCTACACGCTCGCGGCCATGGTGGACATGGTGATGTTCGACATCGGCGTCGACCTGAGCCAAGCGACAAGCAGAGATGGAAGTTGTATGCACTGAACCAGGTAAGAAGTTTGTACAGTACAGACATCGTACTAATAATAATCTGTTGTAGTTCGAATTGAGCCCCAAACTTGCAACAACAAAGTTAACCCCTTGAACCCGGCAGCCTGAAGTTAGCGACACTTTCTTAACGTGGACCATACAAGTTAAGCAATTTTATACTTGTTTTTGTATAGTCTGTTGCAAATTTCAAGTAATCAAAGGTTAGAGAGTGTATCCATGCTTTCCCGAACAATGCTACTATAGACATAAATGATACCTCGAAAAAGGCCATCATCCCATCGGAAGATCGGCGGTCTTGACGAAGTTCAGCCGGCGCCACACGAAACTGCCTCACGCGCAGATTTTCACGCTCGCGCGCAGAACATCGCCGCTACCCCACAGAACCTCGCCTCCCACAGAACCTGCCGCCCCCCGCAAAGAGCCGTTAAGACAAGGGTACCCGCAGGCAAGGCGTATTCGCATCGGTAAGTGTTAGTAAGCCGTAGGTAATTCTGCAAGTTATTCTGACTGTGTTTGATGTGCGTGAAGTTTTAGGCGGCAAAAAAACCGAAGAAAGGCTGATCTCAGGGTACTGGATGCTGATACCAAAGTCGTCGAGGCAATGGTAAGTCTGCCGCTCCCGCTAGTCATCAAAGTTGATTCAATCTAACCGTACGCATTTCGTGGTACCGTGTACTTGCGCAGCGTGGCGCAGCCTCTTCGATCCCAACCAGCAGGCCGAATTACCCTTCTCGCTTCACGCCGCTTCACCCGATTTGACCCCTACCACGTAGAGCCTCACTTTGACCCACACTGGTTCGACGATTCACCGTTTTCACGCTGGAGCGGTGCGGAGGCTCTAGTGGAAGTCCACGAGGTCATATCGAGTATGGTCCAAGATATCATCTGTCTAATCTTGCATATGTGGTGGTTATTCTGTGCTCCAGAACCAGGTTCGCTTTGATTTTGCTTCCACTATTCAAGACCACCTCAAGAACACGTGGTGGTGGTGGTGCTTGATTCTAGCCGGCAATGCGATCAAGGAGCTATTATTTCAAACCGTTCGGGACGCAGGGCGCACCGCTCGCTGTCGTATCATATCTGGCGAAGGTCAAGCGGGGTTGGCAGGAGCGCAGCGTCTGGTTGGTACTCTAATACATCGGTTGCTTCTCCGAGCGCACAAAGCAAACACAAGGCACAGCAATCGATGATCCGGCGGACGGAGTATTTTTCAATATAGATTTCATAGTTGTTTAGGTAGCATAACCGCGTAATGATACTTGTATTGAGACACAATGGGGTTCCGATAGAGACGTGCATAAAGTTTGGGCGTGCTCCGCTGTTTCAATGGTGGAGAGTTATAGTGGGCAGTACTGTATACAAGTTTGATTTCCCTAAGTTCCGTTACCATGTATAGTACATCATTACAATATTGTGCCTTTCACTTATTCTGCCGTGATAATTCTAGCATAACCCTAATCCCTTATCGACCTTAATTGCGCCCCGATTTAGCTAATTCCCATGTTAATTCCGGGTCGTCCCTCCGTGGCCGAATTAGGAGCGGCGATGGTGAGGCCGAGTTAAGGCGGAATGAGCTAATCCAGCCTGCGTTAGGCGGAAACAGAGTGATTGGTGGTTTCCTACCTGCCAATCCATGCCATTCTGCTCGTATCTCCGTCGATTGGCTCTCAAATGCTGATCGCGGATGTTAGGGGAAGCGCGTACAATCTTAGGCAGAATTAGCACTTAATAGCGTTGATCGCCCTTTTATGACTAATTCTGCCTGGATTAACAGCTCACCCGCCAAAATACGTGAAAGGCACAATAAATATTCTTGCATAATACACTTTAAGGCTACATAACAAGCTTTGCCACCAGAATCATGCACTTGCATCAACCAAAGTTGAGGATCGTGATACAACTACTTTCGATTCTGCTAGTGGCAATTCTGGCCTTAATCAATTAAATAAGCTCAACGTACGAAGATAGTATATATGGTGGCCCATGTTCTGCTTAGGGATGGAATGGCACACCATAAAGAGCAAAACGGACATGCTTCGACATGTAGTTGATGGGCGCTTTGCAGAACACTACGGTACGGTGCGTGAGGACCCCTCACTGCGGGAGTACCAGGAGCTATCGTATGATGCGTCTGTGGTGGTGGGTGCCCGCCCATCTAAGCACTTCTGCCCGGAGGTGACTGACGTATGTGCTGGTTGCGTCCGTCAACTTGTATGGAGGGATTGTATAGCCATAGGACACATCATCCGTCTCAGGCCGCATCTGTTGTTGCTGTTGCAATTCTACACACTTCAATCGCGGCTGTGAACAGCTTTTTCACGTTTGTAACACATTGCCGTACTGGCTTTGCTGTGCAACAAACACGTTAATCCCTTAATGATGTATACCGTAATTTCGTAGTCCTAGGCAACGTTTATTCTTTAGCGACACGGAGATCTAGCCAATCGGAGTGTCAGATTTTTACCATATGGCACTGTCTATTTTTACCTTTGCGTACTGCTAATTCGACACTCATACCGCATTCCAGTTTTACGCGACTACGAGGCATGGGTCGCCCAAGCACCACCTGGCAGGGCAAACAGCGCAAGCAGTACAAGCGACACGCTGTTGCGTACAGCGACAAAAAAGCCTGGCTTGAATACCTCGACAAAGGGTTCTCGGTCAAGCAGTGCATCGTGCACTTCTGCGGAGAGCTACCCCGAAAAGAATACCGCGCAAAGGAGAAGTCGCTTAGCAAATGGAAGAAACCAGCTAAGCAAATTAAGGCGGCTTCTAAATCGGGTCGGGCGAGTCATTCTAACGGGCGGAAGCTTGGTGATGGTGCGGAGCCGAGTAAGGAAGCTGAGGACGAAATTGTACAGTGGATCAACGGATTGAGGCAAGAAGGCGTGCCTGTTTCTAGGTTCATGTTAGAGAGTGAAGCTAAACTAGTTGTGGCTGATCATGACGTCCCTCCCGACAAATTGTCAGCTTCACCGACGTGGATGAAGCTTTTCATGAGACGGCACAGGTTCTCGCTGCGCACAAAAACTCGCCAAGGACAAACGACTCCCCAGGATGCAGTGTAAGAAGCACGCAAGTTCCGTGGCTTGGTTCTCCAGACTGCGGTCAAGCAGAATTGCACCCAGATCTTTAATGCCGATCAAACCGGTACGTATACAAACTTTTTGATTGATGTTCCTTTTTCTGAAAAAAAGGAACAACCACTAAATTTATTCAAAGCTGTCTTTTTTGAGTCTGTCCCAAAGCAAACAGTAGATAAAAGAGGAGCCAAGACGGTTTGGGTCACATGTGCCAACAAGGACAAGCAACGTTCCCCCCAAATGCTACTAGGCGACTCGTGTGGCACCGAGTATGATCCCTTCATCGTATTTAAAAGCTCGCCAGCCACAACGTAGGCCAAACGGGAGGAGAACAATGCGGTTCGGCATGGTTTTGGTGAACCGACTTGGCGCGAAGTAAGCAAGCTCCAGCAACAGCATCCCTGTCAGATTTTTGGCAACAAAACGGCCTGATGGAACACCGAAATTTCGTTGAAGTTCTTGCAGTATCATTTTGCCGAGCGTGAAAATCGGGACGATAAGGTTCTTCTGTTGTGGGATGACTTTTGCGCTCATTGGACAACGGAGGTGACAAGTTACGCAGCTTCGCTGAATATCGTGCTCTTGAAGATCCCCCCGAGATATACGTACGTATGTCAGCCGGCTGACATAGCCTGGAATAAGCCTTTCAAGGGTTTATTACGCTCATTGTGACTGAAATCACAACTTGTAAACTACAACAAAGGTGAAAAAAGCGCCAGGAAAAACGTGAAAAACTGGCTGCGGCTATACTGGAAGCCAGGAAAACTCTCAACCAGCAAGATGCAGACAAGAAAATCGCCGAGCTCCGTGAACAGCACGTGGAAAAGGCGTTTGCACTGGTGGGTCCTTCTCGAACGCACATGACAGAGTGGATCACGTCAAGTTGGTTTGCACTGTCGGCATCTACCATACTGAGCGGGTTTTCTAGGACGGGGTTGCTGATGGATGACCGTGTAGTGGCCGCTGAGGACGATGAAGAATCGAATACGGAGGCGTTAATTCAGTTGCTGGAGAGTTACAACCTACCTGAGAAAGAAGTCAACTCCGACGATGACATTGGAAGTGACTGTAGCTGCAGCGATGCGCAGAATACTAAAATTGGCCTTGGTAATTATAATTCCTAGTATTTGTGCACCATATGATAACAAATCTTGTTGGTGCGGTGTCGCCTAGGACTATGAAAATACGGTATGGCAATTGCTAAAGCATTCTAAATGGTGAACCATACAAGAAAACAAGAGAGGTCTTCATCGAGGTTTTGGGTTAGCCTGCGCCTGTCACCAATACAAGTTTATGAAATCAAATTGAGCTTTGTATTAGAACCCTTCCCCGCACATACACGTTAGAGCGTCTAGGGCTTCGGTTCAGATGGGGTACGGTACTACCCCGGTTTCAAGGGGTTAACAAGGTGGAACGCTTGCAATTCGCCAAGGTCCAGCGCAAGCACATGTCCAATGGCGATTTCACCCTCTACTACGACGAAAAGTATGTCAATGTGTACTGCAAGCGCATGCAAGGGCGCGCATAGAAGGATACGATGGCGAGGGTAGTGCTGCTGCCGTCTGTGTGGCTGTGAGCGATATTGTGGCCGGATGCGAATGGCCGAGGCTCCATGTGTGTTTGTTCGGCCAGGCTAGCATGCACGGCGGTCGAGTAAGTGCGTGGGTGGGTGAGTGACCAAACATGGATCTGTTACTACTCTTACATGTACCTTCGGAAGTGATGATTGAAAAGCAGCATTTCTTTGGAATCAGTAGCAAAAACAATCGTGTATTTTTCTGAGAGCAACCCGAAGTCGCGTCCAATACTGCCGGTCATAGTGAACGCAACCGTAGTGGTACATGCTGGCCTTAGAAAACCTGCGGTATCTTGAGCCTCTTGAACGTCCGACACCAAAGGCAGGGTTTGAGCGAAAGCCACGATCGATTCGTCGGCTGTGGCATTCTCCAGCTTAGTCCTCAACCCGGAAATGCAAGCTTTCCACTCTGCAAGTTTGCATCCACATCTGACGGAATGCACGCAACTAGCGTGTACATCATATGCTCACTGCAACGGAACTTCGATCTTGTTGAGCTCGGAAGTTACGTTAACGCAGAGATTCGTCATCTGAGAGCACAGCTCTTTTGTGCGAGCTTCATCGATATGGTCAATGAAGAGCTTGATGAAAGCTTTCTCCGTAACCGTCGTAGTCGGTCTCCATGCGAGTTTGCGATAGGGTTCGCGCTACTGTTGGATGTCCCGGGTCGTCCTATGATGCTAATAAGCATCCAGCTGTAACATAGGTCATACTTTAACTGATCAACACTTGCTAAAACAGCACCTCAATGTACTCGCCCCTCCAACTTATGTTTGATGAGGATCTGGCTCTTTGCCACCCTTCGTCGCGTAGTTGATCCGGATTCGCCCCGGGCAGGAAGGGGGGCAACCCCTGTGCCTGGGTTTCGCGCATTTCCTTCAGCGTTGCATCCGCCGTCCCTCCCAGAAGCCTCACCTTAGTCTTGTCACATTGCCTTTTATTGTCACATTGCCTTTCCAGCACTAACCGCACACCTTGCTCGGATATTTCAACAACCATGTAGACGCCAAGTTTGACTCCGCCCACGGCATTGGCTATCTTATTAAGTTCAGAACGGACACTCATCAGTTAGGCGCCCAGGGCCCCCGCGTTAGATTTAACGCCAGCTGCCATGGAGTCCGTCTCCCGCATGAGGTCCACTAGCAACTTCCCTCGGTCTTTTGTAGCTTCGGCCGCAGGATTGGGCCAGACATTGCTCGAACATGCTAACGGTTGCGTTGCCTGACTAGCTGCCGTTTCCAACGCCCTTACTTGTCCACTGACCTGGACCAGTTTAGCAATTAGTCGAGCGGTTTCCTTTTCACTGCGGCTAGCGTCTCTTCAGCTGCGAGCGCACGCTTCGTCTCGGTGTCGAGATGAAGCTGAAGCGATTTTGCGTGTTCTCGTGCGCTTGTCTCAGATGCCTTGGCCTTCTTCTTTGCCTCTTGTAGCAGCTGAACAACTAGCTTCTCTTGCGCTTTAGTCCTCGTTATAGTAACTTGTAACTCCTCGATGAACTGCTCCTTTTACCTTCCGCAGCCTCGTACGCCTGATCTACCTTCTGCTCAGCTTCTCGCAAGTGCTTATGGCGATCGCGGTCCCGCTGGAGTTCCTCGACGTGGCATGTCAGAGCCGCGAAGGTCGCTTGGCTACCACCATAACTATCAGGGCACCATGACATGGTTGTAGATATGAGCGGCCCCAAGGTTGTCAACGTGCCCGTTATTTCGCCCACCTATAGCAAGTGCCATTGAAGATTGTCGGACATCGCCAAAACACAGACGGAAACAATAAATATTAACGAATAGGATTTATTGTTGTGACATTAATGGAAAGCTGATTTGACCTATATCCAGAGTGACGATACAGGATTTTATCGACGAACTCTTGCTTCCGCGTACTCCAATACATGGTGAGCTTTAAGACAGCGAGAAGGCCTTGGCGGAAAGCGGTCTCGCCGTGACGCTGGATGCTGTTAGATGCAACGTTACCGCAAAGCCGCTTCACGCCAAGATTATACACCGTCGAGCTGGTACAAACTGCATTGCACGTTTTTTGTGATTGGATGTACATCCTTCCTCAATCAAAATTTACTGGCGATGAAAAATAGTTCATCGACTTTTGGTCTTGCGCTTCTTAGTCTTGGGCTTTATGCGGACTCTCTATGTTCATCCTCCTTCGAATACCGTACAACAATTGTCGTATCCAGCAGTCAAATACTAACAGTCCCGGACATCATCGAGCCCCCAATTACCAGTTGAGAGACTTCTAATTACCCGATTTATATGCGGTAAAGACCAGTTTGTTGCATTTTTCAAGCGCTTTCAAGAGGTCTTTGCCTCGTCTTAATCTGGGCACTAACCGTTATAAAAAGGAGCAAAACATCTTATCAATAGACGCTTCTGTCCGGTCATAATCGCCCCAAGACTACCCAAAATAGCTAAATTGGGTGATATCAGACCCAAAATAGAAGAAGCGGGACATACTTGTCGGACAATAAAATGGACAAGCAGAACGTCAAATCTGAACTTGCTGAAACAGGAACGGCGATACTAAAAACTGTAACCCGTCTTCCAGGAGTGTGCTGATACCAAACTCTTCTTACTTTTTGCTGATTTTTTTCTCTATCTGTCCATGTAAATATAGTGATAGGTCACTCAGGGGGGGGGCTCGATGGTGTCCGGGACTGTAAGTACGGAGTCTACCTTGCGAAGGTGATAATCACAGAGGAAAACGTAAATGAAAGGATACATATGAGAATTTTGATATTGTAGCGTTTTGGATATTCGCCTCCCATCGTCTGTTACGAAAAGCAACGCTCCCCAGCAAGTTGCTATGGAAACTCGGTGTGAATTAGTGAGCACCAGATTGGTGTCGGATACAACAATTGCATCTGGAGTGATTACGTTCTGACCAAATATTTCATTTTGATTGGATAGATTCCATTGTCGGAAATGACATTTTGCTGGAAATGACATTTGCTATACGGTATGCATTGACAAAAGCATCTACACTCAGAAGGTTTTTTTGTACACTGGAATACAGTGAACGGTTTAAAATTATGATTCCCAACGAAGCAATAATAAAATATCACATTAGCTAACCTCGACAAAACAAAAATAATTTTAAATTTGATTAGTACCTGGTGAATCGCTCTTGCTTGGTCTTTTGGTATAACGTACGGAACAATAAATACAATATAATAACCGCAAATGCAGTCGCAACGCCTTGCTCAAGACACTTGGTATGAAGCTTGGGTTTCTCATACATTTCGCGTAGGTCGTTGTATCGCATTTAGTTCTTGCATAGATCCGCATAGGCATCCTCTATAACTTGCAACTCCGATGCCAGCTTCCTCTGTTGCTGCTGAGGAGCCCGAAGGTGCGTCGTGTAAAAATATGCGGTCTCTACGATGGTGATAAAATCGTGGGTAGCTTTGGCTGAGACTGTTAGGTGTGCTGCCGTGGTGAACCTTCTGAGTGACGGTCGAAGTCATTCAGGCCTTTCCCAAGCCGACCTATACTGCCATGGTCGAAAAAGATTTGGAAATGACACAGACTGAGCAACTTCCACAGTCAACAATGAACACAATAAATAATACACACAAAGAATTTACGCTGAATGTTTGTTTCTTATAAGAAATTCGGTATTTTCGTTTATCTACCTCAGTGTCCAATCCGCGGCTTTCATTAATCGGGCTGTTATGGACTAATATCATTTACCTGTGTTATACACGAAAATCATTGTATTTCAGAGGGGGGGGGGGTCCACGAGGTCACCGTCCGGTTCCAGCTCGTCTCCCACCTGTGCGAGATCCCCTCGCGCCTGTAGTTTCATTTGCCCCTGACGCGAACAGTATCCCGGGCCGAAAACACCCAGTTGGTTGACTGTGATCCATGGCTAGTGGACCGGCTCAATAACGTGGTCATGGTGACCATGTTGCTCGACATCTTATTCCCGATCCTGCTCACCGCCCCCGGGTGGCTATTTCCTTACTTCGATCCTGCTCAACGCCGCCCGCCGAGAGTCACGGCTCGCGACTATTGCTGGGAGCTTATCACGGAGGACAACGTACGCGCGCTTCTGGACACCTATTCTTGGGACATTCTGGAGAACCCTGGAGACGCCATCTCGTATTAAGTAAACGTGGTTGGGCGACTTGGGATCTTGGTCCGTGAGTAGGGAATCTTCGAGGAGTATAATCTCATGTCTTACTGGGAATGGACCCACCACTTTCCTATTCAGGATGCCATGGCCAAGAAGTGCCCGTGGCTCTGACGGCAACACCCAATAATAAGCGTCGTGAAGCGCGTACCGTATGCGCTTCACCACCCGTACGCGGCGTACGCATTGCAGGACATAGCTCATTTAATACTAACTTTGGGTAAAAACGTGCGCAGCAATCGACTCGACGTAGTTTAGTTGCTCTGTGACTTGCTTGTGTTTTGTATGGGCATGAAGGCGAGCACTAAGCTAGATCTGACCCCCCCTGATGAACGCGGAGTATACCTTGCTCTGACACGCCGCGCACGACATCAGGGCTGTCTATACTATAGAAGCTCTTCCAACACGCGACGTACAGGCCCCGCAACATGCTCAATCGTTAAGAAGAAAGCTTGTGCCTTCCTTTTAGCTTCAACGCTAGTGGCGGAGCTACCTACAGCTGTCTCGGTGCAACAGTGCGCCGGGACGCATATGTAGTGCATGGATACAATCCTGAACTCATTGCCGCCGCAATCCACTCGAAACGTAGAACAACGGTATACAATCTTGCGCAAAGAAACCCCCAAGCGTGGGTATACTTATACCCCTTGAAGTAACAGGGTGTGCGCTCTAGACGTCTTGGGGCGTGCTACCTCCGGTCCGAAAAACAATATGCATCCACCAGATTGAACTATTAGTGATAGGCCAATCAGAATGAAAGTAATATTTAGGCTCAATATTCCGCAACCAAACCAATGTTTTAGACTTGAGCATCAACAGTCACAACAGCTTCCGCCGAACACGACAGACAGCGAGGCAGCCTGCCATTCTTCATCAGCGCATCCTTTCTCAGGTGAGGGATGTTGTAGCTGTTGCCACCACCAGCAAGCCTTGAAGCCTAAAGTACGCTTTGCAGCGTAAGAAAACACATGTTGGTGGTGGCACTTGCCATTTCCTTGAACGCGGCATTCACGGCCGCGATGAGCCCGTCGAAGTCCCGCGTCGGCTTATTGTACTAGCGAGCAGAACAGCTCACGTCGAGAACATTAAAGTCGGGGCTTCGCGGTGGCTGGTTGGCGAACTTAATCGACCAGCCGCCAGCTGCAGCCGCTGATTTCACTGCCGTCCGGTCCGAAGCGCGGTGAGACGGGGCGTTGTCTTGCTGTACGATCACCTATTCCTAACCTGTCCACAAAAGTTGTCTACTCAGCACAAAACATGATAAACAAGTCGCAAAAAATTACTAGCCAAACGCGTTGGGATGCGTGCTGCGTCAGCATGCGCTCGTACACGTCCTTCGTCATCTCGACTGGGGTTGTGGCAGGAGTTCTATTCGGCCGGTTCTTGCTGCTGCGGGCAGCCAGCGCAGCGTGGTCCGGTTTTTCACTGGAGCCGACGCAATCTTGGCCATTATGGCCCTATCTGGGAAAGCCCGGGGCCGACCGCGGTTGTAAGGCCACTGCACGGCAATAGTGGCGCGACCGCTCCGCAGCTTGTACACTGTGTTGCAATGGCAACTGAACCGTACTGCAGCTTCCGAGCTGCCCCCCCCCTGTAGAAGCTTTCCGCAGGTGGCCATGTCCAAAAGGAACAGCACGATCTCCACCTTCGTGGCGAGCGGCAGATCTTTGGCGTTGGGAGTGCGCGGCATCTTGGAAGGTCATAGGTAGAAAAGTGGTCGGTGGGGCTGGGTTTTAGCGCAAGTTGGCGGAGCTTTGGCGCCACCAGGGCTGCGAAAAGTTAATGGCTCTGAGCCAACAAAATAAAAAATGTAATTTTGTTCAATCGGAAGGCAAAAATAATATGTGGTCACATCATAGTTGAAGTTACCATTGTTTTGCGGACCGGAGGTAGTAGTTGCTTTGTCTTTAACCGGCGGTGTCTCTAGCTCGTGGTCAATACCAAGTCCCTCCGCTACGTTTTGAGGCTGAGGCCGCGGTCACTCTTCAGTACCTCAACCTCCACTTGCCCGTCCACCACGACTGCGTCAACACCTTTCTCCATGCCACTTAACCCGTTTGATCCATCTTCACGACTGATTAAGCCAACACTGCGACGTCCCCCGCCCCCAACTTACCACTAGTTTTCCGATCACAGATCCGATCATCGATGCGACAACTACCCGAACAGGGACCAAATCAGTTCCGTATACGATCCGATTTAGAGCTACCTGGCTGATCAACTACCCTACCCGACCCTTAAAGACCCATTTTACCACAAAATAGGAAAAGCACAATGCGAAATGCAGGTGACACCCAAAATATGCGGGTGTCACACAGATAAGACAAGGACGTGGCCGAGGTAGAGGGAAGCGAAGACAAGCCGCCCCCCCCATCCCGCGGCCCGGCCACGCGTCGCCGCCTAGGCTCCCAATTGCCCCACTTTCGAATCAACCAAGCACGGCACAAGCCGCGCGTCGTGCCTCGGCTGCACGCTCAAGGCTCAAGACGGCTCGACGGCGCTCGCAGCGGGCACGGCGGTGATAAAGCAGCTTTACTCTGCGTACGTGGGCATCAGACAACGGCTTGTGCGGAACGGGTTGAAGGGCGGCCCCCTGAACCGTTCTAGCTCGAGACTGGAGGCTGGCGCTCACGTATGCGTAGTATTGCTTGCACACGACCAGCGTCACAAGACCACGGATACTTGTGATTAGCGTAGAAAGTCGTATGTATTAAGTGTCGAGTAGAAACTAAGATAGTATTTCTTACGTGTGCTTCTTGCTTCAGTCTTTCTGTGCCTCTGCTATGCTGAAACCACGCTCGACCTTGCGGCGCTTGCGCGGACTAATTTTTTTTATCTATGTGGAGGTAGTTTGCCGACAGACACCCATGTAGGTTCCCATCTAACCGTTTCGGTCGTCGAGAATAGTTCGAATTTGGTATGTCGGTCGTCCTTGCAGGTCGACCCCAGTGGGTAGGACCCATTCTGCCTCCCCTGCGTTGTCACCCTACTGCGCAGCTTCGGCGAGTAGGGCTTTAGTGATGCAGTACTTGGGCACCGCATCCAGCAGGCGCTTGATTGCGCCTCCGTTACTTGAGGCGTCGTTTCGGATTACGCTCCACGACCTCAAGTACCGGGCGGCTGCCTTGGTAAGCCTACCCCCACCCCCGCGCTTTAAGGTACGTCATGCACATATTGAAAAAAGCCCTGAACGCGTTGGGGGGGGGCTCTTGGGCGGCGTCCGCTGCCTGCATCTTGGTAGTGCTTGGGAAGGAGGTCGGAGATATTTGGAAAATGAGTAGGAAGTAAGTAGTGCAGGAGGCATACGTGTAGGTTACAGGTTTTGTGGTAGTTTCGCTATAACAGATGGGAAGTGCAACACGACGTTATTTTAGTTAAGCGAGACAACAGCTAACAGAAGTCAGTGCTCAGTGCATGCCCGTCGGTACGGGGTCGTCCAGCAGGGACGCGGGAATCGATGGCACGCGACGTGCGTCGCTTTCTAGGCACGGAGCGGTTGACCAGTGTCCACTTTCTGTTCAGATCGGTGTAGTACTTGACCGGCAGGGCGAAGATGACATGGATGCAGATGACGAACTTGAAGATGTGCATCCGCAGGTTGAACGCGAACAGCATTGGGGGTTGGGGATACGAACAGGAACTCGATGCTTGAGCGGCTTGGTGCCATGTCTTGAAGAAGGTCCCACTACTGGAACTCTTTAACGCGGGCCTTCAGCTGCTATGTGGCTTGACGTACTTCCTTGGAGGTAAGAGGGGTCATCACCTGGTGTCCGCAGCAGTCCGCAAGCAGTCGGATCAATGTTCCAATCCTGTGCTTGGTACGCAGCGTGTAGTCACGCTTAATCAGGCGGTTGACTATTCCACGGGGTTTTTCGTCGTGGCATAACTACCTGGATTTTGGAAACACTTCCAGCGGTTTAACTCACTCTTCACCCAAATGTTGCTGAAATAGGTGCCAAACACCTTCATATCTTGGTTGTCTGACTACCTCCCGAGCACCGTTTTGGCCTGTTCGCCATACGCTTGCTGGTCGGAAGCAAAGTACACGTCATATTTGTCGGCAACCACTTGTTCGCACAAACGGGCCGGTAGGTGTTTATGGACCGTGGCAATGACGTGGTAAAAGCACCTCGGGTAGGTGAGGTCGGACTCGACACCAAACACTTGGCTGACCGCTTTTAGCTGCGCAGCCTCCGCGTCGGCCATGACATACTTGAGCAGCAGCTGATGTTCCGTCCCCGCGGTAATATCGTTCGGAGGGCGGTTAGCGCTTGGACGTAGATCCCCTCCAGCCGCTGGGAGACGACAAACACTGTAACCAGGTGGAACGAGCGACCGCGATCCCAGACATCACAAATTATGACAGGATACGCCACTTGGTTCAACTGGAAGGTGCCGTCCATGTGGAACACGAACGAGTTGGGATCTCGAGCCGCGTTGCGCAACAAGGCCTTCGTTGTGAGACCCACGAAAACTGGGTCCTCGTCGTGTCCGTTCCTCAGATCTGGCTTGCCCTTGCCGTCCCGGTCCCAACCAAACGAGAACGGCTGGGTATCGGTAGTCGCTGGTCCAAATTCCAGTTGGTCGATCTGGTCCAGAATGTCCTCATAATCGTTGTTGCCGTGGTGACTTTTTTCTTAGCAAAGTAGCTGACGAACCACTGGACTTGACGCAGGGTAGGCATCTCCGTCACAGCGACCACAAATCGCCGAGCCATAGCCACGCGGATTCGGGCCTGCTTCAGGCCTTGGGCCCCCATTTCGCGCCCGTAGTCCCTCAACCGGGGAGTGAGTTGGGGTTTGCGAGCATTGTCTCTGACTACCAGTCTCCATGATCGTCACGCGATTCAGCTCTTGGCGGCTCAGACCCTTGTCTAACCACGGGCGGTCGGCGCATGGCGTTGCTGCCACGCATGTTCCCGAGGATGTTAAAATGAACCGTTTAAACAGAGTAGGTAGCTCACTACAATCTATTACCACTCTGTTCCGTAATTATATCTTCCTATGGACATGATCCTATCGGGATTCGCCAAAACTACGTCAATTGAAATATCACTGGTTGAAAATAAAAACCCTCGGCGAGCTCTTTTCATTGGTGAGCCTGCGAATTGGCAGCTCCATGTTGCCGAGCGGCGGCGGCAAAATGAATGGTCTCGATGGCCAATCTGGCCAATATGTCGCCCATCCTGCACTTCCCTCCCCGTTCAATAACTGCTGCAAGTCAGTCACTCGATATTTTCCATCGCCCTAGCTACCTCCCAACACCAACCACTTGCCCCCATGAGCTCGTCATCCGCGCCCACGTCCAACCCCAAGACCAAGACGAACATGACCGACACCGAGCGTGCCCAGGTGGTCGCCGCCGTGCTGGCGCTCCCATCAAACGGTGTCCCGAAGAAAGGAGTCTTCGTCGAAGTCGCCGCCATGTTCCCCTTCACGGTGTTTTCCGTTCGGCGAGTCTGGCTCCACGCCGACGAGAGTGCTAAGAGCGGCGGCGGCTACGCCACCACGCCCCGAATGAGAGGCCGCTGCGGACGACGCAAGCCCGATCGCAAAGCAAACCTGGAGCGCTTGCGAGCCGTGCCGCCTACCCAACGCTTCACTATTCGGTCCGCCGCCGCCGCCTACGGTGTGCCCCCCCCCAACCTCTCTCTACCGCCGCTTGCAAGACGGGCTTCTCCGCCCCGCGGTCAGCGTGACCAAGCCGCAGCTCACAGACGCGAGCAAGGCAACGCGTCTTTACTATTGCCTCGGTCACGTGAACAGCACTTTGAGTCTCTTTGACAAGATGTATGACGTTGTGCACGTCGATGAGAAGTACTTCTACGTGACCGAGGTCAAGAAGCGCTTCTACCTCCTTCCAGACGAGGACGTGCCGTACCGGCCTCTGCGGAGCTGGATGAACGTCACCGTTCTTGATCGCTGTGGCCCGTCCGAGGTGGGACGCGACCACCGGCATCATGTTTGGCGGCCTTATCGGTATTCAGCCGTTTGCGGAGCACCGCCCCGTCCAGCGATCCGCCGTAACCGCCCCGCGGGCACGATGGAGACACACAACGTGTCCGTGACCAAGGACGAGTACCGTAACAAGCTGATTCAGCATGTTCTGCCTGCCATTGGCGCAAGGATGCCGTTACCGCCAAACGGCACTAGAGTCGCGATTCAGCAGGACAACGCCCCGCCGCACATCGCCACGACCGACCCCGAGTTCTACCATGCCGTGCTGGAGTCAGGGAGAGACGTTGCTCTGCGTTTTCCGCCGCCAAACAGCCCCAACCTTAACTGCTGTGATCTGGGGCTGTTTACTGCTGTACAAGCTCGCCAGATACGCACCATTGACGAGCTCATTGAGGCCACGGAAGCTGCATTCTTGAAGCGTTCTTGTCGCTGCAGTGCTCAATGGATGGGTGCATTCGCGAAAACGGCGGCAACAACTATCGTATTGCCCACATGGCAAAAGCGAAACTCGAGCGGGAGGGACGACTTCCCGAGAGCATCAAGCCCAGCGAGGTGCCCGACTCATTTGTACACATGATGTCTAGTAAATAGACAGGCTCCATATTAAAATGAAGTATAAAAACAGAGCTATTTTTCAGAACAAGCTAAAGAGTGGTACTTGGCGATAATTCCGGAACGGACTTGTACTCTTTTGGTTATCCTCTATTCCTATGCCTACTACTATCGTCATCGCGAACTGATTTCTCTCGTATTTGCAAGAGTAACATGTTTGAGAGGTTTTACTTTTAGCTACAAAATAACTCGACTGGCAGACAGGCGAAGCCTGCTGCCACTATGCGAGCGGTGCGCTCTCGGCGCACCTCTTCATTCAACACTCCCACTAAGTACTAGGGTAAAGTTTCAGATCCCGCACTCCTAGCTTCTATATTTGTTTTAGAAAATCTTTTGTGGGGAGAGGTTTAGTGAGAATATCCGCAGTCATCTCTGTTGTAGAGCAGAAAGCTATTCTAAGGCGGCCGAGTTCAACAAGGTCCCTCGTAAACATATAGCGGATCTCAATGTGTTTGATTGTTTTGTGATTTCCAGGATTTTTCACAATGCTGATGGCAGCGTTTGCTGTCACACTATACCGTCTCTGAGATCTCCTACTTCAGACAGACCTCCTAATTCATACTAGCAATTAGGCGATCAGATCGCTTTAAAGTGCGAGCTCAGGATCGGAGATCTCCTAATTCATAGTTCAAAAATAGTGCCAACCGACTCTTTCATTACAAGAAAAGCGCCATGGGGCGCATCCCAATACAACGCACGCCCGGGCAGCAAGTAGGGAGAACGAGGACGTCCGGCACGGGAAAAGCCCCTAAGCCGTTCAAGCGTGTATCGATCACCTACAGTCACAAGCGGTCCGTAATAGAGTTCTATGATGCCATTGTATCGAAGACCAAAATGCATGGTACAGTCCAGTACTTCTATCCCGAGCTCCCAAAGGATTGACTTCTTCCCAAAAAGCGGCAGATTCACAACTGGCTCAAGCAGCAGGAGCTAATCGCGGGAAAATGCGAGACGGGATGCGGTTCGCACTGCAACAATCGCCCACTTGGCGCGTCAACCACGCTGCCGCACGAGATAGAACAGCAGGTCGTTCTGTGGATTAATTCTTTGCGCAGTGAAGGTGTTCCTGTGACCGGATCCATGGTTCGAATGCAAGCCAAGGACTGCTACGACAGCGCTGACCTCCCTTCCAATACATTTTCAGCATCACAGACTTGGCTTCGCTCTTTCCAGCGTCGCCATCAACTCAGCATCCACCGAAGATCAAGACAGAGCCAGAAAATGCCCGAAGACGCTGAAGAACAAGCTCCAGAATTTCGGCCAAAACGTTCGCAAAAAGATGCAAGAACTTGGCGTCGACCATGTTTTCAATGCCGATCAAACAGGTTTGTTTTATTTATTATTATTCTCCTCATTTGGCGTTTAACATTCTTTTTTCTAATGTTTTTGTGTGTTTAGTTATAAATTATGAGTATTCGCCCAGCCAAACCGTTGCCTGAGTTGGTGCTAAAACGGTTTGGGTGAAGGGTGCAGGGAAAGACCAGGTTCGTGTGACTTTAATGCTTCTCGGGGACAGCACAGGACGGCGCTATGATTAGTTTATGGTTTTTATAACGAAGCCCTCCAATATTTCCGAGCGGGCTTTGGAGAATACGACCTTCCAACTCGGATTTGGGGCGCAATTGTGGAGACAACTGCGCGGAGAACAGCGTGAGGTGCAATTGTATGGCAATGGAGCGGGCTGGTAGAATGGTGACATGCCGATTCAGTACCTATTGTATCACGGTTGGCCCAGGGCCAACATGAATGTGCCCTTTTGGCTTCTTTTACATGACTTTTCAGGCCATTGGAAGCGCAATGTTCAGATTCTCGCTCAGCTGTTTAACGTGGAGCTCATGCCGATCCCGGCCGGCTTCACATTTGCGTGTCAGCCGGCCGATATATCCTGGAACAAGCCTTCAAACGATATTATGCGCACAAATTAGGTCGGCAACATGCTTTTTCAGCTGCGCAACTCGACGGTAACAATTATGTTTAAGCTGAAGCCCCCAACCAGGCAGCAACTAATACGCTGAACAAAAGCTGCCTTGGCTAGAGAGCGTTATTAAGAGCAGATTTGTCAAGGAAAGCATTATTGAAGCAGAGCCTGCTCAAGCAGACGTGGGTAATGGACCAAAGCATGCAGCTCCAGAGCCAGATTGGGAACTACTCAGCAGGCTTCTAGAAGAAGTCCCAGTTGTGCGCCATGTTGTGGACCCCCGTCACGATATTGATACGCTTGCGAAAGAAGACGAAACATTCTAATTTTCTTGATAATACATGTATCCATTCATTGCTTTTAAAGGTACAAAAATACGTCGGTACATGTACATTTCGTGCCCACATTACAACAACACAACTTCAATAATAGTCTGAAGTAGGAGCTCTCAAATACGGTACCTGCACTGGTACCTTTTGCGGAAATCCCATTTCTTTTAGCAAGTGCCACAACCGCTCACTTTATTTAGCTCCTCACATAGTGCAATGAGTTTAGCTTCAGCAGTAGAGAGCGACACGCTTCCCTGCATGCTACCACACCATGACACACTGGTTCCAGCCATTTGGATTACGTACCCTGTTACGAATTACGTTCTTTAGGTTGACACGAGAAGCTCGCGTCAGCGTACACTTCGTAAGTCACGTCTCTCGTTTTTCCATCGAGAAACAGACCATGCGTTGACGTCCCTTTCAAGTATTTTAAGTACTCGCCTAGTCGCTTCCCAGTGCGTGCGGTTGTAGCAAGATAGAAATTTGCTCAATTCTCTAATTGTTGGCGATGTCCGGTCGTGTGCCATGGACCACGTATTGGAGTGATCCAACAATGCCTCTCTATTCGTACAGTGCCCGCCAAGTCATCAAGGCCCCCGCTTTGACGGTACACTTTTTTGTAATATCTAGGCCGAATTAGGATATACTGTTAAGATATGTTGTTATTATGGTCACTACCAACACGCTACTTGTGTTAACATCCGGGATTCATGAGTTCCTCGTGGGGCTCATATACGAATTGTGGGTTTTGGCACCGGCGCCAAAACTTAAGACCACATCCTTTATATGACAAATTACACATTTTTATTAGCCCACCATACAAACTTCTATATAAAAAAGTGATTGTCTAAAATGGATGGATGCAACGAGTTCACAATGGAGGCCAGCTCCTGCGGTCTCCGCCAGTCCCTCACTTCCGAATGGGCCGCGCCAAGGCTTATGATTATGATTTCACAGCGCAAGTAAATTGCAGAGCTGATCACGAAGTACAAAGTGGTCGATAGCTCACCGGTGATGACACCGCAAGCGCTTGGTCTCGTACTCGAGCCCGAGACGAGGAGATTGCCGCACAGCCTTATGTGCCCGCCAAATCATTAAGACCCCCGATTTGGCGGGACACTTTTTGTAATATCTTAGCTTGCAGGCCGAATTAGGAGATACCGTTTAGATATGGTGTTATTATGATCACTACCAACACGCTACTTGTGTTAAGAACCCGGATTCATGAGTTCCTCGTAGGGCTCATATACAAATAATGGCCGTATTGATGATGCGAAACCTGCATTCGAAAGCTTTAAAAGCGGGTTTTCCAGGTATATTGTTTATATGCGCTTAACACGATACGCTATCTAACTATCACGCCCGCACTGGAGGCACTCCACGACCCTTAATTTTTCTATTGTAACGAAACCGTGGGGTTGTATGGAGCAACTTTTGCAAGTACTTTACCATGATACTTTTAGTTTTACGTAAAGCCAACAAATAGCACTCCCTTTTCGTTGTTTTAGCCATCTGAACGATGAGAGTTTTTGCCGGTTAGGTTGATATACGACAAATTAGTGTTCGAATCCCATTTATTTCAGCCAATAGAACAAGACTAAATTTTAGACCTATGATTTATCAGACGATGTACTATGAATTAGAGGAACTGAAGTGCACCACAAAAACGATGGTGAGTTCCACTTTCTATCACAGCTGGGTCACATGTCAGCGCTGTCGGAGATGCACTTGACTGGAGTCTACACCGCTGCCTGTAGTGTGATAGCTTGTAGTCGTTGTGTCCATGGTGCTTGATCACTGTTTCCATAACGTTTTGAAGTGCCAGGAAACAGTGGTCAAGCGTGTTGGACGTTGTAGTGCGGAAGGCTCGTGCTACCGCGTGGATGAGCTAGTCGATTGTGAACATTTCTTCTTCGTGCTGTAGCGATTGAATCGAATTGAAAAAGCCCAAATGTAAGACGTTCATATCAGGCGAACGCGCTGGCTAACACTTCATCCTGATGTCCCAGCCATCCTCTTTGTCAGCGGTGGCAATATCCTCGTCCTTCTCGAGGACATGGGGGCTCGCACTATCCTGCTGGCTAAATATCACTCTCCGCTTACAACCTATTATTCATATTACCGCAATGCTCATGTCAAAGGGGGCTATATGTCATAGGCGGGTATCGTGGAAAGGGCACCGTACCTGCAGATAGCCATTTTAGGCAATTTTAGGCACTTACTACAGATATCCTAGTTTAAGACTATTTTAGGACATTTGTAATCTCTTAGGGTTGCAAGGCCATTGAGACGCTATACACCAGCCATTCTCGCATTCCACGTTGGCAAGATTGTTGCCCACCACTAGCCTGAGCGTACTAGCTCGACCAACCATGTCTACCCTTTGATTTGGCATTTAGACTGCGCATCAATTGCCACAACTCAATTTGCTCTTTCCGATGCGAAGGGGACGACGCCGAATTCATGGCGACGGCCGCAGACGCCGGCAATACCAACGCCAGGCGTACACTGTCGAGTTCAAGATTCAAGTCATTCAGCACCTCGAGGCTTCAGGCAGCATGAGGGCAACTCTTGACCGGTTCTTCGACGGCATGAGCGAGGCAAAGCGGGCCAACAAAGCAAAGCTAGTCTACAAGTGGATTGGCATGCGGTGTGCCCTTGAAGAGCGCGCGCAAAATGGCCGGTTAGCGTCCCAATTCCCTGGTCGTGCTTCCGGGGTGGGCTTGACCCTTCCTAGCGAGGTTGAGCAGCGTATCGTCAAGTGGGTCAATGACTTCCGGCGTGAAGGGCTCCCGATTTCAGCTCTCATGCTGAAGCTGCAGGCGTTGGAGATAGCACAAGCTGCTGGTATCCCGCCGGACCACTTTGCGGCGCTGTGGCAATGGCGCAGAGGGTTCACGCGTCGCCATAGGCTCTCGTTCCGCGCTCGAACCCATTTAGGCCAGGAGACGCCTCCTGCGGCAGCGTTACGTACCGCTGCATTTGCTAGAGAGGTTCGCCACAAGGCGTACGTGGAGGGCATCACCAAGATCTACAATGAGGACCAGACAGGCATTTTCTTTGAGATGCTGCCGCGAACGACGCTCGCGCCGACGGGCTCTAGAACGGTCTGGGTGAAGACCTACAAGAAAGGCAAAGAGCGCATTACCGCAATGGTTTTGGGCGACTCAGAAGGCAACAGGTACACCCCGTTCCTCATGTTGAAGTCGAAGCCGTCGAAGGTGCCGTAGGTGCGCGCTGAAAACGCGCGTATCCGTCACGGATTTGGTCGCCATGTGTGGAAAGAAATAGAAGCTCTTCAACAAGAACACGGCGTCCAGACTTACGGAAACGAGGCTGCCTGGTGGACGGGGGACATGACTTTCGAGTTCCTGCGATTTCATTTTGGCCACCGCGACCCATTGAGACCTCCTGTTATGCTGCTCCTCGATGATTTCAGCGGTCATTGGGTTGATGGTGTGGTCGAGTATGCTCGCTCGCTAAACGTAGTGCTGCAGAAGATGCCTCCCGGACTTACGTGGCTAAGCCAACCCGCGGACGCTGTTTGGAACAAGCCTCTCAAGGACCGCTTGCATGCCGCCTGGGTAGCGTTTCTGCTAGACCAACTAAAGTTCTACACCGCGAGTAACAGCACCGAGAAGTTCACAATGTCAGCGCCTCAGCGGTCGACTATCGTGAAATGGGTGGTGTCGGCATGGAAGCGCTTTCCGCAACTACCATCTCGGCGGGTTTTAGAAAGTGCGGTCTAACGGGAGCTTGGGACGGTCCTGCTAGTTACGAGCTAGAAGACAAAGAGGAGGCGCTGGCTTCTATCAACGAAGTCATCAGTCAACTTGAGCAGCTACAAGCATTTGAACTTGTCGTTGAAGCCGACATTGTTGAGAGTGCTGTTGTCTAGAATTATGTTTTTTACATCAGGCTGCATAATTTCATGTCATAAGCGAGTTCATATGTTGCACAAGTACCGTTGTTTTTGACCCTCCCCCCCCCTCTATGACATGAGCATTGCGGTAGTAAAAACCAAAAGTAATATTGGCAGTAATATAGTAAGATAACGAGCCAAAATATTATACCTGGCCATTTCGCCCTAATAGCGAGGAGAACCTTGTCTTATCGCCGCTCCCGCTGTTTTCTTGAGGCCCACGCTCAGACTTGATGGCGTTACGTGCCCCCTTGCGTGAGCGGCCGGTCCTGCGTGCAATCTCGTGCAGCGACACGCCTCTATTGTGCAGACCGACGATCTTCCGGTGCTCTTGTTCCGTGAGGGCCTTGGCGCGGCCCATTCGGAAGTGAGGGACTGGCGGAGACCGCAGGAGCTGGCGGCCTCCATTGTGAACTCGTTGCATCCATCCATTTTAGCAATCACTCTTTTTATATAGAAGGTTGTATGGTGGGCTCATAAAAATGTGTAATTTGTCATAAAAAAGGATGTGGTCTTAAGTTTTGGCGCCGGTGCCAAAACCCACAATTTGCATGTGAGCCCTACGAGGAACTCATGAATCCGGGTTCTTAACACAAGTAGCGTGTTGGTAGTGATCATAATAACAACATATCTAAACGGTATCTCCTAAGTCGGCCTGCAAGCTAAGATATTACAAAAAGTGTCCCGCCAAATCGGGGGTCTTAATGATTTGGCGGGCACATAAGGCTGTGCGGCAATCTCCTCGTCTCGGGCTCGAGTACGAGACCAAGCGCTTGCGGTGTCATCACCGGTGAGCTATCGACCACTTTGTACTTCGTGATCAGCTCTGCAATTTACTTGCGCTGTGAGATCATAATCACACGCTGGTTCTGTTGCAGGTTACCTCCACCTTGAGAATGAAGTGAATGCCGCCAAGGTCTTGAACCGTTTCGGCAACTCGGATTTAAGTCTATCAATTATGCGCATATTTTGCCACAGGATCGTCAGATCATCGACATAGACCACGACTATGATCCAATCTACTCCCGCTTTGCTCGTAGATGCAAAACGCTTTGTGGTAGTGTGCAAAACCCATCGACGTCAAAAAGATATATAGGAAAGACCGACGGATCATTTGGCAGCTAAAGCTCACCAAAACCTACCACCTCGACAGCCTACCACCGACGAGGTCAGAACTGGTGGCTCGAGCGCTCCAGCCGACAGCGGGTTGTTTTCACGACCGCATGCACGACGTGGCAGAGCTTAGAGTATTTACGACGTCGAGCGTCTTTACGCTAAGCGCTGGGTTCACGACCTCGAATTCTACCTGGTGCAGTGGGTGGGATGCCGTGAACTGACGAGTTGGCGACAATCAACTTTGTTTGGCTGTACCAGGCTACCCGAGGAAGGCGTCGCCCGGCGCCACCAACACGGCGTAGTCTGTACATTGCAGCTAATGAAGGAGCGTATCAGTGGCACCGCTACGGTAGGACGTCACAGTAAGTTCACCGAGACAACTTAATATATACTGTTTACAGTACATATAATTTGCGCGCTGATATGGACTAAGCCCTCGGTCGTGAACTCGACGGAGAAGCCCCACATGTGCCTCGGCAGCACACCGAGCACCATGACCAGCATCATCTTCGACGTGATCATGTGCGTGTGCGGGGCCTCGTGCGCGTTCACGTTGACCTGGCTGCGCACGTTGTTGAGGTCTTTAAAGAGTTGTCCAACGCTCTTGAAGTCGGCGTACACCGTCTCCAGGAACGGCAGCACCAGTCCGACACACGCCTGCCGCGTTGATGAGGCTGTACTGCTTCTCAACAAGCCGCCAAACAACATGGACGGGCTCGTCCATTTGCGTGGTCGCGATTTCCTTGAAACCGCTTGGCAGCGTTTCACACTGCAGCAGCTTGATGTACGACAACTGCTGATTCAGCAGCGTCTTGTGCCAATCGTGCTGCCATGTCACCTCTTTGTTAGCCGCGGGCGGGCGGGGCAGCAGCTCCGGCTGTCTTTCGAGCAGATCGTCGAACCGTGTCAGCGGCTTTGCACGCTTGTGCTGCAGCTCCTCCAGCGCACGTTGCTCGCTCAGCACCGCGAGGTGGATCACCAGCTTGCTCTTCCACGCAGCGAAGTACAGGGGCTTCCCGTTGAACTTCAACGAGTCGACCGACGACTTGTCAACTTGGGGCTTGTTTATTGTACTTGACTGTTAAAATGTACAGTTTAAACAGAGTAGGTACAATGTATTACTCTTTCAATTCCAATGTCTACTACTCTAGAACCGTGCTCGGTACCTGGAGGCAAAAGAGGAAGTGAGCTCGTCTTCGGACAGCGTCCTCGACTCTTCACTCCTCAGCTTCGTGTTGTCATCGCACTATGCATCGTTGACGGGCAGCTCTCTGCCTGTACCGTATAACTCGACTTGTATCCGACGGACTCTTATATCCGATAACTCATTTTAGCCAATGACATCGCATCATTACAGGTGAACGGATAAGCATCTTATATCCGACACGCGGAGTTAACTTTTAGTGTAGCGACGGTAATTTACCAGGTCACACACCAGCCATTACAGCTCCATCTACGAGTTTGTAGGCCAGCCATTTTGGTTTGTTGCTGCTTGTACACAGCTCAACTACTGCTCATTTTGGGATCCGCTAAGGAGGGCCCTCATCGGGAGAGCCCTCGTAATAGAGGCGACATTTGGGGAACAGCCGCTCCCGTAAATTTGGGTCATTCGGAAAGTATGTAATAGGTACATGTACCAAAACGAGACGAAATCGTCGGCAACGCTCTGTGAAAATGATACCGTTGCCGACGAGCATAGCTCTGCTATAAATAAACATCGGAGGCGAAGTTTAGTTTAGACTACCGGCAAATTATAAGATGGTTAGAGTCCCTGCAATTTTCCAGATCTCGTTGTGCTGATGACATGCCCTGCTTTCCCAGCGCCTGGCTACGCCGTGTTCTACCTGCAAGTTTCCCAAGCGACAATTGATGTGCTCTACCTAGAAGCAGAGTCTCGGACCTACCGACCTGTGTTTCGAGAAGTAGGCGGAGCCAACGATGACATGTTCAGAAGCCAATCGTGAGTTCAGCGCATGACACGTCCCCTTCGCCGTGTTTCCGCAGCGATCCTTGAAGATGCAGCTACCCGCGACTCCAACTACAGACCCTGTGTGTTTTCGTACATGCACTCGCGACCTGGAGGTCTATACCAGGAGCCCCATCAAGACTATACAGACGAAGTGCGAGCTGCTGTGCAAGCCCGCTACCCAAGCAGCATTCCCGCTAGTGTGATTATTGCAATCCAACCCGGGACAAGACTGCGATTGTTTCCCCACTGCTTTGATTTCGCCCGCCCTGAAACGGAGATTGAATTGGAGATCCCTACTGGATATGCAGTTGTGTTTCGTGGCGATTTATTTCATAGTGGCGTGGGCTATACTACTTCCAACTATAGGCTGCATTGCTACTTGTTCTCGAGACCTTGCTTGGATACCGGACGTGGTGTCTAATTCGTTATTAGTATGTCAATACTGCGGTCACACTGAACGGGTTTCGGCTCGAATTCGCCAGCATCGATATTTCTGTCTGCGGAGCCCGGACGGACTTGTGCATCGTGTCGCTCGGCGGGAACAGCAAAATCGCCGCGGTGAGTATCCCTGCAACTATTGCAGCCAAGCTTTTACCGTGCAAAGCACGCTTCGTTCTCATATTTTGGCTCACCACAGTTCGACACCTACCACTAACGTGTGAGATTAAATACTCAAATGAATATTACATTTTGCGACTATGAGTGCTTCTTGTTCAAAATAAATAATGTTTGACTTATAATAAAGCTTACCAAGTATATGATAGGAAACAAGTGAGTTTGGTTAGATAAAAACATGTCATTTAGCACCCCTACACGGTTCAATGTTTCCTTGGCAGTCAAATTAAACTTGTTGTAAGTACGTCGGAGCCACCAGTGTGTTTTTCATTAGACCTATTTAGCTGATTGTATTATAAATAATCGAAGTAAGTTTGCTAACAGGAATCTTTAGGAACCTTGGGAGTTTCAAAATGCGGAGGTGGCCTTTTCTACAAAAATAAATGTGCAAGATAAGAAACCCAGGCAGGAACGCACCGCTGAAGGGCTGGTTCTTCACAACAACACTTCCACACTGCTTCTCCACAACAACACCTCGCAAACTGCTTTCACACGCTGTTGACTTCGTCACGATTGGTTTCAGACGCTGCTGAACTCGTCCGTCCCAAGCACAAGGCCCTATCAGCTACGAGCGTCAATGGCATCGAATGCGTCTGCTGACCCCTACTCTCCTGCCTTCAAGGGGATGTCGTTGAGACCGAGTCGTCGGCTGTCGCTATTGGTGTTGCCACGTGCTCCTTCAACATGGTTGTGGTGCATGAGGACGCTTCGGCGAGCGAAATGCCCGCTGATTTGGATTCGGACGACGAAAATGTGTGGGAAAGCGACGAAGAAGACATCGACAACTCTGTAGCGGAGGCGGTACTAGAAGAATTTAACATACCGTGTGATAACTACGACTGGCATGAATTTGACTTCCCGGATTTCAATTTGGACGACGAGTTTTCAGGCATCATTGGAAACGATGCGGAGCTGGACTGGGTCAATGACTCACTCCTCGAATTAGTGTGTATGCATCAACTTGACGCAGAGGGGGTAGGAGGAGGTGAAGTTGCCGCTGAATCGTACGGAAATGAACTAGGGGGTGCTGAGCCAGACATCACGGTGCAACCGGACGCCAGTGAAGTTGTGATAGGAGTTTTCTACCCGCTTGTTTATAGCGAAGTCCACATAATTCCATTTACTCAATTCCACAGATGTGTGAGCACTGAGGGCCTTCGAGTATGATGCCGCAATCCGCCTTCGTGCAGATGAAGCAGGTGGGCGGTGCGGGAACATAGTCCACGACGAGCACCTCGTCATCTTCAACGTCCAGCGTAATCATCTCGCGACAGTAGGGGCATCTGTCACAGTACTCGTAGCTTCGCTTGATGCAATGACGGTGGTACGACTGCGTGCAGCTGGCGCAGTCCCATGTAGTGGTATCAGCCAGCGTCTCCTTGCAGATGACGCAACCCGTAGATTCGCTACGCTCTGTCGAAACCTCGCGCTGTTGCATCGTCGCCACAGCCTCTTGAAGATGAGTTGATTCGTCATCACCACCATCATTCAGGAGGGAATAGTCGTCGTTGATCTCGTCGTCTAGCCAATCCCACGTCGCATCTGGCAAATCGTCGACTTGGATTTCCTCACGTGGCTCGTTATCAGGCACCGCGGCGTCAACGGCAGGAGCGTAATCCGGATCAGCTTCACCATCACTCCCCTGTAAGACAGAGGCTGACCAGCACAACAAATATATGAGCAGCACAAAAACGGCAGGTTTGCACAATAAGTCCCTTACCAGCACCACAATATTTGATCCAACACACTATATTTTGTGCCTTCACATCACAAATTGGTTGGCCACAGCAAGCGTGAGGTAGGCACAAGCTACACGTCGGGTGGTTGCCTTTACTTCCCGATTCTCTCGAAAGTATCCCCCCCCCCTCCCCAACACCTGACTTCCCCTCTCCTCCCCTCTCGCCACTATGCCCACCTCGCACGACTGGCAACCGCTCTGTAGTGAGCTCTCCGAACGAGATGATGACATGCTGCTTCTGGGTATGAAGGCCTTCAAGGCATCCAGGAGCCAGCTCATGCCCTGCACCGCGTGCGCCTCCGCCACCGTGCATTTGATGCGGTACAAGATTCTGCTGTGTGCGTGCAAGCAGTGCAAGGCGGTGGCCCCGTTCGCGAAGTGCCCGTGGCGTGCCAAGGTGCTGATCTGCCAAGAATCGAAGACGGTGACCATGAGTGAGCGTGGCAAGCATTTCTCGGCGGCGAATCCTCGCCGGAAGCCCACCATCACACGGGCGCAACGCGCGTTCATCCACGACATGACGCGCGAGAACCTCACGCCGCTCCGCATTCTGCATGCGATGTCGCGCAAATTTGGACTGCGTCTAGAAGATCTACCTGAGATTCGCAAGGTGCAAAACTGTGTGAGCCACTACCTGCGCGCTAAGCTCGGCGGGAACGATCGCGTTAGCGACGTCGCTACCCACGTGGCTGCGTATTCCTTCACCGGCAGCGAAGCTGAGCATGATGCCTTTACCTTTACGCGCGACACGAATGCCCGCGGCAAATGCATTACGGGGGACGGCTCGGACAAGCACCCTTTTGTTGTTGGCGTTACGACGAAGGTACTCCTGCGATCGGCCAAGTGCGACCCGGCCTCCGTCATTCTGCATGTGGATGCGACGTTTCAGCTGGACCGGCTCAGCTACCCAGTCATCGTCGTCGGCCTCTCAGATGGATCGCGAGCGTTTCACCTTTTGGCTCTCTTCGTTACGTCGCAATTGGAAGAGCGGCACTTTACCGATGCATTTGCCGCGTTGCGGACTGTGTACGCGCAAGTGGTTGGTGAGGCAATGCGTGTGCGCTATGTGATGGCAGATGCCGACGCTGCTCAATTCAATGCCGTACAGAGCGTGTTTGGGATCGACTGCACGTACACGTATCTCATGTGTTTCTACCACGTGATCGCAAAAGTACGGGTTGCCGTGAAGGAGCGCATGAGTGGGGTTCACGGCGACGTGGTGGCCGAGGTCTACAGAGATATCTATGATCTGCACTTCTCGCTTACTGAAGCGGAGAACTTGACACGCAATGAGAAAGTGCTGTTTGAGTGGAACAAGCGTCCCGAGCTGGACGCGTTCCGCAAATACATGAAGAAGCAGTTGATGAAGGGGAAATTTAGCAGCTGGCAGTGCTATCTTACGCCTACGGGGTTCGCTACTACTAATAACCCCTGCGAGACCTTCAATCGCGCGTTCAAGCGTGACTACACGCAGAAGCGGAAGCTCAAGCTTGTGCTGCTGCTGCAGCAGATGCGCGACTGCTGTAGCCATCGGTCCATGGCGGCCTTGCCGATCCTGCAGCGGCGGAAGTCAGACAAGCTCCTCCAAGCTCGAGCAACGTCGCTGCGCACGGGCGGGTACCTCCGTGAGCACGTTCATGAGCGCAGCAGCATCGGCTTCTTGATCGACGATACTAACGATGACATTGTAAGGGTCCTGGCCGCGCAGCCGCCGCGGTTCTACGTTCCATCACGCGGCCGGACTGAGAAAGCCGCCGATGTCGCCGCCAGATTCTCGGTGAACTACGCAATGATGGAGGTTGAGGCGCAGCCAAGCACCGGGTGGCCCGTGGATATCACGGCCGGGCATTGTCCGTGCGATACCACGCAAAGATGAACTGCTGCGTGCACTTGCTCCTTGCGCTGCATATTCGCAACCACGTCGACGGCACTGGGGAGCGGCTCATAGTGAACCGGAGCAGCAAGCGCCGCAAGGATGGAGATGATGACCAGCGGCGGGGCCCTGGGCGTCCGGTCAATGCTGGCCACGCGCTGCAAAAATATTAATCCAAAGTAGGCACGCATAAGTAAGTCGAAATAATACATCAAGACTTGCAGTGATAATCACCTTGCTTATTGTCCGCTGACAGACAGTATGCTGAGCGTAAGCACCAGTCTGCCAGCGCCTGCGTCTCCAGCAGCAGCATCTTCAGCACGTGCTGCACCATCACCAGCACACACGATACCATAGATGTAGCGGAAGAGTAAAGCGTTCACGTTGCGACTGCACACATCGTCAGCAGCACGTTGTCGACGGGTAGTTCAAACCGCAGCACACACAGCCTGCACTTAATCACAGCCTGCGCTTCGTTCACTCCAACAGATAGCAGCGCTCGCTGCCCAGCAGGCAGCCCCTCAGAGAGATCTATGCCTTCGGCATGGCGGCTGCGGAGCGGCCCAAGACTGTCACGACGATCCTGTGGCTTACGAGTCTCCAGCGGTGAGCGCATTCTGCAACCAGTAGCTTCCTTCGTAGTCTTCTGCAGCCTCACCGGTCTTGCCGCTTGTGTTCACACCGCAGCCGCCCGTAGACTCGCTGTAGCCTTCCCCGCGCGCGCTCCAGCACTCTCCAGCTCCAGGCCGCCCGTGTTGTGGCCCACAACGGGACACTCGCTCTGCACGCCAAAAGAACGTTTCCCGAACATTCCTTTTAGTGTGCAGCTGCACATCAATTTGCCACTCATAGCACCTCGTCCCTTGCACATGTGCTGGCATGTCTTTTATTGTGTTTAGCAGAGAATATGTTGTGCTCGTGATATTTTCTCCCCCTGTAGCGGCTGGGTCAAGCTGCCCATTTCATCCGCCTCTCCAGCGCCTGCACTGGCCTTGACCCTAGCTCGGTTCTGGCGGTGCCACTCTGCGTCGCGTTGTCGACGCTGTTGTGCCAGCTGATTTCGGTGAGCGATGGTGTCAACAACTGACCTGCAGTTCTTTGACCGTTGGTGCCTGTTGAGATGGTAGTTAAAGCCTTTAACCCACTGGAAACAGACATCACACAGCTTGCATGGGGGGCTGGCATCCCGGGGCACGGCTTCAGTAGGTGCCGACGGAGATGGTCCGCCCGTTGGCCACACGTTTCGCAAACATGCTCCATGCTGCTTTCATCATTCTCAGGGAGTAGATCAGAAAGGCCCATTATCCTAATATATGTACACACAATTTGTTAATCGAAAATAGTATGACACAAAAAATGGTCTAGCAATTGGCGAACTGGGGTCGTCGCACCAGTAGAGCAGAGGGATTCGCAGAGAATTGTATAATGGAAGTGGGATGTAGCAGGCGGCGAGCAAATGGCGGATGTCACTGGTGCAAAATGTAGCCATCGGGTGGGTCAAAACAGACGTTACCCTTACCCTATAAAAGCTTCCACAGCTCCCTTACATGTAATCATGGCTTGGGTGCTGCAGCTCAAATTGCCCCAACCCTCACTTAATCCTTACATAATCGCACACGCTCAACGAAGTCCTACTTCTCTCGTACTTGCTAAATCCCAAGAGTAGCATATTTGAGAGTTTTTACTTTTAGCTATAAAATAACTCGACAGGCAGACAGGCGAAGCCTGCTACCACTATGCGAGCGGGGCGCACTCGGCGCACCTCTTCATTCAACAGAGGAACACTTCAGCAACTGGTATCGCATCTTGTGGGTCCTGGATAGGGCGCATACTGTACGACGCAGGGTACCAGCTGACTCTTCACGATGACGAAGCCTTCATATCCTCCATGAGCAGCTGGGAGTCTTTAAGACTCAGTCTTAGCGTGTCATGTCGCGGCAGAGGTTGTCCACTGGTACTTGGGGGGCATCGTGAGTCGGGCTGCGGGAGCTGGTGTGGGCGGGCTGCGGGGAATACTGCGTTTTCGAGGATGCAGGAAGATACACAGGAGCAACCAGAAGATATGAGGTAGATACAGCCAAGATGCAGGTTGAAACTCGGCTGTTCTCATAGATACTATTCACTTACATTGAGTGGTGTTGAGTAGCTCGAGTTTGGTGTGTTGATTCTACTCGCGGTGTGCCACATAGTGTGGTGCAACATGCACTTGATGTACACCACATATTTTGTCTGCCAAACCATTTTTCAGTGTGTTTTCCAAGTTATGTCCCATTTTACAATCTATCATTCTTTATAGCGCCCAAGTTGTTACTGTCGGGCACCAAGTTTCGTGGTTCAGGGTGCGGATTTCATCTAAAAAACAGGTATAAGTAGGGTTGAGCTCAAGGCACCTCAAACCTTCCCTCGGCTCAGTTAGCTTCCAGAACCGATATTCTTGCCCGACAGTAACAACTTGGGCGCTATAAAGAATGATAGATTGTAAAATGGGACATAACTTGGAAAACACACTGAAAAATGGTTTGGCAGACAAAATATGTGGTGTGTACATCAAGTGCATGTTGCACCACACTATGTGGCACACCGCGAGTAGAATCAACACACCAAACTCGAGCTACTCAACACCACTCAATGTAAGTGAATAGTATCTATGAGAACAGCCGAGTTTCAACCAACGAAAAGAGTGCATCTTGGCTGTATCTACCTCATATCTTCTGGTTGCTCCTGTGTAGTATGGGTTTCTATTGGGGGTGGGGCTTATATTCGGGTGGGTATGTTACTTTTTGAAATATGTTTGTGTGGTCCACACATCTGGAACTTGCTGCAGGAATGCTTGCGACTTCAACTGCTGCACGGATCCGCCACTCCGGGACTTGCCGTGTGCCCAGCAAGCGGGCAGCTGCAGTGTTACACACGCGTGAGCGATGGTGCCCGATCGAGAATGGCGCCCTGCCGGCGAGAACATGGACAAGCGGCGCGTAGCTCCCGTCGTTTCTATTGAATTGACTTTCGCCTCTCTAATCTACAGCTCTATCTCTATCTCTCTCTCTATCTATCTCCGCTCTTCAGAACGGCGCGCAAGGTGCACGCAGCGGACTTCCAGCGCACGCTGCGCGAGCTTCGCAGTCAGTATCTGCAGCAGATGGAGACCAGGCTGCGCGCCGGCGGGGAGGAGAATGACGAGGCGAACCGGGAGGCGCCAGGCAGCGACCACATGCACGTCTACGTGCGCAAGCGCCCGCTGCTGCCGCACGAGCTCCGCAAGCACGAGTTCGACGTCATCACGGCCGTCGGCCAGCGCGAGATCGTCATCCACGAGTGCAAAATGTACCCCGGTACGGGTGGGAGGGGGTAGAGGGTTTTATTTGGTCGTCTACACCAGGGGGTTGTGCTCACGAGTGACTTTGGTGCGAGCAGATATGCGGCACAAGTACGTGGTCTCGCACCACCAGCGCTTCTCCACGTGCTATGACGAGAAGGTCGACACGGAGACGATCTACGAGGACGCTGTCAAGCACTTGCTGCTGCACGCGATGCAAGGCGGCAAGTCGGTTTGCATGATGTATGGACAGACGGGGTCCGGCAAGACGTACACGATGAGCGGGCTCTTCCAGTACATCTCGGACGACCTTTTTACCGAGGCCGTGGGCGACGTGGACTTTGTCGTCTCGGTCTCAGCTGTTGAGATTGCTGGATCGAAGTGTTATGGTACGTTCCGAGGTGCGGGGATCGTAGGGGCTACAGATTAAGTTTTATTTACTTCTGTCGCGTCAGACCTCATTCACGACCGCTCGAAGGTGCTTGTGTGCGACGATGGAGAAGGCAGCACGGGCTTGGTTGGCACGACCGAAGTGGAGGCCGACTCGACCAACTCGCTATTGGAGGTGCTCGAGGGTGTGAAGGACTTGCGCAGCACTGAATCGACATCAGTGAATCACCAGTCGTCGCGCTCTCATTTGGTGTGCTACATTAACCTGCGTCACCGCAGTTCGAGAAAGGGGGAGCTCGGTGATCTCTACGGGCAGCTCGTGTTACTGGATCTCGCTGGCAGTGAGCGCAATGAAGACTCGTTCTACCATGACGCGGCCCGGCGAAAGGAAGCCATCGAGATTAACAAGAGCCACCTCGCGCTGAAGGAGTGCGTGCGGGCCATCGGACGCGAGGACAGCACGGGCTTTGTTCCCTATCGCGCGAGCATGCTTACTCGTATCTTGAAGAGCTGCCTTTGGAGCATGAATTCCCGGGCCAGCGTGATTGCTACAATTTCGCCGCTGTCGATTGACACGGAGCACACGCTTCACACCCTGTTGTGCGCTGGTCAGATGCTCGAAGACACTCCGCATGTCAGCACCGATAGAGTTGATGTGAAAGAAGCTGGAGAGGATGAAGAGGAGCGTGTGATTCCGATCCGCGAGTGGGATAACGACCATGTGAGGAACTGGATCTGCTCGGTGCGCAAGGGCAGGTTTGAAAAGTTTGCTCATAACATTAACGGCTCCGTCGATGGCAGAATGCTCACGCGATTCACCCATGCCCGGTTCACGCAACTCTGCGGCGGAAACAGCCTGGCTGGGGGCCATCTACTGAAGGCATTTCGAGATGAGGTGGCTAACCAAGACAAGATCCTGAAGGCGAAACGAGAACGCAACGCTGCTCGTCGCAAGTAGAAGCACTACCACAAAATAAAAGAGGACTAGGCGATATCCTCCTACTGCTAGAGTATTGATCAATGCGTCCTAGTATGGCCACCGACGTAGCCATCGACGCAAGCACAAGAGTAGATCGATATATAATAGCATTGTTATGCGAGCAACAGGTAGATGAAGCGCTAGTCTAGTGGACTAAAACCTATGACGGGATGTAGCGCTTGGTTACGAGTGCTCCAAGCAGAGAGACCGTCGCACTGAGAATCAGGAGATGCGAGACACCAAAATGAGCTTCGATGATTCCAAACGATGCCGCTCCGATTGCAGCTCCCAGCTTGCCGGCAGCCGCGGCGACTCCGTTGAGCTCGACGCGTACGTCTTCGGGGAAAATCTCCGCAGGGAGGCAAAATGTGCCGACGTTTGGCCCAAAATTCGAGAAGAAGAACGTGAGCGCATACATCCCGAGCAACAGCCCTCTGTAACCCAGTAGCTGCTCGTAGAAGAATCCCAAAACCAGGAAGAGCAGCGCCATGACGATAAAACCCATGATCTGGATCGTCTTGAAGCTGATTTTGCCGACAATAAATACGGTGAGCAGGTTGCCGGGCAAAGCGATGGCTGCCACGACCAACGAGCAGAGTGCGACGTCCGCGAAGTGGTGCTTATCCAAGCCGTACGTGTCTTGCAGGATAATCGGCGTGAAGATGACGTTCCCGTAAAAGGTGAGGTCGAACAGGAACCAACTCGCGCAGGTTCCAAAGAGCTTGCGCTGCAGCTTGGTGCTATCTCGCAGCTTGTCCCACAACTTCGACCTGCACGTCACCTCTGCGTCCATCCTCTTGAGCACAATTGGTGGGGTGATCGGCGACGGGGGCAGGTCCTCCTTCACCTCGAAAGCTCGTCGCAGCACGAACAGTCCAGGGAAGGCTCCAACCAGCAACAAAACCCGCCACCCGATTGTTCGCTGGGCATTCATAGCCAGCATGATGTAGGCCATGAGTGGAGCCAGCAATTGCCCGATGCCCTGGAAGCTGAAGACGGCCGCCACGACCTTGCTCTTCTTCGAGTCATCGTCGCCATCCGTCGACTCCACAGCCGAGGCCGCTGACAACGGGTAGACCCCTCCTACACCCACACCCAAGACGAAGCGGCACGCCGCCAGCACCTGATAGACCGAGTCGGTGCCCCACGGCAACAGTGCGCTAGCTGCGGCCCCCAGAATGGACAGCAGCAGCGTGAAGATCATCCCCTTCCGACGCCCCATGACTGCCCCCACATAGCCGAACGTGAGCTGCCCCACGATGGCCCCCACCAACGAGCACGAGTCCACCGTCGAGCGCAGCCCCGCACTCGAGTTCGGGTACGATCGCTCCAACATCATCAGCGCATAGTTGATCACCGCCAGATTGTACTGTGAAACCCAAATTCACCGTCAGCGTAATCCCCTCAATGTCCCTACGTGCTCTCACCAATATCTCTACGTACAGCGGTGCTGAGGTTGGCAATGGCGGAGACCAGGACCTGGTCGCTCACCACGACCTCGTCCCCGTCTTCCAGCTCCCCCCGTTGCACTTCCAGCGTCGTGCTGCCGTATCCTTGGCCCAACTGCCGATCTTTGAGCACGAGCGGCTCCGTAATCTCGGACGAGCTGCTGGCTTCCGTGCTGAAGCCGCCCGACGACGCGCGCTCCCGCGGCGCCACCTGGCTGCCCAGGGGCTCGGTCCTGCTGCGTCTCGAGTCGCGCATGGTCGAGGAATGACGCGCGCCTGGCGTATTCGTGACTGGGGGCGCAAGTGACCGCTCGGGCGCTAATTGGCCGAGATTCGGTTACGCTAACCGCCCAAATCTTCCCATCCAAGTGTGTGTATGGGCTTCATCGATCATGGCGACGGACTCAGACGCGGCCGCGAATACGCTTCCGTTGCGGGCTTGCCACGCACCCAAGCACCGCCGCACTAGCGCACGCGTTGCGCATTTTAGTAAGACGTATAAATATCCGGCGAACGGATCTGCTGCGTTGAGCGTTGACGCGGATCATCGTCCCGTGCTGCATGGGGGCGTTTCTTTCGTAGTCGAGTGTGCAGGTGCCGTGCCTGTGAAAATCTAAGCACGAATGCCCAAGGGCATTCTACGTTACGCAGGTGAGTCTCCGGTGAACCAACACTCTGGTCAACTTCAACGCTCAAACTTCAACTTTCGACTGTATAAAAGTGATATGTAAACCAGGGGGGGGGGGGCTTTTAGTGAAGCTCGTCGCTGAATCTTCGTTTCTGCTTGGAGTTTTTGATCCAGGGGCGCGGCGGCAGGAGCTTGGACAGTCGACTGCCAGTACTGGCGGCTGTAGAACCCCGGGCAGAATGGCGAAACTCCATGTCGTTTCCCAGGTTAACCTCGGCGTACATGCACTTGTAGCCGGCGTTCTCCACCCCAACCTGGTTCCCCGCGTCGGTCATGCGGTCGTTGCTGAAGCGGTCGTTGTCGAACTGATTGGACTGGTGGTGGTCGGTTGCCACGGATTCCTTATTCGCCTCGGTTCGAGACGACGAGCGCTTTGTCATCGTCTTGCGCAGGTGGCTGATGGCCTGGCGGGTGGACGCACGCACATGGAGCTTCCGTGCGCGCGTGGTTACCGCAGCGCGGGCACTGTGGAGGCTGGACGAGAGCGACGTCAAGCGCGAGCTGGTTGTGGCCTTCTTCTCCGAATTAGAGCGGTCACGGTCGCGCGGCTGGGCAAGCGGTGCTTGTTCTCTCTCTTGGTCCTCGTAGCCGTCTCCCAAGTCGAGGTAGTTCTGCCCCACGTCCCCCGTGTAGGCCAGGATGGATGGGTTCTTGTGGAGCTGCTCGCGCTCGTGGAAGCCAAGTACTGACGATATCTTTGGCGCCATGCTCACCACTATTCAGCAAAAGCGGCAATGGCGCTCTGTTGCGAGTTGCAGCGTTGCGCACCGAGAAGGCAGCGGCAGTGGGGATTGTGCAGTGAGGAAAAGACCGAGATGCATCTTCGAGACGGTGGAGCGTGAAGATGCCTTCCTTTGGTTCATCGCATTTTGCAACCTCCGAAGCAAAACGGCTACTGTTTCCAGCATACAAACTCCCCAAGATAAGCAGGATTTTGGCCGTTTGGTGGCGTTTGGATGAATGCCTTCTACCGCCAGGGGTTTGATACTGGACACGCTACCGGAACGCTACCATATTGCTGAGGCAGGGCACCCTGTGGCGAACCTTCGCCATGACAGCAATGCCGTCGATACTAACGGGCCAACTTGCGAGGGGGTCGAGCTATTCACCCTCGCTCTTTGGAATTACACGAGCGAGACAAGGCTATCATGGGGTGGATGGATGCTATCGGAAGTGCCCTCAACGACGGCTGTGCATGTCATGGCACTATGAGACAGCCGTCGGTTAGTGCCATGTACATGTATGTTCGTCTTGCGCCAACAAGCCCGAGTCGGGCTTGTCGGGCCCCGACAGTCTGCTTGTGCCCCCCCCCCCCCCCCATCCGAATCGGATGATCTGATGACAATCGAAAAAGGCAACTTGCTCTCGTTGCAGTGCAGTTTCTGTACGTTATTACGCGTCGGGGATCGCGCGCCAAGCTCGATCGTCCGGCTACAGCAAGTGTCCTGTTCGGGTTGCACCTGCTGCTGCCTTCCCACCAATCGTGCCGCTCTCTCGACAACCGCGGGACGGCGAGCGCGTCAACTCGGCTGCTTTTGCTTGCGCGCCACCAGCATGTACGGGTTCACGAACACCCGACCATCCCCTGGGATGAAAAAAATTGTCCTCTGTCGACTGCAAGGTCATTATCAAACTTGCCCAGCCCCGCGCAACGAAAGCTCCTCGAACAGCGACCTCACAGGCCCTCGACTTGCAGCGGATGAGGGCTTCGCGGGTGACCCAGTTGGATCTCGAGTCCAGCAAGACCATGCTGGTCAAGGGCCCGCACGCGCTGCACGGCTACGTGGCCAACACGATGGAGGCTGCAATCGGCCGAGAGCTGCCTCAGATGGAAGTGCGCTACAGCAACGTGTCCATTACGGCTGACGTCGCCGTCATCGGAGACGTCTCGGCCAAGTCCGAGCTGCCCACGATCTACAACGTGACCAAGCGCAACCTGGCCAAGCTCGCCCCGAACAAGCGCATGGAGAAGAAGCACGTCCTCAAGAACGCGAGCGGCGTGTTCAAGCCTGGCACCATTACATTGGTGCTAGGCCAACCTGGCTCAGGCAAGTCGTCCCTCATGCGCATCCTCGCTGGCCAGTTCCCGAAGAGCAAGAACGTCACGATCGAGGGCGAGATTCTGTACAACGGACGCCAGCAGAAGGACTTTGCCAAGCAACTGCCGCAGTTCGCGGCGTACGTGACGCAGGAGGACAAGCATTTCCCTTCACTAACGGTCCGCGAGACGCTGGAGTTTGCCCATGAGTTCTGCGGTGGGGGTCTCTCGACACACCACGAGGACTTGCTCTCCAATGGCACTCCGGAAGACAACATGGCAGCACTCGAAGCGGCCAAGGCGTACTTCAAGCACTACCCGGATCTGATCATCGACCAGCTCGGACTGCAGAACTGTGAAAATACCATCATCGGCAATGCTATGCGGCGCGGCGTGTCCGGTGGTGAGCGTAAGCGCGTGACGACTGGCGAGATGGAGTTCGGCATGAAGTATATGACGCTCATGGACGAGATCAGCACGGGCCTCGACGTATGACATCATCAAGACGCAGCGCAGTATCGCCAAGAAGCTGCACAAGACGGTGGTGATCGCGCTGCTGCAGCCGGCGCCCAGGTGTTCGACCTGTTCGACGACGTGATCATCCTGAACGAGGGTGAGGTCATGTACCACGGCCCTCGTGTGCAGACGCTCCCGTACTTCGAGAGTTTGGGGTTCAAGTGCCCACCCGGTCACGATGCCGCCGACTTCTTACGGGATCTGGGGACAAACCAGCAGGGCAAGTACGAGGCAGAACTGCCACACCACTTGGTGAAGCACCCGCGCAAAGCAAGTGAATTTGCCGAGCTCTTTCGACAGTCAGCGGTCTACAACAATCTGATGAAGCTGCTGGACGACCCGTTCCATCCACACCTCTTGGAAGACGCGGGGAAGCACATGGAGCCCATGCCAGTTCCGCCAGTCCTTTTGGGAAAACACGAAGACGCTGACTCGCCGTCAATGGATGATGGCAATCAGAAATCATGCATTTATCCGGACCCGGGCGCTCATGGTGGTCGTCATGGGCTTGATGTATGGCAGCACATTCTACCAAGCCGACCCGGTCGACGTGCAGCGAAGACTTGGGGTGACGTTCCAAGCGACCATCTTCATGGCGCTCGGCCAGACCTCCCAGGTCCCGACGTTCATGGCGGCACGGGACATTTTCTACAAGCAGTGAGCAGCCAACTTCGCTCGAGCTTCTGCGTACGCGATCGCAAACTCCGTGCGCTTGTTCCGCAGGCCATCTTCGAGAGTGTCGTGTTCGGCTCTCTGGTCTACTGGATGAGTGACTTCGTCGTGCACGCTGGCCACTACCTCGTCTTCGTCCTGCTGCTCATCCTGACCAATTTGGTGTTCGCGTCATGGTTCTTCTTCCTGACGGCGGTGTCGCCTAACTTTAACATCGCCAAGCCCATGTCGACCTTCACGATCGCCGTCTTCGTTCTCTTCGGAGGCTTTGTGGCGTCAAGAAGAGTGCTTCCCGACTGGCTGTCTTGGGGCTATTGGCTTAACCCCATGGCCTGGTGTCTGCGTGCGCTTGGTGTGAACGAGTATCGCGCGGCGAAATATGACGTGTGCGTGTACAACGGCGTGGACTACTGCAGTGAGTTCAATGCCACGATGGGCGAGTACTTCTTGTCGGGGTACAGCGTGCCGTCCAGCAGCGGGCAGGTATTGTTTACCTGGCTGGAGCGTACCTCTTCTTTATGGCGCTGGGAGCGTTCGTTCTGGAATACAAGCGCTATGACGGACCGAGGAACGTTGTTCTCACACCAAAGAATATTGAGCAATCCAGGTCGACAGACCCTTCCGACCACTACGCGCTGGTTTCGACGCCCAAGAGCTCCAATACGTCTTCGAGGTCGTCTGATCTTGTGGTTAACGTACCTCCGCGTGAGAAGAACTTCGTACCCGTCACTCTCGCGTTCCAAGACTTGTGGTACTCGGTGCCGAAGCCCAGCAACCCGAAGGAGAGTATCGACCTTCTCAAGGGAATCAGTGGCCTTGCTGAGCCTGGCACGCTGACGGCTCTCATGGGCTCATCGGGCGCTGGTAAGACGACTTTGATGGACGTGATTGCTGGCCGCAAGACTGGAGGCACGATCAAGGGCAAGATCATGCTGAACGGCTACGAGGCGAACGAATTGGCTATTCGACGATGCACCGCTTACTGCGAGCAGATGGACATTTACTCGGACGCCACTACGTTCCGCGAGGCCTTCACTTTTACTTCATTCCTACGGCAAGACAGCAGCGTGCCGGACAGCAAGAAGTACGACTCAGTCGATGAGGTGTTGGACCTGCTGGACATGCACGATATCGCGGACCAGATCATCCGCGGCAGCTCGGTGGAGCAGATGAAGCGGTTGACGATCGGCGTGGAGCTTGCTGCTCAGCCGAGTGTGATTTTCCTGGACGAGCCCACGAGCGGCCTGGACGCTCGCTCGGCGAAGTTGATCATGGACGGCGTGCGCAAGGTGGCGGACAGCGGCCGCACGATCGTGTGCACGATCCATCAGCCGTCGACGGAGGTGTTCTACCTGTTCGACAACCTGCTGCTGCTGAAGCGCGGCGGCGAGACTGTGTTCGTGGGTGAGCTGGGCGAGAAGTACCGCAAGCTGGTGGAGTACTTCGAGTCGATCCCGGGCGTGACTCCTCTTCCGAAGGGCTACAACCCGGCCACGTGGATGCTGGAGGTGATCGGCGCTGGCGTGGGCCACGCTGCCGGCACGACGGACTTCGTGGAGATGTTCAAGAACAGCGAGGAGAAGCGCGCTCTGGACGCGAACCTGGCCAAGGAGGGCGTGACGATCCCGTCGCCCGACTTCCCGGAGATGGTGTTCACGAAGAAGCGCGCGGCCAGCTCGTGGACGCAGGCGCAGTTCCTGGTGGGCCGCTTCATGAACATGTACTGGCGCACGCCGTCGTACAACCTGACCCGCTTCGTGGTGACGTTCCTGCTGGCGCTGGTGTTCGGTTTCCTGTTCCTGGACGGCGACTACGTGAGCTACCAGGGCATCAACGGCGGCGTGGGCATGGTGTTCATGACGACGCTGTTCAACGGCATCGTGTCGTTCAACAGCGTGCTGCCGATTTCGTGCGAGGAGCGCGAGTCTTTTTACCGCGAGCGCGCGGCGCAGACGTACAATGCGCTGTGGTACTTCGTGGGCTCGACGCTGGCGGAGATCCCGTACGTGTTCGCGAGCGGCTTCATCTTCACGTTCGTGTGGTTCTTCATGGTGGGCTTCACGGGCTTCGGCACGGCGCTGCTGTGCTGGATCAACGTGTCGCTGCTGATTCTGCTGCAGACGTACATGGGCCAGTTCCTGGCGTACGCGCTGCCGAGCATGGAGGTGGCCGCCATCATCGGTGAGGCACTTCCTGCTGATCAGCTACATCAAGTTCGTGTCCACGACGACGGCCATGATGATCGAGAAGAACAGGAGACCTAACAGCTCGTCCACGAAGGGCTTGACGCTGGCGTAGCGCTCGATGGCGAGCAACGCAAGCGGAAGACGTACGGCAATTCAGCGCTCAGCGTTCTGCGAGGACTGCGCTGTGGCTGAAATGCTAGCCAGATTGGTGCAGCTCACAAGAAGAACAAAAGGTAGTGTTTTGATGGATTAAACCTGTGTGAAGTAATGATCTAATCTAATCGATTCTGCTTGACTGTCTTAGTTGCTCTTTGGTTGTGTGCGGTAGGGATTTCGAGTGAGGTCTCCGCACTTCTTCTTTCGCTGACGGCAGCTGCTGCACGAGGTCTCTCTGCGCTTGCGCGACGAAATAAGTGGTGCGTGCTGTTCGTCGATAACTTGGGTGGGGGCTTCTTATCCTTCAAGCGGCAGCGCAGCGCATTGCTCGACAGCGACAGGTGAGGATAGTACTTCGTATAAACTGTGTGGATGTATTCCCACTTCCCATTTGAGTTCGGAATTGAATTTGCAAGTTCACGCAGCATTTTGATGTGGTCTGGTGTTATCGTTGCGTGCTGCAGGGGCGGTGCTGTTGTAGCTTGGGCGGCTGACTCCTCGCCGTCGTGCTGCGGGATCCTCGCAGTGTCGCTGCATTTGGGCAAGGTGTTTCCAGCTGAATCTCTGTACGATGGCGAGACGTCCGGAGTCCCGTCCGCTGTGGCAAAAGTTGGTGGTGCTGGCAGAGATGTAGTCTGAAGATTGAAGAAGCTCTTCGGTGGTCCCCTGTGGAGCCTGTTGAGCAGCACCGGAAGGTTGTTCAGCGAGTACAGGCTGGGATTTATCTCGGTGAGAAGTGGTGGAGCGAATGCTGGCCAGGATTTCAGGGGTCAGCTTCAGCTTGATTTTCAAGTTGGCACCGTAGTTCTCCTGCTGCTTCAGATTATCCCATCGCGATGGCAGGAATGGCTGTGATTTTGGGTGAATGCCAGCGCATACACAGCACGCAAAGTCGTACACCATCACGAAGACTTGTCTCTTTTTGCGGACACCGGACAATTTTCGAAGCGCGGTGAACAGTTGGGCCTGCAGTTCCTTCTCCCGTGCAGTATTGGCGTCACACGGAGCAGATCGCACGAAGCGAAATAGTTTCCGATCGCGGATTGTTGAAGGTTCCGGCCGCGATTTCGCTGTGAACCCATCGATCTTTGCGGACAAAGTGATAAAGCTGCGTCGCTTCAGCCGTAACTTGTGATTGGAGTTCGAAGACACCACAATATTGTACATGATGGTTGTCACCATGGCGCAACCTGACCAGCTCTGCCCCGCGGCCTTTTGTTCCACCAACACCTGCCTCAGAAGCGCGTGCTCCTCACTAGAGAACCCAGCAGCAGCTTCATAATCGAGCTCATTGAGGCACAACGAGTTGAAAAAAGCGGCGCGAGGCAACTTGCCGCTCTCGGTGAAGGTGATCTGCTTTGCCAAGAGCTCTCGGATCGTGGTGCTGTGCTGGTGGGATCTTTGAAGGCTGCTTTCCAGAGCTTGAGCGTCAATATTTGTACCCTCAAACATTTGCTGCCACTGATCGAATCCAAAATCAAGGGCTGTTGCTGAGCGATACGCAAGGGTTTCGACACGAGCCTGCTGACATACTCAAGCTGCGGTGAGTCTGCAACGACTCCACGGCATAGCATTGCTGTCTGGGCTAACGTCAAGATGTCGGCGTGCTGCAGAGGCGGGTTCCGGCCATAGCTCGATCCAACTTTGAGATTATGCTGCAAAATGTACAAATCCAAGATACGTAGTCCGACCTCAGCAGACACAGATTGTGCCAGAAGTTTTTTCAGCGCGGAGTGTATGCCTTCAAGCTGGCTGGTTGACACGATACGAACGTCCTTGCCGCCTCCCTCACTGAACACGTTGTTCTCCACGTACAAATCACCGCGCTTGATCTGCTTCAAGTTGCTGTCCACGCTGCCTTGCCATTCTTGCTCGCTGCAGCTGATATCAGTAAGGGCTACGTCTTGAAGTGCTGTAACAAACCTCGCCTCCATCTCTTCTGGCGGGCGCAGCTCCCCATCAACACTGTACATTGCCTCATGTAATTTCTTCGACAAAACCTTTTTTTCTGCCTTGCCTTTCACTTTCTCTGTGAAACGCTGAACAACATGAAAAAGATCTTGACGAACTTTCGCCGACGAACCAAACACCGATGCAGCCAAGCTCCGAATAGCATTTGCGTTGTCGCTAATGAGAAACCACTCGTCCTCGGTATTCACCGCGCCCTTGACATGCTCTAGCAACTGACGCGTCTCATCGTGATTCTCTGAGCGAGTCAAACGCCGGCCAACAATTTGGCCAATCTCATTCTGGAGCAGCAGCAACATTTTGCGTCCGTCATACTCTCTCTCTTGCCAGTCCCACCGGGCCATACCTTGAGTCTCTTACAGAATTTGACTGAGTGGTCGATCCGAAGCACCCGTTTCACGTCGAGGCTGCTCATAATCTGCTCGCAAAGAGCGCTGTAGATGCTGGTAGACTGCATCCACGCTGCGGATAAGGTCTCAGCACCGACAGGCGTTTCCTGCGAGCAGTACTGAGCCACCGTTGGCGGAGTCGGCGCCAAATACGTGGGATTGGCCAGCCGCAGCTGCGCAACACGGTCAGCAAAGAGGCATAGGAGTTTATAGTACCGCTTTTCACGTCGCCGTTGTATATTCTCCACCGTGCGCGATAATCCATGAGGCGACGTCATCCCCTCGTGCACCAGTTCCATTAGTTGCTTTGAAATTCCAAACTTCTTTGTCATCACACAGGGGAAATGCATGAGTAGGCGGGCTTCGCGCTGGATGTAGCTTGCTGTCACCGTAGAAAAACAGCTCTTGTGGTCGCCGGCACACTGATACTTGATATACAGGAGGTGGCTCTTGCTATCGACGTCCTCAACTGTTCTTTGCTTGTACTCCTTCACCCTAGGTGTGCATGAGCAGCCTGGCATGATGCAGTACGGCTTTTGGGTAGGGTTAGCGCACTCAGGAACCCAGACGACTACAGGCCATTGAAACAGGGAAGAGAGCAACACGTCGCCTCGGATGGCTTCGGGGTGCTGAACTACAGGAGGGAAGCTCTTCTTGCTCAGAGCCTCATGGATTAGTCGCTTGACCTCACGCTGCTCCAGGCGTAGCTCTGCTTGCCGCGGCTCTCCGTCGCCAACATCCTCCATCGTTTCTGCTCAATTCTAAACTGAACTTATAAACTAATATGCGGCGGAGTATCGGAGTTCGCAGTTCGGAGTCGGATATGTCGGGGCCTGTCGGCCCCAACATATCGTATAAACCACCTCTCAAGTTGAGAGTATTATATCAACTTCCCACCACTCCGCAACTCCACTTCACCGCAAAAACGGGCTACTCAAAGTAAGCAACTCCAAACAACCAACACGTGTCCAATGCTAAGTTAGTTTATTTGTTCAAAAGTTTTGTCTAAGGGGGTGGTATAATAACACCCCCGCTATCGGATTCTACTATCCGCTTGCTTATCTCTTCTGGTGGTTGAGGAAGCGCAGCGACAGCAGCGCCAGCACACGGAACACCGCAATGAAGATGAACACGTAGCCGAAGTACGTCCACATGTCCGAGTGGCGCATGCCGAACACCTCGCCCACGTAGCCCTTCACCGTGATGTGGTCGATCGACACGGGCAGACCCGTCACCGGCTGGCAACCGAGCTGCGAGCCCACGTTCTCGTACGCCTTCGTGCTCTCGTTCCACGTAGGGTCCACGTCGCACTGGCCGAACACGAGCGAGCCCAGGATCGCCAGAGGGTAGCGCATCGGGGTGATCGCGTACAGCCACTTGTAGCCGCTCGGGATGGCGTTCGCCGGAGGGTTGAAGCCCATGAACAGGAAGAAGATCGAGTTCATCAGCACACCGATGATGGCGGCCACCTCCATGCTCGGCAGCGCGTACGCCAGGAACTGGCCCATGTACGTCTGCAGCAGAATCAGCAGCGACACGTTGATCCAGTACAGCAGCGCCGTGCCGAAGCCCGTGAAGCCCACCATGAAGAACCACACGAACGTGAAGATGAAGCCGCTCGCGAACACGTACGGGATCTCCGCCAGCGTCGAGCCCACGAAGTACCACAGCGCATTGTACGTCTGCGCCGCGCGCTCGCGGTAAAAAGACTCGCGCTCCTCGCACGAAATCGGCAGCACGCTGTTGAACGACACGATGCCGTTGAACAGCGTCGTCATGAACACCATGCCCACGCCGCCGTTGATGCCCTGGTAGCTCACGTAGTCGCCGTCCAGGAACAGGAAACCGAACACCAGCGCCAGCAGGAACGTCACCACGAAGCGGGTCAGGTTGTACGACGGCGTGCGCCAGTACATGTTCATGAAGCGGCCCACCAGGAACTGCGCCTGCGTCCACGAGCTGGCCGCGCGCTTCTTCGTGAACACCATCTCCGGGAAGTCGGGCGACGGGATCGTCACGCCCTCCTTGGCCAGGTTCGCGTCCAGAGCGCGCTTCTCCTCGCTGTTCTTGAACATCTCCACGAAGTCCGTCGTGCCGGCAGCGTGGCCCACGCCAGCGCCGATCACCTTCAGCATCCACGTGGCCGGGTTGTAGCCCTTCGGAAGAGGAGTCACGCCCGGGATCGACTCGAAGTACTCCACCAGCTTGCGGTACTTCTCGCCCAGCTCACCCACGAACACAGTCTCGCCGCCGCGCTTCAGCAGCAGCAGGTTGTCGAACAGGTAGAACACCTCCGTCGACGGCTGGTGGATCGTGCACACGATCGTGCGGCCGCTGTCCGCCAGGGCGAAGGTAAATTAACCTTCCGTTCCCCTACTGAGCTTCAGCTGCGTTCTATGTAGGTCATAGACCAACACTTCAATGCACTTGCGCACGCCGTCCATGATCAACTTCGCCGAGCGAGCGTCCAGGCCGCTCGTGGGCTCGTCCAGGAAAATCACACTCGGCTGAGCAGCAAGCTCCACGCCGATCGTCAACCGCTTCATCTGCTCCACCGAGCTGCCGCGGATGATCTGGTCCGCGATGTCGTGCATGTCCAGCAGGTCCAGCACCTCGTCCACCGAGTCGTACTTCTTGCTGTCCGGCACGCTGCTGTCCTGGCGCAGGAACGCGCTGAACGTGAACGCCTCGCGGAACGTCGACGCCTCCGAGTGCACGTCCATCTGCTCGCAGTAGCCCGTGCAGCGACGGATGGTCAGGTCGTTCGCCTCGTAGCCGTTCAGCAGGATCTTGCCCTTGATCGTGCCGCCCGTCTTGCGGCCGGCGATCACGTCCATCAGCGTCGTCTTGCCAGCGCCCGACGAGCCCATCAGCGCCGTCACCGAGCCGGGCATCGCGAAGCCGCTCACGCCCTTCAACAGGTCCAGCGTCTCCTTCGGGTTCTTCGGGTTCGGCACCGAGTACCACAAGTCCTGGAACGCCACCGCCACGGGCGTGAAGTTCTTCTCGCGCTCCTTCACGTCCACCACGAAAGCCTCGCCACCGGCGGGCGACTTGCTCTTCTTGGGCGTCGCCACCAGCGCGTAGCTGCCAGCCTCGTTCTCGTCCACCGTCTTCTTGGTCAGGACCGTGCGCTCCGGGCTCTCGTAGCGCTTGTACTCCAGCACCAGGCAACACTTTCGAAGCCGTCTCCTCACAATCCAATTCGCCATGGGGAAGCCCGGCCAGAAGAAGAAGGCCGCACGGGGTGCTCCAAACCGCCCTCCAACAAAAAGATTAACCAGACCACGACCCGTGCAGTGCGGAAGAAGCTCATCTTCAAGCTTGCGCCCTCCATCCGTGACAAGAAGCATACTGACTACAAGGCCGCCGGCCAGGCATGCACGCCTCCGCTCGGCGAGGCTACCGTCCGGAAGGTCGTGACGAAGTTCAAGAAGTGCGAGCCGTGGAAGGGAGATCCATGGTACAAACGCAAGCGCGACCCGAAGCACGAACCTGTCCGTGTCAAGCGCCAGGTCTGGGACCTGCTTGCTACGAAGCCCGGCCTGTCCGAGCGGGCGCTGGCGAGGGCATTGAAGATCCCACGCGCGACCTTCCAAGGCATCAACAAGGACATCAAATGTCTACCGTTCTCCAAAGTCTACTTCTCGCGGGGTAACCCCGACTTCCGGGACATCTATACGTTTCCTTTCCGGATCGCTCACGAGGGAAAGCTGCGTGCGTCACTCTTTTCATTGACAGACCCGGCCGTCGTGGCGATCCTAATCGAGAAGGCCAAGACGATCCAGGTCCAGCTACTCCTCGACTGGAAGATGGCACTGTCATTGTTCGAACTACCCCGAGTCGAGGAGCTTGTGGCGGCGGGCGTGGAGGTCTATGTCCCCAAGAAGAAGAGCACCACCAACCACGAAAAGGTAATCGTCTATCTAAACTATCTAAGCTGTTACTAACTATTGTTTGCACAGACGATCGTAGTCGAGAACATCATGGCAACGACGGGTTCCGCGAACCCATCGTTCAAGGGCCTGGAGCTCTCCATCGAGAACCTGACACACCACTTTGAGCCCAGTGAAAGTGAGCACTAACTGCACTTGATTTTTCGTTTCGCTAATATGCTATCTGTATACTGTAGTTGACGCGATCGCAGATGAATTTGACGTCGGCATCCTGCCCGAGAACGCTCTCCTAGTGGAGGCTGAGTGGTTCGCAAGGGAGAAGGCCAAGGTCAAGCTGAAGGAGCAGGTCGCGGCAGCCCGTGCCAGCGAAGGCCTGACGACGGAGGAGGAGCAGACGGCCCGCGCCACGATGAAGCGGGCGAAGAAGAACGCCAACAACAACGAGTATGCCAAGAAGCGATACAAGACAGACAAGAGCGCTGGTCAATGCGTGAGGTGCCACACGGAGACGCCGGAGGCACGGTGTAATGTGCCAGTGGTGCAAGAAGAAGGAGAAAGTCGTGAGCGACCTCAAGAAGGACCAGGGCAAGTGCCGGTCGTGCAGCAAACCGAAGCCGCGCTTGGATGGACACGCCTACTGTGAAGCCTGTCGCATCAAAAAGGGAACGAGAGCTATCACGCGGGCGCACCGGGCATGTGCAAGCGGTGCAAGATGCGCCGAGAAGAAGGACCGCTCCTTGTATTCCAGATGCCAAGACTGCAGAGCCGCCACCAATGCCAGCGTGAGGAAGTCCTATCACAAGAAGCGCGACATCGAGGCGCCGACTGAGGAGGAGAGCTGAGGCTGATGGCCGCGGCCAAGCCCGTGTACGTGGCGCGTCTGCTCAGGCGCTTTTCGTAAGATGTAATTTTTCACTAAACATTTGAAAGTTCCACAAACGAAATAGACTGTGCCCCAGTATGGGCTTGCAGCGGCGCTCCGCCGTCCACCTGGGCCAAACCACTGAGTTTGGCCCTCAAAAATAGTGAGTACAGGACAAACGCAACGGGTGGACGGTGAACAAAATTTGTCGATCCAGTAGATCCAGACTAGCCAGTCGGGCAGGTCCGGCGAGATCGACGCGCCGCCAGGTTCGTCAGGATGAGCATCACCAGGTAGATGATGAACGCGCTCGCCGACGACACGAAGCCGCACAACCAGTACACCAGCGGCCCGAACACGATCGTCTCCGCGAACGCCAGCGGCACCTGGGACACCGAGCACGACAGCACGTACGACGCCGTGCGGTAGAACAGCACGCCCAGCAGCACCTGCACGTTCACCGGGTCCACGTTCCAGAACGTCGACGCGTTGATCAGGCCCATGAGGCCGCGGCCCTTGAGGAACGCCGTGTTGCGCATCGTGACCTTGTTCTGGCGTTCCATCAGCGTCCACGTGTTGTCCATGAAGGACTGGTGGAACTCCGGCATCGGGTCGATGTCGTTGCTCACGTTCTCCAGCAGCTGCGGGTCGTACGGGGCTTCCAGCGCCGCCAGCATGTCGTGGTGGATGCTCGAGCGACGGTAGTGCTCCGCGAATTCGCTCGCCAGGCGCGGGTGGTGCGCCATGCCCGACGGCAGCGTCGACTCGTACTTGTGCTGCTGGTTCGTGCCCAGGTCCAGCAGGTAGTCGGCCACGTCGCGCTCGGGCGGACACACGAAGCCCAGGCTCTCGAAGTACGGGAGCGTCTGCACACGAGGGCCGTGGTACATGACCTCGCCCTCGTTCAGGATGATCACGTCGTCGAACAGGTCGAACACCTGGGCGCCGGCTGCAGCAGCGCGATCACCACCGTCTTGTGCAGCTTCTTGGCGATGCTGCGCTGCGTCTTGATGATGTCGTACGTGGCGGCGCTGTCGAGACCCGTGCTGATCTCGTCCATGAGTGTCACGTACTTCATGCCGAACTCCATCTCGCCGGTCGTCACGCGCTTGCGCTCGCCGCCCGACACGCCGCGCAGCATGCCGTTGCCCACGATGGTGTCCTGGCAGTTCTCGAGGCCGAGCTGCTGGATCACCACGTCCGGGTAGTGCGCGAACAGCACCTGCGCGGCCTCCAGCGCGGCCTTGTTCTCCTCGGGCGTGCCCTTGGACTGCTTCTCCTCGGCGCGCTTGGACATCTCGCCGACGCAGAAGCGGTGCGCGTACTCGAGCGTCTCCTTGACCGTGAGCGTCGGGAAGTGCTTGTCGCGCTGCGTCACGTACGCCGTTAACTGCGGCAGCCGCTACATGATGTCGGCCTGCGCGACGCCGTTGTATGTGATCTCGCCCTCCACGCTCACGTTCTTCTCGAGCGGGAAGCGGCCGCTCAGCACCTTCATGAGCGACGACTTGCCCGAGCCGGGCTGGCCCAGCACCAGCGTGATGGTGCCCGGCTTGAGCACGCCGCTGGCGTTGCGCAGGATCTCCTTGCGCACCACGTGCTTCTTGGCCGAGAACTTGGCCAGGCCCTTCTTGGCCGTGTTCCACAGCGTCGGCAGCTCCGTCTTGCTCTCGTCCTCCTCGACCACCGTCGCGGCGGCGGGACGACTGATGTACCGCCAATATAGCGGCTCGGCAACGTCGCGGCTAGGGGATGCGCGTAATACGAGCGACCGCGTGACTGGATTGCGCGCACATGTACGCGAAGAACTCCGGTGTCCATATCATGACGGTTCCGACTTCCCTACATATTCCGACACAGGGCTATCCAAAGTTGAGACGGGGCACTAGTCAATTTCTGGAACCCTGATTCAATTGGAAGTCTGCACTCCGCATCCTTGACGTGCTATTAATACACCATCGAGAAACCAGGGCAGGATGCACTTCTCCTCTCTTATCCATCTCTAAAGTTTTGCGGCACTCGGCAGCATATCTACAACATGGTAGGCCTAGCAGTGCTAGCAGCATCGGTAGTTATCCACGCGTCACTCTTCCAGGTGCAGCTGGCAAACGACCGTGCTACTCTGGCCGGCCCACGAAACACTTTGCAGTTCGATCGTGAGGCGGGTCGACGAGTGCGACGACGACGACGTGGCCTGCTTGGTGTCGTGCTGCTGCCAGGTGCACCTCTCGACCCAGAGCGAGCTGTCAAAGCTCTTGCCCAAGAAAATCCGCTCGCCATTTTCGGCGCGAGCAAACGCTAACACGTAGCGCACAGGCGCTCCCGCCACCGTAAATCCCCACTGCACTCCAAACGAAACCGAGTCGGCATTGTTGCGCCTGAAGGACATGAGAGTCGCGTCCTTGCACGACTGAGGTTGGCTGTGCACGTCGCGTTGGACCGCTTTCGCAAGTGGTTTGCCGCTATTGCCGACCACGCAGACCTCCCCGATGTAGGCAAGGTAGTCCTCGCGCTCTCCAGGCACCTTCCTCAGTTTCTTGGTGCAGAGCATACCGATCTCGACGATATGTTTCTGGTCCCAAAGCTGGCCTCCCAGGCGATACGTCTTCTTGCACCACCCCGCGGTGATTCCGAGCGAGGCTTCAGCATTGACCGCTTCGACGTCGAAAAACTCGGTCGACACTGGCAGGTAGAAATGCTTTTCCAGCGACGCCTTGGCAACCGTTGACAAGGTTTTCTTGGGGTCCACGCGGTTGTCCCCAGCCTCGGGCCCGGAGTCGTCCATCGAGCGCAGGATTACGTAGTGTGTAGCGCGATCGAGACCCGGGCAAACTGTCAGCACTAGCAGGCAGACGGATTCCTCGCGTGTCGCAGTAGTGTACGAAAGCTCCATGATACGACGCGGCGAGAACTCGATGTCAACGTCGAAGAGCTTGAAGTATGACTTCTCCCGCCCCACCAATTGACCCTGCACACAGCATGCAAGATATAATAACGTAAGCAATGACAGCCCAAGGCTCGGTTAATAGCATGTCTGACCTCTGATCTTACCTGCAATTGCACACTTGATCCTCCTTGAAACGCCATGTCGTGACAAATCGCTGCCTTCATCGATCCCGTTGCAGTGGTGACGGTGCTTCCAGCGTGTAGCGCCTGGGTTGTCTGCACGTCGAGCTCTGTCATATTGGACCAGGTACCAGAACCCACACGCCTTCCTTCAGCCCAGACGCCGACACCACGACCGATGTTGAATGCACTGTACAAACAGTTTTTCCCACCCAGCGCATCGTAGCACGGACTCTTCACCTTCCAACTGTCTCGCACTGCTCCCCAGAAGCGACTCTCAACCACAACAAAGTCTTCTTGCTCCTCGTGCTGGCAGCACTCGTGCGTCCAACCGGGAGCAAACAGAGCCGCAGAGACTCCTGAATTCCAAGCCAGGCAAAGCGGCTCGCCACAATTCATTTTGCCACCGCCAAGCATATTGTGCCTGCCGAACACATCAATGCCCATGAACACGTCATAGCGACGGTCAAGTTCAAACGCAGCCGAGAATTTGGCGTCATCAGGCACCCAGCCATAGTCCGCGTAAAACGCATCAACGTTCTTGAAGAAGTCGGTGCTCGCTTCATCCAGACGGACGAACGACTTACGTTTACCCGACCTCGACAGACTCCCGTACCAGACAACCTGCGCCAGCGGATTTTGTAGCTTCATCCCCTTCCGAAGTGTTCGTAAAAATACGTCAATATTGGCTACCAGCTCGACCAGAACGTCATTCTCAATGTTAATGAGCCAGCCGTCGAAACCACCGTGCCAAGCGATAGCAGCGAGTTTGGAAGCGAACAGCTGCGTATTGAGCCACCAAACCAACGCTATCCGTTAGAATATCACCCTTTTTAAACATTTCGCTCACGGTGAACTTACCTCGGCAGACTGAACATCACGGAACAATTCCTTGCACAACTCAGTGCCCTGGCCGCCTTCAGTTAAGAACGTACCCAGCACGCGAGTGCCATGTCGATGTCCAGCAGCGATCCACCCGGTCGGTGGCGGGCAGACCAAAGCGTGACCAAAGTACACGAACAAATCCACGAGATCCCACTGATAAAACCTGTAGGCATCGAAGTCGCCGCACCCCTGCTTGAACCGGTCTTCCTGGTATCCCCCTTTCATGTCATGACACACCAGCAGCTTGCTGCGTCTGCGTTGCTGTCTCGATCTAGGCGCGATGGGCACCGAGCACCCGATCAGCGTCGTCGCGTCAAAGTTGCGAAGTTCCTCCACCGTATGCAGCGGCCTCGTCTCCAACTTCACCGCCATATCAACATCATCGCGAACATCCCGCACACACTGGAATCCGTTCCACGGGCTCAGCACCATGAAGCCCGTATCACTTTTCTCGTCCACACGAACGTGCGTCCAGTCGCACTCGTGCCCAAGCTCGTCCTTCCTCCCCTCGACCAGCAGGCCGCGAAGCTGCTTCGACCCGCCCACGAGCTTCCCCCTCACAAACAAGAACTCGGTCTGTTCTCCCTCCACCTGCTCCTGAAATTTCTCGTGTAGTGCTTCTAGGACATGTTTGCCCCCTGCGGTCCTGCCCAAGTCCACGACGTGAAGCTTCACTCGGAGCGCGTCGAATAGTGTCCGGAATGGGCCTACGCGATCTCCAGTGGTCACGAACAGTACGATACCATTGGCTGACACCTCGGATTCCACGAACGCAGCGTAGCGCTCTTCCCGATGCCTCGTGGGTGTGGAGGAGGCTGCTGCGTTGGCGTTGCTGGAAGTGACGGAGGTATTGGTGGAGGTGGCGCTGGCGCTGGGACGCCAGCAAAACCAATAGAGCAATCCTAGTCCGAGTGTCACCAGCGTCGCGATTGCTTCCATAGTGAGGAGAGGGTCGGCGCCCAGAGCTGTTGCTGCGGAGTCTGCGGCGGCGAAGGCAGCGCCCGACGCTGCAGAAGAGCTGCTCATGATGGATCGGTGAAGTACAGATCTCAGCACATTTTTGTTTCGTTCTAGACTAGAACTAGAACTAGAATCTAGCTTTCCAGGTCTATTCAATCGTTTCGTTTCAGATTCTAACTTATATGAGTCAGACTGACTAAAAATAGCCAGTCAAAAGGACCATTTCGGTGTTAGGAGGCGCGATGAGCGACGACGCGCTAGACGCAAGCCGCCACTCGCTGAACCCGCCACGGCGATTTACAATGAGCTTATTCATGCTAGCAACCAGCTCGTGGGGGAGACGGAGGCGTTGCTGTCGTCCTGCTCGTCGCTGGAGGAGACCGAGACCGCGGACGACAGCAGTCAACCGAAACGCGTCCGCGCTGTCCGCTCCGCCCCGGAAGCAGTTGACGAGCGACGGAAGGTGCGGAATGCCAACGCGGCCAAGAGGCGGCTCAAGTACACGAAGAAAGTCAAGGACGAGAGGGAGCAGCTGAAGCAACAGGACGAGCAGCTATCGGCTCAGCTGGCCGACCTACAGGCCAAGCAGAGTGCAAAGAAGTGGGTTCTGGAGAGAACGAGTGCCATGCCCGTGTGGAGGGCCATTGCCACGCGTCAACTGCAAGGCCGCCTTATGGCTGAAGCGGAGAGGCGCCGGCTTCGAGAGCTCGTTGCAGCACGTGGCAAGTTGCTCCACGAGCTTGGCGAGAAGATGCGTCTGCACTTGCAAGGATCTGGTATTGCTATGGATAGAAGTGAAGAACGGAGTGCACCTCCGCTGGAGCTGGAGGACTCGCTGCTTTTTGACAGGTACTTGGTGGAAGTGGAGACCGCTTTCGACGAAGTTGACGAGGTTCAGCGCACCTGGCATGTACACGAAGCCCCTTTGTCGCCAGTTCGCAATCGATTGAGTGGCGAGGAACACGACTACTTTGAGAATATGGATGTGCAGCTGACCCCTTTCGACTTCAAGCAGACCGGTGACGCTCTGTGGGAAGCAATGCGTCGTGTTCATTATCAAAATGGCCACCAGCGCTACAGAAGCGTTGCGGGTCTTGGAGATGTGGTCGCTGTCAAGTTCCAAGTGCGAAATAAAATCCAGGATGAATCAGGCTTGATAATCCGGATCGTGATGAAGCGGCGTATCGAGTCTGGCAGAATTGTGATCTTGTGGCGAGCTCATACCCAGGGCTACGGCGAGCTCAGCAACATTCATGCCGACGAAACTGGCTGGTCAGTTATTCACCCGACGGATGCAGGGACCAAGAGCGTGGTAGGTATGCCTACTGCGATTCTGACCTTCATTCGATTTATTCCATGCAGCGATGGTACCAATCTAGAGGGGGGCGACACGAAGTTAGGTCATTTCATACAGCTAGCGGAGTCCTCGGGCCACGAGTATGGAGCTGAGATCGTGCGAATGATGGAATCTCTTCTGCTGGATGACTCGCGTATACCTGCTCGGTGAACGAGTGAAGGGATATTCTCTGGTTGCGCAGTTTGAATTCAGCTTCGAGCCTGAGTACCAAATTAGCTAGCTGCCCCCCAATACTTCTACAGTGCACAAGTGGGGACTCCGGATGAAGCATTCCGAGATCTGGAGCAACTTCGGCTACGTGTTCATGTTCCTCGCCGTCTTCCGCCTACTCGCGCTGCTGTCACTTCGCTTCATCAACCACCAGAAGAGATAAACGGTAGACTGCGATGCATTACCGTACTTCGTATAATACAGCCAACTTGTTCATGCACGATAATGCTCCTTGCTTGCACTGATTCTTTCCTTTAGTGGCCACAGGGCCAGGTGGTAGAGCTTTCAGCTCGACAAGTGCTGTTGCCATTTTACCGTGTGCATGCAGTGCCGTAGCCATTACATTTGTACGACAGTAGAATTTGTTGAAGTCTGAACTTCAGACTTCAGATGAAGATCGGGTCGTATCCACCGAATTTCCCGTTGAGAGTCTCAATGAGACAGTCGAGTTGATCTCGGAGCAACGAGCTTGCGTGTCAAACCGTTTGGCACCGGTGTCGCCGGAACTGCGCGACTGGACGTCCGGGAAGTTAAATCCGATGAGAACAGCAGCAGTGGCGAGCTGACGTTGGTCGTTGGCTTGCTGATGCAAAGGTGGATCGTGAGTTACAGCGCGTTGCGTCGGCGCTGAAGCGCGCTGTGCTGACACGCAGAGCAAGGTTGCCTGCCCCCCTCACGGAGCTGAAAAGCCTGTGGTCCACCCCTGGCGAATTATCCACCGCGAGCTTGCTCCACCGCCGCCCCCGTCCAAAGCGCAAGCTCAGCCCTCCACTCATCCGCGCCGTGCTGGCGAAATTGGAGCCAGGCGGCGGCGAGCACAAACATTGGAGCCTGTCGTGCTCCTGCGGCTGGGGGATTTTGCTCACAGTTGCCCCCTGCATGCAGAGATCAAGTCGGTGCATGTGCAGGACGCGCGCCCTGATGACCGAGAATGGTGGTCGCCAGCGCGTAAGGTGCGCGCAAACTCCGCGTTGACTACGCGCACGGCGCCAGCGGCTACCGCTGAGTCGGCACCTGCAGTACTGTACGTAACGCTGGTGTAGTTTAACACCACGACGGCCACCGCCTTACCGCGGCAAAGGCTACTTTTTGCGGTGGTCCTGTAAGGCTTTGGTGCTGGGGCGAAAATGCGCAGTGCCGACGGCGTGGACGCTGCCGCTGCCGACGTCCTGTCGAGTCCAGTCGCAGGAGCACACCATACAAACGGCCAGTCAAACGGCTGTCTCCAGCGGGTCTACTGGCGAGACGGGCCAGGCTGATGCCGGAGCCCTAGTCGCTCTCATGGTGCGCGTTGTGCAGGCTCGGCTTTGCCGCCGATTGCTCGCACAGGAAGCGTGTGTCGCACCGCGCACTGCGGGGCGCGGATCCATCGGCGCCGCCGCCCGCGAAGACGGCCATGGAGCAGGTTGGGCCGGTTGCAAGCGCGCACCCAGCCACCAGAAGCGACAACCGAGTCTGGAAAGCTCTTTCGAGACCGACTTGTCCTCGGTGGCGCCCAGCGAAACGGTCGCTACGGATAAATATAGTAGTATTTTCCGACAGATAGCTTAGTAGGATTGTACAGAACAGGAAAAATATGACACAGTCGCTATTCACTATTTTCATCCAATCAAATCACACAGGGATAGGATTTTAGCTCCGACAGCTTCTGACAAATATTTGTCGGAAGCGAGACGCAAATATGTATATGCACATAGTGAAATACAGTCAAGTACGTACTTTTCAAATATGCTCATGATTGCAACAACTAGGCAGAAACCTATTTTAGGCCTGGAGCTCTAGTCAGTGGAGACACTGGTGGTCCTCCGCACATACACACATAGGCACTTTGAAACGGCAGAAGCGCCTGACAAAGATCAGCATGAGTCTCTCTGCACTCATCCCTGCGAACACGCAAAAAGCGCGCACCACAGGGATTGGTGCTTTTGAGCGCATGCTAGAAGCAGAGAATGTGTCTATGAATGTCATTCAAGTCTGTGTGCGTGGTGACAGTTCTGGCAAGAGCCTTGCTGCCATTATGGACCGCTTTGGCTACTACCTCGCCACGTATCAAGGTAAGAAAGGTAAGTTGGCGTCTAACACAGCCATTTCATACTTTAGAAACGTTAAGCTTTGGTTTTTCGATGAGCATCCTCATCTTCGGGTTCCTACAGAGTTAAACCTGCTAAAGCAAGGCAAGACTTTGGAAAAACATTGCTTGTAACGGGACAATGGGGGATTTATTAACAAAGCTCCGCCTTGCACGAAGGCGGATTTAAGGTCACTAATTCGTCTGTCGCCACCGACTACGAAGATGTGGCGCTCGCGTGCCTCATGTGGCACTGTTTTGGGCGCTCCTCGGATCTCGGCTATATCAACAAGCAGCACATCACAGTGTCAGCGGACATCGTTTTCTACGTACGCATGCTTCGTGTGAAAACTGCCGAAGAGCAAGGCCTCACCCTCGTACCTGACCGCGACGACTTCCTCACCTGCCCCCTGCACACGCTGGCCGTTGCTCTGGTGATGCAGGAGGCGCCCTGTGTGTCGCTGCTGAGTCAGCTTCCCGCTCTCGCCACCACCGCTGAAACCTCGCGCGACGCAGGTGCGCCTCTGCTCGAGGTGCTGCGGGTCAGCGTCGCGGATAGCAGCGACACCGCGGCGGCCTTGGAAACGTCCCTGTCGCCGCCCAGCACCGCTTCCCTGCTCCCCACACCAAGTCCGCCCGGCTCCAACCCGTCGCAAGCCACCACCGTCTCCCTGCCAGCTCAGCTCACAGCTTCAAGTCCCGCGAGGAGCAGCCTCGGACGTGGTGAGGACGGAGTCCAAGCGTATGTCAACCGCTTTTTGAAGCAGGTGGCTGAACCCGCCGGTGCCACCAGCAACCTGACCTCGCACTCCTTTCGCCGAGGAGGTGCCCAGCACGCCAACGGAGACGAGCGGCTAGCAGCGCAGTGGATCTTTGACCGCGGGTCATGGGATATGACCCTCACGAACAAAGGCTTTGCCTATGTCTTCAACACCCCCCGCGAAGACCGAAAAGTCGCCCGAGTGCTGAGCGGCTGGAGCGCCGACGAAGCCCCGGTCATTGCGGACGTTGTAGCGCTGGACCATGGGACGCAGGAACGCCTGGCGCCCTTGGAGGAGCTGCTGTTCGGTTCCTGCATTGGACTGGCAGACGCAAAGCTAAACGTAAGTCGCAAGGTTATCAGAGTGCTGACGGCGTACCTGATCAAGTATTTCCCGCAAGTGAAGGCGCTGGCGCCCGACACGCTGTTCGTTGCGCGTATCGAGGAATGCTTGGGAGCGGCTGATATCCCGGGGCCGACATGCTGTCTTGGTCCATGGCAATCAATACGTCTGCTGCTTCGAGTCCTGAACAAGCACACGAAAAGTCGGAAGCAAAGAGCAACTGCTGTCATGCTGGGTGTCACCATTTGGCTGTCATTAGCGAGCTTATCGAGAGCAATCGGCTCATGTCTGCGCGCCTCCTCGCACTGGAGACGATCATCCTAAAGCAAGCGCCGCCTGTGAAGCGTATTGAAGAAGCATCAGAAGAGCAAGCGTCGTCAGAGCAAGCGCCACCCGCAAAGCAAAGAAAGAAAGCTGCTACGAACCTGTTCTTGCTGTGGTTCGAGTGGTACACGAGGCTGCCCCGTGTCTGGGACTCGAGCGACCGCCAGAAGAAGTCCGACTACCGCCTGGGCGTTGCGTACAAGATACTCTTTCTTGACGGCGGATTCGTGCTGCGCGAGGATGCTGTCGACTTCAAAGATCTTGTCTTCGAAGTAAGAAAACGCGCGGAAGCAGCGGTCCTTAGGTTCTTGAGCGAGCAGGGATCCCGAGCAAAAGGAGCTGGCAGCGTGCTGCGCGAGATGCGCAAGCTTCATCGGTCTGGTGCCCTCGACAGCCGCATCGTGGCGTATCAAAGCCACCTCGCCCTGGAAAGGATCATCGACCCAGCGCCGGCTGCAACCCAAAACATACTACAAGTCGTCGGACACGGGTAAGGCACAAAGTTCGGGGCAAATACATATATTCATGAACCAATACAAGACAGTTAGCTTACGAACGCGCAGATCAAGGCCATGACCATCCTGCCAACCATCGCCCAGAGACCGTCGGGCACTCAGCGCATCGCTCTCCATCCGCTCGTCGCCGCTTGCCCGGACCCAAACACTGCATCAATCGTGATTGGCGACGGCGGGCTTCGATCCCGCTCCTCAGGGCAAGCCCTGCGCTCATCCATTGAGCTTTGTCGTCGAGGGTGGAGCCTCCGGCTTGGCTTGCGGTCTGGGGGGTTCAGCTTAAAAAGTCTAGACTGAAGCCGCGGGGCCTCTGTCGGCGTTGCCTCCGAGAGCTTGACTGCGTGGCGCTTTTCTATTGGCTTAAATATAATCTCATTGAGGTTTTTAAACGAGTGGCTCTGGAAGAGAGGGTCACTCTTGTGAAGCGTAAATATCACTGTTTAAAGACAATCAACCCAAATAGTGGACCCACCACAGGATCCTGGCTCTCATTGATGAACTTGCCACCTCGACAGCACATTGCTCCGAGTCGATTTTGCGCCTAGATGCAAATTGCCGTTTTTCTCGGCCCACAGGCCTCTAGAGGCGATTTCCTCGCGGCTGTGAGCACCGCATGAAAGCTGACAAGAATGCCCCCTAGTCCTAATTTACCGTACATAATATCTAATTTCCGATTTTTCACTATTTCCGATTTTGCACTGGCTTTGACCAATTGCCTACTGATACGTTTGATTGGTTTAGCGTTTGTCTCAGTGAAAGCCGGGGCGCCTGCTTCAACGTCTCAACTGGCGATATGATCCCCGCGCAATCCCTCGCACTCGGATCGCGCGCCACTGCCGCGAAATCAACAAGATGCGGTTGACGCGCAAGTTGCGGGTGGACCTCGCGTGGCCAAGAGAGGACGGAGCCCGCGTTTAACGAAGGCTCATTCCGGAAGTTGCTCGCTCTCTCTCAAGCACTTTCCCCCTTCTCCTCGTCGTCTCCAGTGGCGATGAACTCCTCCGACAAGAAGCTCGGGCTGGACTCGGCCGACGCGCTCATGGCGCAGGGCCCCCACGCGCTGCACAGCTACGTGGCCGACAAGGTGCAGGCTGCCATGGGCAAGGCCATGCCCCAAATGGAGGTGCGCTTCAAGGACCTGTCCATCTCCGCCAAGGTCTTCGCCTCCAGACACTCGGACCCCAAGTCCCAGCTGCCCACGCTCTACAACAGCGTCAAGAAGGCTGCCACTAGAGTCAACAAGGACAAGTACACGGCCGAGAAGACCATCCTCAAGAGCGCCAGCGGCGTCTTCAAGCCCGGCACCATCACGCTGCTGTTGGGCCAACCTGGATCGGGCAAGTCGTCGCTCATGAAGGTGCTGAGCGGCCGCTTCCCGCTCGAGAAGAACGTGACAATCGACGGTGACATCACGTACAACGGCGTCCCACAGGCCGACATCATGAAGCGGCTACCGCAGTTCGCCGCCTACGTGACACAACGAGACAAGCACTTCCCCACACTGACCGTGAAGGAGACGCTCGAATTCGCCCACGCCTTCTGCGGTGGAGGGATCTCCAAGCGTGGAGAGGAGCTGCTGTCGAGAGGCACCCCTGAGGCCACTGCGGAAGCGCTCGACGCCATCAAGGCTCTCTACGCGCACTACCCAGAGGTCATCGTGAAGCAGCTGGGGCTTGAAAACTGCAAGGACACCATCGTGGGCAACGCCATGCTGCGTGGTGTGTCCGGAGGCGAACGCAAACGCGTGACCACGGGCGAGATGGAGTTCGGTATGAAGTACATGACGCTCATGGACGAGATCAGTACGGGCCTGGACAGCGCCGCCACCTTCGATATCATTAGCACTCAGCGTGGAATCGCCAAGACCCTGCAGAAGACGGTGGTCATCGCTCTGCTGCAGCCTTCGCCCGAGGTATTCGAGCTGTTCGACGACGTGATGATCCTGAACGACGGTGAAGTCATGTACCACGGCCCTCGCGACAAAGCTGTGCCGTTCTTTGAGAGTCTAGGATTCAAGTGTCCTCCTGATCGAGACGAAGCTGACTTCCTTTTGGATCTGGGCACCAACCAGCAGTACGGCTACGAAGTGGAGCTGCCTGCAGGTATGACGCACCACCCGCGTCTAGCGAGTGAGTTCGCAGAGATTTTCCGGCGTTCCTCGATTCACCAAAGAATGCTCCAGGCATTGGAAGTTCCTCACGATCCTGAGCTTCTTGAGAACGTTGGCGCACACATGGACCCGATGCCCGAGTTCCGTCGTGGATTCTGGGAGAACACCCGGACTCTCATGAAGCGGCAAACGATGGTTACTCTCCGCAACACTGCGTTCATCAAGGGCCGCTGCATTATGGTGGTGCTGATGGGGCTCATCTACTCGAGCACCTTTTGGCAAGTCGACCCCACCAATGTCCAAGTGGCGCTAGGTATCATGTTCCAAGCCGTCCTATTCCTCGCTCTGGGGCAGGTTTCCCAGATCCCGACGTTCATGGCGGCCCGAGACGTGTTCTACAAGCAACGCGGAGCCAACTTCTTCCCGACGTCGGCGTATGTCCTCGCGTGCTCTGTCGCCCAAGTCCCGATGGCCGTCGCCGAGAGCATCATCTTTGGCTCGATGGTCTACTGGATGTGCGGCTTCGTTTCCACGGCTGGCGCCTTCATCTGCTACATGATCCTGCTCATCCTGACGAACCTTGTCTTCTCGTCGTGGTTCTTCTTGCTGACAGCAATGTCTCCGGACTTCCACATTGCCAAGCCGTTTGCTACCTTCACCGTGGTGTTCTTTATCCTGTTCGCTGGCTTTGTCATGGCCAAGAGCACCATGCCAGGCTGGTTTGAATGGATCTATTGGATTAACCCGATCGCTTGGTGTCTTCGCGGTCTCGCTGTGAACCAGTACCGTGCTGCCAAGTTCGACGTCTGCATCTACGAGGGTGTCGACTACTGCAGCAAGTACGAAATGAACATGGGCGAGTACTATCTGTCACAGTACGATGTGCCGTCCTCGAAGGTGTGGGTGTGGGCCGCCATGCTGTTCATGATCGCCTGCTACGCGCTCTTCATGGCTCTGGGGTGGTACGTGCTTGAATACCACCGCTTCGAGAGCCCCGAGCACACGATCATCAAGGACAAGGACGAAGAAGCGGACGGAAGCTACGCACTGGCAGCAACTCCCAAGGGATCCAGCACCAGCTCGGCGGCTCGAGCGGTTGCTTTGGACATCGGGCGCGAAAAGAACTTCACGCCGGTGACCATCGCATTCCAGGATTTGTGGTACTCGGTGCCGCACCCGAAGAACCCGAAGGAGTCGCTCGATCTACTGAAGGGTATCAGCGGATTCGCCAAGCCTGGTACCATGACGGCTTTGATGGGATCCTCGGGCGCAGGCAAGACGACGCTCATGGACGTGATCGCGGGTCGTAAGACTGGCGGCAAAATTCAGGGGAAGATTTTGTTTAACGGCTACGAGGCCACGGACTTGGCCATCCGACGATGCACGGGCTACTGCGAGCAGATGGACATCCACTCGGATGCGACGACGTTCCGCGAGGCCTTCACGTTCAGCGCCTTCCTTCGTCAAGACAGCAGCATCCCGGACAGCAAGAAGTTCGACTCGGTGGAAGAGGTGCTGGACCTGCTGGACATGCACGACATCGCAGACCAAATTGTGCGCGGCAGCTCGGTGGAGCAGATGAAGCGGCTGACGATCGGCGTGGAGCTTGCCGCCCAGCCAAGCGTGCTGTTCCTGGACGAACCGACCAGCGGCTTGGATGCACGCTCGGCCAAGCTGATCATGGATGGAGTTCGAAAGGTGGCCGACAGCGGACGGACCATTGTATGCACGATCCACCAGCCGTCGTCCGATGTGTTCTACCTGTTCGACCACTTGCTGTTGCTGAAGCGCGGCGGTGAGACGGTTTTCGTCGGTGAACTGGGCGAGAAGTGCCGCAAACTGGTGGAGTACTTCGAGGACATCCCGGGTGTTGCGCCGCTGCCGGAACGGTACAACCCTGCCACATGGATGCTCGAGTGCATTGGCGCCGGAGTCAACAACGGCGGTCACAACACGATGGACTTCGTCGAATACTTCAAGAACAGCGAGGAGAAGCGCGTTCTGGACAACGAGATGGCTCAGGAGGGTGTGACCGTCCCCGCTCCCAACCTCCCGGAGATGATCTTCCAGAGGAAGCGCGCCGCGAGCTCGTGGACGCAGGCCAAGTTCTTGACGATGCGCTTCATGCGAATGTACTGGCGCACGCCCACGTACAACATGACGCGCTTCGTGATCGGCCTGTTCCTCGCGTTGCTCTTTGGACTAACGTATGTGGACGTGGAGTACGTGAGCTACCAGGGGATCAACGGCGGTGTGGGTATGGTGTTCATGACGACGCTTTTCAACGGCGTCGTCTCGTTCAACGGCGTGCTGCCCATTGCCTCCGGTGACCGCGCAGCTTTCTACCGGGAGCGTGCAAGTCAGACTTACAGTGCACTCTGGTACTTCGTGGGCTCGACGATCGCTGAGATCCCGTATGTCTTCTTCGGCTGCTTGATCTTCACGGTCATCTTCTTCCCGTTGGTCGGCTTCACTGGGTTTGGTACGGGAGTGCTCTACTGGATCAACGTCTCGCTGCTGGTGCTCATGCAGACGTACATGGGGCAGCTCTTCGTCTACGCGCTGCCAAGTGTTGAAGTCTCCGCGATCATCGGCGTGCTCGTGAACTCGATTTTCTTCTTGTTCATGGGCTTCAACCCGCCGGCGGAATCCATCCCCGAGGGCTACCGCTGGCTGTACGCGATCACACCGCAGAAGTATTCACTCGCGATTCTCGAGGCGCTCGTGTTCACCGACTGTCCGAACGAACCGACCTGGAACAGCACGCTCGGCGCGTACGAGAACGTGGGCTCGGAGCTCGGGTGCCAACCGGTGACGGGCCTGCCGCTCACGATCGACCACATCACCGTCAAGGGCTACGTCGAGTCGGTCTTCGAGATGAAGCACGACGACATCTGGAGCAACTTCGGCTACGTCTTCTTGTTCATCGGCATCCTGCGGCTACTGGCCTTGCTGTCGCTGCGCTACATCAACCACCAGAAGAGATAGATAGACAAGTAGAATACATAGGGAAGATACAAGAGACTCTGGTGTAACCTCGAGTAAGTAAATTCGGCCACTTCTAGACAACTTATCGCCGACATCAATTGGACATTTCAATTCTGTCGGAGTTCCGGGCCGACGTTCACATACTATAGTAGTATTTTCCTTGGCGGCCATCCCGAGTCGGATCTTCTGGACAGCTAGAGAGTAAGGAGTGCCAGATTTCTTACGGCGTGATCGTGAAGACCAACTTGTGAAAGCGCAGAAAATTGCAATGAATTAACTGCAGAAGAGTTGTGCGCATCCAAGGTCGTCGGACTCATTTTGAAGTCCAGCACTTCCAACCCCATGGTCGAGAAACTGGCAGACAAGCTCAAACAACTCAACCCGATCCTCCTAAATCCCGCGGTTTTAGAGAAGGCACTGGAGTGTTTTAATGGGGTGACATGAAGGTTGGTTTACTCGCTGTACTCGTCTCCAAGCGGATCGAGTGGCTCAAAGCCTAAATCGAAAAGCAAATGCCAGGCGCAAAGTTCCCAGATAACGCCAAGGTTGGTGAGTTTTACTAAGTCCTGCCGCGACGATGGTTATGGCGAAGGGGGTGCGCAAGTTAAAGGGATTTCAAGACGCGAGCAACTACGCGGCGAAATGGACGCGTGAAGCGCAAGTCGATGTCTCGTTCAAGATAGAGGCGAGTTCCACAGATGCAGACGCGGTTGGGACGATTACGAAGACGCGCAAGTGCACAAGTTGATCAGGGAGTTTTGTCCAAGAGAAGGGCATTTATATTTGTCTTCGAATCGAAGGCTTCGATTGTAGTTTTTAGGATTCCAACAGGAAAAAACTTCATGACAAGCATTGAGCTACGGGCCTAAAAGGCATCATTACGCGCCATTCGTCTCCTTGTTACGCAGAGACGTCGCGAACTCCTCGAACCATGCCAGGCTTTCCGGGTTCTGCAAAGCGTTCTTGTTGGTCACTGTTTGGCCGTCGATGATTTTCTTCACAGTGAGCTCTACTTTCTTGCCACTCACGGTGTGAGGAATCGCCGGACAGGCCACCACCATACCAGGCATGTGGCGTGGGGAGGCTTGGTCACGAATGCATTGGCGAACCTTCTTCTGGAAGGCAGGCGTACACTCGTAGCCGGTTGCCATCACTACGAACAGCAGAATACGGACGTCGGGGGTGCCGTCTTTCAGCGTGTAGTTCTGTCCGACGACCACCGAGTCCGCCACTTCTTCCATTCGCCCCAAAACTTTGTAGATATCCGCCGCCCCGATACGTACACCACCTACGCGAAACGATGGTTAACGCCTTTGTTTACCGGATCTGTGTGCCTATGATAATCAATTGGTGTTCTTACCTGGCTTCAACGTTGCATCAGAGCGACCGCAGACAATCACGCCACCGCTGTTCGTGACCTTGGCAAAGTCGCCATGCTTCCAAATGCCTGGATAGGTGTCAAAGTCTTCACACGCCAATGCCATGCGTTAAAGTCAAAGCCAAACGAGAGTCAAAGTACAACATTTCCCACTTACAGGCGCCATGGTACTTGGACCCGCTTTCATCGTTCCAAAAGTACAGCGGCATCGATGGGAACGGCTGCTTGCAGACCAACTCGCCTTGCTCTTCATGGATCTCCTTGCCATCGTCATCGAAGATGCGAACATCCAGGCCCAAACCTCGGGTCTGCAGCTCACTATCACGCACTGTACGTAGCAAAGTTAGTGAAACTCTTCAATTCAGCTTACGCTTGATAATTTATCCTTGGAGGCACATTTTTTGTGTGTACCTGGTAGATTGGTGCAGCCGAGAGCAAAGCACCCATTTAAGTCGGTACCTCCGCTGATTGAGGCGAACTGTACGTCGCTCTTGATTCCCTCGTACACAAACTAAAGCAATAGTTTGTAAGATAGCATCCCATTTGCCGACCCCCCCCCCAGCTACGTCTACAAACCTTGAAGATATTGGTACTGGCTGGTGATCCCGTGGACGTGATCAGCCTCAGCTTGGACAAGTCAAACGTTTTGCCAGGAACGCATCCCGAGTCCATGACGGCGGCCAAGTAGCACGCGCTTGTCCCAAATACCGTCACGCCAACGTCCTGCTCAGTGTATAACAGCGACAAAAGTGTGAGAGGCATTACGGGGATAGTAGCCAACACGAACATTCGCTTACCTGCCCGAATTTCCACAACGCTTCTGGGGATGGATACAGGGGGTTGCCATCAAAGAGAACTAGTGTTGCCCCCACTCCAAGTGTACTCACGACCCAGTTCCACATCATCCAGCCAGTGGTCGTGTAGTAAAACACGCGGTCCTGCCGCTGGACATTCAGATGCTGCACAAGTTACGACCAGAAACAAAAGTTAGCTGTTAACAGTGCAAATATCGAGGGAAAATAGTCAAAATACTGTATGTAGACGTACATTTGCGAGCTCCTTCAGGTGGTTCAAAACAACCCCAGGACCTTGGACGAGGCACTTCGGAAGCCCAGTCGTTCCCGAGCTGTACATGACGTAGACCGGGTGGTCGAAGGGCAACCGCGCGAATGGAATCGTGTCCTTCACCGACTGCACGGCCTCCTCGATAAAGCGGTCGTGGTAGACTGCCCCTCGGATTTTTGACAGGTCCAGGTCATGCTTGCTACCACCACCTTCTCTACAGATGGCAAGTCATCGATAACTTGTTTCAGCTGCGAGAACATGTCAATTCGTTGTCCCTTGTAGAAGTAGCCGTCCGTAGTGAACACGACCTTCGGTGTGATCTACAATAGTAGCATTCATCGGGAAATAGAACGTCAACAACCTAGCACGTAGCACCTACGACAGATATGGGCGTACCTGGGCGAAGCGATCCAAAACTCCTTGGGCGCCAAAGTCAGGCGAACAGCTCGACCAGATTGCTCCGAGGCTACCAACAAAACAGAACCTATTAATCATTTGAAACACTTTGTAGATACAGTCAATCGGCACGAACCTGGTGGTGGCGAGCATCGCAACGATTGCTTCCGGGATGTTCGGGATGTACGCTGCAACGCGGTCTCCCGCCACAACGCCCATCTCTGCCAGCCTCGCCGACAACTTCGCTACTCGTTCATACAGCTCCTTGAACGACATGACCTCTTCCTGGTTGCTGGTCTCCGCCTTGAAAATGATTGCCGGACAATCATCTCGGAAGCGCAGCAGGTTCTCAGCAAAATTCAGCCGAGCTTCGGGGAAAAACTTGGCGCCTGGCATCTTGTCCTTGTCCTCGATCACCTTCGAGTACGGCTGAGACGAGACCATGCCCGTGAATTCCCAACACTGCACCAAACACCAAACACCCTATAAGCCACCACACCAGTCCCCTCATTGAGTCATCAACTGCACTCCTCTCACCGCCTCCCAGAACTGCTCGAGGTTCTCCACCGACCACTTCCAGAGCTCTTGGGGGGTCTCCAACGACAATCTATTGCACACATGAGACCCAGTAGCTTTAGCCATCCACACCCCTCCCCCAAGTAACAACACGGTATTGCACTCACTTGAAGCGCTCGTTCACTTGCTGCGTGAACTTGGTCCAGTTGGAGGAGGCTAGGAGCTCTGCTGGTGGTGTCCACACTGTTGGAATGATACACCAGATACGTGAGCGGATTGTGTCAATGGGCCAATAGTTGGAGCTATTGCAGACGTACATGGAGCCTCATCCCTCTCTCCTTTGCCCACTTCGACACCGTCGCCCTTGCGCTTGCCCAGCACCGCCATCGTGTACGTGGGGCGGCAAATGGTCGACTGAGCGATTTGATCGTCACTTGAAGTCGTACTTTGTGCGAAAAGTAGTATTGTGAAAACCGATTAGAATGTCTTATTGGATTGTTAATCAGCCGATTTAGTGGCTTAATAAGACCGACGACCCCCGATTAGATAAATCCGACCTCCTAATTAGACTGGGTACCTCGATTTATACTCAATATTACTAGAGTCGGGTTTACATTTGCTAATCGGCCGATTAAGCCAGAGCCGGCCGATTTGTTTACTATTCAGACGGAATGTCCGATGTGCAACCGGCATTCGCTCCTTGTAGGCTAAATCAGCCGGCAGACAACAATCGTTGCAGTCGCTCTTGGCTAGAGTCAAGGTTACAACACTAACATCAGAACTAAGCTGGAAAAGCCGCACTCTATAATACCTGTAACTGAGATATGCAGGCGACGCGTTAAAGCGCGGTGTTGCCGCTGCACTATGCATGTTGATCGAAATAGCTAGGCTGCACATAATTACGAGACCGATGACCGATTTATACTCCGATTATAATTGAGACATCCCCGATTTATTAGTCTTCAAATCCGCTATGAGCGATGTTTAACCGACTAATTCAGCAGGACAAACTAATCGGTTTTCACAATACTTAACGGAAGTTGAAGTTGGAAACCTTTTAGTGTGATGCACGCGACGAAAATCTACTTCTACGGAAATCGCCGTGCGAATATGTCACTTCGTATAGAATTCGGGGTGCAAATTGACTGGCGAATACCACGAATGCAAAAATGCCAGCTATACAAAAATCAAATGAAACTGCAAGATGTAGTGGAATTCATCGTGCAGTTTGCACGAAGCATATTGTGCCGCACATTTGGTACACAGTGTGAAAGTAGAAACACTACTACTTCAAAGTAAATGTGTATTGTGTAAGCTTACCGCTACTCACCTACGTAATGGTAGCTAGTCTAGCTGGAGCTGTGCCTTGCATGCTCACGGGCGAGTGTTCTCCACGATAGTTGGTCAAGTCTACGCGCTCTTCCTTTACTCGACGTCGATGAGAACGGTATACGATTCTTTACTTGCTCAAAACGAAGGCCAGCCGAATCGAGAGAGCTGTGCGCTCTCAGGACCTCATCACTCGTCAGAAGTGCTTCAACGAAGCGCATCAGCCGCTGAAGCTCTGCAAGCCGGATCTTTTGTAGTCTTGAAGCCATATCGTGCTTTGATAGCTGCTTTAGTGGCGGTTGCCCAGCACACCATTGCTGCCACACAACGCGAACGGTTCTTGGGGGTAGCACAAACTCTCTTGGCACTCGATGAAAGCCCTCACCCCATGTGTAAAGCTCGGTGTGCATCGTTGCAGTAGCATTCACCGAGGACTTTCTGTCTGAGTGTGAAGGTACACTATCGCCGAGCGAACATTTCCAAAAGTCGACTTTCCGGTGACACCACGCTGCTCCATCGAGGTCAAGTAGCGCATACACTCCATAGTACTTGATACACTAATGGACGATAGAGAACCGCTGCGCGATACTCTCCCCATTAATTGCACCCAGCGTACGAAACGTACTAGTAAACAGGACTTGCCGTCGATCCGCCTCCGTATTCTCATAGAGCCACTCTATGAAGCGAGATAAAGTTCGTAGATAGACGTACTTGGTGTTGTCAGAGGTGATACTTCCCAGCACTTGCTCAACGCGGGCATCGAGAGCTTCCATCGTTACTTGCCGATAGAAACGGTATCGAAATAGCATAGAAATATTTCTAGTTTTTGTTTCGTTCACTTTGCACGACGAATTCCATTTATCTAAACATGGCTACATGCATGCACACTTGACGTTACACTTTTAGTTTTGGCAAAATGTGTGAATTGATCGTAGTAACTTACAGGTCTTAAAGGTTAGCTAGCAGGATGTCTGTCGCCTTGGAGGAGAAGGAGAAGGGGGGGGGGGGTTGAGTGCCTCGCAGTCGAGGAGGCAGCCTTATAAAATTGGACGCAAGGCAGTCAATCTACACGAGCGCCACAGCAGCTTCCGAGAGACGAGGGCGTCCTAGGAAGGCGCGGGCGGCGGCGTTGACGGCCATGCTGTTGTTTTGACGCGCGTGGCTCATGGCGGTAATTCGAGCGACGGCTCGGAAGGTGGGACGTGCGGATGCACGTGGGGCGTTGAAGGACGCGTTGGCGGTGGTCATGTTGTCGCGGACGCGGCCCAGCAGCTGCATGAAGCTCGAGTTGAAGCCCAGCTCCGGGGTGAAGTGCAGCAGCTCGACGCGAGAGAGCGTGTAGTGCTTGTCCAGCGGGATCTCCATGTCGTTGAGCATGATCGGCAGGATGGGCTTGCCCTTGTCCTCTGCAAACGCCAACTGGTCCTTGACCAGCTCGCTGTTGACGGTCTTCCTGGAAAGCACCACGATGAACACGTCGCACTTTAGGATGGCCTCCTTGGCGGCGTGGATGCGCTCCGTCATGTCCGCGTACGTCTGGGTGCCGTCCAGCAGACACCGCACGCTGTTGTCCTGTAGTCGGTCGTGGAGACGCTTGACGAACGTGTGGTGGTGGTCGCCGTGCGATACAAACGCAAAGCTGAGGTTGTCCAGAGTGGCGGGGTCCCAATCCGTGATGTTCTCACCGAATCCGACCACGCTGGTGCCGTTAGCCAGGCGACGGCGGCTCCCAGTGACGTTGGCCTCGCGTTGCTTCTCGATTTCGTCACGAACGCCGTCGAGCAGAAGTCGGAACTGCGCCGCAAACCGCTCCTCGTCGTACTCGTACGTGATCTTCCGCTTGTTGGCGTTGTTCACGCTCTTGATCGCTTGCTCGAACGGAACCATTTGACGCGTGTAGATGTAAACCTGCATCTCATCTGTGACTGCAGCCCCCTCAGGAGACACGGCAATGATCGGCTTACCAAGCTGCTTGGCCAGCGCCAGCTCCTTGAGACACCATTCAGAGACTGGGTAGTCCTCTGTGTACAGACAGATGATCACCTCGGCATTTTTGATGCCACGCGCAATCTCTTCGCGCCATACGGAGCCACCGCCGATACCCGTGGGGTCCATAAGGTCAAGCCACGACGTGATGTTCGCGCGCTCGAGACTGTCGCGGATTTTCAGTGCAAATTCGCTGTGCGAGTGCGTGTAGCTGATCATAACATCGCGGTCGCCTGCAGCCTGCTTGATCTCAAACTGCAGCTGCGTTGACGTGGTGCAGTCCACTGGACGATAACCATCGCGGTTCGTCTCCATAACGTCTGCTCCGGCATCCAAGAGTGCTAGCGCGGTGCCCTTCTGCTCACACTTCATGGCAATGTGCAGGGCTGTATCACCGTTGGGGAGGCGATCGTCGATATCTGCGCCGTGCTGAACGAGACACTCAAACAGGTCGACACTCACGTTCTTGGACGATGCAGCGCATAGCAGCGGAGTGTGATCGCGATAGTCACGCAAGTTCACATCGGCGCCCTTGCTCAGAAGCAAACGAACCACCTCTGGCTTGTTCACACGCGCAGCCCAGTGGAGAGGCGAGCGGCCGAAGATATCCTGGAAATCTGGGTCAGATCCAGCTTCAAGCAGCCTACTTACGGCCTGAACAGCACCGTTTATCGCTGCCCAGTGGAGTGGCGTACGGCGGTGCATACCCGTGTAGCCGTACTCGCCCACACAGTTCGGATCTGCGCCAGTCTTCAGAAGCCTCTTAATACCTGCAATGTCATCCTTGGCTGCAGCTTCATGGAGTGGTGTCAGCGCCACATCGGCTCCCCATTCCTCGAGCTCATGGGCCACGGGGAAATTGCCACGCATGTAGGCCAACTGCAGCACTGTGAGTGTGTTCATGTGGCCTGGATCAGGCACATCCAGGTGGTTGGCTCCAGCTTCCAGAAGCAGCGTGACGATGTCGGGGTTATCGGCCACAAAAAGCGGTGGCACGCGGTCCGACCAATACGACGCCCTGGACTTGAGGTTCACGTTCGCGCCGTGCTCTACCAGCCATTGAACCGCTTGGATTTGACCAGTACTTACTGCGCAATGCAGCGGCGTCACAAGCGTCGTCCGGAAAATGGAAGCAGCCATCTCATCTTCAGACGTCAAAGGCTTCGTCACAAATATCTGCGCGAACGTCCAAAAGAGATCTCCAGTCGTAAAGCGCACGCGCGAAACCTTATCATAACTGTCCACACGAAACCCAGCGTCCAGCAATAACTGAAGTGCTTGGACGTTGCCCAAGTAGGCGGCCACATGCATGGGGTTCTTCTTGGAGCGACCGAAGAGCTTGCACACGAGTCTGGCGTCGCAGTACATTTCCTCGGCGAAGTCCGTACCCAACCGCTCCTTAGCATACTCGAGCAGACTCTCCATCTTGGCCACATTCCCCAGCGACGTTTCCTTGTACAAATGCTTGCGTAGGTCGTTGATCACGCGCGAGCGCTCCGACTTGTACTTGCTCCGCTTGCGCTGCAGCCGCGAGCGGATTCCACCGGTCTGGTCCGTCTCCTTGAAGGCTCCAAGCTGCATGCTCAGGTGCTCGCGGAACCGCGCGAAGTACGTGAGCACCACGAAGTTGGCGAAGAAGGTCACGACTGCGAACACGACGTACAGGATGGCGCGCGCGCGGCTGCAGTGGAAGTTGTTGCCCTGGAAGATGGCGTACGCGAAGTAGAGGATCACGACGAGGCTGAAGACCAGCACAACGACGCTCAGCAGCTCGCAGAACTGGAAGAAGACGGACCTCTGGATCTTCTGGCGGCCGCCGCCGTCCCGACGTCGTCGGAACGGTTCGAAGATCCGCAACCCCGACGCGGGCAGCCCGATGAGCACCAGCAGCGGCGCTACGTGGTACACCAGCATCGCGTACACCACAATAGTGTCGCACGCGCCGCAGTAGCCGGTGTCTCCAACGCACGCCGTGGTCTTGGTGCGGTGGAAGGCCAGCGCGTAGCCCACGTCGTGCACGTACACGCCACCGTGGCCCACGTCCTTGGACGCCCAGAAGATGACGATGCCCGCGATGCCCAGCGCCGCCACCAGCAGCGTGCTCATGCGCAGGCGCCACGTGAAGTACGAGTTGCGGCCGTAGCCCGGGCCTAGGAACGTGCGGGGCAGCGCCTTGGGCGTCCCGCGCGGCGCGGCCGGCAGCGCGTCGTCGTCCACGTCGCCCAGCTCCATGACCGCCTCGTCCGTGGAGCCGCTGGGCAGCGGCGTGGGCGTGCGCGACGCCTTGTCGGTGGACGCGGCGGGCACCGCCGTGGACGGGCCCTGCGAGCTGCGGCGGCTCACGCGCTCGCCCCCGTGGCCGGAGAACGAGCCCTGCTCCGGTAGCGCGTGGTAGTCCGCGGCCTCCGTCATGGGCTGGACGGCGTCTGCGGATGGAGGGGGAGGAGGAGGTGAAGTGTGCGTAAGCTTAGCTTTAGAGGGAATGGTGCAGTACGCGGCGAGGAAGATGTCACGCGTGGCTTGGCGCTGTCCGCCGGCGCTGGAAGTCCCGTAATGGCCTCAGGCGTTAGTGCAGCGCTGGAAGCAGGCAAATTCTAATCTTTCGGGTTACGACGTGACGCTTTTGTTGAATTTTGACCCGACTCTGAAGGGGGTCTGAAACGAATCTATTTCAATACAATGATCGTTTTGCAGCAAATTCGCTAAGCCGGTTAAATCGCTCCAGCTTGGGACTAGTGATTTGAATGATAAGCTTACTTAAATAGTTTATCAAATCCTGTTTTTGTAAGGCAGTCACGACTGGGGGAAGGGCAGAATAGGGATATTTCGTGACGTTTTCTAGCTTTTTGGCTGGGTAAAGGTAGCCTTTCGAAGTTGGGACAAGCTGGTCAAGATGCGGCGCTCGCTTTGCTGTGGCCACGCCGATACGGCGAGGAGGTCTGCCGCAGACTCTGCGGCTCTCCATGGCGCTCGAATGGACCGGGTAGCAGTCAAAGGCGGTGCCGCACTGGCGTAGGGTTCATCTCACATACAATGAAGGACTACTGTGTCTGATATCACTTCAACAATGAGCCCGTCGTGCATGCTTACTGTACTCTAGCGATAATTTGTTAGGCTGCGGCCACTTGCTTGCTTTTGCCTGCAGCATAATTTACGTCGAGTAGTGGGTGCTTTGAGTTTCCGCCGCCGTTACTATCCGATTCCGTTTCTCCGCCTCCTTTTGCAAACCACTCGACAATGGTGTGCCTGCGCAGCTAGCCTAGCTGAGCTAGGCAAGGTAAAGTGTAAACGTGACTGATGGCACAGCCAGCCGCACGGCCCCTGCGTGCGCGGTCTCGGGCATCACGGAGCGAGTTTTCTGCTCGTCGCTCCATCTGCCACTGAGGGGTTGAAGCCCACGACCCCTCACCTTGTCAGTGACAAGTTTTCACACCCGGTCCATTGCACTTATTCACGCAGCAAGCACATTGCCGCAAGATGCTATGCTTCACCGTATTAATAATACTAAGTATTTCCCAAGACGCGCATACCGCAGCGTGTACATGTACTTACCGTATTCATCTGCTCAAAGTAACTTTTTGACAAGCATCGGGAGCTTCCCCTACAACCTAATCGCGTTTTCGTGCAACGTGCAGTACCGTACCCGCTCAGTTTTCGTCCGCCGGCGTTCAGCGGTGGTGAAGTCACAAGCAAAAGCGCGGGAAGCCCTCGAAGACGCCAGCAACGATGACGGACGAGCCGCAGAAGCCCGAGGCGCAGCTGAGCGTGGACCCGCAGGCCGAGGCAGCGACCGATGCGCAGGCGCCCGCCTCCGGGTCGTCAGCCGCGTCCTCGACCGGCACGAGCCTCGGCGGCCGCGTGCGCAAGACGACGCAGAAGTTCACGTTCGTGCAGGCCAAGAGCGACGAGCCCGAGGAGTTCACGCCGCCCGCAGGCAAGGGCGTCAAAGTGCGCGACATGGAGTTCGTCTGCAGCAACGTAAGGGCGGCAGGAGCAGAGGCTGAAGCGCATTTTGCTACGAGTTGGCGCCGATTCTGAAGGTTTTGGTCGTGCAATTGTTGCGGCAGGTGGAGGCGCTGGGCAAGAAGCAGCAGGACATGATCAAGCAGCTCTACAGCGTCATGTACGGCCGTCGCTTCCAGCAGAAGAACGTACGTGCAGTTGAGGGTTGCGGGTGAAGTTTTAGTGCTGGAGTAGATGGCTTATTGCATTGGTGGTGATGGCTGGCTGGCTGGTGCAGATGAAGCTGATTAAGGAGCACATCCTCGACTTCTCGGGCATCATCGAGCAGGACGAGAAGGTAGACGATTGCTGCGAGTTGAAATGGTTTGATGGTGTTGAGCGTGGTCTGACGCTGTGTCATTGGTCTGCAGTTGCGGGAGCATTTGTTCGCCAAGATGGGCAAATGGAAGCGCGTTTTCGTGCATGAAGTGATGGATCTGCTTGCGGTATGGACTTGTATTGCTCTATTGTCGGGTGTTTGTCTTGTTACGTTGACCTTACTAATCGTTTTGCGTATGATGTTATGTGACTGCAGGTGGATCGCTCCAAGAAGTCTTTCGATGAGGCGGGCAAGCCGCACGACAAGGAGGCCCTTCTTGACCGACTGATCGATTGGCTGTACAACCCGCAGGAGACGAAGGTGTGAATTTCCTACGCGGTTGCCAATGGAAATGTCGTGGCTTACGCGTTAACTTTGGTTGCCATGTGTTTACGTTGCAATGCATGTAGCTCGGCGAGAAGAAGGCCGCCATTGCCGCTAAGAAGGAAAAACAGAAAGCTAACAAGCGAGCGAAAAAGGCGAAGAAGGCGGTAGGTCTTTGCCGCTATAACTTGGGTGTGCGAATCTACAGCTCACTGGCATGTGCGTCTTGGTGATCTCGATTGACAATACAGAGCGAAACTGAGCCTGCCAAGAAGAAGCGGAGAACTACCAAGAAGAAGGCTGCTGTTGCAGACGAGGAAGAGGGCGAGGAGGATGACCACGAAGCCACCGAGTCCGAAGGCGAAGAGTCCTCCAGCGATTTCGAAGAGGGCGACAAGAAGCCGACCAAGAAGAGGAAAACCACTCGCCGGGCAAAGAAGTCGCGCGTCGTAGAGAGCGACGACGAGAACAACGACGAAGGCGAGGAGGACAACAACGATGATGCTGAGAAGGACGACGAGCAGCCCGCTGCCGAGCCCGAGGAGGAATCCGCCGTTGCTAAGAAAGAAGAACCCGAGACGGATCCGCTGGATGCCGACGTCCGTAGCAAGGTCAGGGACATTATCGCTCATGGCGACACCGAGGAACTGACGGTGAAGAAGGTACGCACGACCCTCATTTACCACTCAAAAAGTTGCCAATGTGAACCTGAACTAATATGTTCAACTTGTTTTATACTCACGCAGATTGTACGGCAACTGAGCGCGGATCTGGGTCGCGATATGTCCTCGCAGAAGAAGGCTATCAAGGAGTTCATCACGAACGACCAAATGGAGATCTAGTCGGTCAGGTCAATTGGTGCAGATAGTTAGCCGCTCCAACTTTTTTTTCCTCCTCCTGCATCCACCCTCAACATGGTCGAAGGCCTGAGTGTGTTTGGCATCCTTCCGCTGTGCCAAAGCCTGCAGACTTCGCCATGGTACATGAAGCTTCTGTTAGTGTAGGTAGGTAGCGCTAGTCAAGCAATCACGTTCCATAACCGAGTTGCCTTTTTCGTCCACCGTATGTGATTGGCTGAAAAATTCCATGTATCCACTCGATGATTGGTCAATATCGCTTCAAGGTCCGCACGGACGGCCTTCCATCCATTTCGTGACCGGCAGCACCATGGGCAAGAAGAGCAAGAGCAAGAGCATGACGCCGGCTGTCGTGGAGCCCGAGCAGCCGGCGCTGGAGCCCGAGGTGGTGGAGGCCGTGAAGGAGCAGGTGAAGCACCAGAATGTGTCGGCGCTGGCCGACGGCTTCGCCCAGAGCGCCGCGTTCTTCGGCAAGAAGGCGTCGTACGCTCCGGCGGTGGTGGAGACGCCCAAGGAGCAGCCGGAAGTGAAGGAGGAGGCGGCGGTGGACGACAAGAAGAAGGCGAAGAAGGATAAGAAGAAGGCCAAAAAGAACGCGAAGAAGCAGGAGCAGACGGAGAACGAGAAGAAGGAGAAGGAGAACGAGACGAAGGAGGATAAAAAAGAGAAGACTGCGGAGGAGGAGGAGGCTGAAGAGGAGAACGCTGAGGAGGAGGCGGAGGACGGCGAGAAGAAGAAGAAAAAGAAGAAGAACAAGAAGAAAAAGTCGGAGGAAGGAGAAGAAGATGAGGAGCAGAAGGAGCCCACGATTGAGGACGAGAAGGCGAGCCGCACCGTGTTCGTGGGCAACGTGTCGCTGGACGCCACGCAGAAGGACATCAAGACCCACTTCTCCGTGTGCGGCAAGGTTGAGAGCGTGCGTCTCCGTCATATGCCCATTGCCGGCTGTGCGGTAGGCGAAGCTGGCAACCAGAAGCTCATGATGAAGGTGTGCGCCAACAAGAAGATCTTGACCACCGCCAAGGACAACTGCAACGCCTACGTGATTTTCGCTGAGGAGAGCAGCGTGGAAGATGCGCTCAAGCTCAACGGAACGGTGCGTTGTGTTGATTCATCGCGTCAAAGTTGGCATCTATCGCTGACAATGTTTTTTTTTACAGATTCTGGTGCAGAAGAAGATCCGCGTGGACCGCTCTACTCCTGTTATCGACGCCCACCGTAGCGTGTTCGTCGGAAACGTGCCGTTCAAGTGCACGGACGAGCAAATGCAGCAGTTCTTCGCGAAGCACCTTCGATCCGAGGAGGAGCCCGAGCCGATCGAGAACGTGCGCCTCATCCGCGACCGCGAGTCGGGCCTGGGCAAGGGATTCGGCTACCTGCTGCTGAAGACCCCCGCTCTTGTTGCCAAGACGCTGGCGCTTCGTAACCTGAAGATGGAGACTCGCGAGCTGCGCGTTCAGGTGTGCGGCAAGCGCTTCAAGAACAAACGTGGCGAGGAAACCGAGAAGGAGAAGTTCGAAGGCATTCGTGCGTCTGCCGGTGCTCGGGCACGCATCCAGCTGAAGCGTAAGGCAGGCCTTGACAACCTGGACCGTGGTCTCACTACCAAGAAGATGAAGCGGGCGGCTGCCGCGGCGGGACTGGGCAAGAAGCTGAAGCCCAAGCACGCAGCACGAAAGGCAGCGAAGGCTGCGGCTGAGGCCGCTGCCGCTAAGGGCAACGGCTCCAAGAAGCGCAAACACGATCACAGCGACAGCAAAAAGGCCAAGGCCGCCGCTCGCAAGGCCGAGAAGGCGGCTAAGGCGAAGGAGTAAGGTAGATAGACAGCTTGCTAAAGAAGACATTGCATTATCATCCAGGCAGGTGTTTAACTTCGTCGCTCTCGTAACACAGCCAATGCTTAGCTCGCTCGGGGCTGCAGAGGGGTATAACCCGCTCGCTGCTTCCATCGCTTCAGAATCGCCATCACGAGCATGCACGCAGCAGCCCCCGCAACAGTACCCAGCCCCAGGAAGGCCCAATCTTCACCACCTGACGAGACCGAGGAGACTGCAGTAGCCGCAACAGTGTCCGTCGTCGTCACCGCCGCAGTTTCCTCGAGCGGGAAGTCGCTCAGCGCCATGTACATGAGACCCATCACTCCCGTGCGAGGCACCGTATTGTTATACAGCGCCACAATCCGAACGATGTCCGTCGTGCGCATGCGTCGAGGTGGGTCGAATGTGCATGTGCTCATCGAGATCACATACCCGTCCTCATTTCCAGCCTCAGTTCCCGAGCCGTACTCGGGCACAGATGCACACAACAAGTCACCGGTCGCGTCGTCATAGAGCTGAATCCCCAGGCCGCCACGATGCTGGTGACCAACAGCATACACAAGCTCAACCTCTCGTTCCGGCTCCGGCGGGTGCTGGCGATAAGCAAACAGCGGGATGCTGCCGTTATCCAGCCGCTGGCGCGTCGACAGCGTGTGCACACATCCAGGGTGTGTCTCTGGGTCGCACACCGGCACGTCGTACTCGATGTTCCCCATGCGGTCGAGATCCCCCGAGGCGTCGCAACAAGCTGCAAGATACAGCGGGCGGTTCTCCGGCACAATCTCAGCATATTCCAGAGAGTAGCGCAACTGATACTCGGCGTTGCTCGCTGCAGCGACCTCCAGCTCGTCGTGTTCCAGGCAGAACTCGGCGTCCTCGCAGCATCTCAACCCTCCATGGTACGTCTCGGCCGAGCAAACCGTGTTCTCTTCAAAGCGGAGCTGCGCGTTGCAGCTGCCATTGCGGAAGTGAATCCCATTCACAGCATCAGCAGTGAACACGTCCTCGGACGTGCAGGGACACTCAAGACAGCGATGCGCGCGCTCTGGCGCCATCTTGCGCGTGTTGATGATGTGGACGTTGGCCACCCACTCGTCCTCGCCCTCCACCGTCATAAAGGCGTAGGGGAAGTAAAACTCCTGCGGGGTGCCCCGGCACTCAGTGCCCGCGCCGAACGCGACGCTGCGACTGAAGTTCTTGGGCTTCATGGGCGCCCAGCGGCTCTTCATGGCGTCGTACTGCTTGTGCGTGGACCCGAACACGTGGTGGTGCAGGTAGGCGTCGAACGTGGGCACAGGCACCACGTTCCCGTCCGCGTCCTGCTCCACCACGTCCGCTTCGAAGCGGTAAACGGCGATGGGGCCCTTGGGGATCGGCAGGCGGTGGAAGGTGTTGGTCACCTCGCCCTGGGACAGCGACAGCGGCGGCGTCAGCGCCGTGTAGCGCTTGGTCTCCGGCTTCACTGCTGCGGCGGCAGCGGTGGCGAGCGAGCCCAGCAGCAGAACAAACCTTAGCGGCCCCATATTGGACTGAGACTGGAACCTTCTTCCGGCCACTTGAGCTCCAGACAGCGAATCGCGAAGTGCAGCGCCGGGTCCAAGTGGGTGCTGGAGGAATGATGATCAGACAACTTCAACTTGAAAAGATTACGCACGGAGTCCGATGCCAGAAACCTTTTGCTCGCAAGCTGCAATTCACTCAAAGCGAATTGCTCGGGCCCCGAGCCTCGGGGGAACCATTACCTTAACCTGCTCTCAAGTCCAACATAAAAAGATAATGCGATCTCTAATTGTAATCTTTAAATGCGAAGAGAACTTTGACAATTTACTTCAGTTTACAGCGTTCATGTATCTTACTGCTTCTGGTGGTTGATGTAGCGCAGCGAGAGCAACGCCAACAATCTCAAGACGACGATGCACAAGATAGCGTAGCCGAAGTTGCTCCAGATGTCGTCGTGCTTCATCTTGAACCTTGACTCGACGTAGCCCTTGACGGTGATATGGTCGATCGTCACCGGCAGATTCGTCACGGGTTGACATCCGAGCTCCGAGCCCACGTTCTCGTACGCGCCGAGCGTGCTGTTCCAGGTCGGTTCAGTCGTGCAATCGGAGAAGACGAGCGCCGTGAGGATAGATATTGGGTACTTTTGCGGTGTGATCGTGTAGAGCCACTGGTATCCTTCGGGAATGGAGTCGGCAGGCGGATTGAAGCCCATGAACAAGAAGAAAATCGAGTTCACGAGCACGCCGATGATCGCGGAGACTTCAACACTTGGCAGCGCGTAGACGAAGAGCTGCCCCATGTACGTCTGCATGAGCACCAGCAGCGAGACGTTGATCCAGTAGAGCACTCCCGTACCAAACCCAGTGAAGCCGACCAACGGGAAGAAGATGACCGTGAAGATCAAGCAGCCGAAGAAGACATACGGGATCTCAGCGATCGTCGAGCCCACGAAGTACCAGAGTGCACTGTAAGTCTGACTCGCACGCTCCCGGTAGAAAGCTGCGCGGTCACCGGAGGCAATGGGCAGCACGCCGTTGAACGACACGATACCGTTGAAAAGCGTCGTCATGAACACCATACCCACACCGCCGTTGATCCCTTGGTAGCTCACGTACTCCACGTCCACGTACGTTAGTCCAAAGAGCAACGCGAGGAACAGGCCGATCACGAAGCGCGTCATGTTGTACGTGGGCGTGCGCCAGTACATTCGCATGAAGCGCATCGTCAAGAACTTGGCCTGCGTCCACGAGCTCGCGGCGCGCTTCCTCTGGAAGATCATCTCCGGGAGGTTGGGAGCGGGGACGGTCACACCCTCCTGAGCCATCTCGTTGTCCAGAACGCGCTTCTCCTCGCTGTTCTTGAAGTATTCGACGAAGTCCATCGTGTTGTGACCGCCGTTGTTGACTCCGGCGCCAATGCACTCGAGCATCCATGTGGCAGGGTTGTACCGTTCCGGCAGCGGCGCAACACCCGGGATGTCCTCGAAGTACTCCACCAGTTTGCGGCACTTCTCGCCCAGTTCACCGACGAAAACCGTCTCACCGCCGCGCTTCAGCAACAGCAAGTGGTCGAACAGGTAGAACACATCGGACGACGGCTGGTGGATCGTGCATACAATGGTCCGTCCGCTGTCGGCCACCTTTCGAACTCCATCCATGATCAGCTTGGCCGAGCGTGCATCCAAGCCGCTGGTCGGTTCGTCCAGGAACAGCACGCTTGGCTGGGCGGCAAGCTCCACGCCGATCGTCAGCCGCTTCATCTGCTCCACCGAGCTGCCGCGCACAATTTGGTCTGCGATGTCGTGCATGTCCAGCAGGTCCAGCACCTCTTCCACCGAGTCGAACTTCTTGCTGTCCGGGATGCTGCTGTCTTGACGAAGGAAGGTGCTGAACGTGAAGGCCTCGCGGAACGTCGTCGCATCCGAGTGGATGTCCATCTGCTCGCAGTAGCCCGTGCATCGTCGGATGGCCAAGTCCGTGGCCTCGTAGCCGTTAAACAAAATCTTCCCCTGAATTTTGCCGCCAGTCTTACGACCCGCGATCACGTCCATGAGCGTCGTCTTGCCTGCGCCCGAGGATCCCATCAAAGCCGTCATGGTACCAGGCTTGGCGAATCCGCTGATACCCTTCAGTAGATCGAGCGACTCCTTCGGGTTCTTCGGGTGCGGCACCGAGTACCACAAATCCTGGAATGCGATGGTCACCGGCGTGAAGTTCTTTTCGCGCCCGATGTCCAAAGCAACCGCTCGAGCCGCCGAGCTGGTGCTGGATCCCTTGGGAGTTGCTGCCAGTGCGTAGCTTCCGTCCGCTTCTTCGTCCTTGTCCTTGATGATCGTGTGCTCGGGGCTCTCGAAGCGGTGGTATTCAAGCACGTACCACCCCAGAGCCATGAAGAGCGCGTAGCAGGCGATCATGAACAGCATGGCGGCCCACACCCACACCTTCGAGGACGGCACATCGTACTGTGACAGATAGTACTCGCCCATGTTCATTTCGTACTTGCTGCAGTAGTCGACACCCTCGTAGATGCAGACGTCGAACCTGGCAGCACGGTACTGGTTCACAGCGAGACCGCGAAGACACCAAGCGATCGGGTTAATCCAATAGATCCATTCAAACTGGGCGAGCAATCTCGGTGCAGCGCGATTGCGACTGACCATACGGCAAGATGTCACTTGACGTTTGTATGGGTTAAGTTGAAGTCGCTAACGAAACGGCTGATTGCGATTGCGCGCCACCGCCGAGGCTTACGCGCAGCAAAATGCTGTGGTGGCAACGCAACGAACAAGTTGCCCACTGGCTGTCAACGCGTTGATTTGCATCTGCGAAGCTCTTTGCGCTGCAGCTGAATCCCATCGTCTGAACGCTAGGACTCGACGTTGCCGTTGACAAAATATTAAAAACACCACAGATCCGTGAATTCCCAAATTGAAGGCGGTAGTGAGCGGTTGCGAGGAGCGTAGCCGTAGCAAACCCGCGCGGGGTGCCCGCGAAGCAGGGCCGCGCGGTATTTGCGTAGGCGGGCCCAGCGACGAGCATTCCAGCGAACGGACCCGTTGCCGCACACTCGGAGTTAGTTTTTCTAATGCGGGGGTCTGGGGGTGCAACCAACCCCCAGTATGCTTTTATTAGAGGCCCTTGTGCGATTCACAGCTTTGTGTGTGTTTTTAATGTGCTGTCGTTGCCGTTGCGCGGGGTGCTGCCGATCTAGCGGGATGCATGCTCCTGACGACGACTACGGTACTTTCGGAAGCTCCGCTTGACACGCACGAAATTGCTGAGCTTTATGAGTGCTGCGCGATCGCCGGAAGCCCGGCATTGATGTACTGCGCGCAGATTGAGCGCCGGCGGTACGCGGTACGGCAGTACCGCCGGTACACCACCTCTCGCTGTTCGTTGTGCAGCCATCCCGGGCGCGGCACCGCACTGATAATATATAATAGAAGGAGGTGGCTAGTCGATGAACGCTTGGCTTGTTTTACCAATGGCGCCTTAGTAAGTACGCGTTGACTTTGAAAGTTAGTGGAGCCAAGATCTTGACGAGCTGTACAAATACAAGTAACGTTATATTGCATCGGTCGGTGTGGCTTAAGTGCATCGCGTGGTCGGGAAACGCTGGATCAGAGAGCATTGAGGACAGCCACTGTCGAGTGGGTTAAATCAGTCGCGGGCGTCAGGATGGCGGGCAGTGGAAATCAGCGCTGCAAATTTCGTTCGCGACTGCTCCGCAGTACAGCTCGCTCATGAAGCCATCGGAGCGGGTGTAAAGTATCTTCAGGTCAAGCCTAACGCGATCAACTCGGGCCATGGGCGTGTCCAACAATAGATGTCACCCACAGGGCGAGCAGGGCTCGCAGTGTGCGTGTGTTGTTCACCGAGTATCACCCACCGCCGCCCGACCTCAGCGGTTTCTAATTCCTAATTCTTCCGCACCGGAAGCAGTAGCTACCAAGCTGGGCAAGAAGAGAACACGACCCAATGGAGAACGTCCTTGCAGCAATACCGTCTCTTGGCTTGGACTTGAGCGACGAGCTTAAAGTGCACGGCCCCATGGCTTCGTCGCCGACAATGTGAAGAAAAAAGTCTAACGTGGTCCGATGGCTCGCGACGTCTCTGCGTAGCAAGGAGACGAACGGCGCACTGAAACCTCATTGGGAGTCATCGTGCCGCATAATTCGATTATATCCCAATCCCCAGTAGCTTGTGACAAGCCTTGTCATTAAGTTTGTTGGAATCCTAAAAACGGAAATCAAAAACATCTACGAGTCGTAGATGTTTTTGATTTCCGTTTTTAGGATTCCGAGCATCTTAACTAGTGGACAAAGCTCACTGAAAAATCGCCCTCAACTCCGAATCTTCACTCCAAGCGAGCCCTCTTACTGTCGCTGTCATCCGTTTCTCCAGTGTATTCCCGCAGCTGAGTCAACTCCACCTTGTACTGCCTCAACTTGTGCTGACACTCCGTAAACCACTTGCGCGTCTTCGTAATCGCCACAACCGCGTTTGCATCAGTGGAGCTCGCCTCCATCTTGAACGAGGCGCCGACTTGCGGTCCACGCGTCCATTTCGCCGCGTAGTTGCTCGCGTCTTGAAATCCCTTGAATTTACGCACTCCCTTCGCCATCGTCATCGTCTCGGCTAGCCCTTGTAGAAACTCTTCCACCTTGGCATTATCCGGGAACTTTGCGTCTGGCATTTGCCACGAGAATGGCTTGTCCAGCTTCTCGATTTGGTTCTTGAGCCACTCAATCCGCTTGGAGACAAGCAGAGCGAGCAAACCACCCTTCTCGTCATCCGTATCCACCCCACCGAAACACTCCAGCGACTTCTCCAAAAAAGCGAGGGACTAAAGAGGCTTGGGTCGAGTTGTTTGAACTTGTCTGCCAGTTTCTCGACCATGGGGTCGGAGTTCTTGCTAATCACCCACTTCAAAATGAGACCGACCACCTTAGATGCACACAGCTCTTCTGTAGTGAACTCTTCCGCCTTTTCCATTGCAAGTTTGAGCAGAGAATCTTCCGCAGTCCCGCTATCCAGTCCGTCGAGAACGAGCAGTGCCAACGCCATGGTTGAGTACCCACTGTCATCCTCTTTTGGCGCGTACGCGTGCTGACGCATACAAGCCAGCAAGGGTTCGCCGATGATAGCCCAGTCAAACTTGCGGGCAATCTGCGTGATGACTGGGATGAGAGTACCATTGTCTGTCCGCTCTCTGAGCCCCGCACAATACGCGAAAGGTGTATCGTTCTCGTTCCTGTGGTAATGCATCCCTTTGAAGAAATCTCGCACGATCTCTGGATCACCAGCCTCCACTGCCAACTCGCAAAAAAGTCGACAAAACTTGACGGAGAGAGAATCAGGGCAATAGATGTGTTTAACCTCTACCTTGGCCCTCGCAATCATATCCTCCATAAACGCACGGAGTTTGGCAGCGTCCACCGGTATCTGAGCGTGAAAAACCTCCATAGCCACGTCGAAAGGCATGACCTTCACAGCATGTTCGGCATGCTTCACCTTGGGCCATGCAACATCGCGTATCTAGCGTACTTGGTGTTCTTGGTCGGTCCTTCATTGCCCATGTACCCTTCCTCCTTCTCGGCGCCATGAGGGATCCACAGTTGAGACAGCGTTTCTTGCCTAGGGTTTAAGAAGTTGAGTAGTGCAGACTTTCGAGCCTTCCCGAGACTCTCACCGCTGACGGAGTACCAACGCATCGACTCCTTGCGCTCACCTGGCTGCCAATCACACCAACGACCCGGATCGTACTCAATTTTGTGCGCCAACCGCACGATGAAGAACTCAAGCTGCTTGGCTGCCGGCACGAGCGCATTCGCCTCTTCAAGCGCGTGGAATCTCGCGCTGTCGATGCCCTTCAGAGCCCCAGTCCCCAGGCCCTGAATGTTCTTCGCCGTATACTCGTGAGACAGCAACAGAGCAAACGGTTCATCGGCTTCTTCGTCCATGTTGCTGATGTGACCAGCCAAGTCTTCACTCAGCGGCGCGTCGTGAGCTTTCTCGAGGTGGCGCATTGTTGGAGGCAGGCAAATCGAGTACACCAGCGCGAGTCGGAACCCCTTCGTCACCTTCTCGAGAGCATGCTCCGCATCCGCATAGTGCACGGCGTAATGGGGAAGAAACGCCGCCGTTCCGTCGGCCTTGCCGAAGTCGTGGCGGTGCCTCACCTCGCCCCCTCGATACACGACCAAGTCGCCACCTTCGTGGGAACTGGGCAGCTGGACGACCAGCGTGACGATCATGCCGTCTTCTTTCTCCGTGTCTTGGTGCTTGACGAAGTGACCACCTTCGCCGTACACCAGCAGCTTGTACAGCACGCATTGAAGCGGGATATCCCTGTACCCCAGTCGGTCTGCGATGAGTTGGCACAGTTTCTCCATCCCGCCCTGCCACGTCATGTTCTCGAATCTCACCTGCGAGGGCACGAGCTGCCAACTCTGACGCACGGCCTCGTCCATCTTGGTCTCGAGGTTGTGTCCGAAGGGGGACTTCTTGCACATTTCGATCAGCTTTTGGGCAAGTTCGGCAGTAATGGGAACCGGGATTGACCCGATTTCATTGATGATGCCGCAGGTAAAGTATCAGCTTGTCCTCCAAATGAGTATTCCCCCGCTTGTTCGTCTGCGCGAGCCAGTACGTTGCTGATCTGTCTGGCGGTGCCCGAAGGGACTGGGACGTCTTCGGGCTTACCTTTTCCACCAAACGGCCACTTGCCCTTTTCAAAGTCGCTGTCGCTCATTGCTTTGGTGTCTCGCTCGCTGAATGAAGAATGAAAGCTGAAAGACGTTGGGAAGTAGTCGCTTTCGATCGGTCAGAAAGAAGCGTGAACCTTTCTGCATTTTATCTCTGATTGATGGATAGACTAGGACTCAAATGACTTCATCTCAAAAATACACAATTCAATTGTTCGAAGTGCAAGATATCCTAAGCAGGTGCGCCAAACTGAACTCTGGACTACATGAAGTGTGGGTGCTTGCGGAGTATCGCCGACATAATCTGTCTACCTTCGGGCGTATCGTCATCCCGATTTCTAGTACGACCTATGGTCGGCCCGAAATCCCAAGTGTAGCGGTCCTCGAGGTTAACCTCTTGGCGCAGCCACTGCACAATGTTCTCCTGGTCATTTTGAACCGCCTCACGGATGACCCGCTGCGTGTCTGCGAACCTTTCGTGGTCCCCCTTGAAAAGCTGCTTCACAACGTCAAATTTACCATTCCGCACAGCACTAGCAAGCGACGCCACGCGAACCCTCTCCGCTTGAAGTGCCAACACTTCCCTGTAGCCGAACTCGCCCACCAAATCTACCACCAGGTCTTCGTCCAGCTTGCCGAATTGCTCAAGGAGCCAGCGCATGCATGCCACATTGCGGTTCTGAGCGGCAATTCGTACGGCCTTAGGCGTGTTGAAACTAGGACGCCGCTTGACGAGCCATTGAATTAACTCGAGATTGTATCTCCCCACCGCCGTGCCTTCCACAATTCCAGACGTAGGTTCTCCATTTTCAAACAGCCATTTGACCACACGGGGACACGGCCGGTAGCAAGCAGCCACACTGGCCAGCATCGCGATGGCGTACTTCGGAGTGGCAGCGGCTTCTCGTGGTTGAGTCTCGTACAACCATTGCAGCATCTCCGCCTTGTCGTTCTTGGCAGCGAGCGTGAAGGCTTCGACGGTGCATCCTTTATGGCAGTTTTCGTGCAGCCATTTTGCAATCTCCAGGTTCCCATTGGCAGCAGCGTAGTCGATTGCAGACGCAGTACAGCCCTCTTTGCGGTTACTGTGCAGCCACTTGAGCACCTCCAAGTGGTTTTCTGAGGCTGCTTTATCCATGGCCTCCGTGCTGCAGCCTTCCTCTCTGTTCTCGTGTAGCCATTTTACTATCTCCATGTAGCCATTTCGAGCTGCCGTGTCCATCACTTCGAGCGTCCAAGTTGCATTTGGCAAGTTCGTGTGAAGCCATTTCAGCATCTCGAGGTGCCCATGGTAGGCGACATCGATTATACCCTCGTCACGAAAATCCTCTGACCAACCTTCGGTCCGATTTTCCTTTAGCCACTGAACAACATCCACATACCCACCCCAAGTGGCCATGTCCATCGCGGAAGTGGTGCAGCCTTCACGGCGGTTGACGTGGAGAAACTTCACTACGTCCAGGTAACCTTTAGCGCTAGCTTTATCCATTGCCCCAGTGGTGCATCCCTCCTCCCGGTTTTGGTGTAGCCATTCCACCACTGCAAAATGACCATTTCCAGCAGCTTCATCCATGGCTGCAGTCGTACAGCCTTCCGGGAGATTTTCATGAAGCCATTTGACTACCGATAGATGACCATTCCTTGCGGCGGAATCCATTACACTCGAATCGAACTCGTCTCTAGCGTGTTCACTCAACCATTTGACAACTTCCAGGTGTCCACGATCAGCAGCAGATGTGACTCCAGCCTTGGTGCAAGTTTCACCTCGCAAGTTCCACAACCAATCCAGCACCTCTAGATGACCATTGCTAGCTGCGGCATTCGCAGTATCACTGGTACATCCTTCAGTGGAGTTCGCGAACAACCACTGCACAACGTCCAAATAACCGTTCCGAGCGGCGGACGTCATCGCTCGCGTCGAGTATTTTACCTTATAATGGTCATGCAACCACTGTATGGTTTCGAGGTGTCCACCTTCGGCAGCCACTTCGATGGTATTCTCAAAATCTGCTGCCCAGGGGCCCTGCGCAACGGGAAGTCCCGCCATCCACTGAAGCACGTGCGTGAATCCATGACTCACGGCCTTCTCCACTGCATCGCACCAGGAGATTGAGTCTTCGCGGGCGAAAAAATACTGCAACGATTGGGCCGAGTCGCCTCGCTCGCAAGCCTTGACGAGAGCGCCCTGGTGGGAAAATGTGTCGATGAAGCTGTCAATACGAAATGCAAGTCGCGGCAGCGGCTTGGGAAAATACTTGTGGCAAACGACAGTGACTGCAGTAAGTACGGGTCGGGGCGAGGAATTCATCATTAGGCGGAAGCAAATCTGCAAGTGATGAAGGAATCCAAAAACGCATTATCTTGGATGTTAGTCTTAGTCTATCCATCGGTCAGTGATTTTTCGCAGAAAGGTTCACGCTTCTTTCTGACCGATCGAAAGCGACTACTTCCCAACGTCTTTTCGCAGAAAGGTTCACGCTTCTTTCTGACCGATCGAAAGCGACTACTTCCCAACGTCTTTCAGCTTTCATTCTTCATTCAGCGAGCGAGACACCAAAGCAATGAGCGACAGCGACTTTGAAAAGGGCAAGTGGCCGTTTGGTGGAAAAGGTAAGCCCGAAGACGTCCCAGTCCCTTCGGGCACCGCCAGACAGATCAGCAACGTACTGGCTCGCGCAGACGAACAAGCGGGGGAATACTCATTTGGAGGACAAGCTGATACTTTACCTGCGGCATCATCAATGAAATCGGGTCAATCCCGGTTCCCATTACTGCCGAACTTGCCCAAAAGCTGATCGAAATGTGCAAGAAGTCCCCCTTCGGACACAACCTCGAGACCAAGATGGACGAGGCCGTGCGTCAGAGTTGGCAGCTCGTGCCCTCGCAGGTGAGATTCGAGAACATGACGTGGCAGGGCGGGATGGAGAAACTGTGCCAACTCATCGCAGACCGACTGGGGTACAGGGATATCCCGCTTCAATGCGTGCTGTACAAGCTGCTGGTGTACGGCGAAGGTGGTCACTTCGTCAAGCACCAAGACACGGAGAAAGAAGACGGCATGATCGTCACGCTGGTCGTCCAGCTGCCCAGTTCCCACGAAGGTGGCGACTTGGTCGTGTATCGAGGGGGCGAGGTGAGGCACCGCCACGACTTCGGCAAGGCCGACGGAACGGCGGCGTTTCTTCCCCATTACGCCGTGCACTATGCGGATGCGGAGCATGCTCTCGAGAAGGTGACGAAGGGGTTCCGACTCGCGCTGGTGTACTCGATTTGCCTGCCTCCAACAATGCGCCACCTCGAGAAAGCTCACGACGCGCCGCTGAGTGAAGACTTGGCTGGTCACATCAGCAACATGGACGAAGAAGCCGATGAACCGTTTGCTCTGTTGCTGTCTCACGAGTATACGGCGAAGAACATTCAGGGCCTGGGGACTGGGGCTCTGAAGGGCATCGACAGCGCGAGATTCCACGCGCTTGAAGAGGCGAATGCGCTCGTGCCGGCAGCCAAGCAGCTTGAGTTCTTCATCGTGCGGTTGGCGCACAAAATTGAGTACGATCCGGGTCGTTGGTGTGATTGGCAGCCAGGTGAGCGCAAGGAGTCGATGCGTTGGTACTCCGTCAGCGGTGAGAGTCTCGGGAAGGCTCGAAAGTCTGCACTACTCAACTTCTTAAACCCTAGGCAAGAAACGCTGTCTCAACTGTGGATCCCTCATGGCGCCGAGAAGGAGGAAGGGTACATGGGCAATGAAGGACCGACCAAGAACACCAAGTACGCTAGATACGCGATGTTGCATGGCCCAAGGTGAAGCATGCCGAACATGCTGTGAAGGTCATGCCTTTCGACGTGGCTATGGAGGTTTTTCACGCTCAGATACCGGTGGACGCTGCCAAACTCCGTGCGTTTATGGAGGATATGATTGCGAGGGCCAAGGTAGAGGTTAAACACATCTATTGCCCTGATTCTCTCTCCGTCAAGTTTTGTCGACTTTTTTGCGAGTTGGCAGTGGAGGCTGGTGATCCAGAGATCGTGCGAGATTTCTTCAAAGGGATGCATTACCACAGGAACGAGAACGATACACCTTTCGCGTATTGTGCGGGGCTCAGAGAGCGGACAGACAATGGTACTCTCATCCCAGTCATCACGCAGATTGCCCGCAAGTTTGACTGGGCTATCATCGGCGAACCCTTGCTGGCTTGTATGCGTCAGCACGCGTACGCGCCAAAAGAGGATGACAGTGGGTACTCAACCATGGCGTTGGCACTGCTCGTTCTCGACGGACTGGATAGCGGGACTGCGGAAGATTCTCTGCTCAAACTTGCAATGGAAAAGGCGGAAGAGTTCACTACAGAAGAGCTGTGTGCATCTTAGGTGGTCGGTCTCATTTTGAAGTGGGTGATTAGCAAGAACTCCGACCCCATGGTCGAGAAACTGGCAGACAAGTTCAAACAACTCGACCCAAGCCTCTTTAGTCCCTCGCTTTTTTGGAGAAGTCGCTGGAGTGTTTCGGTGGGGTGGATACGGATGACGAGAAGGGTGGTTTGCTCGCTCTGCTTGTCTCCAAGCGGATTGAGTGGCTCAAGAACCAAATCGAGAAGCTGGACAAGCCATTCTCGTGGCAAATGCCAGACGCAAAGTTCCCGGATAATGCCAAGGTGGAAGAGTTTCTACAAGGGCTAGCCGAGACGATGACGATGGCGAAGGGAGTGCGTAAATTCAAGGGATTTCAAGACGCGAGCAACTACGCGGCGAAATGGACGCGTGGACCGCAAGTCGGCGCCTCGCTCAAGATGGAGGCGAGCTCCACTGATGCAAACGCGGTTGTGGCGATTACGAAGACGCGCAAGTGGTTTACGGAGTGTCAGCACAAGTTGAGGCAGTACAAGGTGGAGTTGACTCAGCTGCGGGAATACACTGGAGAAACGGACGACAGCGACAGTAAGAGGGCTCGCTTGGAGTGAAGATTCGGAGTTGAGGGCGATTTTTCTTTTGTGTTTGATTTTGCTTTCATTGGGATGCCTGTGGGCTGCAGAAGCGGATTGATACTGATTCAGGCGTCGGTGGGAGACGACATCTACCGTCACGTTCCTCCGTTCTTCAGCGCATACCGCAGCGTGAGTGCTCTTACCAAAGCCTGAAGTAGCTTAAGTTTGAACCGTACCAAAGCTTTAGTTTTAACAGAAAATCAACCCGTGAAGTTTTATTTTTTAACGTTTTGCCAGCAAAAAATTGAAAATGACATTTAGACCACCATAAATCGACCTCGAGTCGACGGATTGGTGTAAACGCAGAGTGCGTACTTGGGCAAATCCAACACAGTTTGGTCGTACTCAACAAATTTTTCAACTTGACCAAAGTGGCGCGTCGAAGAACTGCGCGAAGTGACGGTAGATATCGTCTCCCGAGCTCCAAGGCACCACCGACGCCTGGACCATATTGGAGTTGGCGTCAATTCGCTTTTGCAACCCGTAGGACTTCCCGTCCGCTTCATCGGCACGAGCAAAGACGATGTCGTTCCTACACACGCACGCACAACGTCACCAATGGATAACGTTAGTCCAGTGAACAACACTCAGCCGTCAAACCCCAAGTCGAGCAAGAACTTACTTCGTCAGGCGCGTAGCTGCGCAGAAATCACCGGATCCATCGCCGACGTACAGCACACTGGTGTACGGGTGTGCGCGGCGAAGAGAGTCGACGATTCGCCCTTTGCACATGTTCGTCGGGCACCAGGCACACCCGTGAGGCTCGACGTCGCCCGCATGATACGGTCCGACATGGAGTCGACTGCGGCCACCATCCATCGGCTTGAAAGCGGCGGGGTTTGTGATGACCTCGCTCACTTGTTGCGCCAGACCGTGGTGCTCCAGCATACTCTCGATGTAGACGGAGTTGGCGTCGCTGACGATCTTGACATCCGCGCTGTATTGATCGGCAGCGAGCCGAACTGCGTCAAGCATACGCGACTGGATAGGCACGTGGGCCACGGCGTCTCGGATCATGTCTGCGGTGACCTCTGGTTTGTCCTTCGCGAGGTCGCCGAGCATATCGTCCATGATCTTTGTCCACGAAGGCTGCTTAGTACGTCGTTCACGCAGCGTCTCAAGCAGCTCAGGATACAGCTTCTGGAAGATGAAGGTGTCCGAGTTCTCATTGATCAGCGACCAGTCATAATCAAAGACAACCAGGACGCTGCCAGAGACCCGCGGGACAGTGCTCGGGATGGCGTACGGTGGCTGGCAGAACTGTGCGAGCCGCCGGTAAATGTCGTAGCCTGTGCTCCAAGACACCACAGGCGCTTGCACGACGCCAGGGTTGGCGTTGATTCGCTTCTGCAGACCGTACGGCTCTCCGGTGAGCAGGTGAGAACGCGCCAGCACCACATCGTTCCTAACCAACACAACATAATTCATTAGCTACTAGGTCGTTAGAGGCAGTAGTTAGTTGATACAAGGACGCACTTTGACAGTCGTGAGGCCGGGCAGAAGTCTCCAGTGCCGTCTCCAACGTAGATCACTCGGGTGTACGCCTTGGCACTGCGGATCGAGTCCAAGATGCTGCCCTTGCACATGTTCGTAGGGCACCACGAGCACCCGTGCGGCTCCAGATGATCCGCGTGGTACGGGCGGATGCGAAGCCTGGTGCGTCCGTCGTCCGTGGCATCGTACTCGACAGGGTTGGCGAAGACCTCCTTCACGTGCTGACGCAGCTCTCGGTGCTCCAGCATACTCTCGATGTAGAAGGTGTTGCCGTCGCTGATGACTTTAACCTCAGCTCCAAACAGCTCCACCGCCATCCGAATCGCATCCAGCATCCGCGCTTGCACTGGGATCCGCGCCACCCTCTCGCGGATCAATTCGGGCGTCACGTCGGGTCGTTCTTCCGCCAGAACCTGGAGCATGTCGTCGAATACACTGGGCCATACCGGCTTCTTGGCGTGTCGTTGGTAGACCGTCTGGCACAGCTCCGGGTGGAACGACCCGAACACGAAGACGTCCGAGTCCTCGTTCACTAGAGAATCGTCAAAGTCGAAAACCACTAACAGCTTCCCAGGAGTCGGCGGAACCGCGATTGGTACTTCGAACTCCCCTCCACTCGTCAACGGCAGCTCGGGTGCACTTGACGCTCGATACTCGGGGTATTGCCGGTAGAAGAAATCTCGGAAGTAGGCGAGGATATCCTCCCCCGTCTTCCACTGCCGGGTATGAGCCTGAATCTCGTCCGGACTTCCAGTTAACAGCGGCAACAGCTTGTCCTCCTCTCCAGCTCGAGCAAACACCACGTCATTGGTGGATAGCTTCGTAGCCGCACAAAAATCATTGGCACCGGCCCCAATATACAGCACTCGGGAGTACCGATGCTGCTGTAGGACGCGCTCCAGCACCTTCCCCTTGCACAAGTTCTTGGGGCAGGTCGAGCATCCGTGTGGAGGCACGTGGGCCTCCTGGTAGGGTCTCACCCTCAGCAGCTTCCCACCGTCCTCCAAGTGCGTGGTGTTGGCCACCACCTCGTCCACTTGCTGGACCAGGTTTTGGGACTGCAGGAAGCTCTCGATGAAGAGGACGGGGGTGTCGCTCACGACTTTGATCGTTTCACCGAAGTCCACTGCTGCGAGACGGACAGCGTCCATCATTTGAGGACTGAACGGAAGACGTTCTGCTGCAGTGCGGATGTCTTTGTAGGACAACTGCGGACGCTTTTGAGCGAGCTGCTTGAAGAAGTTGTCCATCGCCTCGGCGCGGTCCCCACTCGACGAAACATTATCGGCCAAATCGGCGTCCAACTCATGCGCGATGTGGACGCTCGAGTCAGCGTCCACTAGCGCGTGGTCGAAGGCGAGGACGACCAAGACGTCCGCAGCAGCAGCGCCGACGTCCTTCATGCTCAAAAAGATATCTGATTCTGTGGCGTCAAATCTCCTGGGAAAGTACACATATGTAAAGTTAGAGCTCGTTTAACTTTACTTGAGTCCCCTACGTAAGTATCGCTCTATTCGCGCGTGTCACTAAAGCCCGACCAAAAGCGCAAAAGGTGGTGGAGGGAGTGCAACGGCCATGGTGGGGCTCTCGGCGTCGGAGCTGCAGGCCGAGACGCTGTTTCCTGGCGACACGGTCGAGTACTTCTCCATGGTGAGTATCTGTGTGCCAATGCGCGCGCCCCAACTCCCTCTGTGAGAGTCACAATCGCCCATTGACGCCCCTTTCCGCCTCCGCAACAACAGGCCTTCGTGGCTGGAGACCCGCGCGGCCACCGCGTGGCGAAAGTTCTGCGCATCGACCGCAAGGACGACGAGTTCCCGATCCGCGTGGACACGCAGGAGATGTACGCGGCCTGGAATTGGCGTCCGAGGCGCAGGAACCCGTGGCGTTTCAGCTGATAATTGGGGGTGATGTGGATGAACTTTATAGGCTGCCGCTGACCATCATGTTGAAGCGGAAGCGCGACCGGAACGACGTGGACATTTCCTCGGATGGTGTGTGATGCCGCTGGGTTGCTGCTGCTGTATTGTAGTGGGGAGAGTTGCAATGTGTACTGAGACGGGGTGGCGTGCTGTGCAGATGCAAAGTGGCGGAAGCTGCGGACGTTTAGGCTAGTGGATGGAGAGGTGGAGGCCGAGACGCGAGCAGATCGACTGAATGCGGGCTTGAAGAAGGTGGGCATATGGATGTTTTGAGCATATCTTGATGACGGATACGAGTTTAATGGTGGCGTTTTTGTTTATTCTGCTGGGTGCAGAGTCTGGAGGATGCGATGAAGACGACCAAGAAGATGCTGGCCAAGGAGAAGGCTGACAAGGCCAATGCCGGAAGCAAGAAAATCATGAGTAGCTTCTTCACGAGTTCAACTCCGGCTGACGAGACGAGGAGTAGGAAATATTCGATTGAGAAACAGGCGATGCCGGAACGTAAGAAGAAGAAGAAGAGAAAATCACTGACGCCGAGAGATAACGCGGACCACCACTCGAGCAGCCGGTCTCACGAAAAGGGCGAGCTGAAGAAGAAGCATGGTGGAGAGAAGGCGTCGCCTAACAGCCGTCATGATGGACGTCCTGAGCAGAAATTCAAGTACGACAAACCTGAGCCTACAAAGCATTCGTCACTCAAGAGGAAACGAAGTGGATCAACCCCCACGCAGCCAAAGCACCGAGACGCAGCACATAGGAAGAACCAGAAGACTATCAGCAAGTTTTTTGGTGGAGAGCCACGGAAGAAGAAGGGCTTCCTGGGGAAATTCATCGATCACGTCGAGGAGATACACGAGAAACAAAGCACCGCTCCAGACCTGAATGCGTACCTTGCACTGGAGAACGAAAAAAAGCAAGCCGTCAAGACGGTCGAGGACGAAATGAAAGCCGCAGGCGGGCGTGAATCTGATCGTCCAAACAGTGCAAGCAAAAATGACTGGAATGCACGCCGGACGCAGTTTCGTTCGAAGCAATCAAGCGTCGGCATTCGCTCGTGGTTAACACCGCTGGACAGGCAAAAAGGAGGCTTAGAGGACACCAGTAGCGGCACCCCAAAGGCGGAGGAAGATCGACGACCCAAGCAGCGAACGCTGAATCTTGCGCCAGAGACGAAGGTGACGGCATCGCCCAAGATGAACAGGAAATATGGATTAAGCTTCATGAACTCGGGCGACGCCTCCCATCGCGCCACGGACGTGAAATCTAGCAAGCACTTGGACCGACAAGGAATGAAACGAGACAACCAGCCTTTGAAGAAGCGAGGCTCCCTCGGCACTGTGAGCGCAAGGGTAAGTTCTCGAGCCAGTCGCTTGTTGATTGCTCTCTAACATTCTTTGTTTACCGTTCAACTATCGTAGGCACCGAAAAACTTGATGGGTCAGTGGAACCACAAGAAAATCGTTCGGTAAGCACGCAGATACACCAAAACGACACCCGCAAGTGCCTACCATAGACCAAAGCTGAGGCCGTCATCGTCTCCAGCTTTGAACGTAGAATCAAGACGAACAGATAGGCATGAATTTAAGTTTTTTGCGCCCTAGGGGGTCTGCACGGACCAAACTCAGTACAACTAGTATGTTCACGGTCGTTTAGCGAGACGGAATCCGCCGTCGTTGACCTTCCAGATGCCGACAGTGTAGCACAAACGAATGAGGATAATCTCACGCAGCATCGTGAGAGTCGCCGATATCACACTCAGCTTGGAACCAGGTACCTCCGTCCACTGCACCGCAACTTCCTTGATAGCCATGTTGCTGCTGGCAGCGAGGTACAGCAGCTCCACATCAAACGCCCATCGCTCGATATGCATCGGCGCAAACAAAACCCGAGCGGCCTTGCGGTCAAACAGCTTGAATCCGCACTGGGTGTCCCGCACGTTCTTGATGCACAGCGTCGACACAATCAAGTGGAAGCCGTACATCAGCAGGTTCCGCAGCGGATTGCGCTTGGCGATCGCCTGCTCCTCCAGGTGCGCACGACTGCCGCACACGACGACCCCATTGCTGCCTTGTGCCAGCGCTTCATCCATGGCCGCGGCCAACTTGTCGTAGTCCCTGACCTCCGTGGCATTGTCCGCGTCAGCGAACAGCACGCGCTTGCCCCTAGCACGCATGACGCCCTTGCGGATGGCTCCACCCTTGCCGTGGTTCTTCTGCAGCCTCAGCAGCCGGATGCGGTCGACCGAGTACCGCTTGACCTCGTTCATGACCACGTCCACCGTTGCGTCCACGCTGCAGTCGTCCACCACCAGAATCTCGTACGTGAAGGAAGGGTCCTTGCTCTTCTTCTCGTCCAGGAAGGCCACCGTGTCCTTGATCGTCACCAGAATGCGCTGCTCCTCATTGTACGCGGGGATCACCACGCTCAACGACACTTGGGCCTTCTCGTCGCCTAATGACCCGAATGGCCGACTAAAATATGTGAATACAGGCACACATAAATTTGTGTCGATGCAAATAAGTATGCAGTAAATTGCATGCATGTAGGGGGTGGGGTGCGTACAGCTTGTCGTTGTCGTTGGGGTCTTGGTACGTGCCTTCCTGCGGGGGGTCCAGTTCCGCTGCGAGCTTCTTGGCCTCAGCAATGGGTGCGCGGATCCAGGCGAGGAGCAGCACGGCGCCTGTTGCCAGCGCCACGGAGGCCACGATCAGCGCGGCATTGAGCGCTGCGGAGGTCAGGACCATGGCGGTGGAGGTGATCGGGGTCCAGATGCTCAATGCACGCACGGCCAGCTTGACCTTCGGCCACGTGTGCCAAGTTGCTGCAGAGTTTATGTTGCGACACAGATTGAACTTGGGTTTTGTATGGAGAGAATGCGATTTAGTCTCGGAGCAAAAATTGGGTATTTGGAGCTATACAAAAGTGGAGGCGACGTCATCGCGCGAGGTCACGGGCTTGGCCGCGGTGGAGTGAACCCACTTGTTGCGGTCGCCGTTGCAGATGAAGACCCACCAGTTCTTGAGCACCCCGCGGTCGAACGGAGAGCGTTTATCCGGAAGATTTTGCAGGTAGGTGATGGAGGATCGACGAGCGTGCTCCCACGAGGTCTGCAACCGGAACATCAGGCGAGCGAATGCATCAGTTTGGTCTCCAATTGCTCCAGTTGGGTGAGTACTTGTACTGCATTGCACGTACCTGGTTCGTAGAGATGAGGAAGGCCTGGTAGCAAAAGAGCGGCACGGCGATGAGCAGCACGCAGAGGAGCATGAACCACAGCACGATGAAGAGCGCATTGGTCTTAAACCAGTCGTTGATGTCGTCTCCCTCAGTGAACGCCAGCGACGTCACGTCCATCATCACCGCACCCTCCAGAATCTGCAGCAACAGATACAGCATGAACAACCGACGGTTGTTTTCGCCCACACACGTCCCGACGCAATCACAACTACACAGAGCAACAAACAAAAGTGAACATTCCAGCTCAACCCGTCGTCGAAGCTCCGAAAACTAGTCGATCACCACTTACTGGTGATCATACTGCCGCGTACACCTAGCGCAATCCTTGCTGCAGACACAACACACGACTCAGTCCAAGCAAAATAACATCCAGCAATATAGCCACAGCTCGCACCAGTGCTTCGTCCTCAGCGGTTGGAACACGTGACACTCGTTGCAGAAGTGCAGGTCGGCGCTGTCCCTCGCGTGCCCATTCTCCAGTCCGTCCGCCAGCAGTTCCGTGTCGTCGCCGTCTTCGGGTGCAACCGGCGGTGGGCTGCCAGCCTCTTTCGGCGAGGCGGTTTGCACGGGCGCGAGCATCGGCCTCTTGTCGAGTTGTCCGGGCGACGACAACTGCAGTACGATGTAGCAGCCGATGGTCACCACCGCAATGACCAAGTAGACCACGAACTGGGCCATCGGCAGCGCCTGCGGACTCAACGCGCCCTTGACGCCCAGCACCACGTAGCCGTACACGTGCACGCCCAACCACCACGCCCGGTCGTACCATTTGCGCAGCGTCGCGGCGCGTACAGGGTTCTCGGCGTTCCTATTCCGCCGTGCCATCGGCCCCGGTGTCAATCAATAGTTGTGTGAGCAATTGGTCTTTTGGTCTGTGACAAGTGAGAGCATACTGAAATCAAGTTTTATTTTGTAGCCATGTTGAGAATCCACCTACAGCACTGCACTGCGCTTCATGCTGCGCTAATATCGGTGTGCTCTGCTCTGCTCTACTTGACGACGGCGGGGTTACATCATCCCCATCATCTCCGTCACTTGCTCCACAACGGTGTCCACAGCGGGCTCCTCAGGTCTATAGCAGAACACAAGTCGCAGATTGTGAGACCAAGCAGTCAACAAAGTCTGACACTAACGTACCCTTTCGTGGTCAAGTCGGCGCCTTCAACTGCAGGCAGCACTGGAGGCATCGTAGGCGGAGGAGCGACATGCTCTGGCGCAGTAACGGTAGCTTGCTTCTCAATGGATGGAGCTTCAACGGGGGCAGGTGGCGGTAGAATGCTCGAAGCTTCAGCGACGGGAGGCGGAGCTGCTGACGCGGTGCCGAGAAGAGGCGGACCCCGTTATAGGTGATACCAAAGACGACATATAAGGGTTTGTATGGTACAGAATCTGTGAGAGCAAATAAACGGTGGGAATGAATATGAGAAAATGATGTAGGAGCATAGGTTGATGCAGGGATATACGGACGTTATATGGAAGTTTGTATGTGGATGAGAGGGTGTGGCGTTGTGATGGTATAGAGGGCCTCGCATTTTGAGTACGCCGAGTTTAACGGCGTTGTTGTTGCGGTCGCACAGCAAAATGCGGCGCTCACAATCCGCTGACCCCCTGTATCCGGTTCCTAATGCTCGTGTGGGCTGATTGCATACCGTACCCCTTGCTGCCGTTGCTCGAAAAAATAATTCGAGGGCAAAAGTTGCATGTCAAAGTGTACATGTCGGGAGTTGAAGTGGACGAGACCGCCATATCGGCGGGCTTAAACCAGACCAGCTGACGAGGTCTTATAATGTCCTCATTCCCCGTTATGCAAATCGCAATTTGACTCCGAAAGAGCGAAGTTGGGCATTGCACAAGTCGCACAGTGTAAAGTGGTGCCCAGCGGATCCCCTACACGCCCAGCTCAGCCTCAATCAAAAAGTCCAGGCAATTCGGTGGGAACATCACTACCATCGGTGGTTTATACATTGTCTATACTCGTCTAGACATAAATCTCTACGCGGGCTTCGCGTTGCGTTTCCTGCCATTAGAATTCGTTTTCTTTCAGAGACGCACCCCATCGATCGTTGTAGTTGTTGCCATGGTGGTGGTGATTATGGTTGTAGCTCTGGTGGTGGCCTGCTGGGTACGGCTTGGACCGGTGTTTCCAGCTCTCCATCGATCCTAACGACGAGTTGGGCTCCGACAGAAGGGCGATGCTGGACGTTGACGACAAAGGCGAGCGCGGAGAGCTCATATTAGAGTAGGCGGGCTCCACCATGATCGGCACCTCCCGCTCCCTGGACTTCGGTTTCCTGCGTGGAGACCTCGGCGACCGCTGTCTCGAACCAGCACGGTCTCTACTGCGAGAAGATCCTCTCCTCGGCGTCGACGCACTGGCAGCGTAATAACCATTAGGCGGGGACGCAGGTATCAGCGCCGGTCCTCTTCCAGAGCCACTCGACTGCAGCGTAGCCAGACGCGTTGTGCGGGTCCCTGAGCTGCCGGCAGTGTACGCGTCCTCCTGCAGCTTCTTCATCTGCTTGTTCGTCTTGTGCCACCACACCAATACGCACACACACGCGATCACGACGAAAATGCTGGCTACCACCACGTACATCCACCACTGCCAGAAGAAACAGCCACTGCCCCACGGCACATACGTCGCCCACGAACTCTTCTTCTTCATGGTACTGGAGAAACACGAACACCAATCATCCGAGTCATCGGACGAGTACACCTTCTTGGTGGAGTTGACCTCGTTCGGACAGTTATGAGCCACTGCCAGGCCAATCTTCCCATCCGCGCGGTCGTGGTACGAGTACAAGCCGTCCATGAACACGTCGCCAAGGACAGTTGACGTTCCTTCGGAGATACCAATCGCGCGACACGGGGTGCTGGCGTTCTTGCCGTTCATCTCCGGTCGCCAGTAGTACTCGGGCGGGATTTCAACCGTAAAGTGGTTGCTGGTTCCGCCGTCGCTGGTCTGCATCCCCAGCGTGAAGTAAATCGACGGAAGCTCCAGCAGCGCAGCGTTCGAAGACGTTGGGTCGCAATAGTCTTCGTCACAGCACGAGGTTGAGTCGTCGAAGTAAGTTTCGTCAAAGTCCGGTATGGCGGACAGAGTGGCCGACTTGATTTGGTCCATGAGCGCGTTATACACATCCGAAGGGAACGCCAGGTTGCTGGTTCCTGAGTCGATGATAGCCTGTGGGTCGTTATACTTATCGCAGGTAAGGCCGAGGCTCGAGCCATCGTAGCCAATATCTGTCACTGTGACAACATACCACGCTTCCTGTAAAATAAAATAAAAGCAGCATTCCCGTCAGCCAATCGTCTAAAGCTTTTTAGAACTCGCATGCTCAGCTCACCCGTGTGATGGGAGTGTAGAACATGTCGCCCGTGTAGTAGCTCTCGCCCTCGGTGCCCTCTGTGCCTCCAATTAGGAGCTGACCTGAATGTAACGTGAAATCAGTTCCACCGGTCTGCAGCATCGGCTGCATTGTGCCACACAGCAGCATGCCAAACGAATCCGCCGTCTTGCCAGTATCCACAAGCACGTTATACAGCGACTGAATCGATCCATCGGACGCAGCCAGGGCCTCATACGCCAGCCCTGTAATGCCATCGTACGTCGGGCGGTAGAACGTGTCCTGCTCCTCAATGACCAAAAAACTCTTGGTGATGTCTCCGATCTCGTCCGAATACCACTTATCCGTCATAAATTGACCCCTGCAGCAAGTATCAACCAGCGGTAAGAAACTTTACCCCTTCAGCACCAAAATTCCCAGCACAGCGCACTCACTGAATGTTCGCCCCTGCAAACGACAGCGTGACCGAGCCACTGCCGCTACTGGAGCAAGTCGAGGATGCATCACACGAGTACGTCACCTCCGCATCAGAGCCACAGCATCCAGTCCCCAGCACCGCATCATTCGACGATCCAGTGTCTGCAATCAGTCGGAAGGCATTCTAACAACACAAAAAATAAAACGCCACAACTCGCTCAGTTCTTGTCCGAATTCCACCGCAACCTCCACGCTATCACTGCGCACACTTCCGCCAGACGACCCCGAGCCTTCCACTGATCCGATATCAACCGTGAGCGTATATGCTGCATGCAACAACACCATTAACGTCCATGTCAGACGAATATTTCGGCCAGCACGGTCTCCTTTACGCCGGAATGGTCAACAGGGCCTCTCTCTCACCTGTGCCCGACGCGATGCCGTTCAGGTCGATGGAGTAGTGCGCACTGGCTGCGTCGGCCTCGTGACCGAACAGCAGCAACTTGCAGCCGAGCAGCAGCAGCAACCGCCGCTGCGTCACCAGCGCCGCCATGCCCGACAAGAACACGAGTGTCAACGACAACGGGTAGGGTGACGGTGTCAGCAGATATAGTCAGACCAATCTGTCACGCTATCAGCACACTGTACCACCCAGCGCATCCTCACCTCGTTGCAGTGACACTATATCTCACTCTCCACTTTAGTGACTTAATTTGAATTTTGGCGTCCTGGAGCACCAATCGCACTGCCGGAAGGTCGCCAGTAGGTCATGAAGCGCAGCGCGTCCGCGCCGATCCGCGCGCGCGCCCGCACGCGCTACGCGTCGGTGCTAGAGAGCGCGCTGGTGGGTCTGGGACGCGAAGACGCCGTGGTGAACTCCACGCGCAAGCCGCGCAAGAAGCGGCGCGTCGAGACGGGCCACAGCCCCACCCGCGGCCTGGAACACGCGCGTAGCGCCCCCGTGACGCGCTCCAAAGCCGCCGAAGAGGAGGAAGAAGACCCTTTCGCCAGTTTTAAACTGCTCAAGCCTCATAAGAAGACGAAAAAGCGACGAGAAGAGAGAGAAAATGCGTTCAATTCCTTCTCTCCGGCGGTCACGAGGAGCGCTGCGAAGCTCAAGATCAAGCACAAGAGGAGGCACGCGGGCGTGCTGGAGATGATGACGAGGACGCCCGTGACCAGGTCCATGATGAAGAAGAAGAAGTGGAAGAGCAGCAGTTTAGAGAAGGTTGAGGAGACGGGAGTGGAGATGGATGTGGATATGAAGATGGACGAGAATGAAGAAGAGGAAGAGGAGAAGGATGTGGTGGTGCAGAAGAAGCTCTCGTTCCTGTCGCCAATGCAGTCGCCGGTGCAGTCGCCAGTAAAGGAGAAGAAGAAGAAAAGGAAGGAGAAGAAGGTTGAGATGGAGAAAGGCAGGAAGGAAAACAAGAAGCCGATGAAGGAAGGCGCGCGTGTGAATAGGAAGGCGGCGGTGATGTACGAGTGGCGGGTGGAGTGGCCGCCTGTGCTGGAAGATGGAGAGGAAGGTGTAGAGAGGGCGCAGCTTGTGATGATCGGACAGGTGGACGGCGAGAATGCTCGGTTTGTGGTGGGAAAACGCGAAGGACCGACCAAGTTTACGTCGAAAGATGGGCAGTACGTCTCGCTTGCTGGAAAGTTTGATCGCGCCGCTGCTAGGAGTGGCGGTGTCCCTCGACCAGCGATGGAGCTCATCAAGGAGGGTATCCCGGCGTACTTCTATAAGCGCCTACTGCCTTTCGTGGAGAAGTCACAGACCTCTGCGAAGCCCAAAAAAGCGGGAACTAAAAGGAAAGCAGCGAAGAAGAAAGCGAGTGATGACGAAGAGGACAGGTACGAGGACTTTGCGTGCACTTTGTAGATTTTGAGAGAGCTGACGATAACGTTTGGAAACAGCCCGCCGTCTACGCCGATCGATGACGACGATGATTCGGCCAGTGAAGCCCCTTATGTCCCAAGTCCGATGCCAGAGGACACTGTATTCGAGACGCCGAAACCGAAGAAGGTACCGACTACAAGAAAGTGTCGTTAATTGTGATTTCGTTCTTCTAATGCTCGTTCGTGCAACAGGCTCGCGCCGCAGAGCTTGTCCAGGAGAAGATGAAGAGCGCGAAGAAGGATCAACCAGAACCTGAAGCAGAAGTGGACGTCTGGACGGCCGAACAAATGGAAGCTCTGATGGATGCGAAGCTCAAGATACCTACGACAGCCTCGAACTTTTGGGCGCAGGTACGGGATCTATGGTAGAATTGCTGTGGCGATTATGACAAACTAACGCGTTCACGGATCGCTTCATAGGTGGCGCAGTATGTGCCGGGCAAAACAGCCAAAGACTGCCAGACGAAGACTTTTGAGCAATTCCGGTCTCCGCCGACACATCGAAAGCCAGCGAGGAAGGCCGTCAAACGAGCAAATACTGAGACTAAATCAGCCATACCCTCCAAGATCGCTCGTGCTGGTTCAAACAAATTCAAAAAGCAAGTACGCGAGTTCGTGGAGGAGGTAAGTCATCTGGAGGTTGCATGGAGTTGAAGTGACAAAGCTGACCGAATTGTTGCAACAGTACGAGAAAAAGCACGTGGACGACCTATTTGACACAACCCCGTCCAAGGAAGGCTTGCCGGAGCTGCCGGACTTTGGTTCGATCAAGTCGCCGGGGCTCGCAACCCCCTCGCATAGCCTTGACGAAGACTCGGAAGTGGACGATGAGGCTCCAGGGCTCCTCAAGAAGCTAAGCTCGCGAAGGCGCGACGACATTGACTCGTATGTGCTGGGCATCAATCGCCAACACGTTGCCGCTGGTGGAGTCAAAATGGCTGCTGGCAAGGTGCGGCGAGTGACAGCAATGGTTACTCCTGTGAAGGGTGTGACGGCGAAGGCAATGTCTGCCAAGGTACGACACGGAGTAGCGCTGTTTGAATCGCCTGAGGGTGATTGTAAGCTGACATCCGTCTTTATTTGACTTCCGTAGAAGAAGGCGGTAATGCTTGTCGAAGCAGTTGGGTCACACTCTATCAAGGGAATTGTGAGCCCAGGAGGAACTACTCATGTTTGTATCGAAAAGGACGGCAGCTCATCGGAGGGTGAGGACGAAGATGACTACCGCAGCAGTGAAGAAGAGGAAGACTTTGATTTGCCGTGACCAAGTTCCGAAGAGTACATCTATTTATTGGTCCAGGAATCCTAAGAGGTTGCTCGGCTTCCTTATTAAGGCTGCAAGGCTCCATTGTATCACAGCCAATCCGAGTGTGGATACCAAAAGTGATGAATAAATACGAGCTCGTGTAGTTGCGTTGTCGAGCGAGTTTTGCTACTTGGTCTTGGTTGCAAGCGGAATTGTGGTCAACTCTTGGACGAGCATTTGCACACGTCGCAGGTTTTCAACAATTTCCTCCGCCCCTGGCATCTGCTCTGATCCTGTCATTTGATTCCAATACAAACGCGTTAGATCGAGCACGCCGATGATTGATATCCCCAGTGCTAACGTACCAGACTGTTGGGAAGCCAGCACTTGTTGCAAGGTATGCAAAGCGGTTGGTCTCGATAGCAGCAGCGCACGCGCTTTCTGGTTGTCGTAGACGAGCGACCAAAGCGTCGCTGAGAGATATTGCAGAGCGACTGAATCACCTTGCGCTGTGCTGACCCTTGCTGACGTCGCGACAACCTCGTCAAGCAGTTCCTCCCACATGCCAAAGTTGTTCTTGGTCGCTTGAGAGAGGGCAAGGTTCCTCATTAGCAGGCATCCGCTTCGTCGAACAAGCGCGTCGGTCGAATGCATCGTGTCTTCGAATACAAGTGAGAGCACAGTGGCCCAGCTTGTGTAAAGCACCCGAGCACCCTCTTCGTTGCACGCAATGCTGCTAAGCACGCTGAGCATGTGAGCGAGGTTCTCGTATTCAAAGCGATTCACCTTGTTCGTTTGTCTGGTCTGCTTGAGGCGATCTTGAAGCGAATCCACCATCTTGGATACCGAGCCGGTCTTCACGGACGCCAGCACGCACTCGGTGTTGAGCATAACGGCCTTCAGCACTTGACAGGCAGCGTTGCTCAACGCCACATCTTCTGCAGATAACTGGATGACGCTGTTTGCTACTTGGCGATGGGGCGGTGCCACTTCGCCTCGTGAGCTTGCCAAACCGAACAGCAGAGGCAATAACGCAGTGCCCCCACCACAGGTTTTACCTGATCCAGAAGACAGTGAAACAAGCATAGAGGCTCTGGCACTGTCGTTTTCGTAGACATAGTTCGTAAAGAGGTGGAGCGCACGTAACAGCAGCTGCGACCCGCGGACGTGGGCCGCCTTCATCACATTCCAATTCGATAGTATCACACTAAGAAGGCCTTCAGTCTGAACATTCAAGAAGATTGCAATGTTAGAGCCAATATCACAGAATCGCCGCATTATACTGAAGTAGTGAAGTTACCACGTACCTTGGCGAGCCGCTGGTTTTCCTCGTGTCCCCCAACGATTGCGCTGATGACCTCCATGTGAGTCTGGATGCGTCCACATAGATCAAGTACGTAAGCGTCCTGTGTGTTCGAATTGTTGCCTTTCGCTCGCTTTCCGCCAAATCCACCGGCAATGCGAATGGCTGAAAAAGACTCCTTGATGGATGTCAGAGCGAACGGTAGACCTCGCTTCATCAGAACGAATTGCTGGAGACTGGGGCATGTCTCGAGCAGTACTTGGAGTGCGCATGCGACCCGCCGAATGGATGCCATAGGAAACACACGGCCCTGCAATTCGGACTGGGCGGCAGTGGTGGTGTCTGCACTCAATGGCCTGAACTCGGCGACCTCTTGGTAAAGGTCCAACACGGCAGAGCACAGTGCGTTGATAACCGTTCCATCTGAAGAATTCAACGATCCAGGAATCAACAGCGAGATCTAGGCACAACCATAAGCGTAAAAACATCGGTTAGTACCCAGGTAGTCAAACAATCACCACGTATGAAGCACTTACCGCGGGGACAACACGGGAGAACGATACCCGGAAGTCGATTGGGTGGTGAGGCTCAAGCAGTTTTTCCACCACAACGACAAAATTCGCCCCGAATTCTGATGTCCTTGGAGCTCCGAACTGCTTTGTATCGCATTCGCTATGCTGTTCAAAGGCTTTCACCAAGAGAATGCTGAGCGTTCCACCACACAGGCCCAGCACTTCGTATTGCTTTCGCTTTGTAGCTTTTGGCAGCGTGTCGTCGAAAGAAGCGTGAAGATCGCCGACAAGCTCCATCAATTGATACTGTAGAGTCGTATGCTACATCATAATAAAAGCACACTCGGTTAGACTTCCAGCTTCCCGCTGACCAAACGAAGTACAAGCAGCGCACGTACCATGAGGAAGAACTTCACTTGATCATAACCGGCAACACGACACACAGCCTGGAAGAGATTCAGCAATTCGATCATCAAATCCAAAATTGCAGGAAGAAGCGAACAGCTCCACGCGTCTTCATCACAGCGAGGCAGGAGCATGCAACTCGAGCTGTATCGATTGCAGCTATCCTTCCATTCTCGTAGTGATAGCGCCTAAGCATGCACAACAAGCATTAGCGGTGGTAACTTTTAGCAAAAAACCCTTGCAGCGCGCGCGTACCTGTACCAATACTGGGTAGATATCGTACTCTTCTCCAGCAACCTCCAGTTCCTTCTGTATATCACCGAGCTGAGCCACCAAGCTTTCCTTTTGTATATAAAGTACTCGAACAAGCCGCGCAAAAGCACTTGCAGTGCGAGCAAATAGCTTGGGGCTCTTCAAAGCATTCGACAGTGAGCGCAGCGCCCTTCCAGCAAACTTGGTCCCACGGAAAATCTCCACCATCGCAGTCCGTTGATCCGGGGGGTACTCATCAAATCGATGCAATTCGTTGGTCAAAACACGGCAGGCTGCTGCCCGTACAGCATCGGACTCCGTATCATCTGTGGACGTCTCAAAAGCCATCTCCAGTAATCGAGACGATGGAGGATCCAAGGACGCAGAATGCTCGATCACTAAAAACCCAAGCTCTCGAATGGGCGATACGTGGTCGAAAAGAAAGCGAGACGCCCAGCTTCCGTCCAGAAGAATGCTGCTATCCGTGTGCTGCAGAGGGCTATCACTGGTCAACAGGGACTCGCGCGGAAGCGTCCGCAGAATGGCTACCATACACTGAGCTCCGATGGCAAAAACGTCCCGATCCATGAAGGAGCCTGGAACGCGGTGACGGCACACAATCGAGAGCAACGGCGACAGCATTTCCGCCAGGCGCTTGCAGATTTTCTCCCGAGAAGACGGTGACAGGCGGGTATCTGCATTTTCGTCCATGGGTCTAGCAAACCGTAGCAGCACCTCGAGCATTATGGCGTGAAGGACTGGTTCCGTTGCGTAGATTGCCGAGTACTTGGTGCAAATAATCGCGATGATGTCGGTATCAGCGGCCAGAGACAAAAACAAATCCCCCACCTTGGATTCGCTCACGTTGAGCAGCAACCGCGCAACTTGCAGGGAGAACGCCTTGCTTTGCGACCTTTTCAGCAGTGGGAGGATATTGCGCTTGACAACGACAAGCGCCCGCAACTGCTGTCCTCTCGTCATGGAGCAGAACAAGACACTAAGCGTGTTTACGAGCGAACCGATGATCACCTCGTCTCGTTCACTTTTGGGAGGCACAGCAAAGTACCTTTCAAAATCTGCCTCCCACTCGCCAACGAAGCGCTCCCGAGCCAAACGCCAAGCTTCGCAAATCGTCAACAAGTGATAGAGCGCGTTTAAGCACTTCCCGTGCGATGGTGCGTCGCGAACCTTTTCAGCGATGAGGGTATACTCTGCATCGAGTAATGAAGAAAACGGGGTGGTGCTTGTTACGTCAGAGCGGCATGGGGTCTGGTTGATGATTGTCTTCACATCTTGAAGCCACGACGCATCAGCTCGCTTCGTCAACAGCGCGCAGCTCGCCTGAAGTTGTTGTTTCAGCGAACAAGTGGCAATGAAGCAACGGGCCCAACGATCGGAGTACAACCCAAATGTTGGCTTGATCATTTCAGGAAGTTTTGCTTCGCCAGTGAACTCAGCCTCCTTGTCGATTCCAAGCTGCACCGGTGCTCCTTCAGGCAGGAAGTTTTCTGCAGCACACGTCAACAGGAGAATGATGTAGTACATCTGCGTCCGGATCGCTGTGGACGGGTGGAAAATTAACGGCAGCAAAAACGGCATCATGTTGCTATCGCGCTGCATGGCTGACCGCAGTAGGCGGCTGCGGAGTAGTAATGTCCTCAACAAGAGGAGAGCTTGCTGAACCATGGTAGAGTTCACTCGACTAGCTTCGGACTGGAGAACTGTACGAACCATGTCAGCAAATTCGGACAATTTATCCAGTTCCTCGAACAGAGCGAACAACTCCACCGGTGCATTTTCAATGAGCATCACAAGCTCTTTGAACGCGGCCTCTCTCATACTCTCGAAGCCAGAAGACGTTCCGGAAATCACTTTGCGCAAATGAGTCAACTTGCTCAACTGAGACGAGAGCTCGTTTTCGCTAGGTTGGTAGTCGTAGGTGCGGGTGACGAGCAACGGTGACTCCAGAAGCGTCGTCTCGAGTGTTAATCGCTTATCATCCCGGACGAAGCTGCAGCCAAACGGGTCTTCACGAATTTCTTTTTCATTGGTAATCCAGTCAAGTACTGATGGATTCATATGAGTCACCAGCCGAATAATTCCCGAAGCTGCCGCTTTCCGAATATACGAAGATTCATGGAGCAGGCAGCGGCTGATTAGAATATGCCTCGCGCTGTCAGGGGCACTTGCCTCCAACCTATTGAGGACTTCAGCTAGTTGTGGCTGAGTCGAGCGTTGCTGTGGCGAGGATCCTTCGGACGGTTCAATGTAAGCGAAGTGCTGGAGCAACGGAATCACGGGCTTCAGCTGCACCAAATTATCGCTCGATGCGACTGAGAGCTGGTTCAATGCGAAGCGTAAAATCTCCCAGAATGCTGCGCTATTCAACTGGTTGTCATCGTTTTGTCTGGCAAGGACAAGAAGTAACAGCGTGAGAAATTTCGGTTCACACATGACCTCGTTGACAAATTGGCGTCGACGCTCAGCCGGGACGCCGTTAATCTCGTTGCTGATCCCGTTCAAAAGATCCACGAGGCCTCGGAAGAAGTGGGCGACCACCAGTGTCTCCTTCTCACCCAGCCCACTCAGCTGGTCGCACAGAATGAAGCGAATAGTCTCAATATCACTTTCAGATAGAGTTTTTTGCTTGTTACCTCCAGACAATGTTGGCCAGATCGCCTGAAGAGTGGCATCTGCTATTGCCTCAGCATCTGCACTGTCAAAGACGCTTCTGATTTGAACAGCCTTCTGTGCAACTTCCAGATTCACAACGGGTGGCTTCTCCCAGGGTCCGAAATCCGTAAGCTGCTCACGATGAGCCTTGGCAAATTCCACGAACTCCATAATCATCTTTGCGTCTTGTTGCGACGAGTGTTTCAGATTGACGAATGCAGGGATCGTCGCGTCAATCTTGGACAGATTCTGGACGAGCGATTTATCTTTCCACTCTTCGGCAGCGACCTCAGGGAGAAGTGGGTTAGCTGCCCATAATTTTACAGCGTCCCACAGTACTCGAGGGATAAGAATGACTTCACTGTTAGCCGTATCCGCTTTGCTCGGTGTCGTATCCGCACGATATCGAGATGAGGGATACAAGCACAGCAGCTGAAGCACCAGCTCCACAAGTTTCCACGTCATTGAGTGCGTTAACTCCAGATCAGGGTCAACGATGTAGGGTCCAGCTTGCTCCGATAATACTGGACGGCAGATTCCACCGAGGACATCAAAAATTCGCTCAAGCCGCATCTTATCTAGCGCATGAATGCTTGTCTCTGCAGCTGAGGTGCCACCTCTCTCCGGTAACTCAGGCAACACCGTGACAAGAAGGTTCAGCAAGTGCAATCGCGGGTGTCCTGCCGAGCGCAGCAAAGGCAAAACACTCATGAATATCTTGTACATAGCTCCACTCAAGGAGTACTGTTCCAGTTGATCGACATCAGGTCTACGCTCAGCCGTTCTGTTCACGCCGTCCTCAACTTCCACTCTTGCACGCGGATACAATACCCGTCGTGTATCATACGAATCAAGCAGCTCGACATGTACACTTGGTGCGTGTACCACATGTGTCGGGTCAAGACACGTTCTCTGCGTGAGCTTCAGTGCGCACAAGAGCGACTCGATCGCTTTCACGCTCGCCATTATCACAGCGCCAGATAAATTCCCCCGCTTGCTCGAAAACGTCGAGTTCAGCATCTCGTCAAAGTAATTCACACCCATCGACACCTCCATCGCTCGCTCCACCAACTCATCAGCATTACCATCGCTCCGCTCACTCATCGTCCCCGGACTTCCGGGTAAAATCGGCTGCTGCACGAGATACAGCAGATACTGCAGCACTGCCGGGCGCTGCAAAAACACTTCCGCTGGGAAGTTCCTCAATAAATCGTTCCTAAACGTCGCACAAGCCGCCACCAGGTCCTGCGTCGCCGTCCGCAGCTGAAGCTTCACCTCGAACTCGAACAAAAACTGCTCGTCCACCGACGCCAGCGTCACCTGAGCGAACCTCCAGCCTCGAGCTTCCAACTCGTCAACCTTGGGGCCTCTCCGTCTATCAGCCAGCACTCTACTAGCCCTGAACTTCTCATCCTTCATTGCAACCTCCTGCTCTTCGTGATATTCTTCTTCTCCTTCTCTTAAATTGCTGACCTGTTCTCTGCTCTCCTCCTCGACCGCCAACTTTGTGACGTAAATCTGCCCCAATAACTGCCACAACCACCACAGCAACCACACCTACGTTTTAGTCGTCGCCTTCTCCTCCCTACCATGTTTTTTATACTTCTAAAAGTTCATTTGAGCTAACTTTTAACCTTTTCGTACGTCGCGCGCAGCTCCGCGTTGCTGTTGGCGGCGCGCTGGAGCGTCTGCGCCGCCCCGCAGCGCTGCAGACTGGCCAGCAGCAGCTCCGATTGGCTCTGCACCAGCAGCTGCAGCACGTGCAGCGCCTGAAGCTCCAGCGGCGGCTCGAGACTCGCCAGCAGCGCTGGCACCAGCGAGTTATGCAGCGGCTCCAGCTCCTGCCAGCGCACCAGCCGCTCCCGCAACTTGAACAGCAGACTCTGCAGCGCCCTCGAGCGGATCTTGGCCAGCGGGTGCCGCAGCTTGAGCACCAGCGCGTCCAGGCGCCCGGCCGCGCCGTCCTCCGCCATTATTGCGCGGCAAAACTCAAATAGTAGCCAAAATTTTCTAATGAATAAGCGAATGGCACTGGTTGCTGCACCCGACTGGGGCCTCAATGACACCCGACTGGCCCGACTCATCCCGACTGAAAATAAAGCTGGATTCAGGATAACGTTATGCATGAGCTAGTGTATAGCTGGACAGCACAAGACGTGTAAATAACCTTAACCCCCCCCCCGCACTCATACGTTGTATGTGACTACATGTTATGAAAAAGTACATCTCACCGAATTATGCATGGTGTGCACAGGTGTAGGTGAAAATATTTGCAGAAAACGATCAAAAATTACAAAGCCAGCCCCAGCGGGAGGCGCTGATTGATTGCTGAGATTTGCGACCAGACTGCAAATTAGTGGCGGCAAAATGCCCCCCTCCGTTCAGTCGAGAAAAAGAAACGGATAGCAAACGTCGACGTCGCGAGGCTCGCAGCGAAAAGGCAAGCGTTCCAAGTGCGTCTGGAAAGATAACAACAGGTGCGTGACGACAGGGGGGGTGGAGCTTGCCGTAAGCGCCGCGTATGTCTGGCAGGTGACTGAGAAAAGTTGTAGGTGAAGCCGAGCTGATAGAGCGACAGACTCGAGGCATCGCAGCGCTAGTGCCCGTCGCCCGGTCAGCATGATTTTCCTGCTCTTACCTCTCCGCTGGACATGAGCCACTCGGTGGTCACACATACGAGACGCAAGAAGGCTAACAGCTCGCTGAAAGCTTGGGTGTCCGGGCTGAACATTGGTAGGTGCATTACTCTGCCACATGTACGAAATACAACATGTTATGGTGTGTGTTGTGGTGTACATATACGCAGATACGATTTCTGGCGGGGTTATCAACTATGAGTCCGTGGGTGAAAAGGTGAGCCGTCGGCGCGACGTGAGACCTACAGGGGGGACATGTACGACTGAAGATAATAGTGTAGCCGTGTGATGCCGGTGTGTATGCTCTAGAGCACCACACAAATACTGTTGGTAACTAACTGGTGGCGTTTTTTTTTGCAGAGCCTCTGTGCATGCAACATCAACTTCCACGCCACTTCCAGCATTTGTCTTCCGCCGCGGGGTGCATGAGGAAGACTACTGCTACATCTCCGGCGCTGCCAGGCTTACTCAAGTGGTGACAGATACACGACGTATTTGGAGGCGCTGAGCGTTGAGTGGTGGCGTGGAACATTGGTACGTGCATTCTGTGCCGCATGAATGATATCATCATGTTATGTAGTGACTTATGGTGTACATATAGCTAGCTTCGTCAGCGCCGGACCGGATACTGCTACCTGTATGCGAAAGGGCGTAAGAAGGCTGGAGGGAAGTCCATGGTCGCCTGTGCTCGCCCTAGGGCACCATTTTTGGGTCGGTGCTAGCGAGTAGCGTCAGCGGTGCCAAATAGGTGTCGGGCTCTACATAATCACACGAAAATATTTCAATCACACAGTCTATACACTCATGAGGCATTATCCACACATGTATATTGTACACTGTAGGAACATACCAGGACTCTGCTCAGTTGTTGATACTTGCATTATTTTCGCAAGTCAAACATCACTTATTGTACTTCGTGTTTACCATTACTTCCGTTGTATATACAACACGGTATACTCTGGAGATGAACGCGTCGCCGAGCTGTGGGTAAGCGCACTTGGAAAGAATTGCGCTCACATGGTTAGTTGCTCTCATCGTCTGCGCTGTAGAAAACAATGTTCAGAGCTTCCTCAATGTGCTGTAACCGCGTCGCGGTGCGTTTGATAGCGTACATTCGTTACAGTCCGCAGTTACGTCTGACAGGTTGAGGTGGTGCTTCAGCTTGCCAACGATACAGAGAAGAACATTCCGTAACTAGACATTCGTAGGAACTGGTGCGTGAAGTGGAACATGGCTCACCGCTGGTGCTAGGAAGTAGGTAGACCAGGAGAAGAAAGCAACTATGAAGATGACACAGTCCGCGACGAGGAAGAGGGTGAGCGTCAGGACGATGTGACAGCGCTGGCTCCGTCATCGGACAAGGTGACTGTGAGCTAGGCAGGACCGTTTGCATATCGCTGGGTAGAATAGCGAAGATTATGCACACTTTGGTTTGCAATCAATGATTGCATTTTACATAGTCTGGAAGTTTTGTCTGTGTTTTGCGCGGTCCCGATAAAATGGCCTAGTCATGATGTAGGATATACCCCCTGTTGGCTGGGCAAGGGCCACCGTAGGTGGATTTGACAACATGTATGTGCATGGCAGTGCAACTACAATCAGCAACTTTTCAGCTGTTCAGGAAAGTACATCGTACTTATAGCAGGCAATACTTAAGCCAAATACGCATCTCCTTAACAAGTTGTATACAGCTTTAACAAGTAGTATATTGGTCGCAGCCAGGACCCGAAAACCCCCGCGAGTGCGGGGGGGGGGGTTAAAAAAAAGGACGACTGCCTCGGTCGGGCTGCCTCAGTCGGTGTGCTCATGCCAGTCGGGTGCAGCAATCACTCTCTAAGTGAAAACAATAGTGAAATCAAGCCAATTAGGTATTGTAGCTTTCGTTCATCCTAGCCCACAGATACATAATTATACTGGGATAGGAAGCAACGTTAATGCTGCTATCGCAGACCAAATAGGATTATACTGGGATAGGAAGCAACGTTAGTGCTGCTATCGCAGACCAAACAGGATTATATCCGTGGTACGTCAAGTCAAAAGGTGACCCCTCTTGACACCTAACTGATACATTGTCCTAAAACCGGTGTGACCCCGGTGCCGCACTGGGCCCTCCAAAAGGTTTATATGCGTGGCAAGCTGAACTGGTAGAAAACCCATTACACCGGTACGACCGCGGTGCCGCACTGGGCCTCCAAAACCTTTATATGCGTGGGCAGTTTGAACCGGTATGGGTCAGTAGCATATACCGAATTTGGATGGAGTGATGTAAAGTGAATGATTGAATCGAACGGACTACTACAGGACTGTAGTAGCATACAAATGCAAGCATTTTCATTTGTCCACGAGCTAGATCTCGAGCAAGGTTCGTTTCATTACTGTGTACAATTACTGCCTAGTCGTATCTTGCATCTTCGCCGTTGAGGTGAATGACCGGGTAGACGCTGCGGCTGCGAAGTGAATCCGGTGCCGCACTGGGGTCATGTTTATATGCGTGGGCAGGTCCAACCGGTGTGCAACCGACGACACTGGTATGATTCAGTACGTATATTCGAGCAGTGAACGAATTGAAGTAAAGAGAACGATTGAGGCGGACTGTAGTAGCACTAGAAATAAGCATTTGCATTTTCAAGTATAAAACTTGTACAAACTGCAAACATATCTCAGCCAAGGTTCGCATTTGTTGTAAAGCGTTGCCAGTTGATATCTGGCATCTACAGTCTTAATGACAATTTTCGGGCAGATGCTGTGGCTGCGAAGCAGGCGCAGGAGATGGCCGTAGCTCATAAGAAAAGGCATCAATGAAACTAAAGAGGGGGGTTATACCAAAATCCTCCTATCCCAGCCTTCGCGGAGCCCTAGTTGTAAGTTGAATAAGCTGTTTTTCAACGGACAGACCGACTACAAAGCACAATAATATTGTATATATTATGTGTAATGGGGCCATCTAACAGATTTTACCGAATACAAGCCCTGGGTTTACTGTTATTAACTAAAAGCTCGTTGTAAAATGATATTGCGGACTATAAAAAGAAGCTCAGTATTAAATGCCGTAGAAGTACGGATTAGTTAAAAAAAGTAATACCCTCGATTTTATCTCACACGCCTATGGTATTGTTTATTGGTTAATTTGTTTTATGTGTGTAACATAAAATAAAAGCCGTTACGAAATAAAAACCCTTGTTAAAACGATCAGTTTTTTTGTTGCAGTAATAAAAGTATTCTGGGTATTAATTGGTAAAATTCGTTAGGTTGCCAAGGCTACCGTAGTCAAGTCGAAGGGCATCCATCGCTCGATTGATGGACCACTCAAGCTAATAGACCATGGGCAAGACGGGCTAGACGACCTTCTTTGCCAGAGGATGGAAGAGGATGTTTGGAGATAGGCATAGGTTAGAGGACCAAAACCTTCGTAACATCTCACTCCAGAATTTGCAGGGTGGGGGCGAAGAAGAACAGCCACCGTTCAGATTGTTTTGCTACAGTTTCGAAGATGATGCCTCGTTCTACGTTGAAGTCGGCTCAACCAAGTTTGCCGGGTTGTTCGTGCCGAGATTTGCAGCCGCGGCGGGACAACTACTAGGGAAGGTGCGGATTTACGTGGCGTTGAAGGACGTACGATAGCGCAGCACTTGATAAGAGGGATGGCCATGCCCAACTCGATGAAGACGGGCAAACACAAGGCTTTGCGCAGATGGTTAGTCATGACCTATGAAAATTTGTGCTCTAACCACCCGGGCACGACGAGATAGAGAAGGTAGTTTGAAAACCTTGATTCCTCGAATCAGCGTTTTTAGTTTGCCATAAGAGATGTAAGCTTTGAAACATATGGGATTGGAGACCGTACGATCATATTTGTATCGGATTTCAAATAGAAAGGAAAATTTCAAGAGATTTAAAAACTTAATAACGTCATAAATATCACGTCCCTTTTATAGCATACGTGCTCCTCGTCAAACCCGTGTACATAGTGCACGTGCATTGGTGAGGGGGGGGGGGGGGGCGGGGCAGGTTAACCCCTCATAGCAGGCGTTAAACCATGCACAGATACTGCGCAGCGGATGATATTATATCCCCGTTCCACTTGCCAGTGTCCTTCGTTCCGGACGGGGAACTACCGGGGTGTAAGGGACCAATTGCGCTTTTGCTGGCGCGGGGACTGTCAGGAAGGGGCGAGTTTTGCCTAAGATCTCCTGAAGGTCTTGGTCAGGTTGCTGCGGTTGCTGTGTGTACATCGTGCTGCTTGCTGGATGGCTTGGTTGGTGTTCTTGGTTTTTTAGGCTCCTCGATGCTCTTTCAGTTGTGGGTAAATCTGTCAGTTTTCAGCCCCAAAATTGATGTAAAACACACAGGTTGCAACACGAAGTGTAGACGACCTTGCATACGAGTTGCGCGGCCCGTCCAACTTAGATCGCTGCACTACTCGGAATGGTATTAGCTATTAAATTGTTGCGCGGGCCTGTAGGGCCCACAATATCGTATGGCGGGTCGGTGGGCCGCCTTCGCTATTCGCTGCTATGATAGTGGTATCACAATAGTTTTTTCTTGCAAGATGCCCCCCCCCCTTCAAAAACAATTCCCAGATTTAGGTTTTGGGTGGTAACTTCGAATGTTTAGATTTCAACGAATTATTCCAATCGGAATTTTTTCTAGAGTGCTTTAACCCACCGGCGACCGCTCTTATCCCAATTTTGCAGGGATAAGATTAATATAGAAATTTGTATACTTGCGGGATAGGGTAAGAGAGGTCCCCAGCGGCCGGCGCCGACCCTTTGGGCTCCACCGACGTTCAGTCTCATTGGTCAGATCCACCCAATCAAAACTTGACTGAGGTCTTAATACTGATCTGGTTGAAGACTACGCTGGGAAAAACCTTGGCGTAATTTGTCCTAAAAATCGGGATATTTCCTTCTGTAGAGAATCCAAACCAGAATAGTGTAAAATATGAGCGAATAGTTGTGATACTACTAACTTACCTTAACAGCGACCCCTCGCGATCCTGCCGATACTGCGGTGTCCAGGTTGCATCTGTAAGTTGTCGTGAAAGTGTGGCGGAGCGCCCTAGATAACGCAAGCAATCTGATCATCTAGAGCATTGCTGGGTCGCGCAGGCGGAGGGGGCACAGGGCCGTTCGAATATAAGGGTCTAGAACGAGTAGGAAGCGCTGCGTGGGCACTGCAGCGTGAAAATATGGTTGGCCACATTGAGTGCCATCATTATTCTTGCATCATGTTATGATTTATGCTCCCATGCGTGCTGATGATGCATTGTGAGCAATGCCGTCTAACCGCTGTTTGACTCAAACACAGGTTGGCACCTTCATGATACGTAGTTCCGACACAGGGAGGTGGTAATACCCTGGCATCACGTTCATGTTTGAGCGGGCCGCAAAACCTGCCGAACCAAAGGCGACTAGCTAACTAAAACGTGGATGAACTTGCTATACCACACCTCTGGTCTCTACGAGACCTACATGGCAAGAATAATCAAGCCGAGACGCTGAGCGTCAATGGTCGCTTCTTTCAAGCGGCCAATCTACCGAAAGACATAGAAGCACGTGCTTCCATTGTATTCGGTCTGGTCTTCATGAAGCGACGTTGATTGTGGCCACGTGGCTACATGTATTAGCTTGTGTATGTTCAACCACGTCAACGTTGCTTCGACGACTTGTCAACATCTACATGTTTGTATTGATCTGAGTATAGTGATTATCATGACATCATACATGTCGACATTGACATGTTTGACTAGACTTTTGTATAGATGTCGTTATGTCAAGATTGAGATATTTGTCTAGGTTGCAGTACACGGCAATGCCAACGGCTTTATATATTGCTCTGTTACTCTAATGTAAGCTCAAACTGTCATAAGCCCCGGTCGTTCGCTGAGCTACCCGGCTCGCCGGGAGGTATGGCAGGCTGTCGACGAGGGACTCGCAGGCGCGTTGGCATATCCGGCTTGTGAGAGGCCGCGATCATGTTTTCCACACAGGGCTTCTAGTGAGGCGCACGCGCGCCGCCCATGCCAATGTTGTCGACCGCCGCAAGCGTGCTGTCCGTATCAGGTTTGGCCCGAACCGCAAGCGTACTGTCCAAGTTGGGATCAGCACGCAGTCCAGGTCGGGCATGGTCGGTGATCGTGAGCCTCGGGATGATCTGGGTTCGCAAGCATGCCGTTCGCGCTGGGCTGGTCGAGGGGAGGGGGCAGACGGAGTCGCCGGTACCGGGCATCTCGGGGGACTCGATCGTGGCTTCCTTGCCAAGACTATCCGGGACAGCACAGGGGCCCACCGAACCGAGCTTGAGGAGGGCGCCGAGCATGCCGACCGTGCCGGATAGGTTGGGGGTCAGCGAGCATGCCGTCCGTGCCAAGCGTGTCGGGGACCGCGGAAGGGTTGGCCGCGCCGGGCATGTCGGGGATCGCGGAAGGGTTGGCTTCGCCGAGCTTGTCGGGGTCCGCGAGCATGCCGACCGTGTCGGGCATGTCAGGGGCTGCCGGTATTGCGTCGTTGCAGGGCATGTCGGAGGCCGCGCGGATGTCGTCCTTGCTGGGGCTACTGGGGGCCGTGAACGGGAAGGTCGAGTCGGGTTTGTCGGGCTCAGCGCGCGTGTCGTCCGTCGCGGGCGTGTCGGGTCGCGAGCGGGTCGTCCTTCCCGGGGTCCCGGGTAACCATGAACGGGATGGCGGAGTCAGGCATAGCGAGGGGCTCGGGCATGTCGTTGGTGTCGGGCATGACGTCGGTGTCGGGCATGACGGGGGCCGCGAACGTACTGCCCGCGCCGGCCTTGTCCGGTCCCGCGAGCATGCTGCCTCAGTAGACAGCAGCAACTTCGGGTTCGGCAGAGGTTGAATGAGAGGATGCCGGGGGCCGGGTGTGATCACGACATTGTAGGCGCTTGAGTACTTGTCGGCGTTTTTAGAAATGAGCTTTCGATGCGGAGCGGCGGCGAGCTTTGGTTCCGATGATACGCTCACGAAGACGCACCTCAATTCCGAACCCGGGGGGAAATTTGTAAGCAAATCTATTGGCTATTTCAGGAGTAATTAGTGATCATTGGCGGAATCGTTTGAATACTTGCGATGATTGGTGGAATTGCTTGATGGCAGCAGGAACCGCGCAAACAGCATGGCGCGAAAGGTGACGAAGATGTGCACGTTGAAGTGGTAGCGTGACGTGTATAGCGTAGCTTAAGTATGGAAGTCGGAAATGGCAGCAGTGCCACAAACTAGATTGTCCCGCATTGTGCTACCTAGCAGAAGTGCCCATTTTGGCGGCAGTGGCGGACACCGGCGGCACCAGATCACAGCCGCCGGCCGTCCTAGCTTTAGGATCGCTCTCAAAAGCGACTATAAGATGCAGTGAAACCATTCTAGGCTGTGGTGCGTGCACCGCTCATGTCGACAGGAAGTTGATTATCCCGTCCTTGACTTAATATCACCATCAAATGGAGTCAACGTTGGCTTGAATTCCTATAATATCAGTAGTAATGAGGTGCATGCAGCGCCACCGCTACGAGCGGGGCTCGCACCACAGCCTAGAATAGTTTCACTGCATCTTATAGTCGCTTTTGAGAGCGATCCTAAAGCTAGGACGGCCGGCGGCTGTGATCTGGTGCCGCCGGTGTCCGCCACTGCCGCCAAAATGGGCACTTCTGCTAGGTAGCACAATGCGGAACAATCTAGTTTGTGGCACTGCTGCCATTTCCGACTTCCATACTTAAGCTACGCTATACACGTCACGCTACCACTTCAACGTGCACATCTTCGTCACCTTTCGCGCCATGCTGTTTGCGCGGTTCCTGCTGCCATCAAGCAATTCCACCAATCATCGCAAGTATTCAAACGATTCCGCCAATGATCACTAATTACTCCTGAAATAGCCAATAGATTTGCTTACAAATTTCCCCCCGGGTTCGGAATTGAGGTGCGTCTTCGTGAGCGTATCATCGGAACCAAAGCTCGCCGCCGCTCCGCATCGAAAGCTCATTTCTAAAAACGCCGACAAGTACTCAAGCGCCTACAATGTCGTGATCACACCCGGCCCCCGGCATCCTCTCATTCAACCTCTGCCGAACCCGAAGTTGCTGCTGTCTACTGAGGCAGCATGCTCGCGGGACCGGACAAGGCCGGCGCGGGCAGTACGTTCGCGGCCCCCGTCATGCCCGACACCGACGTCATGCCCGACACCAACGACATGCCCGAGCCCCTCGCTATGCCTGACTCCGCCATCCCGTTCATGGTTACCCGGGACCCCGGGAAGGACGACCCGCTCGCGACCCGACACGCCCGCGACGGACGACACGCGCGCTGAGCCCGACAAACCCGACTCGACCTTCCCGTTCACGGCCCCCAGTAGCCCCAGCAAGGACGACATCCGCGCGGCCTCCGACATGCCCTGCAACGACGCAATACCGGCAGCCCCTGACATGCCCGACACGGTCGGCATGCTCGCGGACCCCGACAAGCTCGGCGAAGCCAACCCTTCCGCGATCCCCGACATGCCCGGCGCGGCCAACCCTTCCGCGGTCCCCGACACGCTTGGCACGGACGGCATGCTCGCTGACCCCCAACCTATCCGGCACGGTCGGCATGCTCGGCGCCCTCCTCAAGCTCGGTTCGGTGGGCCCCTGTGCTGTCCCGGATAATCTTGGCAAGGAAGCCACGATCGAGTCCCCCGAGATGCCCGGTACCGGCGACTCCGTCTGCCCCCTCCCCTCGACCAGCCCAGCGCGAACGGCATGCTTGCGGACCCAGATCATCCCGAGGCTCACGATCACCGACCATGCCCGACCTGGACTGCGTGCTGATCCCAACTTGGACAGTACGCTTGCGGTTCGGGCCAAACCTGATACGGACAGCACGCTTGCGGCGGTCGACAACATTGGCATGGGCGGCGCGCGTGCGCCTCACTAGAAGCCCTGTGTGGAAAACATGATCGCGGCCTCTCACAAGCCGGACATGCCAACGCGCCTGCGAGTCCCTCGTCGACAGCCTGCCATACCTCCCGGCGAGCCGGGTAGCTCAGCGAACGACCGGGGCTTATGACAGTTTGAGCTTACATTAGAGTAACAGAGCAATATATAAAGCCGTTGGCATTGCCGTGTACTGCAACCTAGACAAATATCTCAATCTTGACATAACGACATCTATACAAAAGTCTAGTCAAACATGTCAATGTCGACATAATGATTGGCGTGGTTGAACATACAAAAGCTAATACATTAGCCACGTGGCCACAATCAACGTCGCTTCATGATGATCAGACTGAACCAAAACCAAATGCATTTTCATTGCCTTGGGGTCGAGCCTTTTTTACATAAAAAAACCAGAGACGTCCAGCGCCAACGCCATGTTGTTGTTGACGTGTGGGTCCTGAGCATGGATGGAATTTAAACAAGGACGGTGCTGGCACTTCGTTCAGGTGTTGGGCGTGTCCAACACCATAGCCCGGTAGCAGCTCCCTGGACGGCCCCACTTCTGGTGCTCTACCTTAGCCGTACACATTAACGTCTGCCCAATGGGGTATCCACATCCTCCAACACAACTACATGCAGTATTTGCTTGGAAGCATAAAACCATCCGTGCTGCGCAAAATTTATCTAGTTACCTAGCAACTTGCTGGTAATCATATCCACTAGCTCTCAGTGCCTCATAAACGCCATTCTTCTAGGAACAGCTATGATCTTCTTGCCCACGTGCAAAGCACTTGGTGCAAGTATGAGTATGAGTAGCGTTACCCACGCCTACCTGAGACAAGCCCATGCTCAATGGGGCCTCAGTAGAGACTTGCAAACATGCGCCAATAGGTATGAGCCTGTGAGCGCCAAATACACGAGAGGCTGTATGACCACATTACTGGCGATGATAATGCTGGGTGCACCCCTCGCTATTTTTCAGAAATTTACATTAGGTTGAAGCGCTAAAATGTAGCGCTCACGTTGCACTTTCAAACGTAAAACCACGCAATTGGCATCTAAAACATTTCCATGTATCAATACAACATCTGTTCATAACAATGATGGCAAGATTTTCAGTAGAGGCGAAGCGTTGGTCTGATAGGACAGTGTAGACTTCCTTTGTGTGCCTATTCAAAAATTTATAAACGTGGGGTAGGCGAGAATAATGTAACATGAAAATTGGTGGCAAGTTTTCAAACCTTGGTATAGCGCCTTCAAGAAACAGGGCGAAATTGCGGTGCAAAAGAAATGAAAGAACTTAAAGGCGTGCTCGACCGGGGGCTTCGCCTACGACCGAGCGCGTTGTGGTCATGCATTCCAGCCAGGGTTTGGTAGTAGTCAGCAGAATAGTAGCGATAGTAGTGATAATATCACAACTACTACTATATCACTACTATAGCACTGGGGTCTGCGCCTTATAGTAGTGATATAGCTATAGTAGCGAGAAAAAATGCCACTAGTAGTGATAATAGTAGTATTAATATCACTACTACTATTCCTAACTTCAACCCACGTCAGATCTTCAAAAGGCGCGAAAATAGGTGGTTCTCAGCCCTCCCCTCCGCGCGCTTTGCGCTCTTTGGCTCATTTCTCGATACTCGGGCGGAGGAACAAGCAGTTAAAGCGCGCTAGGAGGGCTGCCATTGGTGGAAGGAAGCAAAGACTTCATCGTGCAGTTTGTATTCACCAGTCGAGTAGTCCGTCGACCTCTGAAAACGGTAGGGCTGCCAGCACGCATCATCTTGCTTGGCTAATACTTCTACCAGCAGGTTCTGCAGCCACCCGCGCCTCAGCAAGTTCTTACTGACAGCGACGCAGGAGTTAAAGAAGCTAGGAGCAGAGTCACTAACAGTATCCCTGACTACATCATTCATAACGCACTCACGATCGATCGACTCGGTGTGGAGCTCATCTAACGACAAGGCCAAGGCATGTACAGTATGGATATTGTTTTGCTGTGTGTGAATCCGGAGATGTGCTCACTACCGTCCTGACTTTAAGGATCCAAGTGTAATTTTCGGGTGGCATCGTGCGGTGGCTGATCCTGGTGCGTGCCTGAATTTCTGTTTTGCTCAAGGCTGCTGAATCTCACTGTATCGTTTGCGAATACATTTTACTTGCTTAGATGGTGATGTCCTCGTCGGCGTTACTGGTCAGCTGCTTAACTTGCTCAAGTTTAGCTGGGGCGTGGTTCTTCAACAGCATTCCTAGGTTACTTCGTGACGGGGCCACTACGAACAAGGATTGACCTTTTCCACTGCGGCTTTGGCGTCGTAGTTCGCGCGCGTGGAGGAAAACAGCGGCAGAAATGGGTACAGTATAGATAGTAGTACTATAGTAGTGCTATAGTAGTGATATTAGTAGTGATATCTACTAATGACGTTGTCCAACTGCTAATAGTAGTATTAGTGCTATCGACTCTGAGTCGGATAGTAGTAGTAGTATCACTACTAGCCGAAATTCTCACTACTACCAAACCCTGATTCCAGCTATACAAATTTACACAAGAAGGATTCATGGGGGGGTTAGTCAATTAAGAACAAGAAGTCAAAGCCATTGGCGCGACGCAGGAAAGAGAGCAATGCGTTAGTTGTTATTGTATTGATTTTGAGTAAATGTTAGCTTATAACGAGAAAATGCGGCAATCCTAGTTATAATTTTCCGAATAAATTTCATAGATCCCTGAACTGTTCACTACAGTGTGTGGTACACACTACGGATACGGTCGGCATTCTGGGAACAACTCACCACGAAATGTACAAACTTCGTGATGTTACGGTAGCCATAATCTGTGGACTATGGACTCAGGCGACATTTGCCAAGTAAATTTGGGGGGGGGGGGGGGGGCGGGCGGGGCTCCCGGCGGCTGAAATAAAATAGATTAGGCTGTTCAGCCAGCTAAAGCTGTCCTCCCAGTATAATTAGAATGATAAAATCTGTTTGTAGCATTTTTTCGTAAAATCATTTTATCATAATTTTTAAATAATTAGTTAGAAACAACAAATAACTTTTATTGTGATCACCACGCATTTTGCCTATTTCCAATTCTAAATCGACCGAGTTTAGGAGATTTATGCTCTATATACACCGAATTATTATATATATACCTCGCCTTACTCCTTGTTACCCCGAACCTTATATGGCACCCCTACCGTTCCTAATCAACCAGCTGGGGTATTAAGCTGCACCACACGCATGTAGGATGGTCGATTAAGCCGCTGATTGGTCGTTTAGACGAGCGCTTGGCGATATAAGAAGCAATTGGCCGGACCCCGGTGTCCCCCATTACAAACTGCAGTCACCAAAGATTATTTATTTTTAGTACAGTGGGTAGTCCAGACCCGCTTCCATTTTCAGATCAGCGAGAAACAACCAGGGCGTGGTGGTGGCTCCGCGAAAACGCAAAAAGGGCCCCGATAGGAAGGAAGCAGCCTACAACCGAGCTGTCGAGAAGCTAGGAGCGGACGTGGTGACGCAGATAAGAGAAGATTGGGATTCATGGGACACTAAATTCGGGGGCAAAGAGTGACAGCAGTCTGAGGGGGTTGTGACGCAACTATTGCAACAAGGATTGTCAGAGCGTGAAATTCGAGCTGTGATTTCGGTGGGTGGCTATCGCATAGCTCGACTCCGTCAGGTTCGCGAGCTAGGTGTCGAGACGTGGCACACGCGTCGTGAGCAGCTCAAACCGTGGCAGGCATTTGCCGAAACAGACATCGATGCGTTCAAAAAGCACTGCTCGACTTGGGTTCTCGAGGACGGATCCCCTTGTGCCCATCGGCGTCCTCGACAGTATTTCACCGAGCCGAAGTTGCCGTGGCTTGTAGTACATGCGAGATACGTCGAGGATATTAAGCGTGAAAACGCTGAAGCAAGGACTCCGAGCTATTCTCCCTTTACGCAGTACGTTCATTATTATTATCCAGGTGTGAAGCTTACTCGAACAGCAGAGGATGTTTGTGATTGCTGTGTCCGACTGAAGATTCAGCTTCAACAGCCCGATATCTCTGATGCCGATCGAGATGCTCTCTTGATGGAAAAGCGCACTCATATCACGGAGGCTATTTCGCACCGGCGATTTGTGTCGCGGTTTGTGAAGGAATACACAAACTTGTATGCTCCAGATCAGCTTGTATCAAGCGAAGTTATCCCGGACACCTACGATCTGGGTCCTCCACCTGACGATGATACTGGTTCGGAAGGGACAGACGCCGTTAATGATCCACTTTCAATCCCGTGTCGCGTCCAAATTCAAGCGGAAGACTTTGGTGGAGGCATTTCAATGCCCCATTATGGACACTCACGACCGTCTGCAGATTATTTTCACAGTAACCGGATAATCCACAACTTTGTGGTCGCGGACATCACCAACAAACGCAACAACGTCTACTTCTACGACGAGCGTGCCCAAGGCAAGGGAGCCGGCGCGCTGTGCAGCTTAAGATTGCTGTACCATCTCACTACACTCCAGACAGACGCACGCAATGGTATTCGTCCCGCTGAAATAGACTTCAGCTTGTTGGACAACTGCGTGGGAGAAAACAAGTCAAAAGTGGTGCTCATGTTCTTCGCTATGTTGTCCGTTGTCTTCCCGTACAAGAAGGTGGTTCTGTACTTTCTTCTACCTGGTCACTCACACCACATTGCCGACCGTGTGATAGCTTGGTGCCGTGGAGCGACTCGCAAAATGAACATCTACACTCTGTCGCTGCTTGTCGATGAAGTTAACAAGGTGAAAATTGTCCATGGAGTTTTTCTCAACCACAATGATCCCTCACATCCCTTTTACGTTGGTTGGGGTGATCTGCTCGACAAATATTAGTGGTTGTCAGAGTTGGATCCAAGAGGCGGATCCAAGTAGGTGTTTTAGCCAATCATAGTATCCCTACTTTGACTACCTTTTCAAGCTGGATGGATCCAAACTAGTCAGCGACCTTTCGCTTCACTAGGCAACATGCCAACTAGCAGTCGCAAGAGGAAAATCCTCAGTACTGTTCGCAAGCTCTGGAAGTCTGTGCTGGGCGAGCAGAAGGATGACGACTCCGGTGGATCAAGCGCACAGGAGGAACAGGAAGACCTTGCCGCCGTCTACTTCGTCCTGAAGGCCAAGCGATACCTCACTTCGCGCCATCGTGTTCCGCGACCCCCTTCGAGAGTGAAATTCTATCTCAGTGACATGCCAGAGTCGGAGTTCAAGCTTCAGTTTCGATTGTCCCGCCGTTATTTCACTGCCGTCTGTGAACTCATCGCAGACAACGCCGAGTTTAGAAGTACACCAGGAAAGCAAACCAGAATGAGCGTGGAGCTGCATCTGATGGGCCTGCTTAGAACGCTCGGCTCGACAGACGGTGAAGGTCATTCAGCGGACTTCCTATCTGTCGGCGGTCATACCCCGGAGCACCTGCTAGCTAAGCGAGTCGTACGAGCGCTAAATAGCCTACGGAGCAAGGTGATCATGTGGCCTGAGGCTGACGAGCGTCGAGATTTCTGAGAGAATCTTAAACGCTACATCCTTGCCCCAGTGTATTGGTCTGATCGATGGTACACTGTTTCCGTTGCTAACTCGGCCCCAAGATCACGGCGAAGACTATTATTCTCGGAAGGCTTCTTACGCTATCAACGGATTGGTGCTTTGTGACGACTTATTCCGAATTCGCTACGAAAATGTTGGCTGGCCTGGGTCTAGCCACGACAACCGTGTATGGCGAAACTGCAAAATATCCCTGGCGAAGGAGCAATACTTCGATGCTGACCAGTACTTACTTGGCGGATCTGCCTATCAGCCTTCGCAAGTCTTGGTTCCTGCGTTCAAAACTTCACAAGGTGGCCAACTCGATGTCAAAGAGACATACTTCAACAAATGTCTGGCGAAAATTCGGATCCGCGTGGAGCACTGCATTGGAATGCTCATGGGGCGATTTCCGCTGCTACGGAGACTGCGGTGCGCGCTATAAAACAAAAAACAGCTTAAAGCCACTATCGAATTGATTAGAGCGTGTATGATTCTGCATAACATGGCGCTCGCTGATCCTATTCCAAGTGATTGGATCGAGCCTGAGCCCGGCTTCGACGAAGAGACCGACGACGAGGACGATCCGTTGACGTATGCTGGCTCGACAGGCAAGGAAAGACAGGAGTACTTGAGAGACTTGGCGTTTTACTAGCGGTTTTAGCGTAGCATGACGTTTAGCTGGTGAACATCCAAATCATGCTGGGGGCGGGAGAAGGCGGTCGATTTCTTCGGCGGAAACCCCATTGTCGAGAAGTAGGACTTCGTTGAGCGTGTGCGATTATAGGTAGGGCTAGGTGAGTTTGTCGTTGGTCGACTCCGACGCTTTTTTATTGAAATGGTAGGCGATACACAGATTTAGGGGAAGGGTTATGCTGGCTTTATGGATACATTTCCCACCAGTGGAATCCACCACCTGCGCGCAGCCCGCAAAATCATGGTTTCACTATCGAATCTCCCGCGAAGTGCTCAGATCTCCCGGTGCGACAACCTCCAAGCGCACGTGCGACGACGTCGGTGTAGACTTTTGTAATTTGATCCAATTTGATAATACCTAAAATTATTTTGATGTTAGTATGGATATATCAGAGCTTCTAGCGGACTCGCCGGAATACGTTTGCGAGACGTGTCTCCACGACTTCGCTCGGTCCGATCACCTTCGTCTGCATCAACGACGATCCTGTCGAGGCGTTCTATCTCAGCCATGTCAGCTGTGCGAGATATGCTGGCAGTGGGTGAAAGGAAATCGCCACCATCTCGGGCGCCACCAGCGAGGCTCCCGGTGTCTTCCACTGGGTGACCGTATCGCGCGCCGCAATCAGGTCGCTGATGCGAGGCGCCAGAGGGATGCGGCGTGGCACCGCCAGAGGCATCAACAACGCCGCGATCAAGTCACTGATGATGCCCCGGATGATGCGACGGGAGACTCGCCGAACGCTCCTGCCCTATCCCTTGCGACCAACAGCCGGGATCACGAAGAGGCGTCTGGTTCGGCTGAACCGCTGCGTAATCAGCTTGATGACCTACTTTACAGCAGCGATGGGGAACAAGGCGACGCGGATGGGCAAGAAGGCGTAACTGACGACACGTCAACACCCGTACGACGTGAAGATGTTCTAGACTTGCTTGTAATTGCTGATTTCGAATGGAATGAGATCGATTTGGGCGCTCCGCCTCCGGAAAGGCAGGAGGATCAAGCCCAGGGTGACAGCCAAGAGCAAGATGGGCAAGACAGAGTTGAAGATGCAGCAGAAAATGTGCAATGGAGAGACGGTGTGACAGACTGCAACATCTGTCTCTTCCCTCTCGACAGCAAGATTTGGGTGTGTGAGCGTGAGACATGCCGCCAACCGTACCACCGGTAGTGCGTGAAGGAACAAATCACGGTGCAGCAACTGCCGAGCTCCAATTCAACTTTACGTTGAAGATGACGAGGTTTTGGTTGTCAGGCATGTGGATGCGCCACCAACGTGCACGGTCTGTAAGCGCATCGTCACTGGAACGATGCTCGAGGGTCCGCAGTGCAGCCAAATCTTCGACTACGACTGTTTGGTGCAGTACAACGCGCAATTCTTGGGTAATCTCAGGAGCAGGGATTTGAAGTGCCCCGTGTGCAATCATCCCTTTTCCATCCCTTCTGAGTTTGTTTCCGACGAATCTGATGCAGAGGACGTTCAAGCTGGATATCGCGGCAACGACGACAACGCATTCGACTATACGGAAGACCAGGAATCGTCGCAGGAAGAAATGACGGGTGGAGTGACGAAAACAGCGCCGACGAGTACCACCAGAGCGACTTCGATAGCTCCTCGGACTCGGACGGGGACTACAATCCCGGCGACGAAGCCTAGGGAGTTGAAGGTAAGGAGGAAGGGTCCCACATGCATAAAATACATATCAGATAATTGTTTTTTTATTGATGGTGGTATGTTTGCAATCATACAATCAAGGACGACAGTACAATGGAGGACGACAGTACAATCAAGGACGACTAAAGTACAATCAAGGACGACGGCGGGTACATCGCGTCTACTCGCTCGAATCGCAGCAAGTATCTTGTTGACCGTCAACTCTCCCTGGACACGGCCACCGAAATCCTTCTTGAAAGTCTTGGCCATCGTCGTACTCTGCTCGAATAAACTCCGCGATGATCTTCATTCTGGAGAGGCGCGACCTGTGTATCTTGCGTTCATGTGGAAGCATGCCCACGCCGGCTCGGTACTGGTGACACGCAGGATTTGGATGCCAGTACTGATGAACGTAGTCGCGCCACGATTTGGCATCCGGAAGCTCAGACACGAGGTGAGCGGTTTCCACAACAGTTCCATCACACGTAGCAATAGTGTCTTCAGCGTGTTCACCGTCCTCCGTTTCTTGAGTGTCGTTTTTTCCACATCCGACGCCCTGTATCATACCACGGAGACCTTCCAGTAAAGTGTCCTTGAGCTCGGCGATGGTCGAAGGATGCAATGCAGGGGGAACTTCATCAGGGGCTGCATATGTGGGGTTGAGCTGTGGATCGTCGTCTGCATCGGAGTACGTGCGTCCGTAGTCAATGTCTTGCAAACCATCCAGCGACGCAGCGGTGATGCATGCGTCCGCATCTGGAGCCAGCGAGTCTCCAAGCTGATTCTCCTCTCGGTCCATGACATCATCGAGAAGATACCGCGTCACCGTCTCCGCCTTCTCACTCGGTGCCCACCCTGCCCACCCTGCCCACCACTTCACCAGCTTCAGCGACCAGCGTCTTTTTTCAGGAGCAAACATGAACCGGTACTGAGCACCTCCCCGATCAAAGCAGTGCGACGTAAACCAGATCTCGTCGCCAAGAACACTCCTTTTCATTCCAGCAGCCGCAGCGACGATGTTGAGAACTTGCGTAAAGTTGGTGTCCTTCATTTGTGTGCCCCACTTGATCCCAACTTTGGCAAATGGAACCCTGCCGCCATTCCCGGCGCACCGCTGTCGCTTCGCTCCACCACGAGGAATCTTCGTCAGCGAGGGGAATGCGTAGTCGTCACTGCTCCACCTGTGATGTAGCTCCGTCTGCGCGTTGTGGAACCATCGGCTCAGATACGTCAGCGCCTCAGCGGCCTTCTCTTCCTTCGGGAGAAGATGCAGCGAATACGTTCGACTGGCAAGGGGGTCATGGTCGGTCTTTCGGTCACGGATTGTGAAGCAGCCAAATCATATCGCGGCCCCGGTCTTGCGAGACGTGCGTCGTAGCTCAAGTTGTATGTCTCCCTTCTTCATCAGCAGGACTTCGTTGATGCGGCACATCCCGTAGAAGGCGAGAGAGCATACCGCCGAAACCCACAGTCTCATCGTCTTGTTGAACATCGGGTCCGACTCCAGGAAGGCGATAATCTTTGAGAGCATGGACAGCGACATCGGGGAGGCGCGCTTGGGGGTCCTTTCGCGTTTCTTCACATTACTCAACCCGGCCAGAATCTGCGAGATGGTGGCAGACTTGGCGGGATTACCTCGCGGGGTAAGAGTTCCGTCCGCAGCCGTGTCGGCAACCCAGCGATCGTGGGGATGGCCGCCCGCAAGCATCTCCGGTTTTGTGTAGTGTCAGCTGATCGCAGCGCGAAGCTTTTCAGCCGGCCACTGGCTTGTGTTGGCCGTCGCTAGTTGGTGGATGTACGCCGCGAGGACTCCTGGGAGCTGCACGAAGCGCTGCTTGAGTGGGTCGGGATAGCCTTCAGAGATACAGAACGCGGCGTTTCGACGAAGGCTGCCGTTGTAGTCCGTCCGCGTGCGACTCTCGAGCCTCTGATCCGCAAACTTGGCCGCGGCGAGGGCCGCTTGGTACAGGAGACTGGTTTCCGGAAGCTCCATGGTGGGTCACCGAGTGCTGCGGTCTGTGGCGAGAGCTGAAGTGAAGGAATCCATCTGTAGGGACCCTGCTATAATCGTCTTCAATTGTACTCGCGTGTCGTCCCTCATCGTACTGCTGCCGTCCCTGAATGTACTTCCATTGTACAGACTTTTTGGGGCTACTGTACACATGTGAGGTGCCTTGGCTTTTGGGGGATTTTTGTCTTTGACACATGGCTACAACAACTGTAAATTTTAGCCAATCAATTCGCGTCGCACGACAGTTTTGGTCCCTCGCACGGCTGAAAGAAGTTGTTTGCGGGCAAGTACCAGTTGCACGACGGCATCGCGCTGCGCTGTCTCGAGTTGAACTCTTTTCAGAACTAAATCAACATTGGCTTGCTCCTCTTTTAGCTTGATTTCGCGCTGTTTCAGCTCCAACTTGGTTTCCTGGAGCTGCAACATGCGGTTTGTCTTTTGCGCTCTCTGCTTGCTTGCCGTGAGCTGCTGGTCCAGCAACTTCTCGACAGGGTCCTTCTTCTGGTGCTTCGCATCGTAGTCGTCGTCATCTAACGCGAGTGGGCGCTTCTCACCGCGCTGAACAATGGAATTAGAGCTGCTCGCCTCCTCCTCCTCTTCATCGATGCCGTCTGACGTTATGCTAGGGCGAGCGGAGGGCCGGGAATCGAATACATCAGCCAGCTTGAAGTAATACGGGCAGCGTTTGAGGACCTCACCTCGCAGGGTAGCCTCGCTCGTAATGCCGGAGCCGGTTTGCGCCTGGAAGTCGACAGCTTCGCGAACCTGCCTCTCGATCGCGCTTATCTTCTCTCGGACGTCACCGGTGGTGCGATGCTCGATTCCGACGGCTTTAAATTCCGATACAATCTCTTTCAGCAGAGCTTCCTTGGTGTTTCCGTTGTTGCGGTCACTGCCTCGCCACTTGTTGTAGTTTATCTCGGTTGAGAGCCAGTCGAACACGACCTGTAGAGACGACTTGCCTTCCTTCACAGCGTCACGATCCCAGAATATCGGGTTTTTCTTGGCGCGCATTGTCTTCCCGCTCATGCTGGTCTTGCGGTTGTGCGCGATCTTCCGGCGTGTTCTGGTGTGGTGCACACTACTTGGATCCACTCCAGGTGGAGCTGGAAGGTTTTACCTTCCAGTAGATCAACTGGACTCCAGTCAATTTTTGTCCAATGAAATTATCGTAGTCTACTTGGATTCGACTCTTGGATCCAACTCTCCAACTCTGACAACCACTATTTTAAGGCACCCCCGGCAGGTTATACAGCCAACTATTTGTTCGAGATGGACCAAGGAGTCTGTACAGCCCGCAAAACCGTGGACACACCGGACGAGGACGCAATTGTGTTTGCAATGGTCGATCCAAACAGCACCGACTCTATTCGCAAGGCGGTGATCAATGACCTGTTCGGCCAAGCTGTGAGCACAATATGGGAGGCATCCGTGCGCAATGTGCAGCTTCCTCGCCACCAAATCAAAGAACTGACCGAGAAAAAGATGAAGTCCCTATCGGCGAAGTATTTCTCGATCTCTCCGCAGCACTTACACTACTATCCATCGGTGCTGGATGCCGTAGCGAATGCCCCTGTCCAGAGCGCTGACCACACCGACGAGACCACGACGACTCCAAGCAACCCGAAGAGCAAACGCAAGCCGGGCCGACCGCGAAAGCAGAAGAACAAACTGAAACCCAACCAGCCATCTATCCTGCAGTTTTTCAGCCCGGCGAAGCAATAGTCAAACGAGTACAGGATCTTTCTTTCTGCATTTTGCATTATGGTCTAATAAACACTTACTAAATTAACGGGAGGTAACTTGTTGTCATGCGCACATTAGTTCCCGCCTTTGGCCCCGTTCTCGGTCGCTGGATCGTCCGGCTTGTACAGTAGATGGCGCCCCAGGCCACGCGAACAAACTCAAGGCGCAAGCAAATTGGGTCGGAGAACGTCATTGATTCGATGGTGGCTGCAGTTGTCGGCAGGCTGGAGGATGAACACCCGCAACCACTGGAAGCCTTCCAGTGGAAGGGCTTTGAATAGTGAAATACAGTACGCTTCGTCACACCGGTGGCTCTCGTTCACCAGCTTGTGTCTACAGCTTGTCTGTTGGGCATTTCGATGTGCGTAACAAACACGTCGATCTTGACGGCGGAAAGCGAGTACTATTGCCGTGTTCTGGTGCGGCCGGATACCTACTTTGGCGTGCCTCGTACTGTAACAGGCGTTCAATATTATTGCACCCAGCGACTGATCTCGGCTGGTAAGGAGGCCGCAGCAGCAGCGCTTGTATCCGTACGCGTCCTCCTCGGTCTACATCAAACTTGTCGTCGCGGGATCTTTTGGCTAATCGAGACCTGCGTTGATTTGCTCGCCGTTCTCTGAAAATACAGCGGCACGCCACACACAATCGTATGTTGAACCGCGCGCGCCATACAAAACTCCCTATACACGCCGCCAGTGGGTTCAGCTCACCAAAACTAAGAACCCGGGCCGTTTCCGGGAGAGTCGCCTTAATCCGCCGTCCTAACCCCGCAGCACCAGCACGGCACCACCACTACTAGGACTCAACAGCAGCGCCGCCCGCCCGCCATGGACCACGCCGCGCAGCCCGCCGGCGGCCCGCGGATCCGCGTCACGCGCGCGTTCTCGCAGATCGAGGAGCCGGCCACGCTGCAGCAGCTGCAGGACATCCTGGGACCGGCGCCCACCAAGACGCTGGACGTGCGCCGCCTCGTGTCGCCCGCGCGCGCGCCGGCGGCGTCGGTGCCAGGGCCGCCGACGTCTCCGGCGCGGCCGTCGCCCAGCGCGCAGCCCGCGGAGCTCAAGAAGCAGCCGGCCAAGTCTCCGGCCAGCAACAGCAACAGCAGCAGCGCCACCAGCAGTCCGCAGTCCGCTAACACGCGCGCGGGGAGGCCAGGCTTGCCGCCGCGCAACACGAGCGCCGGCAGAGAGGACGCGGGCGAGAGGCGGCGTAGTGGCGCCCGCGCAGACGACGCTGTGGGCTTGCGCCGCAACGCCAGCATGGGATTTGGTCACAATAAAGCGGCTGCGGAGCCGCGCCGCGGCTCTAGCGAGTGGGCGGAGACGGCGGCGCGCCTCAGCCGCCGCGTGCAGGAGCTGGAGCGCGAGAACTTCCGACTCAAGAACGGCAAGGAGCCGCCCAAGTCTTTCGCCGGCGGAGAGATCGGCGCGCTCAGGTTAACAGCTGAGTCGGATGCCGGCGAGACGTCCGAGGACCAACAACAGACGCGGCGCGCGACCTTGAACAAGTCGCGCAGCTGCACCAATGGCTTCGGCTTCACGGGCCTGACGGTGGCCGAGGCCGCCGCCGCGTCGCACCGCTCGCGCACGAGGCGCTTGGCGTCCGCGGCCAATGCGACGGAGGCGGCGGCCAAGCTGCGCTCGGGCTACTGGAACGGCGCCAACAATGTCAAGAGCAGCTTCAGCTGCAACAACCTGGCGGACCTCGAGCAGCCCGAGTTCATGCTTGAGAAACTGCGCACGCTGCCCCCTCCTGCCGTTGCAGCATCCAGTACGAAGGCTAACGGCGCGAACAAGAGCGGAACAACAGCGCCCGTGTCAGCCACTACGGCTCTGACGAATGAGGTCTCCTCGCGCAAGAGCGACTCGTTCCAGCGCACGAGCTCCGAGACCGAAGAAGACATCGCCAGCATGCGCTCGCAGCACTTCGCGCTCAAGTCAGCAGGGCGGAAAACCTCCTCCGTGGTGGCGCAGCAGAGCTCGGGATTAAGTTTCGATGAAAGCTTTGAAGAGGCGGAGAAGCCGATTACGTCACCGCGGTCGTACTTTGAGGCGGGGCTACGAGCAGGGAGCTTCTCGTTGCCTACTGCGTCCCCAGGATTGAAGGCCAGTAAGCGGACAAGTGTACGAGACGTGAGGATGTGGGTGGGCACGTGGAACATGGGCGCAGCAGACCCGTTTGATGATGGTAAAGGGATCATCGACGAGCAGCGCTCGGCGACAATGCTGCAGAACTTTCTGCCGCATGGGTATCAGTTGTATGTGCTTGGAGTACAGGAGGGCGTGTCGGAGAATGTGTATCACGCTGTGGAGGCGTATTTGAACCGGAATGAGCGTGGGGCGCGATACTACCGCATGGAGCTCAAGAACAGCAACTTTACGGTGAACCACAAGAATCAGCCTCCTGATGCAGTGATCGATGCGGTCCACGGTCGTGGTGACGGAGCTTTCGTGGGCACCAAATTCACAGGCATGGCCGTGTTCTATTGCGCTGACATTCAGGACAGGATCAAGTTGATTCGAGCGGGTGCGCATAAGTTCAAGCTCACGAGTGGCTCAAAGGGTGGCGTCGCTGTGGCGCTCATGATTAACCACACTACCATTGTGTTTGTGAACTGCCACTTGGACGCACGGAATGATACGTACCGTCGCGAGCAGATCCGGAACTTGAACGCCAGCCTGGGACGCGTTATGGGCCACTACAGCTTTGACCTGACCGAGCAGTTCCATCACGTGGTGTGGATGGGAGACACGAATTACCGCATCGTGTTGCTGGACCCGCAGATGGTGCTTCACATGCTGGAGGAAGGCCGCAATCTCGAGCTGCACGACAAGTTTGATGGCTTATTGAATGATCGCCGCAACGGGGGCGTCTTCGAGGGCTTCACGGAGCCGCACAAGTTCCCAGACTTCTATCCGACTTACAAGAAGTTTCCCAAGCGTGGAGTCGTTAACGAGTCGTTGCCTTTGTGGCCTTCACTCGTTTGGCGCGTGCTGTACAAAGAGCCATTTTATAAGGGAGGCAAAGTAAAGAAGCGTGTGCCCGGCTGGTGCGATCGAATCCTAATTCACTCGTTGCTAGTTAGTGACTCGAAGCTGATTCCCGAGAAGGTGCTTGACCCGACTTCCCAAGAGCAGACGCCGCGACTAATCGACAACTACAGGTCCGTCAACCACGGCGTCGGTATGGATGTCAGCGATCACAGTCCAGTGTACGGAACCTTTGTGCTTAGTTTCCTGCAGCACGACAGCGATGTCCTGGCGTCAACATCCCCGCGAAGGCTTTCACGACGGAACTCGCGATCCTATTCTACGGCTAGCGGCAAAAGTGAAGGAGACAGGTATTCAAACGCGGCGGCTGGGAGTCATTTCGACCAGGCTCGCGTTGTCCGGCAGATGAAGGCGCAGAACCGCCCCGTGTCAACCGTTCTGCGCGTGTTCAATATGCAGTTGATATGGAATGACACCAACGTGGTGGTACCCAAGAAGACCCGCATCGTTGCGCCCTTGGTTGGGGAAGACTCGAAGCAGTGCGACGTCATCGGAGAGCGGTGCCACGGCTCCAATGGGCTGAACCTGTCGCTCAACGCTGTGATCCAGCACTCGCGGCCTCTGGAGCAACTACACATGCTGGTCTGGGTGAAGAACGAGTCGATCAACGGGCACTGCACATTATCACTCAAGCGTATCGCGCGTCAGGAAGAGGAAGGCGAGGTCAGGTTCCGCGTGCCGCTCTATAACGACTCGATGCGGGTGCACCTGGACGGGCACCCGCTGCTGGTCGTATTCTCGGTTCGAAGCAAGACTTTCGCCAAGTAAGAGCACGCACCTCCACTGTGCGTCCTGCAGCCCCTCTTCCCCGATCGAAGTGCAAGAGAGGAGATAATTCTTAACAACTTTCGTTTTGACTCGAATTGACTGAAGGTGCTGCTTCGAAAAGTCACTACCGACTCGTCGACGAAAACGACACAAATCTTTTGACCCAACAGCGAGCAGATTAAGAGCCATGCCGACACAGCTTCAGGCGAGCGACAACGGCGCTAGCAATGCAGATGCAGGCTCTCTCAAGGCGCCGGCGGGGCCATTTGAGCACCTTCCGGACGCACTTCCAGCGCTGCGCGACTTTGAGATCCGACAGAAGCTGCTCCAATGGAACCTGAGCGACTCCCTCCAGCTGCAGCGCTTCCGTGTGCATCGACGACTGCCCAACGAAGCGGACGAGGCTCTGCTGACCGAGTTTTTCCAGGACGAAAGCGTGCATCGCATTCTGCTGGTACGAAGCCCCCCACCTCTGCTGAAGTGTAGATTTTCCTAATACTTCGGTGAATCTGTAGCTTCCAGCACACCTCAACAGTAACTCGTCGTCGTCCCCGAAAGTGCTGACAATCAAACCTGAAAACTGCGGCGGGAGCTCCTCGCTGCGTTTCGAGCGTCTGCGCGTCAGTGTGACGAGCATGGCGTTCTTCGAGAAGCTCAATGCAGCAGGCATCGTATCGCGCGACGGGAGTATCCGCGGCTGCATCGACGAAGACTTCGACGGGTGCACAGCCGGCGACTTGCTCACGGAGATGCTGGCGAACCCGGACTCGGACAACTGCGACGTCTTCTCCGACGACGAACGACTAGAGTTCATCTTCCAGCTCTTCTCCGCGCTCGTAGTCGGCGGTGGGGCATTGCGTCAAGCAGATTCGCGCGTGGAAGCGTACGAAGACGCCACGCGAACTCTGTACCGCGCACTCATTTCAGTCAAGAAGAGCATCGCAGACGCCAATCGGAAGCGCGACATCGAGATCACCTCGCGCGTGTATCGCGTGAGTGGCGACGCGCTCTTCCAAGCCCCTTCCTCCCGCTTCCACTCGTGCTTCGCCATCATCGACGCCCGTAAGCGCTGGCTCACAGTCTGGTACTGCCCCTTCAGAGCTTCGTGGTAGCTCAGCTTTTAGTCGACCACCGAAGTGCAAGTGCACATAACGCGCAGCGAAATGGCTACACTTTCATTGGTAGAAAACGTCCGTTCAGTTCATTCAGGACGTCACCAATGGAGCGCGTGCCGATCCGCTTTGGCTCGCTGCGTACGAGCGTCAAGCCTTCGCCTAATGTTTCGGCCGCGCCGCTACTGGGAGAAGGTCCGTCGGTGTCTAATGCATCGCTTGCTCGAGTGTGCCGCGTGTGCACGAATCGCGAGGCGAGATATACCTGTCCGCGGTGCAACACTCCCTACTGCAGTGTGGACTGCTATCGATCCCATGGCGAGGGCTGCACGGAGCAGTTCTTCGAGAGCCACGTACGTAGTGAGATGCAGCTAGCGTCGAATGCAAGAGGAGACGACGAGAAGAAGCAGCAGAAGAGCATCCAGGAGCTGCTGGAGAGGGTGCAGAAGTTCCAAGAGGAGCAGCAGCAGTTGGCGGATGGAGAAGAAGATGACGATGAAGAAGCGCTGGCCCAGAGGATGCAGGAGCTGGCGATGCTGGATGCGGCTGGAGAACTGACGCTGGAGAGTCTCACACCTGAGGAGAGGAGGAAGTTCCTTGGAGAAGTGGCCGATGGACGACTGGGCAAACTTGTGCAGCTCTGGTCGCCGTGGTGGTTGATGAGCGAACGCAAGTACCGGAGCGAGACGTCGGCGCGAAGACGCCAGTTGATACTGGAGGAGATCGGCGGCGAGGAGAATACTGAAGAGGAGGAGGAGTTTGAGACGGAAGGGGCTGTGACGGTGGAGCCGACGGTCCTTTATCCTGTGGGGCTCTTTACGAACAGTGACGCGCAGAAGGTGCCGAAGAATATGGAGGCATTGCTGCCTGGTGGGAGGCAACCTTCACCCTGCCTGCGTTATCATTTGGTGGAAGTGCTCTTCGCATATGTGCTGGTGCTTCGAGCGTTCAACGGCGACTACGCGCAAGACGTCGCAGAAGCGGCATTGCTGCTGCTTGATATGTGTCAAGTGCTCAGTGCGGATGCTCGCTACGAGTCCGTAGAGCACGTGTGCTTGGCTTGTCTGGAGAAGCAGTCTACTGAGGGCTCGGCAGCGACTGCGTTGGCTGTTCAGGACGTACAGCAAATTCTACGCACTGACGTGTTCCGGCTTGATGCGCTCAGCGACATGCGTGCGCTTTTGGAGCGGTACCAACGCGATCTCGAGGGTACCAGCACCGACTCAGACAAGCAGGCCAAGAGGGAACGCAAGGCAGCAGTCAAGAAACTAGCGGCCGTGCAGAAGAAGCTGGTCTTCTACCAGACCTGGGCGTACTTGACCCCCCTAGAGGACTTCCAAGCTCTGGCTGCTGAGGTCGAAGCGTACACGAAAGACAAAGAGCTACTCGGAGCGAAGTAGATTACTATAAAACTTTTGTATTTGGCTTCATTGATCCCATACGTACGTTGTAAGCACAGCACAAGCTGCCACAAGCTTGCGTTTTCCCTTCCACTTCACTGCAGTGTGCACAATGTGTTCGTCGCAGTCCCCTCCCTTGGTTCCTGCAGAGTACTATTTCCTGTCGATGTGCTGCCCTGAAGGCAGGCTTGGCTTCCACTCACTCCGTTCGCTCGTGGTCGATGTCCGAGCTAAGCTGAGCTGAGCTGAGTTACGCTGGCTGGCTCCAAGAAGCAGCGGTGCCCCGTTCGCTATGATCACGCCGCAGTGGTAGGGGACGTTGTCTGCTGCGCCTTGAAGGCTGTGGCCCACTTGTTGTACTCGCGGGTCGAAGTCGCCGTGAGGATGAGCTTCTTGCCAGCCTGGCTGAACTCGGGCGTGGTGATGATGAAACTGAGGCTGCGCGGGTCCGTGATGTCGATGGTGGCGTCCGCGAGGGAGATCGTGCTGCTCTTGGCGCCCACCTGGTGGATCATGCTCTCCTTCTTGTAGCCCGTGAGGCGGTTGCCGCGCAGCACGAAATACCGCTTCTTGGAGCCGAGGAAGCGCCTGCTGCTCGCCACCTTGAGCAGTCCCTGCGTGCACGTGAAGGGCAGGATGGCGCGCACCCAGATGACCGGCCCGATAAAGTTGTCGATCAGCACGTAGTCCATCTTGCTCGTGGAGATCGTGAGCTCCTGGTACTTGGAGCGCGAGCTCACGGTCACGATCTGCGAGCACATGATCTCGTCCTCTAATAAGTTAGTGTCCTTATTGACAAAGAGAAGGCGTTCGTGGTCGGTGAGCAGCAGGTGGAAGCGCTTCTTGCGCTTGAGCGACACGGGGCCGGCCAGCAGGATGCTCTCCCGGGTCTTGAGCAGGCTGTCCCAGAGCCGCATGAACGGCGACCGCACGATGGCCACGATCGCGTTGTTGTTCTTCCTCTTCACGGCGCTGCACACGTCGGGCCGCATGGCGAGCACCAGGTCCTTGAGCATCTCCACCTCCTTGGGGTTCAGCACGCCGTCGTTGCCCAGGCCTTCGCAGAACTCGAGCATCTCCTCCACCATCATGTTCTCGCCGTCGACGCCGCTCATGGCGGACGCGCCCGATCCGCGCCGCGAGCCGAAACCGTCGATGCTGCTGGGGCGCGGCGACGGCGCCACGGTGGACGCGAACGAGAAACGGTTGGTCATGACGCCCGTGGCGCGGCCGGGCGTGGGGGGCATGACCTTGGAGCGCGCGAAGACCACGACCATGGGGCGCGTGCTGCGGCTCAGCAGGCTGATGGCGCGGTTGTACTCGAGGCCGTTGATGACCTCCCCGTCCACGGCGTGGATGATGTCGAAGATGCGCACGCCGTGCGCCTCGGCGTAGCCCACGATGTTGGGGTGCGCCATGGGCAGGTCCTTGACGATGACGTTGACGTCGTCCGTGGTGATGGTCATGTTGAGGCTGGCGCCGCGGAACTCGACGGCGAAGAGCCCCTCGCGGCGGAACGGGCGGAAGAACTGGATGCTGAGCGGCCGGGTCTGCGTCTGCAGCATCTGCACCACGTTGTCGTAGCTGCGGCCGACGGTGCGCGCGCCGTTGACCTTGTAGATGACGTCGTTGGGCTGGATGAGCCCCGAGGCCTCGGCCTCGCCCAGCGCGCCGTCGGGCTTGCGCTTGAAGTGGTTGACGATCACGCTCTCGTTGTGCTCGCGGATGGTCATGCCGAGCGCGCGGTCCTGGAACACGACCTCGAACACCTCGCTGGTCTTCATGGGCGCCAGCGCCTCCGTCTTGGGCGACAGGCACAGGCACAGCGAGTCCTTGACGTTGGACAGCACGTCCTTGGTGATGTGCACGAGGCTCGAGTTGGCCGTGTCGATGAGGTCCACCCAGGCCTCGTCCGACACGCCGAACTGCGCGCGCAGCTGCGACTCCACGAGGCTCTCGAAGACCTGGTCGGGCACGTTCGGGTCCCACGAGATGGCGCGCACCGAGCCGTCGTCCAGGTCGATCACGCGGATGCTGCACGAGCCCGTCTGGTCCATGAGCTCCATGGCGGCGGCAGTACGTAGGGGGTTAGTACCTAGTAGGGCTTGCGCGGGGCCGCGAGTATTGGCGTGTGGGAAGAGAGGGCCGTGATGCAAAAAAAAAATTGTGGGGCGGCTCCACATAGTGGATGCAAGTCAAGGCGGCGCCAAGCAGACTCGTTGCGCCAGGGTACGGACCGGGCGTACCCCTACTCCGCGTCCGCTCCACCGCCACCCGGATTGGTGCACTGAAAATTTACGAAAATCCGAATTTGACAAAAATCCAAAAAGTCAACGCCGTCGTAGGCTCGCACTATCCTGCTTGTGCGATGCCTTTGAGCAGCGCGCACGGTGGACTCACCAACCAGGAGTGCACACCAAGCAAATCCGTTTAACCCGCAAGGGCCTTGCGGCAAGGCTGCTGAGTTGCCCACTGCCGCGTTAATCGGGGCCGAACACGCCGCGAAAGGTGGCACTACCCACTCTGCGCGAAAAATTTGACCCCGGACCCCGCTCTCAGCCTCTGACAGCCATACTCGATGGTTGCTGTATGTGCATGTAGACTGTGGATACACCGCCTCCGCCACGTGGCTGCGGTTACAGCGTCGCATTGCCGTGTTGCTGTCTGGCTGCGCATGTACCGCGCGATTGCCGGAAGTTGCCTTTTTTGACGTCGGTCCAACGTTGGTGACCCCGTCGTGACGGTCGTCGCGCCGCGAGCACATTTCAAATGCTGACTCTGCGCAAGATCCTGCGGGTCGTCACGCCCATAAGATCGCGTTGCCGAGAGGCTCGTTATCGAGGCGTTTGCAACGCGGCTAGCGCCGTGCGCGCCGCGACCAGGTCGGGATGCAGGGGCCCGATCCGAGCTGCCCCAAGCTCACACGAAATATTGGCGCGGCGAGGAAGCCGCGGCGGCGAAGCCCGCTGAAGTCCATCCAGCAGCGCCAACGTCAGCTGTCTGAGCCCAGGCAGCTCCACCATCTTCAGCTCCCAATTGTGTAGAATTGCGTCACGACACAAAAGCAGTCATAGAAGAGAGCTACAATGTGCCTCGTCATTCGACCGGCGCAGACGCGTTCAAAGCGTATGCATCGGGTATGTCCAATGCCTCAACTACATCAAAGCTAGCCACGCTGTCCCCTGTTCCTGGAACTGCAATAGCCGAGCGTGCGTCCAATAAAACCAATAAAACCCACATCTTTGACCTGCCTGCAAGTCAAAACCCATAACTGGGTTTAAAATTTGTCAGTAAATAAATCCCACTTTCGTGTATACCACATCATTCTGTGTACGCCACATAACCATTTCGCCATCCATCGAACCCGAGCCATTGACAAAGTGCACCATGAAGAGGGGACGGGTCGACGTCGGCGTGTCCAAGGAGCAGTACGAGGCGTCTCAAGCGGCGCCCGCCGCCGCCGACGGCGAGTCTGAAGGCTTCCCTGTCGCGGCGCCTAACGTGCTGAGGGCGCGCCGTATCGTGTCGGCCACGCCGACCTCGCGCCCGCAGGAGGCGGCGCGGCAGCTCGCGGCGCTCAACCGCGCCTTCGTGGACAACATTAAGGCGCAATGGGCGCACAACAAGGCCGACAGCTGGGCGCAGAACATGAAGGAGTACGTCAGCTACGCGCGCGAGATCGACGCCAAGTTCGGCGCGCGCGGGGGCCACTTGCTGACCTTCGGCAGCGGCGACTGCGGCCAGTTGGGCCACGGCGTGGAGGGCGAGGACGAGGATCTCATGGTCAAGTTCCCACGCGTGGTGCGCCCGCTGCTCAAGCTCAAGCTCAAGATCGCGCGCGTGGCCTGCGGCGGCCTCCACTCGGCTGTGATCACCACGGCCGGAGAGGTCTATACGTGGGGCTGCAGTGACGACGGCGCGCTGGGCCGCGACGGGGACGAGAACACCCCCAGCAAGGTGGACGGCTTCGGTCCGGAGCAGGCGACCGCCGTGCAGATCGTGGGCGGAGACTGCCACACGGCCGTCGTGACGCTCGCAGGCAGGGTGTACATGTGGGGCTGCTACCGTGACAAGGAGGGCAAGCAGTGGTGCGACGCGCCGTCGGCCAAGGCCGCGTTCAAGCAGAAGCAGACGCGCCCGTTCCTGATCAAGGCGCTGGACAATATCGCCGATGTGAAGTGTGGAAACGCCTTTAACCTTGCGCGCACAAATGACGGCCGAGTGTACTCGTGGGGATTGGGTGAAATGGGCCAGCTGGGCCGTAAGGTGGACGCGGAGATGAAGGACGCGGACGGAGAGTACAAGGTCGAGATGGTGTACAAAGAGCACCTGCAGCCGAAGCTTGTGATGCTCGGAAAGGACCAGCTTCCGGTGGTCAAGTCTATTGGATGCGGCTCGTACCACAGCATGTTCGCGTTGAGCTCGAACGGATACCTGTACACGTGCGGACTGAACAACTACGGACAGTTGGGTATTGGCAGCACTGACAACTGCTCCGAGCTGCAGCTTGTGGAGGATCTCAGCTTCAAGAACGTCGCGTTTGTGGATGGAGGCGAGCATCACTCCGTCGTCCTCACCAATGACGGCGACGTATACACGTTCGGTCGCGCCGACTCGGGCCAGCTCGGCATGCTCGACACCTGCAGCACCGGCGACTTCAAGGACCGTCCGCAGAAGGTGACGATCCCGAAGCCTAAGAACAGCGGCTCCAATGTCGTGCGCATGATCGCTACGGGCTCCAACCACGCGCTGGCGCTCACCGAGAGCGACGCGATTTTCTCGTGGGGATACGGTGATATGCTGCAGCTTGGCCACGGATTAGATCAGGACGAGAACAAGCCTCGCCAACTGAACTGGTCGAACGCCACGTATGGCAAGGAAGGCAAGAACAAGAAGTTTGGCGAGGCCGAGATTCTTCAGATTGAAGCTGGTGGTCAGCACAGCGCTGTGTTGGCATGCGCCAAGGAAGAAAAGTAGGTGCAAGAGAGAGAATCGATCACCTGCAGCCAGCTATGAGCGCGGAGCCTACGTAGTGCACGTGTGCATTTTGATGCCTAGACCGAAAGCGTAAACAAAATTTATTTGACCTTATCGGCGTGGAAATCAAGACGGCTTGAACGATTGATGTTTAGCGGCGTGACAAATACTACTGCAGTGCGAGGAAAAAGACGGAAGATGGCGTGCATTCCACATTAAAGTGTCAGCATCGGGCATTCCGGTTCACTGCTACAGTTTCGCAGACAAAGCCTCGTTTTACGTCGTAGTCGATCCAGCCATGCCTGTCGAGCTCTTGCTGAAGAAAATCACAGCCGAGATGGTGTCTTCAAAGTACCCAGCATCCACTCTAGGACTGTGCGTTTACATGGCGAAGAAGGACGGCGACTGGCTGGACGCGAGCGATATACCAGCCATAACACTTGATGAGAATCGCCACCCTGTTCTACTCGATGAAGGCGGAATAATGCAAGTCTTCGAGGAGATGGATGTTACCAAGTTCATTAACGACACCAGGTACTTCGGACCAAACTTTGAAGTGGGCGAGGGCGAAGTTCGCGTGCTGGTGGTTAACAGAACACTGCGGAATGCGCGTACGTATCTCGTCCCTAGCTGTTTATGTTAGCCTTGCTAATCCCTCTTAGCAGAACAGAGTACGATTAATGGTGCTCAAGGCCAGGCTTCACCCATTTCGTTGTTTTGGAGGTCATTGCAATGGACAGCGAAGACATTAGCGGCAAAAAAAGATGCCTAGCTCCTACGGATACGAAGATGCTGGGCGTGTATGCGCTAATTGGTGTTTCCGGTGTGCTGCCAATGATAATATCCTGGACGCCGATCTGGAAATTGCAGATGGACTATTTTGAAAGCATGCGTACGGCAGCCCGGACACTTATTGCTATTTCCCTTCGCAATTTGGTGGTCATTGCGATCATCCAGCGAAAACTCGCCCCGCAGCAACACCCAACGAAGCAATCTCTGCCATACATCGAGTGTAAACGAGTACTAACCAAAAATGGAAAGCAACAACGTGCTTGAGCAAGCGGGTCCAACTTAGTTTGTATTACGCGTGCCAGTACCTCGACAAGTCGCAGTGATATCACTCCAAAAATACCAATAAGCGGACACGCCGCGCCTCTGGGCGGGAGCTAAGCCTTCACTGGCCGGAACAGCGATCGAATTGACCTCCAAAATGACGAAAAGGATGAAGCCTGGCCTCCAGCACCGGTTACCTTTTTTACTACCCTTATTTCACCCTGACCGGAACTTTTACCCGGAACTCTTTCTTAGTGAAAAAGAGCGCATGTTTTCAATGACCTGAGAATAACCCGGAGAAGATATATTTGCCAAGTTCATGCGGGCATATATATCATCTACATCGCCATCTACTCTAAGAAACTATTATTATCCAAATCTCTCACAAAACTATACTTATCCGCAGCATTCTCGCATGGGAAGGCCCCAGGGGAAGGCCCCATGGCAATACTGGTAAGGCAGCAGCACATACCATCTTCCTGCTTTCCGCACAAACGCAGCTCCCTGTTCAACCACAACCAACTCTCGAGACGTCTAGATGACCCGCCAGGGCACTCGTGCCCAGCAAAAGATGAAGCGCTCCGTCCGTCGCAAGGTCGGCAATGATGCGAGTGGGAACACTCTCGAGTTGCAAGCGCTGTCCCTTGATGATCCATCTGACCAAGTCCAAGCTGCCGGTGATCACGTGATGCTACCCCCTGCTAGCCAGGAACCCATGCCACGAGCCAAGAAAAAGCGAGGGTCGAAAACGATCAAGATCTACAAGGGCTTTCGATATTGCAAGAACTGGTACTCGAAGAAGCACATTGCATATCGCTGCAGTACTTCGAAGACTTCTGGCTGTAAGGCCACGCTCAAAGTAACCCCGGCCGCTGTTTGGTGGGTGGAGGGTGAGCACACGTGCCGTCCGGTCCCGGTATTGAATGGGCAACTCAATGATGAGACCGACGCAATGAAACGAACTACAGATCAGCTAGCAACCCAAAATCCAACAATGCCAGAGGGCGACATTTGGGAGCAAGTATGCGAGGCGTTCTACGGTCCCGATAGAGAAGAGCTGTTAGACGGATTGACAGAGGAGCAAGTTATCGGGCGTATCCGTCGCATTCGCCGCCGATACTACGGTGGTGATATTCACGGAGTTGTGGAAGTCCCTCCCTTCTCCAAAGTGAAAGACTCGGCCATCCCATTCTTCCGGTTCCATTTGGTGACGGCCCACCCCGATTCTAAGGGCCCATCCTGCGCTGAAAGAGCTCCTACTCTACAACAGCGTATCTCTTTTCCTCGACGGTACTTTTCGATCTGTACCACGAGGATTTCGCCAGTGCTTGATCTTAATGGTGGATGACCCAGCGCGTAACCTGTTCACACCGGTATACTTCGTCCCAGACTGAGTCCATGTACGACGATATCCTGCATCTCATCTACCGCGACACCGGCAAAAAGCTCAATCCTACAATTGCCCATACTCACGCCGTGAGTGGAAACGTTTTTGGGTTTACTTTAGAAAAACCTGGCTTGAGCGATACTACATCACAGAGTGGAATGTGTTTGGTATCGCCAATACTATCGTGGCGCGCACAAACAACCCCTTGGAGAGGTTTAACAAGGAGATGAACGCCGCGTTCAAGCCCCACCCCAAGCTTCGACACTTTGTTTCTACAATTGCCAAATTTTCAACTGCTTACGCGCAGCGGCAAGCCAACATCACGCGAGATCTACGCAAGAAGAAACAGCGTCCACCACGCATTGAGTTACCGGCTGCCCCCGACTTAGCAACATTTGAAGTTCCGCCTGAGTCGGAAGATGAAGGTGACTATGATGAGCTTGGCGACCAGTCCGACGGCTCAGTCGAATCAGCTGATCACTCTTCGGAGGAAGATGAGCCACCCCGAAATGCGCAGTCGGCCGAAGACTTGCAGCAGGAAATTGATGAGCACGCTAACACTTACAACTTCTTCCTTGACTCGGACAGTGACCACGATCCAGATGAAGAAAATGGCGTGGAGGAGTGGTCATTCTAGCCCCCAGACTGCGATCATGCTGCGACGCGCTGAATCGTCGAGCTACGCACCTGCATAACTCAACACACACCATAACTTACATTAAACACTGCTATTAAATATCACTTCAATGCACACTCTTGCTTTACCCGGATGTTTGGCCTGACCTGGTGTTTTACCCGGGAAAAAGGTCCGGGTAAAAGTTCCGGTCAGGGTGAAATAAGGGTAGTAAAAAATCCTACCCCAGCACCAACCTTTTTGCCTACCGTATTTTGCAAACAAAAAACCGAGTTGGCAAGAGCAAACAAAATAACTAGGGGGCGAGAATACATACGTACGCGCATTCCGCGGTGTGTTCTTAACCACGAGCAGGTGAACTTCGCCCGCACGCGCTTGAAAGTTTTGTCCGAAGTTCCTCGCGCAGTTGATGAGGTCGTGATTAACCATTTGCTCGAAGCCTTGCGCTTGCCGCCCGTTTACATCGAGTAGGACCGGGCGATCCTTCTTATCAAGTGCTGCCTTGTCGCCCACATGCAGCCACTCGCCGTCTTCCTTCCTCGCCAGGTAGACCCGCACTTTCACTGGTAGTCGTCCCACCGCGGCTGCAATCCTCGGCACGAACAACCCGGCAAACTGGGTTGGGTCGACTTCGACGTAGAACGAGACATTATCTTCGAAACTAGCAAAACATCTGAACGGTAGCCATTCTTCTTCGTCCTGCAAATACTCAAATGAGAGATGCTGCACATGATGCACCACTCAAGCTACTACATGTACAGTATATCACTACAGAAACTTTGTGGAAGTGTCATGCCCCGTAGTCCATCAATCGAGCGATGGATGCCCTTCGACCTATTACTACGGTACATGGAACTTTGACAACCTACAGTGTAGATGTACCCATTACACTTTTGATGTCACTATTGTCTTGATATCTCAAACTTAAGTTCTATCTCTTCAGTCGAGCTAAGAACTGGTTTGCGGGCTTGATGTTCGCAGTTAGGTCGAATTTTTTACTGTACTTCGCCAAACCTGCACAGTAGAAAACTACTCGTAGTACTACACTTGCCGTAGAAGAGCGTTGCACGAAGAAGTTCATGATTTCTAGCACATGCTCTTGGTTTTTGTACTGTGAAATACCGTGCGTCCCTTTGCTGGGACGCTTACGCTGCGCGATCTGCCGTGGCGGATCTACATGAATGTACTGCTATTCATGCTGCATACTGCGCAGCTTTCAAGCTGCCTGGTATCAAAATTAATTATCGAGTGGCCACTTTTTCATTGGTGAACTATGTACTTTTGATGTTGAAGTGCGTTGGCACTCGACTGCGGACTTAGCGTAAGGCACGACCTAAAAAACACTACTTTTAGGCATTGTCGGTATCATATTATGTAGAACTTGTCTTTCTGCTTTCCGTTTTGCTCCTGCTTTATGCTTCTCTGCTTCTCTGTAGAACCTACCTATATTGACGGCACAGGCAACAACCGACACGTCATAACAAACTTTACGGGCAGCCTCTGGGATTATTGATGAACTTGATCTCTTACGTTTGTCCGTCTTCATCGAGTACATTTATTGCTTACAGTATGCTCTTCGCCACTAGCGAAGGCATGCCATAAAGCGAGATTTGCCGTAGCTTATATCGTCTACGAACCAAAACTTTGACCAAGTACGAGTGGCGATCACCCGTGGAGGAAGTCACGCATGATGAGTTGCTCAAGATTAGGAAGCAAAAGCGGAATATATTGACCTTATAAGCAATGAAAGTATCGACTGGAGGGGCCATACAGCTTATATCGGCTAAGCACAACACGTAAGGTCATCGTAGTGCACTTCCGTGGGCGTAGGCTGCTAAAGCATAAGCCCCAGCGACAGCGCGCCAACGACCAGGAGCACGACAAGCTGCTGAGGCGTTCCAAAGCTCACCGTAGCAGCCAGGCTCGTGTGCCGGCGCTTCTTCGAGTACGAGCCCGAGCCCGAAGACGAGGACTCGAAGGGCTTGCGCCGCTTCATCGGGGACGGAGCTGGCGTAGTCGTGTCACACGCCGCCACGAACCTGTCGAGACCAGCTTGCAGAGTCATGTTCTTCTTGTCGAAAGCCGCCTCGCAGCGGGGAATGTCCAAGTCGTCAATGGCTCCGATCATGGTCTGGCAAGCCTTTGACTTGCACAGAGCCGACTGCTGCTTCGTCGCTAGACTCGAACGCGGCGGGATCTGGAAGTTGAGATTGGTGTCCGTGCGGCACTTGTTCACTTGAGCAGAAACTTCATTGAAGACGCTCAGCTCCTTGTCCGTGCACGGTTTGGCGTCGACACTCCAAGCAATCGCCAACAACAGCAGAGTCGCCGAGAGAGTGGTGAATCGCTCCATGATTGCTGTACAGCCTCCGAGGTGTCGTTGAGTCGGTGAAGAGCTTGTTGGTATCGCTTGCGTGGGGAACACAGTCGATTAGGAAGTGAGCCGATTCAATGCCAGATCCTGGGGAGTCTTGAGCCATCCATCCCCCAAAAATTGAGTAGATCAGCGCTCGCGCTCGGGGCCGAACAGGAAAACTCGGAGCCTTTCAAAGAACGCGGCGACCGGTCCCAGCTCGTCGCTGCCTCCGTTGTGTGCGTGTGGTACATTATGCCGGCACTTTCGACAGGTGAGGTGGAGACAGGTCTCCAGCACTTCCGGGCGCCGCCCTTTTCGCTTCCTGCCTTTCCGAGTATTATCCTGCTGAACTGGGGCCGCGGGAGGTGGTTCCGTCACGTGAGAGGAAGATTTACGGGAATAGCGAGCGCTCGCACTCCTGGAGATCGACACTTGTCCTGCGGTGGCGGGGTGCACCTCTGCAATGATAATGGATGAAAGCTGCTTGAGCAGCTCCTCCTTCTCGTGCTGCAGGAACACGTTCTGCTCCAGCAGCGTCTCGGACTTGTGCTGGAGGTCCTCGATACTGGCTTGGGCGATGCGGGCCGCGGTCTCGAGCTCGTCGTTCACTTGCTCGAGTCGTTGGATCTTCCACTTCATCTCTTCAAGCTGCGTCTGCAGCATGTGCTCTCGACGTTGAGAGCTCGAGAGCTCCTCCTTGGCCCCATTGACACTGTCACTCAGGTCGCTCTTGTCTCGCTCAAGCTGCAACGTCACGGCCTCGAGCTGCTGCGTCTTCTTCTCGTACCGGTCGACCTCGATCTCAAGCTCGCGCTCGTACTCGCAGCTGGACTTGACGTACTCGTCGTGAGTGCGTTGCAGCTGGGCCAGCTCTTCGGCCTTGCGCGCCAGGAGCTGCGCCACGGCTTCCACGCCCATGTCCAGGTCGAACGGCTCTTCAAGATCGTCGTCCGTGTCTACCGTGCCGACGCTGCCGCGGCGGTTCTGGTCGGGCGACGAGGGCTTGGCCATGGCCTTGGCGTGCTCTGCGTCTCGAAGATCCATGGTCGCCGCCGTCGCCATTGACTCGGAGTCAAATGATCAGGATCTCGCTCAATCGGCGCCCGCGTCTCCTCGTCCAGCGTTGCGCGCCACCAATTCCAAGTGCATCCCCCTGATTCGACTCGCCCCCAGCATACTGTAGTTGTATTTCTGAAGCAGCAGGCAGATAAGAATGCTGGACGACGCCATCGTCGCATGGCTCTATTGACTCGGCCAGACCTTACTACGGGTAGTGCCTATTCTAAATGGCTCTGGCCATGACAGCAGTTATTTATGCGATCCCTCGGGTTTATGCTTGGTTGGGGCTTTGGCTTGACTTCGAGAGTTCCTCAAGCGGCGGCGTGCCTCGAGTCGTACCAGCGGAAGACGCGGTGCGTCATCTCCACACCCAGGAACAGCGAGCCGTTGGCCGGGAACGCTCGCATCACGGCCGCCGACCAGCCGCGGTAGAAGCCGTGGATGCCGAACTCCGAGTAGACCGCGCGGAAGGCGCCGCGCAGCGACAGCGGGCCCGTGGAGCTGGCCGTCTGCATCCGCGACTTGAGCACGTCTACCGGGAACATGATGGCCCAACTAGTAGCACCGGCGAGACCACCACTGGCGAGAATGGTGACGGGGTTGAGATCATTCTTGGACTCCTTGCCCAGCGCCTTAGCCGCGCCCGATGTGATGGCTTGGTACGATCCGAAGAAGAAGAAGCTGAACGGCACGTCGCGCAGAAGCAGCGCCGAGTACCCCCGGAACAGACCACGGATGCCGTCCTCTTTGGCTACCTGCACCAAGCAGTCCAAGGGTCCGTGGTAGCCTGCAACAAACAGAAGTATCCATCCACGCCGTCAGTATCTTCATCTATTTAGTCGCATGACTGCAGCTGTTGTGCGATTTGCAACGTACGTCCTTCGCCCAAGTGGCCGCGCTGGAACTGCAGCTTGCACTTGATGTTCTCCGGCACCGTGATGGCCTGCACAACACCAGCCACAGCATGATCAGTACAATGTCGTAGATATCCCCAAATTGGAGAGGCTCGTATCCTACCGTGGCGGAGAAGCAGCCGGCGAATCCCCCCATCAGCGCCTCGTCCAACGTCGTCAGCTGGTACTCGCCCTCGTGCGCGGCGCGCTGCTTGGTGTGCAGCGCCAGCACGGCGCGCTTGGCGAAGCCGTTGGCGCTGAAGAGCACCGAGTTCTCGATGATGGAGCTGGACAGCGCCGGCACCGCGCCCTTCCACAGCGCGAAGACCCCCTCCTCCGTGGCGATGCGGCGGAAGGCGTCGGTCACGCCCTTGTACGCGTTGGCGGTGCCCTGCGTCTGCAGCCGCACCTTCACCACCTCGAAGGGCAGCCCCGCGTACACGCAGCAGAAGGCGCCCATGACGCCCGAGAACGTCTCGCGCGGGTCCAGCATCGTCGGCAACTTGAGTGGCGTGGCGCAGGGCGCGGCTCAATGAAGGAGTGGGCTCTAGGCGCAGTGTACCGCTTCATACAACTGCAATCTGCGAGCGTACGTAGTGTGCCCGTCCCCTCGTGACGCCGTCGACGTCATGTGATGAGTTTTCATTAGCTAAAATTATTTCGTTTCAACCAATAGGAAAATCGGTTTGGCAGTAGCGTTCATCCACACACACGTACGTCCATTCGACTGACGTACGTCAACGGGCACGATGCTGCAGCGGTTGATGCTCCGGCCGCGCGGGTCGGCGCTGGCGGCGTCTGTGCTGCGTGCTGGCGCCAGCAGCGACGTATTCACGCCAGCTTTCGGCGCTCGCTCGCTGCGCACTGCGCGCGGAGGCTCGCGCCGCCACAAGGACCACATGGCGCGCATCGCCAAGCTCGAGGCGCTGGCCCAGCAGCGCGAGCAGGCGCGCATGGAGCAGCGACAGCGCGTGCTGGAGGCGCGCGCCATGCCGCGAGCTATCCCAGCCTACATCCGCGTGCGCGACCTGGCCAAGACCATCCGCCAGCCGCTGGACAAGGTGCTCAAGCGCGTGGTGACCAAGTCGAACCGCCGCTTCCAGCTCAAGGCCAAGGACCACCCGCCCGCCGAGTTCGGCAGCGTCAAGAAGATCGTTCTGCCGTTCAGAGTAGCTCAGGATGTGGCTGAGCAGTTTGGCGTGCAAGTGGCGTACGACGACGTGGAGCCGCAGCTGCTGGACGCGGCCTCGGACGTCCCCGAGGAGCTGCTGGGCGTCCGGCAGCCCGTGATCGCCGTTATGGGCCACGTGGACCACGGCAAGACGACGCTCATGGACACTCTGAGGCGCCAGATGAAGGCAGGACTGAAGCAGATTGCGCCCTACGAGAAGCACGGCATCACCCAGAAGATCAACGTATGCGAGGCGGCGCTGACGCCCGACGTGAAGGCGACGTTCTTGGATACGCCTGGACACTTTCACTTCTTTCGTATGCGCTCGAGCGCGGCGCAAGTGGCAGACGCGGTGCTGCTGATTGTCGCAGCGGATGAAGGCGTCCTGCTGCAGACGGAGGAGTCCATTGGTGCGATTGAGGAGGCCGGACTGCCTGCTGTGATCTGCATCAACAAGGTGGATCTGCTGGGTGAGGACGGAGACGAACAGGTTACGAAGATCGTGGACGAGCTGCGCTCGTTTGTCGCGCTGCAAGACAGCCCCGTGCTGACGATCTCGGGCAAGACCGGAGCTGGTCTGGACGACCTGAAGCACGCGGTTTGGGAGCTGGTGACTGGACTCGCTGACGAGCAAAGGCTGGATGCCATGGTTGGATCGGACACTCAGGCCGAGGGGCTCGTGCTCGAGAGCGTGGCCTTGAAGGGGCGTGGAACGGTGCTACGTGTGCTGATCAAGAATGGCGAGTTGGCAGCCAAGCAGCACTTCGTGGCCGGCATGATTCACGGCGTGGTGCGCAACATGCGCGATGCTGAAGGACGCGAAGTCAAGCGCGCATTGCCTGGCACAGTTGTCGATATCACATACTCCAACAAATCCAAGAACGTGGACGCTCCAAACGAGCACGGCTTCTTCGTGCTCCCGGAAGCCCGCGCAAAGCAGGTGATCGAACAGAGGTACGTCTTGTTCAAGGATAACTTGCTGCCAATTCTTGCTGACATTTTTTATTGCTGCTGTAACAGGGAACTTGCTTTGGAGTTCAACGACTGCCTGCTACCTGACGATGGCGGTGCGCTCACCACGGGCACTGATGCCGAATACACGGAGGCAGAAGAGGTCGACCAGGGAGAGTCGGACGTTGAGGAAACCAGCGACGAAGTCGAAGAAGAAGATGACGACGTCATTGATGAGAACGATCTGATTGAAACCAAGTCGATCATTGTGAAGGCTGACGGCGCTGGATCACTTACCAGCATCCAGGACACTGTGGATGAGATGCCCGGCATTTCGGTACGGCCATGCAGAGGAATTGCATGATATTGTCAAACCATACTAACCGTTTGTTGTTGATTGCAGACTGTGCGGCTGGGCATTGGCAATATCTCGGCGAAGGACATTGACGTGGCGATCAATGGCAAGTGCCCGATCTTCGGCTTCAATGTGAAGCTGCGCAATCGTGAGGCAAAGCTGGCTACGGAGAGGGGCGTACGCGTTGTGCTGCACTCGACTGTGCATGAGTTGATTGAGGATATCACTGCTTTCGAGCAGATGGGATCTGAAGAGATTGATGAAGCAAACGAGTAAGGTGCACAATCAGATTGCTCACATCATAGACATTCATCTAGAGACCACAACCTTTTTCCGCTGCAATTGCTGCATTTTGTTGTGCTAACTGGGAACTGGGACGAGTCATTGGGAAGGTGTTGTCAAGTATGACAAAATGCAAGACAGTTAGGTTGAAGTCCTTGAAGTGCGAGCTGGTTGCGAGGTTCCGCGTCAGTCTTCATTTGGGCGGGACGATGAAACGTTGGAGCGAGGTAGAAGAGGGTTCACTTGCTCGTGCCTACGGCGGAGTGCTGTCAGGCATGGCGAGCGGCTGCCGCCCTCCACCAGACCGTGTGTATGCGGAATTTATCCGCTGCAACGGTGGCGCAACAACGCGGTCTCGTAAAGCAGTCGTCGTGAAAGCTGGAGCGCTCTGGTCGGCGTGTCGGGCAGTTCGTGCCTTTGATCGTCAGCGCAGTCGTGGACAGCGCCCATGGTTCAGTCTGGGCCTCGCGGAGAAACGGGTGCAGAGCAGACGGATGAGGAGCAGCAAAGGGCTGGTGTCACTCGCTGAATCTGTCTACGGCATTTTTGATGATATCAGTCCGTCGAGAGCTGCTGAGGCTCCACGACGTCAGCAAGTTCGAGAAGCGCCATCAGAGCAACCGGCCGAAGCTGCTGGGGTTCCACGTCACCAGCAAGTTCGAGAAGCGCAACCAGAGCAACCGGCCGAAGCTGCGAAGCCGCACGGCAGTGAAGCTCACAAGGAGCGTCATCTGGACTTGAACTCGCCGCACGAATGGCCCAGCCCGAAGAATCGTCACCTAGAATCTGCATGCACGAGCGACGCTCGAGTCCGATGAGGACGATGAGGAGTACTCGCCTCGGAAGCCGTCGCTGAGGAAGGAATCGGGGCATGGGTACGAGGATGTCCTCAGGGGCGTAGTTACGAGACAGTATGGGTAGTTTGCCGAAGTGGAGCAGAAGCTGCGGACAAAAAGGTCCGACAACATGGCGCGAGTGAACGAGTACGTTCTGGAGCGCGTGAAGAGCAATCCCCCGGCCACGCTCGCAGGCGCCCGCCAGATTGAAGATTTCCTCACGCGCCAAGGCGAATACCTGCTGGAAAGTCTGGAGTTGATGGACAAGCAGGACGAAACGGAGCGGTTCGCACTGCGCTGGGGGTAGCGTGCTGTGGGTGGAGCAGCATTTCTTGCGTGTATTGCAGTGTTTGTGTTTGCTGCTGTAGGAGGATTATTTGAATGCATCTTGTGATCATTTACCCACTCCCTCTTCCTTTTGCAGATACAGATTAAAGCGTGTACATGTCCTGAGCATCTCGTAGCATTGCAAGTATCCCTTCAGACAAAATGGGTTCAAAATGGAGCATACTGAAATCAAGATATATTTCACCCATAGTCAATTCAAGAATCATTTTCTCTCCATTCTCATATTGATTTAGAGCGGATCACCACCATGATGGCGTTCGGGGACGACCCGGACGACGGCATGTCGGAGCGGCTGCTGGGGGAAACCGAGGCGTCCGCCAGCTCCGCGTCCACCGCGCCCCTCACGGACGACTTCGAGCTCATCTCGGAGCGGGAGACGCTCGTGTTCGAGGACGATTTCTTCCGCCAGCAGCAGCGCCTCGGCAAGCGCGGAGGCTTCTTCCAGACGTATCTGATGGAGAAGATCCAGCCCGGATCAGGTAACCGCACGCACAGCTTCATGCTGCCTTATGTATGCACTGCTAATTGCTCACTCACTACCGGCTATTGCTGTGATGCAGTGAAAGGATCCATGTTCACGATGACCGTCGCCATCGTTGGCGCCGGCGTCTTGGCGCTGCCCTACGCCGTGCAGCAGGCGGGACTGGTGCTGGGCATCTCGTTGATTGCGCTGGGGGCAGTCGCTACCAACTTTACGTTGCGGCTGCTGCTGGAGTGCTCGGACCTGGGGCAGGCGCGATCCTATATGGACTTGGCTTCGGCCACTGGAGGACGCAAACTCGCGGGCTTCACGCAGCTGGTGGTGTGCATGAACCTGTTCGGGACGAGCATCGGCTACCTCGTGGGAAGTGCTGAGCTTATTCAGTTGGCGTTGCGGACGTTCTTGGGGAGCTCGAGTCAGAGCATCTTTCTGGATCGGCAGGCACTGATTTTGATGCTGACGGGGCTGTTGGTGCTGCCGCTGTCACTACTGAGGAGCTTGGAGTCGCTGAGGTTTTCCTCGCTGTTTTCGATTGTGTGCATTGTGTTCATGGCGCTGGTGATTGTGATCAAATACTTCCAGTTCGTGCACGAAGGGCTGGCTCCGACAATTGCGTACCAGTTCAAGCACTTGCCGCTGTTCGACCTCCGCCTCAGCCACTTGCTGCGAGCGGTGCCGCTCGTGGTCTTCTCGTATACTTGCCACCCCAATGTGCTCCCCATCTACTTGGTGCTCAAGCGCCGATCCAGCAGAAGGATGTACAAGGTCATGAATCGGAGCATCGGCATCGCGACGACCGTGTACTCGCTGTGCGGCTTCTTCGTGGTGGTTACGTTCGGTGAAGCCACCAGGTCCAATTTCCTCAAGAACGACTACCACGGCGACGGCGCGGTGATCGCCGGGTGTCTGGGCTTCAGCATCGCTCTCATCCTCACCGTGCCGCTGTTCGTCCACACGCTCCGAGACAACATCCGCGAGGCGCTATTGGCGAACCGAAGGCTGGACTTGGTGCGCCACGCAGGGCTGTCGATGTCGCTGGTTCTCGCCGCGCTTCTAGTGGCGCTAGGCTCCGGCGACATCGCTTCCGTTCTGGGAGTGCTTGGTGCCACGACGAACCCGACGATCTGCTTCATGCTGCCGGCGTTCTTCATCTTCCGTCTCGGCGGCAAGAACCACCGCGCCAGCCAAGCCATCGCGCTGTTGATGGCTGTCGTCATGACCGTCGTGAGTGCGCTCAGCCTTCTGCAGCAGATGCACCTCATCGCCTATTAGCATTAAGCTTATAAACACCCCAGCCTTGGGCCCCACGTACGTCAGCAGCAGTTGTTGAAGTTCGCTTACTCACCGTATCCACTTGCTCATTGGCGGATACCGAATCTTATCCCGCCCTTCCATTCGTCGAAAAGAGACCGATACAAAAGTCCAGTTGAACCCGGACCATCACTCCGACAATTCCGCGATGGCGAGCAGCGACGCCGAGGCGCTCGTGCTCGCGCTCGGGGAGCTGGCGGTCTCGCTGCGCAAGCGTCGAGGCGGCGGCAATGCGGAGAAGCGCGCGGTGCTCAAGTGGCTGCGTGGCTTGAGCGGCGAGGAGCTGGCGTCGCTGTGCTGCGTGGAGGACGTGGGCTTCGTCAAGACGCTGCTGCACATGGCGGCGCGCTCCAGAGGCTCCAGCGGCGGCGTACAAGAGTTCCAGCTGCTGCCACAGACAGTCGGTGCGGGTAGCGGTGTCCAGAGCAAGCGCACAGCGACCAAGACGCCGCCCCGAACGGCGCCAAGGTGAGAATTAAAGACGTTCGTGTTAAGGTTCGAGGAGTTTGTGTGACGTTTTATTCGGTGGTTTGGTGGACTTTTTACTAGGGAATTTGTGAAGCGGCCGGTGGTGAAGACTGCGGACGGAGACGTGGTGGGGAGTTTCTGCTCGAGAGAGTATGAGGAGAGCAGTCGGAAGCTGCTGAGTGGAATGAGAGTGCTCAATACGCTGCAGTCGTGCGACACTGTGGCGTTGTCGATGGAGTTTTTCCATCCCGTGGAGAGGAAGAAGGGCGCGAAGTTTGCAGAGTGTTTCCAATTGATGGAGGTGATCTCGCGGGGTGCTTTCTTGATCGAGTGTCCGCCAGAGTCGACGTTGAAGAATCGCGTGTGGGGAGAGACGAAGGTGAGGGATGCTGCTGTGCAATATGCGGAGGGTATTTAGTGCGTGTAGTTAATATCGTGTATGTGAGTGACAGTGGCTTAAGGAGCAAGGATATTATTCACTGCAGGCGTTGTTCGTCAATCAAATTGTGCGTGTAATAGTAGATGGAGACATGGGTGCAGGATTCGAGGTGTTTGCTGTCCCGAGGTTAATGCTGACTTTGTTCGAATGGTGAATTGTTAGGAACTCAATGTTTGGGCATTTTGGAAACAGCGCGTGAAAGATGCTAGTACGAAAATCCCCTTGCAAGGTCTTGCGTCCAAGCTTCATTTAGTTCGTGAGTGGGAAGCTGCAAGTGACGCGCAACGGACGGCTGCCTTGAAAGTGCTAGGCGACAAGACAATTTCGCACCTTCGCGATTTAAAGCAGTCGGCGCCGAAACATGAAGCTGCGGCGGCAAATTTCTTAGCGGCGCGGTCGTCCTTGGAAGCTCTGATGGACATATTGAAAGTGTTTCGACAAAGTGTGAGCCGAGGCGTGTCTGTGGATATCTGTTTTACAAGCTCGTTTGAAGACGCAATCGCCACCCCGCAAGCAACAGTGATCAAGTTATTGCTTGCAGAGCACCTCCAAGAGCAATGCTCGTTGCTGCTATGTGAAAAGTTGTCCAAGGAGGAAGAGGTGTCCTCCGTTACGGCTGCAGGTGTCACTCTCACCCATGGCGAGAAAGTCGTGGAGAGTGGAAACAAAACTAACGCTAATCACTCCCAGCGGCGACGTGCAAGCCGCAAAAAGATGATGAAACTGAGGAAACGTGAAAGTGAATTCCGCGCAGCTCAGCAGACACGATTTAGCTGCGTACTTCATGAACTTTGTGAACACTTCCGCAGGAAACAAGTAGAAGCGCTTGCGTGTGTCGATACCGCTTTACGAGATGTCATTGGTACAGCTGTTGACCGCAGTCAGCTCACTCCAGGTGGATGGAGCACTACCTCAGTGCCTACAGTTACGGATAATGTTCATCCCAAGCAAAAGAAGAAAAGGAAGAAAGCGAGAAAGAAGAAGTCTGGCCAAGTGGATGGCCGCCTGAATGATGAGTCGCCGCAATCCCCTACAGCACGGAGCTCTTCATCGATTAAAATTCACTCTCATCGCCTAAGCGTCGAAAGGGACTCTGGTGAACACAGTGGTGCCACCACCGGTTCAGACTCATCGCCATCTCAACATGATCGGCCGCGTCTTCTGGACTGTGATAGTGACAGTGGAAGTACCCATGATGATGGTCCACGGCTGAGTTTCTTCTCGAATGTTGGTACGACTGGGACAGCGGCGTCCTCAATAGCCTCAGCTCCTGCGCTACCACTATCGACGTTTGGATCACAGCCGCTTTATTCCTCGACAACTACTCCATTTTTCCTCTCTCTGGCACCGCGCGATCACCATGTACAGTCACGAGTTCCTCGCCGAGCTATCGATGATGATGAAGAAGAAAATCAATCTTCACCGGAAGCACCCACAGATGCTGTTCACGAGGTATCGTCGACTTCGGAGTCGTCAAACTTCGAGTGGTATCTACCATCCGTCTTCTCGTTACAGACTTCAGCTCATCGAACCGTTTCCCCAACTCCTGCATTGGATTGGCATTTCAACCACTGGCAATTTAAGACCCCAGAAAGCGGCATTTCAGACAAGGGTGTGTCGTCATCTGCCCCTGCAATGGATCCCCCACCTCCGCCTTCATCTTCCTCATCAACTTCTTCGGCTTCGTCACGGTTTGCTAACACGAGGATATCTGGGTCTACGAGAAAATATTCCTTGGCGTCATTCTCGAAGATAGCAGGAATGGATGCAACCAGGCGAGGATCAACTCAAGTATCTGACCACGATAGGCAAGGTTTGACGGTCGCATCGATTCGCGAGCATGGCGATGGTACATCCAGTGTCGCGGACAGTGACAACGAGTCCGACTTTCTGTATCGGGAAGGGGGCTTCTTTGATCGCCAACGCGCTATCAAGCGTCGACGAAGGCCGTGGCCCTTTAGTTATGCTCACGAGGATGACGAGGAGGAGATTGCCGAAGAGCATGATGCTCGTAAAGAGGGGCGTTCAAGTATCGATGAGAGTCCAAAGCGGTGTTTTATATCTGCAACTGGGAAGGGTGATGCGTGGACAGAATGTGCTCACTGCTGCAAGTGTGCGTGTCATCGTGCTGCTGACCCTCCGAGTAAATGTGACGAGGGCGAAGCGGATAACAATCTCAACAACGTTAGCCGCTGCGAATGTGGTTCTGCAACGGCGGGCTCGTCCGTTAAGACGGAGAAGCCTGCTGATAGTGATGCCCTCGCAAAAATCACGGCTATAATGGAGCGGATGAATCAGCTTGAGGACAAGCTGGCCGAGAACACCAAGGTGGGCTTCTAGTCAGAGTGTTCAACTCGTTTCCTGCGTCATGTTCTAACGTGTTGCTTATCTATTTAATGTAGGCTATGGATGAACAAGCGGCTAACGCATCCTCGGAAATTGCAACGCTAAACCAAACTGTGGCAGCCCTGACGGTCCAGCTACACAACGTCGAAAATGACCTACAGGAGTTGCAACTCCAACAAGCGTCTGGCTCTGCCAATACGGGCGGATTGGATGATTCGTCTCTGGGCAATGCAAGCTCCTGTACGTCTTCTCCAGCTCCGTTTTCGCCAGCTCCATCGTCCATGGAGCAGCATGTGGATAGTCCGCCTACCGCTGCGCCTCCTCTTCCAGAAACCTACGCTACAGCGAACTCCGCAATGGGACCATTCGTGTCAGTTCCGCTTTCCGTACTTCCTCCTCGGAGTAAGCTGCACTGGGATCTGTGCGAGTTCGCTGCGCAGCTACAGGCAGACAGCGACGCCCGCCTTCCTGCTCAGCTTGCAGCACAACGGTTGTGTACGGCGACAGTGCAATCATTGTGGCCGCGTGCCCAAGTGCGGCCATACGGGTCACATGTATCGCGGCTTGTGCTCCCTTCAAGCGATGTCGATCTCGTAATCTGTCTGCCGAAGGTTCGTCGTGATGCGCCTGCTGATGCTGCTGGCGTACTGGAAGGGCGTAATGCCATCAAGGAGACGTGGCAGCAGAATCTCGCGCGGAAGCTGAGGCAAGAACCATGGGTTGTGCGTGATTCAGTGAAGACACTACCCCATGCTGCTGTTCCGATCATCACACTGCTCACAGCGCCGCCGTACAATGTGAGGCTTGATATCTCGTTTGAAGGCCCCGGCCATAATGGGTTGGCCACCAACGACGTCGTGCTCTCACTTCTCCACGAGTTCCCGCCGCTGGCGCCGATGATGCTCGTATTGAAAAGCTTCGCCATTGAGCGCGGGTTAGCTGTTGCTTACTCCGGAGGACTCTCGTCCTATGCGTTGCTCTTACTTGTGGCTCGCTATCTCCAGGAGCATAGCGACACGATGCCGAATGGCTTTGCAAATGCGTCTCGCGCGGTGCAGCACAGCTTATCGACGGTGCAGGCGGGCGTGGCTGACTTCGGTCTTATGCTAATGGGGTTTTTGGACTTTTACGGCAATCGGTTCGATCCTCGCACTACTGGTATCAGCGTGGCTTCGCGGTGCTTCCTTAACCGAGAAAGCACCTTCATGGCAGGCATGGGCGACCCGCATCAAGTGCCGCACCAGTATCAGCAACAGTACGCTGCGGATGACGCTGCTGTGGACGATCGCACAAGTCAATACGGATACGCGCAGCATTGGCAAGTACCTATACAACCACACGGGCAGTCGCTATCACCAAGTGCCGAGGCGGCTTCTGCTCAAGGTTTACGGCGGTATGGTTACCGCTCATCGTTAGACTTGCCGGCATCTCGAGCACTGGACGGCATGGGTGCCGCGACAGGTTTGCTGGACTACCAGCAGTTACAACAGCAGACGTACGATCCGCACAAGTTTGACCCAGTGTTTATCGAAGACCCCTTATGTCCAAGCAACAACGTAGGGAGAAACTGTTTCCGCATCATGCAGATCCGACGCGCGTTTTCGGCGGCACATCTTGCGTTGCTCGCTGCGTCACGGGATCCGACGGTGTTTGCGGAGAACCGAATGGGGCTAGTGGCTGGCGTTGGACTCCACCCGGATAATATTCTCCGCTCCATCTTAGGACCTGGTGCTCTGGTTAATGCGAAGCCTGATGCCGCCACGTCTGCGGCAGTCGGTGCGACGACGTATACTGGTGCAGTAGAGCACCCGTACGCGTTCCACCCTTACAACCACCACCAGCAGCAACAATATGCGTATCACCACCATCATCATCACCAGCCGCCGCGACAGGCTTATCACCACGTTGGAATTCCGCAGCCGCGCACTGTGAGCGCGTATAGAAACGATCCAGGCTCACGACGACACAGTGAGAGCGAGAGTGAAAAGCTGACAACACGCTCAGCAACTTCAACGGCTAGCCATCATCATGAGTACACGCGAAAGAGGCACGTAGGCAGTCCACAGCTTGCCCCTCAACACCAGGGCGGTGATAACCATGCCGACGTACAAGCGCGCCTGCTTCGTCAAAGCTCCACGGAACGCGCTTACCCGCCTCAGCGTCAATCGTCTCTCAAGCAGATTCACGGCCAGAGGACGGTGAAAGTGCTGAGCCGAAAAAATAGTGAGCGGTCGATGAGCTTGTCCTTAAGCTTTGCGGACGTTGTGCGAGATGGCGGGGGCGCTGGCGTAGGGGTGCCCAAGACGTCACCTCTTGCGCTTGCTCGACCGCCACGCTTTTCGCGTGACGACATGGCACTGGAGGAGAGTATCAACGAGCGGTGGGAGACAAAAGATGACTCGGAATTGAAGTGAGCACGATGAAGTGAATATAACGCATCAATTGGATAAATAAGGCGTGGTCACTCGATGAGAAGGCGTAAGGCGGCGATAACCAGACCAGCCATCAGCAAGCCCGCCGGAGATACTGCCACGAGCCTCAGTTCGAAGTCCCAAAACTGTAGACGAAGCCCTGCACGTACAAGACAACCAACCCAAAGCAAAGGGTGAATCGAGCAGTTCGTGGATAGGTAACAACTGCCGCACGCAGGAAGCCTACCGATTTTTCGCGCTTGCGTTCGATGATGTCGAGCTTCATCAGCGTCTGCAGGATCTCCTTGCAACGTATCACGGGCAACCCACTGTGCTTGACCAGGTCGGTGATAGAACTGTGACAGGAACACAGAACCACAGGACATTAGCGCTAGCTCAGTTACAACAAGAAAGGAGAGAGCAAACTGCCCACATACATAGCGCAGTGACGGTTCTTGAGGTAGAGCACGATGTTCTCGAGCTTCTTGAGCTCCGCCGGGCTCTGATACTTGCGCGGGATCTTCTCCCGAACATCTACAACCAGCAACAGCAGTTAATCCCTCCACCAACATCATCCACAGCCACACCAATCCGCCACGTACGGCGTTCCCACGTCCACGCCGGTTGCGCCTTGGGCATCTGCGTCTTCCGTCTCTTCATCCCATTGCCCGCTGCACGCGGCTCCACCCTCCCGTGCCTCTTCATGCCAGCGACAGGGGCCGCCTGCGTCCTCTTCTTCAGCTGCTGGTTGTCCCCATTGGCCGTCTTCATCGCCGTCTCCCCTTTGCCCTTAGCCTTGAGTTTACCCCCCGACGATCCATCACGCCTCGGCTGCACTCCGTCGCCACTGGGCGACACGTGAGTACTGCTGCTGGGTCGAGGAATTCCCGTCCCTGGCGACACCTGCTTGTCCTTCTTAGGCAGCGACTTGCGCGGCGCTGCGGGCTTCGGGGTCTTCGGATACGTGAGACACGACGCGTGCAGCGCCATGGCCCCCTGGAAGGCGCCGAACGCCGAGTTGAAGTCGTCCACCGCCTCATGCACGCGAGACAGCTGCTCCACCTGCTCCTGCAGCCCTCGCAGCGCGCCGCACAGCTCGGCGAAGGGCACGATCAGAGGGTCCGACATAATTGATTGAGGACCAATTCGAAAATGCGGGGCAATTTGGCGGGAAAAGTGGTCCACACACGTGCGAACCTATCCCCATAAAGTTCGCGATAAAGAAATAGAAATGCGTTTCTATACGAAGGGTCGCTTTTTCAAAGTGTGTAGCCATTTCGTGTTGCATCTCTCGATCTTCCAGCAGCAGCAGCAGCAGGCCGAACCCTCATGGCGAACAACTTCGAGCTGGACCACGCGTACTTGCGGCAGGCGGTGGGCGCGCCACTGACGGAGGCGATGGCGCAGCTGGCGATCCTGCAGCCTGAAGACCCGGTCGACTTCCTGGGCCACTACCTGCTCAAGCACGTCGCCAACATCGAAGCGCAGCAGCAGCTCCTGATGCGCAAGGAGGACCAGCAGCGATCCGGTCTCTCCACTCCTCTAGCAATCGCTCGACAGCAATTAGTTGGCGCAATGGACGAAAACACTGACCAGCAGCAGCACGAAATCGCCTGGGAGGCGCTGCTGGAGGAGGAGAAGCAAGTGCACGCCCAGCTGCACAGTCAGCCCAGCGTGGCGCTGGTCTTCCAGCGATTTCTCGAGTGGATGTGCTCGACATTGAATGCTGAAGAAGCCTACATTGGACGCAAGTGTGTCGACCCACAGGGCAACAACGTCGTCCACTTTGTGGCGAGTTCCAAGCATCCAGATTCAAAGGTCGTCGACAAGTTTGTTGCCCATCCCACGGACGAAGGAGAGGAAGAAGGCGTGCGTCGAGGAGTTGGAGTCACGTTCGATGTGTTTAAGGAGATTGCACCTGTTGGTGAAGATGGCGGCCCTGCTCTTGACGCCGAGGGCAACCCGCTGCCAGCTGCCCCGCCCAAGTTTGTGCATGTGGAGAATGTACTTCGTGACCCGCGGGTCAAGTTCTTCGGTGTGCCCAAGCTTGGAGCTCTTCTGACGCGTGCAGAGCAGTACAAGAGCTATTTACACGCCGACGTGCTTAATGAGAGCAATCCCGAGGAGCCAAATGTGCTGGAGCAGTGGCTTGTCTTTTCAGTGGACACCATGGGTCAGGCGCGCGCCTTTACCAGGAAGGAGATCGACCGCTTCCGGCATGCTACTGAGTTGTTCCTCACTACGCTTGAAGAGAAAGAGCGCGCGTTGTATATGAAGGACCTTGAGCAACGCGTCTCCAGTGATGAGCCGCTGTTGCGTGAGTTCCTGGTGGCGTTTGCAGCACAAGTGGCTGTCCAGGAGGAGAATTTGGCCGCTCAGTTCCCGCCGCCGCCAGAAGGTGAAGAGCTCAGCGAAGCTGCTCAACAGCAACGCACTACAAAGGAAGCGGAACTTCGTCTATCCTTCCTTACAACTCTTCTGGTATCCCACATCCCGACCCTGGCGATTGCATCTACGCGCGTGGTGCCGTTCAAACCGCTGGTATTGTCAACTTTTGCTGCGGGACTGGAACTTCTCGGCTACGCTCGACGCGAGCTCTACAATCCCGCTACGGGTCAGCCCAGTTGGGACAAGATCTCGCCTCTCCTGGGTGAAGCGATGTTGACAGCATGTCTGAACACCTTTGAGTCCTCACTGGCAGCGATGGCAACTTTGGCGGAAGCGGACAGCACTAGCGCTAACGGTTTACGCTCCATTCGGAACGCTCTGCCAGCGACCCCAGCAGCAGTTTCCAAGGCTAAGCAAACGCTAGTCGATATCGCGAAGGCTGACGTTGATGCTGCGAGTCCAGTTGCGTCGTGCTTCTACGTCTGGGCGCTCGCTGTGATTGCGCGCGCTGAAAACCTCACCGCTATGACTGAGCAAGCACAGCAACTCGAGGACGAAGCTGCGGCGGCAGCGGCAGAAGCTGCAGCGGCCGCAGAGGATGCGTGAGGAGGTCGAGCTTTTTCGCATGGCTAGGCATCATTTACACCGTTTCTTCATCTTCACTGCTCACGTTCTGGTGCATCACTTCCGCCTTCCTTCTCTATTGCTACTGCGATCTTCCTACCATTGTTGACTTGAGATTTCCTTTGCTGCTTGAGTTGCAAGCGTTCGCGTGCGAGGCGCTTCATTTCATCGGCAAACTTGGCACGTTCAAGCCGTTTAGCCTCCTCGTGCCTTCGTTGTGCGGCTTCAACTTGGCCCTTGACACCTGCGTTGATTGTTTGTGCGTCACGCCGAGCACGTTCAAGTAGCTTTTTTTCGTGTCGAGCGCGCCGATGATGACCTTGCTCGGTAGCGGGCACCAGCACGTCGCTGTCAGCACGGTACACGGCTGCTAATTGAGCTCGGAAATCATTGCTCTCCTGGATGGCAGATTCTGCGCGCCCCAAGCGCTGGCGCTGCAATCGTGTCTCGATATCGTAATTTACTTCCCCAACCTGTCGCTGAGTCGATGCATCGAATACGATTACATGGCCGACGTGCTTGAACTCGTAGAAATAGTGACGAGCAAGTCGCTCGTACCTTTGCTGCCACGTTCCAGTAGCTGAGTTGTCATCGCCAGTGGTGCTTCGCATTGCAGCTTCGACACGTCTACAAAACTCATCGCTCGTTGCTTGTCGCTTTGATACAGCGCGTTCTTCGGTGATAACTTCAGGGTTTTCACCGATAAGTGGCAACGTATGCGATGCCACTTGTTCGGCCATTAGCTCCTCCCACACTCGTACAAACACCGGATAGCAGACCTTTCGATCAACAACCCACGCCTTCGTCTCCGCTGGTGTGTATCCATTTGCAAAGCTCGTTTGATACTGATCTTTCAACTCCCAAGAGCTACTGGTCTTTTCAGGAAAAAGCGTCAGAGGATTGCGACCAATTTCCAGTACCTCTAGCTGCGTGAGCAGACCGCTAGCAAGTTCCAAGGGGAGAGCACGCAAATTATTGCTGTACAGATCAAGTTTCCGAAGAGCACCACAATGCTGCGCCATTTCACGAGGCAGCATTGATATCCTGTTGCCATGCAAATTCAGCACCTCCACTTGTGGTAGCTCGTAGAGACATGGCTCAAGTTCCGTGAGTTGATTCGCAGCCAAATCCACGTAGCGGAGGGACTTCAGTGCACCAAGACCGGAATCCAATGGAGTTACTAGAGCATTATGCGAGCAACGCAGTCGCTTTAAGCTTGTTAACATTGCGATCGTTATGGGGAATTTCGCGAGTCGATTGTGCGATAGATCAATTGTCGTTAGGGACTCGAGGCACCCGAGCTCGTCTGGAATACTCGTAAGCTGATTCCATGACACATCCAGCTCGCGAAGATGAATTAATGCGCCCAGCTCCAGAGGAAGAGCGGTAATACGGTTGTTCGAGAGTTGCAGTGTGCGCAAAGAATGCATCAGTCCAAGCGTGACAGGTAAGGCACTAAGTCGATTGTGTGACAACCGCAGCACTTCCATCAATCCCCATTTTTCGCCGCACCCTGTTGGAAGCCATTGGAGCGCGTTGTTTTCACCGTTCAATTCGACAATCTCCGAGAGATTGTTCAGTGCTGCGGGTAGTGATCCAAGTGCGTTGGACTTGAAATTGAGCTCTTGCAGATTGGTAACAGCTCCAATCCCGTCGGGTAAAGTGGAGAGAGCATTAAACGACAAGTTGAGGCTGCGAAGATTCTTAAGCTGCGCACCGAAGACATCTTTACCCAGCCGTTTCTGGTCGCAGACACTGAGGTCCCAAATGCTCAGGTTGTGTAGTTGCTGTAAGCTATTTGGTAGTCGCTTGAGAGAAGGATTGCCACGCAGGTTGAGTCGCGCAAGCTTCACCAATGAATCTCCAATTCCATCAGCTAGAACTTCCAGCGCATTGCTAGCCAGATTGAGTTCTTCAAGCGAATGCAGACCATTGCAATTGTCACCAAACTTTACCAAGCAATTGTAGGCTAAGTGGAGTACGCGTAGCTCGTGAAGATTTGTTAGAGCTGCAGGGGTGGTGATCAATCTATTGCTGCGAGCGTCAAGCAGCTGTAAATCACGCGCTTCACCGATTTCTTCGGGGATCCCCTTTAACTCATTGTTACTGATATCCAGCGATTGTAGCGAGAACAAATGCGTGAAGATGGCACCTGGGAGGTCCTGAAGTTGGTTGCGAGATATATCCAGGATGAGTAAACTTGACAGGGATGCAAGCGCATCCCGACCATGATACAAGTCATAGGGAAGATTTTTTAGCCCGCGACCACGCATGTCCACAACGTCATCACCGCAACCTGCTTTGCGACGAATGATGCGCTCCATTTTCGACATCATCAGTTCTTGTACGACCTCACGTTCATGAATAACGCGTTTTTCAGCCTCATCTTCAGCACGGTCAAGTAATCGTCTCTCTTCCCGAGCTTGTCGATCTTTGATCATGCGCTCTTTCTTGCGGTTGATTTTGTCCTGCCGTTCGCGGAGTGCCTCCTTCGTTCTGGTTGACGTGGCGGCATGGCGCTGTTGCTGGGATAATCGCCTCGATTCCTCCTGCTCAATAGCTCGGCGCTCCTTCTCTAGACGAACAACTTCCTCTTTTGTTTTCAGAGCGGCATTCAGCTCTTCCTGCTCTTCACGGCGGATTTCATCCAGCAGAGCATTTCGCATTTGCTCCATAAGTTTCTTGCTTTTCTTTTGGCCAGCCGTTCCACTAAAATCCTTCACACTGCGTTTTTCCAATTCCATCCGAACGTCAACTAACTCCACCCACGCGCGCTTAAACTCTTCCAGCGAAATGAGCGAGGACTTCGTGAGCTTAGCGCGTGCTCTTTTTCGATCACGCTTGGAAGTGATAGGTACACCAAGTAGCTCCAATGATTTTTCGTACTCAAACGCGTTCAGCAGCCCATCCCGGTCACCGTCCAATTGGTGGAATACGTCGGTCGGTGATAAATTTTGCGTAGGATCAGTAGCCTTGCTACTCTCTTGTTTCTGTTTCTTCTGATGAGCGCGCAAGTAGTTGGTGACATACATCGCGATCACGAACTCTCGTTCATCGATGTATCCTCTGCAAAACCACCCACGAATAGTTTAGTTTGAGCAAGTGGAGCACACTCGGACCATTACCACGCACTTGTTTTGGTCATCCACCAGCTGGAAGAAGCGTTTAGCTTTGGACTCCAAAAGGTTTACCTTCATGTACGCCAGCATTTGCTTGTACTCTGGGAATCAAGAAAAGCGTTAAAACAGTATGAATTTCGTGATTAATGTAAACATTTGCATGCAGTACCTTCAAAGTCGATCGAGTCAGACTTGTCCTGATCAAACATGCGAAAGAGCTGACGTGCATTCCGCTGCAGTACGTCTAACGATAAATCATTGTCGCCTTGCAGTTCGTCCTGTTCCACCTCCATGACAGTTTGCAGGAATCGATTGGAAAGCGCTTCCATCTCGAGTGCAATCTGTTCTGCAGATTTCGTCGGAGGCACGTATGTCTCAAAGGCTCCATACGCGAACACAAGCACCTGTGCTGTAGGCGGCTTCGCAGCTGCTGGTTTTCCGATAGCAACGCTTGCGAACACCATTGGATCGAAGACAAGCAGTTCCTGCTCGAAAATGCAGGGCATGTGCGACCCTTTCCACTGACCTTCAGGTCCACGGTCAAGCAGAACAGGTTGTGCGCTAGCCTCCATCTTCTGTATGATGCGATCGTCGTCCAATGTTTGATCATTAGCACGCGATAGAAGCACGTAAAGCGGTAAGTCACGGTCATTTCGGATCCTCACGTCCTCAAAGTGCAGCCAATACGTCGAATGCATTGATTTTGTTTCGCCTGTTGATGAGGGGGTCTTCCGTCGAACAAGCTAGGCAAGCAACACACGATACACTTAGCGGACAGCCCACATATCGATTCGACTCGCCTTTTCACCTTACCTGAACTTTGCCGACGACCTCACGTGGTGGAGCGGCTTTCGCGGGACGAAGAGCAGACAGCCAGCGTTTCTCCGTTGGCTTGAACGGATTCATCACCGTGGTGCGGGGACAGTAGTCATGGAGAACTGCTTCCAAGAGCACGATTGTCTCCATCTCCTTCAGCTACACCATGAGGTTTCCTGCGAAGGGGCACGAAAGCACAATAATGCTAGAGGTGCGAAACTGCATTTCATTTTTACCTTGGTGGCGGATTCTATTCCACTGGTATCAGTCTATTGGTATGCGCGTTCCACTTGATCACCTCTCTCTCTTTCTCGGCTGAATCCCGGCGTGTTATTGTACAGTAAAATTACTATCATCATTTTTGTCGATGGTCCCCCAAGGCACCCTACGCTTGGCGACGGTGAGCACCCACATAAGAGCTTGCAATCGTGCTCACGCTGCTAGCAGTCGTGCTCGTGCTGTACGGGGGCTGCGCATAGTCTCTTTCTTCTTCTTGGTTGATTGTGTTCGTACTTCCGACTGTTGTGGTAGACGCCGTGTTCCGCATTACCGTGGTCACCTTTGTGTAGCGTGACGGGATCGTCACGAAATACTTGTTCATGGCCAAGCAAAAGCGCTTGCGGTAGTGCTTCGGGTTAAGCACGGTGATCTCGCCTTCCTCCTGAATCAGCCTCTTGCCAGCGTGCTCCATCATCTTCATGAAATCGTATTTGTGAATGTAATCGATAATGCATGCCACCAGTTCCTGTTTCTCCACATCGTAACCCACCAGCATCGAGTAGTCAGTTGCTTGGACAGACGCCAAGAACGTTGTGTCATTCATGATGGCCGATATGAGCAGCGACAACGCGGATTCCTGCAGCGGTAACGGGATGCCTCCTGCCAGCTCCACGAAATTGCGATCCCAGAGCACACTGCGGCTGTCTCCATTGCGGTCCTCCTTGTAGCGCCCTTCCATCTTGCCTTTCAGATCGAAGGAGAAGTCCACCTCGCGCCCATACATCAAATTCTCCATCACAATCACGCACATTCGTACGTTTTGGTCACTGTCACCATTCTGAGTTGTGTTCGAGATCGACACCTTGTAGATGCCGAGCACCTTCGAAAGCATGGAAGACAAATCATTCTCGAAAGTCTTTGCCATGTAGCAGAAGTATTCGTTGGCCATACTCAGGAACATCTGCAGCTCAATCTCCGGGATGGCCTTGGCGATGAAGCGTTCGTCACGCGTCTTCAGGAACCCAGCACCGGACTTTCCACCGGCCGCATTCCATTGCTGGCAGTTGCAAAGAGACTCCACGTAGTTGCGGTCACCACCGTAGTATAGTTTCCGGAGCGCATGAAACTGCATTGCATAGTACGACTTGCAGCTGAAGCGCATGGCTGACTGGAATTGGTTCTCATCGACGAAGCTGTGGTCGACATTGTTTCGCGTAGCGGAGCGTAAAATGCGTAGCATGCTGCTAGTCTCTTCGGACTGACCGTAATCAAACGTTGGGTGAATACCGTTGTCAGCCTTTGACTCGAGAGCATATCGGGTTGCCTCTTTCCGCATATTTTCCTTGATGCACTGACTGTACTCCTTCGAGAACAGCGAGTACGCAACCACCGAAGTAGGTTGTTTCGCATTGACCAAGACGGCTGCCTTGTTCGCCCCCAACGGTAGGCTAGGATGCCACTCGAGAAGCCGCTTAGGGAGTGCTAAGTATCCCAAACCGTCAGGCTTTTTCGCTTGTTGAGTCAACCGGAAGTTTTCGAGCGCTTTCTTGGAAGCTAGAGCCCCCATCGTGGATGAGATATGGCCTGGTACACCCATTGTGGAAACTGCTTGTCCAAACACTGGGGCCTTGACTGGGAACGGCTCCGTTTCTACCAAGTAGTCGGCCGGGAATGAATGGCTAGACTCATCGTAACGATCGTAGCTTTCATCTGTATCCCACGGCTCCGATTGACGTGAGCTTGTAGTTCCATTTCCATTCTGCCGCAACGTATTGGTCACTTCGTTGGCAACCTTTGCCATTCCTGCTGCCGGCGAGTCCTTGTTGGCAGCAGCCAAACTGCGAGCAAAACTCGCGAGGTGGGCTAAGTTTCCGGGTTCTTGGAAATTAATACTCACAGGGGTAGAAGACCCTAGCACACTTGGGGTGGACGGTTCGCTGTAGCGGTCACTAGATTCCGCTTGTTGAGCAAGCTGATCAAACCAAGCCTTGGGGAGGGCACTCTTCGGGCTGTTTACGAGGCTCGCCATAGTTGGTTTCACCGTAGCCTGCACGGCTCTTGTGATACGCAGACTCCAACCCACCGCGTATTCGTAAATTTCACGAAAGTGCGCGTTGTACGCGAACACGTCCTGCGGAGGGTTCGCCTCGATTTTTGCGCCGAAGCAGGAATACCATTGCTGAACTTCATTCCGTAGGATCTTCAGGTTTTGCTTGGCGTGTAAAGGCGTGACTAGGTCTGCCATCGACTCAGCAACCTTGGACGTTGTCACTCCGTAAACTTCGCGAACAAGATCGCATAGGTCATGGATGGCGTCGAGTTGAACCTGATGATCAATATGCTCCTGCCACAGTGCCGGCTGCAAAGCTACGTGAAGAACAGGTTCAAGGGGCTCGATATGCACACTTACCACCCGTCCGCGACGAGAGAAGTAGTGCACCAACGAGGCATCTCGCGACCCACTGACCCCTGCTAGATGGGGAAAGCGGACGCAGTCGATGTCCATCGCCTTTCCGTAAAACATATCCTCCAAGAACTTCCCGAATGAATAATTCCACAAGTCACTTGGAGCCACCGAATACTCGGAGGACAGAAGAGTGGACACATTCCCACCGCTCATATTGCGTGACCACATCAGCACTTCATCCGATCGAATCTGCTGCAATACAGCACGATAGCTGAACTCCCGGAGAAATTCTGCCGGGGGGAGCTGATCACTCGAGTCCTTGAAGTCATTTAAGTCCTTCACTCGCACGATAATGCGCCCGGTATCGTGGGAAAACGACAGTTTCGAAGTCGAGAATGCGCGCTTGAACTCAGCCTTACTACTCGCAAAGCAGAAATTCTCCAGGAATTGGCCCACCGACATGTCGTTCGAGCTGTAGAAGTCAATACACATCATATCTGCTTTCGAAGCTGTTTTTCCCTCCAATGTGCTCCAGCAAGTAGAAAACAAGATTCTGTCCCTCAGTGAGTTGGATGATCTCGCTCCACACGTGCACCAATTGGGATGGCCTGACTCCACCATAGATGCGCTTGAGAAGGCGCCATCATCATCATTAGCTCCACGAACCACCCGTAACGAGCTGATGTTATTAAAGCGCGTGTGTGCCTTGCACCATTTGCACATCGCCTGTGTCTCTTTCAAAGCGGCGCGCATCGAAAGTGAGTTCGACTTGAGCGAAATGTACAACGAAGTCGACGATTTGGCAAACCACTCCTCGGCGACAGATCGTTCGTGGTTTTGGCTGGGGGCGATGTACCCGTAAGATGCCAGCACGGACCGCTGAAGCCTCATATTGTATGCGGCACGGATAATTGTAGTCAGAACGTTTGTGATCTCCGTGAAAACATCGTGTGTTCCTCCACGCAAGCACAAAGTACACCCCTTCGACGTGATACCTCCTTCGAAAACAATATTCTGGCGCTGCGTGCGCTTTTTCCGCTGTCGAGGAATACCAGGTCCTTCCTCGGCTACATAAAATCCATCGGCATTTGCTCTAAACGCAATTTTCTTCGCACTCCTCGGTTCTTGGTCGCTCAGCAATACGTATAGTCGCTTGCACGTACCGATGACCCCAACATCCGACATTTTGTCAATGTGATCATAAGATGTCAGCACAGACGCCCCAGTACAACGCGCAATTCGCTGCAGATCAATCAGACGGACGTTCTTAACAACTGCAACGTTCCCTTTGAAAAGCAGCTCCTCCGCAACTCGGTGAACGTGACCCTCGAACAAAACGATATCGGGATTCAGAGTCATGATCTTCTCCGTCACAATGTGCATGTACTCCACTTCTTGGCCGGCAACACTCTCCAGCGACGAGATCGTTTCTTTCTTGCGTTGGTAGTCCAAGGCTGAGGCGATCAGTAAGATGCGCGGGTTTAAAATGTCACTTCTCATCCCTTTGCGAGCCAAACTTTTGTGGATAAGGACACCGTCGATGAAGAAACTGTCTTGGACGCGGCCACCATCCAAACATTGGATGCGGACATATTGCATGATGTCCAGTAAGTCGCCTTGGTCGGGTTCGCACGAAACGGTGAGTGCAGCTCGATGCGCGAACAGGTTAATAATCTGCATCCAGCGGTGTTGCTCTACCATGAGAAGCTGCGATACTGCAGGCGAACTGTCCAGCAAATGGAAAATGCGCTCTTCGATGCGGTCACGGGCATCCTTCGACATTTGCTCCATAGCTGCATCTCTCCTAAGAACACGTTCAGGGTCTTCCGATTCATCGTGAGCATCCTTAGCAAGACCAACCATAGCGAGAATGCCAATATCCTTTGTCGAAAGTTTGTCGGGGCCGAACGGGGTCCGCTGCACGGCGTTCCCAAAACGCGGAGTATCAAAAGACGCCGACAGTGCCTTGGGGCGCGCCGTCGACGCATTTGAAGTCGGAGGATATGCACCGGCAAGCCGAGCTTGTGCATTTGACTCGGCCACAAGACGCTTAAATTCTGCCTCACTCCAGCGATGATTGCTCGGGTTTCCCAGGTCTGCCTGGCTGTTGGAGCGCTTCAGTTTCCGGGACACATGCTGCGCATCTTTTCTCTCGAACAGTATCTGCGGTTCGCTAAATGTCCTCAGCCTCCGCGCAGTTTCGTGCCCGCTCTGCTTCACTTCCTTGGTCAGCTCGTGCAAATGCGGTTGGTGCGCCAAATGCTGTGCGCTCGCAACAATCTGCACCTTGGGGAACATGCTGAACAGCACCGGCGGGCGGGACTTCTCCGGCTGCTCGGTCACACGCATGTCGTCACTGATTTCGTCTTTGTCGAACAGCTCTGGTTTGTCCAACTGCTTGTAATTGGACGCATCCGACGTCGAACGCTCCATCGCTTCTGCAAGATGCTGCGGCATCAGCATCAATGTCTGCGTCGGTGGCGAGTTCGTGGGTTTCTGTGGGTCGTCCTCAAACTTGGCTCCAGTCAGCTCCATCTGCAGCCCTTCTCGTAATTGTCTGTGGCAGGTGTGGCACACCAACTGCTTCCTCAGCCTCTCAATGGACTCGTCCACCTTGTTTCCCCCAAAAGACTGCGGCAGCCTCGCACAGCAGTTCGCGCAGAAAATCTGCCCGCACGAGCGGCAGTGGTGCCTTCGTCTGAAGAACGTGAACAACTGCTCGCATTCGTAGCAGGCCTTGCTGGACCTGTCCGACATCCAAAAATGCTTGAACGACCTGGATCTCTCGCGTCCCAGGAGTGCGGGGGACGCCTGCTCCTGAATCTGCAAAGGCTCCTTGTCGTCCGCGTCGCGGTCGTCCCTGAACTGCTTCACGCCGGGCAGATGCTGGCCCTGTGGCGACGGGAACTGCGTGAGCGCGAACGGGTTGCGGTCCACGTTCATCTCGTGCTCTCTCTGGGCCAGGTCGATCTCGATTACGTCCCCCAGCTCAGGCACGTCCAGCGCCATGACATCGCCCGCATGGTTGCTCGAGCTCAGCGCGCGGCGGATCGTGGCCTGCACGCGCGGCAGGCTCACGCCACGCACGGACTTGCCGTTAACAGCCACAACCAGCGCCGCCGGGTGGATGCCCAGCGCCTCGGCCTCGCTGCCGGGCAGCACGAAGTTGATGCACACGCGGAAGTCGCGGCGCGACGAGGCCACGAGCTGCACGCCCAGCAGCGCGTCCATGGAGCTGAACATGCTGCCCAGGCGCTCGCCCGCGCGCAGCCTGGGCACGCGCAGCGTCGACACCTTCTCCACGGAGCGCGTGAACTGGTCCAGCGACGCGTAGCCCCCCACGAGGCCCGCTCGGCTGTTGCGCGCGACGCGCGTGGCGGGTCCCGCGAGTGTCAGGGGCGCGCTCGGGCCGGAGAACAGCGCCAGCTCCCGCGAGGACGACAGCGACGACCCCGCGCCCGCCTTGAGCGCAGGCGGGGAGTCCGCGGCCGACACGCACGCGCTCGTGAGCTGGCGGAACGCGCCGCAGATCGTCGTCATGAGCGGCGGAGTGCGGAATCGACTTGCCTAATGATGGACGACCAAAGTTGCCACTGCGAGAACTGACAAACACTCTGCACGCCCTATTTCGCTTTGACTTGGACTTTGTATGTAAAAATAGCGCCCCCTAAAACTTGAGCGTATCATCTGCAACATGCGGACGAAAAAAGCGGCAAGTGGGCTCTATTGACGAGACCGCAGCGACTGCAGCAATACACGGGGAACATACACAGAGCTGGAGAAGACTAATGATAACAGGGCTTTATTTTATACTTTGGGGCTGGGAAAAAGTGGCCGCTGTGAGGCTGGGCCGCCGCAGCTGAGTCCTGACACCAACTATGAACACACGGACGCTGCAGCTGAGTCTGTACACACACGCCAGCTTGCTTGCTCGCTCGCTTGGCCCCGGAAATAGCTGGTCTGATTTCCTCAGACGGAGCTGACGATCTGCGCGACGTGGTCGTACACCTTGCGGACGAACACTTCGTCCAGGATGCGGTACTCCATCACGAAGGCCAGCAGCCGCTGCCAGCTCGCGGCCAGCAGCTCGCTCACCTCCAGCACCACGAAGGCGCGGTAGTACCGCTGGTACAGGAAGATGAACACGCGGATGAGCCCATTGTAGAGTCCGCGCACGTTGCTGATCTGCGTCGCCAGGTTGTTGCCACCGCGCGCGGCGAGGCCGTCGGCGGCGCCCAATAAGTTATGCATGCGGCGCATGAGCTCGTCCACGGCGCGGCCCTCGGCGGTGGGCGTCTTGATGTCTGAGAGCATGTCGTACATGATCGACACCTCGCTGTAGAAGTCCGCTGCCATCTCCTCCGCGAGACTCACGGCTTCAGCTGGTGACACAGCCGACGGATCCACGAAAAAGTCGGCGAAGTGCATCAGCGTCGCGGGCGGGGATGCGCTTGTTGATGTCGGCGTGATCGGTGCCGGCGGGCAGAGCACTCCCGCCGACGTTGATCCAACGCTGATGCCAATGCTGCTTCCAGTACTGCTGTAATTGTTCCCAGTGCTGCTGTAATTGCTGCCAATGTTGCTGCCGCTGCTTGCGATGCTGCGCGGCTTGTTGAAGGACGAGGCGCTGCTGCGTCCGCGCATCCGCTTGTGGGTCACGGCATCGTCCTGGCGGCGCTGCGGGCGGCAGACGTCGAGGCCGCGGCCGGCGTTCAGGCAGGGCAGGGAGGGCACGCTCGGAGATCGCTCGCGCTTCATGCTGTGGGCGCCCTCGCAGCGCAGTGAGCCCGCCCCAGCTTCTTGGCGTTTGGCGTTTGGCGTCGTGACCCCAAGTGCGTTTTTCGCGAAAAGTAGCAACGGAACGTTCTGCGCGCTGCGATTGGCCGCTTTAGTCGAAATGAGCGGCGATTAGGTCTCAAAAAAATTTCCAGGGGCCCCAAAATTTTTGATTTTTGCCCGTGATTGGCCCGGCTCCGGCTCGCGGCCGGGTACGCCACAGGTCCATCCATCCCGCCGGCAACACAAAGTGATGAGTCCCGCGAGCTCTTGGCAACGTGCTGCTGGTGCTGGCAATAATGGAGCATGTTGCCTGGAGCTCATGCCCGAGCAGCGACGGCATCGGGCGCAGTGTACTTCGCGAGCATGGCGCGAGTCCGCGATTGTGACAACAGCTCCCAGCTGCAGCCACTTCAATGTTGTCTAGCTAAACAGCCTGATGGCGAACAAACATTACGACAGAGGCAGCAATGCTGGCTTGTCTTACTGCCAAGTAACAAAATGCGTTGCGTGCGGCCAGCACTTCCTGCCACGAACATGATCTCTAAGGCGGAGCATTGGTCCGACATCACTGGCATGGCCAAGGTTGCAGCACCGAGTCAACGGTGCAGTGGCGTTGGCAGTATCTACAGGTACTGCGTGTTGGGCGGGCAAAGTGCATATGCAATTTGTTTTGTTCGTGAGCATCATAAACCTTTATCTAACATTTCTTGCGCGAGGCGACTAAACCTCTTTCAGAGTAGCTGATTGAAAATTATCATTTGCTCAACGTGGGGGGAGTATGCAGGGCGTAGCAGCGCCTCAACAAGTCAACAAACAGCACCTCGCTGCTGCGAGCACGGAAACGGAAATGAAGGTTTTGAAAATGCCCCAATCCGAGCCAACGAGTGGTTGGCCGTGCCCGTCGCTGATTCGTTAGCTCCATCGTAATTACGTGCCGTAAAAAGCTGTCAAGCCGTAAAAACTTCATCTGAGGTGAAGCTGAAGTTGAAGTGCCAGGAAACTGAGATCATAAGGCCGATGGCCTTATTCGCCGCCAATATGGAGTGCCGTCCAGCAGCGCTGTGCTGTGACTTGTCGTTGCCATCCACCAAACTACCCGCCTATCGTGCATCAATGGAGGCTGAGCGGGGCCATCGTGGTGACCCCATCGACGCTGGGGCACGCTTGCAGCTGTCGCAGATCCCAGCGCCACGGCAGTCGACGGCAGCCGTCGGGGATCCGGCCCAAAAGGGCATGCCAGATGGATATCTGCGCCGTCGGTGAGCCCTTTCACATGACGAAAGGAGCGCCGCTAATGCTCGTGAACGCACACAAGTCCTTTACAACAGTAACGAAGGCAGGGCAGAGCAGTAGTGCTGGAAGTGAAGGAGGAGTTCTCCCGGAAAATCCCCGCCTGATTACGATCAGCAGGAATATTGGCTTGCAAATTAGCGGAGTGGGACTAGATTTTGATGCTCCCAATACATTTGCCCAGTCACTCGCTTCTATCCGCGCAGTTCAGCTCGACGCGCGCAGTGCCCAGAATTCCTTCGAGCGCGGAGGCCACAGTCACACGGTAGTAGGCAGTAGACGCAACAATGGACGCCAACCGCGCGCGCGTACTGGAGCTCGCGGAGCAGGGCGACTGGGACGAGGTGCTGCAGCTCGTGGAGGCCAACGCGGCGCTCGCGCAGGCGCAGGACGACTTCGGCATGCTGCCGCTGCACTGGGCGTGCACGGAGCCCTCGGTGGGGCTCGACGTCGTGTCGGCGCTGCTGCGCGCCTTCCCCGGGGCCTGCCAGCTGGAGAACCTCTCGGGCATGCTGCCGCTGCACGTGGCCATCAAGGCCAAGGCGCCTGGGTTGCTGATCAGCGCGCTGCTGGACGCGTACCCGCAGGCGGCGCTGGCCAAGGACGGCGGCGGCCGCTACCCTGTGGACTTGGCCATCGACAGCAGCCTGCCGAACTTCTCCATCGACCTCATCCGCAAGGCGGGCGCGCGCGCCGTGTCCAAGCTGCACGCGCGGTCCGATTCCATGGACGACTTGACCAGCGTCAGCAGCAGCCGCGGCGGCGGCAACAACCAGAGCGAGGACGAGGAGGAGGACGACGACATCCCGATGCTCATGAAGACGAGGAAGCTGTCCACCGTGTCCTCGTCGATGGACCCCGTGGACTCGAGCACTATTTCCTTGCAGCTCAAGGAACTACTTTCCCAACTACACCAGCTGAGTGTAGACATCCGCGTGAACAGCACGTCGTCTTCGGGCTCGACGTACCGCAGCTCCTTCTCGAGCACGTTCTCCTCCGGCGGCGCGGACGGACTGACGTCCGTTCTCTGGAACCCGAGCGACCGCTTCGGCATCGTGCTGGAGCCGGCGGTGAAAGACCTGGGCGCCAGGATAAAGGGCTTCGCGTCCCGCAGCGATGTGCTGGGCATCGAGGCGCTCGCAGTCGGCGACGTGCTGAAGAACATCAACGGCGCGTCCGTCGTGAACACGTCGTTCGCGTCCATCATGCGCTTCCTCAAGCACTCCAAGGGTACGTGCAAGCTGCGCTTCAAGAGCGCGGCCGACACGACTGCCGCGAGCAAGTGCAGCACGGGCAGCAACCCTGCCGCGGAGCAGGACAACGCCATGTACTCCAAGGTGGCCGAGATGCTCGAGACGACGCTCAAGAAGGTCTCGGCAGTCGAGGAAACCGTGCGTCTCAGCTCAGCCATGTCGCTGTGCACATGAACGTCCCGGTCTCGTTGGGGGCGTACGGCACCGAAACACGGGCGTGCCGATGCCTTGGCCGCCGGAGGGATCAAAGAGTTTTTTGTCCTCGAGCTCGAGGATGTCGAGGCGCCAGAATATAATCGCGCCTAGAGAACAGAGAGCGGCGAGCTCGCGACTCATCCAACACTTATTAATGTCAACGTACAAATGCATGGGGGTATTTTATAATGCATTGCAGCTGCGTAGGAAAGGAAAGGTGTTGTCACGATGGTCATGCCATGATCGAACATGATACGGCTTGAAATGATTGCAACATGGCAGGTCGTAACCAGGTTACACTCTCCTATCGTACTTAAACTAGCTGAGCACCTCTGCGCTTCCTTGCTAATTTGGGGCGACACTAAATATTGTGCTCTACACAAAATTTCGCCCCTCCGAGCCGATCGAAACATTTTCATACAAGAAAGCTTAACAGCCTGATACGCTGAGAAATCATTTAATTTGTCGTCAAACCTCATTTAGTTGACCTGTAGTGCTAGGAGTAAGCGAGTGTATCGAGATTGTGTATCAACACTTCACACGCATGCCTCATGCGCAGACCTCTACCAATACGGGAATTTCCGAATTTTTCCTATATCCTGGCGATCACTGACAGAATATGGGAGAAATTTTGAAGGTTTTACATCGTTTGAAGTGCTTTCTTGGAGCTATCCGCCAGTGTTGATAGTCTGTTCGATTTGCTTTATCAATAACTGTTGTGTACTTTGACGTAGCTGCTTTGTATAGCAAGCTGCATCAATTGCTTGGTCGGTTTTGCGGTCCTCCGCTGTCTAATCTTCTGCTGATCGATTTTGATAACCTGACATTTTCCTTTAGTGCACTACTACACCGTTGCCGAGCCCTGGAACTCTCGGTTAATCTTACCTCCGCGCAAAAGTACGCTGAAAATAGTTGTACTTTTGAAAACGAATAACGGTAGGCAATTGGGTAGCAACAGGACAACAGGAATAATGTTCATTTCTCAGCGCTTTAGCAACACTTGCATTAGCAATCCTTTCGTGGCCAGTAGGCCCCCGAGTTGACGTGTATTGCGCCTTTTAGTCTTTGTGCCGCTTTTTGTTTAAGATTGAGGTTCTGTACTTGCAAGAGGTTGGATCAGTGCTTATTTTATTAATGTCTTAGGGAAACCTAACGAGATACCCCTTCGAAAACTATTTCATAAGACGCTCTTCACTGCCAGCACAAACCATATGCCCCTCATTTAAAATTCGCCTCATAGGAATGACATTCAAAGTACCAGAACGTAGGCAGCATACTTCGGTATTTCCATCAAGCGAAGCGAGGTGGAAATTAAGTTTTCCTGCACAAGAGGAGAAAGCGACGTTCCCACAACTGGAGCCCAGTCATGGTTCGCGCTCAGCTGCATCAAGTTCAGCGACCCGCTCATGCTGGAGAGCCCCATGGCAATGATTAGGATAGACTGTCCGATAAGCGGTTTTCACCCGGGGGTCCGAGGAACCTTCGGTTCTGAGGGACCAGCGGTTTTTGCTCCGCCACATCGCACAGAGTAGTTATAGATAGGTAGTCATTCTTGATCGTCTCGGCGAGCCAGTCGCGCTTTCACCTGCTCGGACACCTGCTTCCCACGCGATGGCCAACTTTTTTCTTAACGTTGAGTGCGGCAGACACAGTATGGCCCGATTTCTTTAGGGCTTGCAATCCTTCATTGACTATGGAACGAGCTGCACATCTAACGTCTAAAGAACGACGTAAGTACCTTAACGAAAACCCTGATTTTGCTGCCAGGCATTTTAACAGAAGGTTTAAAGCTTTTTTCGACCACGTACTTCGCGGCCCAAGCCAACCTCTGGGTGAAATTATTGATTTCTTTTGGCGAGTTGAGTTTCAGCAAAGAGGCTCACCTCATATTCATGCACTATTGTGGATAAAAGATGCCCCTGATGTCCTTGACAAGTATATTTCTGTATTGATAAAGTCGCTCGATGACCTAGATTCGGGCCAGTGCTCCGTCTGTAAGTCATCACGGTCTGCAAGCATTGATATTTTGGCAATGCGACCGCCATGTGGCAATTCAGATGAATGGGCATGCGATATCTCCCGATTAGCTCGCCGAGTGCAGCAACATGTATGCTACAGTGGATCTTCTTGTCGAAAGAAAGCCGACGAATGTAGATTTGGCTTTCCCAAAACTCTTCATCCTCGCACTGAAGTTGAGGTAAAAACTGCACCTGACGGTACCCCGTCATTAAAAGTACTATTAAATAGAGACTCACCCTCGGTAAACAATTTTTCGCCAATAATGCTTTCGACTTGGCGCGCAAACATGGATATTCAGATGATAGGAAACGCGTATGGCGCTGCCGAATATACTGCTGCTTACGTGAGCAAAGCCGAACCTGACACATTGTGCTTCCGAAGCACTGTCGCTGCAGCTGTTAAGCGATGTGACCCGAATCTCCCTTACTACGCTATTCTTAAAAGAATAGCTAACGCCACATTGGCTGTTCGTGAGGTAAGTGCCCAAGAAGCTTACTTCATACTGCTTCGAGAATTAAAAATGTATGGTAAGTCTCGTAAAGTAAGCCGAGTGAAGGTTTTGCGTCATCACTTGCGATATTACCGAAGCCTTACGGAACTTGGGCATCGACAAACCGCCTCAACTCGATAATATTAAAATTGAATCATACGAAAAAGCCTACATGGCGCGTCCTCAGGAAGAACCGTTTAAGTCGATGTCATATGCTAGCTTTGTAGAGCACTATGAGGTAGTTGAAAGCGCAACCTCAACAGCGAAGTATTGGAAGCGAATCGGTAATCTAGGTTTTTTACGACAGCGTCGAAAAGCCCAAGTTCTTCGTATGTCGCCATGGATGGCACCAGACACATCAAACCCTAACTTTTGTTTTGCTGAGTTGTTTTTACACGTTCCTTGGAGACACTTAAGCGACTTACCGATTACTGACGATGACTGTATTAGTCGGTTCTACGACGAACAAAATAAAAACCTCGACAATGAACTCCGAACTGAAGTGAATTTAAAGGTAACGAGGCAATGTCAATTAAATCTTCTGAAGAATTCTCGCGAGAACCAATGCTGCACTAATCTGCCCCCGTCCGAGTATGTTTTCATCGAAGAACCTGATGAGCACCTCAATGAGCATGAGATGGAAATCGAGAGAGATAAAAAACTTATTGCAGACCTTCATACTCAATGGAAGCCAAAGCACAACTACTCTAACGAAGACATTAATAGAGCACACGAATTTATGACAAAATATGTGCGGCCATGGGCAAAAAATTAGCGAGAAGCATTTCATTTCAATTTACAGCAATCCCCCGATCACAAACAAAGATTTTCCAAACCTTGCGTCGCAATGACCACGCAAAAAAACGGCCCAGCTAAGCTATTGTCTCTACAGCAGCGCTTCAGGGATATAAACCTGGTAATAATTGACGAATTTAGCGTAATATCATGTGGAATGCTATATTGGATAGACCAAAGAATGCGAGAGATATGGCCTGATCAGCGCGAGGTCCGATTTGGTGGAAGAGATGCCATTTTCACGGGAGACAGTGCCCAGTTGGACCCTGTAACCCCTTACTCTCTAGCGACATCCACAGATAGAATACGTGACAATATCCAGCGCAAAGGACGCGGAATTTGGTGACCCGGAATGGTTTGAAGCGCTACGAAGATTGCGAGAAAAAGTACCAGCACAGCAGGACATTGACCTTTTTAATACTCGAATCTTCAAAACCAACGCAATGCCTGAGTGGGTGCATGCTGCGAAGCACATTGCATACCTTAACGCAGATGTTGATAGTGCTAATGACGTAAATCTGCAGAATGCTTCTTCTCCAATTGTGCACATAAAGTCCGTGCACAATGTGAAGCAAAAACGCTTGATCACAAATAGAGAAGTACCTCAAGGCACAGTTAAAGCTCTGTTAGATCAGGCACAAGAAAAGATCCCAAGGAGAGACCGAGTTGTACCAATCCAACTCAATTTAGCAATTGGTGCTCCTGTCACACTAACATTTAATGCTGAGCAAACAGCAGGGCTATGCAATGGAACGAACGCTACTGTGTACGACATGATCTTTGTGTCTGGATCAGAACTTCCTATTGTTTTGGTTGAAATAGTTGATGAATACTTTGGTCCATCCTTTTTACCAAACGTACCTAACATTATCCCCATCATTTCAAAGGAAACGAGCTGGGGAAGTACAAGGAGTGACTTTAAAGTCGTTCGCTGTGGCATTCCGTTAAGGCTTGCCTACGCTATGACGATTCATAAGGTTCAAGGGGTTACATGCTCAAAAGTCGTATTTCATTCCAATTCACTGCCAAATGCATCCTATGCTTACCTTGCTCTTTCCCGCGTTAGAAAAAGAGAATATATAGTTCTTACGCATCGTTTGAGTTTGGAAAAGCTCACAGCGTCCCCAGAGAGTCGATCATCGTTTGACACTGAAAGGGATCGCATCATTCATCTTGTTAACCAAACTACACTTCATGCAAATATTTTTCTAAAGGAAATGAAGACGATAGCACTTTTCCACAATCTCGATATGTCGCCAAGATAATAAAAAGAAAGCATGTTGGCGAGGCGTCCAAGTCGACCCAAGTTCACATTGGGTACAAGCACCGCGAAAACAAAACCTGGCAAGGCAAGCCTCATGGTTGGATTCGGCTTGAGGAGTCTCACTCTCGAAGGTCGGCCGTCAATATGGGCTGCGAGCGAGTATTGACGTGGCTCGGAGGCGACCTCGATCAGCCACGTCCAGAAGCAGCAGCGGCACAGTAGTCATCGCTTGGCGGATACTACTACGAATTGCAAGGGGATCTGGCGGTGGGTGTTGTCGCGGTTCTCTTCCTCGATGTGCGTGTCTACGAGCACCCATGGAGCAGGCCAGTTGACTTGGCGCGCCCGAAGACGGTCCGTGAAGGCGTGTCGACAACACAAGGTGGTGACAAGGTTGTGGCGGGCGGTGACGGCTGTGCATGGTTCGCCATCGCTCACGGCTCCACGGAGTAGCTAGCGTCTTGCAGCCAATGCAAGCCTCAACGAAGCTAGCTATTTCGCGCAGCAACGTTTCCGAAGCTAAAACAGGTCGCTTGTTTAGCAAAACAGAGTATCCATTTAGCTAAAACAATGCAGTTTTACGCCAAATCCACTTTCTAGAGCCCACAGCCCATATATACCCTATTTGGAAGGGGCCTCCTAAAAGACGGGCCTCAGTTTAATGGCTTTCGCACCCTTTGCTGGAGGCTAAACCCCTGAACTTCTATGAATAGTCACTCGGAACCGTCGGACAGTGAGCCTGAAAGGATCTTATACAGAGGTAAAATGCAGCATTTTATCCCCTGGGAGAGGCACCCATTAAACCTTTCCCTAGCCCTATCCATAAAATCATCGAAAGAAAGTAAATCAGAGCGATAAAACAGAGCGATTTCATTATAGGGGGGGGCTTCGCCCCAACGAGCCAAAGTTACGCCCAAAGGCAATCTTCGCACAAATACGTGTCCTCGACCTCGGCAAAGATGCTGACCCCGGCGGCGACGCAGTCGCTTCAGGAGAAGCAGCGCGGTGCGTGTGGCCCTCGTCCCGTCCTCCCCTACGTGTCACTTCCCTTACCTAACTCTCCTTCGACTCTCCCCATGCAGAGAACCTGCTGCGCATGCTGGACTTTAACTCGGAGAGCGCCGGCGGCTTCGCGGACGCGGCCCAGGACTCCGCGTACGCTGCTGACAACAGATACCTTTTACCTGTGTTATTAACGTCATCTATGGCTGTGCAGTGATCGCTGGGGCGACCAGTGGAAGGTGCTGGTCTACGACCGGTTCTGCCGCGACATCATCTCGCCCATCCTCAAGCTGCACGAGCTGCGCAAGAAGGGCGTGACGCTGCACATGCTGCTGGACACGGAGCGCGACGCCATCCCCGACGTCCCGGCCATTTACTTCGTGGAGCCCACGCGCGAGAACCTGGAGCGCATCGTCTCGGACTGCGCCAAGGAGCTCTACAGCTCCGTGCACCTCAACTTCGCCTACCCGTTGAGCCGCGAGTCGCTCGAGTACTTGGCTCGAGCGTCGGTGGAGGCTGGTTGCACCAGTATGGTACGTGGTGAATGTTTTGTAGATTACTATGGTGGGACTGCGTTGTGACTTTTCTGTTGTTCTGGTGCTAGATCGCCAAGGTGTACGACCAGTGCACGAACTTCGTATCGCTTGAGCCGAGTCTCTTCTCGCTCAACCTTCCTGAGAGCTACCGCGCGTACAACGACCCGAACCTGGCGGACACGCAGATCGAGCAGTCCATGGGTGCGATCGTCAAGGGACTTTTCTCCGTGCTTGCTACGACTGGAAGCGTGCCGGTGATTCGTTGCCCAAATAACGATGGACCGTCGAGGATGGTGGCTGAGCAACTGAGCTCGACAATCCGCGAGCACCTGGTATGCATACGTTATTTTTTGTCGAAGTTGGAATGGAACTAACGGGGTTTATCTGTGCGCCTGGTTTTAGAATGCAAGGAACGGCGTTTTCACAGAAAACTCATCCAACTTTCAGGTATTGGCTGAGTCACAACATGAAGCTGATATCTTTGCTCGACAAACTAACAACTGGTATGATGGCGTAGCGTCCGGTACTTATCATCATGGATCGCAATGAGGACATTGCATCGAGTTTGTATCACCCGTCGACGTACCAGGCACTGGTCGACGATATTCTAACCATTCAGATGAACCGCGTGAAGGTGACCGTGAAGACCTCGGGTGGCGAGGACGGGGGTGATGATGGTCGATCGGTTGAGCGCACGTACGACTTGGACGTTACGAGCGATAAATTCTTCGAGACGCATGCCGGTAGCCTGTTTCCGGACGCAATCGACGCCAACGAAGAGGAAATGAAGCAAGTTACGCGGAAAGAGGAGCAGATTCGGGCCCAGACAGGTGGCAGCGATGCGCTGATGAACGGTACGAAGGACCTCGTTGCTGCTGTGGACACGCTGCCAGCACTAGTGGAGAAGAAGAAAATGCTGGAAGTTCACACGAACATTTTCCACGCAGCATTTGAGGGCGTTACGAAGCGCCACATCCCGTCGTATTCGATGCTCGAGCAGAAGCTTATCGATGGCTCGCACGTTGACAAGGCTGAGGTGTTGCAGCTCCTGTCAAACAAGGACATGGGAACACTGGCGGACAAGATGCGCCTGCTAATGATCTACTTTCTGTCGAGCGGTGCGAGTGGGGCAGAAATGGCGGAGTTTGAAAACGCCTATCAGCAGTGCGCCGCAGCGTCAGAGCAGCCAGAAGCGTATGCTCAGGCTTGGAAGTTCCTCAGAAAGCACTCGGCTTTCCAACGACGTGCTAGCGTTGGAGCAAGCCTGCAAGCCGAAAACGGTGCCGGGCCTGATGGTGGCGTGAACATGAGCAAATTCAAGGGTCTGGCCCAGGGGTTCCTAGCTCAAGCTGCTGCAAGCTTCAAAAACTTCCTACCGGAGAACAAGAAGCTGCATGTTACGCGTGTCACGGATGCTATTTGCGAGATGAAGCCGAACACAGAGGACGAAAGCTTCTTGTACTTGGATCCGAAGGTGAGGTGTCCCCTGCGCTAATGCAGCTCAGTCACCGTGTTCTAATCCATTTCTCGTTTTTGCGTGCAGATCAAGGCGAATGGCGACGTACCCCGACAACGCTCGCCTTTCCGCGAGGTGATGGTATTTATGATCGGCGGTGGCAACTACAACGAATATCAGAACCTGTTGGCGTACGCCAAGGGGCAACAGCCACCGCGTTCGATCTGGTACGGCTGCACAGAGCTGCTGAACCCAGAGGCGTTCCTGCATCAACTCGGCTCCATCGGTGCATAAGAAAAGAAGTAGACGCAGTCAGTATGTCTGCAACGAGGTGGGCACAAGGAAGAGAGAAATGAACTTCACGTGTTGTCGTTCAGCGCGTGAGTTCTTCCTATCGTCTTGAAGGTTATTCTTTTGCTTTCGTGTATTTCAACGATGAGCCACGTTATCCCGTGCTGTCGCTGATCTTAGTTTCCATGAACTTAGACACCATCTCAACGAGCCCATCCAAATTCGGGTCGAAAAGCTGATCACAGACCAGCTTGCGAATCAAGTTTTTGACTTCATCGTGCTAGGCAAGAGCGAGCGCTTGCTGCAGTGTGGTCAGTGGCCAGTTTCCATCGACGCTTTCACACAAAAATGGGTGAACTGTATCATGGCGAAGCTGGGCAGCAACCATGAAAGCCTTGTGCTGGAACTCTTGAGGTACCCGGTCTTTGTCAGAAAGTAGTTTCACTAACTCTTTCACGTTACGAATACGCTCTCGAGATGCAGCATTGGAGAACGCAGCGAGAATCGCGTCGGCAGAGATATTCGTGTCATACAAGGACATCATCAAATCGCTCTTCTTACGTGCGGCAGCGGCAGCGAAGGCTTTGCCCACCATTCTGGCAGAAATACGGCTATCACCACGCAATAGCGCCACGAGCTCAGACTCCCCCTTCATGGCTGCGGTCACAAATGCGTTGCCGATCATCTCAGCCGGGATGCAGTCCTTTGTGTATAGCAGCTTGATAATCCCAATGAACTCTTTTTCTCCGCTTGAGTAATGCCCATCCGAATATTCACCCAAACTTCCCGTTGCTTTCTCGAATACGGCGCAGATAGACTCGTCCAAGACGTGCTCGCGCTCAAGCAGAATTTTCATGACATCACTACTCCGCGCTGCCACAAACGCTTGGTTGATCGACTTCGCAGACACTCACTTCTTGTCCAAGGCCCTTATCAAACGCCTCAGATGAAACCCGCCCGGTACTGAGTTGAAATTCGAGTGTACTCTTTCCAAGCCCCCTCGATGCTTTTACAAACGTCTCCCCGATCAATTCGGGGTCTTTGTGTTCAGTCTCGTACAGATACTTAGCAGCATCAAGGTGTCCACAACATACCAGACGAACAAAAACGCTTCCTTTCTGGACTCCAGCTTATACAGCTCGTACATCCTGTCAGCCAGAGAATTATCTCCAGCATCCACCGCTGCCACGAATGCGCCTAGCAGATCCCACGAGAACTCGTCCAAGCCCAGCAGATACTCCATCATGACCTTCTGGCCGCCGGAAATGGCCCGTGCCATTGCAGTGGAATCCCAAAAGAGCAGCTCATATAGAGGATCGTCATGCTCTTTTGCATATTGCACCACGTACTTGAGCACGTCAAGAAACCCACGCTCTGCCGCTATGAGCAACGCCCCGTGCGCAGCGCCACACAATTTACCCTTCCTATTTGAATCAGCGGTGACCTTAGACAGCAGCACCTTCAAGACTTCGAGGTGGTTGTTGGTAGCGGCTTCCTCGAACGCTTTTAGTAAATTTTCCCAGCAAGTGTAGGCCTTAACGTTCCGGAACGCGTACTCTTCCAGCAGCACTTCCACGCAGTTAGCGTGGCCACAGCCAGAGGCCTCCACGATGGCGTCTATCACGCTGTTTTCGCCGACGTCATCGAGCAGTTCTTCGAGCCACTCTGCGTCCCCCGTCTTGGCCGCCTCGATGAGAGCTTCGTCTTCGGTCATTAGGAAGATGTCGATCTGCTTGAGAATGTGCGGGATTGCTACGACTTCAGGCGGGAGACACGCGGCTTCAAGTCTTGGATAGGGGCACGGTGGGGGGTCATCTTGCTGGTCTTGTGATGCGCTGGCTCGTGGACGCTTGGGGTCGGTGGGGGTCCGAGCACTGCCGGAGTTTGGACGATTGGGCATGTTGTTGCCGTGGTATCCAACACCAAAATGGCGGGAAAGTTTTCGGCTACGTTTCAGCGGATTTATGTGGCCACCATCCAAAAAATGTGTTTTAACACTTTTTTTTAGCAGCAATATATGCCATGGTCACCAGGATGGCGTAGAAATTGTAGCTCAATTCTTCTGCAGCATCATCACGCTTCATTCCTCTCTTGGGGAGAATAACAACGAGCATGATGCGCGAATTCCTGGTACGTTTATGGGGTCTGTACTGCTCCTCGGAGCCCCCTGGGGTCTACCGCTTGAAGCGAATTGTAGGGAAACCACTCGTAGGTGTCAGTCATCTTCACAGAAAAGCATGGTGTTCAACCTTAGCGAGTACTTGGGAGATTCAGCTGCTTAGCGGAGGTCCTTCACAGGAACATTCTCTTTGAGAACAACTTGTAGACGGGTGAGCAGGCCTCTAGTGTTCAGGCATCACAGGCTCGGCATCTTCTTATTCTGCGTCTGTCATTATCCGTTAGAGCCATCGCAAACCAGCGCACACTGGGGATCGATTTCGGAATATGGATTGCGCCTTCAGTTCGACACGAATGAATAAAAATGCATGCTCAGCGTGAATGTCTCGCTATACACCCTTTGTCAATGCCTTAGACGCAGTCGTTCCCGCTGATATCGAGCGATGAGAAGTCGTGCGTCGACTTGACCACCTTGGCCTTGTACGCGATGGTTTTCCCGCGCGCCCACGAGAACGAGTTGTCCCAGGACAGCACCACCGTGCCGTCTTCTGTTGCCGTGAAGGAGCTCGCGATGGGGGCTCCGCTTGAAACACGCTCAGGTGCAACCTTTTCGCTCTCCTCGGCACCGCCAATGCCCTGCGTGCGGAATTTCACGGCGAAGGAGATATCTCGGTCCTTCACCACGTACTCCCAGCAGAGCGTATCGTTGGCACTCATGCGGAATGGCAGTTGCAGCGTCCCACCTGCCTTGATATCCGCTTGGGTCGCTCCATCTTCACAGAGCAGCAAGAAGGCATTGCGACCTAGGAAACCAGTTTGAGGGATGGCATGCGTCGTGCTTCGCCCACCGAGTAGCTTTGGTAGCTTGTCTCGGCTCCCTGCAAGATCTAGCAACCGCTCGAGCGAGTTACCTTCCATGTGCACCTTGCGCAGCTGGGTTTCTTGAAGCATGGACTTGACTCCACTCCATACTTTGTCGAAGATCCACGGGGCATGCAGCACAAGCACCTTGTGCATCGATTCCGGGTAGCACTTTGTGGCGATCGACACAAGTGGCTTCAAGCGCTTCAGCAGCTTCGGGTTGAAGCGAGCGATGGAGAAGCCCGAGAGATCGCGAACTAGGATAGTCTGCACCAGTTTTTCATTCTGACGGCTGAGCTGGTCGAGCTTCAGCGCACGGTACTCCATCGAGTAGAGGAAGAAAGTCTGCCATTCCTCTTCCGTCACTTCAGTCAACAGCTTATGGAAGTCAGCGTAGCCCGTCATTTCAAAGTAGAAGACATGGCCGTCCGCAGCAGAGAAGACGTCGTACGTGTCCAGGAAGGGGAGGTGCGGGATGATCTTCTGGAAGTGAGGGAACTCGTCCGGTCCCATGTTGTTGTTCACGATGTCGTCGCGAATGTTGTCGAGGTTGAGCTTCTGGCGCATGGCCAGCATTTCTCGGTATTTCGTGGCAGCCACCGACACGTTCATCTTGTGGCCGCGCAGGAAGCGGAGCAGGCGAACGTCGCCTACCAGCTCCACGTACTTGGCGTGACGTTCCGCCTTCAGTTCCTCCTCCAAGCTTAAGCGAAGCGCTATTCACACGACAAGAAACAACAATCAGCAGCTTGTTAACTAGCTTTAAGACCAAAAGCCTAGCTAGCGCGTACCATGCAGCTGGTCCTTCTCCTCCTGAGCATTCTCGGACGCGATAAAGCAGCGCCACTCCGAGTTCTCGTCCACCGGAACCTTGGACGCCGACGCGTGCACAACCGGAATCTCGCTCAATCCGTCCGCCGCCGCGTCCTCCTCATCCTCGACACTCTTGCACGAGTAGAAGCGCTCCAGTCCAGGAGGCCCTTCACCCGCTGGCCCACCGGCAGAAGGCGCGCGTTCGCGATGCTCTGGGAGACTCAGACGCCTCACGCGCTCCTTCTCCATGGCCTGAACCGCCAGCTCCTGCGCGAACACGCGCTCCTTGTAGTCCTGCACCTGCACCTCCTCCGCCTCGGAGATGCGGCGCGTGCGCTCCTGCTCCGCGGCTTCAATTGCCTCCGCCTGGCTGCGGCGGCGCACCATCTCGTCCTGCACCTTGGTGATCTCGTACTCGTACACGCGGCGCTCGCGCTCCTGCTCCTCGGCCGTGATGGAGTACTCGACGTTGATCTGGCGGACGACCGCGAGCTCGTTCTCGCGGTCCTTCTCCTCCTCGATGCGGCGGCGCCGCTCCTCGTCCGCCAGTTCATCCGCCAGCTTCTTGTTGGCCTCTCGCTCGGCCTCCAGCGCCGCCATGTCCTCGGGCGTCTCCTCGACGGCGTCCGCGTCCTTCTTGAACAGGAACAGCCCGGCGCTGCCGTGGCGGCCAGCGCGCGAGTCGCTCGAGCTCTCGTCGTCCACAGTCGTGGGCACGCCAATCTCCTCCTGCATCGCCTCCATCGTGCTCGCTCTTGTCCTCTCCTCGCCTTGCCAAAAGATCTCTCTCCACCTTGAAGCGACGCATGGAGCCATGTACGTCCCAACATGGCTACATTCAGCACGTACGCAAACTGTACACGAAATCGTACTTAGCCCATCGAGATTTGAAATCTGACTGGCAGCTCTTACAAAAACCAAGTGCGGCTGCCAGAGTGCGCAATAATGAGTGCAGCGGCGCCGGAGCTCAACGTGGGCGACTGGCTGGGTAAGAAGCAGCGCCGCAGCGACCAAAAGCTTGCACTTGAGCATACATATCTTCAGTGTTTCCTTCATACTGCGTAGCTTATTTTTTTCGTAAATTACTATGCTAATGACGAATTATTGGAATGTTTTTTTTTCTTTATTGTACGGTAGACGTGGTGGACGGCGACGGCATCTGGAACGTGGCGCAGGTGCTGCGCCTGCCGTCGGCCGAGACGGTGGAGGTCACGTACGACTGCTGGGGCGACGAGTACAACGAGACGCTGCCGCGCGACAGCCCGCGCATCTCCCCGTTCCACACGCACACGTGGGCCGTCAAGTGCTGGGCCAAGCTGGACACCTGGCCCTGGTGGCCGGCGCTGCTGACGGTGCGCGCACCCGGCTCAGACTTCGGCTCGCAGAACTTGAGGCTTGAAGAGAGGCTGCTCGTGGACTTCCTGGACAGTGCAGACTTCAAGGAGCGATGCCGGTCAGCGCTTAATTTTTTTTACTTTAAATTGCTTTTTTTTATTTATTTTTACTGATTTTTGCTGTTGGTGCAGGTGCTGGGTCCAGAAGAGTAAGATTGTGCCGTTCCAGTCGGACGAGGAGACGAGGAAGCAGCTGACGAAAAACAAGAGGAGGAACAAGAGCAAAGGGGAAACGACGCGGTCCAAGAATTTGACGTTTTCCACTGCGCTGTTGGCGAGGTGTGATGCGCGCGAGGATTTCCCAGAGTTTGTGGAGGGCACGCTGCCCGTGCAGTTTGAGCGCAACTTTACGAGACCGACGGAAGAAGTGAGGAAAGAGATGGGCGAGGAGATCTGGCTGCGCGGGTTCGCTGACAACAGGGATAACCACGCTGCAACGCACGCATACATCCCGATGTCGGCTGAGAAAAGAAAAGCCCATGACAGGAATGACGCCGCATTACCGAAGTCGGTGGAGGAGGAAAAGAGTACGACTAAAGAAAAAGCCCACATCGAGCCACAGCCGGAACAACAAAGCATACCTAGCTCTCATTCTGACAAGACCAACGAGCCTCAGAAAGGCAATAGTACTGTTGCAGCAAAGCTACAGAAAGAGAAAATGAATCTCCAGAAAAGAGCAAGGCCTGACGAGGAGAAACAAGCGTTCAATGACACCAACACTGGTCGCGCTGGGAAGGCCAAATCGCCGCGGGTGGAAACTCAAGAAGACAACTCAACCAAACCCCAAGCCGCCATCTCTGTTGTTGTCGGTGCTGACGAAAATGAGGTTAAAGACGTGGCGAAGTCGATCTCTCCTGTGAATGTGCCTCTTGTCGGGACCCGGAAGTACGGGAAAACCCCGAAGGTTTTAAAAACACCAAGGAGATCGGCTACGAATTTGCCGCCGTACACGCCACCCTACGCTCGGGTTCTGCTGCAGGTGAAACCACGGAATGAGCACCACACCGCCCAATCATCTCACGCTCATCACCCCACCTCTCAAGCATCTCGCCCGCGCCATGCTGCTCATCCAGAACCACGCGCTCCAAAAAGTAATTGTACGCTTGCTGTCTTTCCACACGCCATCGCGTACTAACTATTCTTTTATTCAACCTGCTTCTGCAGACCAAGCCAAAAAACCAACAGCTGCTCAACGCGTTGAGCAGGCTCATGTTGATATAAGAATTAGCATGTCAAGCGATGCAAAATCTGACGACGGACCTGCCAGCCCGATTAAGAGCCTTGCGAAGGCAACCAAAGCGACCTTGCGAGCTGATAAAAAACTGCACAGCATGGAAAACGCGCTCAAGGGCAAACTCAGCGAGCTTGCTGAAAAATCTGTCAAGGCTGAAGAGTTGCGCAACAAATGCGCTGCCTTGAGTAAGTGATGGGCCTTGTTGTCCAGTTAATTCGGATGCATGCTAACTGAATCGTTTTTTTTGCTGGTTCCTAGACTCTCGCGTGAGCTCCTCCCCAACGAAGCCCGCACAGCAAACTTCCTCAACAGAAAATGCGCCTCAAGAAGCCCCCGCAAAAGAATCTGCTCAAGTTAGGAGAAAGGATTCACGGCGCGTGAGTAAGCCTTCAGTCAGATCCGATTCTTCTCGGGCGCCAGCACTTGCAAGGAGGTCGTCTCAGTCCCAGTGCGATATCCGCGGATTGGAACTTGCGTTGGACGACAGAATCTCAAAGCTTCAGGGTCTCGATAGTGCTACCACACGTACGTGGATCTATGGACTGTGATACATGCAGCATTTACTGACCGTTGCTTGTACGATTTCAGGTGCCGAGTTTGACGCGATCAAGGCCGACCTGATGAACTCGCCGGAGGTGCAAGCTGCGATCACGCGAATTAAACATCCTAGTTATGGGTGGACAGCATCTGCTGGTGAGTGCCTCACAGCTAGTTGCAGAATTTTCACTTTTATAACGAGAACTTATCCATATCTCTAGGAGCATCCTCTCGCTGGACACCATCGGTATCTCACGGCAGTAGTCTCCGCGCGTTTGAAAAGGCGAAGTCTCGATATTCTGAGTACCTTTCGACTACTGTGTCCCAGGAGCGAAGACCATCCCCCCGGTCGACAAGCCAACATTTTGGTCGCTCGTGGGGATTCGAACGCGAGGATAGGTCAAGTGCGGAGCGCCTATCGAGCCCTTCAAGCTCACCTCCAGCGTACCGCAACAGCTTCCGCTTCAGCGTGAACGACAACTTCTCGATGGACCAGTGGTACCGAGATTTGTACCCGAAGGCTTTCAACTTTCAACAACCATGATGAAATATCTGGAACAGAGCGGAGTGCTCTATCGTCGACGTCCATGTATGTAAGCTTAGGAAATGCTCGTGAATGTAGTGTTGCGTTGGTCGTGTTGAACGGGTGTCCTGAAGTTGTCGTCACCGAGTGTAGCCATGTCGGTGGTCGCAATATCGTACAGAAACCAGTGCAGCATCTGGAAAACGCCACAGACCACTCGTCCAAGTCGAAGTAACCTTAGACCAAGATGACCGCGACTCCGACGCTGTTCGCGTGTGCGCTGGACGTGCTGACTACGGGCGATGCGTTTACCAAGGCCGAGAAGACGACCAAGTACGTGGCGCAGTGGAAGAGTGGCGAGATCAAGGTCGTGTGCGATGAGGACGACGACGTGAACAACGTGCCTGACCATCCGGCGCGCCCCGAGAACGTTGAGGTCGTCCCTGCCTACAAGGCGAAGCAGGGATCCCGCAAGGCTTTCGTGCACAGGTGGGTGGCGAATGCAACGTTATGTATTACTGTGATTTATGCACACAGCAATAACCACCTTGTCTCTGTTTATATTGATCAGTTTGGCGCACGCTGAAAGCTACGCCATCGATCTCATGTGGGATATGGTGTGTCGATTCGTGCCGCACAACCTACCGCGTGCATTCTACGATGACTGGGTTCGCATTGCTGGCGAGGAGGCGGAGCACTTCAACAGTTGGGCTCACCGTCTTACGGAGCTGGGCAGTTTCTACGGTGACATCGCTGGTCACGAGGGGCTTTGGGACGCAGCGTACGAGACCCGCGACAGCATTCTGGCACGCCTGGCGGTGGTGCATCTTGTTCACGAGGCGCGCGGGCTCGACGTGTTCCCCAACGCTGTCCAGCGCTTTGAGAAGGCCAGCGACGACGTAAGCCTGAAGATTATCCACAAGAACTACACCGAGGAGACCACGCACGTGGGCGCCGGAGTGCGCTGGTTCCGATACGTCTGCGAGCGGGACGGTGATGACCCGATCGCCAAGTTCCACGAAATTGTGCCGCAGTATTACAAGGGCACGCTGAAGCCTCCTTTCAACACAGAGGCCCGGAACAAGGCCGGCATGCTGGAGGAATGGTACATTCCGCTCAGCTCGGAGGCTGCAAAGAAGGAATCCGCCGCCGCTGCGACTGTCGAAGAAGCGACTGCTGCGATTTCCACCGTGAAGCTCGAGTCATAACAACGAGAACAAGAAGATATACAGTACAAGAGTATACGCTACCCTTTTAAGTGGCGTACGTACTTCATGGGCCAACATTCATAATCACTCATCGATTTAGACTGCAACCGGTTGGCGTTTTCACTAACGTTATATAGTGAAGCTGCGCGTAGCGGGTTCATTTCGTGTGACGAACTCCACCTGCTGAGTGTGATGGACGTCTCCCGCCACGTTTGAACAAAAATGCCCAAGCGTTCGAACTCGAGCAGCGGTCGGACTCACGACGGCACCAAGCGCCGCCTAACCAGCTCGCCACAAGACCAGCAAGATGAACAACCCCCACCCTGCCCCTATCCGAGACTCGAAGCTGCGCATTTCCCGCCTGAAATTCTAGCAATTCCGCACGTCCTCAAGCGGATCGATATCTTCCTCATGACCAAAGACGAAGCTGTCATGGAGGCGTCCAAGACGGGGGACGCGGAGTGGCTCGAGGACCTGGCAGAAGAAGTTGACGACGACATCATCGCAGACGCCATCGTGGAGGCCTCGACCCATGGTCACGTGGATTGCGTGGAAATGCTGATGGAAGAGTACGTTGCAATTGCCGACCCCACGGCGCACTTTGCTGGAAACGCGTACTAAATGCAGCCGCAACGAATGGTCACCTGGAGGTCTTAAAGATTCTTCTGTGTAACATCTCCCCAGGGTCGGATTCGCACAGCATGGCTGAACTGTGTAGCACTCTGCACGGGGCGCTGCTTGACGCAGCAGAGGGTGGGTTTCTTGACGTGGTCAAGTTTGTGGTGCTACAAGCAAAAGCGCAGGAGCATCGTTACTACGATACGCTATTTCGTAGGTCTACTGCGTTGGCACGCGCCATTTCTGGGGGTCAGACAGCTGTCGTGGAGCATCTACTGGGGATGAACGAGTTCACGTGGGACCTGCAAGGAGCGTTCGTGGCAGCGGTGAAGGTAGGAGACAGGTCTCTGGCCGACAAGATGTACGACCTGTACATGCAGAAACCCCAGAAGGAAAAGTTGTTTGTTTCTCTGGTATGCCACGGAGACCTCGATGCTGTTAAATATCTGTACGAGACTGGACACAACGACGCTGATTTGATCGGGGAGGCGTTTGTGAAAAGTGCGAAGTGGAGCGGCAAGGATGTATTGGAATTTCTGCTTGGTACTGGTCGAGTTTCGGACAAGGCGTTTGATTAGGGCTTCGAAACGGCAGCTGTCCTCTCCTTCTGGGACCCCGTGAACATGGTCTCATTTCTCCTGGACAAGAAGCGAGCATCTTCGAAGTCGGTTAACAGCGCATTTGTGAAGGTGCGAAGTACTGATGTTCTCAAGCTTTTGCTTGATCGTGAATACATATTGGATGAATCTATCTGCGCCGTTTTTGAGAGAGAAACACGGAGCTTGGATGAACATTGGGATTACTCCAAAGAGGAGGAGGGCATTCGGATTATCAAGCTGCTGCACACGAAGAACTGCATTCCGGCTGAGATGATCAGCAAGGCGTTTATGACAGCAGCGTTAAAAGGGCAGTATGTGCTGCTGGCGTTATTGCGTGGTGATGGCCGTATTTCTGCTGGAATGGTAGGCGAAGCTTTCGCTGCCGCTGCCACACGGAAGGAGAGCGATTTGATGATGTCCTTGTATGACGCAAATATCTCTGCCGACGCGATTCTCGTGGCGTTCTCCAACGCTGCTGCCGGAGGACGTATGAAAAACGTGAAGGAATTGGTGAAGCTGCTTTCAGATAGAGATCGTGTACCTCAAGAGTTAAGCACAAGGCTTTTGTGATTGCAGCTCAGGTTGAACACGGTACCGTTCTCCGCACTTTATGTAAATGTGGCAATGGGTTCTGGCCATTGGCCACACTTCAGGAAGCGCTCACTGTTGCCAAGCACGATGACGTCAGGAACTTCATTCAAAGTGTGGTCTGTGATCAGCTTTTCGACCCCAGTCTCGAAGGGGTCGTTAAGATTGTTGCGAAGGCCATGGAAAACAGAATCAGCGACCCAACTACTCACGGGGAATAACGTGGTTACCATGCATGCCGCTGAAAAAAAATAAAACGTTTAGAATCTACGGAGTTGCTCCGTATTGCATCACTTTGAACAGTTGTGTTAGTGCATTGAGGTGAGTCCAACACCAAATATATCTACCGGATAGCTGACTTGGAATTGTATGTGTATGTAACTGGGAATAAATTCGTGACGAATTAAAGTTTGTGAGGCTGGTAAACCAGCAAGCTGGTCTCCCAGGATAATATTTTTCTACACTGTACATTTGAGCTTGGGGTATTCGATTGAAGGGGGTAAGCCAAGAGCATACCATGTGCTCACTCACCTGGTTGTTTACTCGGCATAAGGCGTTAAAGCGGGAGAGTGCCTTTACATGTACTTCATTACTTCATCGGAAGAGCGGCCCTGGTCGGAACACTTCCAGTTCGACCCTCTACTCGGGACCCAATGTCCAGCCTATTGCTGCTTCTATTAGGATGCCTATCAACGACGTCAGCAACGTCGACCTACTCGATCACATCGTACTACGCTGAAGCTGCACGCCGCGGAACACCATACTTCGTGGATATACAAGAGTCGTCGAAGTGCCTTCCTTCCTCGAAAGACGGCGATGCCCCGGTGTCGATTGAGTGTACGACCAACTACACCTTTGCCCGGCCATAGTTGGCCTAATTTGCAAGCAAAGTTGTCATGAACATTGGAGGTACCAGAGAGTACATTACATTCCCTAAAGTATGACTTTCGTTTCATTCAAAGTTGTCTAATTCCCATCGAGAGGTACATGCACCACATGTAGCCGCAAAGCACGTCTCACCCCCTGCTCAGTGAGGGGTGGTCTCAACGCGCCCCCATGTTCCCCTCCTTGAGAGATCGCGCGCGTACAGCTGCCGCTTGATGAAGGGCATGCAGACGCGGATCGGACACTCAAGAAGCTGCACGCACGCACACACGCCTTCGCCTTCGCCATCTTGCCTCTGTGCTGGCGTCACTTCGCAGTGCGAAGTTCGCACTCTATCAGAGTACGCCAAAGGTCTTGAGTTTGCGAGGGAAAATGTGTATTACGTCAACAGTCGTTGGTGGGAATTAGACAACTTTGAATGAAACGAAAGTCATACTTTAGGGAATGTAATGTACTCTCTGGTACCTCCAATATTCATGACAACTTTGCTTGCAAATTAGGCCAACTATGGCCGGGCAAAGGTGTACTTCGGCTCGGTGCGGGAGCACTTCGGCAACTCGCCGTACGTTCTGGTGCTTCAATTCGACAGCGCTGATTGTACGGGATTCTCTTCTGGCTTCGGAATACCAGCGTCCGACAAGTGCGTGGGCACTGAGCTTCGGCCGCATGCGAGCGCAAATATCGCCAGACTCAACGCAGACGGATCCGCATCGATTCGGTGGTATTCTAAGGGCTCATGCCCGGAGGACTCCGTGACAGGCAAGGATATCGTCGACGCGGAAGCTCTCAGGACCCATTCGTGCGTAAGCTCGCGTAAATGGTACAGCGTCGAGGTTGCTCGCAGACTGGGTTCCACCGACGGAAGTGGGGATTCAGTGGGAACCGTCGATACGCCTACCACTGACTCTGGCAGCAGCAGCATTCCGACCAGCAGCACTGGAAGTAGCAGCACTGGTATGGGTACTGGCAGCAGCGACACGGGTATTGACAGCACTACCAGTAGTAGCAATGGTTCTAGCTCTTCGACGACGGGAAATGGTAGAATAACTCCTGCTAGCACGACCAAGTCGCCCGCAACATCGGGCAACAGAGCCACAACTTCACCCTCGACCACGCCCACGCCCAAGCCAACCCCAACTAAAACACCTACACCTACTAGCACAAGTAGTACAAACCGCGTTACCAGTCCCCCATCGCCCACAACAACGCCTTCTACAAGCGGGTCCACGTCGTCGACTGCGACTACAACTGCAGCTCCGACAACAAACGCTACGAGCACCAGCGGAAGCATCCAGGGCAGTGGCTCCAGCTTGATCGCCGGGTCAGGCTCAAGCGGTGGAACAACCGATACGGCTCCGACTTCAAGCGGATCAAGTAGCGGTGGGGTCGGCATCGGTGTCATCGCTGGTATCGCCTGCGGCTGCATTGTTGTCGTTCTAGTAATCGGAGCTATTCTCTTCTTCATCTGCCGCCGACATGACGCAGGAAAACACACAGACGACTCCTACATGCGACCAACTACAGCACCTTCCAGTCGCCTAACAGCGACCCAAGGAATGGTGCGCGGACAGACCGGGTTGTGGGACGACGACATCATCACTGCCAAGCGGATCTCGCGCAGCAAAGTTCAGGTCCGGAATCTCCTCAGTCGAGGCGGGTACGGAGAAGTGTACGCCGGCGTTTTCCACGGTCGGTCGGTCGCGGTCAAGATGCTGCTCCCAGCTAGTCGCACCGACATCAAGCACGTCAACAACTTCCTGGCGGAGGCCAAGATGGCGGCTACGATGGACCACCCGCGCATCGTCTCTCTCGTCGGTATCGCTTGGGACTCGCTGTCCAACCTCTGCGTCGTGTTCGAGTTCATGGAGGGCGGCGACCTGCGGAGTCTGCTGGACAAGTACCTGCAGAGCGGCCACCCCGTGGGTCTGGACCACCAGAAAGCCACCATCGCCATCCACGTCTGCCACGCGCTCACGTACCTGCACCGTCCATTATCCACCGCGACCTTAAGTCGCGCAACGTGCTGCTGAACCGCGACCTGGAGGCCAAGCTGACGGACTTCGGCGTGTCGAGGCAGCGGCTGGACGGCACCATGACAGCAGGCGTCGGGACGTCGCTGTGGATGGCGCCCGAGGTGATGATGGGCGAGCGCTACGACGACAAGGCGGACATTTTCTCGCTCGGCGTGATGCTGTCTGAGCTGGACGTGCACTCGCTGCCGTACGCGCGTGAGAAGCAGACCATGTCGGACGCGGTTCTGCTGCACCGCATCGCCTCGGGGACAGCTCGAGTGGCGTTTTCGCCGCATAGTCCGAGGGAGTTCCAGGCCTTGGGTCTTGCGTGTGTGTCGGTGGATCCTCGTGATCGCCCGACCGCCGCCGAAGCGCTGTACAGAATGCAGCTCATTTTGGCAAACAAAACGTGCCAAAGCAATGGTCGTGGCAATGGAAGGTCTCACCTGGAATACAGTGGCTCATCGGAATCGGGCAGCTACACGATATGATTCCAGACCATTCCATGGCAAGGTAATGACTTCGCGTTTGATGCGTATTGAATCGAATACTTCCAGACCACGAGATGCATGTTATGATTGTGCGTTTGTGAATACACAACAAATTTCCCACGATGCAGTTTTAGACCAACAATATATGTTATCCCCACACCGGCGTCTTCAGGTATCGGGTAGGCTCGTGCAGTTCAGTTTATTGTTGAAGTGCAACTGCGTTAGCTACGATTATGCTGCAGCAACAACGCATCACATTAACTGGTTTCCACCATCTTAACGAGACCACGGACATTTCGGGTCGAAAAGCTGATCGCAGATTACTTTCCGAATCACGTTTCTGACTTCATCACGTTTGGCAACAGCGAGCGCTTCCTTCAGGATGGCCAGTGGCATAAAGTCATCGTCACTCTCACAAAAAGTTGGGAGAACGGTATTATATCCATACTGGCCTGCGATCACGAAAGCCTTGTGCTTGAACTCTTGGGGTACCCGATTTGCGTCTGAAAGTAATTTCGCCAGTTCTTTCACGTTACCAATACGTTCGTGAGTGATGGCAGTGGAGAACGCAATGAGAATCGTGTCGGGGGATATATTGGTTCCATACAAGGACATCATGATATCACTTGTCCCACGTTTGGTAGCGGCAACGAAAGCTTCGTTCACCATTCGGGCGGAAATACGATCATTGCAACGCAGCAACGTCACAAGCTCCGAGTGTCCTTTCGTGGCTGCGATCACAAACGCCTCGCCGATGATCTTAGCCGGGATGCAGTCCTTCGCGTACAGCAGCTTGATGATTTGAACATACTCCTCCTTGCCTCTAGGGTAAAACTCGCTTAAGCTCCTCATTGCCCTCTCAAACGCGGCACGGATCGACTCTTCTCGGATATCTTTGTGTTCCAGCAGAAAGTTGACCACAGCACACGTCCTCGCCGCCACAAAAGCCTTGTTGATGGACACCGGAGTCGCTCGCTTCTTGTCCAAGAGATACGCTATCACGTTCACGTCGTCCAAAGAGAAGGCAACGGCTCGTTGAAAGCCCTTATCGAATGCCTCGGATGAAACCAGCCCCGTACTGAGCAGAAAATCTAAGACATCCGTTCCTCGATATGTACGCTCTGACGCTTCCACAAACGTCTCCGAGGTCAGATCCGGGTCGCGGTGTCCGGTCTGGTACAGATACTTCAGAGCTTTGAGCTTTCCGCAACACGCCAGCGAAGTAAACAATTTTTCTTTCTCGTGCGTCTTGACGTAGAGCTTGTACATTCTATCGGCCAGAGGAATATCTTCGACATCCACTGCCGCCACGAGCGCATTATCCAGATCCCACGACAATTCAGCCACGCCTAGCAAATACTCCACCACAACCTTCTCGCCAGCCGAAATGGCGCGCGCCAATGCACTCGAGCCGTAAACACGCCTGTCGTCATTGCTGCTTCTTGCGTGCTGCACCGTGAGCTTGACCAGGTCGAGATGACCGCCCTCTGCTACGAGAGATAACGCATGACGCACGGTGCCGTAAAGTTCAGCCTTCCTGGATGTATCCGACCCAGGGGAAACCCTACACAACAGCACCTTCACCACCTCGAGGTGGCCATTGGTGGCAGCGGCCTCGATTGCATTGAGTGCGCGTTTCCAGCAAATGTAGGGCAAACGCTCCTCCTCCAGTGCGAACTCGTCCATCAAGACTTCCACGCACTCAGCGTGGCCGTGACCAGAGGCCTCCACGAGGGCGTCTGTCACGATCTCGTCGTTGACATCTTCTACCAGCCCACGGAGCCACGCTACGTCCCCCGTCTTGGCCGCCTCCATGACAGCTTCGTCGTCGGTCATGAGGAAAATGTCGACCTGCTTGAGGACGTGCGGCGGAGTGCGAATTTCAGGCGGAAAACGCGCGGCTTGGAGTCTTGGATAGGGACGCGGTGGGGGCTGATCATCTTGCTGCTCTTGGGGCGGGCTGGTTCGTGGGCGCTTGGGGGCGGAGGGAGTCCGAGCGCTGCTGCAGTTTGAGCGCTTTGACATGTTGTTGCGTATCCTCAACATCTCATACGGCGGGAAAGTTTCATCTGCGTTGTTGGATATCGAGCTTTTATGTGCGACACACAAACTGTACGAAACTGAGTTTTAGCACATGGATGAAACCGCCAAATCTAGTACACGACGGAAGGTGCAGAAGCGTTTGATCTCTAGCAAGAGCTTCAGCCGCATCAAGCGGCCCCGAGCCACTCCACCACAAAACCTACAAGATAAATCTCCACTGCGTTCTTACCCAAGACTTAAGGATGCGTGTTTCCCGCCAGAAATCCTAGCGATCCCTCACATCCTCAAGCAGATCGATATCTCCCTTATGGCTGACGACCAAGCTGCCATCGAGGCGGCTAAGGCGGGGGACGCGAAGTGGCTTTGTGGACTGGTAGATGTTAACGACAACAGCGTGGGAGACGCCATCGTGGAGGCTTCTACCCGTGGCCACGTTGATTGCGTGGAAGTGTTGGTAGCAGAGTACGCGACCAGGGACCTTACAGAAAACTACAGTAGCTGGGCGGACTTACTGGAAGCATTCGAGACAGCCGCCGCCAATGGCCACCTGGAGGTATTAAGGCTGCTGTTGACCGAGATCCGCTCTCAGCCGGATGCACAGAGGAAGGTTGAGCTTCGTTTCACCACGAATCAGGCGCTGCTTGCAGCAGCAGATCGTGGTCATCTGGACGTAGTCAAGTTCGTGGTACATTATGCAAAAGAGGAGAGCAATAAAAACGTGCTGAGGGGCTCACATGCACTGGCACGCGCCATTTCCGGCGGCCAGGCTGCTGTGGTGGAGTATCTGCTGGGTGTGGACGAGTTCACGTGGGAGCTCCAAGCAGCATTCGTGGCGGCGGTGGGGGCACGAGATCGTTTCCTGGCTGACAGGATATACCAGCTTTACGTACAGTCGTCCACGAAGGAGAGGCTGTTTGTTTCTCTGGCGGCCGTCGGACAGCTCTATGCCTTGAAGTATCTGTACGAGGCCGGACACAACGGCCCTGAATTGGTCGGAGCGGCGTTTGTGCAAGCTTCAGAAACTCTGACGAATTCGATGGAAACAGATATGTTGGAGTTTCTGCTGGATACAGGTCGCGTTTCACCCGATGCATTTGATAAAGGCCTTGAAGTGGCGGTTGAATCCACGTGGGATGACGTGAAAGCAACAGCGTACCTTGGGGAAGAAGCGAGCGTCTGCAAAGGCGATTAACGAAGCATTCACGGTGGCGTCTACTCGTAACGTCTTGGAAGTTCTTCTGGAGCACGGGCACGTCCGGGATGAATCTATCCAAGCGGTTTTTGACAAGGCCGTGGTGGACTTTAGTGATCGCTTCTCCAGAAGAACAAGGAGAATGTTGGAATCATCGAGCTCCTGTACACAAAAGACTGCGTCTAGGCTGAGACGCTTGGTAAGGCGTTTGTGACCGCAGCCTCGAACGGAAAGTCTAAACTGGTGGCGTTGTTGCGCGGTGATGGTCGAATTTCTTCTCAAATGGTGGGCGAAGCCTTCGCTGCTGCGGCCACTCTTAAGGAAAGTCACTTGATGATGTCCCTGTTCGACGCAAGTATCTCTGCCGACGTGATCCTGACTGCGTTCTCCAATGCTGCGTCTCGAGGACGTGCCTGCAACGTGAAAAAACTGGTCAAGCTGCTTGCGAACAAGGATCGTGTACCTCAAGAATTCAAGCACAAGGCCTTCGTGATTGCAGCCCAGCTTGGACATGATGCCATTCTCCAGATTTTGTGCGACGGCATTGATGACTACTGGCCACTGGCTGTACTGAAGGAAGCGCTCGCTGCTGCCAAGTACGAAGAGGTCAAGACCTCGATTCAGAAGGTGATCTGCGATCAGCTTTTAGACCCGAAATGTCCGTGGGCTCCTATGGTGAAGCTAATAGAGGACCAGACAAACGACTCGACGAATGCCAGTGGGTAGTGACGTGATCTGGTCACGAGATGCGCCGTGAAAGAATCGTAGCTTGCGCATGCGAACCGCGTATTGCGTACTGCATGAAGTTGTCATTTTTTATCAAAATACATTGGATAGCAGATTTACCTCGCCAGCAAAAGACTTTACGCAACCTTCGAAGCAGCCGAAACCCGACAAGATGCTGGTAAACTTCATCAAATCTCTTTAGTCCTTGCTGCTTTTTAAACACTTCAGCAGGACGCAGATAGAGGTATTGGTAGCAAACGTGAGCGGTGTTCGCGTTGCTGCTGGTAACACTGTTGCCACTTTTGTCGATTGCCGTAGGTGTAAGGCTAGCTCAACTAAATTTCGTTGCTGAAGTCGTGGAAGAGTTTGGGGACGTATTGTAGCCACTTGGGCTACTCTCGACCTCTGCTGGTGTTGCCGTTTCTGTATCAAATGCGCTAGTCGGTGACGGAAGAATTGGTCGCCTGTGTCCGTTCTCGATGAGGGTAAATTACCCTGGGTAATGACGAATCCCGCCATCAAGTGCGACCCCATTACTTTGGATGTTGATCAGCAACTGTACACTGAAAGGTGCGTCGTGAAGCCCATTTACTACTACTAGAAGCACATGTACAATTAGCACTTCAATGATGGTACAATCCGTGAAGACTCTGCCGAACGAGCAATACGACCGCTAAACCCTTCCAACTCGTCAAGACAACATCAGTTTAGGTCACTACAAATACGCAACAGAATACTTAACGTACGCAAACACCCTCAACTCACTCACATTCGCGGAGTCGACATGTCGGAAGTCACGCCGCACGTTCCCTCACTCGAAGAGCTGCGAGCGAGACGGATGTAGCCGTTCTCACCCCAGTACGTGCCCCATGAGTTGCGAATCTTGATTGACGAGGAATCGTAACCCACCGCAACCACAGCGTGGTCGAGCTCCCAAGAATCACAGGAAGACACTACGCCGCCCGTGTACTGCTTCCAGACGTTGTTGCCTGATGCAACCGCAACGACCACCGGGTGCTCGTCGATCGTACTGAGCAGTTCATCCTCACCTGACAACTGTGAGTACCCCGAGAGACCGGTGTCATGAGCGTTGCAGCTGGAGCTGCACGAATACGCGTAGCCAACGTCCGACGTGTACGGGTAGCTGTCTTCAGTGCAAAGGCCGTTCTGTTGCACGGACTCAAGCGCGTATTCTGGGGCACCTCCGCCACAGCCCCAGTTCTGCGAGTTGCAGCTCACCAGTTGCTGCTCCGAGTACTTGGTGAGCGACGTTTTCCCGTTCGCAATACACTGCGCGGACTCGACTACCGATACCGTAGCGAAGGCCCAGCAAGAGCCACAAGATCCCTGGCTTTGAATCGGAGCCATGCACTTCGTTGTTGACCAATCCACCGATCCAGAACTAACGGTAGCCTTCTCCGTCACTATCGGTGAAGACGTAGTCGCACGTGCGCTCGTCGTTGGGGTGGGTGTTGGCTTTTGGTGAGGACGCCAATCCCAGATATTGGAGAACTGGTACGTTGTCTGACCTCCAGTCGAACCCTCCGAGAGCACATTAGCGGAACTATCGCTCGCTGGTTGGACGGTGCCCGCACTCAGACCATTGACAAGATTCTCAAGAAGAGATTGGATGGTTTTCATCCACGAGGTGGCGTCGGAACTTCCGCTCTTGAGGCTGCTTGCCGAATCCCGAGCCGGTATCACTGCGGAGTTGGCGTGTTGCTGCTCCACTGCTCGAAGTCGAGTTATCACGAATGTACGAATTCATGACGTAGGTGGTGAACTCGTCGTTGGTCATGGCTGAGAACGGTGACATGATGGAGAAGTTGGCGTCCGGGTTGGCGGCCTGCACGCTAGCGATGTTCTGCTTGGTCAAGAAGATTCGTTGACGGAGGTCTTCTTCTTGATCGTCAGCACTGCGGTCTTCCGAGACCGGCATCCAGCCGTTCTTCTGGGCTACGTCGCCGAACGCGGTCCTCCACTCATCGAGGTCGGCTTGAGCGCTGTCCTTCTCTTCAAGATACCGCTGGTAGTCGATGCCAGCGTGCATCGGGCGGGCAACAACTGTGATTGTTGCGACCATCGCACCAGCGATTGCTATCGCGAGGCAAAGAGTTGAAGTGCGCATTGCAACAGCTAGGACGGGCGATGACTTGGAAAGGTGGGAGAGCTTCAATTGTGTTGGTTTGATGGTTTGTTGGGGGATTCAAGAATGAGCTCTCGGGTGTTGAAGGACTTGCTAGTCAACGCGGACCAGAGTACGCGTGCTCTACTTGCAGCGATCACGAAGATGATCGATAGCCTGATGAAGCCACTTGACGAGTTCCGCGCGAACAGAGAAAAGCAAGCTTCCACCCAAGAACGGACCCAAGTTCAGGCGCAGCGCTTCGAGGCCATGTCGGTGACGCGATCTGAACATCCCAGCTGGAAGATCGGACATTTCCCTGCCACGTAGCTCCTCGTATCCATCCACGCGTCTGCGCTTCAACCACCACAACAGCGAGTGCTACTGGAACAGTCGTCACCAAGCTGAGTGCTGAGACTTCAGCATCCAATCTCTTGTGGGTAAAACTGGTATGCTTTCGACCTTCCCCTTACTGCGTTGAGATAAAATCACCGTGAAAGTTGACATCTCACCAAGATCACGTGCCTAGAGATCGCTCAGCGGTGGTGACTAACACGACAGAAATCAAGTACTGCTTGAACGATTCTGTTTTGGTTTCGGCTAACCCTGCAGCTGGCTGTCGGTACACTCAAAGGCCCGAAGAAAAGGAAGTTTAGTTTTACCCAAAGAATATCACCGTGGTGTCGGCACAATACTTGGTCAATAACTCGTGGCATTATTGTTCTGGATGGCATCAAGAAACACCAAAAGGAACCACAAGCACTCAAACACAAGAGTCGAGACGATGAGGAATACGCGGGGGACTATTCGAAAGCTCTCTAATAAGGTCGTCTTCCTTGTTAAACTTCTTGTGGGTCTTCTTCAGCGTCCCTGCGATCTCCATAGAATCCTCCGCCGACGTCCCTGACGGACCGATCTCCATAGAGTCCTCCGCCGATGTCCCTGACGGACCAGGAGCTGGGCTCGATGTCGACGATCCTTTACGCGTCTGGGTGGCTCTGGGTTTCTTAGGTGGCATGAACGACGAAGTTACCAGGTAGATTAGCGAATGGACCATGCATGAAATTGACGGGGTGTGATCGTGGTGGATTGACATACTATCACTCTAAGAATTTATTGCTGCGCAGTTTGACTTGACTGGACACGGATTGTCTGCGAAAGCAAGCATATTGTCTTCCCGGTCCGTGTCCCCGTCAGTTATCAGGTTCTGGATTAGGATCAGGAACCGTGACTGCGAAAACTCTCTATTATTTACAAGTACTTTTGACCGATACTTTGACGCACGAACATCCAGGCAAAAATCACGAAGCACAGGAGGCTTCAAAGCAGTTTACATCTTGGGGCGCGACATATCCGTGAGCATGCCGCAGGTGCCGGTGCCGGACGAGCTCCGAGCCATCCGAACATACCCGGCCTCGCCCCAGTCAGCACCCCACGAGTTCCGGACCTTGAAACTCGTGTCGTCGTAGCCGACAATAAGGACGGCATGGTCCAGGTCCGTTGTTTGGCAGCTCGACATGATGCCGCCCGTGTACTGTTTCCAGGCTGCGTTGCCGGAAGCGACTGCCGTAACAACGGGCTGCGACTTGAGCGCTTCAATGAGGCCGGCTTCGTCGCCATCTTTGAGGTGCTCGTAGCCGGTGATGCCGGTCTTGCTCTTGGCGCAGCTCGCACTACACGACGGTGAGTTACCGTTGCTCGAAACGTAGGGGTACGCACTCTCCGCACAGAGGCCGTTCTGCTGGATGTACTCGAACGCGTACACGGGGGCACCACCCCCACAGCCCATGTTCTGCCTATCGCAGCCGACCAGTTGCTGCTCCGAGTACTTGTTGACCCCCGATCGACTGCCCTTGATGCACTGCAAGGACTCGACGGCAGCCACAGAGGCGAACGCCCAGCAGGAACCGCATTGGCCTTGGCTTTGGACGGGAGACATGCACGGAGACGCCGACCAATCAACCGAGTTGGCCGTACTGAGCGTAGCCTTCTCCGTACGGACAGGAGTCGAAGGCTTCTTTACGACAGGCTCAACGACAGGAGCACGAGTCTGCGGCTTGGGGGCAGAAGTCTTGGGGGCTGCAGTAACCGGGATCGGCGCCGGTGTTGGTGCCGGTGTCGGTGGTGTCGGTGCCGGTGTCGGTGCAGGTGTCGGCGGTGGCGTTGGAGCTGGCGTTGGAGCTTGGGTGACAGGCACCGGGGCGGCAGTAACAGGAATTGGTGCTGCGGTTGCAGGGGCCGGCGCGACAGTAGCGGGCTTGTACCATTGGTTGTTGGCAGGTTGAACCCAGTGGGTGTTGGTCGAGGTGCTGGCGTCCTTGGCGACGTTGTCGGTGGCGGGCTTCACCGTGCCGATCGTCCACGTGCCGCCCATTTGCTGCTGCAGACTCTTCATGAGTGCATTGATCATGTCCTGCATGCTCGTGAACGTGTAAGCTTCTTGCTGCTGTCGAAGAGAACGCTTCGTGGTGGTGGTGGCAGGCGGGGCTGTCGTCGCCCGAGGCGGCGGAGGGGGAGTCCGGGTGTGGTTGGCTCGAACGTACGAGTTGAGGACCTTGGAGGCGAACTCCTCCTTGGTGAGTGCCGAGAACGGCGTCATGATGGAGAAGTTGGCGTTCGGGTTGGAAGCCTGTGCCTCGAGAACGTCCTGCTTGCTCATGAAGATGCGCTGGCGCAGGTCTTCGTCAATGTCGTCCAAGCTGCGTTCCTCCGAAAAGTCGGGCATCCAGTTGTTCTTGGTGGACGTGGCGAAGAACTGCTGCTTCCAAGACTTAAGGTCGTCGTCAGCTTCGTCCCGTTCGGCGAGATACCGTTCGTAGTTGATGTTGGCGTGCATCTGCCTCGCTTCAACGACGCTTAGCGTTGAAGCTGCGAGCCAACACGTCGCGATCCATGCAGTCGACTTCACCATATTCCAATTGAAGTCGAAGCGTGCCGCTTACAGGAGAAATAAAAAAATGAGGCTCGGTCACAACGCCAACTGGAGGCTGGTCCGCATCCACCGAGACCGAAGCCACGCGCGGACCGGAGGCAGGAAGATCCATCTGATCGCCATGTTCATCCGGGCCATCTGTCGACGAAGAGCCGATCCATTTGGAGCTGTTGGGCGCCTCGTTCGAGCAGCAAAAAATCTGAAAATCTGTTCGGAGACTTTGAGCAGTGCGAGATTTCTACCGGACCAGGTGCCGCCCTCGCAGCCACTGCCTCGCGAAAGAACTCGCTGTTGAAACGACCTGACTGTGCTCATTCGTTTTCGCGCTGCACTTGCATCAAGTCCAGCTCAACTCGGCCAGAGTCATGTCCGTTGGACGACTATCGAGCTGCATCCGGTCGGTTAGTTCACGCTGATAAGATACGTCTTTCCTCTAGTATTGCGTCGTCACGCGTTGAATCACTAGCCACGCGGTTTGCTAGAAGCGTGCGCGGCACTGCTGGCCTGACCGTCCAGCCAACATTTCACGGCTTGGGTCATGTCTGGAACGGTAACTACCCACTCAGCTGTGCTCGCTGGGGCCAGCATGTTCACAAGTGGTAGAGGATGCAGAGGCGCGGACTTGCTCACGTGCTCGCCAAGTGGCGGACCTTGTGGAGATATCATTGCCCCGGGGACATCTGCTTAGCTGTGGTCTGGTCAACGACCGAAAGTTGAAGTCTCTCCTCTATAGCACCGCACATTGAAGACAAAGCCTTGCTGCTTTCGTTTACTTGTTATTGACGCAGTTTACTAACAGCATTCTTTCACTACGCTGCACTACACTACACTACACTACACTACACACTCATCGAGACATACAACATAGATATCCTAGAAGGTGGGGTACGACATGTCGCCGTACATGCCACAGGTGCCGGTGCTGTCACTCGTTCGCTCTAGTCGAATGTAACCCTCCTCGCCCCAGGACTCGCCCCACGAGTTGCGGATCTTCCACTCGCTGTCCGTGTAGCCCACCACCACGACGGCGTGGTCGAGCTCGGTGGTATCGCACGACGAGATCACTCCACCCGTGTACTGCTTCCAAGCGTTGTTGCCCGACGCCACGGCGACGATCACCGGCTGCTGGGCGACGGCAGTGGCAAGTCCCGACGCGTCGTCCACTGTCTGGTAGCCGGTGATGCCCGTGTCGACTGCCGAGCAGCCAGTAGAGCACGACGCCGCCGTGCCGTCCGACGACGTGTACGGGTAGCTGTCCTCCGTGCAGAGGCCGTTCTGCTGGACGTACTCCATGGCGTAGATGGGGGCGCCACCATTGCACCCGTAGTTCTGGGTATCGCAACTCGTGAGCTGCTGCTCCGAGTACTTGGTCAGCGACTTCTGGCCCCCGTTGATGCATTGGCCCGACTCGATGGCCGCGGCGGTGGAGAACGCCCAGCAGTCACCGCAAGAGCCTTGGCTCTGGATGGGGGACATGCAGCTCGAGTCCGTCCAGTCCACCTCGTTCGAGCTTGACGTGGTGGACGTATCGGTGGCCGTCACCGTCGCCGTGGATGCGGAAGACTTGGCCGATGAGGTTGCGCTGGGAGCTGCCGTTGTCGGAGTCGGCGTGGTTGTCGGAGCTGCCGCTGCTGGGGCAGCAGTGATTGGAGTGGTCGGTGTCGGCGTTGTCGGTGTCGGTGTCGGCGTTGTCGGTGTCGGTGTCGGCGTTGTCGAGCTCGAATCAGAACCGGCAGGCTTGACGGTCTCCGGTTGGAAGTCGTTCCGGCCCATTCCACCAAAGTTGAAGCCGTTGCCCCACTGCTGCCAGAGCGACGAAAAGCCCGAACTGAAACCAAAGTTCGACGCTGCATTGGCCGCCGATCCCGACGAGGTAGTGACAGTCGTTGATTCCGTTCCGGGCCCCGAAGAGGTTGTCGTAGTTGTAGTGGTGGTGCTCTTACCGTCGGCTCCCGTCGTCGTGACACTCTTGACGCTGTAACTCGTGTCGCTGTTTGACGTTCCTCCCAAGACCGACGTGGGGCTGCCGCTGCTGGCCGAGGTGGTCACCGTCTTGATGCTCGGCGTGGTGCCCCTGCTGTATGTGGTTTTGGTGCTGCTGCTTCTGTGCCAGCTGCGCAGCCGGCGACTAGCGGAACTGCTGCTTCCCACGGCCGATCCGTTGTACGCCCGGTAGGCCTTGCCCACGTAGGCGGCGAACTCGTCGTTCGTGAGGAGCGTGAAGGGTGTGTTGGTGGAGAAGTTGGCGTTCGGGTTGAGCGCCTGGATGGCGGAGATGTTCTGCTTGGTCATGAAGAACCGCTGCAGGTGGTCCTCCTCCTCGTCGTCCATGCTGCGCTCCTCCGAGTTGCTGCTGGACGGCGGTATCCACCCGTTCTGCTTGGCCATGTCGCCGAAGTTGGACTTCCAGTCGGCCAGCTCCTGCTTGGTCACGTCCCGCTCGGCCAGGTAGCGGTGGTAGTCGATCCCGGCATGCATTTGACGTCCGCTCACTCCGGACACGGCGGCCGCTGCGATCACCGCGACGCCGATGTAGCGGAGGGCGCGCGCACTAGTGGATCGGTCTCGAGACTGCATTGCTTTTCTACGGATAACTTCGGTGCGCTACGTTCGACTCGCCTCGCGCCGAGCAAACAAATCAAAGAGTGAGTCTTGAAGACGGTCGCCCACGCGCGGAGGATGCAGAGGAGCGCCAGGCATGCGCCGTTGCTCTAAAGGGGCAAATACGTAGGACACCCGATAGCCCTGGCACAGCAGACCATTTGGAGGCATCACGGACACCTTGGGTGACGGTACGTCAGTCCATTGAGGCGAGTGTGGCGAGGTAGAAGCGGATACGTCTTGCTCATCTGGTCACTTCGCACCCGCCTCATGGTTCCGCGGTGCCGGCTGCAGGCGATTCTGCACGCCCAGCTGGCGCCAACGTGTCATGGCGACGCGTTGCCGTCGCTGTTGTGGCGATGAGATCGACTAGCAAAGTGGCTTCGCTCTCGCAGCCACTGGCCAGCACCTGGACCGTTGGAAGCGTGCGCCCGGACAGCCAAATGCCCGCTAGATCAGATTCAGCCGATCAGCTGTATCCGCCCGGCGCAGTTGAGCGCTGCAGCCCACTCCGCAGGTTGGGCTGGTCGCGCTGCTCTCTAGGGAAGGCATCGTTGTTACACGGAAGGCCCGGCACCGAAATCGGCGCCGTCGTCTCGGAACGAAAGGAACAACATCCTCGTGCAGATCTCGAGTCTGGAGACGAAAGGCGTTCGGTCTGCAAGACCACATCACATGCCACGGATCATTTCGTTCTCGATCCACACGAAAGAAGGTTGAAGCCGTAGGTGATCGGTCTCCAATGCGGACAACCAGACAAGTCGTGCGCCGCAGGCGGTGACAAACTGGAATGTCACTGCTGCCTTATACACGTTCCCGGCTTGGATAGCGCGGAACTTGCTGCTTGAGCGAAAGCGCAATCCAAGCGGCCGCCGAGATGTCGATTGATCACTGCCACGCGAACGCCTTCGTCCTGGCTTTTAGATCTGTAGTGAGACTACATGTATCTCCCGATCTCGGGAGCATTGGGCACGAGCGAGTCCATGTTGTCATGAACGGAGGCCAGTACGTTTACCTTGCCCCCAAGCGCCATCATTTGTTAGGTTTTGCTTGCGCTCGAAGACGCAGGTCGAGCGCTGTGCGTATACACTTGGATAGTGCGGCGTGAGCGTGGCATATTGGTACCAACGTGACGTGCACTGAGAGATTCAACCTCTTCAACGTAACCTTGAAAGCGTTATGCATGTACAAACCGACACGAAGCAACCATGTTCATGAGAGACGTAAGAACCGAAACACGATCACGTGTGGCTCCTACACTGCAAAACGGGATATCGCGGTGCTGCCGTCCGTAAGGAACGTTCCAAGGCTTGGAGCGGATGTCGTGCACGGTTCACCCACACGAGACAACTTCGCCGAAAAGAGGAAGACTCGGCACCCAGCAGATGCAACGTTCGACTCGAACCGGCCGCAATTGGATCAACGTAGCATGCTTGCACCAAGGTGTTGAGTCCTGTAGACTGGGCTACAGTACACCATTGCTCTCACCGCACTCGCCTTGACGCTAAAGTTCCAAAAGCATCGCGACCGTAGTGTCAGGACATTTTATCAGCTCTCGCAGATCCTATAATCTCTCTGGTTATCGATTTCGCAGTGCTACATCTTCTCTGTTATTAGGATACTGTTGCTGCACCAACTGCTCGTGAAATTCGCATATGCCAGTCTTTCGACTTTACAGATGTTTGCTGCGGAACCACGATGGGGATTGCAGCAGACCCTGGTCTGCCGGAAGACACTGTGTCCGTTGGCTGTTCGAACACCACTCGATGCGCTTTAATCGCTACAGTAGCCGCCGTTGATGTGCCAACTTCGAGTTGCAGGTGTAGACTCCACCTTGGCGATCGCATCGCTTCGAAGTCGGCATCGTACGGTGCGATGTCCCAAGCCATTGCCAGGACAGGCAGCAGGTGCAAGTCGCATATCCCGACTCTATCCGTGGGCCGATCCTAGGCTAACTCACAATCGCAGACCAAACTCCCAGGTCGCTTCTACGCGGCTTGGGCAGTTTGAAACTTGCTGCGTCGTGGGCACTCACTTGTTTGGGCTGAAATCACAGGACATCGAGACAGGCAATACAGGGCAAATACCTAGGAACGGCGAAGCATGCAGCCTCGAGTGTCAACCGCGACGGTGGCGTTGGCGGTGGCCGTCATGGCGGCCGGTCTGCCCGATAGCAGCACGCTCGTCGACGCGCGACCGATGCACGCGGCCATCGTGTCCAAGTACCATCGGTACTTGGAGGAGAAGGACGAGATTTCGGCCAAGCTGGACGCGTGGCTCGAGGTGTGGGGCCCCAAGGGACCGAAGAACGGGTACATTCCCGTCACGGAGTCGCGTAGTTTGGACGACGAGCTGGAAGACCAGCGGCAGCGGTTCTACCTGACCCAGGAACAGATCTCCGAAGCGCGCGAGGCCAACCCGATGGCGGAATTCGGCACGGACGGACCGTTCACGCTCATGACGATGGACGAGTTCAAGCAGTTCCTGTCGAACACTCACGTGAACGAGGCGGAGAAGACGGAGGCCCCGGAAATCCAGAAGCCGAAAACGATGTCGGAAAAGCAGGACGACAACAGTGAATCAGAGATCAAAAAGTCCACGAGTGACGGTGACGACAAGAAGGACGCTGATGACAAGAAGAAGACTTTCGCGCCAGCGACGGAGGGCCCGACTGTCATCGCTGCCGTGCGTCGCCTTCGCACTTCAGGTAAAAGTCAGTTTGCGTTCAATGGAGGCGATTACAGCGCAGACGCCGAGAAGGGCTACCAGAGCACGACGGATTCGTACACTCAGACGACCCAACCGATGTACCAGGGCAACACTGGCAGCAACGCAGGAAACACGAACGCGAATACGAACGGGGGATGGAATTTCGGGGATGTGTCGACAGGCGACAGTGCTCAGGTTGGCACTGTCTCGACAGGATCCAACAACCAGGCCTGGAACTGGTGGGGTAACAATGGCTGGGAAAACAACGGCACTTGGTGGAACACTAACAATTGGTGGAGTGGAAACACCACTTGGTGGAACAACTGGGGAGGCTCAAACACAGGAAACTCTCAATGGACTCCGGCGCCCAATTCTCAGTGGACGCCACCGCTGTCTGGGTGGACACCTCCGTCAGGATCCGGGAACTCTCAGTGGATACCGGCGCCTGCTTCTTCAGATAACCAGTGGTCTGCAGGATCGTCAAATAACAATCAGTGGACGGCCCCTAACACTGACGAAACACCAGCAGCACAGACCCCTACAACCCCAGTGCCGACATCAGTTCCTGAAACGGATCCTCCCGCTGCACCGCCAGTGACAGACCCGCCTGCCACTGAGGCCCCGGTCACCGCACCGCCGGCTACAGATCCTCCTGCCACCAAGGCACCCAAGCCCGCAGCTCCTGCCCCTGCTCCTGCTCCTGTTCCTGCTACTAAGAAGAAGTCGACGACGACTGATCTCAAGACCTCAGACACGACAACTGCGGGCGACTCGGACTCGGACTCGGTCGACTGGAGCAAGTCGGGCTGCGTCAACCCTCCTGGTCTGCAAGGTCAGTGTGGCAGCTGCTGGGCGTTCGTGAGTATCGGCGCTTTGGAGGCCGCTCAGTGCATCGCCAATGGCGACAAGAAGGCGCCCACGTACTCGGAGCAGCAGCTCGTGAGCTGTGACACGAAGGACTACGGCTGCAACGGTGGCGCCCCCGTGTACGCCATGGAGTACCTTCGCGACAACGGAGTCTGCACGGAGAGCAGCTATCCATACACCTCGATGGAAGGCGGAACTGCAGCCGCGTGCGCGAAGACGTGCACCCCCACCAAGTCGGGCATCACGAAGATCGTCCAGCTCAAGGCTGGCGACGAGGCCGCGCTCCTAAGCGCCGTGAAGACGCAGCCCGTGATCGCGTCAGTCGCGTCCAACAACGTGGCGTGGAAGCAGTACATGGGCGGCGTGATCACGTCCTGTGACACCGCGACGGTGGACCACGCCGTGCTCATCGTCGGCTACGACGCCACCACCATCAAGGTCAAGAACTCGTGGGGCACCGACTGGGGCGAGGACGGCTACGTGCGCATCAGCCGCAGCCCCAAGAACATGGGCACGTGCGCCGTGCTCACCGACATGTCGTACCCCAAACTCTGAGAGGAGACCATCTTTTTATCGTGAAAAAAATATACGTCAAAGTCTGCGTGGATCGTTTTCAGCAAGGCAACTTCAACTTGGTATATGTGTACCATACACCAATTTAGCGTACGCACACGTCAACGGTGCTAGAATACCTTAATCAACACGTTGAGCAGGTTATTGATTCTAGAATCCAAAACGCCACGTTTCTCATGTGAGACGAGGTTACGGATAAACATTTGTTCTGAAAGGTAAAATACGCACATGTACCCCTTTCCTCGCATCAAAGCATCAGCAGCGCCCTGCATAGCCGTCGCCTTATGCCCGCGCTGCAGCGTCTCGCGCATCTCCGCATCCGCCCCCGCCGCCTCGCGCCCCTCGCCATGAGCTCCTCGCCTCCTCGCCGCTTCGCCTCGTCCCGCCCGGACGCCAGAGCCACGGCGCTCACGCGCTTCGTGGACGAGAACGGCGCCATCCGCTGCGGCCAGCGCACGGACGACGGCTCCACGGCGCTCCTGGTGGAGGACGACGACCCGCTGGGCTCGCTGCACTTCACGGGCGAGACCGCCACCATCGAGAAGGTGCTGGTGCCCGTGGTGCCGTCGCAGATCCTGGGCATCGGCCTCAACTACCGCAAGCACGCCAAGGAGACCAACATGCCCGAGCCCAAGTTCCCCGTGCTCTTCACCAAGGGCGTCAACGCGCTGCAGAACCCGCACGACCCCGTGGTGATCCCGCGCGTGGCGTCGGACCCGCCCGAGGTCGACTACGAGTGCGAGCTCGCCGTGGTGCTCAAGGAGGCCTGCCGCGACGTGACCGAGGAGGAGGCGCTGAGCTACGTCGGCGGATACACGTGCGCCAACGACATCTCGGCGCGTCGCTGGCAGGGCAAGAAGGGAGGAGGCCAGTGGTGCCGCGCCAAGACCTTCGACACCTTCTGCCCGCTGGGCCCCGTGCTCATGACCCCCGAGGTCATCCCGGACCCGCAGACGCTCGGGATCGCCACCTACCTCAACGGAGAGCAGGTGCAGAAGTCCAACACGGGCGACATGATCTTCTCGGTCGCCAAGCTGATCAGCCAGCTGTCGCAGGACTGCACGCTGCCCAAGGGCACGCTCATCCTCACGGGCACCCCCGAGGTGAGATATATTGTGTGCTGGATGGTGTGGGTTAGGGGGCTAACTGTTGTTGTTGATATTGCTTATGCGTATCTTTGCAGGGTGTTGGTGTCGCTCGCAACCCTCCGCTCTTCCTTGCTCCCGGAGACATGGTGGAGATCGAGATCGAGCGTATCGGCAAGCTCGTGAACCCTGTGGTGGGCGCCTCGGCGCTGTAAGTGCAGTACGTGAAGTGTAGCCTGGCCGCTTCCAAGTTGCCAGTCTCAGCCACGCGGGACTCGAGATCGAGTGCAGGTTTCCTCGGAAGCAGCTTTGTGCTAATCCCTTTTCTCAAAGAAGCTCGTCCACGTGGCGTTTTGAACGAAGTCATCCTAGTGTGTACGCGAGTCCCGTCTCCCAGTGCGGTTTGTCTCTATCTTCTTGCAGCCCGTGAAGCCGAAGCGAGGCTCTTTTGCGCTCTTCCTAGCTTTTCGGTGCGCGCCGCGAAACCACACGGCGACGGCACGATGATAACGAGTGGTGCTCTGTTTTACACTTGCGGTTGCCCAAGGTAGGACCACCAGCCGAGAGGGCGGAGCTTGCTTGCCTTGCAAATGCATTGCGACCTTGACGCAGCGTTCGATCGCGGGGTCCGCCACCACAACTCGGCTCCCACCGGGAACCCGTCTAAGCAGCAGCAATACACTGTAAGTGAGCCACGCACGCATTGAATCAACAATGGACCGGGTTACAGTAGTCCGCCCGCAGATAGCTAAGGTGTCGGCAGCCCAGATATCATCGCTGCTTGGGACCAGATCCCTTCCGGCCGGGAAGGGATCCGGTACGGCAGCATTGACGCGGTTCCGCCTGGCAAAACTGTAAGCTGCTGCTCGACGCCTCGACGGGCGTGATCGAGTGTCGATCGGCCGATCAATCGCCGCCGCCGCTGGCTGTGGTGCATGGACGTCGGTGACACCTTGCTCACCGTGAGCAAAGCATTCAGTGCACGGCAACAAGTATCTTCAACAACGGGCACGCCGCTGCTACTTCACAGCGCTACTTCGCAGTGCCGCCCCATCTGCAGTGGGGTCCACACCACACCACACCGAAGTGGGGTTTGGTAACGTAAATTCCCAAATAATACCCCTTACCCGTATAGTACCCTCTAAAACGTAACCCACTGCGTAACCCATGATTACATGGTTACTTCAATACAAATACCAAGTATATTTTTGGGGGCTTATTGTCGAAAGCATGTTTATGCATGGAATACTGTATAATATACGTAATTTATCAGATTTTGTTTGAAAACGGGAGGGTACTAATAAATAGTGCCCGGGGTATTATTCGGTAATTTCCGTTAGTAGTCAGCAGAATAGTAGCGATAATATTACTACTACTATATCACTACTATAGCACTGTGGTCTGCGCCTTATAGTAGTGATATAGCTATAGTAGCGAGAAAAAATGCCACTAGTAGTGATAATATTAGTGTTAAAATCACTACTACTATCCCGAACTTCAACCCACGTTAGATCTTCAAAAGGCGCGAAAATAGGTGGTTCTCAGCCCTCCCCTCCGCGCGCTTTGCGCTCTTTGGCTCATTTCTCGATACTCGGGCGGAGGAACAAGCAGTTAAAGCGCGCTAGGAGGGCTGTCATTGGTGGAAGGAAGCAAAGACTTCATCGTGCAGTTTGTATTCACCAGTCGAGTAGTCCGTCGACCTCTGAAAACGGTAGGGCTGCCAGCACGCATCATCTTGCTTGGCTAATACTTCTACCAGCAGGTTCTCCAGCCACCCGCGCCTCAGCAAGTACTTACTGACAGCGACACAGGAGTTAAAGAAGCTAGGAGCAGAGTCACTAACAGTATCCCTGACTACATCATTCATAACGCACTCACGATCGATCGACTCGGTGTGGAGCTCATCTAACGGCAAGGCCAAGGCATGTACAGTATGCATATTGTTTTGCTGTGTGTGAATCCGGAGATGTGTTCACTACCGTCCTGACTTTAGGGATCCAAGTGCAATTTTCGGGTGGCATCGTGCGGTGGCTGATCCTGGTGCGTGTCTGAATTTCTGTTTTGCTCAAAGCTGCTGAATCTCACTGTATCGTTTGCGAATACATTTTAATTGCTTAGATGGCGATGTCCTCGTCGGCGTTACTGGTCAGCTGCTTAACTTGCTCGAGTTTAGCTGGGGGCGTGGTTGTTCAACAGCATTCCTAGGTTACTTCGTGACGGGACCACTACGAACAAGGATTTCCTAGGTTACTTCGTGACAGGGCCACTACGAACAAGGATTGACCTTTTACACTGCGGCTTTGGCGTCGTAGTTCGCGCGCGTGGAGGAAAACAGCGGCAGAAATGGGTACAGTGTAGATAGTAGTACTATAGTAGTGATATTAGTAGTGATATCTACTAATGACGTTCTCCAACTGCTAATAGTAGTATTAGTGCTATCGACTCTGAGTCGGATAGTAGTAGTAGTATCACTACTAGCCAAAATTCTCACTACTACCAAACCCTGATTGTGAGCCGGAAGGCTCGTAAACTTCTTGCGAGCTTTCCGGCTCAAAGCAAGTTTACGAGCTCGAGTCCTGTCAAGCCGAGCGAAACCTTCACGACATGCAGTTCGCACACTGCAGCGCAGTCAACGGCTGCAATGTAGAAAAACAGCGGGCCCACGACCGTTTAGAGTTAACTCGTGGCGTCTGCAAACGTCCAGAGCCCGAAACTATGCGGTTCTTACCTACAAGCACGAGTGTCGAAAAAAATCAACCGGTTCAAGACAACCCGCTGCTGACGGACTGGCTGGCTGGCGCAGAAGTACGCGTGGCCCCCGACCGTTCATGCAGCCAAACAGGCACAGGCGGCGCTGCATATTGCACTCGGGGCATCTCCGCTGGCGCCAGCACTTATTATTTTCTCGCCGCTTTCGGAGAAGAGGCCTCGGCTCGCGGGTCGCCTTGTTGCAGCTCGGCGTCAAGTCTGCACCGCGGCTGTGTCCACGGGGCAATCGCTACTTCAGCCGTCGCCGCCGCGGATTGGCTGTAATCGCGCCGTCGCGACCCGACGGCCGACGCGCTACTTCAGTGAAAACCGGCACCGTTCCCCCCGCGCACAATAGAGCGAGCGAGCGAGCGAGACGCGCCCCGCCGACGCAGAGGAAGCCGCCAGCGAAGCCTCACCCGCCAGCGCACGGCCGCAGGCTCAGCCGAACTCTCCCCCCGCCGCGGACGGACGGACGGGAGCTCATCGATCGCGTTTGAGAGACCCCTTGGCCGCGTGAACCCCAGCCCTGCATCAATCGATCACGTTCTGTGATATCGAGCCTCTGCCGCAGTACACTACCGGTATTACTTTCTCTCTTCCGCCAACAAGGCTTATGCGCGCTTCCGACATGCCGGCGTCGACTGCCACGGAGACTCTGGACGACCAGGACGAGGCGTACCTGGCCCAGCGTCAGTCCACCATGGACTCGGCCACGCTGGACAAGCTGCTCATGGCCGAGAAGAACCTGGCGCAGGCCGGCCAGGCCACCACCAACGTCTGGAAGCTCATCGGCAAGCTGCCGAGCGAGGAGCTGGACGCGCCGCCGCCCGCGCGCGAGGCGCCCAGCCTCTCGGCCAGCATGTCGCTGCCCGCCCGCCAGAACTCGCGCTCCGCGGTCAGCTTCTCCGCGTCCCCGGGCAGCCCGCGGCGCACGCGCACGCCCACGCGGCGGAAAGTGTCGACCCAGGCGTCCGACGACCTCTCGAGCGGCAAGTTCCTGTCCTCGGGGCCGCTGAGCCCGCACAACGAGCGCAACCGGTGGGCGGCCACGGCCCCGACCGGCTCCAGGGACCTCGTGGTGGACACGTCGGACGCGGTCAGCGTCGAGGCCCGGGCCAGCCCGCGCTACAACATGGAGATCCCGCGGCCCGACTCGGTGGGCCGCAGCTCGCTCGGCTGCTACGCGAGCACGAGCCAGAGCAACAGCTTCTACGAGCGGCCCACGCACTTCAACGGGTCGGGCGGCGGCCACGCTATCGACACTCTGAGCGACTCGTCCACCAACTTTCTGGTGGAGAACGGCCGCAGCAGGTCCACGCACACGAGCAGCAGCAACGTGTTCGGCTTCAACCGCAACGCGCCGCCGTCGTCCGAGGTCACGCTCTACACGTTCACGGTCAAGAAGAGCGACAGCGTGCTGGAGAAGCTCGGCAGCAAGCGGGCCAGCATCCAGCTGCAGGTGGACGTGGAGGAGCGCATGATCTACTTCCTGTCGGCCCACGACCAGCGCGAGGAGTACAGCTGCGCGGCCGTGACGGCCAAGCCCCAGTCGCGCCTGGGCATGCAGCTCAAGATCCAAACGGGCAACGCCAGCGTGAACAAGAAGATCACGTTCTACAGCACGGAGGACCGCGCCAACTTTGTGCAGGCGCTGGAGCAGGGCAAGGTCATGGTCTACAGCAAGAAGAACCCGATTGCTGGCACGCCCTCGCGCGCGCCCACGGAGATCATCGACGAGACGGCGTCCACTGTCTCCAGCACCTTTGAGCGCTCCAAGCTGCGCGACTCGATGGTGAGTGACCACTTCAATCTGCTGCCGGGTGAGTCGGTGCTGGAGCATGTCCAGCGCGTGACCAACCTGGTGGTGATGTCCCAGAGCGACCGCGCAGTGCAAGGCGTGCTGAAGATCACGTCATACCGCATCACGTTCGTGCCGTACGATTCATCGTGGAAGTTCGGCTCGTTCGAGTTGCCGCTTGCTGCTATTGATCTGATCACGAGGGATGGCCTCATGCTCCTCATCACGTGCAAGGACCTGCGTACGCTGCGACTCGCGATGCACGACGCGTACTCGAGGAAGAAGGGCTACGACCAGCTCCCGTCGACGCCCGACTTCCGGTGGCTCAACTTGCTCACGTTGCGGATGAAGCCGCCGAACATGATCGGCGCGCTGTTTGCCTTTGACTACCACACGGAGCTATCGAAGGAGCGTACCGCTCCACTCCCGGAAAAGCACAATGGCTGGTTCGTGTACTCGCCCTTCGCTGAGTACCAGCGTCTTGGCTTCCTGTCGGCCAAAAAACAGCCGGAAGAGGAAGGCGTGATCACGTGGCGACTGCTCAAGAACTCCAAGTTCCGCTTCAGCCCCACGTACCCGCAGCTTATGGTGGTGCCGTCGCTCATGTCTGAGGAGCAGCTTGTGCAGTCGGCTCGCTTCCGATCACGCGCGCGTCTTCCTGTCGTCGTGTGGCGCCACCCTGTGAACAAAAGCGTGTTGTCCCGCTCCAGCCAGCCTAACTACGGTATGGCGGGCAACCGATCCGAACCCGACCGGATACTTCTGCGCGCGTACCGCGACTCGGCCAACAAGAACAGCTCGAACATGTCGCCGCCTCTGCACATTATCGACGCGCGCAAGCCCATCGCAACCAAGGGCAATCGCCTGAAAGGAAAAGGTACGCAACTGATGAAACGTATTATCCGGGCTTGTTGAAATGATTGCTGATCTTATGTTTCTTGATCGCCTATGCAGGTGTGGAAAACTCGCAGCACTACGACAACGCGACTATTGAGTTTATGGGCATTGCTAACATTCACAAGATGCGCGAGTCATTGGACGCACTTAAGTGTAAGTTGAACGCTTTAGAAGCGATGTGGTGTGGAGAGTAGCAGCGACTTACCATCAATTTTTGTGTTTTTGTTGGTACAGCCTTGGTTAGTCCTAGCAGCGTTGAAGACGGCGACAAACACTACCACAACCGTCTCGAGAGTAAGTTTTTGTCGAGTTCAAATTGCTTGCCTATTCACGAAGACTCACTCTATTTGTTTGATCTATGCAGACACTCGATGGCTTAAGCACGTGATGCGTGTGTTGTCCGGCGCCCGGAGGGTTGCAGAGGTTCTTCACGAAGACGGCGCTTCGGTACTGGTGCACTGCAGTGACGGCTGGGATCGCACTCCGCAGCTGGTGGCTCTGGCGCAGCTCATTCTCGACCCGTTCTATCGTAGCATCCGAGGTTTTGCCAGCCTCGTAGAAAAGGAATGGTGCTCATTCGGACACAAGTTCGCGGATAGAATTGGCGTGGGCAAGGACAGTTCAGATCAGCCGAACGAGCGGTCGCCGGTGATGCTGCAGTTCTTGGACTGCGTGTGGCAGATGACCCGGCAGTTCCCCACCTGCTTCGAGTTCAACGAGAAGTTCCTGCTGCACATTTCGGACTCGCTCATCTCCGGTCTGTACGGCACGTTCTTGTACAACTCGGAGCGCGAGCGTGTGCTGGACAAGGTATGGGAGCGCACGGAATCTGTGTGGACGCCGGTGCTGGAAAACCCGGGGCCGTACAAGAACCCGTTGTACCGACCCACGAACCGTGTGCTGTATCCGCGGGCAAACCTGAAGCGCGTTGTGCTGTGGGATGGCATGTTCTTCCGGTGGGACCCTGAAAGCCACCCGGATTACATGGAGTTCATGGACCCCGTCGAGAAGCACGACGACGACGCGTCCGCGTACGATGAAGACGAAAGTCCTCGCGGCGCCAGTGTTCTCAACTCGCCGTCGGTAATGCCTATTGGTGGCGATCTTGAAGAGGACAAGGTGGAGTTAGATATTGACGTGATTCACGACTTCGATGAGTTCCGGGCAAAGACGCTGTCGGACTGCTCCGACATGAGTGACGACGACGATTTCGAGATATCGCCCAGTGTTACGGCTAGATACGACGGCTCGTCGACGCTGACAGCAGACGAGCTCAACATGACGACACCAGCGACCAGCGAAGTTGATTCCGAAAGCTCGGCGTCTGCTGAGGCGCGCCTCCAGCTGGACGAGAGTACGCTGGATCGGTATCACCACGGAGCTGAGGAGCGCACCCGCCAGCGCGCGCAGGGACGCAACATACGCGAGGCGTTGCTGCTGGCCCCCGACCAGAGCCGCATCAAGTACCTGGAGCAGCTGCTGAGCGAGAGCATCGCGCGTGAGCTGCAGCTCGAGGCCGAACTGGACTCGATCCTGCACCGCGCAGCCCGGGGGAAAAGCTCCTCCAACGGCACCACCCCAAGCAGCTGCAACACGGCGGCCGGAGGTAGCAACAGCGAGAATGGGTCGACCCATTCGTAAGGCAGTTGACTGACGATAAGCAGTAGAGAGCGCGAGAGATGCTTTGGCTGCTGCCGCCTCCCTCGCTCGGCTCGGCCTGCTACTGGCAAGTTTTATTTTGCTTCTGCTTAGTGAGTTTGCGTGTTTCGGAGCGTTTAGTTGGACGTGGCTGGAGCAGAGGAGCTGGTGAGGAAGGCATGCAGGACACGCCACAGCAATAGATTCGTACTCAGTATAATATAGTCGATGGCACTCTCCATTTTGCATCGTTGTTGTGTCAGTCTCCTCGCGGTCGACTCGATTCCCGAGTAAGGAATCCTAACCTTCAGTTCAGCCTTTCGACGGGATCCGATAGTGACGAAATGGATGGTGACGAGGAAATGCTGGCGGCCATGGGCTTCGCTTCGTTCGGTAGACCCCGTCGAGAGCGACGGCAACGGGAGGTGCAAGTACCGAGCACCAAGACAGATGCGTTAGCGCAATTAATGCCCGGCACGGAGCTCGCGGCGCAGCGTGGGGAGTTCTCGGCTGGAAGCGTGGAAAATGGTCAGCATGGCGTGTTGTATCTTTTGTGCAAAGATAATGACATCGATGAGCTGGATGTTGCTTTGAGGGGAGATAGCAAGGAGGAAGACAACATCGAAGAGATTGAAGTCCCGTACGCGGCACTGCTGGAAGAACTCGAGCGAGAGAAGCAGAAGTTTGATAAGTTTGACAGCGCGCAGTTCTTGAATGCTCGCGCTGCGACCAATGCGTATGAGAAGTTGGGGAGACATCGGTTCTTGAATCGATCGGCTATGAAGTTGGTGACGTTGGATCACGTCTTCGAGTGGACGAGAAGGTTACATCAGCGGCAAGAAGAACAGCTCAGCTTTGCTGACATCTGTGGAGGCCCCGGAGGGTTCTCTGAGTATCTGCTGTGGCGAGCTGGGGAAACCGGTGGAGGCTTGAAAACCACGAACGAGAAATTGCAGTGCATTCATGGCTACGGCATTACGCTGAAGGACGCAGCAAACCATTGCGACTGGCGTCTGCCACCAGAGTTCCGCGATCTGTTTGAGGTTTGCTACGGTGAGGACGGCACGGGAAATCTCTACTCCGTCGCTAACATTCACAACCTTCGCGACGTGGTTCGAGCACGAGACCCGAACGGTGTGGGCTTGGTCGTGGCAGACGGAGGCTTTCTTGATGCTCGCTCGCAATCCAACCAGGTTTGAATTGTGTTTTCCTTGCTACCAAAAATGTGTTGCAGAACTTTAATCATGAGGCCTCTGCGGTGGTTCACCCCCAGGAGTCCATGATGACTCGGCTCATCTTGGCTGAGGTGATAGCCATGTTCGCAGTGTTGCGCGTCGGAGGGGATTTCGTTTGCAAGACATTCGAGTTGGCGACACCTGCTATGCTGGAGCTTTGCTGGATCCTGCATCGGTCTTTTGAGCGATTCGCAGTCGTCAAACCAGTTGTAGGATGCATCATGGTTTACACAACTTTTTTAAAGTACTAATATGCTGGTGGTATGTTTTCTTACAGACCAGTCGCCCAGCGAGCTCGGAGCGATACATTATCGCACGAGGTCTGCGCCTGAACCATCTCGATTCGAAGCTTGTGAAGGCTCTTGAGGCGCATCTGGCTCGAAGCAGCAACGGCGACGCCAATGACAAATTTGAGCATCGATTTCTCCTCAAGAGAACTCAGATGCTCGAGGATGTGGACTTCCTGCAGTATATGGCGACAGCTAACGAGGCTATCGCGAAAGTCCAAGTCCAAGCTTGCAGACGCATCAATGGATATGCTGCCAACAAGAAGAAGAGGTAACTTACGTATGTGAACCTTACAAGGTCCCAGCAAAACCTGACATGAGACTATGTATGTGTGCTGTAGGAAAACACGTGGATCCGACGCTGGGGTTAATCCGAAGCAGTATTACCGCTGCTGGAAGCTCGGAGATATTCCTCGCCATGAATCCGAGTGATAGAAGCCGTAAATGGTCGTGGAGGAAACAGCTCTAGTTGGTTGTCATACTTCGCAGTATCTTCTGGAAAAGATCGTTCGCTCCATCGACGGAATACACCCCAACACAGCTCACACGCACCTTCTTCTGCAGAGTCCGCCCCAATTTCCGTCTGTTCATTGGAGAAAGCATAGGAACTTCCTGCTCCGCCGCGATCGCTACTATTTCTGCGATTTCTTGCGCTACCGCCTCGCATCCCTCGAGGTCAGTCGCGATAACCAGTAAACGAATCTTCTTGTTGAGGAGGCCTCTACGCACTTCGTGTAGCCCCAGCACCAATCGACGAGATCGCTTGTCTTGCTTGGGATTTAGACTATGTGCACGTTCCTGTGCTCAAGACATCACACCCCGTTAGCACAGGGTGACTAAATCCCAAATGTTACTGTAGATTCACTTACCTGCAACGCGGCCAGTCGCTTCAAGAATGTAACAACAAGGTCCTGCAAATCCGGCGACTCTGTAGGCTTTGGCAACAGCAACAACACCTTGTTAGAAGTGGCAGGCGATATAATCTCTGCATAATCCGGGTAGTACCTGAAGGAGGCAAACTGGCACGCGTTTCGTCTCTTCATGTATGCTCTCCGCGCCAACCTCCCCACACAGATCCATCAGGCGTGCTGTTACTACACGACCACCATATCGAGAGCCATGCATTGCGTTAGCAGCATTCTCCGCGTCTTGCGAATCGCTGTAAGTCACAGTGACATCTCCCGTCGTCTCGTCCAATTGCATCTCCTCCACAGCTCCATGCTTGGTAAAAATCTGCATCACTTCTTCTCTCACATCTTCCACTTCATCGGGATCTTCCAGCTCTTCGGGCGTCAGCATCCCTTGCACCACCACAATGGCTGCATTCTCCATCTTCTCCTTGTCTATCCAAGCACAGGTCACTGTCTTCCCTCCAAACACGTTTCCATTGAACGCAGTGAACGCCTTTGCTGCATCCGCTGGATCCCGAAACTCCACAACCACATCCCCCACCAACAAATCACCGTTCTCTCCTCTTTCTCCATCTTCTTGGGCAACTATCAACTCTTGTAACTGTCCAAAGCGAGAAAAATCGTCGCGAACTTCCTCCTGCAGCTCGTCCGCTTCGTCTTCCAGTTCTTCGGCTGACACAAGACCGCGAACTCGAAACTTGCAATTTACTGGAGAAAAGTGGAGACTTTGGTCGATACTACTCTTGAATTCGGACTTTCGTTTGCGGCGCTTTGGTTTTGCCAGAGCTGGTGGAGGCGGTGGAAGCGCTGGAGGTTTGACTTGGAAAGGAGGGTCCGGTAAAGCGGTTAACGGCTGCTGCTGCGGTTTCTTTCGCCTTCTTCTTGATGTTTTCGGTCTCACAACGGCGGTTGCATCGATTGCAGCTTGGATATACGAGCCGAGCGTCGCCGGTTTGCTCTGGGGAGCTGCAGCAGCAGTTCCTGGTTGTCCCATTCAACCTGAAGTCCCACTCCACGCGCGCGTGTGGTTGACTTTCTAGGCTGTTTCTAAATGTTTCTGAACAAAGTTCAGTTTCGTAATATTTCTCAGCAATTTCCTGTGTTTTGTACCGTTTCTAAAAGAAAAGTACCGATGTAGGCATTCCACCCATGCGCCCTCGTTGACAACCATCGCCAAGAGATTCGCGCACTGCTGCTGCGGGATGCAACAGACGCCTGATGGACAAAAGCCCTGACATCCTGTCAAGTACTGGGTTGTGGCAACTTACCCCTTGATGTTATGCATACTTGAAATCAGGGGCGTAACCAGAGCCTTTTTCTACCCCCCCCTAATCGGGCCTAGTTACGCCCCTGCTTGAAATGGAAAAGAACTTTGAACGGATACTTAGACGTCATCCGATTTTCCCACAGCTTCATCGCCGAGGAAGCGTAGCGTTCAAATAGTGAGGATGTACTCGAGAAAAGCATATCAACCATACTGTAATAACTCGCTGTATTGTAACTACAGTATCCAATTGACTTCCTATGAATGGTGAAACATGAACGTGTTTCACCTCAGGCTATCTCAAGAGGCCTCATGACGCGCGGCTAGGAGTGGTAAAAGTCTCGGTAACTCTTAACAATAGCTACGGTCGTCGGGTCAGCATCGGGCAAAAACCTAGCGGGGTTCTTACCTTGCTCTCTCCATCTTGTAAACTGCGCTTTCTGTAAGTTGGAGATGACAAGTTTGTCGGCGAAAGGTGCATCTTGCTTCGCGGTGTAAAGCATCTTTGCCAAGTCCCCTTCGCCGAAACGCTCCCTCAGAACAGCGATAATTTTCACGGCTAGATCATCATCTGTGCGTTCCAGCTCGCGCAGGTACAAGACCCAAGTGCTGAACGTGGGGCTTTGGAAAATGTCGTCTCCCGCCTTGTCCAATTTGAGGAGTTTGAACACGTCGACTTCCGTTTTACTTGTCCATTCCGAGAAGAGCGCGTTCTGCACTTTTGTCGCGGCATTACTCGATCTAGGCACCTCCTTCGCAGCGAATGTCATCTTTGCAAGGGCTTCATCACTGTAGTGCGCGTGTAACCCATACATCATCGCTGTCGTCAACAACCCGTCGACTGGACTCTCATCTTTCCGCCTGATCAAGAACGAAATCCAGCTGCGAAATTCCGGCCTGGCAAAGATGTTGTCTTCTCCACGGTCAAGTTTGAAGAGCTTGAACGCGCCGTCTGCCCTTACGTCACTGCTAATCCAATGGGCGAACTGGACGGCCTGCAATTCCTTTGCAGTCGACGCCGTGGCCGATACTTCTCTCTCCGTAGCTAGCATTTTCGCCAGGGATTCGTCTCCAAGTTGAGATTTCATCGTTAAGTACATCGCTGCATTTGCCGCTTCGGGGTTCGTCTTGAACGACATGGCCACGGTTTTCTTCCACTCCAGAAACTTGGCATTCGTGAACATGTTGGATGCTTTGTTGCCAAGGTTGAAGTGTTGAAACAGTCGGTTGGCGGCCTTTTGCTTGTCCGACGTCATCTTGTAGATGAGCTGCGCAGCGCCGGGAATGTCGCCAATTCCGATTCCTCTCTCTTCGTCATTTTCATCCACTACTGGCCTCGAGTGGCCGCCGCTTGGTCTGGTCGTGAGCTTGGTCTGGTCGTGAGCTTGGTCAGGGCCATGGAGACCGTACCATGGAGCAGTATGGACAATGGCAGTGTTCGTCGCCGAGACACCGCTGACGCATGCTAAGAAAGCAAGCGCAACCAATAACTTGCCGGCGCCGCAGAACCGAGCGGGCATACTGGGCACGGGATTATAGTTCTGCACCTTGGACGGCAAATTTCGAAGTGGCAGTCAAAGCTCGTGATCGCGAAGAATTCTGGATGGAGGGCCCAGTGTAATGCCGATAAGCTTACTTAAAGTATGCCTGCGGTCATGTATACAGTGACCAACCAATCCCATTAAAGCATCGTCCACGAAGATCGACTCCCAGGTAAACGATAGTGGCTGCTTGCACCGGGCCAGCCAGTAAGAGATCTTGAGATGTGCTTAGAGCTACAGCTGGTGATTTGACGTTCAACACTCCAAAATCGGTGAAGGAACTCATTCATTTGCGAAAAGGACGAGAAGGAGGCAAGCGGACGTCGGCAGGTGCGAGGCCGTCGAAATGCACGCCCCTGCTAGCTAGGAGAGGGTGTGCGTGTGTGCTAAGATCATGGTATCATTTGCGTGTTAGCTGGGGGGAGTTGTGCGCACAGGGCCAACACAAGCACGCGGTATTTGCGGAGGCGGGCCCAGCGACGAGCATTCCAGCGAGCCGAGCACTGTTCTCGCCAGGTGAGAGAATCTTTTTATCGCAGGAGCGCAGCGACTGCCTTTGCGGAGCGCAGCGGAGCAAAGCCATTTCCCGCGGATGACATCCGTCCTGCGGGAAGGTCGTCACATTGTGGGGTGATCGGCTGCCTATACAAACTCCAAGATATCACCGAAAATAGACTGTGTACGTAAGTCCTGCCGTGTCTGCAGACAACCTGCAGAGCCGGGCACAGATAACGACGATGCTGATGACCAGCGATGGCACTCGTTTTGTCTCACAATGCCTTCGTTTTTGTTGATGTGCAGATCACGGCGTCAATCATGGTGTTCAGCGGGACTCCCGCTGCGGGAGAAAACGTTAAAAACACACAAATAAGCAAAAACGGTGGCCAAAGACGGTGACCGTCACCGCCTTTATTTAACAAAATGTATTAATAGTGTCGAAGCTCTGTGGGCATCCAGCGCACGCAATTTTCGTCGTGGCGGTGTCAGGGGATAGCGAGTAGGTTACTACCTGGCCCTGATTTCATTCTAAGATACCTGGGCTGGGGTTGCAGGCAGCTCAGGACGTAAGGTAATTAGTGGGCACTAACAGGGCTTTGCTAAGTTCAAATAGGCGGACACCCTGCTACTTAGCTACTCTGAGCAAACAGCGCCATTGCATCATACGCTAGCACAGTCTACGATAGGGTCTCTGCTCAAAGGTGGCAGAGCTGCATCTAGTAAGCTTGACAAGCATCCCTGCTCTACCGTAGTTCATGTTGCAGTAACCGCGATGAGCGCTCTCCTCCCATTGCGTGGCAGCCATGACGAGCAACAACTACAGCGGTGCCATTAACGCTAGATGTTACACATGTACGCTACATCTACTTTAGATCAGTACGAACACATAATATGTGTATTATAGGCCCTCCCATATCGCCCCGGGCAACGCGAGTGCATTACTTGAGTAGATCAAATACGTTGCCTCATCACCCCACCCCTCCCTACCTACGGACTCACCAGTGAACACTGGCGGTAATCTAGCTACACGTATACTTCCTAGCCGACGCAGCCTGGTGGAGCAGTGTAACATGCGCTGTAGGTCTAAAAACTCGCATTGGGCGACATCACTCGATCTAGCAGTACCTAGCAATCCTATCAGAGTTGGTGCAACTACTTACACGTGCATCCAGCATTCAGACAGGGTAGTATTGTCAATTCCGTTGAAAATTTCCAAATCGGGCCGATTTCGAAAATCGACCAATACATATTCAAGTACAGATCGAAACGGCTCCAAACAAGAATGCCATATGTAAATCGTACTTAATCGAGTTCCAATAGACAATCCAAGTGGCCGGGGCGATTGGGGAGCGATTTGGCTGGGGCGATTGCAATCGGCCGGTTCGGAAATTTTGAGTAGAACCCACAATACAACCTCGTCAACAGCTCGACAGTCTCTTTGAGTACCCTAAAGGGTCCAAATACGTGAGCGTCGCGAGTAGTAAGTTAGTTAGTGGTCTTCTCCGCAAACATGTTAGTGACTTTCACAACCCACAAACTTACAGTGGATTGATGCGTTTCTTCCCTAGATACAAACACTGTGTCATTCTCCGGTCTGGTCCAAGGTAGCGACGCCGGACGTGGCATCTTTCCTAAGTAACTTACGTGGAATTACTCAAAACTCAGTGAAATATACTCACAATTAAGTAGCACCCGTTGCCGAGTCCACGTTGAGGTCCAGCGCACTGTTGGTTGCTTGCGTACAAATAACGAAGAGTTCAAAAGGATGGCTTAGTGGTGGGTTACCTGCTACACACGAGGAAATTTGCAAAATGTTAATGTCTGGCTTGCAAGCACCTACATTCATGTTATACCAGTAGTCGTCACCGCGGGCGGAAATTGTATATACTCGAACAGTTACCAGTAACAGGCCTCAACCCTCGCATGTAGCATGATTTACCATGGTTCAGGTAAGGGGCTGGTCAGGCTGGCTGGAGCTGGTTCTCGGTCCGGTGAGCGAAGGGGTAGGCGAACTACTCGGTTTTGACTCTGTCTGCTTTTTGTCCAAAATGAACAAAACATAGGCACTTTACTCAAAACCCGAGAACCACCTCGGCGATTGAGTTCTCGGGTTCCTGCAACGTTATCAGTCATCATTTTACAACGTCACAACGCTGTTACGGCAACGTTAGGGCCTTATTGCGACGTTATTAGCAACATGGGTACATGGTAGGACAAGGTCGGACTTGTAATTTATCGGATAAATTCCTCGTGTGTTGCACATAGGTAATTTATTTCTGAGGTATTATCTGTGCTGAATGAGTACATAGTAGGCTCACGAGGTGCGCAAATCTATCGAGCCGCTCACTGAGGACTTCAGATGTGAGGGTGGGAGAGTTCTGAAGTGGCACACACCACGAGTACACTTTTGTGAGCGCAAAGTATGCTAACAGAGGCTCAAAATGTGAATACTCTGGTGTTCGGATTCATTTATCTCTGCACGGGTACGTTTTATCGCGGATGCCAATGGTTTTCTGGGCTGTACTTCTTCGACAACGAGACATAGTTCTTCTTGTAAGAGTATATAACTAATCAAACGCTCGTAAAAGCGTTTCAAAAGTGACCATTATATTTTTTCCGTAACCATTAACGTTGCTCTTTTGATAACGTAGCTCTCGCAGTAACGTTGCTTGCTAACGTTGCCCTTCGATCACATCGCCCATTAACTTTCTTCGAGGTAAGTTGTTGGTGACAGTATTGCACGGCAGCAAACCCTACTGATAAATCAAGTAACATACCAGGTCCACGTCGCTGGTTATAACATTATGATATTGTGAGTGTACGGACACTTTCATTATGCATTCAATGCTGTACCATCGTGCATTGACTAGTTTAAAAATTATTCTCTTACAAACTAGTTGACCTCTTCTCAGAAAATCTGGAATAATAGTAAACGCTGAAGTTCCGCGTCTACTACGGAAGTTCCGCGTCTACTGTATAAAGTCGTGTCAGAATCTATAAGATAAAACTATTAGGTGCACGTCCATTACATTCGGTTTCTATTCAGTTATACTCTCATTGTCTCAGTACATCCGCCAGATTATCAATGACTATATTGCCAGGTTCGTGTACTTCACCTACAATAAATAGGCTTCAATATATTAACAGTATGAAGTGTAAAAGGCTTAGTACGAGTGGTGATACCGTCAATCGCGCATCATAATTGTTAGGTAAAACCAGTTAACGTTGCGCAAGAACTATTAAAGCTCGTAGCTAAAGGGTTAACGTCGCTGTAAAATTTGGAACTTAAGCAGCGTAAGACTTGAATTGCTGCCTGTTGCTTAGCCGATAAACCATAGCTGTTCATGCTTATATTTTACGTATTACTGTGTACAATAACTACCTCACATCGACACATGCAACAAATGGACGTAGAATCTATTATCAAACTCATCTACGGTAGCATTATCGAAGTGATGCATAAATGTATCGTCACAGTTAATCTACCAGAAGGGTCGCAGGTTCTAGCCGACATGTCCATGCTAAGCGTTAAACAGATTCCTCATCAGTTGTGTGCTGTAATTTAATAGCAGTGATATCAAAGTAGATTGCGATCTTGTTCTAAATCATACGGTATACATCGCTGTTTTCTTAAAAATGGACTCAATATATGTATAGGCATAGTATGCAGATGCGTGATCCTGCCTCCATTTAATATGCTTCCTATACTACGCGCTGGCTAAGTCACCGTAGTGCTATCCTTTCTCATTATAGTAAAGTACTTTGCTAAGTTTTATAGCGATCATGTAATGGCGGATGCGTCTGACCCAGGTAATACAATTGAATAGTTTGGCGGTTGATAACTATAAGTACGCCTTGGGGAAGGCATTGTACCCTTTGAATACTAGCTTTATATAAGAACAGAGGAAGTTGGACAAATCACATTAACGGGCAATGTGAACGTGCAACGCTAAAAATAAAGCAACGTTATCTTGGATTAACGTTAATGCGCAACGCTAAACATAATGCAACGTTATTGAGAAGCAACGTTAGTACTCGGCGATATTTCGAATAGTGTCGACCTCATTCGATTAAACCTAAGCGCTTGGGCGCAAATGCTTCGCAAACGTTTAGGACGACAATCGTATAGGTGTACGGAAATTACAGAACATAATTACAAGCAACGCGAAGCAGCAGCCATTATGTCAGGGACCTGGACGATGATAGTGGTTTGGTAACATCGGTACTCTGCTAGATGTGGACTTCCCTCTCGGCCCGCACGTCCTTGTCGTCCCGCGACTTGAAGCTGAATACCAACGTCAAAACAACATAGAGACATAAATATTAATGAAGCAGTGTTATCAATCATAGAGCAGCATTAGCAGACAATAGAGCGCAGAGCAACGTTACCTTTAGTATTCGCGGGAGGAGGGGGGGGGGGGGGCAGACTCTCGCAGCTTGACCATTTCTGATGCCAATGCGTTCAGCTTGCCCGTACGAGG